CACAAGCTACTTTGCAACAGCTTGGTTCAGATATCCGTGCCAACAACACCTCTCTCCTCCCTGCAAGTACACAAGATACTTTGCAGTAGTTCGGTGCAGACATCAGAGCCGCAACAACCTCTCTCGTCATCTTTCTCTCCCTGCAAGTACACAAGCTACTTTGCAGCCAGCTAGGTCAGACATTAGACCAAGCAATCTCTCCCTCTCACACACAATATCTCTCCTCCCTGCAAGTACAAAAGATACTTTGCAGCCATGAAGAAGTGCACTTCCATCTTCATCATCTTTCTCCTGTCCCTTCTCCTCTCCAACGTGGTGACGGCCATAGACAACCGTCTCCGAAACAGTGTGGCCGCAGTTGGCATGATAAGTGTCCTCAGCTGGAACTTACTGAAAAGCGGTCGCCGAGCCCACACTGTTCCGGAGGTGGTTGTTCCCTCGCCTAGTTTGTCAACAGCAGAGCCTGGCGTCGCCTCATCCATGCCGAGTTCGTCCTCGCGGCCTCCTCTTGTTTTTCTCAAGGGCCCCAATCCAGCGGGGGAAGTGTCAACCACTCTTCTCTCCACTGTTGGCACTGGTCAAATCGGCTCCTATCCATCAGTCACGCCTTTGACAACCTTCTTTGTCGCCAGCTACGACGAAGAATTCAAGGTGGTCGACTACCAGAAGCTCGTTGGCTGGCGAGTGGGCAATCTTTTGGGCGATCTGCCCAACAGCTCGTACAGCACTACGATCGCCGACAAATTCAACACGCACCTGGTTCCCAACAAGACAGTGAATGAAACGTTTTTCCTGCCATCATCACCAAACACCACATGGGTTACCCAGCCATTGGTCATCATTGATCCAACTCTGATTGAAAGCCTCTTGAACTCAACCAAGTCAATCGTGGGCAAACAACGAGGCTTTTTGTCTTCCAAGTGGCAATCTTTCGCTCTGCCATCAATCCCACTCGGGTCCGGCCCCGAGTGGGCCATTAAGCAATGCAAAATCTTCTTGAAAGTGAGCCTGGGAATTGTGGTCAGATGCCTTCTTGATCTGCTCGATGTTTTGGGGGTATTTACTCCTCTGATCGTGGCCATTTTCGGCCGATATGCATGGTTTTTCTTCAAGGCGGTGCCGTCCACTTTCCGCAAATACGCACCCGTTGCCGCATATGGTCTACATGCACTCTTTCACAAAGCCATTGAAGTCCTCTATGGCATCACAGTTGCCTGGCAAGACGCTCGAAGAAAACATGAGTTTTACAAACTGCAAGAAGAAAACGCCATACGCGCAGCCAAACTCAAGGCCCGAAAACTCGAAGAAGAGCTGGCAATGGAGGAAAGCGAGAAGCTCACCCGACAAGTCCGCGCTGCTGAGCAGGAGGCCAAGAAACTCGAGGAGCGGCTCAGGAGGCTTCCAACCGGTCTGCTAGAACCACAGCCACAGCCACAGCCAGCTCCAGCTCCAGCTCCAGTTCCAGCTCCAGCTCCTGCTCCAGCGCCCGCTTCCTCTGCTTCCTCCTCTGTTGCCAGCTCTTCGACACAAAGAGTCCCGGCCAGATCAAGTTTTATGACTCGTTATCGGCGCTCTGTCAACCGTCAATGCGCGCCTCCAACATTGTCAAGAAGAACCTCCAACTCGGACGATGAGTCAACCGACGAGGAGGTGTTGGAGGAGTTTCGGCAACGTTCCCTCTACCCTCGGACCTCGCCGACCCCTGTAGCTGCGCCAGCACGCAGCACAAGACAGGGGCGGGGTAGGGATCCAACTCCCCGTACAAGGGGGTTGTTTCCCACCGAGGAGGAAACGGCTGCAAGTGTTGCTGCTTCCGGTGCTGGTGCTGCTACTGCTGAAGGGGAGGACAATGTCTCCCCGACCGAGCAAACTCGGTCGACCGATCAGCAGCTGCAGCAGGAGCAGCAACATGAGCAGCCCGCGTCTCTGGGCCTGGAGGAAGAGAGGCAAGAAGAGGCCACTGCAAATGGCGAAGTAGACAACGATGTTGTCGAAGAAGCCTCGGCTGAGTCAACTCAGCCGACCATGCAGTTGGCCGAACTTCCTTCAGGCCAGCAAGAGACCGAGGGAGCATTGACGGCGCAGCCAGAGGCCGTTGTCGTGGAGACTGTTCCCGCACCTGAGGCGATGCCTCTCGAGGGTGCGCAGTCTGGTTCTCTTGGACCGGTGACCGGCGCCCGGGAAGTCGAGGAGGAGGAGGTTGTGGCTGTGGAAACTCAGCCTGCCTCTTCCTCCTCGGAGACTCAAGAGGGACCGGCAGCAGCCGCTGCTCCTTTGGCAGAAATGTCAGAGGACTCGGCTGCTGTCGAGTCTCAGACCCCGGCCGGCGCACCAGTAGCGTCCGAGGAGGACGGCCGTCCTTCCAACAACACACCCCCTTCTGCACAGGAGGGAGAGGACGGCGGCGACAACGGCGGCAACGCCGATAGCGAGCGTAGCGCCAACAAGGGCGCGGAGGAGTCTGTCGATGACAGCAAAGTCGACGACGGCAACGACGACGACAATGACAATGACGACAACGACGACGATGCCCCGGCTGGTTCCGGTGGTAGCATCGTCGTGTCGGAAGAAATCGTCGTTGGTGCTGGAATCGCCAACAGCCAAGATGCAGAGCCCCTGTCCAATGCAGCTCTGCCAACCCCCCAAGGGGACCTTACTGGCGCAGGCCAGGAGGTCCCCAGCAGAGCCGCAGGACCCCAACAACCACGGGGGATCTTGCGAACCGGAAATGGGACTGGGGGCGCTGGTGGTAGCAGCCAGCGTTTAAGTGCCCGGCCCCAGCGAAGCGTCCGCTTCGCTCGGGAGCCGGCCATGTTCCATTTCCGGGGCGATTCCAGCCCCATGGAGGTGCCGAGAGCCTCCGTGGCCGTCGACGAGACAACGCCAACAAAGCCGACGCAGACGCCGATGGCTCTGCAAGCGCCGGTCCAACAGGCGCCGCAACCAATGCTGCCGGAGCCCGAGGCTCCACAGGTTCCCCAATGGCCTGTGCTTGCCGGAGGCGAGCATGGCCAGCAGCGGTTCGCGGCGCCTCTCTTCCCTCGCCTGGCCGCCCAAACCCCGTCACCAGTCCGACCAACCGCTTTGGAGGAGGCGGTCCGGACTGCTCTGTCGGGGGGCCAGGCGAGAGGAGGAGCCCGGCCAGTTCGGCAGGCGGTGTCTCGCAGACTCCTCCACCAGAGGGTGGCCCAGCGGGCCTCTCCTCAGCACCAGCCGTCCCTGTTTGCCCATCTGTTGCAAACACCACCCCCATCTGCAGCCCCACGTGTCGTTTTCGGCACTGGGGTGTGCACGCCGACGTCTGTCTCCTCGGCTGCCACCACCACGGTGGCCGATGTGGACATGGAGGAAGGCGCTGCTCAAGAAGCGCCGGTCGCTGGAAACAGTGACCAACAACTCCTGTCCACTGAGATGGACGTCGATGGGGAGATTCCGCCGAGCGAGGAAAATATGGAGGTGGACTCCGAGAACGACGCCTATGGCGAGGTGCAGATGACTTCTGCACCAGACGTTCAGTCCCCTCCCGGAGGTCTTGTCGGTGAGGACCGTGTCACCGAGCAGCAGCAGCAGTGGCAGCAGGACGCTTCCGCCGGCCTGGGGTGGAGAGACCCCGCGGCGGTTGCTGCCAACGAGCTGCAGCAGCTGCTGCTGCAAAGTGACGGAGAGAGCGAGTCCCGCTCCGACACCTCCGACAGCTCGGCGGAATTCGAGCAACTGATGGGCAACGTGGGCATAGGTGCGGATGGCCAGTACCTGAGCGATTCGGAGGAGAGCGACGGCGATGCCGTCAGCGACCCGGAGAGTGAGGGCCAGTACTCCCATGAGGAGGACCGGTCCGACCGATCCGAGTCGCCTCCTCCCCGCTTGGGGCTCGATGAGCTCTCGGAGCATGACCTCGCGGTTATGCGCCGGCTCTGGCCAGACCGCATGGCCCGCATTGAGGCTGGTGCGGAGGGTGTCTTCTCCTCCGACGAGGAGGAGGAGGACGATGAGGAAGAGGAGGACGAGGAGGAGAAGGATGAGGATGAGGAAGAGGAGGACTGGAGGGAGGACGAGGGCCCGGGTGGTGGTAGTGCTGGCGGTGCCAGTGGAGGGGCCAGTGGAGGGGCAGGGGGAGAGGATGCCTCCGGAAGCGGCGATGCCGCAGACCAGCCAGACACCGACCGAGCGGGCGAGCAACAAGGACAGCCACCCAGTTGGGCCCAAGTCCGGGCCGCGATCGAGGGCCTCCCAGTGACCTGCTGGGTAGAACCCTCCGCGGCTCGGATGACAATCATCGATGGCAAAATCGTCATCGATCCCAGCTGGGTGGCTAGCAATCCCGGGTTTACCATGTCCACGGTAGGTCAAGCTTACCTCCGGGGCAATGATAAATTCCGGGAGAGCCATGGGTGGGAGCTCATCCAGAATGCCGAAGCTCGGAAGGCGGCCTGGTGGTAGGGGAGAGGGGAGAGGAGGCCAGGGGGGCCAGTAGATAGAAAGACAAAATTGGGAATTTGGTGCAAAGCAGACATGAATGGATTCGACGGAAACCAGATCGACCATTCACCAACCCAGTCAAACCAAACAACATCCAAAGGGTTCAACATGGAAACCACTGCAAGTCAGACGATGCACCAAAAACACCAAAACAGGTTCAACAAGAACCGAGTCATGCGGGAAATGCAACAACATGAACCAATCGATCATGAAGCAACAAGCATGACCAAAAAACTGATGACCAATTCGAGTTGGATCAAGCCAAACACGATTCCACGAACTCAAATGGAACATGATGCTCCCACATCATTCAATGCAAGAACCAAGCATTGCAAGCAATCCAATGACGAGGTCCAAAAAAAAAAAGAAGAAAAAAACAAGAAAAGAAGAAAAAAACGAAAAAAGAAAAAACAGAAGAAAAAGAAAAAACCAAAAACCAAAATGAAAAAGGAAAATGAAAAAAAAGAAAAGAAAAACGACGAGTTCGAAGTTCGAACCAATTCATTTCTGAAGAATGCAACGAGAGGAATTGCAATTCAGCACTCACCGAATCATGAACCAATACAAAACATGAATATTCTAATCCGAGGGGTTCCAACGAAACGAATTCCACACAAGCTTTCAATCGAACCATTTCTGAAGCGATCCAGCGAGAAGAATTGTAATCCCGAACTCCCAGAATCATGAACCAATGCAAACAAGGCCAATTCAAGCCTGAACGGGTGCAACCGAACCCAAAGAAACAAAACCAGAATTCCATACAAGCTCGAACCGATATGATTCCTCGAGCAACTCAACGGGGAGAATTGCAAGTCAAACTCTCTGAATCATGAATCAATGCAAACAAGATCAGTCCAAGCCTGACGGGGTCACAACGAACCAAATCCACACAAGCTTTCAGCCAAATCATTTCTGAAGCGATCCAACGGGAAGAAGTGCAATCCAAAACTCACAGAATCATAACACCAGTACAAACATGACCAGTCCAAACCTGAACGGGATCCAAACGAACGAATTCATATGATCGAACCAAGATCATTTTTGAAGCAATTCAACAAGAAGAATTGCAATTCAGAATCCACAGAATCATGAACCAATGCAAAATAAGCAATCCAAGCCTGACGGGTCCCAATGAATGAATTCCACAAAAGCTCAAACCGAGATCATTCTCGAAGCAATTCAACAAGAATTGCCAGTCGGGACTCACCAAATGATAAATCAACGCAAATCATGAACCAATGCAAACATGGCCAGTCCAAGCCTAAATGGGTCCCAATCAACCATTCCACACAAGCTGGAACCGAGACCATTCACGAAGCAATTCAACAAGAATTGCACTCCAGAAATCACTGAAACGTGAACCATCCTGAAATGCAAACATGATCAGTCCAAACCTGAACTCGTCACAACAAACGAATTTCACACAAACTCAAACCAAGGTCCTTGAAGCAATCCAACTGGAGAATTGCAAGTCAAACTCACAGAATCATGAATCAATGCAAACATGATCACCCAAGCCTTCATGGATGGGTGCCAAGAAACCCAATAAAACAAATGCAGAAGCATTTCAACGAGGAATAAGCTCGAAGCTATTCATTTCTCAAGCAATCCAACGAGAAGGATCGCAATTCAAACATGATAAGTCCAAGCCTGGACGGGTCCCAAGAAACCCACTGAAACAAATCCAGAAGCATTTCAACGGGCATCAGTCCAATATGAAGGAATTCAAGTCTGGACACACGGAATCGTAAATCAATGCAAACATGATCAGTCTCAGCCTGAATGGGTCCAAAAAAACCCCCAATGAACAAATCCAGAAGCATTTCACACAGGCAGCAGCCCAACAGGGAGGAATTCAACCACCATGGAGGAATTCCAGTGAAGCAAATTCACACATTGACCGAGTCAAACCACATGAAGGAATTCAGTCAAGGGCTAGATAGCAAGGAATGAGTCCAATAGGGACAATCCATGCCTAATCCAATTCATACTTGAACCATTCATCCGCTTTCCATTTTGTTTTCTTGTGCATAATTAATTCTGAACTGGGTATAGTGGTCGTCGGCACTTGTCGTCTTCGCAGGTCTCGGTCCCCAGCCACAGAAGTCGACCCAAGAATAAGCTAATGGTTCCCCTTGATACTCGTTGTTTGTTCCGGCATGCAATACCAGCAATTGGATAGTATACTATGGCGTTACAGAATACAGTAGTAGGCAACGGATTGCTAATAAGTGGCTCATAGAATCAAAGAAAAGCAAGGCTCCAATCCAACCGCGTTCTTGGATTTTCAGCATATCATCGGACCAGGTCCAAATCGGTCAACGACACGAGATACGAGCATGGATCATGGAGAAGGCAAAAAGTAAGATAATGATACAGTACAGGTACTAGTAGTAGTGTAGTAGGGAAATGAAGCAAGGCATTATTGCTGGTGCGGGCAAGTGGCTGACTCCCAGCTCGGGCTCGGATGTCGAGACGGACATTCGAAAATTCATGCATGGTTCGGCCGACTCGGAACAGCGAATTGCACCGGCCGATGTCAGGCGATGGAAGTCGGGGTGTCCCGAACTCCGGCATAGAGCTGTTCTTCCTATCACAAGTGTACAATGGAAAATAAAAGTCCCCCAGCTCCAAGCGGCTCGGACGAAAAAGCCAGGCCATCGGGCCCGCCGGACAGCGTCAGTAACCGAATCCGAGCAATACGAGGCCAGCGTCGGCATGCGAACTTGAAAGTGCCCAAGCTCCTTCACTCAGGAAGATTTCTGATGGCTTCTCAGCCCTAAAAAGACATAGTCCCGTTCTAGTAATACAACTAAGCAATTCCATTCGTCTCGTTTTCGTACTCGATACCGTCATGGATCCGTTGGCGATCGCCGACGGACCAGGACCCAGGACCAGGAGCAATTATGACTCGGACTCTCCATGGTGCTCGCGAAATGCTCCAGACAAGGATGTGAAACGGAGCTCCCCTTGAGACGCTAAAACTGTAAACTGCCTCAAGCGTGTGGTCATGGAGCAGGGGATGGACTTCAGATGGCTTCTGCAGAGATGAGGACGCGGCCGAATACAATCAACTGCTATCAACAACGAGCTGGGTGCCAGCACGCATCAAGCCTGGTGGTTCTAGTCGATGGCAGCTTGCCATGAGATCTCGCTGTCAGTAGGCCTAACGTTGTATACCTACCTACCTAGCTCATGACATCGGAGAATCGGAGTTTGATGGAAATAAGACTTGAAACCTGAAGTTGGATGCCACAGTGCATCAACTGCGGCTTGCAGCATGGGGAAATGCCTGCGTTGGGCATGGTCCATGGTCAGCCACTGGCAATAAATGCCAACTGCGTGCTGCGTACCTTGTACACTATGATCTCGTCGACAAAAGTGGGTGGTCTTGAAGGGCGCCTTGTGGTCCCTAAGCGCTGTCAGGGACTCATCCCAGGCGTGCTCGGGCCCGTTCCAGCTTGGACTACATGGGCCTAACGCCCATTGCAGCACCCAGTAGCACTAGAGTAGGTCCCTGCGTGACATTTCATAGGCGTGATGGCTGCCCAGTCGCGTCACCATTTGGGGCTTCATCCGGGCACGGCGCAATAGTCAGCTAGTTATCAACAAGTAATAGGGCCACTGGGACCACAGTTAGATGTGCCGTTAGCCACCCTGCGCACCGGGTCTGGCCCAGCTGGTGGCGGTACCTAGCAAGTGACTCCAATTCTTTTTCCAGGGCTCGACGTGTTCACGCTTCAGGCCTCCATTAATAAGTCAAAAAAAGTATGTGACTAAAGGGCCTCCTGTGCCTCATGGTGATACACTTCAGACAACACCTCAACCGCTCCTTGCCTCGTATTCGTTTCTCCTTGGATTCCACCCGGAGTGTACTCCTCTCCTCTTCTTTTCCTTTGTCGTGGCAGTCAGTCTCAGCAGTTTACGTCCGACACACTCTTCCTCCCATCGACGTCGTCTCCCCACAATAATGAGCCTCGCGGCCGGCCGATGTTGACACTCCTGCCCTCTCTTTGGTCGTCCGCCCGTGGGTGCCTGCGTTGATCGGTGTTACACTTGAGCGAGAAGAGCCGTGGCCACGTGCGAGCCATCATGGACCATCAAGGCAACATGGAAAGTCTGGGGTTCGACATGCCCCAGTTTGCCTCTCAATCGACACCACAAATGTTCGGCGGGTACAATGTGGACGGCACTTCTCTCAATGGTGGCATTCCCTCAGCAAACTATTTTGACTTCAATGACGGCGTTGGCGACGATAATGATCCCAAACGCCGGCGCATTGCGAGAGTGCGCTCCCAACCCTTTTGTAAGACATACTCTGGGCTCTGACATGTGTGGCAGGCTTGCGATATGTGTAGGAAAAAGAAGATCAAGTGCGACGGAAAGATGCCCAAGTGCGGGCACTGCATCAACTACAAGACGGAGTGCGTCTTTACGCAGGTGGAAAAGAAAAGGAATCCCCCGAAAGGGTAGGCTGGCCCCCGCCCCCGTTTATCATGTCGGGGCCCTAGGACACCCAACTGACCTGCATGCTGTGTAGGGCCAAATATATCGAGGGTCTCGAGAACCGGCTCGGGCGCATGGAGTCCTTGTTGCGCATGTCTGGACTCTTGTCCGAGGACGAAACCGGCAGAACTGATTTAGGTACCCTCGAGAAGCGGCTTGCAGAAAAGGCATCCTCGAATCAAGCGTCGCGGCGAAGGACAGATTCGCCAGTGCCTCCCAGAAGTGGTGCGGCGTCGACCATGCCGGAAAATTCCCCGCAAGCAGGGTCGCTGAAAGACTCTCATGACACGCCGGCCGAGTCCTTTACCAGTCCCAGCCCCGATGGTGACCGGGGAGGCCAAGATGATGTGGGAAATCTGTCTGAAGCCATGTGCTCGCTCGTCACAAACAATGTGGGCGAGACGAGGTATATCGGTAAGCAATGTCACGTTGTTCCATAATGCCAGTGCTTAACCATGACTAGGTTCATCGTCGGCGTTTTCCATCTTCTCAAGCAAGGGCATTGAATGGGTCAATGAGAAGACCGGCGACACTTCATTCCAAGAAACCATCCAGAACGCCGTCAGCGAGGATGACCTACGGTGGCAGTCATGGAAGCCGGAAATCTTTGGCGACATCTACGTCCGCCGAGTTTTTAAACCGTTACCGCCCAAGGAAGAGGCCCTTTCATTATTCAAAGACTTCTTCGAGAATTTCAATTGCATGTTTCCCTTGTTTCACGAACCCACGTTCATGCACTTGGTGGAGAAGCAATACTCGAAAGACCCTTATGAGGGCAGTGGCTGGTGGGCTAGTATCAACGTCGCCCTGGCCATCGCTTACCGCATCCGAGTCATGAGTAATGTCGTCCCGCACGAGGATGATCAAAAGGCGTGGTTATATTTGAAGAACGCGATGGGGGTGATTGCTGAACTCACCATGCGGAACACCGATCTTCTCAGCGTTCAAGCACTGCTAGGGATGGCCTTGTTTTTGCAGGGAACGCCGAACCCTCAGCCGTCATTCTTCCTCATCGCCGCAGCAATCAGATGTTCCCACGCGATTGGCTTACATAAGCGAGGTTCGGCATTTAACCTCAACCCGATCGAGGTCGAACAGCGCAAACGAGTCTTCTGGATTGCATATCTCCTTGACAAGGATGCCTGTCTCCGCTCTGGAAGACCGCCTGCGCAAGATGACGACGATATGAACGTCGACCTGCCGTCGGAAGACCCCCCAGACAATATTGGAAACGTTCCTTTGGCGGACGGAAAGGGCAAAATCAATCTCTTCCGCCTAATGTGCGAATTTGCCATGATCTCCAGCAGGGTCTATCGACAACTTTATTCTGTTCGCGCATCGAAACAGAGTGATGGAGAACTTCTCAACACGATCGGCGAGTTGGACAAAGAACTCGAGGCCTGGAAGGACAGTATCCCCATCGACTTCCGACCGGAGCACGAAATCAAAACATCGCACACTCCACTCATCCTGCATATTGTCGTCCTCCATTTCTCCTACTACAACTGCTTAACCACCATCCACCGTATGTCGGTTCACCATGGCTACTGGACTAGTCGACTGGCGGACTTTGCTATTCAAGGATTGAACGCCCGACCTCTCAACCCTCGCGTTTTCTCCTCTGCAGCCCTATGCGTATCAGCCGCTCGGGCATCAATTCATTTGATCAAGTACATTCCGCAAGGCGACTTCGCCTGTGTATGGCTGATTATCTACTTCCCCGTCTCCGCGCTGGTCACTATATTTGCAAACATCCTGCAAAATCCTCAAGATACGCGCGCCAAAGCCGACATCAAATTGATGGATCTGGTGGTCAACTTTCTGTCCAATGTGAGCAATGAGGAGTCTTCCGGATCATTAAAACGCATTCTCACGATCTGCTCCGAATTTGCCCGAATCGCACGGGTGGTTATCGAAAAGGCGGAAAAGGAGGGGTCGAAGCGGAAGCGCAGACTCGTGCCGGAAGAAGTCGTGCGCGTCAATCAATCCGCCATGGCACAAGCACAGGCGCAGATCAATAGACAACGACCGTCTGGTTCACGCAGGTCGAGCGGTGCTGCTGCAGGATCGCCTCGTGACCCTGGCACCGTACCCTCCACGTCAGGAATGCCAAACAACACGTCAACCAGCGCCACCATGAACAATGGAATGGGTCCTAACGCCACATTTTTTAACTTACCCAGCCAAGATAATGACTATGCAGATATATTGAACCAGAACGGGGCGAGTCCTGATATCGGCCAGCAGACCATGCCCAGCGCCACCATGTCTCCTCTCAATGTCGGATCCTTTCAACATCCCTTTGTCCCGCAGGATTTGTGGCAGATGCCCATGACTTTCGAATGGGACTGGGCCGATTTCGGACAGCCTATGGGTAGCGATTTCATTTTCAGCGACGGTCTTAACGATGGAATGCAAAATATGCCTCATCAACAGTGACGGCGGAATGGAAAATGTGAAAATCATGTTTGAAAATCATGTGTTTTTCCTAACGGACTCTCAACTCGAGTTTATGGACCTCGAGGAGGATCCTTACACGATACCTCATGCATGAAGCGGATTGGCGAAGACTGGCGGAAACATCTGTGGTAAATTCAGCGCCACAAAACTGTAAATTTATTCTATGATACCCCAATGAGCACAACTCTCTGCTACTCATTCAACCACGATCTATTCTTTGGAGTTTCTTCTTTGTTTGGACATGTCGTGGCTGAACAAAGGCCAATGATGCACTACGCGAGACTGGTACGTCGGTGTTTCTTTGTATGTCGTCATTATTCATCTATACCTAGGCATACGTACATGCCTCCTTCCATTCGCTACAATATTCTGCGGCTACCTTATGCTGGCCATCGGGGATTTTCCGTCAGGCATTTGTACGCCTAAGACGGAGGTATTCCACCGGCCGTCTTGACGGTGCTGAATCTCCCCGACAGCCCCGCCGGTAAGGATAAGGTACGTCTGCCGAGGTTGCCGGTCTGGAAGGATATTTGGCCTTTGTTGTGTGTGGCAGACTAGCATGCCATAACCGGTGGGCAAATACTTGAAAGGCTGGATCCACTGTTACCCCTTTCCATCCACAGCCTTGCGAGGCCTCCACCACACACATGCTAACACTTACATACATCCACTACCTGCCTGTTTGAGCATCATATCCTTCGCCCAGGGCTGCCGTACTGACCATATTGGCAGTTGCATCCTAGACAAATTTCGCTCTATAAGAAGAAGCTCCTTGACTGCTCCGGTGCTCTCCTCTGATTCACTGATCGGCTAGGAGCCTGATGGCCCCTTTTATTATCCGGTGACGCAGCCGCGTGGGAATACAATGCAATGATTGTGATTGCGATCGCCAGTATGAGATGAATGCGAGATTGTATTGTTGATCTCCTTTCCCTTCCTATTGCCCTCGGGGACGTCCTTGTTGTCAATACACAGACTTGAACACACGCGCAGAAAGTGAATCAAAGGCAGGGTGGTTTGGCATTCACTTCATTCACTGCCTTTGTTATTGTTCTTGATTCACTGACTCACTGCACGTTTCTAAATGCATACACAGAACGTAGGTAGGCATTCACTTCCCCTGCCTTTGCTATTTACCGTCAATACGCACACACACTCACGCTCACGCTCAGGCACCTGAACACAGGCGCTGAATGTGAATGGAAAGCAAATATAGCACTGATTCACTCGCCCACTGCGTCCGCTATTGTCTTTATCCACCCTCAGCCTTGGCTGTTCTTCTTTATTCACTGCCTCCATGCATAAAGGAACTCGCTCTTTTCTTTCTTCCTTCCTCTTTCCTTTCTTCTTTTCTTTCATCATCATACTTCCTTTCTTCTCTCATACACACAACCACAACCACAACCACAACCGATAATCAATCTTCCTGCCCATCACTGCCTGTGTCTTGTACAAGTGGAACTGTTCAGCAGTACTGTGCTTCAGACAAGTCAGAGTGGAAGTCTGATTGTGGTTCCGGCCTTTTTCCTTTCTACCTTTTGAAAACCGTCAAGAGTAATCTTGTTCGGCTTATCAACAAAGGTCCAAGAACCAGTCGAGCTCGAATTCGAATTTGAAGTCAAACAACCGCTCGACACGACGGTCGGACCGATCCTCATCCTCGACATTTCTCTCTTTCTTTTCTCTTGCGACAACTCGGCAGATCACGATTTCTCTGTTGACCAACAAGCAGTGAATTTCGGGACACTTGACCGAAATCAACACGACGCAGTCGCAGCCTCGACATTCACAGCACAACTAACTGCCTGCGACCAAAACAAAATAAATCATCCTCTTCTTCTTCAACCTCGACCTCAACCTTCTTCCAACTTGTTCTTCTCTCACACACACCACACACACTCATGCAATTATCCGACCTTCTTCCATCTTGATCATCAACATCAAGATCCTCCTCATCATCCTTCATCTCAAACACCCCTTCAAACATCAGCAATCATGTCCATCGAGTACTTGGTCTTGCATTACATCACCGAATGGGTGCAGGACTGGATCCGATATATCCGGAATAAACCTAGGACGACAATACAACCTCCTGTCGAGCCAGCAGCTGAGACGGTCGAGACTCAGAACCCAGATTTCCCTCTCGACTCAAAGGCAGAACTGTTCGCTTCGAATGTGTGGACAGAAGAGGTTGTGATTTTGAACCATGAAATTCCTGAAGATGTTTTTGGCTCTGAAAATGCCGATGGGAAACCATCTGGTATTAAAGAAGAGATTAATGTCCTTCATAATTGTGGACTTTTTCAAGTCGAAGAAGCGGTGCTCTCACCTAATTGTCCTGTTCTGCAAGCCAATCATGACACCCATGTTATGACGGGTATTGATCTAATTTCAAGTCCCAAGGAGACGGTTGCCAGCGATCTGATCGTCTGGCAAAGCAGTCGACAACGATCCACTTCGTCACAAACAACAACGAACCGGGAGAATGAAAATGACTGGTTCAAGGATGGACCGGATGGTCGCGAATGGCATCCTCTTATCCCGGGGTTAGCTATCCTTCTAGTCCTTGCAATTTTCGGTTTCTTTTTTGCATGTTGTACAACATGCCTGTGTCGATCTTCTCGGTTTGACAGAGAGAAGAGACGTCTCAGAAGAGAGGTCCTCGAGCTTCGAGAGGAACTAGCAAGGCAGAAGAACCTTTTTCAACAACAAAACGGCATGCTTGAAGAGCAGCGTGCATTGTTGGAAAGAGCCGAGGAAGAGAAAAGGACTCTCCAGGCGAAGAAGGCCGAGGACGCAGTCGCAAAGGCTGCGTTTATCGCCGAACTGAAGGCAGAGGTCGTCGACAAGGCCAAACAGGCCGAAGCGGCACAGGCGAACGATGCCCAGAAGGAAGCAGTTATTGCTAACCTTGAGGCAAGCCTTGCCTCTGCCAAGAAGGAGATTGAAGAACTGCAGGCAACTGCAGTAGCCTCCGATATAAAAGAGAAGGCGCAGGAGTCTGCTCTGGAGACTTTAGAGACTTCTGTCGCATTGAAAGAGGAGCAGATCAAAGACCTGCAAGAAGAGCTTAATGCTCTGGAGGAGGCCAATAAGGCCGCTGAAGCGGCCGTGGTGTCTTTAAAGGCTCAAGTGGAGGCCAAAGACGCCAAAATCGCCCAGCAAAAGAAGTATCTGGCAACCGCAGAGGCTTCAGCCATAAACCAGGCCAATGAACTCGAAAAGCACCAGGGTAACCTGGCTGCTTTGGAAGTTTCGAAGGAAGTGCTCATCAAAGAGCACAAAGAAGCCGTTGCAGTGCTCGAGGCTTCTCTCGAGGCCAAGGACAAGGCCGCCCAGCTAGCCTTGAAGGCCAAGGAGGCGGAGATCGAAGAGCACAAGGTTGCTCGGGCTGCCCTTGAGGCGGCCATCAAGAAGAAAGAAGACGAGGTCAAGGACCAGGCAACGACCCTGGCTGGCCTCGAGACGTCCCTCCATTTGAAAGAGGACGAACTCCGACAAGTTCAGAGCACGCTCGACGCTCTGATGACCGAGAAAGAGGATGCTGCCCGCGGCAATCAAGCCAAGGTCAGCCTTCTCGAGAAGGAGTTAACCATGGTCAAGAAGGCCATGGAGGAGGCGAAAAAAGAAGTCCAGAGCGCAAAAGAGGCTCTGGCAAACGAAATTAAAGGGCAATTGAATGCCTTTGGTGCGTTGGAAGAAGTGGTTGACTCCAAGAATTTGGAGATCAACGAGCTGAAAGAGGCCATGGCCAGCCAGCGCTCCCAGATCGAGGGGCTTCAACAGCTGGTCAAGAAGGCCGAAGCTGCCCGCGTGGAGGAAATGGAGAAGAGGGAGGCGGCCGAGAAGGCCTGCCAGGAAGAGCAGGAAGAGAGAGAGGAAGAGGACGACGACGATTGGGAGACAGTTGACGAGGAGGAGGACGATGAGCCACAGACAGCAGTGGCCTCTCCTACCTGGGGACCAGAGTCGGAGGGAGCAACATTCTCCCAAACCAGAACCGACTGCTTGACCGAGCCCGAGGTGGCCACCCCGGTCGTTGCAATGGTCTTTAGCGAGGAGCTGGACTCCTCCTTTACGACCACTGCTGCCACTGCTGAGGGTGCGCTGCCCTCGCCCGAGGATACTCCTCGGGTGAATATCAACCTAGAGGCTTTCGGTGCTGTTGTTGCTGGAGAAGAGGAATCTATCTCCCCAGAGGATATTCCTCTGCCAGCTTCGCCTGTTCAAGAGGCTGAATCGCCCAGTGTAAACGGCACTGGTTCAGCCTCGGTGTCTCCGGCCCCCGCTCCTCCGGCACTTATCACCAGTGTCGCCACGGACAAGGACCACATCTTCACGGAGGTGAAGGTGAAGAAGGGCAAGTTCGGCCCTGGTGCGTTGCTCCAAAGCAAATGGGCAACGCCGACAACCCCAACAACGCCGACAACACCGGCACCGGCACCGGCAGCAACTACATCGGCAGCAACTCCTGCACCCGTCTCTCTCCCTTCGGCGACACAAGATTCGCCAAACTCATTGTTCGACCCGACTCCGACTCCGGCCAAAGCAGAGCAACAGGTGGTGAAGAAAACCCCGGGCACGCTCATGACAAGCAAATGGGCCTCTGCAGCAGCAGCAGCAGCAGCACCTAGCCCCCTCGCCACAGCCACGCCTCTCGTCCCTACCTCCGATTCAAGCTCGCCGGCCCCGTCGACTCCTTCCAAGCGCCCCGAAGAGGCAAAAGGAAAAGAAAAAGACCACATTTTCTATGAGGTCAAGGTGAAGAAGGGAGGTGCCGGACCCGGCCAGATACTCCTGAGTAAATGGGCAACTCCGCCGGCAGCGACACCAGCTGCCGCCCCAGCCAGTGCCCCGACTCGACCTAAAACAAAGGTCGAGCGGATCGCTTCGCAGAATGCGGAGAGGGGCCTCCCCGAGTCCACGCCAAATCGGCCAAAGACCAAGGCGGAGAGGGAAGCTGGAGACAAGTGAAGCGGAGGCCTAGCCTAAGCCGGAAGAGAAGAAGCAATGGGCCTGGGGAGGTTGAAGAGGGCAACGGAGATGAAAGAGTTGAACCTGACCACAGAATCAGATGAATCAGAGGAGATAGGAAGAGTTGAACCTGACTAGAACCAGAGAGTCAGATGAATCAGAGGAGATGAAAGAGTCAAACGAGACTCGATGGACGTGGAGGAATAGAGGACAGTGGAAAGGAAACGGTGAAATTGCACAGGCGGTGTTTACTTGTTGATAAGTATGATTACGACTATGAGCGAGTCCCGCGAACATGGCTACTAATTGTAATGGGTTGGACCACAGAACCTACTTGTGTGATTGAGATGAATTACTGCGAATTCAAAATTTCAAACTTGGTTTTACTGCACTTCTTTGCCTCGCTCGTTAGCATTACAATGTATGTGCTTTTTGATCTCTTCGTGACTTTGTGCGTGTGTGAAAATGCGATATTTGAAATTCCAAGCCGGAGGGACGTCTTTAAAGGTCTGTTCAGAGAGTGGACCGAAAAGGCCGAGCACCGTTCGGACCGCAGCTTAACAGGATCTACGACGGCTAAAGTTGAAGTTACAAGAACATTAAGTTCACGCCCAAAAGGCAACTTGGGAGAACCCAGAACATTTCATGAGAACTGGTTGGCAAAGGGGTTCAGGGCTGGGAATGACGTGCTATGGACCGGGTATGGAAAGTCAGTACTTGTAGACTGCCCAAGAAGATACAGAACAAAGTTGAATCAAGTCCATGAGACGTACGAGCATGTACTAGCCGAGTTTCAAGTTCAGCTCCATTCCGGCTTCAAGGTCAGCTTCGTGCACATGGTGTCCTACATTGATTTGTCCCAGGCTGAGTCCCATTCACAGTCTGCCTCCACCATCCCAAGGCATAATCTCCAACTGACGGATGATATTTTGCTCTTCCACCGTTATTATCTTTTCATTATGGCATCGCAGCATCACTACAGATCCAAGCACTAATCCAAGCCGAGTCCTTTGGCAAAGTTCTTACAAGAAGTGCAGAAGCCCCAGGTCTTTGCGCAGTTGAACTCGATGGATTCCTGGCTGCTTGCGGGGCTGGTTGTGCCGCAACCGTCAGAGAGAAGGATCACATCGTAGCCTTTAGAATAAGCCTGTACCCAAACATCAGTGGTTGAACGAGATCGCCTTTTCCTCAGTGCTGAAACTTAAACAGCGAAGGTTTGGGAGATGAAGTAAACAAAGCATATCACAGCATCTTCCATTTGGTTGCCATCTCTTCATGCCATGAACATCCTACCAAGTATTCATCGGGACAAGGAGACATAAGCTCATGACTTACATCTTGTAGACTTCCACCCACACACTGATCGGTATTGACACCAGCAAAGAACAACGTCTTTATGCCGTGACCGTCAAGAAACTCAGTACAATCCGTGCTGGCGCCCCAAAGACCCGACATGCGGTTCTTATGGATCCAGACATCCGGCGGATCAGCATTCAACCCTTGCTCGTAGGCTTGACGCAGCTCCGGCGTCAGATCTGCATTCCAAGTATCGCGTATGAGCAGCCTGCCTCCCTCGACGGTTGACTGCTCCACCACTACTGGCCCAATATCCGTGCCGAGACCTTTATAGATCCGGGGACTCTTGCCTGGAGCGACCTCGATCTTTGCATCGACGCCGTGGGCGTGGATCTTGTCGCATCCCTCGTTGACGCCGTGCGAATCGACGGCCGCCTGTTTCTGCTCAATGGTCGCATACGACTCGAACTGGTCGGCCAGGACTGTCTCGAACCCGAACGCACGCAGGGTCCCAGGAGGCATGCAGGCGATGTCTGCCTCTGTCAACCCCCAATTCAGCCAGATGATGCGCATCCCTGCCTTGCGGGCGGCGGGGATGGCGTACTTTAGTAATTGCTGCTGTGCCAGTAAGCCCTTGGAATCACTTGGTCGACCTAGCTGAGGTGACAGGAAGAAATTCTGCATGTCAATGATGACCAAGGCTGACTTGGCGGGACAGATTTTGACCGAGAGTGTGGTTGTTGATATGGTGTAGTCTGGTGTAGGGCTGGCGGAGGTCGGCGTGGGCGGGTGTGTCAGGTCGAAGCCTGTCGTCGAGTCGTATAGCCAGAATGTGTTCTTGGGATTGCCGATGATGGCTTTTCGATGGGCGCTGTCGGTGTTGTCCATGATGCAACAGTGTTGGACGGCTGATGGTGGTGGGGTGGTGCGGTGGTAGTGGTAGTGGACGGGATATTGGACTCTGTGGACCAGGGCAAGGCTGGGCTGGTCAGGGGGCAACCCCTCAAGAGGCTGTGGAGCTGGATAAAATCGTATTAGACCTGAGACACAGGGTAGGGAGGCTTAAGGTAGGTCACCAAGCACTTCTTCTCCTCAAGGAAGATCGCCCAGATCAGCAGGATTTCCCGTCCGGTCTGGTCTGTTGATAGTAGCTTCAGGTTGCATGTGCTGCATGTTGGGCATATCATGCTATATACCTAGGTAGGTGTCATCAACCAACAACAGACAGCCAGGACATATACATGCCGTAGATAGAGGACCCCGCAACCCCTCTGATAAGCATTCAAAGAGGAAGGAGATAACGGCAACCTATCACAGGACTATTGGTGTATCTCAGGATGAACCGAGGAGCCAGCAAAAGTAAGCGACTTTGGAGCCATGGCTGATGGCACGCGCTGTTGTCCGCCCAGCAGGCATGGCTGAAGGTTTGATAAAGGGGTCTGAGGGCGCCAGGGGGGTCCGGTCTGTCAAGGGCAGCGTGAGGTTACTGTATACGCAACAATGGAACACTGGCAGTGAGGGAGGCTTGTTTAGGCCTCGAGTGATTTGTACAGCCAGGTCTTCGAGAGACAAACTGGCCTTTTCACCGCCAGTGGTCACGAACAGCAAGCTGTATCAGAGGGTGACTTCGATGATCACTATAATAAACAAGGTCCAGTCCAAGCATGAATCTGTTCGAGTTGTTCAAGTGTTGCGTTTACCCCACAAAGTCACGCCGATGATTGCATCAAGCAACAATTAATCAAGCCACCTTTCGCCGAGTTTGGAACTGCATCACACTGCACTCACTGCACCATCCTCCTGGTCACCGTTGTCACCATCCGTCTCCTTACTACGTGACTGCTGTTCTTGCCTGCTGCTAGTATTTATATTTCATTCTCTCGCCTGAATTCGTCTCTGCTTTACTGCATAGCGTCTGGACCTCCCTGCTTGCTCTCAAAATGGCTCTTCTTCAAGGCCGAGTTAAAAGTATCTTGTCAGGCGACACTTTGGTCGTTGCCAACCAAAAAGGTGCCGAACGCACTCTGTCCCTAGCCTACATCAGCGCCCCTCGATTGAGACGCGAAGGCGACGAGGTAATACTATGCTGGTGCTGTTCTACCTATGCTTCGACTCAAAGCTAATCTCTCCCTCCTTCTCCGCAGCCATTCGCATTCCAGTCACGCGAGTTCCTCCGCGAACAGCTCCTAGGCAAGGTGGTGCAGTTTCAGATCCTCTATGCCATCCCCACCACGAAACGAGAATACGGCCGAGTCAAACTTCCCGATGGCGGCGAATTTCCCGACTTGGTCGTGCAGGAAGGTTGGGCGAAAGTGAGAGAGGATGCCGGCCGCAAGGAAGACGACGAGAACACCCTGGCATACCTCGACCAGCTGCGGTCGCTCGAAGCCGAGGCCAAGGCCAAAAACAAGGGACTGTGGGGCAAAGGCGGTCAGATCGAGTCGTCCTCTGAAGTCTCGGACCCCAATGCCCTTGTGGAACAGTACAAGGGCAGGAAGGTCGAGGCCATTGTGGAACGTGTCCTCACCGGCGACCGATTGATCGCTCGACTCATGCTCACCCCGACAAAACATGTTCAGACCATGGTTGTCCTGGCGGGCGTGCGAGCGCCGGCCACGAAAAGAACATCGCCAGAAGGCAAAGAGATCCCAGCAGAGCCCTACGGCGCGGAAGCACATGCGTTTGTGGACGAGAGATTACACCAGCGGAAAGTCTTGGTCGAACTACTGGGAGTAACGCCGCAGAACCAGCTCATCGCCCATGTCCTCCATCCCAAAGGAAACATTGCCAAATTCCTGCTGGAAGCTGGCCTGGCCCGATGCAACGACCAACATGTCACCTTGCTCGGAAATGAGATGGCGCAATTCCGACAGGCAGAGAATGCGGCGAAGACCGCGAAAAGAGGCCTCTTTACTGGTGTCTCGGCCACTAAGTCTGCTGGCGTACAGGATGCCGACTTCATCGTGTCCCGTATTCTGAACGCTGAGACCATCTTCATTCGCCCACGGTCGGGCGACGAACGCAAGGTCACCCTTTCCAGTATCCGTCAACCCAAGCCATCCGACCCCAAGCAAGCTCCTTTTGGTGCTGATGCAAAGGAGTTTCTGAGGAAGCGGTTGATCGGAAAACATGTCAAGGTGTCAATCGATGGGAAACGGCCTGCATCCGAAGGCTTTGAAGAGCGCGAAGTGGCTACAGTGACGGTCAATGGAAAGAACGTTGCATTGGCTCTGGTGGAAGCCGGCTATGCCTCGGTCATCCGACATCGACGCGACGACGACGATCGTTCGCCTGACTACGACGCCCTGCTCCTGGCTGAAGAGACAGCTCAAAAGGAAGAGAAGGGCATGTGGTCGCCAAAACCGCCGGCGACGAAACATTATCAAGACTACTCCGAGAGCTTGCAGAAAGCTAAGATGGAAGCGTCGGTCCTGCAACGGCAGAAGAAAGTTCCAGCCATTGTTGACTTCGTCCGGACTGGGTCCAGATTCGTCCTTTTGGTACCTCGCGACAATGCTAAGCTCACCTTCGTTCTTTCGGGTGTCCGGACCCCCAAGCCTGCCCGACAACCGGGAGACACGGCCGAACCGTTTGGGCAGGAAGCATACGAATTCGCTTACCGACGGTGCATGCAACGAGACGTAGAAATTGACGTTGAAAACACTGACAAGGTTGGCGGATTCATTGGAACCATGTATGTTGGACGGGAGAATTTCGCAAAGGCTTTGGTGGAGGAGGGTCTTGCAGAAGTGCACGCTTACTCTGCGGAGCAAAGTGGGCATGCCAATGAACTGTTTGCCGCCGAGCAAAAGGCCAAAGAAGCCCGCAAAGGCATGTGGCACGATTGGGATCCCAGCAAGGACCAGGATGAAGAAGCAGAGGTCCCTGCTGCCAACGGCGCGAACGGCACCAATGGTGAGACCGCCGAAACCACGTCGAGACGGAAAGACTACCGTGATGTGGTCGTGACCAACGTGGACGAGGCTGGCAAGCTCAAGATCCAACAGGTCGGGCCGGGTACGGCAGCGTTGACGGAATTGATGGGCGCATTCAAGTCGTTCCATCTCAACAAAGCAAACGAGCAACCTCTCCCAGGACCTCCCAAGGTCGGCGATATCGTTGCGGCGCAATTCACCGCAGACAATGAGTGGTACCGTGCCCGCGTACGGAGGGTGGACCGCGAAGGGAAGAAAGTGGACGTAACTTATCTCGACTATGGCAATTCCGAGACCCTGCCTTGGTCTCGATTGCGCCCATTGACCCAGCCGCAGTTCTCGACGCAAAAGTTGAAGCCTCAAGCAACCGATGCGGTGCTGTCCTTCCTGCAACTGCCTCCATCACCGCAGTATCTGCGAGACGCCGTGGAGTTTATCGCGGAGCAGACCGAAGAACGGCAGCTGGTGGCCAACGTGGACTATGTGGCGCCAGAAGGAACTTTATATGTCACATTGCTCGATCCCAAGGTGTCGACCAAGATCGACGAGAGCATCAATGCGGAAATCGTGCGGGAGGGCTTGGCCATGGTGCCGACCAAACTGAAGCCTTGGGAACGACAGGCCACCGAGACTCTGGCGCACCTTCGAGAGCTGCAGGACGAGGCGAAGAAGGAGCGTCGAGGCATGTGGGAGTATGGAGATCTCACGGAAGATTGAACGGATCATTCAGTACTCTGATGGATCTCTGAGACTCTACAACTCCAATGTGCCCAAAAACCTATCTCCAGATGGACAGATAATCCCATCGGCGGAACCCAACATGTGCGGTCGATGATGTGTAGCGCCATATAAGAAAAGTATTGCCTTACTTCAACTATCAACCGTACGAGAGGGGTTTACTTCTGGATTCGTCTGTCCCTAACATCGACAATGGGACGAGTCCGCTATCTCCGTCCAGTGGATTTGATAAAAGTGTACTGCCAGTGTAGACGACCATTTGCCGTGACATATGTCTGTGGACTGCCAGCTGCACTGATAACTGTGTCGTACAGTGTAGAACAATGCCGACTTTCCAGAAGGTCTGGACCGGTAGTACCGAACGAGGGCAATCTCGAACTGTGGTGGAAAGGCTTTTCTCGTCGCTGTCACGGTCCGGCGAAAAATGAACATTATTGCCCGTCGCGAGCCGAGTCGCCGAGTGTGAGTCCGAGTCCGAGATGCTACGAGTAGTTCAAGTCGTCCCTGTGACGGTACGGACTAGCAATAAAATTATTAGGTAGCCTGTGCACAAGATGCATAAATTATCGCATCCGGCCACACAAGCCATGTGCGTCATAGAAAAAGATCTAATGCAGCTTATGTAAGTTGTCAACATACACTCGATGCCAGTGCGCTATGCTCGGCCAGAATTGGATGACAACAAAATACGATTGGTACATTTTCGTGTTCGTGGGAGACAGGAGTCACAGGCGCTTTCAACTGCCAGTGTCAAGAGTCAGATTCAACTTGAAAGTGGACGATATCAAGGGATTACAGGATGCTGGAGCTGCAGTCCACGGGTACAATGTAGAGCAATGAGAAATAAATACCACAATTCAATTTCAAGATAGGAGCAGTAGAATGTCTGGATAGACCGCCGCTTAGTAAGATGCCAGCGCGCCCCTTTCTTTGTTTCCGCCGCCCGTCAAAATAATTTGCTGTCAAGCTGACGGGACGATTTTAATGCTGGTTTTGGCTGGCAAGTTGGAATCTCCGAGGCTCTGACATTGCTCAAGTGGAACACTCCTACTGGCGATAGTCGGCCGAATGCGGGCGTTACACGCCCTTCCATCCTCTCTGACAGACTTTGCTCTGGGCTCTCGAAAGTCAATCAACAATATTACCCAGTGGCTGGCTCAGTGTCTTCCACGGTTCGCCTGTCTCCCTCGCCCGACTACTGGTCAGCCTCTGGACCAAGCCTGACTTCATCCCGGGCTGTCCGTACGCTGCAGTGGCACTGGCGCTGGCAGATCGTGCCAGTGGGTGTCGGCGCGGATTACACCACGATCTTCTCCACGGGTTGCTGATTCATATTATTATTATTACTCCTCGAATCTTTTCGGCGCGCCCGCATCTGAACTTGAGAACCAGAATATCTATCTATACTGCTGGCACACTTCTACATCTACTGTTCCCTGCTCCAGCCTGTCATATAAAGCCTTCGTTATAGGCAGTTTTGTATTCTTTATTGCCTCTAGGCCCCCCCCGTGTGCTGACCTCGCCCGCCGCAAACGCGAGTCAGCTCGAGTTCGCGAGTGACGTTTCCATCCCCTCGCGGCGACCCAGCAAGGCCTCCACTGGCACAGCAGTCGAGATGAGCCAGCTTTATAGAACCCTGACCGGCCAATCGCAAAAATCGCAAAAATCAGATCAGTCTCATCCGTCTATACCTACGCAGCCGCCCTTGTCGAGGACGACCACGGGAGACCCGTTGTCCGGCACCCTCAACCATCTGACGGCGGCGCAGGAAGAGAAACTCGAGGAATTCAAGCAACGACTTCAAAAGGGAGGATGGTGGACACCGGACGGAGTCAATGGCAAACCCAGCCATGATGATGGGACACTACTGTACGGTCTTTGTCCTGCAATCTTGCTTGCTTGAGCTTCTGCTGACATTGCCGTAGTCGATACCTGCGAGCGCGCAAGTTCGACGTCAATGGCGCGATTGGCCAATTCACCGACCACGAGAAATGGCTGAAAGAGCAACGAGTGGAGGAGCTATATGACCATTTCGACGTGGAAGCATATGAAAAGGCTCGACTGGTGGTGAGTCAATACCAGAATGAGAATTGAGGTCAAATGCTGATTGATTCTGTAGTACCCGCAATGGACTGGTCACCGTGACAAGCGAGGGATCCCTATCTATGTGTTTCAAATCAAAGGTCTGGACAACAAGAACGTGCAGAAATACCAAAAGGACTCGCAGGCCTACAAAGACAGTCTGCCTTACCACAAGACCCTATCGACACCAGCCAAACTATTACCTCTTTTCGCTCTGTATCAAAACTTGCTCAACTTTGTCCTGCCTTTGGTTTCCACCCTCGAACGACCGAATCCTGAAGTGCCCGTCACGAACTCGACCAATATTGTGGATATCTCGGGAGTGGGATTGACCCAGTTCTGGAATCTCAAGGGCCACATGCAGGATGCCAGTATCCTGGCCACCGCGCATTATCCGGAAACTCTGGACAGGATCTTTGTAAGTATCAAGACGGGACAGTTTAGAACGGATAAGGCTGACATGATAATCAGATTATTGGAGCCCCGTCTTTCTTTCCTACTGTCTGGGGCTGGATCAAACGATGGTTCGATCCCGTCACTGTATCCAAGATCTTTATTCTCAGCAAACACGACGTGAAACCTACACTGTCCAAGTTCATGGAGACAAAGGACTTCCCGAAACGGTACGGCGGTGACTTGGATTGGGAATGGGGTGATCTTCCCGACTTGGATGCCGAGACGCGCGCCGCGGTCGAAAAGGACGGAAACAAAGGTTGGGTAAAAGGGCCATGTTTGTGGCTCGCCGGCCAGAGATTGGTGGTCGGGTCCGAAAAGGGCAAACTCAGGTGTCCGGACGGCGAAGTCGAGAAGAGGAAGCCTATTCAATACGCCGCAGATTATACTGAACTGCCAGTCCATCCGGACAAGAAGTTGTCGAAAATGGCCGGCCAACTTCACGCAAACGTAACTCACGACACGTCGTCGGCGCATCACCGTGCCGAAGAAGCCGCCATGGATATGGGCGAGGCGACAGGCGGTGTATCGGCTGCCAACATCATTGCCACCGAATCGAATGCCGAACAGGTACCGATAACGTCGCAAACGGAACTCTACAGTGCGCAGATGCTGGAATCGACCACAACCACGGCCTCGACTCATCCTCATTCCCAGCCTCATCATTCTCATCACAATCCATTCCACAATCGTCACCACCACCATCAAAAACATAATAAGCATGGCCATCACAACCGTCATGACGCACCACACCATGAACTTCCTACCTCTTCTGTTTCTACTACCTCTCATGTCCCGCCGCCGTCAATGCCTCAACCAGGGCCGGTACCAACGCACGCCGTAGCCATGACTCAAGCGATTGCCTCCAAACTCACCGATGAATCTGTGTCAGTCATTCCTGCTACTGCGGGCACCGACAGCAATAGCACTGGCGCCGCCAATGGCCATGCCGCGGAGCCGTCGTCTGCTGCCGCCCGTCCAGAAATGGTGGTCGCCAGCGATCCGTCCAAGGGTTTGGCCATTGAAGCCGAAAAACTCACTCTCGCCACGGATGAGGAGGGTGGTCGTGCTGTGAACGGTACGGGAAGGGTGGACAAGGAATCCGACGATGTGCATCTTTCGCGACCACCGATTGAACGATTTGTGACGGCTACAGAAGTATAAACCAAACGAAACGTTATTCATATTTTTTGCATTTCAAGCCTGGATTCCACGTGGGCAGGGTTGTATTGATGTAAGATGGCCATACTAGGAGACCCTGCATCTAGCGCACGCAATTTGAGAGTCCAAGTCAGGAGAAGGGCAATGTGGACGAAGCAAGCATATCTTGGATGATCGATGGAGGTCAAGCAGTTCTCTTACTATCTTCAAGAGTGAGTGATTGATCCCAGGACCGGATCAATTCGAGCATTGCAGTGGAGGGGCGAACTTTAGTCCTGTCAAAGAACATCGGGCTAGCATGACTTGCCTCGGAGGTTTCACTACGGTTGGAAAGTGTGACAGATCTTGAGTCGAGTCTCTGGTTCGACGATTATGAAGGTACAGTGGGTGGTTGGATCAATGTGCTGTATGGTACTGATGAGTCAGCTTTTGTTCTGGCTACAATAGATGAATCTGATCGAGCACCGATGGCAAGGAAGGGTCTATCTCTCTATCTGCCATAGCGGTGGAAATATGTGACAGCGCATACTTTGCTCTTTTCAAGAAGTGCGCGTCGTAGCAATGAATCCAGTACGACTGTCACTGCTGTGCTGAGACCATCTGAGTGTTCTATAACGTACAACTCCATAGGTATAAAATAGGGGGCGGAATCGGAAACGGGGAGCGTGTGATGCTGAGCGCTCGCTTACCAGGTACTATAGGCTGTTGAACAGTAGTTGGGATTCTAAGACACCTTGAACGCACTGCACTGCGCCTTCTTTCCTTTCTTCAACCGTCATAATCAAACCATTTAACTCTACCATGATAATCATCACTAGGTACAGTATACTCAGGTAATGAATGTCCTGAAATGTACAATCTACCTGTAGGTTTGTAGCCTTGCGGGCACGTCACGTGATATCAAAATTTCCATAATTTCATGTTGTTATTAGAGCGTTCATCGCTCACTTTTTACTACACTCTATAGGTTTTACTACTACCCTTAAAACCAGACTCTGCGCGGCATCAACCCCGGGTTTATTGATTGAAAGCCCTGCGCGCCGCCCGACATTCTTGACTTCTTTGCTATTTTGCATAAAGAACGGGAAAAAATTCAATTGCAAATCAGCACCCTCTTACGTCCGCAAATACCACAAAGTGCTGTAAGTCAGGGAGCTTGTCTGTTTCTCTCAAGAAACGGCGACGCACGCGGACCTAATACCTACTCCCTCCGCACCCGCTCCGTCATTATACCTCCTTCTCTTACCTCCAGAGGAGAGGAAGACAAGGAACAAGGCAAAACAAGACAAAATGGGCGGCAGCTCAACATTCCTGTCCCCCGGTCCGGTGACCCGGGAACACGACCTGGCCTCCCTCCACCTCCGCCGCGACCTGTCTGTCCCCGTGGTCCTGTCTACACAAGTGACCGACCCGCAAGACGAAGGGTATGCGGAGGGAAAAGTGACCAATACGCGATTCGGGTCTTTCCCACATTCGACTATGATTGGCGTGCCCTGGGGAAGTCAGATTCGCGCGAGTAAAGTTGATACGGGGTCACGGGGACGGGGCGTTAATCCGAAGAAACGGAAAGCCGGAGAAGAAACCCCTCCTCCTATCGAAGCAGCGGAGTCCGGATTTGTCCACATTCTACCACCAACCCCCGAAAACTGGACGACTAGTCTCCCTCATCGCACTCAGGTCGTCTATACGCCGGACTACAGCTACGTTTTGAACAGAATCCGGGCGCGGCCCGGGTCGAGATTGATCGAGGCCGGGAGCGGGAGCGGCAGTTTTACGCATGCGGCGGCCAGAGCGGTGTTTAATGGATATCCTCCCACAAAGGATACGTACGGTAGTCCACCCGGTGACGAAGAAACTTATGGAAAGGTGTTTTCTTACGAGTTCCATGCCGAACGCCACAAAAAGGTCAAAGCGGAAATGGCGGAACATGGACTTGATGGGATTGTGCATACGACGCATCGGGATGTGTACAGGGATGGATTTTTGATTGAGGACCACCAACAAGAGACCCAGACTCAAAATGGCGGTACTGGTACTGATGGTGATGGTCAAAAAGAGTCGGGGTCAAAGTGGAAGTCACCACGTGCGAATGCCATTTTCCTTGATCTGCCGGCGCCCTGGGAGGCCTTGCCGCATCTGACACGAAAAGGGCTTTCTCCACTGGATCCAAACGAGACAGTACACATATGCACATTCAGTCCGTGTATCGAACAAGTCCAGAAAACAGTCTCTTGTCTCCGGCAGCACGATTGGCTGGATATCGAAATGGTCGAGATCCAACATAGGCGCATTGAGGTGCGGCGCGAGTTTACTGGGTTGAGCTACGAAGGGATGCGTGGCGCGAATGCTTATGCTGTTGATGTCGACGAGGCGCTGAACAAGTTGCGCGAGGTCGAGCGGCGGGCAAAGGAGTTTCATGCCGGTACGCTGGGAAACAAACAAAAGCCAGAAAACGGAACGGGATCGCGGCAACAACCAGAGTCACAGCAGCAGCAGCAGCAGCAGCAGCAGCAGCAGCGGAAAAAATTGCCGTTCAACGGCGGGAGTCTGGTTCATAGGACGGAGCCGGAGCTGAAAACTCATACGTCGTATTTGGTGTTTGCTGTTCTTCCGCGAGAGTGGACTGAGGAGGATGAGGCGGCCGCGCAGGCGAAGTGGTCGCAAAATGTTAGGATTGCGTCCAATGTGCCGAAGAGCCAGAGACAGTTGAAGAAGGAGGCGAAGCTGAAGAGCTCCCTGAGAGAGCAAGAGCAGAACAACAGGAATGGAGCCGAGATTGGGACGAAGGCGGCTGAGGCCGAGATTGAGACAGCGAGTGCGAATGTAATGGAGGATGTGGTCAAGGAGGCTTCCGCAGATGCATGATACCATGATTTAGGTACTAAAGGCATAAACAGACTGGAGAGAAGCGAGCCATGACCACCCCCGTCTATGTCCACACCGGATATCAACAAGTTGAAGTTACCATTTCGTGATCATTGCTATGGACATCGCTACCACTCAGCTGAACTTGATGGAGCACGAGAACGATTGACTGCCAGTGCTCAGAGCGCCTTTGGGCAGAGTTGAAGACAGTGAGACGAACAGCTACACTGCGCTAGGCGGGTTGGGCTGTGCTGGGCTAAGGAGAGCCACACCAAGGGACCAGAATGTGATATCCCTCTGTCGGTATCGCAGTACCAGTACCATTACCAGTACCTATCAGTAGCTGTTACTACTTACTGTTCGACTACTGTATTGCTTCTAACTGGTACTGCGAGATTCATTCAATAATGGCATTTCTGCCAGTGACTCGAACACGAATTGCATGGGCGAATGAACGATTCGAATGCACTTCTTCTCCCGAGAGAAGCAAAGCAAAGCAAAGCATGTTCTGTTCTACCCGCAAATCACTGAATCATTCACGTACAGTATTAATGGCAGGTAGCATGTCTCGGTACTAGTATGTGCATACGCGCGGCTGGAGTGGGCTTCCGGCGAAGCATCCAAGGTGTTGTTGCGTAGCCTTGCCCTGGGGCCAGATAGGAGTCGGAGGCAGGCACGGTACAGTACCTAGTCTCTCAATAATCTACATCCCGAGACAGGGCGTTCAATCACATACAGTACACTGGCACGGGTACTGTACATGTGTGTCTTATCTAGGTAGGTATCCCTTCCCTCCAGCTCCGAGGCGTCTCAGTCGAACCAAACCATGTAAGGTATGTATGTGGCCGTGATGAGAATGTCGGCATTGCATTGCATACAGGAGAGAGGATACCTTATCTGTCAATCGTGAATGGCAGGCAAAAGAGAAAAAAATGGCAGCACTCACTAGGTAATTACTGCCATGCTCGACCTGGATGGTTGTTATCATCACAACACCGTCGGCGGCGATACCAGTACTCCTCCTCCCAGTCCTACTCCTACTCCCCCTCCTACTCCTACGGACGGAGACGGAGCCATAAAATACTGTAGGCCCAGCACTGCAGGTCAGGTCGACGCCCTACTGTACTTGCCGACGCCTGGTTTCGAGCGGCGTCGGATATATGGAGGGTGGTCCATTTCCGAGAGTGGCAGATACGGCCGCGGACCAAACCCGGTGTCAGAATGCTCATTCGATCTGTGGACAATCGCAATCGCAATCGCAAGCCAGTCTCCACCGCGCAAGGCCGCCGGTGTCCGAGGGTGCCGATGCAGTTGGCAAGCAAGGCATCATGGGGCAATCTGATTACGATGCTTGTAAATAGAAAGAAAAAAAAGATGGTGATGGATTGATCGAGGGAAAGGAGCAAGAGCACATTACTTTTGTTATATTGTTGATGCAACAACCTACGCCGCGGATTTGATATTTATTTAATGATCAGATAGATTATACCAAGTTCAATCGTCGCAGAGGGAGTCTACTGTATCTATTATTCTTTCTTCGTCGCGAAGCCAATAGTGCTTCACAGGGCGGTTGGTTGGCTAGTTCGAGGTTTGGTGTGAAACAGATCTCACATCGTTCAAGTTGTGTTTCTGAGATTGGGAGAACAACCCATAGCAGCCCTCTTTGCATTCCTCTGGCAATCAATCAGTCAGTCAGTCAGTCAGTCAGTCAGTCAGTCAGTCAGTCTCCTGCGGTTGTGCCGTCGCTGTTGCAGCGGTTCTTCTTGAATTGTGTCCGCTGGCATGGCTGGGTTCCAAGGTCCTTTATATCAACTTGTCCAACTTGCCGCACGGGCAGTCGACGACAATAACCAGGAGCTGCCGGGAGGAAAGAGTCCCGCCGAATATGCAAAGCAGGGTCGGTACAACTATGCCCCGGCCTTTGCACCCGCCGTGGTCTTCAGTGTCCTGTACGCCATCGCCATGGCCGTCAATGCGGTGCAGTTTTTTCGACATCGTGCTTGGTTTTGGTGGGTCATGAACTTTGCGGTTGCTAGTAAGTCCTCACTTACCTCTGATCTGCTTACCTCGTCACTCTCTGTTGTTTCGCAGCTGACGAGGCCGGTATCCCTTGAATGTTGATGGCTAACAGCAAAATAAACAGTGGAGCTGGTCGGATACATCACTCGAGCGATATCTGTCAAACAACTGGACAGTCGAAACATCTTCATCGTGCAACTGGTCATGATCCTCATCGCCCCCGCGGTCATGGCTGCCGCTTGCTACATGTCGTTCGGCCGGGTCGTGCTCTGGGTCATACCTCGAGAGTACCAGGGCGCACGGCATCTGTGGGTGCCTGCGCGGAGAGTGACGCCGGTCTTTGCCGGGTGCGATGTGGCCAGTTTCTTCGTCCAGGTTGCGGGAGGATCGATGATCGCGTCGGCCAACACGTCATCCAAGCTCAGCACAGGTCGGACAGTGGTTCTGGTCGGGCTGGCATTGCAATTGGCCACGTTTGGCTTCTTTGTCGTCGCGGCGTTACGGCTCATGGTGCTCTTGAGGACAAAGTTGAAAGATGTTGTCCTGCCAGCCCAACGGAATTGGCCGTTGTTCCTGTTCATGGTTAATGTGGCCAATGTGTTGATCTTGATTCGGACAACTTTGCGGTTGATCGAGTATGCCATTGGAGACCACAACTACCTCGTCGACAATGAATGGTTCTTCTACGTCTTCGACTCGGTGCTGATGTTCCTGGTCGTTCTCGTCTTCCTCGTCTTTCACCCTGGTCATTACCTGCCTTACCTGGGTATCCGGAGGAAAGAGCAGCGGTTCTCCAAGAATGCCGACAAGGGTTTGTTTGCAAGGTTTGCCAGAGGTGACACCAAGTTGCCGTCCGAGAAGGCACACAATGAGGGTGGAGATGTGTGAAAAAACAATAACGAGCTTGGGAGATGATAGTGCTTCAACGATACTATGTTGGACACGTCGTATAGTCGAGCAAAGGGCGTGGGAGGCTGATCATGCATCTAGCTATAATAGTGGAGCGATGCGGTTTGAACGTTGGTTTGGGGATCCTGGCTTGGTGCGGATCCATAGAGAGCGGGTTCTTACTGCTGTAAAAGATACCAACTAGACATGGTGATAGAAGTATAGAGGTTGGAAGTATAGACGAGACATCATGGGCATAGAAATATCTATTTCCATTGGCTTTGGAGGTCTAAGCATGGTGCAACATTCTTCACAGAATTCGAACCCCTTGTTGGTACTGTACCCCTTGAGACCGATCGCCTGAAAGAAGCGGCATGGCTGGAGCGAGGGAGTGGACTTGAATCACAATGGTTGGAGCAAAAAGGATTGTTGACTTGGTTGTTGTACGTTGTCCTGCTGACTTAGCCACTAGCACGCGAAACTTCCCTTAGATCCCGCACTTTAATCAGTTAGTTGGCACTAGTTCATACGATCGGAATAACGATTTTCCATAATTTGCCATGCGCTAACTCGATGCAGTTATGAAGTCTAGAATTCCGTCAATTTGTGGTCGACTGCCACTGGCTGCGACTACTACGCCGTACAATTTCCCTAGTTCACTGCAATGCCAGCAATGCGACTCACCCTTGCCAGCCCTGTCTTATGCCTCTAGACACCCGTTCTAATGACTCAATGAGGTCGGCGTCGGCTCATGAATAAGTTGAGGCGTAGTTTTTGTCTGTCGGCCTCGCACCTTTGCAGATCTTGCCAGCCACTTGAGCGCATCAAAATGTCCCAACCAACATGGACCATGCCCACGGGCACCACCCATCAACCTGACTTGAAAGTCTACAACTCTCTAACCCGATCCAAAGTCCCTTTTATCCCCATAGAGCCAGAACACATCAAATGGTATGCTTGTGGGCCGACGGTTTACGACGACGCCCACCTGGGTCACGCGCGCAATTATGTCACAACCGACATTATACGACGTATCCTCCGAGACTACTTCCACTTCAAGGTGCGGTTTGTCATGAATATCACGGATGTCGACGACAAGATCATCCTGCGGGCGAGGCAGAGGCACCTATACGACGAATACAAATCGAAACACAGGTATGTACCACCACTCACAAACCGATTCGCAGTCTAACAAACCACTGTAGATATATTGATGAGCAGGTCCGTCAAGATGTGCGACAGGCATGGCATTATTACGTCCAAAAGAACCTCAAGAGAATAGGACCCAAGACCCTCCTGACCCCCGAGACGTTTGACGGTGTGATTGAACAGTTCTATGGAGACATTCTGGCGGGAGGAAGTCTGGAACCTGGGACGAAACCGGGGGACAAGGAAGCCAAAGTCAAAATGCACATCAATACAGCCAGGACCACGGCCAAGGCTTTGCTGCAAGATCCGAAAATGTTGACTCCACATGAGTTCTACAACCGTGTGAGCGATCCAATGTGTCTGGTGTTGGATGAACAATACGGCAAGACCATTCGGGGCGATGATTATGCCGTGTTTACCAAACTCACCAAAGAATACGAGAATCGTTTCTTCCAAGACATGCATGATTTGAATGTCATGGATCCAGATGACATCGTCCGGGTCACGGAATATGGGAAAGAGATTGCCGAGTTTGTCAAGAAAATCGTGGACAAAGGCCTGGCCTATCGTACGGCGGACGGGTCTGTTTATTTCGACATCAAAGCGTTTGAGGCACGTGGATATCCCTATGCCAGGCTCGAACCTTGGAATCGAAATGATGCCGAACTTCAAGCCGATGGAGAAGGTGCCCTGTCGCAAAAGTCGGAAAGCGTCAAGAGATCGCCCGCCGATTTTGCGTTGTGGAAAGCATCAAAACCCGGCGAACCCAGCTGGGACAGCGAGTGGGGTCCAGGTCGACCGGGCTGGCACATTGAGTGCTCTGCCATGGCTTCGGAGAAACTGGGTGAACAGATGGACATACATTCGGGAGGAATTGACCTGGCGTTCCCTCACCATGACAACGAGTTGGCTCAGAGCGAGGCTTTTTGGGCCGATGGCAGCCCGCGTCAGTGGGTGAATTATTTTCTGCATATGGGTCACTTGTCAATTCAGGGCTCGAAGATGTCCAAATCGCTCAAAAATTTCACCACAATCCGGGATGCCCTGCATGTCCGAAAAGACTGGACAGCAAGAAGTCTTCGAATAGTGTTCTTGCTCGGGAATTGGAAAGACGGCATAGAAATTACCGACGACATGGTTACGGAAGGGAGGAATTGGGAGGACAGGGTGGACAACTTTTTCCTTCACGCCATTGAGAACATCAAAAACGCCAAAGCTACGAATGGACAGAAGCCGGTGCTACAAGAAGTCATTCAAGAGGCAGAGGTGAAAGTCCGACAAGCTTTGTTGGATTCTTTCAATACCCCGCTCGCCATGTCGACGATATCGTCCTTGATCAATACCTACCATAGCGCCAAAAAATCCGATCTCACTGCAGAAGATCATCGGAATGCCGCGCTCTTTGTGACACGGCTCGTCAACATTTTCGGGCTCAACGGTTCCGAGCCGGCAGATACAGAGCAAGTGGGATGGAAAGGGATTGACATTCCCGATGCCGCCAAAGAGTATGTCTACCCGTTGGCCAGAATGAGAGACGAACTACGACAAGCAGCGATTGCCAAATCGATCACGCCCGAAAAGGTTCAAGAAATCGTGTCCACGTCGCCAGGTCTTGAAGAGCCTCCTTCTAGTGGAAGGCCGAGGCCTTCATATGCGCGGGCGTTGAGCGAATTCAGCCGCAATGCTCTGGAGGTGGCTTCGCCTGTTGAGAATAGTGATCTCAACAAACAGATTCTTGCCCTGTGCGACCGAGTTCGAGATGTCGACCTTTGGCAATTGAACATCTACCTGGAGGACCGGGACAATGCTCCTGCCTTGGTGCGACCGGTCACGGAAGGCCTCAAAGCTGCGCGGAGAGAACGCGAGGAGAAGGCTCGGGCAAAGGAGGAAGCCAAGAAGAAGAGAGAACAAGAAGCATTGGAGAAATTACAGAAAGGGAAGCTGAGTCCAGCGGACATGTTCAAGCCACCGCATTCGAACGAATTCTCGGCCTGGGATGCCGACGGGTTTCCAACCGCGACGAAAGACGGCTCACCGTTGACCGCGTCGAGGGCCAAAAAGTTGAAGAAGGAATGGGAGGCTCAAAGAAAGGCGCATGAAAAGTATTTGGCCGCGGTGCAGAATGGATCTGTTGGTCAGTAGGGACATGATTTTTCAGGCGGTGACTGTCCTGTCTCCGCACTCGGTGGTTGTGAGAGTGGTACGGTTAGGATTCTTCGATACCCATCTTTCGGAGAGAGAGCACTGCAAGCGGGAACCATACGTGGCGTGGCGAGCAGACTTCATTGTAGCGTTACAAGCATCCTTACATGTATGACTAGAGACACGTGACAGAGTTGATGGGATTCATAGATTCAATTGCCTTGCAGTAGCTTGGACACGAGAACTGGCGTTCAAGTTCCCTTTCCCTGGCTCCAGCACGAGTCCGGAGTGGATGGTGAAAGACTGACGTTGGGATTTGACCAATGAACGGCGGTGGAGATTTTGTTTTGGCTTTTCCCCGGAGTAGATCCAACGTCGTATACTAAGGTACTGGTACCTACTGCTAGATGTCCACATTATCATGACTAGGCATTCGTGAATCTATCCCGCTTCTGTTGCCCACATTACACAACCCAACCAACTGACCATCTCGGGCACTTGTGCTGTAGCCTAGTGGGCCGTAACATCACCTACCACCGTACGACCTATTAGTACTCAGCAATCTCGATCTCTTCGTGGTCTTTTGAATTGGGACCGCGAAAGTCTCTTAGACACACACACCTGTGTCAGAGACTCAGAGTCATAAGAGTCTATATACCCAGGTCCAATTCCTGGGGCCGACCATACCTATATCTTGAAAGGCGGTCCTTACAACGAGAAAGAAATACAGACTCGGAGTATGAGGGTGTTTTTCGGCCTGATTCAGTCTACAACTTGTACTACCACGTCGTGACCGGCGCCCGTTCTACCTACCTACCGTTAGGACCAGAACCAAGATCAGACTCAGGAGCAGGCTAACCCAAAGCCAAACCAAATCACCCTTCACCACCCAGACAACTCTCCTAGTTGCTCCTCCAACACAAACAAGCATGTCTCCCTCATCAATGTCATCAACATTCACCATCCGCAACCCTCCATACACCTACTTTCATCTCTCTCTCCAACAACTACCATTACCAACACAACAGAATCAAGCTCAACAAGAAAAAGAACAAATGGAGAACCTCGACGACGTCAGGGCGCGATCCTACCTCTTCGCCGCGATGCAGCAATATCTCGGACTCACGGGGACAGCTATACCGATTGACATTTTGAAAGTTGAGAGCGTCGAGCGTCGCGAGACCAGCAGTGCTCCCCACGTCTGGATCCGAGTGCCCCGCGACGACGAGGTCGCTGTCACGGCCGCCCTGGCGCAATGGGTTGGTGCGAGGGGTGTTAGTTTGCGAATTGAAGAGAGGGGATGCTGGTTGGGCGGACTGTTGGTGAACGACGAGGATGAGAAGAGGCTGTGGTCGATGGAGAGGTGAGGAAGGGAATCACGGCCACTCATTCGGTCGCTTGCTCGCTCGGTCGATCTCGAATGAGATGAAATGGAATGGAACGGAATGGGAATTGTCATTTCGTGTCTCTCCCGTCATTTCGATTCTCCGTCCGAAGCGCGCACACTGGCGACCTACACGCTAGAGTATGGTACGCAACGACAATGGCAGCGCATTGCGGTACAGCACAGTCCATACAGTCCACAAGCTCAACTCCGTGCAGTATATACTGTCTTCGAGGGCCGATTGACTTACCAGGCTACCACCGCAGACAGCAATGGACTATTCGGGCCCTGCCTGTCGTCTAATGTATTCATTTACAGTGGTGTACTGTACATTTGGCATCATACCTGCATACACGATCAAACACCAACCGATCCCTCCGGCCTGCTCTCTTGAGGACATGAGGGTTCTGTTAACAGCTCATCGATCCTTGGGAGAGACGACTGGAGTCACCGACACCCAACAACAACGGGCAGCACATGCAGGGCAGCAAGACAGATAGGCAGACAAGACGAAGCAAGGCAGGCGAGGCGAGGCGAGACAGTGTCTACCGCAGCGCCCGCGCGCCGGTCTCTGATGAGTGGAAGAGCATCACATCACATCACATCACATGGGCGTCGCATCGCAGAACAGGACAGAACAGTGGAATTGCATCGCATTGCACAATGCAGTGCCTCGCACGCAAACCAAACCAAACCCAACTCATAAAACCTTTTATTTATACCAGTACCGATGATCGCAAACAATCATCTTGCCACAACTTGAATGACAGTGTTCTCATCAATCCTGCCGACTGAGTCAGGTCGTCTCTAGTGTGTATCACCATCAACCACAACCACTATCCTTCGAAATGCTTCCGACACAGACATTTCTTGCATCATGGGTTTACTTGGTTGGATGACTTTGGTTTGGTTCGACTCGGGTTCCACAATTAGAGGATTTGAAATGTGAGGAAATGAGATATTCATCTAAATGTACTTTACATTATACCCAATCTCAATCCCATTCGTAGTCACTTGTTTCTCGTTACATTAAACCCCTGTAGATATCTGTATAGTACAGTATTGTCCATTCTCCATTTCCCAGTCAAACAGAAAGAAACTCATCAGTCAAAACCTCGTATATACCATATGTAACTCCGCCCGACCCCCATGAGCATTGATCTCCCATTCTCTTTCGTGCGCTTGGCTCTCGATCACCTCCTCTCGCTCGTCCTCGTGAATGGTATGCTATTGGTAGGGATGATAATGATACCATTGAAGAATATGTTAGTGGCCATGCTATTGTACCTCCGAGTGCCCTTCAGAACCTTGTGAGATGGCCACGCCCCCTCTCAGAAACACAAGAGTCCCAACGAGGGCGCGACGCATTAAAAACATGTCTGATGTTTGACTTGGGACTCATCGGCGCCAACGAAAGGTGGTTGCATGCGGAAGAGCTCGCTGCTTCCCTTGTAGATTGGATGGCAAGCACAGTGTGCTGGAGGAACAGCCATATGCAATAGGTATACAACGGACCCTGCTCGTGATCTTCAGCTTCTTTTCGTGGGAGTGTGACATCAGAAAGCGAGTCGAAATGCTTGAACAGGATAGTCAAGTTGTAAAGCGTCTCCAGTATAGATAGTCTCCATCGCAACATCAAAAGGAGGCCCAAAATCCAGCCGAGGCCCAGGTGACTCCAAAGTCAGCATTGCTGATGGTGTGCCAAAGTGTGGCTTTTGTCGTGGCTATTGGTGCATCAAAGTTCGTATGAACGTTGCACGTTGCGGCCCCAAATGGGGACATTCATAAAATTCATTCGTCTTCTTGACTGCATGGACCGCGTCACTGTGAAAGTGTTGTGGGTGGACCCCATGCACTTTGCGCGGATTGTGTTCGGACTGGGTTATCAGATGGAGGAAGGTGTGTTTCCCAGTAGAACCCATGGACTTCTCCAACTCGATTGCCAAGCAACGCCTAGCTCGTATGGGATATTAGGCGGTCCCTGAGATTGGGAGCCTGAGACTCTGGCGTCTCTGTGCAGGCCAGCAGATAAAAGGGTTCGCTCAGATCCTGAAGATACAGTGACCATCTTCAGGCGCGTTATGCCGATGCTGAATCCTGGGCGCGCGCGGGCAGTTGTTATGTATAATATATCCGTCTTTTCTCGGCTGCGGCAGATAGGACTTTTATCTTTTTTGCTTCTTCTCATCGAGATTTGATGCAAGGCTCGCTGCTATGTGAGACACCATACTCCGAGAGAGGGGATCGTGGAGATCGTTTCATGGATCAGAGACAGCCGATGGGAACAATGAGGATGGATAAGCTTGGATGTGAGTTCGTCGAGTCTCAGCAGCCCGAGTCCAATGAGTTTCGAGCCGGGTTTTTGACGCGACATCAAGACTTTAAACACGCCGGTCGCAAATATAACGAACGGGCGGGTCACACAGGCGAAACCCCGAGATTTGCAAGATTTCTCGCGCGTACTTGTCGCATATACAGATCTTGCTCATGTGAGGGTTCGCTGGGACCATATCCCTTCTGGGATTTGTCGCGGTTGGTCACTTGGTACAGAGCCGCAGCGGCTGCGACGGCCAAGCCCGCAAGCAGAATACTGATGATGATGACAACACCTTTGGAGAGACCCATGGTGATGAAGGTGAACGACGGCGGTTGATGGTGGTTCAAGTCGTGCGCGGAATGACCGGATCAAACCAGCAGAGGCCGAGTCAGACAGGACGGCCGACTGATTGACTATAGTTGGATGACAACGAGTGATACTAGATGGAACAGGGACGAACGAGCGAACGACGTAGACTCGATGATGAACGACTGGCCAGAAACTGATGGTATGGTGTATGTTGTTGTCGTTGCTGCTGATGCTGATGCTGTTGAAGGTCGGCTGGAGCGGGAAAAAACAGAGTCAATGGGGGAGTGGGAAGAATAAAGAGATACAGTGACGGCTCAGGCTGGCTGCTGGCACACCTGCAGTGCTGGGATAAACGACCCCATCAATCAGCATTGCGCCTCTGCAACTAACTTTTCCAGCTAGCCGGGAAACAGTTAGTCTGGAACGGGTGGTGCATCACCTCAGCATTACACTGGGAGTAGTACGCGTATTTAAGAAAGCGATTAGGCCGGTTTGGCGACAATCCAATCCCTTTCCAGCACGGGACCTGCCGCTACTGCGACCACTGCCACTAACACGTCCACGGTGCCTGGTCCGTTCGGTCGGATCAAGAAAGTGTGGTAGGACTATACCTGGTAGGTGTACAACACTAGTAGATGGAAAAATGCCTCTCTGATGATTTTCTCGATCGCGTCCATAAGCGAATGGAAGAGAGTTGCACAGAGTAATCCATCAATCGACATAAAACATAAAAGCATAATTGTGTGATGATTGATCAAACCTTGTGTGCGCCTGCAGCACGTTAAAATCTGACTGCGCCTCTGCCAACTGAAATTGATGGCATCCTTCCGCAGCACAAGACTACTAGTACCAGTAATGCCACAATCCACTACTGTAGACTCGCTTATTTCCTGTTCGTCCGCCGGTATCGAAAGGTTCGACTTGTTGATCGAGATTCCGCCTTGCTCCATGCCGCAGTTACTAGTAGTTAAGCTGGAGCACATGGGCGGCCGACTTGTCCCCTTGCCGAGGAACCCAGCCAATGACCACGGCAGCTATCCAGACAATGGCAGTCCGCCATGGCTCCCACGACCCGATCAGTCCACCTTGTCCACACCGTCTCCGCCTGTCGTCGTCAGCCACCACGGATGACGGCTTCTCGCGCATCGAATGTTTCACCTTGTGCAGCGGATTCTGGTGGCTTTGATGATCCGAATGACAGTAATAGCCTAGTTATCCGAGAAGTAGTGCTCTAGCATCAAGCGCACAGAGTTTGTTTTGACAGTTTGTTCGTGTCTGCTAACTTAACTGGAAACAAACTAGGCTGCCCGTCTGCCTGTAGGATTTGCAAGTTGAAGTGTTCAGCTGGCGTGGCATTGGGCAGACAGTCACACTGTGCTGCATTGGGCCTGTTATACGACAAGTCCAGCCTCGTCCAATCGACAGTACACGTTCGCCGAAGTCTCCCTGCGTTTGACTTCACGTTGACATTCACTCAGGAGTACCGCAATTTTATATACCTAGGTACCATCAGTCGCCGTATTACAGGTCCTAGTGCTATTTATACAGTGGTATATATAGTGTGAGCAGTGCTATTTTATGTCTAGGACGCGATGTGAGCGTCTGACCTGCGTTCTAGATCTCTACGAGGGCGCGCTCGACTAGTACTCCGCGTCTGATCATTCGGGATCTGAGAAGTCACATATCATCACAGCCTTGCCAAATGATATTCTCGATCATATCTCTTGACGATCGCGTTGTTTCTTCTTCCTCGCATCCTTCAAGTTCTGATCCATGTTGGTGTAAGACCGCGTTGGAAGCAGCGCCAGGTCCTGCCTTTCTTTCCAATAATGTATTTCCTACTAGTAGGCAACTCCTACATTGACGCCTCACCAGTCAGGGTCCTAAACACAATTTCAAAGACCCCATCGGCTTGAAGCATTACAGAATTATGGCGTCAAAGCCAGGACGGTGCGAGCCCTGAGCCTTGCACAAATACTAACCTCGCTCCTTCTTCCACATATATCCACCGTTGATGGTTCTTCACCATCCATCACTCCACAAACAACGCCTCACCCAGCTCCTCAATCCCTCTCTGCTGTCTTCCCAAGATCTCTGAAATCAACGGATCAATCGTGGCCGCCTCTCCCCTGGCAATGGCATCATGCCACCCCGCCCAGCTCTCAATGGCCCAGAACTGATCTTCAGGCAAACTCTTCTTCTCAAACTTGTGGTAGTGTTCGGCCTTTTCTCTCCCAACAATCTCGACCTTGACCTGTCTGCCCGTATATTTCTCCACGAGCTTCGCGATCTCCGACAACGTCGTCGTCCGGGGTCCCGTCAAGTTGAGGGTTTGTCCGATATATTTGTTGTAGTTGGCCAAAATTCTGGCCGTTGCTTCGCCGAGGTCGTCCCACGACACCCAAGCGACGGGACCGTCGTTGGGAATAACGAAACGAATTGGGTCACCGGATTCTGCTTTTTTAAACTTCCTCGGCTGATACCCAGCATACAACCACCAACTTTCAGCATAAATCCCCTCTCTGACAATCACATACTGCAATTTCTCCTCTTTCAGCTCTTTCTGCTTTTCCCGCAAATACTCCACCGTCTTGATATGCGCCATCTGCACTCCCGCCGTACTTTCCATCCCAGTTTTGCCGCCGAACATCAGACTCGTATAAACCACAGTCTTGACACCAGCAGCTACAGCGGCGTCGATGGCGGCTTTATGATGCAGCCATCTCTCCACGCTAGGTGAAGGGAAAGAAACCAGGAACAAGACATCCGCGCCCCGGAACGACGAGGCAAGCGACTCTGGCGAAGTGAAGTCCCCCTTGCGGATTTCGATGCCTGCCTCGCGTGCCGCAGCGGGTACAGCGTCCGGATGGCTAGATGAGATGATTAAGTCGGAAGGCGGGATGAGGTTCAGTCGGAGGATTGAGTCGAGCACGCGGGAGCCGAGGTGGCCTGATGTGCCGGTGAGGACGAACTTCATCCCTATAGAGCGAAGCGGAGTAGGTTGGCTCGCCACGTAGGTTGATTGTAAAAGCCAAGTAGGTTGGTTATAACAGGTACCGTGCGGAGCAAAGTACTGTACCTAGGTAGGTTATAAAAAAGGTACCGGTACCGATGGGTTGGGTTCAGGGTTCGGTTTCGTATGCTTCAGGTTCGAGATGTTGCCGTGAATCCAATCCTCAATTCGTAAAACTCAACCTGCGGTGCCGGTGGAATTCCGGGTCCTCGCTGCGGAACCGCGTCGTCAATTCGTAGGTACCTTATGTTGTATGTAAAACCCCAATCCGATCCGTTGATCGCGTCGGATATCTTTTGACTCTAGACAACACGGCTTCAGTCGGAAAAGTTTTTGAGGTTATTATATCTGCACGTGAATACGTACAGGGATTACTGATGCACCCTTCAACTTTTGGTAGTTTGTTACCTACCTTATGGTTCACCTTGTAGCGATTCGGGTCTTTCAAAATAAAACAATCGAATGTTAATGTTGTGCTTTACTGTTATTAAATTGCTTTGCATGGGGCAGCAGTGGATGTTGATAAAGTGGTATTAAAGTGGTTAGGTACTCGACGAAACCCATGACGTCGGCGTCGTGCTCTCCGGCTTTTCTCCGCCGAATGCAATGGAACAAAACAAAACACCAATTCAAACACCACAAAGGCCACTTCAAGTTTAACTGCACCTGAAAGATTATGTACTGTGTACAGTATATACCTAGGTAGGTGTAGGCAGTGCAAGTACCCACCCCTAGGTACCTAGGTAGGCTCCTAAGCCATACTACTATGTACTACTAGACACGACCAGGCAATGTCGCAGCGTAGATATATCCGCCAGCATCGAACCTCAAGGCTCTCCACTCGATTTCATCCTAGGTCGGAGACGTCCGCGTGCAGCAAATCATGGCCATATAGTACAAGGTACCTAACGCACCAGCGGCCGATAGGGAACAAGCATGCGACATTGTTAGAACCGAGCATGGTAAGGACTGTCACCGTATACCACCTTGGTTTCAAGGACGAATCGAGCTGTACCTTGATATGCAGGTTCAAGTTGAATATGGCAGTCTCCTGCCGTCCCGTTTACGTGCCATCCCATTCTCCTGCTCTCATCCAACAACTGCTACTGATGCTCAACGTCGTACTGGTAGAAAATGGACCAAAAGAACACCGTAGCTAGTACAAACTGCCCAACGGGAGGCCCTCTCGCGACCACTGCAGTATTTGGGAAGGAAAGGTCTTCAAGTCCAGACTTTTCATTCAATCAACGCCGCGCCATGCTGAAACGCTCACATCCACAGGCCCAGTACAATTCATGCGCACAAAGGCAAACTTTGTCCCGTCAGACGATCCAGATAAATGAAAATCCAAAGGTCATTCATCGAACAAAAAAGTTCAACAAGCACAAGCCGTCTCAGGCTTGGTCGATACCGCCATGGGCCAAGGTTTGGGTTCCATTGCCATTCGCCATGTCCGCCGGTGGTGAGGGTGTAGGCCGCTGAGACTCATCATCCTCACCGACCACTCTAACCTGCGGATCAGGAATCTGAATATCAAGATTCATATAGCCAGTCCGACGAAGGGGGATAATCTTCACTCCAACTTTCGCTCCGACAGTATGGTTCCAATCCTCCAGCCATTGCTCGAGAGCCCTCAGTTGACCCTTGATGCCCATAGGCCGAAAATCTTCCCAGAACCAGCCCGTCAGCAAACCCATCAATCCATCAAACCAGTTCCACGCCGAAAAAGGGTCGTACGCATCAATTAGAGTTTGATTGATGTGCTCGACCACATAGCGAAACTCTTGTTCCGGCATCAAAGGATCAAGAATTTCAGGATAGATATTGGAAAACGTCGGGGCTAGATCACCCACGACCATCCAATCTCTTCGTATTCGGATAATGCGAGTAGCAGAGTATTCTGGCGAGTTGACAGGAACATGTGGATTCAAATGTGGGAAGCATGGATGTGATGGCCCCCATGCAAGTTCTTCCCCGACGCTGCCATCGCCGCCATCTGTATATTGTTGGCCAACGTCTTCCTGTGAGCCCACCGGCACTCGCGCAGCAGTTTCAGAGTTTGTCCGACCGTACGCAGTAGAATGTATCGAGGCAGTTGACTGTGCGCGCCGAAGCGAGAAACGAGAGGTGACTCGGCGCGGAGGTTGTAAAGGTTGATCGAGCGGACTGATGCCGTAGCTCTGCCCCAGGACCGTCGGACCTTGCTGTTGCGACTCTGATTGTCGTGGAGCAATATGTCTTGAAATATGCGCTTTATCCGGCTCTTTCACGCCATTGGACTCTGGATCTTGTTTCTGCGAATCGACCATCTGTATGGCACTGACAGCACCAGAAGCTTCAGCTTCGGGGACAATGACAGACCCACGATACTGATTGGCAGGAAGTCCAATGCTGGAAGGATCTCTTCCTTCTTGCGGGGTCAGTCCGGGACTGTGTTCGACGGTCGGGTCGGTGGGAGAATGCTGCCGCGAACGACGTTGCTCGGGGATGGTCAACAGCGTATGGACTTCGCCTGTGATGGCATCAGGCGAAACCTTGCGTTGATGTCGAGATGTGCCGGTGCCAGTGCCGGTGCCAGTGCCAGTGCCAGTGCCAGTGCCAGTGGGCTGGACCCGAACGGGAGTTGGTCGAGGCACGTAATTGATGGGGTTTAGGACTCGTGAGGTTGCGGTGCGATCGTCGCGCGGAAAGACCTTATTCTGACGGGTCAGCAAGGCTTCCAGGAAAGATCTCCTCTGGACCACCGGCGGCGGCGGCGACGAATGATGTGACGGCGTCAGGTTGGCTGTGGCAGGAAAACGCGAGCTGTCAGTGACAGGCGGGCGGTTGCGGTTGTCGGCTGAAGGCAACGTCAACAACGTCGACGGGTCTTGGTCTGGGACAGCAGCTCGAGACGCTACTGGCGGAGGAGAACTCGGGAGATATGGTGCATCGGCCGCCTTGAACTGTACATTTGCATTCAGGTTTCTGACTGGTTGTTTTTCAAGCGCCCGCGGTGAAAGATGGCCACGAGAAAAGGATGAAGACTCCGTGGTGGAAAGAATATTGGAGGTTGAAGTCGGACGGGAAGTTGGAGTGGGCGTGAGTCGCCCTCTGAGTCGTGTAAGGAGGAAATTGAGGGCGAGATTAATGAGCTGGAAACTCGGATTGGGAGCCTGAACCGCGTCGAATTCTGCAGTTCAAGTTGCGCTTTACCTTGCACCTGCGCCGGGCGATTCACTCCGTGTTCTTGTTCGTCGCCCACTGGCACTCTTCTTTTCCACACGTTATTCTGCGTCGACCGACAAACGGAATCTTGACCGCAAAATAAACAGAACTGATTTGTTTCCGCTGCACCGAACCGATTGTCTCGTGTCTCGGTCGACAATCTTGCTGGCAGCATCGTGCGACTGGCCACAAATCTGAAACGAACCTCAGCGCAGAGGCTGGCGACGGCAGCACTAGACTGCCACTGCCACTGGATGGACGCTCATTCAAAGTCACTGTCAAGTTCTCGACTACTACTGTTGGGTCAAAATCTCACATTCTTTCCTGTAGTACAGTACCATCCGGCCGGCCGTGAGTGACTATTAGTACCTCTCTTCGCCTTTCCTCGTCCTACCATCCATCACCGACCGGAACCTGTCCCTTGTTCCCCTGGGCCGTGGGCTTCCTGTCCGTCTGAGCCACTCGGCACCATTCCAACAACTACAGTTCCCTGCGCAAATCACTTGGTGACGTCCGTCCCTTTTGGGCACTCTTTTTCTAGGGTGTAACCTAAACCGTTCGAGCCTACATCCACCAGAAATTTCCTCCCCCAATTTCTACCGAGACGAGTTCGCCTACGGTACCTAGGTAGTCACTAGTAATCCCGGCAATTCTGTTCGAGGCGGGCCCCCGGACAGCCTATATCGCTTTTAGCGCCAGTCAGTCGATCCGTTTCCCGCAGTCCGGTCAAGTTGGGCATCACTTCCAGAGAAAAGGGGAAACGATCTTCGGATTGTGATTTTGATCAAAGCAAGGCCAGTTTGAATCACAATATTCTTCATTTTCGATGACTGCTAGTCGTTGGATGTGCAGCCAGCCGTTTAGGGGATCCTCATGGGTCACGAAGGCGAAGGCACCCACCGAGGGACGAGACAGCGTAACTTGAACTATGCGAATTTTGGGATATTACCTAGGTATCGACCCGACTGTTGCGACGGCTCCACTGATAGGCTATGCTGAAGGACAAGGCTAGAAATCCCTAGGCCTCCCAATTAGGCGGTTTGTGTGCCTCAACTATGACTCGTTACTGTGGTCATTGGCTGCCTCGGGGGTGGATCGGCTCTTCACTGCATGACTCCATTTCTCTCGACTCCTCCATATACAAGTATGTGTGATGGACCGGACCGTTACCAAGTGTTGATCTCGCTTCTAGAACAGGATAGGGTACTGTTTTCCAGCCAGCACTTCCGGCTCGGCGCCGGTTGAGAATACATAGTAGTGGTGATTATTGTTGCCTGGTCGCTAAACATTGTCCATCAACAGCAACACAACACCCCCGACAATCGCCAAACACAACACCAGGGTCGACGTGAGCGTTCCTCGTCGCGGTGATCCTGATCCGGACCGTCGTGAAGCGGCCGAGCTTGAAGAGGCAGTTGACACAGCTGCGCTACTAGCAGTGCTCGAAGTTGAACTTGAACTTGAACCTTGAGGACTCGCGGAACGCTCCGAAGTACCTGTTGTACCGGCCGAACTTGAACTTGTTAGGCTGCCACTGCCAGTGGTTGTGACCTGACTACTGGTCGACGACGACGGCTGTGTGTTTCCGGAGGTCGAGCTCTGAGTCGTCGACGTGATCACAGGAGGCAAACTCGACTGCGTAGGCGGCACTATCGCCACGGTGCTGAACAGGGCGTCCGAACTCGAGACGGGCACAGTAGCTTCCGGCCCGATGGTGACGGGAGTGCCGACAATCGCACAAATCTGCGCAATGGCCGAGAAAGTATCTAGAAGAAGAAAACCAAAAAGTTGTCAGGATCCAACATCTCCGGCGAAGTCGTGTACAGTATCATGATGTGTGTGTGGACTCACTTTCCTGTTCTGTGACATTACACGCCGCAATCGTACAGTTATTCGTCCTCTCGATCCAGTTGTTGTCGGCACACAGGCATGACCATTGGCTGTGGAATCGTCCGAGTCAATTAGTCTCACTGCATCTTGTTCATACGGTATTGTCTGCCGTGGGCAAATTAAACAACAACGGGATTCAGTGTCCTTCCTTACCTACCTTTGATTGCACTCTGTCCCCGTCACATTGGAAATACAGTTGAGCTATAGCATCGCCAAACATAAAGTCCTTCAGTCAGCATACAGTACATCCAAGTCGAAACATGGGCAAGAGACACAGAAGGTAAGGTAAGGTTAAGGTATCAAGGTATGGTTATCCCGCCCGTGGACCGTACGTACAGCACACTGGCCGACATCATCCTGAGCACACGTCAGACCAACAAGGTGGAACCATATCAACCCGAATAATAGTATGGGGATGATGGAAAAGGTGGATTTGGATGTGGAGGTGGATTCGTGGAGCCTGAGGCGGGCCATGTTCATGTTTATTAGGACGGTGAAGACTCGGATGTTAGGTAGGTAATAATGGAATGGAATAGAATAATAAAATTGAATCTCTAGGTATGGACGGCCAAGAGAAAGGCAATTCAGGCGGAGGAGGTGTAATTGTGGTCGGATCGCAGCATAGTACTGCAGTTATCACTAGGTATAAGAATTGAGTGTTCGTGAGTCCAAGGCACGGCATGCACAGGCAGTGAGGATCAAAGTTGTGGGCAGGTGACCACAGGCAGCAATATTTACTTTGTGTAATGCGATTCGCCATCACTGCAATGATCGGTTCCTGCAGGTTGCCAGTGTACTGCTTCACCCTCTTACCTAGGTAGTGACAAACACCTGGTAGTCAACCTACGTTGTATGTGAATTTCTTGTCAAAGCTGCCAGTGCAGTGATACTAGTTCTGACGCCTTAGTGAGGCTGTTCATATCAAGCCACTACTCGTACTTCTCATCGTTTTGACGATTCCACGATGATGCCAGAAACTCCCTCCGGAAGCAAGTAAATCACTGCTTTCACACTTAAGCAGGTACTGGAGCGGCACAATTTCATCATATGCATTCCAATACAGCGCTCATACAATGATACTGGTAGTCATCGTCCTCGTAACCCAATTCTGATCCGAACCGGACAGGTGCTCCAAGCCAATGCTGGGAATTACAACATTAGATGCACATCATGCTTCCCAATCCCAAGAACCATTTACAACGCAAGCATCGTCGCAAAGATGGCCGCAACGAGAGCTCCGCAAGCCCCTACGCCTCGCAGCGAAGGAGCGGCATTGTCGGAGCTTTTGCTGGTCGAGGCAGCTTGCACGGCTTGAATGCCAAACGTAGTGCCGGTGATGACCTGGGTCGATCCACCAGTCGTGACAGTGGTTGTGACTGTGGCAGGAGAGGGTGAGGCGGTTGTTGTACTGCAGCCAGACCAAGTACCTGTCCAGGTAGAGAAGGGGCCCCAGCCAGCAGTCCATGTAGTCCATGAATCGCAATTGACACCGCTGGCCTTGGTTCCCCATGGACCCCATCCTCCAGGACCACCGGGGCCACCACCACGGCCACCATGACCTCCCCACATGCCGGGACCACCCCATGCGCCATTGCCACCCCAGCCGGAGGGAGCAGAAGGCAAACCAGTCGAGCAAGCAGAGACCCAGCTCGACCATTGACCAGAGTTCCAGTTACCACCAGGACCCCAGCCGGGGCCGGCGGTGATCTGAGACGGCCACGCGGAACCTCCGGAAGTAGCGCTGAAAGTGGCTTGTTGGGAATTGGTGACGGTCACACCAGCATTGGCACAAAGCTGAGCGACAGCGCCATAGATGGCTAACGACTATGTTAGCATTGTATTCTCCCTCCTCCTCCGCGACGGCTTGTCCCTCTTACCTTCTTGGTCGGTGGAGTTGGTGCACGAAGTCGCAACACAAGTATTCAGTTGAGAGATGGCGGTTTGATTGGAGCACAGGCAATTCCAGCCGTTGCTGGAGCTGCAAGAAGAGCCATCCCAGCTTCCCATGCAATCAGACCACTAGACGATAGTCAGCGCTTGGTCACAGTCGACGCAATGTTCCGCTCGGACATACTGTACAAGACGGCAGCCATGCCAACGAGGAGGTAGCGAAGAGAAGTGCTGCCAGTGGCAGAGATGGGGTGGAGGACTTCATACTGAAAGGCGTATGGATGGCCCGTCCAGGCTGTGGGTGATGATGTGGATATTGTATACGAGTCGCTTCACTCAAGCGTACCTCAGGCTGATGGATTCAAGGTCGAGCAGATACAGATAGAGTTAGGTCTGTGTGGGCAGGATGCTGGGTGTAGAGAAGAGAGCATGAGCCAACAGAGAGGGATACACTTCAAGATATAGGAGCCACTGGCACTGCATCCATGGTCCACTGCAGGTGCCAGGGATCAGGCGCGCCACAAGTGCAGTGAGCCATCACTTCCAATCCTAGCAGAATCTTGTCCCGGCCACGGCGCGAAGGTTAATGGCACAGCCTTGCGGGTGGGCTGGGAGGGCTGGCTTGGGAATCCGTATATTGCAGTGTCTGATACTCAGATCCTCGAGGTGAGTCGTGGTGGAGGGACGGAGTGTCGGAGAGACGACGCGTCATACACCACTGCATGCTGAGCAATGTTTCTGCCAGTCAAATGGCAATAAATTAAAAGAATGCAGAAAGCGAGAAGAGGGATAGTCGTCTGGGCAGTACAGTACCACCGTAGTACCAGTAGGCCGAAACTGAGGCTGGGAGAAGCCAATGCCAGTAACGGGTATGTACCACACTCCTGCTGCTCGTATCATGTCATGTCCTGCAATCACAGCATCCACTATTCCGACCGCCAGTGGTGATGCTCCAGGGCCGGATCTGGGGCTGTTGAGGCTTGTGGTGGTTGGCCTGACGCCCTGGAGCCCTTGATCTGACAGTCCGACAGGCTAAGGGACCCGCCAATCATGGACCCCTAGAACCCCCTTAGGCGATGTCCTTCGGGCTTTAAAAAGAACCAGGTGACCCGTGAACCCCCCCTGATTCGCAGCTATTTGCGGAATCTGGGGAAAGCCTGAACCTCAGCCTCAACCCAGAAATGCTGTTCTACTACGAGGCTACACTATGTGAAGGACTAAAACAGTCTACATCAAAGGTAGCCCCCCATTCTAGTGTCAAAGCCTGCAGTCTGCAAAAACTGGGCCAGGCGAAAAGAAAGCGAGTTGTGACTTCAAACATCTGTGGCCGACGTCGTGGGAAGTGTACTGGTCCTAAACTAGCACTGCAAGGACTACCCAGGTATTAAGCGAGCAAATTCGATGTGCTGTCTAGGTGCCCAGTCAGCCTTCATGTTTGTCTTACACGGCTTCGGTGTCCTGCCAGGCCCGCCTGTTCGCGACGCGTGGCCCATCTTCCTTCTCGCATGAATACTGTACCTGCCAGTGGTACATCCTCTATCGGTGACATGCGCAACCACAACTTTGAGCGTAGCCGTCGATGATGATGATGATGATGATATTATCGGCAGTCCTACCATATTCACTTCGGAGGAATAGCTGTCGTCACCCGGCTCAGGGTTGAATGACGCGCAGACCCATGCAGTGGCAGAAGGGCAGCACTGTCGGAGATCCCCAGTCAGGACGTTGGTGAGGACCGTGACTGTGGACTCTTAGGCCTCAGGTCGGTTTGTCGGTGGCTGGGCTCCGACTTCCGAGCGCCAGCCCGGGGCTAAAAGGGCAGCGATAGTGTAGGCCTGAGGCGCCTAAATTGCCCCTAGGGCTTGAAAAGGCCACCTCTTGCTCGGGGTCGGCGCCAGGTGGATGCTCGCCCAAAAGCCCTTAAACCCAAGCCTCCGGGCCTATAAGGCTGGGCAGATACTGCCAAGCCACAGGCAATCAATCAATGGCGCTGTACTGCTGTGGCCGCGCATTCCATTCATGAAATCCCATCTCGCGGGTGGCCAGAGGGTTGAACATCCCGCCGCCTGCTGACCGACCAGCACTCGTCCTCGCCGTGGACGCGTGGCCTGGTACCTGGTATAAAGTACCGGGCCGGTAGAAATCCTCTTCTGCCTCACACCTAGATCATCGCGTTTCCTATGTCGTCTTCCCTCTTCATCTCAGGCGTGAATCCTTTCTCATCTGCTTGTGCTCAAACATGAACTTTTCCTCCATCAAGTATGGCACGCGCGTCAAGAAGCTCTCGGCTGGAAATTTTCTGAACGGACAGAGCATAGAGGGACAGTAAATTCCACTCTCTGGGGAGTTACCAGCTCCAGGCTGAGTCGTCAGTCTCCGGCGCAACGTGGAAGCCATCAGATCCGAAAAGTCTAAGATCCGGTACGTCGTATTCGAGTAGCGACGGCTCAAACTCACTGAACCAGGTTGGGTCGAGGCTCGCGAAATCCGAAGGAGTGTAGCGGGCTTCATCTTCACAACTCAGTATGCTACTAGACGAGGCATATTGTTCCGTGAGCCTTTGGGCAGATTGCGCCGCCGGAATTGACGTTGTGGCTTCTCCATGTTCAACTTTGCGTGCTGCACGAGAAGTGTGTTTGCGAACAGTGATGTGAAAGCGCTCAACGAGAGATAAAGCATCCCTAGCGAGCCTGGTGCCGGTAACCAGAAAGCGCAATGCTTCGATGCCCTTGCTAATTGTCGAGGACCCTGGAGATGTATTCGGCTTCCAAGGATAGACAAGTCCTCCAAGGAGAAGGATGATGATTGCAGAACTGCACGCATTAAGGTCAGTGAATGAAAACTTGGCAAGGCGATTCCGACTATGTAGAAGAGCGATGATGTCGAGAATCCTGGTAGCCGCGTCCAGACACTTGGAAAAAAATAACCCGTTCCGTGGTAGGATCCGCAGGATCCGCGTTGACGTTAGCAGTAGCTTCGTGGGTGGCGCGGGACGACTGCAATTGAATTCGAGCCAGGGAGAGTAAAGCCGATCGACCGAGACGAACCCATATCATGTTGTACATCAAGTCTAGGTGGGCATTTGACCGTAGCGATTTCTCATCAGACAGGAGTGGCAAATGAACCGGAAGAGCCTGTTTCCATGACCCCAGGAGCGAGCATGTATGATCATATCCTTCCGAGTCTGGTTTCACCGAGCTGTATGGCCTATTAGCATCCAGTCGCAAATGAGATTGGCATCTGGCACTCCTATCCATGTGCATACCTGCCAGTGGTGCTAAGGAATTGGTCCTTGATCAATGTCAACTTGGTGAATGCCACCAGTCGATCTATCTTGCGTGGATTACTCTCATCCAAGTCGGCCCTCCGTTGTGGAAGAGGAGCAGTGATCTCATCCGTCTGGAGCATTATGGGCTGAGCCATCATGCCCGATATCCAACTGGGTGCCCGTCGTCAATCATCTATGAGGACTTGGGAAAAGAAGGACTCACCGCTCGATACAATACGTGGTCCAGAAAACTCTCGTCCTGATCTCACGATCCTGTGGTGCAACATCACTATTTCTCGCGTTGCGATGGAGGGAGAGTCCGATGGCAATTCGCAAGGCAAGGCCAAGATATGTATAATGGTGAGTGGAAATTTGGGTCGGAAGAGCATACAAGGCTGTCAAAAGACAGCATTGGACACTTTCCAAAGCACCTTGAGCCACTACTGCTGGCATCAAAGCCATTGCAGCCTTGTAGGCCAGGCACTCCTGGTGTCGATATTTGCCGATCAAGGTGCGCAAAAGAGCTAACAAGCGCGAAAACAAGCAAGAGTAGACAGATCTCCGAGTATCCAAGGCGAGTCGCAAGTGCTTCTTCGTGATAGAGTCTTGCAACTATGTCGCGAACTCTTCGCTCGTCGAAATAATATCGAAAGAAGGTGTCAGCCAGATACTCGGCTTCCTCCAGAGGCGGTGCTTTGGCTTTGGCATCCTCGCGGGCTGCCGGGTCATCTAGATGCTTGGAAGTGTCTAGGGCATGAGATACCTACCTGACATGGTATCAACATGAGCTCTGGTGTGTGTGTGTGTGTGACAAGGAGAGAGTATATTGAGCTCACCTGGTCATCCAGAATTTTTGAATTGAGAGGTCGATGGTGACAGTTGGTTTTAGCCTCGGAAATCGCGCCGATGAATGCGTCTCTGGACTGGAACCGACCCTGAGAAACTCATTCGGCTTCAAGCTCTTTACAATTCTGATATACTTTCCCAACACCAAAAGGGGCGGTGAGGTCTTACAGCACAAGGCCAGACTTACATCCTTTGGGGCGACGACAACCGACCACAGGCCAGAACCAAGTACCAGTACCAGCTCAGCGCCAGAACTGCATTCATCAAGTCATAGTCGAAGGCATAACTTGGCGAGGCTGCAACAAGGAAGATCTAAAGGCCGTATTTGAGGATTGGGAATTTCTATGGGGTGCCGGGTTAGGTTCAGTTTTGAACATCCCTGTGCGAAAAAAACGGAGTGACGGTTGGGTCGCTGAATATACTGGACAAGGAACCCGCTTATGATGCCGCGGATTTGGGACTTGCTGAGCAGATTGCGGATCTTGTCGCTCTGTGCGTCCAGAGGGAGAGGGACGCCCAAGTTCAACAAAAGACTGAGCATTCCCTCCCGCATCAGATGGCAGAAGAAGAAAAACCACATAAACCCATAAACTCTTCATCCCGGATCTGAACCCCGGCAAGCTGGGTCATCATCAGTCCACCAATTTGGGGCACAGCACATGTTGTTCAACTTCCACCACTGCATGCATAACCGAAATTTACCACGTCTAATCGTGGACTTATGGTCCTATAGGACCACTCCCAAATATATCAACACTCGAAGCCGTGACTAAGGATGCATGGAGAGGAGGCATCTTGTAGGCCACTGCATTCTTCTGGCTGCCAACCATGTTTGACCCTGATCTGAAACCATGAAGTATCCGAGAGGCATCGCATGTGGCTATCTGCTAATTGCATTTGGGCAACAGTAAACATAGGGTGAGTGAATCCCCTCCCCACCAGGTCCGTCCTTTGCCACCCACTTGTCCGAACTCAGGGTGACACATTCTCCAGGCGGCTTAGGCCCCAAGGACACTCGTAGCAACGATAATAACCGAGCTGGAAGCCAGGAAATGGGCACCGTCGGGATGTAGTATTTCAGGCGCGCAAATTTGGGAACCAGGGGCCACGTTATGGTTCCTGCACAGGCTCTCGGTTGCAATGTTGCTCGTTCACCGCAAATCTTCAGGCCTCACCACGCCAAGCTCATGATCGCACGGCCACAGGTCAGACAGGCTTAGTAATGATTTAGGTCACATAGGAGGATGCTCGGTCTGGAAGCGAGATGGACTTTGGAGAGGTCGGGCTTCACCATTGAGGACTTTGGTATTCGTACGATCCCAGACACCGGTTGATGGCTGTCCAGTTGATCATGCCAATGATACTCCCCGGCTCTTTTCATGCTGGAGCTTCGAACAGCTCCGGCTTCATGTTGATCCTGCATAGTTTTGCTAAACAGCCGCTAAGTTGCAAAAATGACTGCACGCCCTCAAGGATACGCATGTGCGTGAAGCCAATCTCCTTAATGAACTCCAGCTTCGAGTGTTCCGACAGCGTAGGAATCGTCTTGGTTACCCGGAACATGGTGCTTATGATGTCGTGAGAGGAGTAGCCCAGATCCCTTGAGCAGGGGCACATGCATATTAGTGACCATTGTAACAACTGGAGAACACAACTTACCATAATTCCTTCAACGTGTCGACTGCGCTGTCAATCTTCCCTTCCCAGCATGCTTTGATCATGGCTTGCACCTTGACTGGGTGCGGACTGTCCACAACACGGAATACGTTGTCACCACTGACGAATCCAAAGCCTGCCCAAGTACTTTGCAGGTTGTTGATGGCCTGTCGCATGTCTCCCTCGGCACTAAACACCAATGCCGCCAATCCATCCTCGGAGTATTGCACCTTTTCCGCTTCAATAATCTGCAGCAGTCGTTGCACCACTTGCGCGTCCGTCAGCCTGGAATATCGGAGGATTGCGCATCTCGACTGGAGCGGCTCGATGATCTTGTTGGACTGATTGCAAGCAAAGGCGAAACGAGTCGTATTCGAATATATTTCCATCGTTCTTCTCAAGGCCTGTTGAGCACCAGAGGTCATGCTGAATAGGCCCTCAAGTTAGTCTTTGCGTAGTCGCCTCATGTCCAAAGCTGTGCCTCCTACCTGTCCGCTTCGTCTAGGATCACTATCTTGTGTCGTCCCGGAGGTAGTGTCACCTTCTTCTGCGCAAAACCCTTGATACGATTTCGCACCACATCAATCCCTCGTTCGTCACTTGCATTCAGCTCCAGAACCGCCTCTTTGTATGCATCACCGAGAAGAGTCCGTGCCAGACATAGGATAGACGTGGTTTTGCCGATTCCGGGCATGCCAGAAATGATAACATGCGGCATATTTCCATCTTTTGCTATGATCTTGAGTCGCTCGATCGTTTCCGAGTTTCCCACGATGTCATCAAGGTAGACTGGTCGATACTTTTCCACCCTATAGGCCTGTTAGCGGCTCTGTTTTCACCTGTACGGCCTTTCGGATTAGCCAGTACCATGGTAATTCATAATCGGGTGTTGCGCCATTTGCTCCAGCATTGAGAGCCTTGCGGGCTGCAGATGACGAAGATTCTGGCTGTCCCGACATTGTGAATAGGATGTGGTTATGGTGGCAGGATCACGCTTCAAAACAGCACTTTCTACCTTAGTTCAAGTTGTAGATGTCTGGATCCAGTGCCAGTGCCTCTGAAAGCGCAGGCGCGTCTGTGATTCCACTTCACGCGTAGAGTGGCTTCCTTGGCGATGTCGCTGACGCCAAACTCACGTGAACAGGGAGCGAAACACACCTAAAACTTGGACTCGGACTCGGATGATCCGCTGCCGGAGATAACGATTCCACCTCCGTAGGCCCATAACTTGAACCCGATACTGACTGCAACTGAACCACTTCAGTTTCTGAACAGTCGACTTTGGACCTCCGAGTCTCCTGGCATGTAAAATGTTCAGTCACTTGTGGCCTGCCTTGGGCACAAGTATTTCGTGATATACCTGGTACTGACACTTAGTACTACCCTGTCATTCGGGATCCATGGTTCCTTCCCCTGTGGATGACGATGTCGCCTAAATCCAAGGAAACGGCGTCGGCCCGCTCCCTCCTGCCAGGAATGCAGACGAAGGAAAGTGAAATGTGATCGAGTTCAACCGTGCGGCCATTGTGCTCTGTCCAAGAAGCAATGTCATTGCGGTGACGGACCAGCTCAAGCTGGCCAAGTTGTCCGGGGACGTCCCGCCAAACTACATGTACATGTGCCTTTTACCACCCTGCCTCGGGCTCCTGTTTCTGCGATGGAACCAAGTCCAGCCTCGAATGCATCTGATCTTACTGAGCATGCACCAGACGCACAGTGCACTGTCCAACCTTCCCGTGGTATTGCGAGGTCGTCCGACCTCGGAGCAACAATGAACGCCAACCTTGACAATACTGCAACTGGTCCACGCGACGGAGGAATTTCCTTAAACAAGTCTAGATTATTCGGCCGGAGTCACTGGACAAATTTTACTTTTGAAGTACGCCGTGCACACGGCAGTCCACCTATACCTCGACAATCTTGGCTTACATCCAACAGCTCCAAAAGACTGCGGCTGTCCTGAATCCTGAAATAGGCAATGTCACGGGCAATGAAGGCCTCACACGGCTGAAGTGGGAGATTGGTTCGCTCCTTCAAAAATGCAAACTCTGTTCTGAAAAGATCAAGTTTTCTCGATAAAAGAGAAGCTCCTCATTTCCACAAGCGTATTCATCGATCGCAAGACAGTCACTAGGTGACAGTTTTCCGATCAAATGGTACTCTTGTACGTTACTCGTTTCGAGCCTGTGTTCCGCATACTACACATTCCATCCTTCTTTATGGAGCAAATAAGCTATTGGAGGGATCCTACAGAAGCTGAAACTATCCTTCGACTCAAGATCCAGCTTGTCACAGCCCTCGGGATCAGTATCCACCAAGATAGCACTAATGCAACAGTTATCTACTCATCGGCGCGTCAATGGGTATACGAAGCCTAGGCATGGCTTTCCGGGCCTGTGGAAAAGGATCGGCTCAGCATTGATAGTCTACAGTTGCATTGTCTGCTGATCCTGGCTCGACAGGCTCTGGCCGTTGGGGGAGATATCGTCTGGTTATCGCTGGGGACACTCCTTCGGACAGCCATGCAAATGGGCCTACACCGTGATCCAAAACATTTCAAGAGAATGAGTGTTTTGTAAGTTTTGACCCTGACAGCATATATTACCATAACTGATCATAATGTCTCCGTGAGGGCGAGATCCGCCGAAGACTCTGGGCCACCATCTTAGAGCTGGATGTGCAAGCGGCCCTAGACGCTGGAGTTCCACCTACCATAGGGGTAGATGACTCTGACACCGAGGCTCCGTCCAACGTCAATGACGTGGACTTGATGAGCAAACAAGGATACTCCATGAGCATCCCGCAACAACGACAACCGACTCATCCCTCCAGCGCTTCTCGTTCCAATCACTCCGCCCGAGGCTGGAAGTCGCCCGTCCCATGAACGGGATAGCCTCCGCCCTGTCGGCTACAGTGCCCACATCCTCCGAAATAACAGCTCTGACGCCGCCTCCTTCCACAGCAACCTTGCAGACCTCCTTCTCAGGCGCTTTATTCTTCAGCTTCATCGTCCCCTTGCTGGCCGAGCCCGGACTAATCCGATTTATTATTTCTCCCGGAAGATGAGCCTCGACGCCGCCATGGCCATCCTCTCCCCGGTCCCAAAGGACGCCGAGTGTGCGCATCTCGTGCTCCTTGGGGCTGGGATTTTCAAGAACCGCATGATCCACGCATCGCTGGCCGTGGCGTCGGAGTTGCTCATGGAAGTCGAAGCGCAAGAGCCGGTGATGGACTATCGCTCGACCTGGCAGGAGCCTTCTGGATATCGAAAGATGTTGATGGACGCGTTAAGGGAGTCGCTGCGGCAGTCGACCGAGCGGATTCGGCTGGGCGAGACCAACGTCAAACTCCATATGAAGTTGAGTATGGCTATGCGGCAGACTGAAGTGGCAGGTGAGAGTTCTTCGGTCCGAGCCATGCAGCAGTTGGCTCAGGCTGCCAAAGAGAGCCTGGAGACTTCCTATACAACTATGCAAGAGCGGGCAGCTGCTCAAGGGGTCGACACCCAGACTGCAGGAAACGGCAGCTCCATGTCCGCGGACTTTGACCCGGATGACTTCGATATGCCAGAGAACCTCTCCCTTGGCTCCGACTTCAACTTGGACGATCTCTTCTTCCTTCCCGCAGATATGGGTCTGGATAGCCAAGCGGGGCCTCCTACCTACTTGTAGTAGGTAGGTAGACAGTAGTTTACATCCGATCCGTTTACAAGCATCTATAACCTTCTATACTAGTAGTGTCTTCTGAAAGCCAAACGCTGCTTTTGAGGACAGGCGTTACTATAGGATTCTTATATCCGCGGACATAGCCCAACGCCCGTTCCCTCCATGCAAAGAACGGGACCTAGCACAGGCACCAGCACCGTGGTCGGAAATGCAAAATACCTAGAGGCAACTACTCGTATTCGAGGTTTGAGTTCCGCATTGCGGACCGAGTTGCGCGGAGCGGAGCGGAGCGGGTTTCGGTCCAAACACGACTGCGGCCGCTTTTCAGTGCGTGCAGCAAGTCGGCATCAGTCGTTGTATGTGTATATGTGTGCGTATGGATGCACGTATGTATGGATTATGTATATAAAGGCCGTGGAAGCCCAGTCTTTGAACTCAGGAAAACCCTCTCACCAAGGTTACTAGTAGTCTGATACGGGCAAAAGAAATTTCATATCCTTCTTCACCCCTATTACCTTTTTGCCAATCATGTCATCAGCAGAAGCAGCACCCCTGCCCAAGCACCACCGGGCTCTGGTTCTCGAAACCATCGAAGAAGGCTTCAAGGTCAAGACCGTGCCAACACCGCGACCAGACGCAGGCAGCGCAGTGGTACCCATCCTCGAAGCCGGAGTACTATCATACCACCGCGAAATATACAGCGGGGAACGACACCATGACTTCCCCAAGCCCATTGTCGGCGGACTTTCTGCCATTGCGCGGATCGCGGCCGTGGGTCCCGACGCGATGGTACTGCAACCTGGGCAATTGGTGTTCATGGACTGTGTGATCCGGGCGCGCGACCACCCAGATTCAATGTTCCTCATTGCCATCCACGAAGGAATGGACGCGGGGAGTCGGAGACTGGGCAATGAGGTCTGGCGCGACGGCGCGTTCGCCCAATACATGAAGTTGCCGCTGAAGAATTGTATCCCACTAGGCGAAACCCGACTTTGTCGCGAGCTGGGCTACAATTTTCGCGAGCTGATGTACTTGACGTACTTGATGGTGCCGTTCGGAGGACTGCGAGATATCCATCTTGAGCCAGGCGAGACCATTGTCGTGTGTCCTGCGACCGGCGGGTTCGGTGGTGCCGGTGTTCAGGTCGCCATCGCAATGGGCGCAAGGGTCATTGCTATGGGACGGAATGAAAAGGAGTTGGCCAGGTTGAAAGAGCATGTCAAGAAAACCTCGCCCACCGCCAGTATTGAGACCGTCAAGATGACGGGAGATCGTGAGACTGATGTTGCCGCGCTGAAAGCTTTCGGGACCATTGATGCCATTATCGACCTCACGCCGCCGTTTGCTTGCAAGTCGACGCATCTGAAGAGTGCGATCTCTTGTCTGCGTCGTGGCGGCCGCTGCAGCATGATGGGCTATGTCGAAGATGTTATTCATTGGAACGTCATAGCTCTCAACATTGCCTTGAAAAGGGAAACTTATGTATGAGAGGGATGATATGGTGCTGTTTGTCAAGATGTTGGAGCGTGGCTTGTTTCCGAGGGGAAAGGATCTGGTCGAGCCAAAGGTTTTTAAGATGGAACAGTGCAAGGAAGCCCTTGATGCCGCGGCTGAGTGGACGGGGATTGGTAGGATGGTCATGATTGAGCCAGTCGTGAGACGTTGTCCCCTCGTCGTCAGACGGGTTTTGAAGCCATCGCAGTGAGCTTCAGGATGTAAAGTTCCAGATGTCGGGGGGGCGGTTTGGCTCGCTGGCCAGATGTACTGTAGATTGTATAGCTGACCATGGCCGCTGCTTTTCGCAGAGCTTGATGAGATCGCGTGCCTACCTGGTAACTCTTAGTCTGACGAACTGTACGATTCAAGCACGCACCTCTGTCGCACCGCTAGCGAGACTTGAAGGAAGTTTAGGCAGTACCGCCGCGTAAGGGCTAGAAATCATCCAGCCTGAGGTTCCCTGACACCCGTCTGAAGGACGCCCCAAGTGTGTTTTGCTCAGGCCCTTCGCTCACCTCACTGGAACAAACCGTACAGTAAATGGCAATCGGGTTCCTGGTTCTCAACTAGTCATCTGGAGTATGAGATAGTCTGGAATGTCGTATAATGTAGATACTCCTGCTCGTGATGAGCAAAGCGTACACCTGTGTTTGAAGGCCGTGTCTCAATGCTGAATTCTACAAAGGCGCGGCAGACCTTAGTGACAGGCGACTTAAAGTTCTTCGACATTTTTCGAAATATGCCACGTAGATGCCTCAGACAGAGCAGTGCCTGTGTGAATACTGGACATTGACACTGCGTCTGTTGTGCGAGGATGGATTGGTAGAGGCCCCGGACGCATCAACAATCACTGGCAGAAAGCCAACATGAGAACCGGTTCAAGTCCTGGTTGCAGCTTGTGTCGTGAAGTGTGCGCACGTCCAGTCACCATTCTATGTGTTTCCACTTGATAGCAGGCAGTCAGCACACGCGTTAACCAATAATTAAGATAATACCTATACCTCGCCAAGGTGTTGAATTACTATCAATACCTCATCAAGCCGTTTACTGCCATGGGCAAGCGTTTACATTACTCGAGCGCCTCATCGGAGGACGAGGACGAGGCCTCAGTCGGAAATGAGGCTTCTGCATCTCCACCTCCACAAAAGCTCGCTGCCGTTGAGACCGACGACATCTCGGCCCCAGAGAATGCCATCCACTGTTCGCTTCCACCACATCGAGAAACACTCGTCTTCGCGACGCCTGAGGAGTTTGAGATACATTACGCCAAAGAGCACTGGAATCGATGTACGGCCTGTGGCAAGAATTTCCCAACAGCACACTTTCTCGCCCTGCATATTGACGAACACCACAACACCTTTCGAGAAGCCCTGCAATCCAGAGGCGAGAGAACGTATGCCTGCTTCGTTGAGGGCTGTGACCGACTTTGCTCGGCTCCGCAAAAGAGACGAATGCACCTAATTGACAAGCACATGTTCCCCAAGACGTACAACTTCCGCGTCGTGGATACTGGTATCGACAAGTCAACGTCAATGCTGCACGAGGGCCGCCGAAGGCGGGTGTCTACGACAGCGGACCTGAGTCGAACAAGCAGACATCAACCATACGAAACTCGATCTGGAGGGATGTCCAGCGTGCATAGCTCCGTCCCACGTGAACGCAAGGAAGCACAGGGCTTGGGCCGACAGCAGAAAGAAAGCGAGGTCGGTAATCTCAAATCCAGCAAGCTTGTCTCGGATAGCACCATCAATGATCTGGCGACATCCATGTCGGCACTTCGATTTGTGCCACCTAGTGTCGCAAACAAGCAGCGGAAGAAGCCGCCCCCGCCGTGATGCCATGCCTTCTCATCTAGCCATTTTCATGTCATTTCAATAACACAGTAGAGGAGTGATCCCTCGAAGTGAGCCAGGGAAGCGTGAGCCCAATCGAGACCGAGGAGCCTCCTCGGCCTCATGCCGCCGGTTGGACGCCTCAACCAGCCCGGCACACAGTGATCTCACACCTGCTCCCTTCTCGAGCCTGGCGCAACTTCCGCCAAGTTGAGTATGGGTCAACAATAACAAAACAGGTCTGTTCGGGGAGGAATCGGTGGATATCATACTGTCACCCCTCACAGCCGCAGCCGAAGTTGCGGGTCAGCAGAATTCGAAGCTGGGGAAAGATGTGATTGGCAAAATGCGGGGAGAACAGCAACTATTGTATAAACCACAAGTTGACACCGGGAATCCATGAAGGAGTCTTGATGACCAGCCGTTCCTTGAGACAGCCGGAAGTGTCGGTGCTACTTGCCACCAAAGTGGCATTCGTCGTCCGAGAAATATACGTTGACTGCCACGGGCCTGTGGGTCCGCCGATACCGCTTAAAGCATGTCTACTGTGTCTGTCCATGCATTGAGTACCGGCCACATCACGATACCCGAACGATTCTTCGTGGACCCAGCCGATCCTACCGCCAAAAGGACTGTTCCGTCGCTTTCGTTCTTGATCCAACACACAGACGGGAAAACTGGGAAGCTGACGCGGCTTGTTTTTGACCTGGGTATGCGAAGAGATCTCAATCTTTATCCTTCAGTACTGCGAGATCATCTGGCCAGTCGACAACCGATATCAACAGAGCCTGATGTAGTCGCGTCTCTTGCTGCGGGAGGACTAGGCGTGGATGACATTGATTATGTGATCCTTAGCCACGTTCACTACGACCACGTTGGGCTTCCATCGGACTTTACCAACGAGAAGACCAAGTTCATTGTTGGCAACGGTGCCCTCGATCTTCTGGGCGGGAAGACGCAACTCAACTTGGGCAAGCATATGGTTTTTGAACCAGACCTTTTACCTGCAGATCGGACCATAGAGTTGCCTCCGCCCGATCCCGAATCTCACCAAGGTCAGTTTTCCTGGCAACGCTTGGCTTTGTTTCCCAGTGCGATCGATCTGTTCAAGGATGGAACCGTTCATATCATCAACGCACCCGGCCATTTGCCAGGGCATATCAATCTGCTATGCAGGACATGCACAGGTCCGGCGAGATTTGTCTGCCTAGCAGGCGATGCTTGTCATGATATTCGCTTGTTGACTGGGGAAAGAGACATCGCGACCTGGACAGACGAATCGGGGAGATACTGTTGCATGCACGTGGACATACCAAGATCCAAAGAGACATTATCTCGACTGCATGCCGTGTCAAAGGAGGGACTTCAATTGGAAGGAGATAAACAGCCGGCCGAGGTCGAAGTGGTCTTTGCCCACGACTTTGCCTGGGAGGAAGAAGCGAAGAGGGCGGGTAGGTTTTGGCCTGGCAAAATGTAGCCAATACCAATATTGCGGTCTTGCGTAAAGCAAATCAAAGCTTGAGACAGCCTGTGGAGGTGAGTACCCTGACCTGTATACGGAGCGGAAGGATGTTATAGTAGCTATGGAGATGGCTCAGGGCAAGGATCTGGCTGTAGATAGGATCTTCAAAAGGGGGCAGCAGCCTTGAAGCTGTAGTTGTACAACTGTACAGTAATTATTACTGTGGTAGATTGCGAACTGGTCGAGATTAGCGGCTGGTCAAAGGGGGCTCCAGGCTGGGATGACGCCTAGCGGGCCGCCTCGGCCCCCAGCCGGTGCCTGGAGAGTAGCGTAAATCTGCCCTAAATCTGCCCTAAACCTGGCCATCGCAGGCAATCTCCTTGTAAGCCCCAGTGCGGCCACCGCGCCCCTTGGATTAATTGGCTGCACTCCCTTCCACGCTCGCTCCCTGTCTCTTGTCTGTGCTTCCATGTTTCCACCACTCGGCTAACTTCAGTCGTGATCCATCCCCCTGAACGGCGCTTGGTGTGTGTTGTCTTCCTGCCACGAGCGAACGACGTACGGGACGGGTGTCTTCGTCCACCTTGTCGGTCCCTGCGCGGTGTTTCAGGTTCGGCGGCCATGCGACCATGATGCAAAACCTCTCCTTGACAGCAGTCGCCTTGATCAGCTAGAGTCCCCAGACTCGTCATCGTGTGGCCGCTTGCCATCGGCGCCTCCAAACTCCTAGATCCCTACTTGGTGTCACTCCTGATTCAGTCGCCATCTCACGCGGTCGTGGTGTCGCCAACATCTTGTCTTTACAGGCATTGCTCGGCAAGCAGGACATCTCAAGAATAGCTTTCCCTCTCTATCAATCTCCCGTGCCGCCTCCGGTTGTTTTCCGCCGCGATCATAGTGAGGTCTTGTTGAGATGCCAGTTCCGTGAAAAAGAGGAGGGTCATAACTCGTTCTGTGACCTGTGGCGTCCTTCAAGGGGTTCTGATCGAGAGCGGACGCGACAATGCTGGCCTCTAAACCGCCGTACGCCGCGAATATCGCAACACCCGCTCAGCAAGTGTCCAATCGCAATATGTCCGACCCGATCCAGAGGACACATGTTTCCTCCACGGCTCTGCAAGACGGTCTCTTTACCTCTCCAACTGACTCCGAATTCTCCGATGTCTACGATGGGCTGGACTCGATTCGAGCGTGGGACGAGAAGAGAGTGGGCGAATGGCTGCATTCCATCCGCTGCGGACAATATGAATCGCTATTCAAGGCAAACAACTTCACCGGGGAGAGCCTTCTGGAGTGTGACCAGAAGATCTTGTCTGAGATGGGCATCAAAAAGATTGGGGACAGAGTCCGGATCAATGTCGCTATAAAGCAACTCCGTAACAAGTCTTCTTTGTCGCGAAGGAGGAAAAATCGCGATTCTCTTGCCATCCTCGAAGGCTTCGCTGCCACTCCCTCTTCCGCCGCAGACTCTCCTCGCACTCACGCATCAAGATCGCAAGCCGGCAGCGCCAAGCGCTTCTCTCGCCAGCTCGATCCATCAGCTCTCCACAACTTTGGCTCCGTCGCTACCGAGTTGAAGGTCGGTTCAAGGCCGAGCTCTCCTCATGCTGATACCCATAATGGCGGTTTGAGACCCCATCGATATGCCGGGAGTCCTGTGGACGCTGGTCGGGGCAATGCAAGCACCGGATATTTCAGCCAGCCAGGTTCGGCCAGTTCCACCTCAGGGAGACGGCCCGAAACACCTCAGCTTGCAAGCCAGCCTACAAAGAGCTCTCACTTGCGGCAAAATTCGAGCATTGACGGTCTCACGCCTGGCGGGCTGCCTACCGGATCTCCGGTTATCAAAATCATCCACAACGGTGGACAGACCAAAGTGGTCAACATTAAATTCTGCCGGAATGCGGACGAGGTGACTTCGACTGTGCTCAAGAAATTGCTCCTCCCGGAGACCCACTTCCGTAACTATTGTTTCTACGTTCTCAATGGGCTCGAGCCTGATCCAGCCAACTGTCGTCGGGTCAGTGATAATGAGCTTATGAGGATCTGCAACGAGACCACGCGCTCGGAGAGAAACAGGTTGATACTGCGAAAGATCAATGACGGGCCACCCGATCTGGAAGAGCTCCGCAAGGCTGCAAGAATCGCAGCTGAAGAGTCACAAGTATTGCACAATAACGCCCTGAGTACCAACAACATGCGAAATCAGATCAAACTCCAGAAGCTAACTGGCGAATCCTGGCATTCCATACGCGCGCCTATATCTCCAGTCACCACTACCGACCGCAATCGCAACATCATAGCCACTGCGGACGAGCAGGACCGACAAGAGGCACAGCGACTCAGGGTTCCTAGCACTCAGAGCTCGAAGCTACGGTCTTTCTTCGGTGCTCGACCCCCGAGCGAGATGATTGTGCAGGAACTGACTTCATATTTCCCGGCACACCAACGGGAGGACATTGAGAAGACGATGAGACTGTCGGTACGACGATCACAACGAATGAGCCGGGCGGCAAGTCGGTTGAGTGTGATGAGCAACATCAGTCATGCATCAAGTTTGAAAGATGCGCCGCCAGTTCCCAGCATTCCCAGCATCGCCGACACATGGCTGGCGCAGACTGGAACCGGTGCAAAAGCCCCTGCGGGGAGGCCGTTGTCGGTGGTGTCGACAAAGTTCAATCTTCCCAATGTATCCTTTAGAGATTCGATTGCATCATCTACTCTACATCCACTGCAAGAGGAGTCGGCCTCGCACGAACCGAACCGTAAGTCTTATGTGTCATTTGACAGCGGCTCAGACACGGCAGCTGCAAACGACATCATCAGGGGCAGTTACTTTGACGAGAGTCCGGCAGGAGACGGGCCAGGACTAGTGAGCGAAAACATCAACGAACGACTCTCGGTCATTGTCGCCGAGGATGGCGAGGAAGAAGATCAAGAATTGACATCGTTCCTCAAGGGCAACAGCTTCGACAAGAACAACTGGATGAAAGGCGATTTGATCGGAGAAGGTTCCTTTGGCAGCGTGTATCTGGCTCTGCATGCAGTGACGGGTGAACTGATGGCTGTCAAACAAGTTGAACTGCCCAATGTGGCCAAGGGCACCGAAGGCGACAAGAAGAAGACGGCGATGATTGCGGCGTTGCGACAGGAAATTAACCTGCTCCAGGGTCTTCGTCATGAGCACATTGTGCAGTACCTGGGCACGTCGTCGGACGAAGAACACCTCAACATTTTCCTCGAGTACGTGCCCGGCGGCTCGATCGCAGGCATGCTGAAGCAGTACAACACGTTCCAGGAACCGCTGGTGCGCAACTTCACCCGCCAGATCCTCGAGGGGTTGAGTTACCTACACGCCCGCAACATCATCCACCGCGACATCAAGGGCGCCAACATCCTCGTGGATAACCGCGGCGCGGTCAAGATCTCCGACTTTGGCGTCTCGAAGAAAATAAACTTCAACGGCATGAATGCCGCCCCGGGAACCCGCACTTCCTTGCAGGGCAGTGTCTTCTGGATGGCCCCCGAGGTCGTCCGCCAGAGCGGCCAGTCGATCAAGTCTGACATCTGGTCCGTCGGCTGTCTTGTTGTGGAGATGTTTACCGGCTCGCGTCCTTTTCCTTCAATGACGACACTGCAGACCTTGTTTGCCGTCGGCAGCAACAATGAGAAGCCTTCGATTCCTGATGTTGCCAGCGAAGATGCCAAAAAGTTCCTCAATAAGACTTTCGAGGTCGATCATGAGAAGAGACCTTCGGCTGATGAATTGTTGAAGGAGAAGTTTTTGCTGCCTATGCCCTTGGCGTGAAGTGCTAAGCAGAGCAAGCAAGAGGAAAATCTGAATGTGTTAAGATACATAATTGTCGATTGTAATGCAGATGCAATAGCAGGGCTACTTTGTACCTTTTCGATCCGTCATGCCTTTTCTTGCTGTTTGCCCGACTTTAGTTCCGAGGAGTCCGTAGCCTAGACTGCAGTACTCGTAGTTGCAGCGACTTCGATGGAGAAGTGGTTGACTTTAGCTACAGTACCATCCTAGATACCTTTATGCTTGCAAACCTCGGCTGCTTACCTAGCTATCAAGCAAAGTAATTACCACTAATTGACGTGGCATATATTTATTATTCTACGAGATGTGATGTATTGGCGTCTATATATCTGATACACTGCAGGTAGTATCGTAGGAAAATATTCACCTGGCATTTACGCTGCCAAAGTACCAATGGTGCTAGTATACAGTGGGTAGAAAATGCAAGTACTAATATTAACCTCAGGTAGGTTATACAGTATATATACTTTACAAAATATACTGTTGGATGACGCGACTGTTCAGTATATACCTACCTCACTGCAAGTGACATGACAAACTCCTACAACTCATTCCTTCTCCTTCTCTAATCTTGCTCAAACTTTACCACGCGATATATCACCTTGACTGGCTCCCAGCACAGCTAAACCCGACAGTCGAGTTTCAGCCACCGCCCGCCGAGCGAAGACGAGTTGAAGAGGCTGTACATGTACAAGAAAAATTCGAAATTCTATCTCGCAAAGCACCTACATTCTAAACTGGCGGGCCCTTTCCATGGCCATGGTGCTGATCTAGCAGCAAATGCGGCTTGATAAAGTCCTCGTCCAACTGGCGGAACCAGGCGGTATGATCTGGCGCAGCGGCCGCGCCGCGAAGTAAGTTCCGAATACTGCTTCCAGGCCCGACACCACTACCACCTCCACCACCAGTAGCACTCCCACCAGCAGCACCTGCGGTTGTATTAGCGGCGGGTTGTGAACCTGGGTGGCCAGCATTATTCGCGGCAGTGCCCATGTCACCGGCGTCGTCGAGGTCGATGCCGTCGTCTATGATATCCGGCGTGTATTGCTTCGCGGCGCCGGAGGTATTACTTTTGTCTCCCACCAAAGGCGACGGTTTGCGCCGCGGTGCCGCGGGAGGTAAGTCAAGGTCGGCAGCGACCAAATCCTCGTCGTCGCTGGTCGACCCTCCAGACCCAGACAACAGAGTCCCCTGTTGGGCGGCGAGGTCGCGCTCACGCTCGCGCTGGCTGAGCGTCGACTGTCTGCGATGACTTTTGGGGGTTCTCGCGCGACTGCTGCCCAGGGGCGGTGAGCGGCCGTTGCTGCTGCTGTAGCCTCGATCCGCGCGTGGTCGTGAGTTTGCGGACCCATTAATACCGCCACCGCCGCGACTACCGGGTCGGTTTGTGCCCGTACCCCCTCCAATATAATCAAGACCAATAGAGGACGGCCGCGGATTGTGGCCGAACCCCGTACCGGAGCGTTTATAGTAGCTGCCGCCGTTTGTTGTTTCAATGTCAAACTCGTCGTCGGAATCAATCTCCTCGACCACACCGGTGCGGATGCCGAGAATTTCCAACATGCGTGCAGTGGTGCCGCCGAAAATGATCACGGTCAGCACCACCACGACCAACACCGTCGCCCGCAGTGCAGGACCCTCGTTTCCCTGTAAGCCGGCCGCCAACGCAACCCCCACGGCACCACGCAAACCGGCCCAGAACAACATGGCCTGGTAATGCCAGGGCAGCTCTTCTGCGACTTCATGGCCCCGGCGTTTCGCTCGCAGTCGAATAATGTAGTTGATGGCCTTGGACAAGGGGAAGACGGCCAACCAGCGCGCAGCACAGATCCCGACCACGGTGACCAGAATGAACAAAGGTTTGAAAACCAGATCCGTCTCGGTAAACAGGGTCAGACCCAGATAGATGAAAATAAAATTCTCCGACAGCTGGGCCAGGATTTGGAAAACAAACTTGGTCGTCAGCTGAGTCCTTCGCGACATGTTGTAGTATGCGTAGTGCTTGAGGGTGATGCCGCAGAACAAGAGGGACACAATCCCTAAAAAGACCACTGTAAGCATAGAACCCTTCTCCAGCATCAAATTACGTACCTGACATGTGCACGCCGTTGGAGAAGAAATACGTGGCATACGCAATCAAAACAACGAGACAACTCTCGATCTTGGGGAATCGGCGCACAAAAGTGTACTTGAGAACAAGGGCGGTGGCCACGCCGACCACCACACCAATCATCAAACTGGTGAAGAAGACTAGCAAGAAGATGCCAATAGCCTCGAAAAGACTGAGGATGTTTAGATTGCCTGTCGTTCCCTCCCGGTACCGTTGGGCAGTCTCGAACAGAACAATGGCAATGGCATCGTTCAGAATGGATTCGCCGAAAATCACGGTATACAGTTTCGGCTCGACCTTGTACAGATTGAAGATGGCCAAGATGGTGACTGGATCTGTCGCCGACAGCGTTGCGCCGACCGAAATGGCCTCAACCCATGAGATGGAGAATCCATCAAAGGGAATTCTCGTCCACAGCCATAGGATCAGTCCCAGCGACACCGCCGATATGAACGTCCCGGCGAACGCGAATGTGAGAATCGTCCCAATGTTGCGGAAAAAGTTGGCCTGTACACAGCCGATCCGTCAGCCATCTCGTCCCGCACACCGTTGATCTGAACTGACCTGGTGTAATTCGTAGCCCGAGTTGAGAATGATAGGTGGTAGAAGGAGGTTGAAGAAGAATTGATAGTCGAAGCTGACAGTGTCCTGAATCGCTGTCCCCGGTGTGATACGTATAACCAGCCCAACGATCATGCCTTTTGGTCATTGATTCATTCAGTCAATTGTCCTTTAGCACCACGCGGCACACACACGCACCGGCAAATATGGAAATGACTGTTTCATGGACAGCCTGGATCCTCTTCTGTTGTAGAATATAACTCGTGAATAACGCCGCAATGAGCAGCATGATCAGGATGAAGAGCGCCCATGACGAGAATATCTCTTTCTGGCCCGCTTCCGAGGGTTCTGCTCGAGGAGACGGTCAGAGAGTGTGAACGTTGAAAGGGGAGCAGAACGAATGGGTCGTGATCGCGCACCGTCTGGATCGACTTCTTCCACCTGCCGGCCTGGATGGTGAATGGTAGTCAGTATAGCCCGCCTTGGGACACGGATGCTGTTTCTTACGAAGAAGATTGATTGTCGCGCCCACCAAACTCGTCGCCATGTTGGCGCAGTTCCAGGGAGTTAGCGGTTCATTCGTGGTATCGGCGGGCCGGGTCGCTTCGCATCGCAGGAGGAAACCTCCCAGCACAGCAGTAGATATGGAGTCGCGTGTGTGACAGGCTGCAGCTCAGGAGCAGGAGGATGCAACGGCAGAATGATTGCGTGGACACACGACTAAAGAACTGACCGCGGACCCTTTTGACTTTTGCAACTGAACGGTTGACGGCGGTGACGGTCGACTTTGATCGGATTCAGGGCCGGGCGCAGGCTGCGTGTCGTCTTCGGTCGATTCTGGCGCCGCCTCATTTGTGACAGTTTGACACCAGGCACAAAACGTATTGATTGATTGAACTGCTTCAAGGATCCATAATTCGCCAGCATGTACAGAGTATATATCGCTACTACTGCTATCGCAACCATTCCTCATTCCCCGTCCACCACGAGGCTTCCCTCAGCAATTGCGAGACAGACATCTGTGATACTAATAAGGCTCTTGCTACAACGTGGGATGCTGGCTGGCGCTCTGGATGGGACGGGACAAGACTGTCAAGTATTATGGTTTGCGACGCGGTTCAAACATCCTCAAGTTTTGCGGGACGAGCTCGAGCATCTAATACCCGTGTATCTCAACCGGTTTCACGGTGATTTCTCCCTCAAATAGAGCGATAGGAGCTTGATCTCTCTTCCCCCTTGCTCTGTAACCATTTGACCCCCCTGTCACCACCATGCTGGTTGCATGCCAGACCAACTTTGAACGCCTCGCAACCCGACCACAATAGCACCGCCTGAGCTGTCTGCTTCCACCTTCACGTTGTTTTATAGTCGTATTGTACAATGGTACATCATTCAGTGCCGCTGGCCGCTCCGCTCGTAGTTCCATTCGTAGCGAATCCATTTCCGCCCAACGTCAATCTCAGCTTCGTTCCCCCTGTAGGGGCGGCAGAACCGCGAGGCGTGCCAGCACTCGATGCTGCTGCGGTGGACTCGCCGTCTTGAGCATTTCTTCCCCCTATCTGCGCGAGATTGGGATGCTCAGATATTTGTTTCGCGATCATTTCATTACAGTGGTTCTAGATTCACGTCAGTAAGGCTTGCATTCAAAAAGAAACAAGTCAGTTGGAGGTCAGACTCACCTCGATTGCAATTGCATCATTGTAAAGCATACTGCCGTCTTCATTGTACGTCTTAGCGTTCCTTGCCAACAGAGCAATGTCTCTGCTAAGATCATTCAAGCTCGTGTATTGGTGATTGTTGATACGTTTTTCAATCATGTCCATGGCAATAGGCTCCTGGATGAAGTTGTAGTAATCGGGGTACAACTTTCTCGGTGGGAGTTCCAGGAACGGCCCAATGACCAGTCGTGTCGGCGGCTCATCATCGCTTTCTTCTTCAGATTGGTCTTCGGGGTCTGAATCCGGGACTTCCAAGGCTTTGATTGATTCAAACACAGCCTTCAATGCTTTTTGCAAGGCGCTTCGTTCGTGGGGCGTTAGCGGGTCGGCCGCCTTGTTCGGTTGTTTTCCACGCTTCCGCTTCGATGCAGGCGTCTCCTCCTCAATGTCGTCGCCCTTACGCTTCTGACCGGCTGACTTCCGCGGGCCTTTCTTCTTCGGAGGGGGCTCTTCTTCCGAGCTTTCGCTCTTTTCAGGTGAAGAAGCCACACCGGCGGCTTCACGTTCTCGCTTGGCTTTGTTCGTTCTTCTCTTGTCAATCCGGGCAGCCTTGCGCTTCGCTGCCTCGGTTATAGAGTCGTCAGAATCATCCACGGCTGCTAGCCACTGTTCTTCCGTCAGACCATCATCATACTTGACTTGAGTCTTGACACGGGCACCACGGCCCGTGTACTCTTCCTCAGGCTCCTGAACCGGATTGTCCTCGGCCATGTAGATCTCAGGAAGTTCACTTTCTCCCATCAAGCGAGGAAGTGGACGCCCAGGTCCATATATGTCGGTCTCGGCTCGCTCCTTGTCCATTTGTTTGAACAACACCAATTCTGCTTCATTCCGAGCCATGATCTCATTCAGATCGTCGTCATCCATTTCTTCTTGGTCGCCAGCTTGTTCGGCCGCCTCCGCTGACTCCAGCAAGGTCTTTAAGAACGCGTCTCGTTCTTCGTTGGTCGACTTGTTGTCGAATTTACCAGCTTGGATGACCTTGCCGTCCATGTCAAGCTTGAACTGGGCGCGCTCCAAGATCTTTTCTTCCACCGAGTTGGAGCTGATAAGACGCAGGATTCGGACTTCATTCTTTTGTCCAATCCGGTGAGCACGATCTTGCGCCTGCAAATCCTGGTGAGGATTCCAATCTGAATCGTAGATGATGACTGTGTCGGCGGTCTGCAAGTTCAGACCTAACCCACCCGCACGAGTCGAGAGCAGGAAACAGAAGTAAGGAGATCCAGGTTCGTTGAAGACACGAAGTAATTCTGAACGATCCTCAGCCTTGGTGCCACCATCGAGACGGAGATATTGAATTCCACGAAGCCGCAAGAAGTCCTCCATAATGTTCATGATCTGAGTCATTTGGAAGAACATCAGGACACGATGGCCAGTGGCACGGAACTTGGGCAGAATCCTGTCGAGGAGCTCGAACTTGCCAGCTGTTCGCCAAATGGAGTCATTGGTCCCTCTCCCGGGATTCATTTGGTCTTCAACGGGTTCAAAGACATAGGGATGGTTGCACAATTTCCTCAACTGCATGAGCATATTGCTGAGACCGCGCATGCTGGTCTTGCCACCCTTGCCGTCCGTGACCGCCAGTTTGTTATGCGTCATTAATTGCATGTACAGCTTAGCTTGGAGAGCAGAAAACCGGCATTTAACGACACGTTCCTGTTTGTCAGGAAGATCCTTCTCGACGTCTTTCTTGAGACGACGGAGCAAGAAAGGTCGGAGCACCTTGTGGAGACGACGGATGACCAAGAGCTGTTCTTCTTCAGTCAGTTCCATCTTATCCTGGCCACCCGTATTGGCAAAAGGAGTGTTGAACCACTCGTCAAACGACTTGACCGACTTGAAGATTGTGGGCAGCACGAAATTCAGCAACGCCCACAGTTCGGGAAGGTTGTTCTGCAAAGGTGTTCCAGTCAAGATGAGTCGGTAGCGTGTCGTGTAGTATTGTGTGATGGTGCTGCTCAGCTTCGACTCCGCGTTCTTCAAACGATGACCTTCATCGACGATAGTATGCACCCATTTGATTTTACTCAAAACCGGCCGATCTTTGATGATGTACTCGTAGGTTGTCAGAAGCACTTGGAAGTTGCCCTGTCGAATCCTCATCTGTTGCTGCTTCCTGGTATTGGGCGGCCCTTTGTATACTATTCGACTGACTGACGGTGCCCATTTCTCGAATTCCAGGTTCCAATTGGTGAGCGTGCTCAGAGGCACAATGACCAAAAAGGGGCCATTTTGACGTTTCTTTTCGATAAGATACGTGATCAAACTGATGGTCTGGATGGTTTTGCCCAACCCCATTTCGTCGGCCAATATACCATTGAGGTTGTTGTTGAAGAGAGAAATCATCCATTGCAGACCCTTCAATTGGTATTCCTTCAAGGTACCGCCAACCAGGATTGAAGGCTGTTCGTTGACCTCTTCCTTGATACGATGAGCGACAGCATAGTAATCAACCTTGCCTTGTCCTTCCTCATCGTCGTCGTCTTCTTCGTCTTCGTCTTGCTCATCCAGATATTTGTCTTCATTACCCCACTTCTCGGCGGCATTCCGTTGTTGCTCTCTGACAGATGCAGCAAGCTGTTTCAAGAAGCCGTCGGTCTGCTTGAGGAGGTGCGTGATACGCGAATCCTTGGCTTGTCCGAGAAGCTTCAAGTAGGTCTCTTCATCGTTGGCCTTGAGGGCTTGCAAACGCTGTTTGGCTGTGCGCTCGATACGCTTCTGCTCTTCGCGTTCCATATGCTGATGGTGTGTTACCATCAATCGTCCCAGTTTCTGGACCCGAGCGCGCTGGCTAACTGCGTTGTTGCGGAGTTCATGACCATGAGCTATGATCGACTGCAAATGGTTGGATTGCCGCGTCTTCTCCTTATTTTCTCTTGCATCGCGTTGCTGCTTTTCGAGCTTCTCGGTAATACGGGCCTCGCGCAGAGATTGCTTCTTCATTCTCCGATGGAGCGATCTGTTGGCTGTCATGGCGAGATTATCGTAGTGATAGAGGTCTTGCTGAATCTCGCGCCGGAACTCGCGTTGCTTGCGGAGCAAAGACAACTTTTTGAACTCAATCAACGCCTTGATCTTCAATGTGTCATCAATCTCAGGTTCAGTTGATTTGCTGCTGTCCCATGATCCGAGGTTTGCTGGGATGGAAGCGAGCTCGTTCTTCCGAGCCTGAACACGGTTATAAACAAGACGTTCCTGCTCTTCCCGGAGTTGTTCTAGGTCGATGCCCGGCGGTAAGAGACTGGGGATCCTCAGCCGTTTAGAGCGCTGGCTATGGTCTGCATAGCTTATTGCTTTGCCCAAAAGGTCATATGGCGATTGGTAAGTGTCGAAGAATGACTTTGCTTGCGCAAGCTGGTCGCCGGCAACGCCTGCTTTCGGTTCCTTAACACTCTCGGGCCCTTTGGCAGTATCCGCACTGGTGGTATCAGAAGCTGTAGCCGTTTGCTGCTTCATGGAAGGAAACAGTTGCTGCTGCAGTTTGGTCGGTAGCACGAGGTTCTTGGACAACATCTTGAATGCGTATATCTGCGTCCTCAACATATTCAGCTGTTCTGGCGTAAAACTTGCATTGGCTTGCGCCACTGCACGTTGCGCTTGCGCTGCCGGGCCTTGCGCGCTGGCCGTCGTATTCGGTGCGCTGGGAGCCGATGAGGCGGCACCATTGACAGCAGCGCCTGGGGCATCTGTTTGCGCGTTCCCAGACCCATTGGTCGCGGCGCTATTTGAATTTCCATTCACCTGTTGACCTTGCGGTTGGTGCTGTTGCTGCTGCGCCGCCTGTTGTTGGGCTTGTTGTTGCTGCTTCTGAGCCTGCTGCATTGCAGCCAACTTTCGAAAATTCTGTTGTTGCTGAACAGCGGTAAGGAAGCGATGGGCTTTGATGTACTCTGGGTCTGTCTCGGGGACATTTTGGGCCTTCATGCGCTGGAATTTCTGTGACACGGTTAGTAGGGGTATAAGGAGTGACAAACAAATTGTCTGTGTTTGGGGCGAAGGCGGTTTGGGAAGAGGCCTTACTTGGTAAACCTCTTGGACCTGTGAAGGGGAGAGGTTAGGTGGCAGCGGTGGCATGGTGGACTGCACCGCGGGCGCGGGCTGGACTGAAGCCATGGCGACTGGTCAGTCGCGGGTGTAAAAATCCCCAGCTCCAGGCAGTGTTTGTTGGGCTATTCAATAAATCATATGCATGACACCTCCAAGCTGAGTCTCTAAGTGGTCTATCACCCCGGTTGGGTAGGGAGGGAGGCAGCCTCGTCGCGTTGGGTGTACTTGGCGATAAAGTTCGGGTGAAGACTGGTCGTGATCCGGCTGAGGCTGGGGCGTTCGAGGTGGGATGCGGTAAAGAGAGGACGAAGAGTCGCCTAGGGTACGCTGAGACACTCGTCAGGTGGTTCTGCTGGAGGCCACTACTCGGTTGAGATGGAAGGAGATGAATGCGACGCGTTGAATGATGATTTTCGCGATTGGAGGGGCCCTTCGCAAAGGAGGATGTGACACCGAAATCTGAAGACCGCTGCACTTTGCTGCTGCGACTAGCGAGCAAGTACTTCGTAGTAGCAGTCGAGTGCAGTCCGCAGTTTCTGGCAGTTCAACAGTTACTTGGCCTTTTCGCCGCCCTGTGGTCACGTGTTTGACCCGTAGCCACCGCGGATGCAAACAGGCAACTGTGCCGAACGCTATCGCGCTTGCAACCCTTTTCAGTAGGACTAGCGGGTACGCTTATTGGCACTACAGAGATAGTGTAATGTTGATAGTGCCTCCTGTCAACACACGCATGTGGGTCTTTGGCAACTTGCATAGGTACTATTAGGTACTACCGTTGTACTGTGTACGAGGTCTACCGTGTACACAGTAGTAGTAGTACACCGTAATCTCACTTGCAGTGCAACAAAGAACATTCATTCCCCCGGCCATAAGACGATACCTGTTAACTTAGGTCGCCATTCTAGAGAAACAATATACAATTCAAGGATCCCAACTGCTCCGATAGCCTTGCTTTTCTGACATTCTTATGCAACGTGGGATAAGTCTCAATGGTAGCCATCCAACGCCAATGTCGTCCAGTCATGGCAGAGTGATACATATCCAACTAAATTCAGGTAAGGACGGTTCTCTTTGCCGGGACTGGAGGTGGAGGTGGCTTTTTAGCACGCGAGGGGGGCGGCGGGGGTGGTGCAGAACTCTTTCTCCCCGTTGACGGTGGAAAGGAATTGCTTCCTTGTGAAGTCGCTGGAGAGACAGACTGTTCGGCGTAACCATGGTCAGGACTGCTGTTAGTGTATGATGCAGAGTCGTCGGCGAAGACATCATGCTCCTCAACGTTGCGGAGTTGCGATCGAGCCGTACGAATCATCAGAGAATCGCTAGGTACTCGAGCCATCAGAGGTCTGGTCCCAGGAGACAACTCTCTGCTCGAATATGCTGGGCTGTCTATTGTGCTCGACCTGGCAAAGTTTGGTCGGGGAGATACACCAGGAGAGTAGTCAGCCATTGAATTTTCCGCATACCGAGCGGGCTGTGTGCGACTGGACCGGATTGCTGGCCGGACTTCGACCGCTGGTGTTTCCTCCACGGGCTCAATATGCTGCGTATAAGAACGAACGGTGTTTGATCTTGAACGTGGAGTAGGTCGGCCTCCTCGATATTGTGGCTGTGATCTGTTCAAAACTGTGAGTTGGCTGGGTCTTTGATTTATGGTCGTATCATACCTGGCCGGCCATTCGGCTTTCAACTGCAAGAGCGCTTCTCTGCACTTGTCATGGTATTCGAGTTCGGCGTCCAGGAAGGCACCAAGATCTGCAACACTCTCCGGGTCCGCATCACGGATATCCTCCATTCTCCTATAGACATCGTCGGCGGACTCTTCGTATTTGGCCTTTTGGTTGCGTAGTTCTTCTTCAACCCGGAAGTCTTCCTTTTTGGCCTTCTGCATCTTTGCGAGCGATGTGTCGTATGCGAGCCGCCTCGTCTCGAGCCTCTTCCTCGCCGCTTGGTATTCTTTCATTTGCACCAGAGATCGTTCGAGGGACTCCAACCAGCTGGAGGTGGCACTGGCAATATACGCCTCCTGAGCTCGAGCCAATCTCTCCTGCGTCCGGCCAAACACTGCTCGAAGGTTAGCTGGTGAACGGTTGTCCTACGCAAGCAGGACGCACTATTAAGGCATTGTCCGAACTCAGAATCAGGCTCAAAATCATCTCCATGAGAAATCATGGTGCCTCCCATATAGGCGATGGGTAGTGTCTTCTCCTTGCCTTCCATCTCGGATCGCTTGGAGATGGCTTTGACGTAGGCAGTCATGGACCTCTGCATCTTTTCAAGACCTATGGAGATGGAGTTAGTTCTGCTGTCAGGTGAAGTGCTACGCATGGCAGGGGCCAACTCCCACCTTCTTGTCTCAAACCCATCTCGACCTCCAGGGCTTTGAAGTCGTCCGACACGTTGGTCTTGACCTCCCCACCCATGCGTTCGCCCGCCCATTGCTTGAAGCGGTCGAGTTTCTTGTTGACATTCATGTTGTAAAGCGCAGCCTGGCTTGTAGCCTCCTATGCTGAGAAAGCGCCGGTGAAGAGAATAATTGCAGATATAGAGATACGTGGAATGGTGGGTATGCTTTGTTTCCTGGCGCGCGGCGGAGCGACCGGGATCAGTGAGACTGCGCACTCGTCACTTGAAATGCGGCAAGGGTGAGCTGAGGCGACAAAAGAGAACTCGGCCGCGCAGTGGCAGGATAGGTCGTAAAACGAGTGTCTGCGCTGCACTTGAGATGTTGACCAGCGGCGAACGAAAGGAAGGCAACTTGAATGCCACAGAACGAAGCGCAAACAAAGACCCGGGCGTGAATCTGATCACTCAAAGCTGGCAATGGCGATGGTGGTGACGCGCAACGCCGGCAAAGTTGGTGTTCCGGCCGTGACCCTGGAAGAACGCAGCAGGAACCACTGCCAGTCCCTTACACCGCATGCCCCTGACTTCAAACTCAACTTTTTATGGGTGTCAATGGCTGGGCCTGGCAGCCATCTCTGAAACAAGCAGCGCCGCCAAACCGCTTACCAGCCGCTAGATTCGGCCAGTGGCTGGCTCTGCACATCTTAACTGACACTAATCTGGCAGCTTCTGTGGTGGACTACTACCCATCACCTGTCCATAAGCAGCCTCCCTGTCGCAACTCTCCCGCACTCCTTGTAGCACCGATTTGGTGCGGACGACGTGGCAAAACACCTCTGCCGCCGCAGATGGCGGCACACGCATTGGCTGTCTATTCTAAGACGAGATTACCCGCATATTTGATCGACGGCTACTGATAGCATCAGAGCATAAGGCATGATTTTTGCAACATTGGACTTCAAGTTTGGACTGCAAGCATTTGGCTGCATTATCTTAGGGATTACCGGCAATTCCACCCAACCAAACGGTTGTTACTCGCTGCTGTCGGAGGACATTTGGTTGTAGCGACTGAGGCTTTTGAATTGGAACTGCAACTGTCGGCTTCCCATTGCCTGGTATCTGAAAACTTCCCCGAATGCTAAGCCGAAGGAAGTCGTTACACAATCACACCGTTTTGGACACCCAATGCACAACTCAGACTTAATCCTTCGTCTTCTGGGTACCACGGAGCAGACCAGTCCGTCTGGCAGCAATGAGACCAGCCTTTTGACCTTGAGCAGCGTATCTGGAGATCGTAGAAGCTTTACCAATATGTTGATGGTTACCACCACCGTGAGGATGGTCGACAGGGTTCATTGCCACACCACGAGTCTTGGGCCAGGAGTTGCGCTTGACGGCAAACTTATGCTTAGCACGAGACGCCTCTGTAAAGATTGTTAGCACTGTTTCTCAATTTTGGGGCCGTCGAACATACTCAGCATGGGCTTGTCAGTACGACCACCACCTGCAACAATACCAATCATTCCTCGGGCGGTGCTGAGGACAACCTTCTTCGCACCACTGGGAAGCTTGACTCGGGTCTTGCCCTCGTCGGGGTTGTGTCCGATGACAGTAACATAGTTGCCGGATGTTCGTCCCAGCGCGCCTCGATCACCGGTCTTCTCTTCGACGTTCGCGACCACGGTACCCTCAGGAACTTGACCCAGAGGCAGGATGTTGCCCACAGACAAGTTGGCGTTCTTTCCAGCGTAGATGAACTGGCCAGTGTACATTCCTTCCACAGCAATCATCGTCTCGGTTCGGTGTTTGTAGGCGTACGGGTCTCGGAACTTCACGAGTGCCAGAGGGGCACCACGGCCTGGGTCGTGGATGATGTCGGTGACCGTGCCGCGAAGGTATCCATGTCGCTCGCCATAGTCGAGAGTTCTGAACTTGGCCGGTGCCTTGTTGAGCCGGGTATGGGCAGCTATGGGAAAATATCAGCACAACTCTGAGGGATGATTGTCGCCAACGTTAGGCCGCTACTGGAGGTTGGACATACTGAAGATGGAGCCTCGGCCCTTTCTCTGATTTCTGATGACACGACCCATCCTGCAACAACGTGAGTAAAGGATGGATTGGTACCGTTGGCGGGTGGTTTACCTGGCAGATGTTGATGTTGGCGACGACGAGGATCAAGACAAGATCGAAGAAAATTGGAGGTCCTGCCTTCTGTGCGCAGCCAATGTCCGAAAGTGTGATAGTTGGCCAGAAATCTTGGCGTCGAATTCACGTGACCCAATTCCTGCAGCTGCCTTGCTCGGCGGACCTTTCAGCACTGGCATGAAATTACGGCAGCCGCTTTAGCACATATGGTGGTTTTTCTACATGTACACAAGGTACCTTACTGTACAGTAGTAGAGTCGTGCACTCCCTTACAGTGTGAGTTTAAGTTGTGCCTTTCATCTCATCTAGCTTTGAAGAAAAGTGTCTTCTTACCTTTCACTTTCAACGTGTAAGCTAGAGGGGCACGGCGACACTATATGCGTGTACTCATTAGAAACTCCAGCTCACACACTGCTTTTAAGCGACCGGCCATCGTTACAATCAACAATGCTGCCAATATTGGACACTCAGGCTAAAGACGTGGTCCTTGGGGGCCTGCACCAAGTGCCCTGTTTGATGAAGTGCAGGTGGTCATATCAGGCTGCCACATATCTTGAAACTCAATGCACATTCAATGTCCAGAACCACGCTATCATATCCACACCTTAAGTGCAATGATCCCTCTGCAATATTGATGCAGTCGGATGCAGCCACTGGCTGTATTCGAAATCTGCACAAGTTGCAAGGTAAGAAGTGCAATGATGAGAGCTAATATACATTTGTCTCCCACGCGGAGTGAGTGTCGGTACTAGCGTACGGAGCTCAGTCGGGGCTCAGCTCTCCACTTACTCTGCCAGTTCCAATGTCTTTTTGACTCCTTATGGGCGTTAAGTGGGATATGCACCGGCTTAACGTTGTTCACCAGTGAAGTAAATATTCAGAGTCAAAAGTTGGAAGCCTCTTGTCTACCAAGATACGTCAAGCGTCCTCTTGGAGTCGCTAGTGACGAAGTGGTGGATACTCACCAACCAGTGTACGCGCGGCCCTCGAACACGTCAAGTGTACAATGTACTCGTATGACGCTACATAAGATATCTCCTATCTGCCCACACATAGGCATGGTCAGTTCCTTCAATCTAACAACGAACACCACAGTAAGAAACAATTTTGAACTCTATATTCATCGCAGTTGAAAGGCACAATCATGGAGTCAGACCGAGGACTATTCTCACATCACGACAAACCACCCAAAAAGCAAAGTTTACTCGAAAAGCTCGAGCACAAGGTTGAGCAGAAGCTCACCGGTGGGCACCAACAACAAGGCCATGGCCAGCAGGGCTATGGCCAGCCAGGTCAGGGCCAGCCCGGTCAAGGCTTTGGCGGGCCATCTCAAGGCCAGTATGGCGGTGGTTATAACCAAGGCTACGGAGGCCAGGGCCAAGGAATAGGCCATCATCAGCAGGGCGGTTTCGAATCAGGTCGTGGAGGTTTTGAGGGTGGTCGAGGTGGTATTGGAGGCGGAAATGAAGGTGGCTTTGGTGGCCATCATGGCGGTGGTGGCGACTTTGGCGGAGGCCGCGGTGGTGGTTATGGAGGCGGTGACTTTGGAGGAGGCCGCGGTGGTGGCTTCGGGGGAGGAGACTTTGGTGGAGGGCGTGGTGGTGGTGGTGGTTTCGGAGGCGGCGACTTTGGTGGAGGCCGCGGAGGATTTGACGGTGGTAGAGGAGGTGGTCATCATGGAGGCGGTGGCCGCGGCGGCGGCGGCTGGTAAACTTTCAGGATGCCATTTCACAGTTTGATACTTTGTCTATTGATACCACTCAGTTCGGTCACGATAGTGACCGCCAGACAATGCAGGAGGGCTGCAATTATATTCGTTCCTTCTCAAAATATCTAGTGCAAGCCTTGCGAGAATTGCGGACTGTCGCGCATCCGGCCTGTGATCAAAGAACTTTTCTACCGTCATCTACAGTCTCTTCTAATCGAACTGATCAATACCCCGTCATTTTGCAGCACCAGTTCTCACCTTGAATACTGCTAATGTTCGAATGTTCGTGCTGTCCGAGTCCATGACCATGGGGAGGCTTGCCGGCCGATGACGCAGCGGTGCTCCGAAATGCGGCCGGAATGAGTAAGGCATACATTGTAGTTAAAGACGGCGTCACAATTGGAGAAACGAGCGAGCCGCCTAACCTTTTCAGGTTACCGAGTATTCCGCTTCCCTGAGCTTCATCAGTTCAACTTTAAGTTGGCAGTTCTACTTCAACTTCCAGCCCTTCAACCACCGGCGTCGCCTCCGTATGGCATTCGCTGCGCCACTCTACCTTCTCAGAGAATCGAGGGATTACAGCTGAGGCGGCGTGTAACTGGCCCCTCTCTCGTTGCTGCCCGGCACCGTGCGTCATGACTGTGCGCCACACCCTTGATGCCAACCACTGGACAACAAGCAATCCAGTAAGGTAAAGTGTCTGCACCTCTCTTCCAATTCACATCTACTTCTATATTACATCCTTGTACACGAGTTGGTACATGACGTTCTGAAGGGCACTGAGTTGAAGGCTACTGATGGCCCCCGGCCAGTGTCAAGATCTGCTTCCGTTTGTGCATCCTAAAGGATAGATCAACGTCCACTGACCGGTAAGTCGACACCGCATGTATAATGGCTCTTTTTTCAAGGCAAATATTCTGGATTACCGCAAGTCACTCAGGATCCGACGTGAGCAGCAGAGCCTGCGCCAGCAGACCTTGCGAATACGGGCATCTGTGCTCAACATGACTTCTTTCATGTACACGCATCGGTCTCCTTGCATATACAGGATATACAGGGTGCCTTCGAGCTTATTATAGGTACAATGAAATATCTTGCCCCCAAGGACCTGAAATTTACTGCACTAGCCAAGGGCAATGTCCTTGAAATCTGCTACGGAAATGTGTGTGCTGGCCTTCATATCGTTCCATCTGAGCAAAGCAAGCTGGGTCAGTTGCAACAGCGATACGACAGGCGGGCTCCGGATCTTTGAAATTCTCTCCTGCGCAAGCACTCGTCGTGAGCGAGCCTGCTTCGTGCAAAAGGACTCAACTGCCAGCCTCCAGCCGATGGACTGAATATGCACGGAGAACGACAGTCGAGCAAAACCCTTGCAGGTTAAATACACGCCTTGTGCGATGTCAATGCACGTGTGTGAGAGGGGGAACAGTCCTGGACAAACTCAGGGCCAATTGACGGGGTGCCACTGGAAAGGGGGCCACGCTTGGCAAATGCGGCCACTCAAAACCCGACCTCGGACTCGAGCATACTTCAACAGAAGGATGAAGTATCAACCTGAGGGCTCCCAAGGGCTGTGGCCCCTATGATACATTGTTCGATCACTACCCTGTGCAGTGATAGTTGGCAGTGAACAGCAATCCCATATACTGCTCAGAGCCCTCAATTGAATCTATATGCTGTACCAGACGGATCGTATAATTATATATTGCGCGCTAAGATCGGCGTTTAGCTTGATATTCACTGCTAGAGCGAGTAGTAATCAAGCTGAGTTGTTCCGCTGGCTGCTCGCTCGACCGATTGGACTTGGACTTGTGAATTTCCACCCTCGCATCGTGCCCGCCCAACTTAATTCCACCGCGCTCCTTCCTCGCTTCTACCACATCAATGCGACCGCGACCGCGACCACAACCACGATCAGGCTGTAGCTCTTGCCAGCCGTCGCGACACATCATCATGGACGACTCAGACTCTTCCTCGTTGTCGTCAGCACCATCATCCGAGGATGAAGAAATGGTGCAACGAATGACGAAACCTACTGGATTGGATCGTTATTTCAAACCTGCGCCCAAAGAACCCTCTCCAGAGCCTCCTAAACGCGCCCCTTCGCCTCCTCACGAGTACACGCTGGCGGACAATGATGCCATTGCCTTTATTGTTATGTTTCGGAGCAGATTTCACGACGCGTTCCCCAAGTCCCTGCCACATTATGGACCGCAAGACATTGAAAGAGGCGTTTCGGGCGAATTACCTGACGAACAAGTTGAACGACTATTGTGCGCATTGCTAGGCCTGGTGCTAAACAGAAAGAAGGATGTCGAGTCAGTCTCAAACCTATACTCCGGTGATTTCAAACGCGACGCCAATTGGGAGGTCTAACTTTTGGCACAGACGAGGACACTATGGCAGGGCTCTTGAGGACGCAGTCTCTGCGAACCAGCACCAGTGGCCTAAGGCATGGAACGGGGTCAATCCCCTACACGGTGGGAAGAACTTCAACAACATGACGGCAGAAGAACGGGTATGCAATATATGCCGCGGTGTTAGACGCGATACTGACGATATATGTCCGCCAGTTGACCCTACTAAAAGCCTTGGTGTTGTGGTCCTTGAATGCATCAGAAGTCGTGCAAGGACTCATCAAAGAATCATACAAGCAAACACGACGCGACGATGATCGAAATCAGCCACGCAGTGTTCAGCCCTGGTTCACGGACCAATATCGGCGAAAATATTGGCTTATTGAAGGACTGGAAGACTCCCATTTCCGGATTTACAGAGAGAACGACGGGAAAACTGCAAAGACCAATACCTGGTTCAGCGTCGCAGGAACAATTGACGAAGTCAGGGCACTGGCAGACAAGTTCAGCGAAGAGCATACGTCCAATTCCAAGTTGAACGCGGACAAGTTGCGGTCGGCAATCCCTAGATTTGAGGCCGGGGAAGAGGTTTGTGAACTGTGCAATGGTCCACGAGTACTTCTAACATGACTGCAGAAACGCAAACGGCGCGACTATCGCCTGGCCCGTAAAGCCGCCTTCCGCCGACCCGAGCCAGGATTCTCGCTTTACGAGGGGCGGACCCGGGGCAAGAGGATGAAGTACACCTTCTCGGATGATGAGGATGGTTCCGATGGACTCTCAAGCCGACGCTCCTTGCGGAATTCTGGCTTTTCTACTCCTGGGGATGTAGGACCTACCGTGACTGCCAGTGGCAGACAGGTCAAGTCAAGACATGGAGGGATCTATGGAGAGAGCATGCTTGTAGACCAGCGCAAAGAATTGGAGAAGACTACCGGAGATGATCATCTCACCGAGACCAGCGAAGACATGCCTGCCACCGCGCCCAATGGACGAGGCATGAGAACGTCAAGATCAGGAAGACCGGTCAAGGTGACAAGAGAGACGTACACCGATGGCACAGACTCGGAAAGCGACGAAGCTCAATCTTCTGGAAAAGAGTGGAGTGGAAACGAAGATGAGCCGGACGAGGATGATGACGATGAAGGAATGAGTGACGATGGACTGGAACCGGATGAAGTAGAAGAGGATGACAATACCCAAGAGAGTCTGGTTGTGCAGCTGCGGTACCGCAAGGGTAAGGAGCAACTTCGAGAGAACCAGCAGCAAACATCTTCAGCTCAACCTGATACGAACGGGACCGTGTCAAGTCCTGCAAATGGACTGGCAGAAGCCGGAAAGGCCATCAAAGAACCGGAATCAAAAGCGTCAATCAACATTGATAGCAGTACCGCTGTGGCGGACGAGGCTAAACCCATCGATCCACCTCAAACGGAGCTGAGCAATGGAGTGGCAGCACCCACCAACGGACAACAAGGTCAGGAAACAAACACTACCACGTTACACCCGCCGCCGCCGCCGCCACCGGTGTCAAAAGAAGCTCCTGTGCAGTCCATGGACACAAGCTGAACGAGGCTCCATCAGAATCGGCATGCTCATTATTGGAGCAACAAGGGAGATCAGGGATCATCCAACTGTCAAGGTCGATGATGGCGAAGATGGTGTGATACCTGTGAAGACTGCCTTGATCCGACGAATTTTTGGACAACACTATGGTGGTCTGGACAATCTCTACAATCTCCAGTCCCTTGCGCTGTTGGCAGTGCGAACGAACGAGCGAACGAACGAACATCCGATAGAGTCGATATGGATGTATATCTCCTCAATGTTGTTAAAACGCCTTTGGGGAGAGGACAATACAGAAACGATTTACAAACAGCAAACATTCCAGGCTACTGAAAACAGTTGATCCACGTATTTTGCATTGTAGTGTACTGCAGTTTCATTGCGCTTCATATCTCGATAGTATGTGGCTTTCGGACCCTGCTCTCCCCCTCCCTGGCACGGCCTGCCCTGCTATGTCAGAAACAGACAAGACAGAAGGGGAGCTATGCAGTCATGTAGCGATCAGGCCTTTGTATTTCGTTTCCCTTTTGCTCACCCCTTTTTTGTGTCCTGCCTCAATCTTCAGGCATTTGAAAGACGCTGTTTCGGCCATGGCCATGATTTTCTCTGCCGTACAGCTTTTCATCAAGGTAATCCACGGCGGCGCCGGCGCCGGCCCCCGGATTCTCCAGGGTCGGGGTGATATCGTCCAGCTGGACATGCTGCAACAGCTGGGCCATGGAATCTCCAGTATCAATGGGAGAGCCGAGAACAGGTGCTTGTAGTCCAAGTCCTGCACCCGGTCCAGCACCAGGACCTGCTCCTTGTCCGTTTCCATCCATTGGTGGCGTGGCCACGGCGGCAGCCCCAGGAGGGAAAGGGACAGAGGCCGCCAAATCCTCATCTTGCCAGGGAACGCCCTGCGACAAACAATAGTTGCGGAAGAGATATTTTTCCATCCGCGCGACCTGGACGTTCCATTTATCGTCGAGGGTGCGGATGGCCGCGGACATTTCCTGTTCCGTAAATGACGCGGTCGACGACATGGAACTGCTGTGGCGATGTTTATGACCATAGGAATGACGGTGGTGGTGGTGATGGTGATTGTGGTGCGACGACGTGAGCCCCAGCCCAAGCCCATGACCGAGACCATGACCGTGACTGTTGTTGATGTTGCTGTTGTTGTTGTTGATACTGTGATTGTGACGATGGACTTTCCCCGTCAACGCACTAGTCAAAGTCTTTTTGATCGTGGCACCGCCGTTCTTGCTGTGATGACCGGGTTTGGGACTGTTACCACTCGTTGGTATCTGGTCCATAGTTTCAAACTCTCGCTGGACCTTCTCCAACGATTTTGCGCGGTCATGGTCCATATTGGGCATATAGAGGAGCGAGAAATTCTTTTCCAGGGCATCGACCAAGGTCGTAAAACTCTGCAAGTTAATATCGTTATGGTCGCAATGGATTTCCAACAGGGTATCATTCTTCTCGAGAACCTCCGCCAGCGTGTTGGCCCCTTGCATCCCGAGACCCTGGTACTCGATCCGTAATAATCTCAAGGTCTTATTGTTCTCCAGCCCCCGCAACGCTATATTGAGTCCGATGCCGAACCGGGTGGCGTCCAAATGGGCGTGTTCGCCACTGATATCAAGCTCTTCGAGCGTCTGGTTCGTGGCGAACATGTCCTTGAGGGCTTCGCACGTTTCGACACTCGCGTCGTAGGGCAACGAGGCGCCTGAGATGTCCAAACTCCTCAAGCTGGTGTTGAGCGTCAAGGCCTTGATCAGTTCGCGGAAGTGGCTTTCCTTGTCAAAGTCCATCATGCGCATACTCAATGACGTGGGGCCGTAACCTTGCGCGAGCGTCTTGAACAAGACTCCATTGCCGGATTTCAATCGATTCTCGTTGGCACTGACGTGCATCACTCTTGGTTGTCCGTTGTCGCGCGCCATGGATTGGAAAAAGGTCGCCAGGTCCCGGCCCGTCAGACCACATTGATTCACGTGGATCTCGCGCAAAATGTCCGATTTCGGGCTGGCCAGGTACGTCGCGATCGAGTCGACCGTTTGCTCGTTCAGCGTCGTCTGCGACAGATGAAGCGATTCCAACCTCCAGGCGAACAAGGCGTCGGGTGCCACCAAGGGTTCCGGCCCGGCCGTTTTCTGCACCCGCGTCAAGTTCAACCGCCGAATCCGGGAAAAGGCGCCAATCACCCGTTGGAACAGTTCGGGACTGAACCGCCCCTGCGCACCCGATATGTCAATCACCTCCACCGTACTTTCTTGCACGGCCAGAGCTGACAGAAGCACGTCAATGTCGTGCACCGACAGACCGGACTCGCCGATCTCGAGCGCTCGCAGGTGACATTTCCGCTCGGAAGCAGCGTCGACCAGATAATTCAGGTCCGACTCGGCCAGTCGCAGGCCCGTAAGCACAATCCAGTCGACATTGGTCAGGGATTTTTTGCACAATGGCACGAGTGCCTCGAGAATCCCGCAGTCCAGAGGCTGTTCGTTCTCCGCCAACGCTCGCTGAGGGAGAGTGTATGAAAAGTCCAGTCGGCGCAGTCGACGACTCTTCAGGGCCAATGCGCGGATTTCTTGACCCAAAACCGGCAAGTCCTGGTGGCCAGGTATGTTGGTTGGGTTTCCGGAACGGGTGAAGAGGCTGTCAAAGTCCGCGCCAAATGTATCGTACAAATGCCGTAGAGGACTGAGATCGATGCGCGCGAACGATATGGACGTGAATGATTCGTTATAACGGAGGGCGCGAAACACAGCTAGAAGTTCCAGGGCCGAATAGGGCGTTCCGGTTGAGGAAGACAGCAATATGAAGCAAGGAGCGTCTTCGCACTGGTAATCCACAGAATAGCAGATGCGCGAAGTATTCACTTCATACCCAGCACAATATGCGATTAATGTTCGATCGAAGCAATCGTGGTCCTCCGTGGGGAAGGTGGGAGGATTCATCCGGTCCTCCAGCTCCTCCGGGACATCAAAGACAAAGGGCTCTCTAAGCCACTCCGGTCGCAGATATTCCGATGCGAACCGCAGCCATACGGCAATCTCTCCCGCGGCATAAGAGGCTAGCTGAGCAGCGTACGGTTTCCCTGTAGGTGGCTTGAACAGAAGCTGGAAGGCATCTTCGTCGGCGTGCACTCTTATCGAACTCAGGGTCACAATGGCGAAAGACGTAATGGCCTCGGCCTCGCTCAGCGAGGCGCTCGACGAGCGCGTCGATTGTCGGTACAGCGGAATCAAATGGACCTTGTGAAGCCCGATGACCAGATAGCAAACCGCCGAGCCCAGCCTGGTCAAGTCTTCGTTGGAAGCCCTCCCCACAGATCGGTTGACGGACCGCTGTACAGCCTTGAAGACGTGGAAATGATCCGGGTCGTAATCTCTCTCCCGTTCGACAACCCGAGCAAGGTGTTCCAAGACCGGGTCGGGGATTTGTTGAGAAAGAAGAGTCCTTGCCTCGGCGGCAGCCGTTCGGATCGCATGGGTCCACAGGTGAGCTTCGCGAAAGTCGCTCAATTGCAACTGCATGGTAGAAGCCCGTCGGGTCCGTTCATCCAAGTAAGCCACTTCCACTCCGACGAATGGCCGACCATCGTCGATGATGTACACGGCAATGACTTGATCGAGAGGGATGCCGGACGTGATATCTGAATAGGCGGTCATCTGGAGCTCTGAATACGAGCTCACTGAGGAAGTGCGAGCATTGTGACCTTTGCCCATGCCAGTGGGAATGGTGGGAAACATTTCCACCGCCTTGGACTGGCTCCTGAATCGGATGAGATGCGACTCGGTCAGAACCATGAATTGAGTCCGCTTCCTGAAAACGTTGGTGCCTGCCGCTTGCACTTCGCCATACTGTAGGACCTGGTCGCCCAAGAGGCCGCGGATGTTCATGTCGCCGTCTTCGTGCAGAGACGAGGCTTTGGAATCCGATCTGGTGAGAGCGGCCTTCTCATCTTCCTCAAGGGAATGTAGAGACCGAAGCGACCCGAACACAGAACCCCGGCTAGACTTCTGTAATGTTTTAGGACGAGCCTTGGGGCTGGGCTGTTCCGACGAAATGGGACTGGGAAGATGAGAGTCGCTTGATCGTTTCCCTGATGGGCTTGTAGGTATTTGTATGGGCGGCATGGCTTCAACCTTCTGGCGGAAGATGCTCAGGCTTTTCCTGCGGCGTTTGTCGGCCATATTGACATCTGACACGAGGGCGCGATTGATTTCAATAGCCTCCCACGGCCCCAACTTGAAGTATTCTGCACAACACAGCTATTTCTGAACCTTTGACCGGATTTATTCAAACGGGTTCCTCATGTGTCTTTGATAGTGATTATGTCCTCATGTGCATTAGCACACGGCAATCGCAGAACCACCCGGCATTGTTCCCCGACTTTTGTTTCGTTGCGTGTTTGTCTCAACCAGCTACAATCATGTCCGACTGTAGGAAACCAGAATAGTCTTGCCTGCGACTCGACTTGGGCCGTTTTACAAAGAACGGAATTGTGGGCGGAATGGTCTCGGAATCTGTGCTCCGGGTCTGGAACTTGGTGGTGCCTGGGGGGACAATATATTGGAGTGACCACGGGCAGGGCAGAAAGACGATAGGACGCCGGCGAGGTGGTAGAGGCTTGACAGGTGTGACAGAGAGCGCCGGCTGGTGGGAGAGGATGGACATACACAAGCTGAGCTGCGGGATGGGCGACACACGAGTCAGAAGAGATAGGAAAAGGAGATGGAGTTGCGTATCAATTGCGAGTTGCCAATGCACTGCATTGCCAGCGCTGCGTAGTTACAAGTTGGACTGGTGTTCGGTGGGTGAAGTACACCTCAGGTCGGGATGTACGTAACGCCCTCGAAGCGGAGATGCAATGCCCGCCCGTCTTGTTCTTCCGCTAGAAGCCTTCGTATTTTCTGCTCAGTCGATTCGTTTACTGCAATTCGTCGTTTTTTGGCGGACCGACGTCTGCCGGGAGTGGCACCTCTTGATGGCAAGGATGGCAGCGGGCGAAGTCTCCGGTCCCCAGCAGTTGGCCGCTTGACAACTGGCTACGATGGACTATGATGGACTGCGATGGACTAGGATTGGCTCCTGGGAATCCGACCGGATTCTCTCCTCCAGGCATCATCCCAACTGGCCACGAAACCCTGCTCTGGGCTGGCTTGCAAACTGCTCCTGCTAGGTACTTAGGTATCTACGCAGGGATTCCGCCGATCGGCACAGCCGTGGATGATGCTGAGACAATGGCAGTTGGGCTCGCAAAGCACTGCAATTGAAGCCCAGGCCGTCCAAACCTCAGTCCCCGTTCGAGTGTGCGATTGGCGAGAGCTGTTGCGGAAGCCATCTCGATCTCTCCTTCTGCCACCCAACGCCATCCGGACTGTCCCCACGAACGGGCGATTGCCGAACCACGCCACAGCGGCGATTTATACTTCCTGTACTACCTACTCCTCGATCAGCGTTGACGCTCGTTGCTAAGATGGCATAGCATCTCTAATGCCACCTATACAGGAGCAGGGAGTTCAAACGAAAAAGATTGGCAACCGCACGTAACCAAAAACCCATTACTTCTAGGTGGATCTGGCTGCGTATCATCCAAGGCATATCTTGCTTGTTGGTCATGCTATCTTCTCATCTCCGGGTGCCGCCGTGGAGTGCATACGTACCAATGCATGACTCGACGAACGATAACGCCCAATTTGAAGCACGCCAACTCTACCAGAAGCTCACATCGGTATCCACACCATGACCTACTGCGAGTGTCGCACCACGCATGGCCGATCTTCCTGCTCCACGCTTCTTTTGTTACCGTTGCTCACACCCTGAAGTAGAGTATTGAGATTGTACGAAGGAACACGTTGGCTGCTGAAACATGTCTCTACTGTAGTACCCTCGATCGCTGGGACCGTGCTTGGGACGACAGGGCGTACTCACTGTTCTTCGGTGATCGCCAGCCTGTCAATCTCAGGCTGAAATCTCTACAACGTGGCACCGCCAGGTTGGTCTGTATCGCCGGGGAGCCGCCGCTCCAAAAGTTGTAACCATGAGTCTGGTACATGTTGCACGGATTCCCGAGTATTGATATTGTTATACAAAGATAGCCTACTTCGTCACTCCGACGGGGCCGGCTGTATTCCATCACTTTTTGTCGGCCCCGATGCGATCTCCGTAGAGGACGACTCTGTCACGTTGGGCATCAAGCTCGTCCAACTTTCGCCGCCACTCCGCTCCTTTCTGGCTCATGGAAAGCAGTTGCTGGATATAGTAGCTGACCGCTTCGTCTTCACTTTGAGGAGCCTCCAACACGGCCTTGCGACGGTTCTTGCACAGCAAGTAGTTGCGTTGCCCAGACACTTCGGTGAATGGTGTCAATGTATATTCGACATCCCAGCTGTCCGCTGGCTGCAAGTCTCGAGGCCGGCTGACGGGAAGCCCGTTCACGATGTTCCGGATGTTCAATTTCCAGGCGAGAATGGGCTTCTGGATCGCCGGTTCTTCTGCTGCTGGCTCGGAAGCCTGAGCCTGCTTCTTCGAAGGCTCGGGCGCACTGTTGGCAGAAAGATTGACACCCATAAGACCTTGTAGAAAGCCGACGTCGGCTGCGTTTGAATTCTTGGTGGACGCCATTTTCTCAGCTAGCGTCGCAGATGATGTTTGAGGTGTCGCCGTTGCCTGACCGGCAGACTTTGCAGTTTCTGTCTCGGCTTCAAATAAATCGTCCTCATCTTCGGGGGCAGCCTTCTCCCATTCGTCATCCTGTGTCTGCCGAGGCTTGGGGTTGAAGATTCGTCGCTCATAAGCTTCGATTTCCTCTTTCTTTTTACTCTGGATATCGGCAATCTCCTCCTCGGTCACGGGTTCTGCAAAGATGTACATATGAGGTGCCTGAACGGACGTTGCCTCTCTAGCTTCAAAATGAAATCTTATCGACTGGTTTGGGAACTGCGCCGTTGCTTGATCAAAAATGTCGGTCAGTAGTCTGAAACTGTGCCGAAATTCTCGGTCACCCAGTGTTGGGTCCGATTGACCGTGCAGAGCCAAGTCCAGTTCCGGGAGTGGGATATACTGGAATCCGAACAGGCGTTCTGTGTTATGGTAAGCGACAAAGATCCCATCCATGCGGCCCATGCGAACTTGAAGCGAGTACTTGAGGAAGGCCGATCGCATCATGTCATAATACTCCCGCTCAAACGATTCCCAGGTACCAAACCTCTCTTTGATTTGATAGCCGGCACCTTCTTCATGCTTGTGAACCATCATCCGCACCGCCGCCACCGCACGCGTTTTGAGGTCGAACATGCCGGTACCGGGGAGTCGGGGGTCGTGGGCATCCAGCTGAGACCGAAGCAAAAACTTGCCCAGCTCGCTATAGTGGTATGCTTCTGGTTCGGATGAGTGCATCTCAGAATCTTTCTCGGCGTCATGAGTCTTTCGATACCTTTCGTATTCATCCTTGTCGAGCGTCAGGAGCTTCTCCATGGACCGACCCAAACTCATCAGGATGTTTGCCGAGTCAAACTCCTTGTCGGCATCCACGGCATACACGCCGTCCTTGTATCGAAGAAATATAGCGGTGGGACCTCTCTGGATTTTGGTGAATGTGCTCCCGTCGTCTTTGAAGCCGCGGGTAAGGTTGTCCATGGTCAACTCACGCCATGCAGAAAGCAGAAAATGGAAATGGGCCAGGACCCCGGACATGCTCGAAGTAGACCCAATATACCGCCTTCCCTGTTTCGAAGCCACTTCACGTAGAGAAAAATCCTCGGAGGAAGTGATGTATCGGTTGAGAGCGTCGTAATTGAACTCGGAGACCGGCATGATATTACCCAGGTAGGGGTCGAAGTTCCAGACCCTGGACCGTGGATCCTGGAGCTGATAGACCCCTGGATTGAACAGAACACGCGGAAGGTCATGGCTCAAGGTAGGGACCTTGGAGCGTGCAACCTCGACGGGGACCAAAGCAAACCCGTCGAGTTGGGCCACTTTCAAGCGCGCTTCGTCCAGCGACGCGATCCTTTCCTTATCGGACGCCTTGGATCTGCTCCTGGTCCCATCTTCGCCGGCGACGGGATCTCCGGGCGAGGTTCGCGACGGCTTGAGCGGCGGCCCTTTACTTAACCGGCGGCGGATCAGTGGCGTATGTCGCTCGGCTCTAGGCACAGGCTTGCGACGAGAGGCCTTCGGCTTGCTAGGACCGTGCGATCCGCCCTCTTGGAGGATACCTAGTCCTCTCAGAATCCTCCGCGTCTCGTCATCAATGACATCTACCTTGCCACGAGGCGTAAGGGTCGCGACTCGGCGAAGATCCGAGTCCAATACATTGAAAGGCCGCTCCGCATATGCGCTCTGGAGTGTGGGAATCGTTCGACGAAGAGCTTTTGTCTTGGGTTTGAAAGTCCCCAGCACTTGTTCCAGGCTCAGGTCATCGACCGTGGGTGCAGTCTTGGGCACCAGCGTCCTGGCATGCTCTTGCAACAGCGGTAGGAAATCGGTGAAGGCCTTTATTTTATTCTTCTGCGCGCCAGTCAAGGTGCTATCAGGCGCTGTGGTCGCATCGTGTTTCGCCGGCCTTCGAGGTGCCCGGGGTGGACGCTTTGCATTCGGGAGCCTTCGGTCGGGGCTGGACGACAGATATCGCGCCTCAAGGGGGCGAGCGGTAGGGTCGACGCGATGAAGCGGAGACGGCAAGACTCGTTGTGGATTGCTGTGCCTGAGTCGACATAATAGACATATGGGCCGTCTCACGGAGAAGGGCCGCATGTGAAGTGGGAAGAGCCTGCCTTCCAGAAACAACGGAAGTCCAGTCCAAGTTTTTCCACTGTCGCGCAAACCAGACTTGCTGCAGCGCTTTGACTACTGTATGTCCGCGTACCGAGGAGGGGGAAGGGAGTCGCCGCCCAAACGAGAGACCGAGGAGATGGGAGGTGATAGACTGGTAGGGGATGGAAGTTTTGGCTGGCGCTTGAACACCTGCAGACGGCGACGGCGACTTCGAGTTCCACTTCAAGTTACACGACGCTTTTTCTGCTTCACGTGTTGCAGGTGGCTTGGCACCAGCAACACTGCAGCGGAGGCGGTCAGCCTTGTCGACGTTACAACGTTGTAGGGACGTCGTTCCACTACTACTACTACAACAACAACATCAAGTAGAAGCCACTATCGTTGTCCTCTGTTCTCTCTCGCAAGTGATTTTTGACTGGGGGCGTAAGAGCATATGCTTTGCTCTCGCACAGTCGTGGTTCATGACATTATATCCGCAACAAATCTATGCCGTTGACCAGTGGAACCTTGGTGAACTTACGCGTGATCATCTTCTAATTATTGATTCTCGAGCTGGCTTTGCTCCCCGATCCAATGAACGCCCGCATTCGCCATCAATTGAAGCAAGACAAACTCAACGATGAGGGGACTCCACATCGTATTGCATGATATGACAGGCTATGAAGAAGCCCAGGATTCTAAATTCCTCAGAATACAGCCTTCAGCACCCTGTTCCCTGTTTACAAGCCTTCCGATTCGGAAGACGGTCTCGCCTTCGGCTTCCAAGATCTTTTTGACCTCACCGGAGGCCACATCGGACACAACAAGAACCATGCCGATACCATTGTTGAAAGTACGGCTCATCTCTTCGTTACTGACTTTGCCTGCCTGTTGCAGCCACTTGAACACCGGGGGCCGATCCCAGGTGGACACGTCTATCTCAGCAGCCAAATGGTCTGGCAGCATTCGTGGCACGTTTTCGACGAGACCACCACCTGTGATATGTGCCATGCCTTTGATGAAGTCTCGTTTGACCACCTGTAACAGCGGCACGACATAAATACGTGTCGGGGTAAGCAGGGAGTATCCCACGGTCGTTTCCGAGTTCCATGGTGCAACGTCTGAGAAATTCAGATGCATCTTTTCGATGATGCGCCGCACCAGCGAGAAACCGTTCGAATGAATACCACTGGAAGCCAGACCAAAGAGGACGTCACCTGCGACCATGCTTTCCATGTCCGGCAACACTTTCTTGCCGGCCGGGATGTCGACCGCACCGATTGCGGCGCCGACGGCATCATACTCGGTGCCGTTGAGGAGACCGGGCATCTCGGCCGTTTCACCTCCCACCAGTGCGCAGTTGGAGATTTTACAGCCTTCGCACACCCCTCGGATGAAGTCACTGGCAATGTCAACGTCCAGAACGCTGCATGTATAACAATCCAAGAACATAAGCGGCTCTGCGCCTTGCACCACGAGGTCGTTTACGTTCATGGCTACCAGGTCAATGCCGACGGTATCGTGGACATTCATGGCGTGGGCAATCTTGAGTTTGGTGCCGACGCCATCGATGGCGCCGACCAGCATGGGGGACTTTTCGTTGTACCCAGCTCTTGCAAGGTCAAACCCACCGCCGAAGCCCCCGATCACGGAATCGGCGCCGGGCCGCGAGGTCGCCTTGACTGCTGGCTTGATTCTCGCGACAAGGTCGTTTCCTGCATCGATGGACACTCCGGCGGAGGCGTAGGTCAACCCCGCCTCTTCAGGTTCCGTTTCTTGCGCCTGTCTCTTGAACGCGCGATGGGCGATGTCTTTGCGGAAATGCATTCCCTCGAACTTAATGGTGTCCATCCCCTGGTAGGCTTTGGCAACGGCTTCTTCCAAAGTTGCTGCAGTTGCTGTCGAGGCAATCACGCGGCCTCCGGTGGTGACGACCTGTTTACCGTCCCTACCGGTTCCAGCGTGAAAGACAAGTACGCCCTCCGGAGCTTTATGCAGAGTGATGGGTCTGTTCTTCGCGTATGGACCTGGATAGCCTTCGGAGCAGGCAACCACCGTGGCAGAAAACTTGGGTTCGATCTTTAACTCCACGCCATCTAGCCAATGTTCTGTGCAGGCTAGCATGACTCTAGCGAGGTCTGTATCGTCGCTCAAGAGGGGCAGTAAAGTCTCGGTTTCAGGGTCGCCTCCTCGAACATTGTACTCCAACACCTTCGGGCCGTTCTTGGTGATCATCAGTCCCGTGAAAAGCATGCCCACGAAAGGCATGGCCTCCCTTCGCATGCCGTCAATGGTAGGTTGGACAATTTCCCGGTCAATCTGCGCGATCAATTCTTTGGAGGCAACTCTCGTAGGCGCATAACAGCCCATGCCTCCGGTGTTCGGACCTTGGTCCCCATCCAGGGCGCGTTTGTGATCCTGAGCAGGAGGCAGCGATCTGATGGTATAACCGTCACTGAAGGTAAGAACACTCAATTCCTCGCCCTCCAGAAATTCTTCAATGACCACCTGTGAGCCAGCGGACCCAAATTCCCGGGCAACCATGATCTGCTTCAAGGCATCATGGGCCTCTTGCTTTGTTGTAGGAATAATGACGCCCTTCCCGGCAGCCAGGCCATCTGCTTTGATGACAACTGGGTGATTGACCGAATCGAGGTAGTGCCGAGCCGCCTCGTAGTCGGTAAAGTTCCGGAAGGCAGCAGTTGGGATTCCATGTCTTCGCATGAAATCCTTTGAAAACGCTTTCGATCCTTCCATGCGGGCGGCAGTTTTGCTGGGGCCAAAGCAGCGAATACCAACCGCACGGAAAAATCCTTCCACGCCAGCCACCAGCGGGGCTTCCGGACCAACGATCACCAAGTTGAGTCCGTGCTTCTTTGCGTGCGCGACCAGCTCGGTGAAATCGTCGGCGGCAATGTTCACGTTAACGACGTTGCCGGACTCGGTCCCTCCATTGCCGGGGGCCACGTGGACGATATCGACCGACGGTGACCTTGCCAGCTTCCAAGCGAGGGCATGTTCGCGCCCACCAGAGCCGATGACCAGGATACGCAGCCTTTCCGCCATGGTTGGAGAAACAGCTGTTCGTCACGTCTAGAAGGACAACAGAATGTTAGTTAGGTCAACGCTGTGGCCCACCCAAACTTGAAAGTCTGCCAACTAGGAAATAATGAGCAATTGAGATGAGCGCAAGGCAGGCGAAGCAACCACAACTTTCAAATCTCGACTATCATATCTCCACGGTCCGGCAACGACTCTTGATGACTTTTCTCAATGCTGGTTGGCTGGAAAAAAGTAGCACATGCATAAGGGAAACACAAGGCTGTCAAGAGCGCATAGCACTCACCTAGTAAAACGGGTTATACCGATCACCAACGGACGATCACAAATCAACCCGCAATATCACAGGCTCAGCATGGTGTTCCCGTAATCTTTTGTCCATCTGGGGAAGAAAATCTAGAACTTGAGCCGGGGACAATTTGATGCCAAGGCTGATAGAAAAGTTTTGTCGAGTTTGATTGGCTGCTTTGGTATAGCAAGCTCTACGGCGGATTGCAGCGTGTGTGGACCGCAGTTCTGATCAAGCGCAGAGCTTGAGCACAGAGCCTTGTCAAGCCCGAAAAAGGGGGGTGCAACGAGGCTTGACGCCGGAATCGGGGGAAGGGGAGCATCGCTCGAGCAAACGCCTGGCCGTATGCGTTATCAGCAACTTGAACCGTCTACTGCTGCACAGCACAGCACCGTGTTATGCAAGGGGTCCTCCCCACAGGTTCGTCCTCGCTCTGTCATTGGCCGCTCGACCACAGGCGAGGATTTTCCAATCCCCAACTTGAACGAGTGACTGTCCTTCGACCAAGCTTGTGCTGCGAATTGAGTCGACGGATACTAATACTACTGGAGCGGCGCTACAACAGTTCAAATTCTCCAACGTGGGCGAATACTACTGCCAGAGAACACGCATAAGCCCAGCAAGTAAGACCAGTGCATTTTGAAACCGGAACCGTCATTTCACGGCTCTATCGACGCGCCGCTCCTCCATTTATATTTGTGAATAGCCCTACTGAGGGCACCAACGACCTCAGCCATGTATCTGATAAGTCAGTCGCAACAAACTCCCCTCTAAGGCTTCTTCATCGTTATCCCGAACCATTCTTGAAGCTAACGTGAGCAGAGGTACCATGCTCATCCGCCAACATCGGTAAGTCAACACCCAATCAGCAATGCGAATAGACAAGACAGCCCTGCTCTCCGTGAATCACCAATACATATTTATATTCCCAGTCACTTCCCACGTCTGTTCAAGCCGAGTCAAAAGCGTCTCCTCCCAATACTGGAAATGCCATGACACCATATGGGTTTCTCGAGCATATCTACTGCATATTAGTTATGTTCTAACCGTTCTTTTTCTTTTCTTTTTTATAGGCCCCGGATTTGACGTTATCGGCCTCGCACTGTCAATGTACCTAGAGCTCCGAGTGAGCGTGGACAGCAGCCAACCAGCGGACCCATCAATCCCACTCAACTGCACGGTATCATACACAGGAGTAGGGGAGGAAGAAATCGACCTGAACCCAGCCAACAACCTCCTGACGCGGACGGCACTATACGTTCTACGATGCCACGACCAGCACGACTTCCCGGCCCAGACGCACGTCCACATCCACAACCCGATCCCTTTGGGCCGCGGACTGGGTTCCTCGGGCGCCGCCGTGGTCGCCGGCGTCCTGTTGGGCAATGTGGTGGGCAATCTGCAACTCTCCAAACGCCGACTGCTCGACTTCTGCCTCATGGTCGAACGCCATCCGGATAACGTCGCCGCTGCCCTGTACGGCGGCTTTGTCGGCACCTACCTCAACGAGCTCGACCCGGCAGACATGGCTCGCAAAGAGGTCCCGCTATCCGAAGTGCTTCCCCAGCCCGCCGGCGGCGTCGACACCGGTTTGACTCCGCCCATCCCGCCCGAAAACATCGGCCACTATCGAAGATTCAACTGGGCAAAGGAGATCAAGGCTCTGGCCATCATCCCGGACTTTGAAGTCAGCACCGCAAAGGCTAGAGAGGTCCTGCCCAAGACGTACTCGAGGCAAGATATGGTAAGTACTGGTACTAGTACTAGTACTAGTAATTGGGACTACATCATCTCCATTCCTCTCTTTCTCCCAACCGTATTCTGATCATACCTCTTTTTATCTCCATCAGATCTTCAATCTACAACGTCTCGCCCTTTTGACCACCGTCCTCGGCGACTCGCCGCCCGACCCGGACCTCATCTACAGCGCCATGCAGGATAAAATCCACCAACCCTACCGCAAGACCTTGATCCCCGCCTTACCCGCCATTCTGTCCTCAATGTCCCCCAAAACCCACAAAGGCCTCTTGGGCATCTGCCTCTCAGGCGCCGGCCCCACAATCTTGGCCTTGGCCACCGACAACTTTGAGGCTATCGCCAATGTCATCATCCAAAGGTTCAAGGACGAAGGCATCAGTGCCGAGTGGAAGATCCTGGAGCCAGCCGAAGATGGAGCCACCGTACAAGAGGTCCCTGGGGATGTTCTGACATATTTACGAGAGATCAAACAGGCATGATATGGCTCCCTGAAAACTAGACGCCTCAAGCTGGCCACGGGGGCTACAGATGCAATCTCGAAACAAATTCAACCAATCCATGGCCATCATGATCCCAGAGACACGATTGGCGGAACCTAAACTTGCTAGCATTGCATTCTAGACACTATTGGGATGGTGCTACTCATTGAGATGTCATCTTTTTCTCAATACATGCTTCAATCGGCCTGATCCCCCATGGTGGATCAGACGCCGCTTTTTCGCACCATCTTTGGATCTCAAGTGATATTCGGCTTGCACCACTTATTTTGCTTTCCATGGTTCTATGCTACGCTCCATTTGGTTCCATTCATGATCTTGACGTCGTTCACTGCTGTCTCTAGAAAATTGCTGCGTTTCAGGGAGGAAATCAAGCATTCCAGAATGCTCGAAAAGGAGTTTAGAAGCACTTGCGGTGGACAATCGAAGGACCACTCTCGTCGTACTCCTGCTTGGAGATCCACATCTGCTGGAAGGTGGACAGGGATGCCAAGATGGAACCACCAATCCAGACCGAGTATTTACGCTCAGGCGGCGCAATGATTCTGACCTTCATGGAAGATGGGGCCAGAGCAGTGATTTCCTTCTGCATACGGTCGGCAATACCTGGGTACATGGTTGTACCACCGGACTAAAAGAGCGTTAGTACGTGAGATTAGGCGGGTGTAGTGTAGTGGGACTTACCATGACGATGTTGCCGTACAAATCCTTACGAACATCCACGTCACACTTCATGATGGAGTTGAAGGTGGTAACATGGATACCGCCGGATTCGAGACCAAGGACGGATGGCTGGAAGAGAGCCTCGGGAGCTCGGAATCGCTCGTTGCCGATGGTGATGACCTGACCATCAGGGAGTTCGTACGATTGCTCCAAGCGAGAGCTCTGGGATGCGGTCTGGATCTCCTGCTCAAAGTCGAGAGCAACGTAGCACAGCTTCTCTTTAATGTCTCGGACAATTTCTCGCTCAGCAGTAGTCGAGAAAGAGTAACCGCGCTCAGCCAGGATCTTCATGAGGTAGTCGGTCAAATCACGGCCGGCCATATCCACTCGAGAGATGGCATGGGGGAGCGCGAAACCCTCGTAGATGGGGACAACGTGAGTGACACCATCACCGGAGTCCAAAACGATACCAGTGGTACGACCGGAGGCGTACAGCGAAAGAACGGCCTGGATGGAGACGTAGAATGCAGGGGCGTTGAAGGTCTCGAAGACAATTTGGGTCATCTTTTCTCGGTTGGATTTGGGGTTGATGGGGGCCTCAGTCAACAGGACCGGGTGCTCCTCTGGAGCGACACGCAGCTCGTTGTAGAAGGTGTGGTGCCAAATCTTCTCCATGTCGTCCCAGTTGGTGACGACACCGTGCTCGATGGGATATCTGAGGGTGAGGATACCACGCTTGGACTGGGCCTCGTCGCCGACGTAGGAGTCTTTCTGGCCCATACCGATCATGATACCATGGTGGCGAGGTCGACCGACAATGGATGCTATTCAATGTCGTGAGTATCTCATCAATCCCGACAACAGTCGCTTCAACGCGGGGCAGACTTACGGAAAACTGCTCGTGGCGCGTCATCACCAGCAAAGCCAGCTTTGCACATACCAGAGCTGTGAATTCGTTGTCAGCAATATGTTCACGCCATTGTTGATTCCTCGGCTCTTCCGACGTTCCGGCAATTCCTGAAATGTATTCTGGTGCCGGAACTTGTCTACAGGGCGCAGGCAGGATAATCAGGGAGCAAGTGGGCGCGTACCCATTGTCAATGACGAGCGCAGCAACTTCTTCTGCACAGAGCAAGACATATTAGCAATGTTTCAGATGTCGGCAGCGCTGTTTGACCGCCGAGAGACTTGAGCCGGATGCAGCTTACCTTCCATTGTGACGGATTAGATGAGGTCGAGACGAGGGGTAATGAACAAGAGCAAGCTGGGAGCAAATTCTGTGATAGACTTGAGTAACGGAAGGTAGACAGAACCTCCGGGAAGACGAGTCACAAGAGTGGATAGGTGAGAAAGGATGAAGATGGGGACGAAGCTGGAATGTTGCGAGGAAGAGGGTGAGGTGGTTGATTTGTAGAGCAGGCGGTAGGCGGTGGGCGGTGCCGTGGGCAAGGGAAGCCGCGCCAAGACCCAGAGCTACTGCGACTCGAGCTTCGCTTTACAGCCAACGGGTGATACGGAGTTGCACGTAGTATGTCACTAAGTGTTGCGGTTGGCGCGCTAGGTGCCACTTTTAGTTAGGCAACCTCCTTACTAAGTGGCACATGTTGCTCCTATTCGTCCGCCCCGACCGCTCTGGACGGATTCCTACTAAGACAGTCTCCTGCCCTCGACAACAGCGCTGCATGGCTGTCCTATAGAATATACAATACTTACAGGCTGCGAACAGACAGTCAGAGCGAGCGCAAGAGAATGTAATAGGTATATCTTGCCGCAAGATTTGGGGGCGAACCACCCACTACGGAATGCGAACAGAGCGTTGAGGTAGGTTGCTGTGTTAGTAGCGGTATCGCCGCCACAGCAGAGATGATGGTCCACCGTTGAGTGGCGGCAGGGGCCACGCAATGCCCTTTCCGCATGTCAAGACAGAGCCTCGTCACCACGGAGGTGAGATCTAGGCACCTACATTTCTGGCAAAGTAAACGAGGGACTTCTGACCAAGCTTCGAGTTCACGAGAGGTAAAACACGAACAAAGCATGCGGCTGCCTCGCAGTCAGCGTGTGGCGTCGGGGCTGATGCTAATAATGTAACTCGAATTACTTTATTACGACGTAGCCTATTCCGCAGACCGGCTCTGGAGTCCACTACTGAGGAGTTTAACAGAGACATGGGACCCAATTTGGATGGGTCTGATCTGCACCAGCCTCTACGGAGAACCTGAAGCCTTAAGGTAAGCGGTCTTTGCCCCAAGCCTTGAGACTGTTCGCACGCTCATGTCCTTCAAAAGCACAACAGAAAACTACAATGTTAGTTCGAGGTGCTGGGGCGCTCAAGTTGACCAGCCTCCACTGACTACCAGCATTATGGACGCGCCGTGATCGTGTTTCAGAAGCAGGACCTAATTCACACAAATCGCAGGGTCGCACAGCAATTCTTCACATATAAAATCCCAACTTGATGTACCAGCCACAATGGCGGGGGAATGAGGCGACATGCGCATACGATGCGCTGCGGTAGGTGGCAGACTCGTGTTGAGCCGGCTTAGTCAGACCCATCACACAGCACCGTGCAGCACAGTGCAGCCTGGCTTCAGCCAACGCAGGTTCTACCACAGTAGTCTCGACATTTTCGCCTTGCGGACTGTCCACGAATCTTCAATCAACCAGGTAGGGCACAGCATCTCTAGCTCCCGGCTCCGAGTGGCATTGTGGTGGTGGTTAGCGACTATCGTCCTTCGGAAGCGTGGAGAACGTCACAGTAGGCACTGGAACCTGGGAGAGTATAAAATATACCCAGCACTTTTTCGTCCAATCAATGGCCGTGACTTTATACCTCGACCTTTACTAGGACTTCAGGTCCAACACTATTGCCATACGACGAACAGACCTATGTACTTGTGAACAACTCACTACAAGAAACAGACGAACATACCTACCCAATTTCACGCGTACTTACTGCGCGAGAAATCACAGCAACGCAGCAAACATCAACAAAAGATAGAAACAGCACCCTTCTTCGAATATCAAAACCATGGATCCGGCAATGAACTCCCTGCTCAAATGGGGCATTGAAAACTCCAACGCATCCGGACGGTCAGGAGACGAGCCCGTCCGGGAGCCAAGAGGACTGTCTGCGGACGCACTGCGAGCGTTGATGGGTGGGCCCAGCGACGCGGAGCTGATGCGCGAAGCCATGTCCATCATCGAGTCGTCGGACCCGGAAGTGACACACGACGCCAAAATGACTGCGTTTGACAACTTTGAGCAACTGATCGAGAGCATGGACAACGCCAACAACATGGAGCCGCTGGGCCTGTGGTCGCCGCTCCTGTCGCAACTCGACAACCCGGTCGCGGACCTGCGCCGCATGGCCGCCTGGTGTCTTGGCACGGCGGTGCAGAACAACGTCAAGGCCCAGGAACGACTGCTCGGCCTCAACGGCATCGAGAAGCTGTGCAAGATGGCCCTCGAGGATGACGACGAGGCTGCCCGGAGGAAAGCCGTCTACGCCCTGAGTTCCGGCATCAGGAATTACCAGCCTGCCATGAATGAAGCCATGAAGAAATTGCCCAAGGACATTGTTGGGCCCGATCACGTCTCGGCGACGGACATGGATGTCATTGATGCCATCATGGGAAAGTTAAGGGACAGATGAAAGAGACGAGATCAACTGTGATTCTCTCCAACACGATCCGTTTTGATCAAGCCGGCTGAAAGTTGCCTGGCCAAGAAATGTTTCTGCATCTTTGGAGGCGCAAAGTGTGTGGACGATACTAGCACAACGAACCAGAAAAATCGAGCCGACTCTTCCGACACCGTGGCGTGAGGTTGGAGCATGTGCTTGAATCAGCCTGAAGGCCGAAGTGGAGGAAATCGACACCCCGTTCCCTGGAGAAGGTCAAAAAATGCCGCCACTGGCGTCGAAGACCGAGTCAGTCCGACTGCTGCCTGGACAGGTAATGTCAGCGTTGCCGAAACCATGGGTTTGCCAACAGCATCCGGTTGCTCATACTAGACATCACCTCGGATAATGTCCGAAACTGCATGGACGTACCTACGTACGTATGTACCTACCAGCCCTGCGCTCGTACCGACGGGTTGGGAGGGTGGTAGGCAAGTTGAATATTGACACCGAGGCAAGGCTGATGTGCCAACACGATTGCGGGAGAAACTGTGATACCAATGTATACTAGTGGTAACCCATTTACAAAACTAAACTGACGAACGCTCAATGCTCTCACTGGCATTGCACCTAACGCCCCTGAGCAGATCGCTACAATCTTGGGCTCTCTGTACCAAGTCCAGCAGTTCCATTGTACCGGCACTTGAGAATTCATAGCTAGAGGATTCGTGCTTTCATCAACACCATGGCCTGATACCTGTGTTAAGTTGTCCGGGCCCGTATCCAGCGAGCTTTTGAAACGACAGCGTGCGTTCGCCGTAGTGACCGCAGCATACAGCATTCTCTCTCTGTCCCTCTCCCGTCCTCAGTGAACTTGTGTTGGATCCATTAACCACAGGCATTGCTTTACCCGCGAAGTGCAGCTGGGGTGGACATTTTGAGCCGGGGAATTCCTGTTCTGCTCAATTTGCAGAATCAAATGAACCAGACCACTGTAGTACGGCCCAGACCAACGCGCCACATATAACTAGCAACATCAACACGGCGCTTAAACCGTCCAATCCGTTCTTGTGTGTGCTGTGGCCGGCGTCCCTCGCATTGATCTTCTTGTATCCCATTCACAACTGCAAATTATACGTATAATCATCCTCCATATTCTGACTGACCCACAAGATGACCGAGCTCAACATAACCAACCCATTGGCGACGACATTCGCGACGCCCATATAGACCGTTCGCAACGCGTAATCCTTGAATAAATACTTCAACACCATAACCGTCACACTGCCCGCAAGGCCACCGGCCATAAGCGCAAACCCGAGAAACAGCACGGTGCGAGCCTTCCAAGCGACTCCGTTGCCGGAGTAAGAAAAACTGTCGGCCGACAGGCGTGATTTTTCAATGCTGTTGATCACCAGCATCCCCAGCGCCGAGCAGATGAATGGGATCCAGTCGACGAAGGTGACGTGGACGGTTGAGCCGTTCAAGGGGGATTTGGAGAAGACGCTGGCGTCGATGAAGAAGAAAAAGCCGAGGGAGAACTAGCAAACCAAAACAGTCTGATTAGTATGAATAGTGAAAGAAGCTGTGGCTGTAGATGAAGGTGTCGAAAGTTGGATAGAATTGTGTATCATGCGCAGAAACATGCCCTCCGTCGCATTCAGTGCCATGTGTTTTCCTCCATTCTTTTCACACTTACAAATGCTCCTGCTAGGTAGACGCCTGCAGTCCGCGTGTTGGCGCTGTTGAGCCATGCAGGCTTTGGGAAGCGGAAGAGTCGGGTCGAGGTCGACATATTTAGGTTAGTAAGGTAGGTATTGTACTGTAGCTGGACGGGCGATCAGGGAACGGGTGTATTGAGTCTGCTGCGTCCTGTACCCTTCGGGATACAGATGTTAAGGTGCTAATAGATATGACGAATGTATGCGTTGGTAATGTTGCAGTGGTCAGAGATAGGTTGCATGCAGTTCAATGCTATGGTCTGAATGCCAGCGTGAGTTGGAGCGCAGTGCCACTTGAAGTGTGTCGTTGTGGCCTGGGAAGAACGTCGGCGGAACTCAAGTTGTGGCTGGTGACGACCGAGCGGGAATATTTCCCGAAGTGCGCTTTGACAGCCGCCTGAATGCGTACCTGGCAAGGCTGGCAGCCTGCCCTGTTCCAGTGGCCCGCACGGCCACGTTTGAGATGCAGTGATGAGACTACTACCGCGGGGCACTCAGAGTCAGTTCTAATGCAACTGCAAATGTACTATAGAGATAAAGAAGAGATCTTGCCCTTTAGGTTGGGTGCTCTTCAGCAACTAAAGGCCGAGGGCAGAGCGCACGGAACTGGACGGCCGGGAGAAGCAAAGGGGATCTGCACATAGGATTCGCGTATACTCGTATGCGGTGCACATACTGTTCGAGAGTGACAGACCAACAGCCAGGTGTATCTCTGAAGGCAACGGTGCTCCAGCTTCTCTTGCTGTTCGTGTCCACCTGGACAAGAGGTGTATAAATCACAGTGCTAACCCAGAACGAAGCATCGATTTCTCGTCCGTTACAGTCTTGTCCAATATTGCCAGTTTCCTCTCTTAGACCAAAAATGCTAACCACAGATTTGCCTGCGCCCTTCATATGCATATAAGCCCAGTTGTGTTCGTCTTCACCTCTAAAAGTCCTGCTCCTCCTGGAAAAACTGTGAGAAGCTGATGATGGTCCCGTATATCAATAGCCCTCCTATAATCGACATCACCATGGCTGGGATTTGGATGAGGGCGCAGTGTGCGAGGAGAACTGGTAAAGCTGCACACAGAACATTGTCAGCTTGTTGCGGAAGGTCATGTAGGTGAGACGTACCAATGCCCATGACAACAAGGAAACCCGTCGCAAACCGGCCCAGATCTAACCAGGCACTCGAATTGCTTTCGATAAAGTCATCGGGATTTGCGCATCTTCCAGCAATCCAGTTCGGTACCGGCGCTAACACATAGGTTGCAACCACGAGAAGCGTAAGGAAGTTATGGAATAAGGCGGCCGAGAGGATAACCAGGAGGAACCCAATGGCAAGCACCTATGCACCCAGTCAATAACTCACAGCCGTCAAACAAGCTCCCAGGCAGGCGTACAAATGAGAGGGCTATTATTGTCTTGAGACCAGCCGCCATGGCTAAGGTTCAATGCAGGATTAACTGAGCGATCGTGCTCGTTCTCCAGAGGTGCAACGAGATTGGGGTCGAGACACTGGGATCTGGGTAGTATAGTGGCACTTGGAACGGTAAAACAAGGCCTCGGTCGGTTGAAGTCCCTGGAATGATAGTATAGATTTATCGACAAAGGTGCCGAATACTTGTTAGTAGTAGAATGTAAAGTGTGGTCGTCTTGGAGTGACGAAGGTGCAAAGCGAAGTGTGGCTGGGTTACAAGCAGTTGATGGATCGCAGTCACGCAGTGCCAGTGCTTGGAGAAGCTCCAATCTGGGCCAAACCGCGCCTAACCAGAAGTTGCGCGTCTGCCATTGCCTGGCTCCCTACGATTTTGTAGTAAAGGGCCATCATCAACCAAGTCGACCACCACCACACACTCGCGAGTTGCTTCCAACCTTCTCACCTTCTTCTGCTTCCTAGTTCACATCGTCAAGATGTTCAGAAACAACTACGACAACGATTCTGTTACATTGTAAGGCTGTCACCAGACGACATGATATATGCGATCTGCTAACACTGGCACGCCGCAGTTCGCCGCAAGGACGGATATTTCAGGTGGAATATGCCCAAGAGGCCGTCAAGCAAGGATCGGTAGTGGTTGGAGTGGTCAGTAAGAAGCATGTTGTCCTGACAGCAGTCAAGGTTCGTATATGGTCTGGCTATTTCTAAGGGCCGTCATGCTCACAATCAATCTTCAGAGAAACGCCGAAGAACTGTCCTCATACCAGAAAAAGATCGTCGGTGTCGATGACCACCTCGGAGTCGCGCTTGCAGGTCTTGCGTCCGATGCCCGTGTCCTATCGAATTTTATGAAGCAGCAATCGCTTTCCTCCAAGATGACCTATGGACGACCTATACCAGTTGAACGCATCGTCAATATGATCGGTGATCGTGCCCAGACAAACACACAACACTACGGCAAGAGACCGTATGGCGTTGGACTGTTAGTTGCCGGCGTCGATGAATTGGGGCCACATCTATTCGAGTTCTCGCCGTCAGGACTCACTCAAGAGATGCTGGCGTGTGCTATTGGTGCCCGAAGTCAGATGGCTCGCACGTATCTTGAGCGACATTTGGAGAAGTTCGCAGACTGCAGTCGGGAGGAACTGATCAAGCATGCCCTGCTGGCCTTGAAGGAGAGTCTGGCACAAGATAAAGAGTTGACTGTCGACAACACGAGTCTGGCTGTTATTGGGGTGGGCGAAAAGGACGGCCGCAAGAAGGTGGAGCATTTTAAATTGTATGACGGACAAGATATCGCACCTCTTCTTGAGGCCAGCCTGGAATCAACATCGACCGAGGAGGCGGGCGGCGAGGCTATGGAGACAGATTCATAGGGGGCTACGGATCCGGGTGCGTGGTGCACGGCGTTTGGAGCGCAATGGCTGCCGCAATGGCACGGTCGAGACGTTCTATGGGATGGCAATGAAGAGTCAAAATCATCCTGCTCATGGTGCCATCCGATTTCTTCCTTCTGACCTTCTTTGCTATTCGTGGTCTTTTGCTCTATTTGGTCCAGTCCAGCTTATATCTACCAGGGGCCAGCTTGTAGTCCCTCAAAGCGTCCACGACGTCGTCCGCGCTGTTGACTTCGACCAGAATGCTGGCCGCTCCTTCGCCAACGAAGCCTTCTCTAATACTCTTCTTGACCCAGTCTAGCAAACCAGTCCAGTAACCGTCAATGTTGACCAGGACAATGGGAAGCGTATGTATGCCCAGTTGATTCCAAGTGACCATTTCCATGACCTCCTCGAGTGTTCCATAACCACCGGCTAGTGCAACAAATCCAGAACCGGGGCCACCAGCCTCGACACACTGAGCCATCATGCGTTTGCGCGTGTGCATATCCGGAACAACGGTTGTTGCACCGAATTCGTTGGCAGGAATGATCTCGCTTTCCGGGTCTTCGTTGCTATCAATGCGCTGCAACTCCTGGGCTGACATGGTCCGTTCGGCCTTTCTCGAGCCAGTCTGACTCGTCTCACCTCGCGTGGACGTGTCGACCTCTGTACGGATCAAAGCGCGAGGTATGATGCCACGAACAGAATCCGGACCAGAGAGTGACACCATAGTTTTGGAAACTTCGCCCATGATGCCCATAGTTCCGCCACCGTACACGAGCTTGTAGCCCGCTTTGCTCAACGAGTGGGCGAGTGCCCGCGCCGACTCCAGATGGACCGGCTTTTTCCCCGGAGATGAGCCACAGCTTATTAAATAGTTAGCCTGGTTTCCTTCAACCCCCAGAGATTCTGGAGTTTTGGTTTTCTCTTTAAACGCACAAGACACAAACCACGGGCGATTTGTCCGATTTCTCCTCTTGTGAGGAATTGCTCTGCATTGTCCCCATATCTCCGCAGCGAACGATATAGTATGTCCAAAATTGAGAGAATTCAAGCCGCAAGCGGTGGGTGGCAAAAGAGATCTTTAAAAAGCAAAGGAAATTCTTCTTGCCGGTAGTAGATATAATATGGGGAACTTTGATTGTCAAACTTGAAGTCGGTGAGAATTATGGTCAAATGACAGAAAGCGTAGCCAATAACGAATGTTCAAACATTCAAGACAAAACGAAAACAAGTCTCTACCTAATCAAAGGTGCTGGTAACTGGTTGCAACGGCAATCGGTTTCAGGATATCGCTGGCATTATAATGCGGTGCAACTTGGGACTGTATGGTTGTGCTACGGTGTTCCAATCCACGGGATGCGTCAATGGATGGGAGGTGGAAATCCGGCTTGACATGACGTCGAAGAATGAATGGTAGAAGATGCCTGGACCACGTGCGACAGTCAATCAATCAATCAAAAAGCAATCAATAATCAACAGGTCAAACATCAATCAAGCCATCAAATACTAGCAAATCGTCAAAGCAATCCACGTCAGGTTCGAGGCATGATTCTTTGAGGGTTGCAAATCCTTATCGCAGAAGTAACAAGAAGATAAGATGGTTGACATCTTTCTGCCGCTTCATCAACAGAGAAGAATGGTTTCGTCAAGTTCAAGTTGTTCTCTCGGCATTGCTCTGGCGGAGCGAAGTACCCAGGAGGGCTCGTGTACTATTGGTCGTGGTGGAAGCTACTATACCTTCACTAGTACTAGTACACATTTTCTTGCGCGCAGACACCAATAGACTTCCATCATCATTACTAAATATACGCGTGTCCCGCACTACTCCCAGCCACTGCATCACTATTGGGTCCAGCTAGTGTTTACAGCGGCTCCAGCCCCAAAGCCCGGATCAACGTCGCATCCGGCCTGCTCTCTGGCTCCCACCACTCACTTTACCATTTCTTTAACATTTCATTATTGTACTGTGTCTAGCAATAACAAACTCCGAGCCTAGGAAGATAAGGCTCAAGGCAGGCATAACATGCATTCCGCCAATCCACTGCCGCTTCCAGCCGTTTCCGATTTTCCTCGCATCCCGCCAGCACCAGCGTCCCCTCGGGTCGCTATGGCTTGGACCCTTGCATGCTTCCGCCATTGAAAACCCTGGCACTTCCAAGTAATCCATTACCAAAAGGTCGATGTGCGGCCGAAACCCGTGCCACCTAGGTGTGTGCGGCCTGTTTGAGCTCTTTGTGTCTGTGCGCCAATGGTCTGATGTCTACGGGCGGGAGCTGAAAAACAACCCCGCTGCTCCCGTAGGGCTGCCCACTGCACCCACAGTAGCAGAGCCTCTAGAGGCAATCGTGCAGAAGAGCTGACTGGAGACTGTGTGAACTAGCACACTGGGCGGGCTGCTCTGGTCTTAGCATGGTCTGAGGCATCTTTGGTGGCTGCCAGCCGAGTTCAAGACATTTGTTGTCCCGCTATTTCTATTTTGCACTTTCTTCCTTCTCGTTGACAGCCTCATCGACAAATAAGCACAGCAGGTGTTCTTACAGCACATCGAGCGGCGCATTCGCCAGCTTTTGTAGCTATGGCGAAGCTGCTACAGGTGGTGTTACTGCTGAAACTGGCCGCCTTGTTGGCAGCACAAACGACAAATGGCACGGCTTCAGCGTCGAATACAGCCTCGGTATCCTCCGCAACCGACGATACATCTACCCTTCCTACCACTACACCTACCACGGTGACTTCTGATATCACCAGCACTGCATCAGATACCACGAGAACCGAACCGACAACCTTGACCACAAACACTGTCGTTAGCTCAACATCTACAGAATCATCCTCCGTGCCCACAAGTTCTTCGCCTTCGCCATCCACGACTTCAGAGCCTCCGACCAGCACAAGTAGTGATACCACTACATCCAGTCCTACCAGTATGTTTGTGCTTGCTTAATCTGCCGTTTGTGCCTTTACTGCATTACTTTATACCTCAGCTCGAAAATGCCTTGATAACGTTCGCGTTATGGCAGCTTTCGCAAGCATCTTGCCCACCAACAGCACCAGCGCCACCTCTACATTGGTTCTGTCTCTAGCGCCTTTGCTGTCCCGACATCCTCTTCCCCCAGCTCTTCATCACCCGTTGACTCTTCCTCCCTGACTGCAGCTTCCACTTCTACCACTATCATAACCTCCACCTCCTCTTCTTCATCATCCACTACTACAGGAACAACAACTCCTGCACCCTCCTCCCAAACCTCCTCTTCCTCATCCTCCGAGTCGACGCCTACGAGTGAGTATACGGCTTCGTTGTCCGCACTACTTTCGTCGTCTTCGCAGACGCCCAAACCCTTTATCATGCAATCTCTGTCGAATCCTGCCCTAACCCCAGCCTTGTCCACAGCCTCATCCGAACTACCCACCACAACTCCTTCCACTTCCACCACAGCCAGTTCTGTCCCAATAACCAGTTCCTCTTCTCCAGTCACCACCCCACCTACCTCCTCCGAGACCGTGTCATCCACCGAATCGAGCTCCTCCGAACACACAACCAGCACCTCTTCGCCGGTTGTCATCACCACCACCAGCTCGTCCGTTTCCTTGTCGACCAGTACATCCTTCGTCACTGAGGTGCTGCCGACGACATCTTCTGATGGTGTAGCGGGCTTCACAACGTTGACGTCTGTGGTCGTCGCCACAAGTCCTGCCACCACCGTCGTCGATGTGGGCACCTTCACCGGCACTCCCAGCAGTAGCCCGTCTGTCGCTGCATCGTCAAACGGTGGGAGCAGTGGTGGCAGTAGCCTGTCCACTGGCGCCAAGGCCGGCATCGGGGTCGGTGTTGGCATTGCCGGCGTCGCTGCCGCTGCTTTTGGCGGTTGGTACAGCTGGTACATGAGACGACGTAGAAAGCGAAACTCCATCTCTGCCGGCGACAGATACGGCAACGATCCCATGCCTAGCATGAGCGGCCTAGGGAGCCCTCCGTCAGGGGGAGCCCCTTCAATGGGCGCCATGGCAGCAGTGGCGGGATATTCCTCGAATCGATCAAATACTCGTTCCGAACTACCTTCCCCTCCGCTAAACGCAGGGCCTGTCCCTCCACCTCGATCTCCTGATCGTCTTCTACCCGGCGCTGCAGGAGTACGACCCTGGGGTTCGATGTCACCGCCACAACAGGAGTCTTCACAGAGATCCATCTCAGAGCAGAGTGATTATTCTGCGGGGGCTGCTCCATATCAACCATCCAATCAGTACCAACCACCAGCGGATGTGAACCCAGCCGCTGCAAGCTACCTGGCTGAAGTCCATGGAACGCCAGAATCACAGCAGAATCCTTTCCAACAGCCCGACAACCATGCGGAGGGCGGATACTATTCTGGTCAACAGACTGCGCAAGATCCGTATGAGATGCCAGGACAAGCTCAATCAGGTCTTGGTTATCGTGGCGTCGACCCTGAAGTTCCCTACCATCAGCGGGGGGTGCCTATCCGGCCGGGTCATCTAGGCCCTGCGCATAATTTCTAATCGTCGAAAAAGGGCGTACAGTATAGTCTCAGATTTAATGACATAATATGACATGTTCACGGCATCAATTCTGAGTACCAGTATCCTGATTGTGCTGGTACCCTATTACCAGTAGTACTATGCAATAAGTAGTTACTTCCCGATCTTGCTGAATGCCTACAGTCGACAGCCTTGCAAGCCGAAGTTGACCCGAGACCGGGCCCAACTCCCCGGGGTTCCTCACCTTCGGGACTCGACAGTGTCCATTCACAACTCAGTTCTTCACTCAGAATGAGTCTTGTCTTCACTTGAAAGGAACGCCCCGAGCGCACAATGAACTCCCACCAGTCAGCGTCACCGGAAAGTGAATTCTGTCAGGTAATGCCATTGCCTGTGCCAGTGGCCACGGCCAAGGCTGAACATCGGCCAACCGTAGGTATCCAAGCTGAGGCCCGACAGGCCAGAGACGATGGCTAGCTATTCACTATGAGAACCCAGCCTGCTGGAAGAAAGTACATTCACTTGCAACTGCGTTTTGTGTTTCTTAACCCATGCTAGAGAACAGTGAAGTGCAAGGATTGAAGTTCTCTCTGCCTTCAGCTGGGGAGAATGGAGGACACCACTGTCCCCCAGTCTCTTTTCACCGGTTATTGTCACCCAGCTTGAACTGTGTTTCCAACAAAGAGCCCACAGATGAAGACTGCCAACTGCCAACGAGCAGCCCTTCCTAGGTAAGGCAGGTCGGTCGGTAGGCAGGCAGTCAGCGATATCATTCTGAACGTACAACTCCAGCTCAACTTTGGTGCATGAGGCTTCCCTAGGCAGTCAGTGATAGGTTTCTCCTTTCAGCCACTCCCAAGGAACCAGTATATCATCACTTTGAACACAGGCCCTCCCCCTGGCTTGGGACTTGATCAGACAAGCCACAACAAACGCAAATCATGATTTCTAGCCGGTGACGGCGTTTCTTAGTGAAAACTAAACTCACTCAGCAGCAGCGACTGAACTGTTCATTTGACTAAGCAGTGAAGGAGAACACAGGCAGAGAGGACCAACCGGCAAAACGCCAGTGATCGATCACCTGGCAGAAAACTAAACTGGTGGTTCACTCACAGGACAACTATTACTTACCTTTTTACTCGCCTCACTTGATAATAGAGTTAAGGACAGATACAGAGAGACAGCGGTTTCTTCTCTTCATCTTTCTTACAACCCAACAACAACACCAGTCTCAATCCTGCCCTTAGACTGCTATCCTCGCAAGCGCATCATACCAACGAAGTTCTCTGAGCAGAAAGGAATCCAAGGTCAAGGGAAGCTGAAGCCAGCCATGGCAGAAGAAGCCGGCGCTGAACCCGAACCCGTCCAACCTTTTCTGACAGTACACACAATGCACCCTATCCATCCGCTCAGATCGTTCGAGGCCCCGACTGAACATCTTCATGCTGGGCAACAATATCAATCGTACGAGCGGACTCGCTTCATGGAAAAAGGAAATGGTAGGCTGAAGCAGCTGACTTTGTCTATTCTCTTGCAAAGAACGCCAGCTGATGATATATTGACAGAAGTTGAACTTCCACAACAACAACGACGAGAGAAGCAGAAGCAGCAAGAACAACAGCCGAAGATGCAGGAAGACATACTGATGGCTGACCGGGCTGTCCAAGTTGCCGGACGGGCGCAACCGATGCAACATGCTGATATTGTCTCCCAAAAATCTTCTTATGCGCTCAACAGTCTCATGGTTCTGGCTGATGCTGCGGTCGAGCGATTGCGCCAAGAACAAGCAGCGGAGGCCGAGGAGCGAGCTTCCACTATCATAGATGGGGACGCCATGGACACAAGTGTCGACGAACGACAATCAGTCATGTTTCAACAGCAGGGTCAGCAGCGACAACAACAACAACACATCCAGAAATGGCAGCAAGATCAGCAGCAACAATACCAATACCAACAACAGGAGCAGCAACGGCAATATCAGCCGTACCAGCGACAGCACCAGGATCAACAGCAACAATATCAATATCAACAACAGGAACACCAACGACAATATCAGCAGCAGGGTCAGGAGCAACACCAACAATATTATCACCAGGAGCAGCAGCGTCAACACGAGCAACAGCATCAGGGCCAGCAACAACAATATGAGCAAGAACATCAGGGTCAGCAGCAACAATATCAACAGGAGCATCAACGACTTCAGCAACAGCCAGAGCTGCAGCTCCAACAACACCAATCCCAATCCCAAAACCAACCAGTCTACCTCAACGCTCCGATCATGTCAGTCATGCCTCCAGTGGTATGGATCATGAAAGCAGACCATCGAACACGCCTCAAATTCATTGTTGACGTCGTCAACATCAACAATGAACCGTACATCCAGCTCGACAAGCACCACTTACTTAGAGCCACGTACGCGGAGTGGTTACTCAACGGAAGCAACGAGACGGTGCGCCAAGAACGATATCGAGATTGGACGAGTGTTCGCCACCAAGGGCGGCCATCGATTCTGTATGAATTGTATCCCATCGGACAGTACGCATACACGCCGGCCAACGGACGTCGCAAGAAGTCGCCACAGGAGTACCGTCCGTTCCTGGACCCGTACGGCAGAGTATACCTGACGGGCGAAAACAAAGTTCTTAAGGATTCGCCGGTCATTCCGCTCCAAATCAGTACCGAGATCGAAGGCTGGGAAATGGAAGCCATTTGTCGGCTAGACCCGGACATTTGTCACCAGGACTTTGTGGACCGGATGGTTTTCGATCATGGCCCGACTGTGACTGCAGGAACGAGTGGTGGTAAGACCGTAAATGCAAAATCCAGACCAGGTAAAGGCACACTCAACCATCGTCGACGTCGTGACCGGATGAAGATGAGGGTCTTGCCCTGGCCATTGCCCGGCCAGCTGAGTTACTCGGATGCTCAGGTCGTTAAGCAACTGGATGACTGGGGCAAAGCCAACAACTCGACCGCCCGAATGGAGGATTTGACAAAGGAGGAAATCGACATTCAGTGTGCCATTCTCTATGGAGGACATCTGGAGCGGTCCGGGTCCAAGGCCCAGGACGATCAGACTAGGTTGAAGACTTTCCAGACAAATCTTGCCCTGGTGCGCACTGCGTACCCGGACGACTCGGAGGAAGTCAAAATGGTCCAGGGTCGCATTGATGAGTTGCTTGCGAAGATGCAATCGGTGCAGAAACAAGGGGACTTGGGGAGCGAGATACGTTAGTAGATGTGAGCTGCAGAGCCATGAGGTTTATTAGCAGGGGCGAAGTAGGGCTCTGGCGTGCCCTCCACGATGGATAACAAGGAATTTTGTTCCCTTTGGGTACCATGGAGGATGGGATCGTGGCGTCGAATAGCTTGACTTCGGTGCACCTGCCGTCAGGGGGTGAAGTAGCGGCTGCGCTACGCGATGTTCGAAGGGAGATTTTCACGTGTGCCCGTGACAGGCAGATTACCGGTGGTTGTTTAGAGTAGAAAGACACTGTGACAGCTATTCATCGCTTCCTGTTATTCTCTAGAACTGATTAAAAAGAATATGCTAGGCCACTCCAGAGCAGAAAGGCTGCGGCACAGATGTCCCCAGCACATTGAAGAAAAAAGCCACGCGGTGAGGCTGAACTGCCAGGGGTCGCGTCATTTCCCGGTCTAACCATTTTGGGCATCGGCATTGGCTCCTACTACGCCGACGTCATGATTGGCCTCTGCGGTCGAGTACTAACTCGTTCCCGGCCAATTCAACTTGCAACCAGTCCTCGAGTCCTGGATCTATTCACCTGCGGTCACACTTACGAATCTCTACCTAACAATGACATGTTGAAACCGAGTCTTTATTCTCTCAGTCCTGCATTACCACGTGTTTCCCTTCGTGTGACTGGAGCCCATAGACCCTGTTGGATCGACCGAGGCCGAGTGGGCATCGGTGTGCTCAATTTAACCATGGCGGACAAAATGTCGACGTATTCTCCCCTCTCGGCCAAGGTCACCGCGGTCGAGACGATGGTAGGATTGGCCCACACTTCTCCAGACTCTCGCTGTCGGCCTTTACTTTCACTTCTACACACAATAATCTAGGCTCCCTAGCTAATTGCTAAAGGGTGATTAGAAACCAGAAGAAGCGAAATGGATCACATTGAAGAAGATCACATATCAAGACCCTGCGGGCAAGTCGAGGACGTGGGAATCTGCTGAACGACAGGTACGCCTGAACCAGCGCAAGCTCCGGATGGGCAACTCATCAGCTTGGCTTACCGACTGACGCTCTACAGACACGACCGAAAGGCACCGAAGTCGACGGCGTCGGCGTCATCGCCGTGCTCAACGACCCCAACTCGTCCGAAGGCCCCTCGCTACTTCTACAAAAGCAGTTCCGCCCTCCGCTCAACAAAGTCACGATCGAAGCACCTTCGGGTTTGATCGATGAAGGCGAGGACCCTGCAACGGCGGCACTGCGCGAATTGAAAGAAGAGACGGGTTACATTGCCACGATACCCAAGGATGCAAAGGCCGCAGAGGGATTTTTGATGTGGAACGACCCGGGGTTCTGCAACACAAATACAAAGATGATCTTTGTCGAGGTCGACATGTCGGACCCCCGCAATCAGAAGGGGAATCTTAAGCCAGAACTCGAGGATAGCGAGTATATCGAGACTATTACCATTCCGTTGGACAACCTGTGGAACGAGCTCACCGAGCTGGATAGGCAGGGATATGCGGTGGATGCCCGTGTTGGTACGCTGGCACAGGGCATGGAGATGGCCAGGAAATGGAAAGAGGCGCTGAACAAAGCTCCGTCGTGAGACGGACAGGCTTGGACCAGAACTACAGTACGAGTAGAGAGTTGCGATGCGCCGCGATAAAGAGGGCATTCGCGTTGACAGACTTGTAGCACGCAGACCGGTTAGGCATACAGGTACGACTTGGTCTGCATACTATTACGTTGACATTAAGAAGGGGCTCGAACTGTAGAATCGGTGTCAATAAATGTATTCACTTAATGGCATGCGATGTAAAGGTACCTAGGTATACCCTGGGCAGTGTACAGTCCCAGTATCAGGAAGTGTTACAATATACAATGTAGACCCTGTTATCGTGTTATCGGTGGCCCCACGGACATGTGCCACGGAGCCTTGCGCCGCACGCCGATTCGCCCGCTTGTCCAATGGTCGAGATGTTAACAGATGTCATCTGCAGTGTACAACTATGGCACATACAGTACTACCTGGTATTTGTAGTACAGTACTACTAGATGTACCTCTTTCCAATGCCGGTCGAGTGATGCCCTGCATTTGATACCCTGCAGTGCTTAAAGTTCCTCGCCGTCTCTCACCAAGCCAACGACTACAGGACGGGGGGTTGCTTTGCTTTGAGGACGACACATCTTCGTGTTTGCCGTGTGCCCGCGGGCTAGGCATGCAGTCGCCGCCATCATGGGTATCATGGGCCGACATTTTGTCGACCTGTATCCCCGTGATGCAAACCTTACGTGGAGGCTGGTACCTTTCGTTCTGATCTGGGCGGCCTTTGCGGTAATTGTTGTGGTAAGTTCTTTGCGGGGTTTCCTTCATATGCACTCTTTCAACGCTCCACCATGCTAATTAGAATACCTACGATGTTATAGGTATGGATCCTCATTACGTTGTTCGTCCCCAACCCCCGAAAACCGAGACCATCCGAAAAGAAATTCACCACAGTCGACAAGGCGGGCAATGTGACGGAACCTGAACCGCTGCCCTGCTGGTATGATGAGTTATTGCGCAGATACGTCAAGGCGCGAGCGGAGGGTCGAGATGATGAGCTCGAACTTGAGAAAAAGATTGAGCCGGCCGAACTATTTATGACGCTGGTTGTGCCCGCGTTCAACGAGGAGGACAGGCTCACGGGCATGTTGGAGGAGGCGGTCAACTTTTTGGAAACCGAGTACGGCTCTTCTGCGGCAATCGACAGGAAGACAGAGACTACGGAGACATTTACAGAGACATCTATACCTACAAGCATCATCGACAACAACGGAAACGACGAGAAAACAGACGGCACAGCAACAACGACACGACGCAGAAAAGCCAATGGCACCACCACCACCGCTGCGGATACATTATCCACCACATCTCCATCATCACAGCCACGTCGACCGCAGCCACAACTACGAGGCTGGGAAATCCTAGTCGTAGACGACGGCTCGACAGACTCAACAGTCCTCACAGCACAGACATTCTCACGCGTGCACATCCTACCCAAACAACCACGCCGGCTCTCCGGACCCTGGACACACCGCAGCGAGCAAGGGGTCAAAATCCCACCTGGATCAATTCGAATCGTATCGCTGGAAGAAAACCGCGGCAAGGGAGGCGCAGTGACACACGGAATGCGACACGCGCGCGGCCAGTACGTGGTGTTCGCGGACGCCGACGGAGCCAGCAAGTTTTCTGATCTCAGCAAGCTGGTACAGGCGTGCCGGGAGATCGAAGACCAAGACGGCCGCGGCGTCGCCGTCGGCTCTCGCGCCCACCTGGTCGGCAGCGAGGCGGTGGTGAAACGGTCGAAATTGCGTAATTTTCTTATGCACTCGTTCCATCTGTTGCTCAAACTCATGACGCCGCCGCAGACCGCCCGTATCAAGGATACCCAGTGTGGCTTTAAGCTGTTTTCCCGACCGACCTTGCCCTACATCGTACCCCATATGCATATGGATGGTTGGATCTTTGATGTCGAAATGCTCATGCTGGCGGAGTTCGCGGGCATTCCTGTTGCCGAGGTGCCCGTCGGCTGGAAGGAGGTCGTGGGAAGTAAGTTGAATGTCGTTAGGGATAGTATTGGTATGGCGGTGGGGTTGGCTGTCTTGAGAATATGCTGGAGCACGGGGATCTATAGAAGATAACAACGATGAACTCTTGAAGCTGAGATAACCGAAAATCGAAAGGAACCAATTTGGATCTCTTCGAACCAGTGTCGAGACCAGTATGAGAATGAGGGTTTATTAATCCCTTGCAATGCAATGCAGTGGGATCCGTCTCGTTTTGCGACGCGTGCTGGCTGATAAAGACAAGAGAGAACCCAAACTATACCTGCTAGTTCTCTTCCAAGGTCCTGCACTCAATTGGCATCATGAATGCGTCGACCTGCTACCCACATACTACTGTATCTACCTTAGGTACCTGGGTAGGTAGGTAGGTACTCTGCCTTTCTCAGGCCGACTCGCCAGCTTGAGTTGCCATCAGTGATGCAGTGATTTGATCGAAATATTTTATTACTAGTACTAGTGTTGTATCTGGTAGGCAACATGTTCCAGTGTTTATACCCTTGTGTTCATGTTCTTTCTTTGTCATGTCGAGGCTTACACGTTTGTCTGCGGTGTGTAGGCAGGCCCCCTAAATATATCTGTTTACGAATAAATATTCTTATTCTTCCCCCATAACTTACCACGACACAATACTAAACAACCTCTGGGACTGCTGACCAGATCCGATCCATCCCAACTAGGAGTGTTTTGGCTTTTGAGGTAGGGCACAGAAATACCTGAGTTGTTACCTTGCCGTCCGTTGCGTGGCTTTACTGGCCATTGTTGGCCCCGTGGGTGGGTGACAGTCCTGATGTACTAGTACCGCAGAATCTACACCAGTGACCCCTTAATATAATGAACACTGGGAAGATTTGAGACTAGTTACTGTAGCCTTGTGAACACCTTAGATCGGAGTTGTCGTATGTGGCTACCTACCTGTACCGTACCTACTCTACGGTAGATACAGTACATGAACACCATGTTATCTTATGGTTCCGAGTCGTTGGCTGCTCCAGCCAGTATCGGCCACCGAAACACAGCAACTTATATATTACTCAGGGAGAATGCACCTCAGTACTACCAGGTATCTACTGTATCTGTTCAGAGAGCGGGCTCCGTCGTCAATTTTTCATATTGTTTTGTTTGTTTGGCGCGTCTTCGAGTCATATGATGGTGATAGCCTGTTGATAGGCCTACCAGCTACTATGAAATGTCTTCTATATCCTCCTGCCTTTCCATAGGCAGGCTATCGCTATGACATCAGTTACCTCTGATGGAAAGCCGCCGAAGACGAAGAGGAAGAAGCACCAGTAGCAAACGTCGATCCGGTGACTTTGGTCCAAGCACTTTCGAGTTTCCTCTCAATCACCTCCTCAGCACCGGCCCCGGTACCGACATCGCTGACCGCGACACCTTCAGCACCTTTCAGCCCACTGGCGGTCTCGGCCGATCCGACGCGCTGCGTAGTCTCTTCCAGACTCTGGTCCAAATTACTCGTGTAGATGACGGCGGCAAAAGCCTCGAGTTCCTTGACTTCAGCTTCCGCCGTGTCCAAGTACTCGTTGGGAGGGTTGTTGCCGTTTCCGATGGCATGAGCCTGCCGCGTCAAAATGGCCAGGATGTTGGCCAGCTTGACGCGTGGCTCGCCGGGGACGACAGTGACAGCCGAGTCGAGCTCGACGATGCGTGGGTGATGCGGCGCCGTGCCTGACACCGAGGAGGAGGGCGACTGTAATGTGGCCGGCTGGGGGTAGAGTTGTTGGATGACCTTGACGTCGATTAGGTGTGAGAACATGGATCCCAGCAGGAGACTGTGGATGCGGTTGAATGTCGGCGAGTCGATTAGGTCGGCTGTCTCGTCCAGCAGATGCCGTAACGGGCCTGTGGACGTGTCGATGCGCGGACTCGAGACGGCATTTTGTGCTGCTGCCGTCCGGGTTGACTCATCTTGACCTGTCGTCCGGACAGGCGTGGATGTGCCCGGAGTAATGACTCCAGACTCGATCAGAACCGCTTCTTCCTCCTCTCTCGGAGGCAGCATGTACTGAAGCCACCGCGTGGCATACCGCTCCTGCTCGGTGCCGCCTTCTACGCGCTTCCGCACCTCGAGCACCAAGTCGCTGAGTCTGCTGGCCGTGATTCCCTCGTTGGGCGAAATGCCTCCAAACACTTCTTCGACAGCTGTTCTGACTTTGGCCATGATCTGTGCATAGCCCTTGTGTAGTAGATACCAGGAAAATGTCAGATATCTTCTGTTGGTCTCGAAGTCGTTTCCAAAACTGGTGCTTGCATTCCCGTCGTCATGGTCTTCTAGCGAGATCGAGTTGGCTCGGCCCGGTGGTGGAGGTCGCGCCAGCGAAACCACCGACGTCAGATAGTTCAGCCGCCCCAACAGATTCAATTGTATCCGTGTCAAGATGATAAGGAGAGAGAGACAGTAAATCAGTGTGAATGCCCGGGTGATGGAAGTCACCTTCAACTCGTTCCACAACTGAGCTTTTGTCTTTCGCGTGGGTCCATTTCCACCTTGGCTGCCATTGCCATCCAGTCCAGCCTGGCTGGCATGGATAAAGCTGCCCGTCTGGAAACTGGACATGCTGACTGTGTCCCCATCTTGAATGCTTGATGCTTCCGACTTGCCTTCACCCGAGGCACGTGCCAACCGTTCAGCCTTCTTTTGTTGCAGCTCATGTGTCAGTTGTTCTACAGGAAGCTCTTCGAGGACATTCTCGGTCAGGGTCGGTAGGAGAGCGAGGACGGTAATGGTGCAGTCGGTTTGATTCTGTTCAAACCGTCGTCGTATACTGCGTGCGAAGATGTGTTAGACCACGTTTCCATGTGAAGCGAGTATAACCCCTTACTTTTCTTTGGCTATTCTGTCCATCTGCATGCGCTCTCGCGCTTCATTGATCTTGCCTAGGACATATTGTCCCGCCAGATAAGTGGCGCCAATGACCCCGGCACCAATGGCGATTCCAGTGCGGTTGCGCCGAAGCCAGCGACGTGTGGCTGATATCATGGTGACGAGGGCTGGACGGTTTGAGGGCACCTTTATCTCAGGTGTAGATGTTCCGCGGGATAGTACATGACCACAGCTGGCACGAGGCAAGCGTAGAGCTTGAACAAGAGCGCCCTGGGGGAGGAGATGGTCACACTTGAAGACACGAGTCTATTGAACACACATCAATTGAGACGGAGAATGGAGGATCAGGAAATGGGAGTCTTGTGGCGCTGCCGAGGCTAAAGGACAGAATGAGGTAACAGTCACGGTCACGGTGCACAGGCGACAACTACTAGTCGCGTAGGACCAGTAAAGATCTCCTATAGTCTGATGCTGGCAGCCCCAGTGTCCACCACTTCTGTTAACAGGCTCGACGATAGAAAGAATGCAATCGTAGAGGACTTCCTGAAGAGTTGAGGTTGATAGCGGAGGATGGCTGGGATGGTCAGTACAGACCTGGGAGTATACGAGCATTATTGAGTCCAGTTGAGGCTGGAATACTACTGCAGCCTGAAGAGTGTGATGGTGACTCTGCAGCAAGTGTCTGGTGCCCGCCAAAGGCCGCGATCATTATCGGGACCCCGCCATTGCAGGGCATGCGGAGGGTCTGGCTGTCCTTACATTATTCAAGTATCTACGTAAGATAAGGTAGATACTGTAGGTACCATTCAACCTCTTCGTCTCGAGGCGCATATCAACCCATTGTTCAACAGCGCTTCAGACGCATCAGACCTCGCTGCCGAGAACTGCCATGTCTTGAGAGAGCATTCACTGTCCAGGCGCCACTCGCTGGCTGCTGGCTGCCCTTTCACCCCGTCCTCCGCTTCGCCTGCGTCCAACCGCTCCCCCACCATACCTAGTATCCTGTTGAACCGGGCATCGTTACGCAGTAACCATAACCATGGATCCGCGGCGGCACGAATACATTGTTGAAGTGTTTGCCGACCAGACATTCGTGGCAGACATTGTCAAAGGTCAGCCAGCGCCCACTCAATTACTTTCATTATTGAGGGCAGAAGTCACAAATCCTCGCCGATAAGGAGGACTGACATGTGTATCCGGGTACAGGAGTCTTGCATACCATCTTTTTCCACCGATACTTTCCTCCCGTGAGGCCGTCCCTATATATGCCATCGGCCTCGACGTCGCACTCCTCATCACACTCGGCCCAGTCACTGCCAATCCCGCTACCTTCCATCCTTGACCCGCCTGAGATATCTACTGCGATCGATTCGCATACTGCCCTCCTTGTCTCTCAACTAACCCCTCAGTCGTCAACGAGCTCTGCATCAGGAGCTTCTCGTGGGGAAATCGTGGTTCGATTCTATGACCGGAAACGTCGAAAGACTGGGATCACCACGGGCTGGTTGGGTCGTCTGGGCGGAGGTGGTCAAACGGAAGAAGAGGTTTGCTGGGAAGAATGGTGTGTACAGGTCATCGTCGCCAGGCCCCGCAGCGAAGCAGGTAAGTCGAATCCTCTCATTCAATCTACCGCGACGGGTTGTGTCGCTGACAAGCCCATGGCAGACCGCATCAAGGTACGCAGGGCCATGGAATCATCTCTACAGAAAACGGCCATGAAGATTGTCGCCATTGTGAATAAAGATAAAGACCATATCCCACCCATCACCACCAGCGACCAGAACCCGTTTCCCTATCGGATATTCGTCAATCCGAAGCAGCAGGAGAGTGCGGAAAGAGGCTTTGGAAGCTGGAATTGATCTACAACTACCGCACCTGGCCTTGGTGGCTTTGTAGACGTTGGAGCGCACACCCCTACATTATGAAGTATCGGACGACTAGTAACGTGCAGCACCCTGAAATCGGATTTTATGGGGTGTTTATAGGATGTTTGCGTCAATTGTTCATATCAAAAGCCGTAGATAATCTCCATAAGCAAACCCCAGAGTGAATCGGTCTATCGTGCTAATCCGCAACAGTTTCATCCCAATGTTCCTCACTCTCCGCTGGCTGGTACGAATTCCAACCAGCAACTCTAACCATGCTTGAACCAATTCTCATTGTTTACGTGTAATGTGGCTGCCAGTATACAGGATTGTCGCGAAGAGATGTTTTGGCGCGGAGCTCGTTCGCATCAAACGTCAGCGATGTCTTTCAACTCGCGGACAAAATCCTTGTATGATTGCTTGAATCGTTTACTGGCTTTTGAAAGCCGCATCAGCCTTGCCCCGGACATCTGCGGATGCGCTTCCAGACTGGGTGAAGAAACGGGAGAAGACTGGTTGGATCAAGGAGCGGAAGACGACTTGAGCTCCATTGGTGATGGGAAGAGCCATCCAGAGGATGAGAATGAACTTGAAGACGTAGTAGAACGCTGGAGACAGGTCAGCATAATCATCAGTCAATGTGGAAGATCAACGTACGGAACCAATAGACAGCATTGATCATGCTCTCAAGAACAGTGAGGAAGGCATACACGACCCAGTACTGTATAGTGTCAGTAGCTGCTGCGACTTTTCCCAATTTGTAGTCTTGTGCTGTAACATACCGTCAACCATTGGGTATCGTCCACTTTGCTGGAGCTGAATAGCGCATCCAGAGAGTAGTATCCCGGGATTATGAATCCAGCAAAGTTCACAAGAAATTCGCCTCCAATGTTGAAGAAGACCAGGAAGAAGTAGAGACCGACGAGGCCGAGGAAGGCATAGACTTTAGGAACGCTGGTCTGCTTCTCAAAGTTGTTGAGGGCGGGGTATTTGGAAAGCTATGAGTTCGGAAAGTCAGCACAAGTGCCAATGCAGCGTCCGAAGAAGGATAGAGTGAGGATGTCCAGCCCAGCAGCGGCCGTCAATTGCGATGCGGACTGCCAGCGCAGGTGCCTGTGCTCACTCACCTCCTTGTCGATCTGGGAGATCTGGTGCTGGGCTTTATCCTGGAAAGACATTATGAAGGTCTGGGATGATAATCTCAATTGGGACTGTCAAAAGGTAGGGACTCTGTGCGAATGAGTAGCGACAATTGAAGTTTTGAAAGCGAGGTTGAATTGGAACAGAATGATGACAGAGGGATGATGATGTTGAGAAAGATGAGAGGGTGACGTCTCCGGCGGACGGATTTCAGGTTGTGTAGTGCCAGTGTGTGATCCCCAGGCAGGGTTTGACTGGCTACACCTACAGGCCAGTAATTGGTGCCAGTAGTAGTCACGGTGGGCGCCGGCCTTGCCGGCAACTACTCGCAGCATTTGCCGACTGCCAGTGTACTAGCAGTGCAGCAGCACTCCGCCGTGGTATGTACGTCAGGCCGCGATCATGCTTACGTGAAGCCATACAATACGTAGCCTACGTACCTGAACGCAATATGCCAGTAAGGCGCAAATACTAAGAAGGTAATCACGTGAGATGGTGTTCACTTGTGGCAGTCTGACGAAGAATAACAACCAATAACGGCCAAAGTCGGTGACTTTTGACAATGTTTGTGGTTGTCAGACGGTGTGGAATTCTTCTGACTGGTGGTGGCCTGCAAAAGCGGTCCTCTTGGCACGTTGCTGAAGCAACTCGGCACAACAATTGCTCGATAGGCCTGTTCCAACACAAACCATCAACAGCCACAGCGCGTGAAGGGTGTGTTAGGTCGTTTACAGCACCATCTGGCTTGGAGTGGGACAACCGTCACTGGTATTACTACGCCTCCCACTGCCGTCTGTCCTTGCTTGCGCTCAAACCGGTGGACACACCGTCCGCGCACACCCGCTGTTGACATAACTCCACCAGTTCTTTTCTCGGATGGCCTGTTAGGAGCTGTGAGCGAGAAAAGGACTGCAGAGCGAGACGAGACCGCTGGCGACAATTATACTGTGGAAGTCTACAAAGGTTCATTTCCCGTGAGATTGAGGAGCTTTGACCGAAATCGCCCTGATGAGTTGTTTGTTTTTGCGCGTGACAGGAGGCTAATCGACGCACAGTTCAGTATGCCGCAATCACCTACCCACACGACGGAGGAAGCTCCAGAACACCGAGGCCTTACCCATACAAACAATGCAATGTCAAATAAAGAAAAACACCGTCCAAAGTCTCGGGGTTCCACGACCAGTTTACAGTCTGTTGGAGTAGGAAGCGCTTTCCAACCGCCGCCTCAACAACACGACGACTCGACGATGCCGCTCGATCAGAACGGCTTCTACGTACAACATGGCGGCCACCATCAAGCCGCTGCGATGTACGGTCCCAATCCTGACGAGATGCTCATGCATTATCCGCACAACATGACGGCGCACCTCCAACAACACCCGCCTATGGACGCCTCGGGTGGCATGCCACAACACGAAATGCGGCCAATGCCACAACAAACATTTCAGGAAATGCAGCACTTCCCCGTGCAATATCCTCACGGCCTGCCCCCATACGCTGTCGCTCCACAACATATGCATCATATGCGTCACCATTCCGAGCAGTTCGAAGGGTCACCGGCGCCCGAAGACTCGAATACTGAGAACGGGGGCGCGAAGAGAAGAAAAGGAACGGCTTCGAGTGTCGCGAATGATCAAGAGTTGCGACGGCTACTTGCGCAATACCAGGGCAAGTCCTTGAAGGAGGTTGCCGCCGAGGTTCAGAAAAATGAAGGGTCAGGAGGCAAATCCGAGAAGGCTAAACAGGTGTTCGCCATGTTATGGTTTGTCTACAGAAGGTCAACACCTTGTCTAAGCTGACCATGACAGGCTCCAAGAAAATTGTCAACGATCTTCGAATTCCGTGCGCCGAGATCGCGTCTTCACTCGATACACTGAACGCTGCGGCAATGAGCGCGTTCCAACCCTAAACCCCGCGTCGTTCGGTAAACTGGTGCGAATAATCTTTCCCAATGTGCAAACCAGACGACTCGGCGTCCGAGGCGAATCCAAATACCACTATGTAGATCTCTCGCTGGTCGTGGACGATGACGACCGACAATACGTCTCGACGGCTCAAGAAAGACCGGGAACAGCTGACGGCAGTCATCATGAGAGACGCGGATCCCACGCCGATACAAACAAGCTCATCAAGGCTCGCATATCACCTTCCATTGAGAGACCCCTGTCCAGGGCCGCCGTGGAGACTGCCGACTTCCCAGCCCCTAGCGCCGCTTTCTTGCCTCAGGAGAGCGCTGGAACCGAAGAGGTCGAGCCGCAGCCAACGAAACCACAACTGCAGAAGCTAGACTGTAAATACATCAACACTCCGACAATCCGCTTACCATACAGAAGAATGCCCGCGAACGTGGTTGCTGCCCTGCCATCAGTTCGGCCGAATCTACCTGCGAGTATGGCCACTTACCTGGGAATGCCAACCCTCGATTCTTTAGCGCAGGTGTCTTCCTCGTCACAAGATGCGCCCGTCGAGTTTCCCGACATATTCCCTTACCTGGAAGGGGTCAACTATGATGCTTCAATAGCCAAGGCCCTGTTCCATCTCTATCGATCTTATTGCATCGACGTCATCGACGCGTTTAGAAAATGCAAAGAAAAGCCATTCTTCAATCACCATTCCGCCTTTAACGGCAAGATGACCGTTCCGGTGTCCAAGCTATTCTCGATGGCATGCCTGGCTCCTTGGATCCAGGAATGTGACATGCGCATGTACAAACAAATTGTGCGCTTCATCGCCCCGTTGGCTGTCCAAAATGTGCCGGATGTTGTGTGGAACGTCTTCGATCGCATTGGCTCGAGATTGGTCAGTCATCTTATTTCCGCGTTTGAAGAAAAGTGCCCGGTTCATGTCGTCGTGGCCAAGACCGTACCTGCGGCGAGGTTTGCGAATCTGCTTAAGAAGCTCAAAGGAGCCAATGCCGCGACGTTACAACTCAGTCGGATGTTAGAAGACCCCCAACAGCGAACGCAAATGTGGCTCGACCTCATGGCCATGGTTGAACCGGAGCGCATGTTAGAAGAGAGCATGCCACCACCAGAAAGCCTGGAGAGGATTGAAGGTGTCCTGAAGCACGACATGAGACCACTCGTCTTGCCAGTTGACGGCGAACTAGTGCGCGCAGCAGAAGAGGATCCCACCAGTGCATACGCAAACTTCCTTAGCGACAACTCAGGATATGGACAAGGGCTCCTTCCTCTGGACAGCAACGAGCAACCCACTCCATTGTTGGAAAAATGGATCAACTGGTTGGAGCGGTTGCCGCAACTGTTTGAAGGCCATCATCCACAATGCATGATCGACTGGCATTCTCGGTTCTGGAGCAGTCTCATGATGCAGATGGGACAGAACGGAGCACACAGTTATCAATCATGGTGGTTTGTGGAGTCGTTCACCACTCAAATGTTGTGCTGGATGACACAGATGGAGGGGTTGCTAATGGATGAAGAAAGTCAGAAGCTTGCGGATGAACGCGAGCAAGAAAAGAGCAGAGAGATTGAGCCTCACCTATCAACGTCATCATTAGGTCGAAGTCTCAAGCGTAAGCGAGCGGAGGACGACATCGAAGGCGAGGCGAATACCACCCCTGAACTTGAAGTGGTACATCAAACCAAGAAATTGGAGACGAGCCACGAGAGCGCTTCTACGCTGCCTTCAGTTCCTGCCGAAGAGCCAACGGCAACCCAACAAGTGGATGACGATGAGACAGATGCAGAGCTGGACGAGCTACGCCAGGGCGGCCCTTTAGATCTGCCGAGTTTTCACACGGGCTTGAGCAGTCCAGTCAAACGACAACCGGGGACGACTAATACTCACGACGATAGTGGAATCGACTTGGGGTTGGACGTGGATGCAGAAGCCGAGAAGGAGGCCAAAAAGTTCAACAAGCGAGACTGGTTGCTCAGTAGCGACCCTGTGGATTCAGCGGTCGGACTGGGCGTCTTGGTATGACATGAATCCGGACAATACAGGCAATGGCGCATGAACATCGATCAGGTTTCCTCTCCCGGCCTGAACATTTGTACGACGTGGAAAGCAGTGATGAATGTCAGTTAGGCCGGCAGCTGGGCGAAAGGCTCGACAAGCTGGGTCAGTGATATGAGACCTTTGCAAATGAGTACTACGATACTATCAGTCATGGTCGACAAAGACGACTTTTTTGCCTGTTCTCAGGTTCAGTTCTACTGCCCAGCCGTGTTCTTTGGTAGCGCAGCTACCTGCCTGTCTAGCTTTTGCGGACATGCCTTTGCTTCGACAGGGCGTTCAAAGTACACCAGGGGACTGCAGTGTATGGAAGAACGGCCATCTCATCTCTGGGCAATGATAGGGCGGCTTATCTGGCTTGTTGTTTTTGGAACTCGTTTGTTTTGTTATGTTGCTGAGATTTGATACCCCCAGGGTTTTTATTGGATGTGACGGGGTCGGATTCAATGATTGGGGCTTTGGCTTGACTCTGAGGGTTTTTGGCCGGGGTTCAGTTCATCGTGGTGCTTCCAACTGTTACAGTATCCGCAATGCCACCAGCGGGTTGAGAATCGGTCTTTTCTCTTACTCAGCTTTTTTTCCTTTTCGTTGTTGTACTATTTATGTCGAAGTCAAGGAGTGATAGTGTCCTGGCGAACTCACAGGATAAGGATGGGATGGATGATGATGATGCCACTAAGGCTCGGCAGGGCAGTCACTGCTTAGCTATCTTCTCTGATAAGATCACGGCAACCGCCCACTGCACTGCTTCGCCGAATACGATGTGCTGGTGCTGCCTTGCCATTGACATTGACGTTGAATGTTGGACGCTCACTAATGGGGTTTTGGTCGTGTTTCCTCAAAATACTGCTAATGCACGGGTATATCTTTCTTGCACACCACCACTGGCATGATCGGCAAAACGGCGAATCTGTGAATCTCCCTTGCCTTACCTTGGATTCTGTTCTTTGTTTGTCACTATCATATAGTGTGTTGCATGTCCGTCCACGCAATGCAGTGCAGTTCTAGTGAGCGATCAGAAAGTTGTTTATTTGAGGTTTATATTGATCTTGATGCTGCTGCTGCTGCTGCTGCTACTACTACTATTACTACTACTATTACTACTACTATTACTATTACTATTACTAATACTACTCTACCAAATCTGGAGTCATCAGCACTGCCAAGAGCAGTTTGCAGTCCTTCGAGATATTGAAAATATTTGCATCACGGAAGGTTTGGATAAATTGAAACTGTGAAGCCAGTGAAGTGTTGTAAAACAGTGATGGTTCTTCTCAACGATATAGGAGGCGGGAATGTATCTACGTAATCCTCCCTACCTATTTGCCTGTTTGTCTGACTTAGTTGCAAGGAGCCCTCCGTACTAATTGTCCTAATTGCATACAAAGAGTACTCCTGCTTAAGTATCCAACTTTTGTTTCAGTCGCCCTCCTGGTTGATTGTCAGTGTTGAGTACCAGAAGGCCTCCATGAGCAATGGGCGGCTGGCGGGTAATGGTGGAGAACGGCATGGAGAGTAAAGTTGTGTTCTTGCTCTGGTGGAGATCTCGAGGATCGTGCCCTCATTCTTTCCTTAGTTGGCGGACATCCACTTCAAAACTTTGGTGTCATCCACGATCTTTCGGCCACAAGCTGCGTCGAAGCACCACTCATGGTACAGCTTCTCGCGATATGATTCACATATTGATTGAGTTTCAGATACCATTGTGAGGAAAGGCTAGGGTGCCATAGTGGCGCGGTACTAGAAAGGCTACAGAGACCAGTCAGCCACAGACAGGCATGCTACGGTCGTCCAGCGGCATGAGCCTCTGACCAGTGCGAGCGAGGCAATTAGGAGGACAAATCAGAAGCTGTGAGCGAGGGGAATAGCTGTGCTACCAGCTGCTTTGTGCCAGCCAGGCAGCAAGGCAGCAAGGCAGGCTGCTGGGCAGACGGTCACCTTTCCTGCTTAGTGACGCACTCCGCCGAAAGGGGCACAGCAGCGTTGCGTGATCGAGGACACTGGCTGGGCTGGAGTCCTCATCAGGCTGACCTAGGTAGGTGATTCAGCCGGACAACTGGGGAACAAACGGACTTGCAGAGAGTCTACAATGCATTAGACCCAATGACCATCGTTAGGCTGTCTCGGTGGCAGGGTCTACACAGCCAAGTTCATGTTCGCTTCGAGCGGTGTGTAGTCGCGAAGGACTCATCGCGGCCTCTATCAGGTAACGCTTCTGCTGCTGGTCGACGGGACCCTGTCCATATGAGCCCAACCAGAGAACGCCCTCAACCCTCAGCTCGCAGTTCTGGCTGATGCACACGCCGCGTTCATTAACCAGCCCAGTATCACGCCAGGACCACGGGGTCTTTCGAAGGCTGTTGCCAGTGCCCTTTCAGAAGAGACACAGCCACCCAATATTTGGAATCAGCTATACTATGAGCCTCTACATCGACAGTTCCGCAGAATGCAGCTAATCTGGGCCAAGCATGTTGCACGTATACTGAAGAGCAAAAGAAGTATGCAAGAAATGCAAGAAATACATCTGCCCCGGCCCTTCCAAGAATCAATCCTGAATAACAGATTTTACCCACAGAACTTGTCCCTCAAGACTACCATCACCTACCGGGCCACTCTTAAACCGTTGAAGACCCGTCTAGACGCAGCAGCGTCCAATTTGTTTGTGGAGAATGATACAAGGGTGGAGGTACCGGTCCGAGACTTCCACAATGATGGTTCTAAGGATAGTACGGAGAACAGAGCCTGAAAAACAGGTCAACGCTGACGAGCAGCAAATGCAGTTTCAGAAGAGTTCAACATTCAGAATCTTCAGAGACGGTACGATGAATTGACCCAAAAGGATTGGGGATCAGAAGACAAGAGCTTTGGGACGGTCGAGAAATGTTTTCGCTCTAACCTGGCTGCTCATTTGATGTTCTGTCACTGGTCCACTGAGGGCTGGCGATGGCGTGCTCTCTGGCTCGAAACCATTCTTGAAGGCGCCGTGAGTTGACTCTGTTACGAACTTTCCTACTAATATCTCCATCTAATGACGATCACAGACATTCAAGGTCCTAGTCCGCCTCCATGGACCAGACGCAGCTTACAGTCTATCAAAGCGAGAGCAGGTAGTGCAGTTACAACTGTGGGAAGACAAAGTGAGCGAGTGCGTTATGGCCATGGGGGCGAATGTTAACATCATCACGTCGATATGCCGTTTCTACAATGGCCTACTAGACGATAAGGATGTTCCTCAGTCTTTAAAGGATGCTTATGGTCTCGACATAGTTGGCTTGAGCGTCTATGGAAGATATGATCTCTAATCTGCAAAGGCAAATTGCGCGCACGAAGTTGCTCGTCAAGATTACCAGAGACAGGAAGGAAATTGTAAGTTTACCGTACTTGTCTGCTCGTCGCTTCCAGAAGGCCCCTTCTAACCGACGTTAATTCCTGTTTAGGTCGTCCACCATCTCCAAACCGAAGCGGCGGCAAGTATGCAGAAGGAAGCAATCATCATGATAATCAGCACACTCGTCACTTTGGTTTACTTTGCCAGCCACCTTCGTCTCGGTGAGTTACAAGTCTGCTGGTAAGCGCGACTACTGGCACTTAGGCTGACAAGGAACCTGGCGCGCTTAGACCTTCTTCAGTACTCACATTATCACGTTTCGCGATCCGAACTCCGGAACTCCAAAGGATGGCACATTCTCTAAGGAGGCAATGTTCCGCTGGTTGCAAGTGACTCTGCCCCTGACCTTTCTCACCATCTGTGCGGCATTTGTTGCGCTGAAGGTCACGGAGCAGGGGGGGAAGCCGGGCCCCCATTCCGGCAGCCTCCTCAGCCGCTCCTAGCACGACCTTTTGTGCTGTCAGGTGGATGTGACTTGCTGACGTGGATAGGGATACTCCTTCGAGGCGTATCAGGGCCAGGAAGGATGTAATAGGGAGAATGACCGTGAAATCAGTCTCAGTCGAGTCTCCTAGGTCTCTCTTTTTGGTGTTCTGCCTCCTCAGCCTTGTTAGAAGGCAACCAGCCAGAGGACGTAACCGGTCACGCACGATCCGACGATCAAGAGACCTGGCCCAGCACGGAGAGCATGTAGTTGTCCAGCACGGCGTGGTGTGTGTGCTCATCGGCCTGGGCGCCGAGAATTGCTCCAACGAGGGTCCGCGGTGGTGGAGGAAGCTTCTCACTACTCTGCGCAAAGTACCATGTAGTACCTAGGCATGTACCAGGGAGCGCAGTTCCACCAAACATGATGCCAGGGAGGTTGTGGTGAGTTACTTCTAATTGCTGTTGACAGTTTGCGGCTGGCTTTCGGTAAGTTGAGTGATGCGTTCCAGTCCCAGATTCCGCGCCATGCCTTTACGGTGGCGCACAGTTGTTCACGCCGAAGTATCATCAATCCCCTTCTACTGCTACTCATAAAGGTACCTCTGGGGCTATACTACGACTCCAGCAGAGTTCCGTCAAATATAGCTTCTATTCAGCTCCGCCCTCCACATAGGTTGGCCTTCTTACATGTTCTATATGAGCATGCTTACGCGACCTGTCTGTATATACGTGCTCGTGCTGGTGCCGGGGATCGTTCTTCAAGTTGTGCAGTTCATCGTTCCGCGCATTATTCATTCCATGTGTTTCTGACCGACAAACATTCAAGCGCCAGTCCGTCATCACTTATAAATATATAGCCATAAGATGGCGAGGAAGAAGCACAAGCCTGATCAGCTCAATAAGCAGACCCTGGAGCGGCCGGCAGCACCTGTCCCACCACAGAATGCCTCTCCCCGGACACAGCAGTCTAATACTGTCTACACCATCCTTAGGGACAAAAGGTTTCAGAGAGCTCTACAGCTAATCTTCCTTGCGGCACTATATGCCCCTGTCTCGCAACTGAATTTATCACCGGTCTACGGATCGGTGCCGGCAGGCTTGTACCATAGATATGGTCTGACGGCATCATTCTTGCTTGCGTTTGTTCTTCGTGGCTATCTTCCCCGTTGGATCGGCCAAGCCATCACTCCCTTTTGTTTCTGGATTCCTACGCTGCAATTCTTGCTTTTTCGGCTCAGCGCAGTCCTTGGAAATCCGCTGGGTCCGATTGTTACGGAAAGCCTGACATGCTTTCCGCTGGTGGCGCTGTCCGTCTACGTTGCAATGCAAAAGTTTGACGAGTTATTCAACAACCAAGACACCTCAGGGCATGGTGATGCTGTGCCTTCTATTGGGCTGTTGATGCTCTTCACCGTCCTGCGGAGGGCTTGTACAGGCTTTGTGTCGTCCATCTCTGGACCAGGCTTTCTGCGGTCCCGCATTGGATTACAGCTATTGATCGCCTCATTATATGGAATGGTGCTGCCAAAGAGCCTGTTCTGGCCCTCGGTGCCGGCCGTCGCCTTTACTATGGTCGCCAACCCTCATTGCACACTGTCGAGAACGACCCAAGTATTGAACAATACCCTGGCCTTGTACGAATATACTCTGTTGGAACGGAAGGAGTCCATCACCGGCTACATTTCCGTGCTTGAGGATAAGCAGCGCGGCTTCCGCGTGATGAGATGCGACCACAGTCTTCTTGGAGGTGAATGGAAGATGCCACCACTGAAGCAAGGCCGACGGAAAGTGGGGGAGCCAATCTACGCCGTCTTCACCATGCTTGAAGCGGTGCGCCTTGTAGAGCCGTCTTCTACACAGCCGGAAAAGACAGCGTTGAACATCGGACTCGGCATTGGGACCGCGCCATCCGCGCTGATTGCACATGGGATCAATACTACCATAATCGAGGTTGATCCAGTGGTACACGAATTTGCCATCAAATATTTCTCTCTTCCCCACAATCATAGCTACTTGATCGGTGATGCTGTGGCAGCTGTCCGCAACGCAAATGCTTCAGAAGCCAATTCCTATGACTACATCATCCACGACGTCTTCACGGGCGGCGCAGAGCCTGTCGAGCTTTTCACCGCCGAATTCTTCAGAGGTCTGCACATGCTGCTCAAACAAGATGGGGTGATAGCCATCAATTACGCAGGAGACATCACAATGCCAGCCTCTTCGCTGATATATCGCACCATCACGTCTGTTTTCCCGTCGTGTCGAGCCTTCAGAGAGGACGAACCTCCTGAACCCGGCACCAGACCCGACGATTTCACGAACATGGTCGTGTTCTGCCGCAAAGACAACTTGCCGATCAAATTTCGAAAGCCCACCCAGCCAGACTATCTGGGAAGTGGAGCTCGACGGGAGTACTTGTTACCAAAGTACGAAATCCCATCAGATGCATTCAACAAGAACAACGGTATTCTCCGGAGCGGCAATACAAAGGAACTCGAGAAATGGCAGGCAAAGAGCGCTCTGGGCCACTGGAGGGTCATGCGGACTGTGCTGCCTGATGCGATTTGGGAGAATTGGTGATTGGAGAGAGCGCCGTGCAAAGTTCACACAATATCCCTGGAACTCCAGAGTGTAACACCGTTCAATGATTATGTCGGGGCGCGGGCCATCGCTGTGCCACCTTCTGATACTTAACCGCACAGTTAAGGACCATGCCCTCGTTAAGCTGGCCGGTTTCGCGCCTGAAGATATCCTGCCATGGCGTCTGGCTCTCTGGAACAGCGTAGCCGCCCTTGGCTTCCAGCTCTTCTCGCCGCCTCTTCAATTCATCCTCCGCGACCAAAAGATTCACTTTTCTCTTGGTCAAATCTACCCGTATTCGGTCACCGTCACGTAGAAGTGCCAAGTTACCGCCCGCAGCGGCTTCAGGACTTGCGTTCAGGATAGATGGAGAGCCTGACGTACCAGACTGTCTCCCGTCGCCAATGCATGGTAGAGAGTGAACTCCTTGTTTTAACAGATGTCCAGGAGCATGCATATTGACCACCTCCGCTGCTCCCGGCCATCCGACGGGGCCAGCGCCTCTCATAACCAAAATGGTCCTCTTGTCGATCGGAGTCTTTGGGTCATCGACCCGCGCGATGAAATCTTCCCGGCCGTCAAAGACAACAGCTTTACACTCGAAAGCGTTGGGATCGTTAGGATCCTCCAGGAATTCCTTCCGGAACTCATCGGATATGACGGACGTTTTCATGATGGCAGAGTCGAACAGGTTGCCAGTCATATGGAGAAATCCAGCACCCTCTTTGAGCGGGTTGGAGTACTCCTTGATCGTCTGCCTGTCCCAGGAGTGCTGGCCGTCCACGTTATCTTTGACGGTCCTACCGTTGCACGTGAGGGCCTGCCCATGCAGTTTGCCCTGGTCCAGGAGCTCGGCCATAACAGCAGGAAGACCACCGGCCTTGTAATATTCCTCACATAACATCTCTCCGGCTGGTTGCACGTTCACGAGCAGGGGTATGTCGAAACCGATCCTGTCCCAGTCATTCAAGTCTAGCGGAACTCCAATGTGCTTTGCAATGGCGTTCAGATGGATGGGCGCATTGGTGCTGCCTCCAATGGCACTGTTCACGACAATGGCATTTTCGAAGGCTTCCCTGGTCATGATATCGCTGGGCTTGCGGTCCGCGTAGACCATTTCCACAATCTGTTTGCCCGTCTTATATGCTACCTGAGATCGCTCACGGTAGGGTGCCGGAATGGCAGCAGATCCGGGTAGCGCCATGCCTAGCGCTTCTGCAAGGGCGTTCATGGTCGATGCTGTGCCCATGGTATTACAATGGCCAGCCGATGGCGTTCTGTGGTCTTCAGTCAGCTGTCGGACGTCTTGTCAGTCTATACCGGAATTGGAACTCACCCAGAGGTAATCATCTCCACAAGCATGTTATCGTCGATTTCGCCTGCAGCGTGCAGATCTCTGGCCTTCCACACCACTGTGCCGGAGCCCATGCGCTGATCAGTACCTTTCAATCGGCCGTTAAGCATCGGTCCGACATTAAGGCAGATGGCCGGGATGTTCTAGAAACAACATTCAGTCCAATGACGCGTGAGAACTGGTGAAGGACTCAACTTACCACAGTAGCAGCAGCCATGAGGAAGGCCGGGGTGGTCTTGTCGCATCCCGTGAGCAGGACCACACCATCCAGGGGATATGCGAACAGCAACTCAACCAGTCCAAGATATGCCAGATTTCGATCCAGAGTCGCTGTAGGCCTCCGGGAGCTTTCTTGAATGGGATGTGTGGGGAATTCGAAGGCAATGGCGCCTGCCGACCGAATCCCTTCTCGGACCCTTTTGGCCAGAGTCAAATGATACCGATTGCACGGAGCCAAGTCCGATCCTGACTGAGCAATACCGATGACGGGCTTCCCAGACATCATCTCCTCCTCAGTGAGGCCATAATTCATGTATCGATCAGCATAGAGGGCGGACATTTCGGGGTTGCTTTTGTCATTGAACCAACGCGCGGAGCGGAACCGGGACCCTGACCCTGATGCCCTGGTACTATCATTTCCAAAGCCTACCTCGGACAGCTTCTGCTCGAGCTCGCGCGTGCGCTTACGTAAGGTCTCGAGTTCGGATTTGTAGTCTTCAATGTCGCCCACACTGGTACAGCCGCCATTCTGCTGACTGTCGCTGGGACAGGTATTGCAGGCCGCCGTTTCTTGTTGGCAAGACATGCTGCTAAGTTTGGGGAGCGATATCCCTGGGCGAAAATTTGTCCACCTAGTTGTAGAAACGCTCCTAGATATGCTAGTCGTCGCCAAATTCATGCTGCCCGCAACCGTTGATTGCTCATATATGTATATTCCGTCGGTTGGAGAAGGGTGGTTCAATCGCGGACATACGCCGGCTCACGGCACACGAGACCGAGGCCCGACTTCCACTTCTCTTCCTCCAATCGGATCATTTCGATTTCCACACATTGTAAAAAGGACGCGGGTACCCCCACGGAGACGGGCGTTCTTGTTGGCTATAATGTTTGGTTGACAGGCCGCCTGGAAGAGAGGGGTGCACGGCGGGGGTCAAACTGTGAGGACTACTCGCAGTATCCCCAGCTGAACAGCCTCTTCGGCTCATGATGCACCGAATGTCCACATCTGCGGTATTATTGTCAGGTATCGGACCAGACATATTATAGAGTTCTCTTGGTCATGTGCGGCAAAATTATGTGATGGATGTCAATTCACTATTTAATGTTACGTCCCGTTTAATCATCAGTGGTGGCGACAGTGATGATCTCTCGTGCGCTGCGTTGTTTGAGGTCGGACACTGTAGACGTCAAGGCGAGCAAGAGACGGACGAGGCTGCGAAGCTGCGAGGCTGTAACACATGCTCAAACACTCGCGGTCATGTGATCGCAACTGCTTGGCCTGTCACGTGCGACAGAACATACTGCCTTATCACGTGGTTGCAACCTTACTTGTTAATGTCTTCTAGCACCGACGTTGCACGTCCGAACATGATCGTTGACGTTGCTTATGAAGGCGACCACCTGTTCCTACTTCGTCTCTTTCAGCGCCTCCAAACGCTATCCCAGTTCTATATCAAGAGTATCTCCCTCGCCGAACGACCTGTCGAGGCCTTGTAGCTCTGACGATCGAGCGGCTTTGTCCATCAGTTCTAAACTGACACCTTTATTGGCTCGACTGTGACGTTGGCTGCTCTTGTTTGCTTGTCGCTCTCTATTGGCAGACTCATCTCTTCCACCACGCTCTCCGACGATTGAGATAGCTCGAGTCTATGGCGTTCCCTGCATTGGCTGGTTAGCTGACGTGTACTTGACTGTAGACAGCACAGGTGAGCACTTACTCCTGCTTCCTATACAAATGCCTCACAACGAATGTGAAGCCGATCAGGCATATCGAGTTGGCAAGACAGAAAGAGTAGCCCTTTGTGAACCGAGGAGATTCAACGGTCTTGAAGACAAGGAGACCGATCCAAGCACGGATGGCGGTGGGAACTGTGTTCATCACAACCAGCGTCACCGCACGCTCTGCCTTGTTATGCCGGAGGATATCATTTGCCCAGCCGTACAGAACGCTACTCATTCCAATGTCGAAGTAGTAGATGTTGAAGGCGAACCATTTGGCATTTTCGGGGATGTTCCAGACCACGAGCAGGGTCATGCTGACAATGTTGACGGTGTGCGCAAGCAGGATGGCGCCGGTCCGTCCAAGCCAGAGATCGGAGCTGAAGTTAATGAACAGCACATAGAGGATGCCTATGCCTGGTGCTGATGACCCGAGTCTGTTGACTTCGGCGTTCGTGTAACGGCCGAGGCTTTTGATCCAGAGCAAGTACCCGCCCCAAGGTTGAGGGTCGCTGTTCCAGAAGAAGAGGTTCCAGGCGACGAGAGTATAGACTTTCCAGCTGGTGAAGACCGATTTGAGCAAGCCAAGTGACAGTTTGGGGATCGCGTTGTTCTTGGCCCCGGTTCCATTCTCCTGCAGGCGCCTTCGCGCAATCTGAAGCTCCTCCTCATTGAGAAACATTTTGTTGGGAATATCGGGAGTGCCGGGCCAGATGAAGAATCCCGCAATAGCGACGACGAAGGTCATCAACGAGACGATGATGAACATCCATCTATTCAACTTAAGTCAGCTTCTTGCACATCCGAGTGGTTGATCAGCAGTTGACATGACACCACGTACCGCCAACCTGCGAGACCCGCAACCCCTTCGAGGTTCGCTGAGGCACTGCTCTGGATCAGGCCTGAGGTAAGAGACCCAAGCGTCAAGCCGATATAGAAAATTCCACCGCGACGGCCAAGTTCGTCCGCTCGGTCTATTCGGACAAAATGAGTCAGCTTTGAAGTTAATGAATGTTGCTACCATCGTGGTTCAGAACTCCGCTGCCATAGACGATGGCGTCAATTTATCCCATCGATGATCGATGACAGGTAAGTTTTGTCTTGTGACTTGCCAATTCTTACACTGCAAAATATACACGGGGCTGGTTACTTACACCACGATCCAAGAACATAATGGACTCCGACGAAGAAAGGAGCCTGTGTCAGTCGTCAGTCAGCCTTGAGTCACAGACTGGTAAAGACACCCTTCAGCAGGACTGACCTCGAAGAACCCAATGAAGAACCTGTATGCCATGAACTCTGCATACGAGTTGGCCCGATATTGCAAGAGGGTGAAAATGCCCCAGAAAATCTCCGTTCCCGGTACCAGCCAATTCATGGGCAGCAGCGGGAATAAATATGCGAAGGGGATCTGGCCAATGACTTGAGCGACTTGACTGATGGTTTGGAAGTCGACCAACTGGTTTCCACGAAAGTTGAGGTCGTCGGAAAGTCCGGCCACCCATGCATTGTCTGCCACGTCTCAGTCAGTCTTCCTGCGTGAAAGTCTTGAAGAGAGTAAGGCATCATACTGATATTCGATGCATCAATATAATTGATCCAGAACCCAATGAATGCATACGGGACAATAAGCAGGTCCAGTTTCAGGAGCAGCTTTCGTTCTTGAGGTGTGTCGCTTTCGGCGAACCAGTGCCACCATGCTCTCCCATTACGTTTGCCATGCATGATAGGCAAAGTCTGTCCGAGGCTGACTGCACTCCAATATTAACGACTCCCAAGGGTGGAGGTCGGCGTTCTCCCTTACTACTGTGCTGATATTATATAGCCGCTGAAAACCTTTTCAGGCCGGTCTATTACCAGCTCTTATTCTCGATCGTGCTCCGGCGAACCTTGACCATTTGCCGCTCTGGTCACGCAATAAGACGGTGTGTACGCAATAGTGGACAATTTATAGTGTCTGGACCAGCAATGGACAACGAGGACGCGGCAAGCTCTTTCATGACAGACGCCGGGAAAACCTTTGCTCGAGACGGACTTCTACGTTTGCACAGGTGTCGCCAAAAAAGAGGATCATTCTTTCCTGCTAGCAAGGGGCATACAGCCTAGCAGCCCAAAGTACAGTATCAAAAGCTCCGACATTGCCCAATTGTACCTTGCGGCTGGCGTTCAAGGTCCAGTCTCGGACCCCTTTTTCCTCAGCCTTTCGGAGTGGGTCCGCGAAAGGCTGCTGATGCCATCCCAACTATTATGAGGGAACTGATACTGTCTGAAAACAGACATATCCAAGAGATTATAGTGGCCTTTCAAATTACGACATCCATAATGCTTCGGCCTCCGGATATCCAAATTGGGCTTTCCGTCTAGACTGGAACAGCGCTACAATTATTTCGACAAACCTTATGGTAAGGCTAGCACATTACATATTTCGACTTCACTGAAGCGATGTTCCATGTGACACCTGCGTTGTCCGCTGAGGACGGCAATATCGAAGGTGGAAGTCGACATCTCGCTTCTGCTGCCGGCTACCCGCTCTCTCATAACGTGATTGGCGCTAAAGAAGTCGTCATCTGTCCAGCGGGCCTTACGAACACGCAGTAAGAGGTTTGTTTTCAAATCCACGTGGAGCTTGATCATGGTCCTCGAGAGCGTGCAGGGTCCATGTTGTACAGTAGGCGTGGGTTGTGGACCCTGGGGACTGCAAGTCTGTGTACTGTCCCTCTCCCAAAGCCTCGGAACTGACCACATTGACCGGATCCATCCCCTAGGCCACTCCAGTTCAACCACAGTCACTTGCAGCCAAGATGCCCATATACTCAAGCACCCCTTCCGCATAGGCAAAGTTGGTTGTTGGTCAAGATTGTTTGCGAACTCGCCACAAACAGTACTTAGGCCTGGACAAAATGGGCAGCCTTCCGACGAAGAAGCCATGGATCTTGAATGCATTTGCCATGTTCACGCCTGGTCATCTATCTCCAGGTTAGGAAGCCCCCGACATTTGCTTTTGTCTGAGAGTGCCCTGTTGCGATACGCCGTCCATGCGGCTTGGTGCTCGACGCCGTCGCGATGGGCTTTCCCAGCAATCGTGGAGGCGGTTTACCTTTATCTGTCAAGTCGCTAACTTGAAATCCAGGATTATGGAAACACCCTCAAGATCGTGGCGGGCTCAACTTCAATGATCTTACCTACTGGACAGATCTTGCCAAGATCTTGGATGAGGGTAAATTCCACGGTCTGTTCCTTGCAGACCACCTTGGGATATACGATGTCTACAAGGGCCCGGCCAACCGCGACCCTGCTCTTCTTTCTGGTGCCCAGTTCCCACTTGGAGATCCATTGTATGTTACGTTATGTTGTCGCTCCCACAAACCTCTGACCTCCAGTCAGTACTGGATGACGTTATTGGTTTATTGTCCGTGGCTTTACTTACCTTTGTCCGTCGCTTTGGGGTGGACAGACTCCTTGTCTCGGCCATGGCCTCGGTGACCAAGTCGCTCGCGTTCGGCATTACCGTGTCTACCACGTACGAAAGCTCTCCTTACGCTTTGGCACGCAAGTTCTCGACGCTCGACCACTTGACCAACGGCCGGATTGGCTGGAACATCGTCACGTCGTTCCTAGACAGCGCCGCTCGGGCTTACGGCCTCGACCAGCAAGTCCCGCACAGCGAGCGATACGAGCGTGCGGACGAGTTCCTGGAGCTCGCATATAAGCTGTGGGAAGGCACATGGCGGGACGAAGCGGTCGTCAAGGATCCCGTGTCTGGAGTATACAGTGATCCCAAACATGTTCGGTCAATCACTCACAAAGGGTTCGTTTCCTCACCTCTCCCGACGTTTTGAACAGTTATTTTCTACCCAGTCGTCGTCGAATCAGAGACAACGGAAAGCCGAGGCCATTATCACTCTGCAAGAGAGAAGCTCGAAAGGAACAAGGCCCGACTGACGCGGTGCTGTACTTGCTCACAGGAAATACTACACCTCGTACGCGACGAACCAGCTGCCCCCCTCGAAGCAGAGAACTCCACTTTTGTTCCAAGCCGGGGCGTCAAAGTAAGTGTTGCTGTTCCGGGACCATCCTTCTTTCTTCCTCTGCCTTGATCATGTCTCTCCAATTTTCCGTCACATGGTGAGAAGATACAAAAGCAAAGAGAATACTGGAGGATAGCAAAGCACTATCCTTGCAATCCGAAACGAATCGAGCTAATCATCAAACTCGTGTTCTTCTCTAGGGATGGATCTACATTTGCAGCGAAACATGCCGAAGTCATGTTCGTCCCTGGGTTGGAACCTGCGAAAACGAGAGCAGTGGTCGATGGCGTGCGGTAAGTAAAGTAGCCGTTGTTTCGTAATACGTAATCACGTCACCGTCATCCCATCCCTTGTCCCTCCCTTTCCTTCCCGTCCCTGCTCAAAACGTTCAACCAGTCAAGTCTGCCAGTGTCCCCATCCTCCTCCAATTTTCTGCTGGCCCAACCACCCGACTAACACTCTTCAATAGAAGCAAACTCGTCGAAACCGGCCGGGCGCCCGACAGCGTGAAATTCGTAGCTGGCATCCTAGTCATCGTGGACGAAACAGACGAGCTCGCACAAGCCAAATACCAAGACCACCTATCGTACGCAGACCTCGAGGGCGTCGCGACACTATTCGGAGGGTGGTCAAGCACCGACCTATCGCAATTCGACGACGACGAAGATTTCGCATTCAAGACCATCGGCGGCGTACACTCGTTCATCGAGACGTGGTCCAAGACGATCCCCAACTCCGGCGGCATCAAGTGGACCAAGAGACGTGTTTTGCAGGAACTTGCGCTCGGGGGCGCCCACCCGCGCGCCATCGGGTCCCCGTCTACCGTCGCCGATATCCTCGAGCGCTGGATCGATGAGGCCGGGGTCGACGGGTTCAATTTCACGTACACCATTTCTCCGGGTACCTTTCAGGATCTGGTCAAGTTCCTGTGGCCGGAGTTGAGGAAGAGAGGCCATATTTGGTCGGATTACGCCGTCCCTGCCGGCTCGGCTAGGGAGAATTATTTCCAGGATGGCTTGGGCGCGAGGCTGCGCGACGATCATCCAGGAAAACGGTTTGCTTGGACTTGAAACGATCTTATAAATAGTATGGCTAGTATAAGAACGGAGTACAAAAGTCCAAAGGGTCATGGATGGTATCTCTATCTTGTTTTCTGGTACCCGGCCTTGCTGGCGGTGTACCGGTACAGGACTGGTAACTGAAGGAAGAAGGTTCGGGCATTTTGTGCCGCGAATGTAGGTATGTCTCAGACGGTTGCACTATTCGAACCGAACACACACCGGTGGCCCCTAAGAACCTGGCATGCATGCCTCGGCTCAGACATTCAATCATTTCATCTATTCAATATTGGCGTGTAGTTATTCCCCCGACCTCAAAGCGAGCCATCAGCTCCTTAAATGTAGGCTCAGATCCCAGGCGAAATCTGGCAACTGCTTTGATAGTACTTTTGATGGCCGCATGCTGACATAACATCATGCCAGAATCAAGGTCGGTTTCGAAGGAGACGTTCGGTGTCGTCAGTGGTAAAATTGCCGGCCTAGCGGTGACAGTAGTTGGGCCAACTGTGGCTCGAGATACGCACCGGCATGACGTGGTTGAGAGACGTGGAGGGGGACACGGCCTCAGCTGTGGTTGCTGTCGAGGCAGACGCAAAGGGCACTGGGACTGCAGCCGCCAGTACTTATAGACCTCCGTCCGAGTCTGTTCAGTTGGCAGATGAGCAAGATACCTGGTAGCGAGTCCCATGCCTCGCCATATATCTGGTCATTCATGCAGTTTGGCAGGCCACGTAGCGGGCAGCCATATGATTTGGTCGTAAAGGCAATGATGCGATGCTGGCAGACGTGAGGCGGACACATACCGGACTAGACACTGGAGAGGTCGTTGCGGCTGCCATACCGGGTCCTGGTTGGAGTGACACTCCTCCAAACCATGCAGGGAACTTACCAAAGGGAAGGATACCGCAAACGGATTGAGTAGCGAGCCTTACCGGGTTTGGAAGACAGGGAAGGGTTGCTCTGAGTCGTTCATCTTGCCAGACCTTTACCAGTCTCTTCAATCACTGGTAGACATTGCGGTCCCCTTTTCATACATGGCCAATTACTTGAAGCGCATCAGACAACGGGGCTGAGTGTCGTTGAGCACCACCAGACAGCATGGGCGGGAGTGACCATGTCTCGCAGGTTGCGACGCTGTAAACATATCAATGGCAATTCTGTCTCCAAACATGTCCGAATAATAATAAGGAGATGCCGTCGAACAGTACATTGAGGTGTCAAGCTTGATAAGATCGTGGAACGGAAGTGGAAGGGGAAGTAGTGGACTGATTCTGTTTCCCTGCCAAGCCAAATCCCGCTGCGGCTGCCATCGGGCATCGGGCATTGAACTTCATTGCGCTCAAGTCCCGCTCACTGCCATTCCAGATTGTACATATCAAGAGTCCAATAATTTGCAGTGGGATAGGATCGTACTCCTCCGGGGTCAAACAATAGTTCGCCAGAACGCCTGCAGAGCAAACTATAACAAAACAGGGGGTGCGTGCCGCTACGGCACTGAGCCTCCAAGTTGATTCCTCCGATGGCGTTCAAATACATCCTAAACTCTCTTCGGGGGACCAACCTCGAAATCTTCAAGGTATGCTACGCATGGCCCGGGACCTCGACCTATGCAATGGCACATATGCAGGCACTCTCTCTCTTTCTCGCGCGCTCTCTCTGTTGGCTCTTCTCGCTTCTAACGTGACGGCGCCACAGTTCGGGCTCTACCTCTCCTTCCCCATAGGATACATGTACTATTTCGGCACGAACCTGGAAGAGCGCTTCTCGGTGCCCGGGTTCTGGCCCAGCCAGGAACAGAGCAATAAGATCCCCTACGAGCGAGACGAGATCAAGGCCGAGGTCGAGCGCATCCAAACCGCCATGAAGGAGCGGGAGCTGGAACGACGCAGACGAGCCGACGAGGCTCTCGGGGCAGCCAAGTTGGCGTTCCGAGAACCAAAAGACACTACTCATGAGGGCACCACGGCATGAAACTGAAACTGAAACTGCACGGGCAATTTTTCACACGCATTCTTGGACGAGACCAACGTTTCGAGGAGAGGGTCTTGCATCGCGACGGAGTTTTGGGCGGAATACTACCTATGGCTGCAAACAAAACAGATTCTCATTTATTTAGATTGTGGGATCCGAAGGGTTACAAAAACAACCGGCGCCCACTTGTATTACAACACCTTTATGAACAGAAGAAAAGATGGAGGACCGAAACCATGGCGCGCCTAATACAAGAAATCTCGACTCATTCCGGGTGCTAGCAGAACTGGGTTCTTGCTTCTTTTTTTTGTTTTGATCCCACCAACCACCACGGACAGACAGCCCGTGAACCAGAACCAGTCCAACCGAAAACGCCACGCTCGGGTATTTATTTCTCATCATAGTTCTCCCAACACGGCTCGGACACTAGGACTGGCCAGCGCCGACGACGCTGTCGACGACATAAGCAGTCCGTCCGTCATGTATGATGATGCGGATGCGGCCGCAGCCTTTGCCCCAGCCCCAGCAGCGGCGCTGGTGTATGCGAACTCGCCGTTGATGTAGTAATAGATGCGGTTGTAGATGACTGCGAGATGGTTCGGGAGGTAGAACAATGCCGCCGTGACAAGGAGAGAGACGAGGATGAAGAGGATCAGGTCTGCAGAGAGAAAGAACATAAGTTAGATGGAGGTCACTACCACCGGTTTGAACAACAGGTATAGGTCCGGGTAACATACTGAAGATGCACTTCTCGGTCGGGGTCAGCATGTACAGCGAAAAGGTGACTTCGTATTGGTACTTTTTCAACTGCACCCAGCGCACAAAGGACGACAGGTAGGACGCCGACGCCCGTTGTTCCCGTGTGGCTTTGGCGTATTCGGGCATTTCGAAGGCGAGAGTCGGCATGGGCATGGACACGGGCGCGCACGAGGTTATTCAAGGGTACTTGCTGGGGGGGTGGGGTGGGTGTCGATGAACGAGGCTCGGTCCCAACTCGAGGGTCAATCGAGAATCAGAGTGAGAATCAGACCAGGCGCCTTTGTCTGATAAGTTCTGGGAGTAGTGGCTTGTTGAGAGGTTCGGTTCGCGTGCAATAAATGTGCTCGGGGCGTGCAGTGGTCGATGGTAACGAGCGACAGACGGGAAGTTGAAGCGAAAGACTGCGTGCGAAGGCGGGAAAAGGAGGCGCGGTGGTAGCGAGTAGCGTCAGGTTCAAGATTAGGTCACCACGCCTTAAGTCGGTAGGAGACTTGAAAAAGTAAAGACGAGAGGACTGGTGGAGAAGAGAAGAGAGGAGAGGATAGAGATAGGGATTGAAACCGTGGAATAGCAAGGCTGGTGAGGTCGAGAGAGGGTTTGTTGAATGTGTAGAGAGTGCAAGTCTTGGTGTTTCTCAGCCCACGCGAAGCCTGAGGGAGGGAGCAGCACGACAATCATCGCTTTCGCTTTCGCTCTCGCTTTCAGGGTCCGGCGCCGTTGGAGTAAAAATGGAACCTACCAATTTCGTGGCCGATGCTCTTTTTCCGCAGCCTGGAGTACAACATTATTGTAATTGTACATTGTACAACACTTTCTCTCCATTATATTCAAGTTGCCCCCAGGACCTTCTGGGTTCCATATTTCTGGCCTTTGTCGTAGGCCTTCCTACGCCGCCGTACCTGTATTCAATCCGAAGACACCGCCTGTTCTACGCCCTAAGCTACTGTATTGTACGACTCCTGAGCCTCACAGTAGTAGTCCTCTAGGAATCTTTCTCGCCTACTACTAGTACGCGCTCGACTTGTACCCTCGAGAGGCCTCTAATACTAGTACCCGCTATCAGCACTATCAATCTGCACAGCCTCGTCTGAGATCCACCTGTCCGATCCGGCTTGCCCGGTGAGTACCTACTATCATGCTCGAATCCACCAGCCCTATCGGATACAACGTTGTTGAACTTGCCATTGGACCTGGACTCGGACTCGGATTCGGACCAAGGCTCTGCCGTGTTCAGACTGACAGATGTATCCTCTGTGACTGCAGGAGAATAGGATGCTCCGACGAACAGCCGTGGGTATAGAAGGTCTGGGAGTCTCAGACATACATATGTTATGCAGATGTGGAACATAAAGTACTAGTACCGACGGGAACAGAGCAGAGAGAATACTATACAGACCCTCTGTCGGCGCGGTGCCTATCGGTTCCTTGCGCCTCCTGAATCCTGATGTTCAATCTCTGAATTGAAAACATCCATAGATAAAGTATTCATTAGCTGGGTACACAGACTCTAACTCTGTCGCATGCCTCTATCATAAGATCTAATCTTTTATTCCCGTTCCTATCCTCATCTACTTCGTCCAAGATTGTTCTTGACAAAACTCCGTTTTTCCGATGCTGAGATAGAAGGGACCTTTTGCGTTAACACCCTCTTTCACCTGATGTCGCCAGGCAACCAATGGGAAACAGTCATCCGGACAGAACCAAAAGGTACATGTACCCAAAGTTCAAGTGTCTCAAGCTTTCCCGTCGCTGAACTGGACCACGGCCCATTTCCCACTCCAAGCCCACTTCCTGGCGCCCGAGTCGCCGCCGCCGCCCTCGGACGCCCGGATCTCCTCGTCCTTGCCCTCTGGCAATCCAACCACCACGTCGGCCTTGCATGTGCGCAGTGCGAGGGTTCTAATGCCGGACGACGGTCCAAGTGGGCCGATAGCCGTTGTGAAGGGTGTCGTGGCGGGCCATGCAGCCTAGATTTGTTGGTTTTAGGTCAGCTTTTAATCTTACTAGGTGTAGGAGGTGTAGACAGGCATAGAAGAACGAAAAGGGCTAGCTGTAGTTATAACATACATCACCAGTCAGCTTGCGATAGTTCAAATCACCCTTAAAAACAACCAATTGGCTGTCCTTGAGATCGTCGAACAATTCCGGCGCGGTATGAGGCATGCGCCAGAAGCTGCCGGCATGGGTCCAGAAACGGTTGGGCCGCAGAATCAGTCTCCCTTCTTCATGTAGGCTGCTCCAGTCTTCAAAAAGAAACTTGATCAGTTCGGCATCGGCGTCCGACAGCGGCGGCACCTCAGCAGCCTTTAGAGCCGAGTCTCCATCGGCGTCGTCCTTAATGTCGTAAAACGCCTTTGGATCGGCCATAGCGTTGAGCAGCGCCGCAAAGTCGCCGGGCACCACGTCGCTCACGAACCACGGGATGCTCTTGGGATGCAGGACGACTTCGGTGGCAAGGCCCGTGGCGAGCAAATACCCCGCGAGCACGAGGTCGACAAACAATTCGAACCCGGCATTGTCAAGGACGATATCGACTCTTCTACTGTCAGACTTCTTCTGGTGCTGTAATGAATACAACACCTCAAAGGCCTGTCCGAGATCGTTGACGAGCACTTTTTCCTCCGAGTCTTTGCGCGCTTGGCTGCCCTGTAGTTTCTGGAGTTCCTCGTACGTCAGACTGGTCAACAGAGATAAATCGGTGGCATTGCCCCACAGACAGATTTCGGCCATTTCGACAAACAGCAGGCGTTCGGCATCTTTTTCCTCGTCGGCGGTTTTGCTGTCGCCGACCACGCCGTGGTTCTTGGACGTCCGGATCTGCGTAATGATGTCGCGGTACCGGCCGGCCAGCTCCAAGACCGCGGGCCGCGACGACTTGAACGTGCTCATCTTCTGCCGTCGGAACACGTCGTAACCTCTCCAGAACGGCGTCTTGGCCAGCGTGAACAACGTCGCCACCCGTCGATATAGGTAGCATTCCGAAAACAACCATTCCACGTCGTGCCATTTGGGAGGGCCCCGTGCCTCAAGCTCCGCGTTGTACCCCTGGACATCGGGGGATCCGTCGTCGGGAATGGGAGTCAGGACCCGGTTATGCTGCAGCTCGTACTTGAGCGTGGCCAGCCCCGAGATAATCGACTTGCCTTCGGCCACTGCATCTTTGTCCGACTCGGGCAACGACGCCACTGTGCGGTGCACGTCGTCGATGGCGCCGGTGATGATGGCCGGCCACCGTTTCCGCGCCGATTCATACGCAAATGACGTCGGGTCCGATGTTTGATACTTGGGCACTTTGGGGTCGTATTCCATCTTGGCTTTGCCTTACTCTCAGGTGAACCGAATCTGTTGTCTAGAGTGTATAAAAGACAACGATAATGTCTGGGAACAACGCATACAATGAATTAACTCTATATGGACTCTGCTCCAGATCAAAGAAGTGTTTAGAAACTTGAACATCAAAGTTTCGAGATGAGCGAGCCTCGCCCAAACTTGCCAAATTGGTTCATGCCAAGCACCAATGACACGCGGATACGGGGACCAGGCTGACCTCGCAAGGCTGCAGCTTCTGATATACATGTATCATCATGGAGTACTCCTTAGGTATGATATAACCTCAAGTATCCTCCAACTTCCACATACTGTATATACCTATATCGGTATATGGCTCTCCCTTCACCCAAAGTCCATTCGCAACTCGATTGCAGGCTTAGAATCAACACTATCCGATGACGGTGTCTCTTGCTTCCGCCCTACTGCTGTTGCTCTTAACAGACTTTCCAGCTCCGACCGTTGGTCCTCGTGTAGCATACCCACTGTGACTTTGAAAGCGACTTGGTCCGCAGCAACCAGCTCGAGAAGCCGTGCAGCGCTCTCTTTACGGGCACTTTCCGAGTTACCCTGCTTCGTCCTGAGTAGCAGCAATGGAATCAGGATGGACATTGCAGCAAATCTGCCAGACCCTTGAAGTGTTACCACAGACGCCACGAGTGCCTGAACCAGGGGCGTCTTCACACTCTCTGGATCTTCCACATCAGGATCACTGACGAACGGAATCAACCGGCTCCATAAGGTCCGCCCGATCACTTCCTCACACGCTGTTTTGGGGTGCGTCATCAGCAGAGACCGTATGCAGCCGGCTGCAATTTTGGCCAGACCGACGTCCTGTAGACAATCCAGCAACTCAGCCACAGCCTTTGTCACGAGATCGTCGGTGGCCGGTATGACCGAGCTCGCGGTAGTGAGCAAGATTGTCATCGACAACAACGTGTTCTTGGCACAGGTAATTGCAAAATCATTCTCCCGCCGTTGAGCGATGGTCAAGGTAGCCAGCATACGATGGAGACAGCCCCTGACCAGCCTGGAGGGCACCTCGTCGCTACCAGGTTTGATCATATCCTGCAAGAATGCTTTGAAGATGGGCATGATCCGTGGCAGAACCTCCTCCTGACATATGCCAGTAGCAAGAATCGTGCAATAGCTGTGAATTATGCATGCATGGAGATCGGCCCGGATGATCGTTGGAAATACCGAGGCCACATCCACCAACGCCTGGAAACACAGCTGGACCAGGGCCGTGCCTTCGTCTCCCAGTCGTCGGACAGCAGACCCGGGCGGATCCTCCAATGTCGGGACAAGATCGCTCAAGACTAGAAGAATGATCCTTGTCAACTCAAAAAGCTGTTCGATGTCATCTGATAACTTCTCGTCACGGTCATGGCTCTTCGCTGTGGGATGATCTAGTGCTAGGTTCCTCGCAATCTCGACCAGAACACTCTGTGTCTCCGTCGTGCTTGTAAGGGCCAAACGGTCGAGCGTGTCGGTCGTCTCGTTGAAGACAGCCGGCTCATATATGGCATTCCCACAGACAGCAGGGGTCAAGATCTTTTTAAGAGCTTGTAGGATAGATAGTGTTTGTGCTGGATCGTCGCGAGTTTGCGTCACCAGAGCTTCAAAGGCTAATCCAAAAAGGATGAAGAAGAAAGCCACTGGTTCCTCGCGGAAACTCATATCTCTTCCCTGAGGAAGGGCAACGCCGGCCTCGCCCTGGTCTGGCGAGACACGCTTGTTGTCCAGGGCATCAAACACTGATTCACTGTCCTTCTCGACCAGGACCGCGATTGCATCCACAATGTTCAGCCAACTTTTCTGATAGAATTGGAGGCGGATCTCACGGTTAAAAGAGGCGTACCTCTCGTCCAAATTCGCGCCAGCAATTTCACCCCCAAGAGTATCCGAGATCTCAGGTTCAAAACGCAAGCCTGCGAACTCCTGGAGCGAAGTCAGCCAGAGTGGGGCCAACTTTGGAATAAACGGTTGCAGAATCTTCTCGAGGTAAAGCTGCTCAGAACTGGCTAGCTGTAACTGCGCCCATCCGGACAAAATGCTCATCTTCAACATTGCCTGCGCGTTTGGACTCAGGTTCTTTAAATCACCAATGGCAGCTTCGGGATTGGGTTGCGAAAAGTTGTCGACCCCCATCGCGAGGACTTTGAAGATTCGTCCCATGCGGTCCGCATTGGTGACAATCCCAGTCGCCACAAAAGTTGCACACACGCCTATTGCTTCGGCAGCCAGTTCTGGGGACGAATCTGCCGCAAACGCCGGAGTCAGGGCAGAGCTAATTTGTGCCTGATATTGCTCCAAGAGTGAGGCTTCTAAGAAATCGGGATCTGGGGTTTTGCCAAACAGTTTGAGGATATGGTCAAGAATTCGAAGACCCCAGATGCGGAGCTGCACCACATCCGCTGTTGATGCCGAGAACGCCACCCGAACCACGTCGGCCACTTTGCTTTGTAGAGCTTCCTCCGCTGGAATGACTCGGTCCTGCGAGATGGCCGCTTGGATAATGTCCATAGACTCATTGAGCAGACGCATGGCAAAGTCTCTTGTTTGCCATCGTAGGAATTCCTGGCCCTCTGGGAGAGCGTCAGGAGCTTCTCCCTGTGCGGCAGCTGCAGCTGCAGCAAAGCCAGCGACTTCTTCGTCTGCCAAATCAGGCATTGCCGTCTTTGCAGCAGTCGCACCAGAAGGAGATCGACCTCGGTCTTTTGCCCTAGTTCTTGAGAGGATACTTTGACATCTGTCAACCCAATCAGTGGTGTCGACCAAAACCGTCTGTTGCATCCAATTTTCCAGTATCGCTTGCAATGACTTTTCATCCGGTCTGTCATCAAGGCGCGCCCATAAATCATCGCTGAGCTTTGTAGTTGCCACTCGTGCCACCTCAGAGGCGCTCCTTTTCATGAGCTCGCCTAAGCCCTTGATTGCGACCGACTGAAGGATATCTTCATCTGAAGAGAGATTCGCCTGCAAATCCCGCACATATCTTTCAAATTGTAGATGAGCTGGAGCGTACATTGAAAGGTGGCGCAGGCATTGATAGCTCTCATGGCGGAGCTGAGATGAACCTTCCTTCTGGAGATACCCTATCAGTATGAGAATCAAGTTTCTGGCCTTTGAGACATCCTGTAGATCCGGCCCTAGAACATTGATGATACTGTCCACACACTGAGCAATCGCCAGTGGTGTAAAGAGTTCAGTTTCAAGATTGGAAGTAGCAAGGGATGCTGATTCCTCGTTGTGAGTGTCGTTCGAGTACAGCTGCGAAAGGAGGCCCAGTGTGCTTGTAGCATATGTTGAAAAGGCAAGCCCTGCAGATTCGGCCACTTGAATCAGCCCTTTCAGGGCCCAAAAGTGCACGGTTGTGTGGGGATCATTGCACAATGATAGAAGCACGCCAACAATGGATTTAATGTGTAGATTGGCGGCCATGGCTCCCACCTCAGAGTGAATATAACCAAGAGCGAGGGCACATCCAGCCCGAGCACTGGGATCACGATCTGCCACTATTGTGTCGATGAGCGTTTTGACTTCTTGGGAGGTGAACTGTGTACCAGCCAGATTGCAGACTCGTCCAATAGCACGGGCAGCAATATTTCTTAAGACCGGATCCGGGTTACAGACATACTTCCCAAGCAGTTCAATAACAGCTTGGCCCACTGCCTCGACATGTAACTTGCCCGAGGCATAGGGTGTCTCGTTGTTGGCCACTGCCAGAGCACAGAGGAGAGCCAGCGCAGTATTAACTTGCAGGGCAGCTTTTCTTCCAGGCTCGCGTTGGAGAGGTTGCGACACCGTTGTGATTAATTGCTCGACTGTGCTCTCTTGGATTTTGGCAGTTTGCAGTGGCAACGACGTGGCAAACAATTTAATCGCGAGATTGACACAGGCTGTTGCTGGTGAACATATCTCAGCATCGTGCAGTCCGCCATCGTGCCTTGCAATTAAGAAGGGGTCATGCTCAATTGCCGGCAGTAATGGAGACCGAACCAAGACGTCGGGAATGGAAACTTCCTGCTCGGTAGCCATATCTGCTTTTGGTTGAAGATGGTTTGTAAACGGTAGGTAGGTGTCAAAGCTTTCGGTCATGCTGCTGACACCGAAGCCCCAGTTGTCGTTTGTGTTCCACAGCCCCTCGAAATTGCTGGCAGAATTCGCCAAAGACGCTTCTAGACTTTTTAGCACCGGCCGTTCAGGATCCATAAAGATTCGCATTGTGAGCCCAGTAAGGTCTGACTGAGATACGACTTCGCCTTGCTCCAGATGCTTCAAACTTATTAGAGCGTTGAAACTCTGAAGCACACGGCGTCGTAGAAGTATCGCATAGTCTTGCAGCTGGAGAGTAGGTACGAGCCGCTGGGCTACGTCGTCAGCCTCGCGGGCATTTGGCAAACTTTCCAGGAAAAGGATGGTGTTATGAAGCATTGTAGATATTCGTCTTGATCCATCTGTGGTGACAAGGCTGCTGCAAGAGGAGAGAAACATGAGTAAAGCGCTAACAGCGCATTCTCGGACGTGTGACAGGAAACTCAGCTCGAGATGACCTCTCTTGGTGGCATTTTCATGGGTCAATGGAGGGGGCAAGGCGTTCCTCCATAGAAGCATCAGTTGGTTGAGATGCACTTTGACGAAGCTAGGCCCCAAACTCATCAGTCCACCGATCAAAGTCCAAGCAACCTGTACTTGCGCTGCAGACGACCGCAATTCAGCAGCGGCGCTAGACTTCAACAGGTCCGTTGAGAAGGTGAAGATATTGGAGTAAACTTGGATGGAGCCATAAAGTGGCATGTGTCTGGCAGAACTGGTCATCACTGCAATGCTCATAGCATAGCCATAGTACCGTCTTTGCGGGGATTTACTCTCGGACGAAGGCTCAAATTCTTTCTGGAGTTGGGACATGGCGTGCTCAAGGCAAGGCACAAGTTGACTCGGACATGCGAGTACAAAGGATTTGAAGCATTGAGCGGCGTGGCTCTGTACCGTATGGCTGGGATGTTGCACGACCTGGGACAGAGCTTCCCTACAAGAGTCCTGGAACACGGTCGAGGCGGACCCTAGGCGCAGAAGGAGGTCATTCAAGGTAGAGAGTGCCCCTGTGAGAACTCGTTTAGAGGGTTCTCGACGTTCCGGCATCACCTGGGGGTAATCCTTCAAGATGTCGTTGATAAGATGCCGGGCAGCGTTGATCTGAGCATTTTGGGTAAGCAGGGCAGTAACGTGGGCGAGAACCCATTTGACGAGTCTTCTTGTCAGGAGTAGACGGTATCGATTGGAAGAGATAATCGGGTGGTCCAGTAATTCGGCATAGATGTGTAGTGCAACAGAGGCGTAACTTTCCTCTAAAGTTTTGCGAGGAAGTAGACGTAGGAGATATCTGTAACACATGGCAATGCCTGCACGGGCGCGGTTGGAGGTTGATGCTTTGCAGTACTGGGACGAGAGCACGCGCAGAACTTCGTTCAGAGAGAGCGTTAGTTGCACAGTATGCTTGGCTTGTCCCGGTGCTGGTGATCCTGGCCGGTCCTGCTCCTCTCCCTCATCTAGATCGGCCCCCGACTTTTTGGACTTCTTCGGTTTTCGAATGACCGGAACGTCGACGTGGGCACCCTCAGAGAAAACGCCGCTGAGGGCTTCAGCTAGGGCGGCGGCGGCGGCGTGCCTGACAGAGGATACCGAACTGTCCACGACTTTCCAGACCGTCGTCTTGAGGTTGTCAAAGTCCCCCGAGTTACAAAAGTAGTCTGTTTCGGCAAGCAGGCTTCGAAGACAAGAACAGGCACACCTCTGGACGAACGATGATTTGTCGTCAACCGCAGAGTTTCGTGCCCGTTTCCATATGTCTCGTGCAAGGTGCTCATCGAGGCTAGTCTTTACACCCAGGATCAGTCCACCGAGCGCCTTAAAGACGCAACCTCTGAGCCCCGTATGGGAACTTTTCAGCAAACGAAGGATGGAGGAAACCACCAAGCCTAGAAGACTGATTGTGCTGTCGCCAGCGGATCGGAAAACCGCGCCCAGGCAAACGACGGCAGCATGTTTCGAGCCCGCATCTTTATCAACCTTGCCTGCGTTCACAAAGGCTAGAAGTTCATTGATTGTCTCGTAGAGCAGACTTCGATTGCCTCGTCCGAAGGCGTCGGCTAGAATTCTGCCCAAAGCATTTCTGATGACGCGAGACGGCACTGGAGCGCCTAAGCCCACGATCTTGATTACTTCTCTCTTGATCAATGGCTGATGGGCTGGGAGGTTCTCGGAGGATGTCTCTTCGACATGGCGCTGTAGGTCGGAGACAAATGATAAGAGGTATAAGTCTTGTTGTTCGGTAGGAAGGGCATGTAACTTGGATACGTCGAGTTCGGGATGCGAAGTGCCGTTAGTTGCGGCCGCAGGCTCGGCCGATGGAGTAGAAGAGGGCATGAATAACTAGGGACAATGCTGCGAGCGTCCTCCAGGGCCACTGCTCGCCGGTCGACGGCAACTCATACAAGCAAACCCAGAAACCGCGTTCGCTGATGCAAGGGACTTCCCAGTTGCTACTCTGCAAGCACGGGGTACACGGTCTGTCCCTGACAACTGGCACTGCACTCCGCAACATTTCCATTTGACACTGCGATATGGCCAGATATGGCTAGATCAAAATACGTCTTGGCAGGCCGGAGAAATGAATCACGTGCCCAGGTGGCTGCTTACGAAATTCTTTTGATTGCTTTCGGATTAAGAAGCGCTTCAAGTTCAAATACATGTTGCTTTCATTTCAGATGATACTAGTCTGTCATAACCGGCTACGTCCCTGCAGTCACGCCGAAGTCTTCTTCTTCAAGAAAAGACTCTGGACGTTGCAGAAAGCCTTAAGGCCGCCAATACCCCATTCATAGCCGATACCGCTTTCCTTGTGGCCACCAAAAGGAGCATATGGGTCGACCTCCAGGTGAGTGTTGACCCAAACACTGCCAGCATCCAACTGCTTGGCAATCCGCGTGGCTTCTTCGAGATTGTTTGACCAGACGGAAGCGCCAAGGCCCATCTTGGTGTTGTTCGCACGAGCAATGACATCGTCCTCATCAGTCCACGTCATGAGAGGGACGATAGGACCGAATGGCTCCTCCGTGGCAATTCGGGAGTTATCGGCCGGCTTGTCGATGATGGTTGGAGTGATGAAGTAGCCAGGCTTGTCCTCATTCTTACCACCGACGGCCACAGTCCACTTCTCCTTCTCGATGTCGGAGAAGAAGGTCTTGACCTTCTCGTATTGCATTTGGTTCTGGACAGGGCCGAGGAAAACACCTTCTTCGGACCCATCGCCGACCTTGAGCGTCTTCGTGAAGGCTACCATGGCGTCGCGGAACTGGTCGTGGATTGACTCGTGCACGTAGATGCGCTTGATAGCCAAGCAGATCTGACCCGAGTTGAGGAAGGCGAGCGTGGCAATCTGCAAGATTGGAACAGTCAGTTCGTCATTCGCCCAGTCTTAAGCATCGAAGTCAGAGTATGTTTACCTTCTGCGCAACGGCATTGATATCAATGTCCTTGCAAATGATAGCAGGGTCTTTGCCGCCCCTAAGTACCGGTCAGTCAAACTGCTTCGAAAGAACATCGGGGCAAAATCAACTGCTTACAGCTCCAGAGTCACTCTCTTCAGGGTCTTAGCTGCGCTCTCCATCACTTTCTTGCCTGTAGCAGTCGACCCAGTGAAACTGATCTTGTCCGGGCCTGGGTGAGCGGTTAGCCAGGGGCCGAGGTTGTCGTCGCCGCTCAGGACCTGGACCACGCCAGGTGGGAAGAACTGCTGGGCCAGCTCGCCGAGTTTCAAGTCACAGTATGGAGTAAACGGGGAAGGTTTGATGATGATCGGGTTCCCTGTCAGGACGGAGGGCGCGATCTTCCCACAAGCCAAATGGATGGGGAAGTTCCACGGCACGATACCGACAGTGACACCCAGAGGCGTGTATCGGACGATGACCTGCTTCTCGTCGTCTTCCTCCACGATCTCATCCTTGAGTTCTAGCTTGGACAAAGCACGCAGCCAGTGCACGCCGGTCTTGGCCTCTCCGACTGCGAATTGAAGCTGGTTGCACCGATCAGTACCCAAGCCAGCACTAGACGAAGGAGAATACAATGCAAACCCACCGGCTTTCCTTGCTCTTGTGTGAGCAACTTCCCGAAATCATTCTCATACTTCTCAAGAGCATCGGCAAAAGCCAACACTGCCTTCTTCCTCTCCTCAAAAGGCGTCTTGGACCACGACTTGAAGGCCTCTTTAGCGGCTGCTACCGCGTCATCGACATCCTTTTGCGTCGACACCGGCACTTCAGCGTTAGGCTTGCCATTTGCCGGGTTGATACTATGTCTGGTCTCTTTGGTCGACGTCAACTTGCCGTTGATGGTATTGTAAAAGCCATCGAAGACGTCGAACGAGGCGCCGATGGAGCCCATGTCGATCAGTTCTGCGTCAGGGGAATTTTCAAAAGTAACCCGTGGTTTTCGGCTCAGGCAAGATGGGCACTAATTTTACAGTTTGGGATCTGAGATGAAGGAGAAGAAAAGAGAAACTTGAGCAAAAGCAAGGAAAGACCACTCAGCCTAAGTCTTTGATTGCTGTTATATTCACAGCCTCCTGTCAGCAGTAAACGGGGTGGCTCATATTCCGCGGGAAAGGGCAGATGACACCTCGGATTGTCCCCTGTCGAGGATGACACCCACTGCATTTTGCCCCGGGATTATTCACAACCCAAGAGGGGTCTGATCCCTCGGAGGACACGCAATTCACGAGCGAACAGGTATAAAAATCGTATAAGCAGGCCTCGGGTATCCCTCCCCGCACCTTGATTGTGAAGGGAGCGGGAAGGATTGTCTCGTATCACCATGATCTGGAGCCCGAGGTAAGCTGCGGCAAATGCATCGACCATCCACACAGAGCCCAACGACTGGTTGCACTGGGCAGAGCTTCTCAGCTCTGAGGCCAGACCCGCCCAGCTGGAGCAGCCAATTGCTTGGCCGGAGCTTGGCCGGAATCGCGGTTGAGCCAATCGTAAGCCGCCGATAACCGAGCTACGCCGGTTCTGGCTGCTGCCACGTGACGTTGGCTGACCCTTGAGTCCCTTTTCCTCGAGTCGACGTTCGTGATGGCGTGCCGGCGGAACCCATCACGTCGGACAAAAAATGAATCGCATTTCCTGACTCAATATTGATGAATGCATAATCGAGCAGATGCGGAGCGCATCCGGCGGCAGCGTGAACTTGTGCAACACTGACCAAGCTAAAGCTGACAAGGCACCGCTAGATTCCCGGCTGGCGTTATTTCGCCTACCTGGGTTTTTATTTCGCACACCCGCCAAACTGTAATAGGGTAAGATCAGCGGTATGCCATTTTAGGTAATTTTTAGGTGTTTATTTCGCACAATGGCGCGTGTAGACGCGTTAAGTGCTTTCGATATTATTGCCGCCTATTGCTAAACTGTAGACGTCTAATTATATAGGCACTACTGATTTTTTGATATAACTACTATAGATTAATACCCTATCTTTAAGACGCCTACGTAGGCCGTATCTAACGACCTGGAAGCCGACTATAAGGTACTTATCTCGTACCTTAATAATATAGGAGTCTAGACCGATAACGATAAATCCGAGGACGAATCGACGCCCTAGTAGAATATACGTACGTTCGATCCTTCTCCTCCTATTACCTATTTTAACGAGGAAGACTATTTTAAGGCGCTCGATAAATAGTCTATCCCGCGCGGGTACGGTATACGTATTAGTATACGAAAAAAGAATAGCGTAGGTAACGTTAAAGCTATATACCTCGTGTACGATCGGGCCGATACTCGTAGCTCGTATAAGGTCGATCCGATAAATCGATAGAGGTATAAAGGGAGCCTATCGATAGGGTATTAGTTTAGACTTATAATAATAAGAAATACTAAGGGCGAATACTTTATTAAAACGCCTACGCCTAAAAAGGTCGTATATAACTATTTCGCCGATAGAAGCTCGGCTTATTTATCTATAAGAAGGAGGGCGCGTTAGAGAGGCCTAAATAGACTAATTCGAGAGTATTTCGAGAAAGGTTTTAGTATATAGGATACCGTATCGATAATAAATTATTAATATAGCGATATTTAAGTAACTCGGTAGAATATAGCGAACGAGAGATTTAAGCTAAATATTATAAGTCTCGTAGGTAGAATACCTACTTAAGTACTCGTCGATAGCGTTAGAGATCGATTCGTCTCTTACGTCGATTTCGATAAGTAATTAAGGTTACGCCGACTCGTCCTATTCTACTATATCTCGCTCGATTAGTGGCGGCGTTATTCTAAGGTTATCCTAATCGATGTAACTTATAAAACTAACCGATTTAGGATACCGCTTATTAATATTATTAGCGTAACGGCTAATAATAAATCGTTTTTAATCGGCGCTACGTTTCTCGAGCGTAAAGGGACGGATTTATTTAAATTTATACTATAATACTTAAAAAGTTAATACTTATTTATTAAGCCGTAGGAATCGAAAACGGACTCTCTATTATAATTATCGACGACGATTCCGCCCTCGCCTCTACGTTAGAATCGGTCTACCCTTAGTCTCGTTATTTCCTATATATCTAGCATATTAATAGAGTAGTCTAAACGTAGGTAAAGCGATATTTTAGAGGCCCGTATAGGCGCTTTACTATAATCGACGAAATTAGAGTAGAAAGAGACCGAATACAAGAAAAATAGCTTAAATTTCAGGGTATATAGTACGCCTATATATTTGTAAGGATAACTCTAGACGCTACTCGTAACTAGGTTACTCTTAAGCGAGAGTACGAGCTTAAAGATCCGTTACTTGTTTTTTACCTCTCGCGTACCTAGGCTCTACGAGAGAAGTAGTTTATACGCGCCTATACTAACGATTTTCGATATTTCGATAACGTAATAACCTTACGCCTCGAGGTAATATACGGCGTACTAAAGCGACGTCTAAAATCGATATAATCCGACGTCTTTAGTATTGTTAACGCGCTCGAGAGATCGATTCGAGATAGCTACCTTAAAAGTCGTTATAACTTAGATATAGATCGAGTTACTCGGCGCCCTTAGTTCGGCGCTCGTTTATAGTCTTAAGTCGTCGATTACGTCTCCTCTTACGCTCTATTTCTAGTGCGTAATACTATAGTTAAAATAGGAGTCGATAAGGTATTACCGACCTCGGCACCTATTAGAAACTTTCGAGCCTATACGGGCGCTTTTACGCGTATTTACGGCCTACCGTATTCTTATCTCGTTACGTAACTACTGCGAGAGGACGAAATCCTTAACCTAGACTACTTCGCGCTTTACTAGCGACTTAATAGGATAGAAAACGTCGATAATATGAATCTCGCTAACGTAATATAGCCACTAATTGTTATTCCTCGCCCGCGAGGCTTTAACGATACTATATAACGAGAGTTATTATAGTTTAAACGCGTCGAGCGTAAACTAGATCTACGGAACCCTTTAAATCTCGTCCGACTATCTACTAGGCGATCTCCTTCTACGCTAGGACCCTTCTAGCGACAACCCCCTCGACGAGAGCGCTCGGCGTCTCTAGGAAGACGAGATTCGATAGTTAGCGTAGGAAGAGGAGGCTCTATAACGGTACTAATAAGAGTAATAACTAGCTCGATAAGAGGTTAAGGAAGAGATTCGATACCTAGGATAAGTGTGTTTCGACTAGTATAGCGATTTAAGGTAAGAGCTCGTTTACTAGGCAGATATACGGTGAAAAGCTCGAGTCTCTAAGGATTTAGTGGCTCCTGCTATACTATATAGCTATAATAACATTACTTTTATACCCTATTGTATTAAAAATAGCTCGTAAATCGACTCTAATTCGAGCGTAACTCGTATAGCCTAAATAGCGCGCTGTGATTAGCCTAGGCTTGTTTATTGATATTTCTAGCTATATTACGCTCGAATAGGCTTAGCGCCGCTCGGCTTAACGATCCGGCTAATTATAGTCGAGTGCTAAGTTTTATGCGAAATAAAAACAGGGGGTACGCGAACTGGCTAATCAGGAGCGAGTGGGTTAACGCTAAACCCCTGAGGGTTTAGCGAGTATGCGAAATAAAAACCCAGGTAGGCGAAATAACATTCGCCTAGATTCCCGCTCGAACTATCCACTTCAGGAAATCTTGTGCCCCTCAGCTTTTGGCGCGGATAGTCAGCCTTCCCATACCTATCTCTCATCAAACTCCCTTTCCGCGATATCACCTTGCAAACGCCATCGAAGCTGTGTCTATTCTCCGGTAAGGCATCGCCGGACATACTTTTGCTCAGAGGATTAAGGCATGCCAAGTCAAGTACGGGTCATTGATGAGTAACACCAAGCCTTCCATGTGCTGTGCTTGCTTTTCCAGGCTCAGAGACCAGATAAGGCATCCTGGCCTGGACCTTATGGAGGGACAAGCCTGTGAGCACACCTCATGCAGTACATTGTGACATTTTGTGGCAAGTAAGGTAAGCTGATCATGCAGTTACGGCTACGATCAAAACGGGACCAAAGAGTCTTCACGGCCAAGTAGTCATTGTTGAATGAGGATTGAATTTTCATTCTATCATGATATGGATCACTAACCCCGACCGCCGCTATCTCTCATGCTACTTCCAGCAAGGTAGGAGCTTGTTCATTCTCCCAGCGAGCCTCATTGGCGACAGCAGCCATGATGCCTGATCCGCAGGCAATTCACCGCTCGCTCGTAGTTGTCACCTACGCCATTGTTCGAGAAGTGTCGCTTGTTGCAACTCTCAACGCCATCATACTTTCTGGTGGTCGTGTCCTCTAGGACAGAGATCGTTCGATCTTCGCTCATTCAGCTGACCCCCGGCAAAGGCTTGGGCTCTTCCGGTTTTGGGTTTGGTTTCTTCGGTCCGCGGTTTACTGGAGACATGTTCAAGAAGAATATGTCGAGTTGGTTTTGAAAGATATTGACTGGTGATATCGTGGAGGCTGATTCTCAATTTGGACTTGCTATGATCGTGGTCGAGTTGGGTATGGTAATGGTATGAGAAGATTCGATGCTGATATGACAAGGAAGAGAGAAACATTTATATCTGAGAAGGACATACCTTTGTTTGCGCTTCACTGGCAGTGGTATTCGGCACTGGGCAGTCTTATATCACTGCCTCAGTGATCAAGATCCATAGTGCCACTTTGGATGTTCACTCAGCGAGCGATACTAGTAACCAACACTGCCTAGGGCAAGGCAGTCACCAACAGAAGCAGGTGCGAGGCAGACAACGAGAGACGGCGACACGCTTCTCCTCGTCTGGAAGAGGAGCGCCATCATCACCATCAGACATCGTCGGAAGCTGCCCTTCTAGTTGGACTGGCAGTGGAGTGATATTCGGCACTCACCAATATGCGCAGCGAAACACCGTGGCCTCATTCCCCCAAGACACAGTTGTCCAAAGTGACCGATCTAAACTCGGGACATGCATCTACCAGCACGTTCGTTGGCCACCTACCTGGGATTTCATTCGACATGACAATGCAAACGTTCCCACTGACATACTAGGCGAGAAAAAGCATCAAGCTGGGCCAGGGGGTTTGATGAGGCTGTCACGAAGACCCTCCAATGTAAGTGACTTATTTTCTCTCTTCGATATCAAACACCAAGCCCTTGCAGCCTCAATCAAGCATACATTATAGTTTCTGCGGAAATGGGACGTGTATGTCAAAACGAGACAACATACTATCCCGAAGGCATCATGGCTTTTGAAACGGTGTCGTCTGCAAGCTCAGGAGATGATTGTTTGGCTTTCAAATATATCGCTTGCAGTTCTCCTGGTAATCTGATGGCCATCTACCTTTATATGGACATCGACAAGAGGAAGTACAGTACAGATAGTCTCTCTCTCTTCATGGAGCATCGTCGCGGATATAATTGGTACCTGAGAAAACTGACCGGGACAGCACGAGGTCGAGGCCATGCGATCTTCTGCTTAAGGCACCCTGCTTCACTTCATCCCTTTTTCCCAGTGCTCACACACTCCTGTGGTATGTCCGCGGGTGTGGTACTTTGTTCATTAGTCCACAAGACGCAACAACGACAGCACGGATGAAGGCAGATCCCATTGGCAGCCAGCAAGTCGAGTCGCGTTGGGAAGCTGTCCATCGTCGCTCACTGAACTGCAATACTTTGTATGAACAGAGTTTTCCAGGCTCCGGGGTTCACCTCCGCGTCCAGAACTATTCATAACTAGAGTTTGTTGGGTCCCAGTATCGCACAGTACTACTAGTATCATAAACAATCCGTAACCTGCAGCACTTGTAAGGTTGACAAGGATACCTTAGGTCCCCAGTAACAACAACTTTTGCCCAAGAATCTGAACTGCAATATTACGTGTTCGAGTCGTGGAAAAGACTTCTTGACCGCCCACCCGCGATACCAAATGCGATGCCATTGACCATTGACTTAGCTGAGCCGTGCATGAGGTACGTCCCAACAACGGAAACCTCCATGAGGCTCCCTGCTAGTAGTACCACACATCAAACCCATAGGATTAGAGAAGGGTAGAACAGAGCAGGACTTGAACTATCGGCCTGACTCGGAGAATGTTGAGCGATCCATGCAGGCCTCTGGCTGCTGCATAGAAGATGGGCATCTCCAGAGAACGGCCCCGGCCAATGATACTAGTAGTAAGTCGCACAAGTCTCAATCCGAGAGAACCTACTTGGAGAAATGGATGAATTGAGGTTGTTTCGATGCATCGAGAGAGGTAATCAAAAGGCCCCTCGGGCCTTTCAGCTCGAGATCCAGGCACTATGCGCCGCGATGGCGGTCAAGTCAAGAGGGTGTGCGGGAGGAACACGAGCTGGCTGTGCCGTGTAGGTGCATTCTTAGAATCTCTGCGCGCGAGCAGCAGCAGATGGAGGTGTATGTCTGTCTGTCAGCTTCCACAGCCGGGGCGATTTAGGCGGGGATGGGTCGAGAGAACAACACACTGCAGCAGGCCGTGGCATCCATGAACATCGATACACCGTCTGGTGGTCGAACCAGACCCTTGCTTCGCCGCGTCCTTCACGTTTGCTGGACTTGACTTAAACCTGCCGACAGTAGCACGCCTACCGATATTAAGCTAGGTACTATACAAGGATCGCCCTGTCTGTCGGGTCTGACAAAGCTGCCGTTGCATATTCAAGTTGCACTTGATAAGCGGATATGGCGATGATAGGCCCAAACATCCGGGGACTCCAGGCCGGACATGCACATTGCAGATAGAATTTGCCTCGGACGCAATTGCAAGGCGAAGGAGATGCCTGGCTGAGCTTGGGACCGATCATTCCATTCTCTCACGGACAGGCTGACTGACCAAGCCCAGCCCAGTCATCGTTAGCGGTGCCAGAGATGTTGGTGGTGTCAAACTGCTGCGGATAGATCCCAGCCATCACGGGCAATGCCAAAGATCTGCCAAACAGCAAAATCATGGCCCAAGCGTCCAAATCGTGGCCAGGAGAGAACGTTCTTTGGCTGGAACAAGCTTGTGCCTCCTACTGCGTCCAGATTCTCAAGCTGTGCGCCTCTCAATTACGACGTTCGAGTGCACATCATCATGCTGCCTGTTGAGAGTGAAAGGATACTCGAAGCTGTTTGATCAACGGCATAAGCGAGAGTCGACCAAACGACTGATGTTAATTCTCATCAGCAAACCGGATCTTTGCAGGGAATCGGTTTCAGCAGGCCTCGGTCATCGAAAGCCAGCTGCTTCTGCCACTCTGCCCGTTGCATTTGCGGCGCCTGTTGGAAGGAGTCGGAAGTTGGCATATTTGAACTTTCGGCCGTTTGGTGTTATGGTTCCAGCATTCGCTGGCTGTGACTGGTGGCTTCACCTTGCAGGTATGTCCACTTCACTTTCGCCTGCAAATTGCCGGGCTCCCACTGCAAATCGCATGTCTCACTTTTCCCATTACCCTCAGTATCGAGATATACAGTACGTTATGATACAGTGTAATAAATATATATGTGCCAGTCAATCGTGTGCTATCCGTCCAAGGCTCTGCTTCTCCGGATGGGTGGAGGCGTACATCCTTTCTACTGCAAGTCGGGGCCAGCCAACATAGCCGGTCCCGATGCCGGGATAATTTCCGGGTGGTAACTGTTACATGGAATTCGACCAGAAAGAAAGTGTTTAGGAGCACGGACATCGAAACCGAGGGCGCTTCCAGGACATTGCTGCGAGGCGACAGGACGCGTGGCCTTGCCTGTAGTGCGTAAGTCCTGGAGACTCGTACCCGTATGCTGCCATTGACTGCTCTGTGACCGTTCCGGCTGTATCCCGGAGCACTGAGCCACAGATTGTGTTCTCTCCTGTAGCCTCCTCTGGGGCGGATCGGCCGCTCCAACATGCACCGACTCCTGGTGGCTTTGCATCCTGCATGTGGATGGCTGAATTTCGTCAATTAATTTCCGAGGACTGGTCGTCAAAGGTCGTAAAGGTCCAGATTGTGACAAGATGGTTGTATAAAATGGGGTATAAACTGGCGCAAGCATATGTTCATCATTTCGGGACCACCTCCATGCTCAAGTGTGAGTTATAGAAAGTGACGTTGGACTCAACATAGAGGGCTTCTGATCCGAAAGCCATGTATCCGAGGTAGTCGTTCACAGTAGGACCGCCCAGGCCTGTCAGTCCTTGAAGTAAAGGCCCAACATCGGCGTAGAAGTCCTGGACGGTACCACTGGCAACCCATGTAAGGACACTCTGCTCCAAGCTGTTTTGCCCATAGTAGAGTGAGCTGTGAAAATGTTAGCATCATCTACCAATAGCAGCAAGGACAAAGGTAACCCATACAAAGTGGTGCCATTGATGTCTTGGGTGGCAACGGCGCCTTTAGCCAAGCCAATGGGTTGTGTAGCCGCACCAAATGCAGCCAGCCATATCATGACTTCGTATTTGGCCGCGTTTGTATCGGTGGCGTTCTTGGGATCGGAATCCAAAAACATATCGATAGCCACGTTGGAATTCAGATTGATATCTGTAAGAGCAGCCGCATTGGTGCTGTCCGGCTTATCGTCGCCAACGCCGTACGCCCACCTGGCCTCGAAATCGATCCGGTCAACGTCTTCAATTTGGATTGGGAAGACTTTTTCGGCATCAAGTTTGATGTTGGGGAAGGCATGGACGGGCTGGGTGTCTGGACCTTGCGGGAATTGCCATGTGATCGACCATTCCGGCGCTGTAGTATTTGTCGGATACGTAGCGTTGTTGAAGGACGTGACCTTGCAGTCTTGTTAGTTGCAGCCTCGTTGAAACGGAAGCCTCAGGCACTCACATTCATACACAGAGCACCACCATCCGTATAATCATCGGTAATGCCCCATTGGTTGGGATTGACTAGAATACAACGTGCCGAGTCAGCAAGCAAATTCGTGCGAACAGTGATTGGTCTGTGGGAGCGCATGGAGAGTTCACTTGCTCGCTAGAGCAGGGCCCGAAGATTGTGCACCAATGCAGCTGCACCAGCACAACATCCTTGCATCGGGTCGGCGTCAAAGCGCAGGCCAGGCCCAAACAGTGATAGTTCAGGAACAAAGGAAAAACCTTGACGCCCAACAATGTCAAGCATGACAGGGGGCCCGATAACTGCTCGCCACAAACCAAAAATGCAGATCGGGATCCGGCGCACTCACGTGTGTATTGCTCCCCGTTTGTATCCGGTGTGATACCGAAGGCGATTTGACAATAGGTGGTCGTCTTGATACCATTGTTCACAAATGGCCGCGGCAGACCACGAGACTCTCTGAAAGCCTGTAATCCCAGCAGCACACCAAGGGTTACTGCGATAGGCAGAACCAGGAATCCATAGCTGATTATGGATTTCGCGCCCATGATTGCGAGAGCTCAAGGGCGGAGTTGAGCCGCAACTGCACGGATTGATGAAAAGCAGAACTCAACAGAAACGCAGCAAACAAGTCGGGAGGAGAGAAATCGACCGTGATGGCAACGGCGAGGTCTATGAGGAAGAAAGCAAAGCCGACGATCGAAGGCGTCGGAAAGAAGGGAAGCAGAGAAATGAAAACGAGCCCGCGAGCCTCGAGTCTCTCTGGCCTGGGCGTGTCCCGGCTGGTCTGAGCCGTCTGCGGCGAGTTTGCAGTTTGCCAGGTTTTTGCGTGGACCGTGATTGTCGGCACACACTGCAGGGGGACGCCGTGTCCCGTCTGGGCGGTGATCAGAGCGGCAGCTTCGGGGACGTCAGTGATGTACCATCGAGCTGAAGGATTTGAGCCGCCGATTGGAAGCCTGCGGAACGACTCTCAAACACCACATTGATTATTTTGACCTTGTCAAGGGGGCCTCCGGGTCACGGTGGAGGCTGCAAGCCAGGGGGAGAGAAGAAAAAAACCGGCGGGCGACAGCTACCTAACATTGTACAGAGGCGCAGCTGCGCAAGTGGCGTTGGGTCAAGTCTCGTGTGCCTGAGTCTACGCGGGTCCTGACACAGACGCTAGGCGGGATCAGGCTATGGATGGATCAGACCAAACCAGCCCGGGCATTACACTTGTTTCTCGCGTCTTTTAGCTCCCGTGCCTTTGTCTCCCCTTCTCTACCCCATTCTCGACCAAGGCACAACAGATCCTGTTCCAGCCTTGTGAAAAGTACCGTACCATCCGCCGGCGCAGCCACTGCCGTGGGCGCAGTTTGGCCGAGTTTCACCATGTATGATACGGGCACCAGGTGCGCGCCATTATTACGTGGTACTAACCATCCCCACCGGCTCTAAATTTGTTTTCCCTCCAAACCTGCATTCCACTCTCGCATATTTTCCCCTACCAGCGCAGTCCCGGCTTTCCTGCTCTTCAGCAAACCGCTGCCACTGGCTGCCGGGCCTCCATCAGCCCATGTCCGTGATCTGTTTCCGCTCCATCTTGTCTTCCAAGCTTTCCTTGGCCATCCAGCCTGCGCTGATAGTGAAAGGGGCGAACCAGCATCGTGAGCGGCTCTGACCGGCTGGGACCACATTCAAGGTCTCCAGATCGTAGGAGCCAATTCCCTGCCGAACATGTACAAGCCCGTTCAACTGGCCGGCGACCTGTGGTGGCCAGCATACTACTATCAAGCAATCCACTTCACAAGATGCTATGACATGATAAGGTCGTAACACAGACACCCGCCCGGAGCAAGGCCAATCCTTCGCCTCAAACTCTGACTTGTCCCGCCTCGTCCATCCCGCCGACGCCTTCGAACTTTTGTCACCTTTCACTTTCCTGCGCAATTTGCCTCCCCTTACCAACCTTCGTTTTTCTCCCATACCTCCTGGTAGTAGTAATACTACTGTTCTCTGCAGCTTTGCCCTCTGGGGTACGGAAAGTCCTTTTCGACACGCTCGTTTCTCTCTTTGTCATTCGCTGTCAGTACGAGCGGGAAAGATTAATACACACACAACACTACTTCCCAAACTCCATCACTCCCAGTGCTCGGGGCGGAACATGAAACGCGGTGCCCAGTCATAGAGCTAATTTCCCTGAATCTGGGGCCTCAATCTGGTCAAAACAATTCTGTCTTTGCATGACCTCACCCCACGAATTCATTCCTTCCCTCTTGAATCTTCAAGATGCCTCTCACTCGCAAAAACAATGATCACAAGAGGCCGGACCAACAATACCTGCAACCGATGACAGAGAGCAGAATGTCGGCCGCTTCGTCCACGACCTTGAACGAAAATTACAATGCGTACCTCGAAAAGCCTCCTCAATCAACAACCAGTGTGCATCCGGTTTATGGCAGCTATCGAGAAAATATCCCATTGACGGAGCCACGAAGGGGAGCTCCAGACTACCACAACAGAACACTTTCAGATCTGGTAGTTGGCGAGAGTACACAAACCAGCCCTCTTGAGCCTCCTAGTGGCACCTTTCCACCTTTTGCTCCCAGAACGGCTTCCTCCTACTCGGAGCTTGGTGCAAGCTCACCGTATCCGACGTCCACCCCATTTGTGAGTTGATCCCATAAGCTGGGCATGGTATAAGGAACGCATACTGACTAGCAACAGAGGAGTCAAGAAACGTTAAGACCTCTCGTCCCGGATGCTCCTGCCACGTACCTGAGTAAGGATTGGGTCAAAGACGGCTCTATTGCTCGATTACATTCGAGAGATGACAAGGAATTTCTGTCAGGCTGGAAGAGATGGTTGTATCATTGGTTTGCGCCGTTACTTGCCCTTACCTCGCTGGCGCTGTATTGGCTATACTTCGGTCTCCGAATCACCTTCGTCGTCTCGGCTCAGAACAGATTCGGCGCGCCATTTCCTCTGGCCTGGACATTTATTGCCGTCGAAATCACCGTGGCTATACCCATCTTCATGCAAACTTTCTGGTCACTGTTTGTGCTGAAGAAGCGGAATCGTCCCAAGTTGAGGTTGATTGGCAATGATGTCCCAAAGGTCGATGTCTTTATCACTTGCTGTGGTGAGGACGACGATGTCATCCTCGACACTGTCCGGGCTGCCCTCGATCTAGACTATCCCGCTGATCGTTTCCGCGTTATTCTCTTGGACGATGGCAAGTCGGACGTGCTTAAGACTTCACTGGAAGACATGCGAGAGACCTTCCCCAACCTCTACTACCGGCGCCGCCCCAAGTTTCCGGGAGTTCCCCACCACTTCAAAGCTGGAAATCTCAACTATGGGCTGGATGAGGTTCACAATTTGCCCGGTGGTGCCTCTGAGTTCATGGCTGCCTTGGATGCCGACATGATCCCGGAGCAACACTGGTTGCGAGCTGTGATGCCTCATCTCCTTCTTGACCCGAAGGTCGCTTTGGCATGCCCCCCTCAGTTATTCTACAATGTTCCCAAAGACGATCCTCTTTGCCAGAGTCTCGACTTCTTCGTCAATGTTGCGGAGCCGGTCAAAGATGCCTTGGGCGTGGCTTGGTGTACCGGATCTGGTTATGTGGTACGAAGAGTCGCGCTTGATCAAATTGGTGGCTTCCCCTGCGGTTCTTTGGCAGAAGATGTGGCCACATCAACTCTTATGCTTGGAAGAGGCTGGAAGACTGCGTACGTTCACGAAGCTCTGCAGTTTGGCACTGTCCCTGAGGACTACGGTGGTCATCTCAAGCAACGGACGAGATGGGTAAGTTTGCCAAAAAGCTGAATTTTACAAGACAATATCTAACATTCTCCTAGGCCATCGGCACAGTCGACACTGCGTTTAAGCTCCGCTTTTGTCTATGGGGTGAGAAGATCAAGGAGATGACCTTTGCGCAACGAGCCTCGGGCTTCATCTACGCTTTTTTGAGCTTGTTCAACATCTTCTTGTCGCTCTCCATTTTCGCCATGCCCATTGTTTTGATCTGCAACAAACCGCTTGTCGCTTACTCGACCGAAAACCAGCTTCGATGGCTGATCCGAGCTTGTTTCGCCGCCACTGCTTGCAACCGACTCTGCGAATTTGTGCTTTTCCTACCATCCGGCTACGCCACTGGACAAAGAGGAAGTCGGTCGCAGCTTTGGATGAGTCCGTACATTGCTCTTACGATTATCCGATCCTTCCTCCTCCCTAAGTGGCTGGGTGGACAGACTCAGGCTTTCAAGGCGACCGGCTCGCTCAAGTCGTCTTTGAATGAGAGAGATCCAAAACACCGGGCACCGATGTACCGACGCGTTTGGACCATTTTGGTTAACTACCTGGCCGGCTTTCACGTCGCCTACGTCTACTTCGTCCTGGTTGCGGCTACTCTATCAACATACCGATGCTTCTTGGAGCACGGACTGCGTGCCAAGCTTGTTGCCCTCCTTACCCACGCTTTTTGGCCACCTCTGACGTGGATCATTGTCTGCTCCTCTTTCTGGATCCCGTTCACATACGCCGTTGACCCTCCTTCGATGCCTGACAGGGAAGAACTGTTGATTCGGGATCAGAAGACTGGGGTTGCCCATCCCACCCCGCAAAGCAAGAAGATTGCTTATCGAAGTCAGAGCTTCCTCTTCGAGGTCGAGTACACTGTGACCACTGTCTTCACGGCTTTGATTTTCGTCGCAGCTTTCTTCTACTGAAAGAGCGCACCTCAAAAGGCGTGGAGCCAGATTCACACACGCATGCACAATCATGAGAGAACGAGCGTCACGGCTGTGTCATTCCTGCACATTACAAAGCATTCACGGGCCCGGGTGTCCGGCGCGTCCATTGCACAACAGCCGGCGAATTTTATTTTTTGTTGCTACTAGTTTTGGAAAAGAAAAGAAAGAGATTTTGTATAAATTTTGAAAAGAAGGGGGTATACACACGCAAGGGTTACATGCCAGCCTTCGTTCCATGCAATGCGGTGTGCATGCAACGCGGTGTGGACCTTCTGTATTCATTGGAGTTTTCTCTAAACACCGGGGTTTTGGAGAGGTGCGCTGGCTGGGCGAGGAAGCGGGCTCAGCATAGATATACACATACATACATGCCCATGGGAGGACGCTGTTCACTCAGGTGTTGTGGATTCCAAGGTCTGGGGCTTCGGAGGTAATGAAGGCACGGTACATTGAAACCCGTTCGTGGGGAGTGTCAATGAACAGGGCGAAGTGGAAGTGTTGTGTGCTCGAGCATTGGAGCCTTTTGATGAGAAATATTTACTTGCTATAGTCGGCGAGAAGGAAGTCTCCTCGGTGTTGTAGAAACAATTGAAACACGAATTAAACAGTGAAAAACTTTGAGTCAAGAACATTTGTTGCATGAGAAGAATCCTTTCACAGTGCTTGAAATTTTTGCTGTTTGCTGGACATTGTTCACTAGTAGGCTGATAATAATCCTTAGAGCCTTGCCTTCTTCAAAGCTTAGCTTGTGCATTGGTACTGGAACCAATGCCCGCTACTGCTCCGCCTGGTGTGTTGGACACAAATGAACCTCCTTCCAGTTCTTCCCATTCGGTCAAAACGGTCTTTTTGACTTGCATAAGAGGTCCAGTGGCTTTACTATATTGTGAGGAAAGGTGGTGGTTAGTCCAAGTTAGGTTCAGTAGGCAGGCAGGGGGAATGCAGCATATCTCTCTTTGCTTCAATAGTTGGGGGAAAAACCAACAACAGACAACGATGCTGAGGATGGTCGGAAGGAAGGAAGGAAGGACGCCGGTAGAAATAGACGAAACATGCACCTCCACAAATAAAGGGTGCTTATTTTTATTGAAAAGAAAGACCGAATGACTGAATCTTTAGCGGGTTGGTGGTGGGTTGAAGGCAAAACTTTAACTTACGACATGGCTCGAAACTGGGTAGTTTTGCCGTGCGCGGCCAGCGCCGCGAGATCCTTGTACCGTTCAAACAAAAGAACTTCGTTCGGTGCCGTCTTCGGCCGCGTCATGACGCTGTATGTTAGGGTCGTGGGTTCGTTTTGTTCGACCCAGGAACAGTAGGTTCTGAAGATAGGTCATAGTTAGTTCAGTTCGGCCATACTGGATTGATACAATTCCCAACGGGATTGTAGTGGACTAGCGTAAATTCAGCAACTCACCCGAGGACATCGACAAGTTTGTCTCGAACCCCTTCGCCGTCCTTGCATACAAATTTTGCCAACATGACGACTCCGGCGGGTCCTGTCTCTGTTTGTGCTCTGCGAGCCACGAAGCCCGCGGTGGGATACCATGCGGTCAACTCGCGTGTGAAGAGACCTTCACGCTCAACCTGGGCGAAAAACTCTGTGTACTCTGGCGAGGATTGCACGGCCGTCAGGGCCGATGGGTGGGTGAAGATTTCGATCAGGCCGATTTGGGCGGAGTGGTCGGCCGGAGAGGTGTCGACTCCGCGCACGATGGCGCCTTTGCGGGTCGCGGGCGTAATGAGACTTCGTGTCGTGCATTGTGTGGATGGGCGGCGGAAGAAGGGCGCAAGGGAGGAGAGAGAGTCGAGGATCTGGGATATGCAGAAAAGTGTGAATGGAGTTTCAGTGGTTATATATAGTTGGTATTGAATGGTACAGGGATTTGGATTGAGGGGTCCCGGGGGTATAGGTATTGATCAGAGAGTATGGATGGTATCTGTGGATGTTCCGATTCTGAGAATTGGAGCCAGAGAGATAATGGGCGACGGTTCAAACGCTCGATGGATGGATCGAATGAGGTTGGGGTTAGAAGGTATCTCAAGAAGGGTCTGGCGACGACATGGGCGGTGACTTTGTGACTGACTAGTACAGTACGTCTTTGTGGGCATGGTGCATGTAGCAAGCAGGCTCTGAGGGGAGGCATCTTGTGGACCCAGAAAGAGGAACCTCCTGATGAGTTTGAAGTGGAGGGGAGTAGCAGCCTTCTTTGCGGGTATGATGGCAAGACAAGGCCGTAGTTGAAAAGGGGTAGATTGGCATAACGAACAATGAGACCGACATACCTTCTGTTTATCTTCCGGCTTCTTGGGTCGAATTGTGACCAGCAGCGCTATACTCTTGGCTTCAGAAGTCATGGTGGTTGGATACCTGTGCTGTCGCTGTTATACTTTTGTTGGTGTTGTATGCAATGTTTGGTTCTCAATCCTGATCGTGCCTAGGTAGTGTATCTTGTTCCGCTTAAGATTGAAAGCGAGTCCCTGATATTTCCACAAGAGACAAATGTACACAGCGAGTCCAGAACGAGTGATATGCAGAATTAGTGATGGGCAGCAGCCGTCTTTGCAGACGGCTACTCCACGGTTAACGAGGTCAGCCAGAAAAGTTTCAAGGATTATAATCATCACTGCCTCGGTACTCGAAGTCCTTGCTGCGCTTCCTGTGACCAAGGCGTTATCGACATTGGAAACGGATTCCTGGCTTTACGGAAGTGTGCTGGTATGACACCTCAGCGACATAGATCATTGAAGCATATGGTGCATCAAGTGGTAGCTGAGGCAGGAATCCCGTGAGGCTGGGGACGTTCAAACGTGAAGGTGTACAATCTAGAGTGATCTTCCCGCCGAATTCTAATCTAATCTGGGGATCGTGGAGTCAGCTGGACCTCGGTTGATTTCTTCGTTTCACGTCCCGCCTCCGCATCTCGTTCCCATCATTGAGCTGACCCGGCCACTCATCACTGCGTGGGCCTTCAGTCAAACTGTTTCGAGGATACGTCCGGCCTGAATGATGGTAAGACATTGTGATTGACTGCCGAGGATTCTTTTTCCAATATCTCTGCCTCTGTCCCTCGCCAGTTGTCTACTACAGCCGGATGAGCAAGAGAACACTTCGGAATCCTCCTCACTTGATACCTACAACCAGGTACATTTAACTATCGAGGCACGCCAGCAAAGGCCCCTTGACGCAATAAAACAACCAACCTCCAGAGCCCTCAGCGGCTCTTTCGGCTATCTTGATCCTGCCTCGAGTAACAAAAACACTTCTACCCGCAACAACCACAACCCACCATGGCATCACCCGAGGAAGCAGTGCTCTACCGCACCGAAGGCCGCGTGGCCATCATAACTCTGAACCAGCCGAAGAAACTCAACGCCATGAACCAAGCAACCTACTACCGCATCTCTTGTCTGCTGCGTGACATCGCAGCAAACCCAGACATCAGCATCACCGTAATCACCGGAACAGGGCGGTTCTTCTCTGCCGGCGCAGACGTGACGACGACCAGACCAGGCGGCGACTCCGGCGCCCACAAGGACCAAGTAAGGAACGACATCCTGCGAGGCTTTGTGTCCAACAACCTGGACATCACACGCTCATTCTACACACACCCCAAAATCCTAATCGGGGCCCTCAACGGCCCCACGGTCGGTCTATCTGCTGCACTCCTGGGCTTTTGCGACTTTGTCTATGCCGCTCCACATGCGTTCCTCTTGACTCCATTCACATCGCTCGGTTTGGTTTCCGAAGGCGGCGCCTCGATCGGTCTGGTCCAGCGTCTGGGCCTGCCCAAGGCCAACGAGGCCCTGATCATGTCGCGGAAGATCCCGTGCGACGAGCTCGTGGCCTGCGGATTCGTCAACAAGGTGTTTTCGGGCAAGGACCAGAACGACAGCGACGGGTTCTTGAAGCAGGTGTTGGCCGAAGTCAATGATAAACTGGGCGACCATCTGAATCAGGAAAGTCTGGTCAAGATCAAGGAGTTGATCAGGCGGCCGTACCTCGAGACTTTGGAGGCCCAGGGTGTCAGGGAAGTCATGGAGGGAATGCAGCGGTTCGTCAGTGGTGCTCCGCAGGAAGAGTTTAGGAAGATTGCCAGTGGGCAGAAGAAACATAAACTGTAGACTCTGTTACATGAGGAATATACATACTTGTGTTGGTTGGTATGGTCCAAGAGGGGCAGATGCGGATCTGCGGAATCTCATGAGTTCGGCCATCATTACGTCGCTTCCGAAAAATGAGATTCAAGGTACAGCATGCTTGTTGAGAATACTGGTATGTAGTTTGCCTTGCCCTTCGCAATGACCTTCGTAGACTCGGACGACAACTTGAATATAAGCCCCCCTATACCCTCCTTGTCCGGGTCCAGGATCTTTGGCACTACTCCCATGACCTGGATCTAACAGATTGGACCGGATCGTATTTGCTTCCGTAATCATTTGTGCTTCCAAATCGAGGTCAGGGTAACTTACAGATCACGGTGCTGACACGATCAACATGTCATACTGTATATGGCGGCGAGACTTGGGTGTCGAAAAGCAGCAATCTCCTACGGCTCAAGATAGAATTGGTCCCCGACCAGAGGTAGGTTTGCACCAATCCGTTCTCAGGCTGTCATCGGAAGTATCTCCTATTCAGGACGTTGCAGTTTGCTCCCTTAACCCTGGTCGTGACCGGTTTAACCATCTTCATGTTAGGATATTTGAGATAGGTTCAGAGTTTGTCGACTATTTGCGTTGTTATACGCAACGGGCCAGTTGAGCAGGGGATGCCAAACCTACGTTAATAAGCTGACAATGGGCTTCAGCTGAGTGTGCTTGAGGCGGTAATGTATTCGCATCATATCATGTATTGGAGAGGGGCCATGAATTGTACATATACATTCAAGGCGAAGGGCCAGTTTGGCAGGAGCCTGGCTTCTCCAGCACAAAAACAACCTTCATCAACAGTTTGAACAAGCCACCAGCAGCACTTACATCCAGTGGAACTTAACCTCGGACGCCAACCCGTCCCCAACCCTGCACAATCGCCTTTCAACATATACATCACTCTCCATAACCACATCAAGGTCTACTACCGCGAAGCCGGTTCGCGTAGTAGCCCGACAATCCTCCTCCTCCACGGCTTCCCATCATCCTCGAACCAATTCCGCAAATTGATGCCTATTCTTGCTCCAAAGTATCACATTCTGGCCCCAGATCTGCCAGGCTTTGGCTTCACAGAGGTTCCCGCCGAGTTGCAGTTCAAGTACAGCTTCGAGAACATCACGTCGACCATTGGGTCATTGTTGGACGCACTAGACATCACCAGATTCGTCGTGTATGTCTTTGATTACGGCGCTCCTACCGGCTTTCGCCTAGCACTCGAGCGACCCGAGGCCATTGTCGCAGTAGTGTCGCAGAACGGCAATGCATATGAAGAAGGATTGACTCCGTTCTGGGACCCTTTGCGCAAACTCTGGGCTGCCCCAAACAGCTCTGAAGAAGAGAAGAACATTAGGGAGACGATTCGGAATGCTGTCCTCACCTTCGCGGCGACAAAGGCACAGTACCTAGACGGTGAGCCCGAGGCAGACGTGATTGATGACCCAGCTTCATACCATCTCGACTGGGCGTTGATGTCTCGGCCAGGAAACGCCGAAATCCAGCTCGATCTGTTCAAGGACTATGCAAGCAACGTTGCGCTGTATCCTCAGTTTCAAGCATACCTCCGCAAGAGCCAGGTGCCTCTTTTGGCGGTCTGGGGAAAGAATGATTTCTTCTTCGCCGCTCAGGGAGCAGAAGCTTTCAAGATAGATGTCATGGATGCGACGGTCGTCTTGTTAGATGGAGGCCATTTCTCATCCGAGAGCCATGCAGACGAGATTGGGAAATTAATGCTGGACTTTTTGCAACAACGCGGTATTTGAGGGCTGGATGGAGTGGTCAGGCATTCACCAGTATCTCAAGTTAACCCACGATTTGTCTATTGGATTTTTCAGATTGATCCTGTTGATGTTCATGGCTGTTGAACCATGAAGAAGTGTGGTGATCGTTCCGCTGAACAGGCCACCGATGCCAAGAACCGGAAAGCAATCGGAACTGTTGTCCTCAACCTGGGCCTATCTCAAGAACAACTGAGTAGCAGGCATCTTGTATTGTGATATAACCGTCTTATAAACAACTTCGGCCTCCTGTACTTCATTTCGTGTGATATTATAGAAGAAAGAACCGACATTCTTTTTGGGTTGGTGGCATCCATAACCCAACCCGGACCGGAGCTTGGAGCGGTTATTGGAGCGCACCTTTCTCGGCCACTCTATCTCGTCAGTCATGCCGGCGTCTTTGAGGGTAGAACTATTCCCCTCCCATCTCCAACCATTTATCGACTTTTACACCGATGTTTTGAGCTTCAAGCTCGTCAAACATATAGACGATTATGCCTACCTCAAGCGGGACAATATCTTCATTGGCGCCATTGAGACAGGGTCGACAGAGACTCGCGAGCAGAAGGAAAGTTACCGCCGCCCAAGCAAGGGAATCGAGTTGGTCATAGAGGTCGACGATCTTGAAAAAGAAAGGGACTTTATCGTCGGGAAGGGTTGGAAGTTGGACGCCGATATCGAGACGCAGCCATGGGGGTTAAGGGATTTCCGCCTCGTTGACCCCGACGGGTATTATCTCAGATTCACCACCCACAGTGCAAAGAGAGACAGAGTATACGTTCCCTAATCCGAGGTTGACTCAATCTTCAGTGTCCACATGCTACATCCATGAGGGCACTCGAGACGCTGCATTGGACAGGGTACGCAATATGCGGTTGCATTGATGCCCAACAGGCGAAGTGAGAAATGAAGCATGTCATAGGAAGCCCAGCAATGACCTGGCGTCGCATAGAGGCGGATAAAACTGGCGGGCACGTCTCGTATATCGTTTATAGAGGTAATCCCACATGCTCAAAGGTAGTCATGCAACTTAATTCAATGTGAGTTTGCGGAGGGTCAGACTCAGTGGCCGATGAGAGCCTGAACTGCTACTGGCTGACTTCTTAGTACTGGCCACTGCATGTGCTGTGCTACCATAGCAGTGGCAGGGTGGTAGATTTCGGGTCCTAGACGCGGAAAAGTGTCCGTCCATGGAGTGGCAGTTTCTCGAGCTTCATGAATCACCAGTACTTCTGCAGCCACAGCAGCTATTTTCATCTATCGCAAGTACTTGTTAGTGCCGTCGTAGGTACAGGTTCCTGCCAGTGGAGGTTGCGGTAGTTAGGTATGACCTAGGTACAATAATGTTGTACCTACCTAGGTACGAGTTGCAGTGACGACTCCACAGTGGCAGACGTCATTGAGATGGACATGCGAAACTTGAAGGCCTTTTGGTTTCGGGATGCAACAAAAACAAATACCCTCCGGCTGTTGTATGGCTGGAGTTCGGATCCACCCACGGCACGCAGTGCAAGTTCAGGTTTCGGACTCTGATGCAAGATTATCCAATCACCGAGAGTAAGTTTGCTCAGCCACATCCCCTTGACGGCCGGTCTGGGCCAAGCGCTGTGAATCACCACGTTATGATTGGATGATTGTCGTCATCTGTGGCTCTGGGGTTGCCCGGTCTTCCTACGTCACTACCATTATTGAATTGCCAGGAGCACCAACTCACTGCGCTGCCTGCCGGTGAAAGGAGTCTCATGCCTTTATCACTCGCTGGGCGAGACGTCATATGCTTGGGCAGCCATAGAAATTGCAGTAAATGGCGGCCTTGTATGCAGCAGGAAGAGACGCTTGCCCTTGAACGGCCAGGCGTGGAGCATTGAACTTGAATTGCATCTCCGGACAACGTAGTAGCGAGGGGGCAGAGCGTTGTCCAGCGTGTTCGAGCATGTTTGGTCAAGTGGGGGCTGACATGGAACAAACTTGAAGTGAAGGCGTATCGCGGGGCACTTCACTTTGTTTGCGTTCGTCACGGCAGGTGGTCGGTCAGCCGAGTGAAGTCACCAGGTCCATTTCGCTCCTTCCCATGTTGTTGTCACCACTACTACTGCCGGCCATTCACTGCAACTCCAGCCGTTAACTTGGTATAAGTATCTGCCTCTCTCTCCTCCTCTTCCCTTCTTCTCTCTCTTCATCCCGCAAAACTACCAACCTCTCACATTCAGACCAAACACTTTCTCCAAATCAATCAATTTCAATCACCAACAACTCTTTCACAATGGAGTCTGTCAAGAACGCTGCCAAGTATGTTGCTGCTCCTCACTCTCGCTGCTTCGTTGGACTCGACCCGTACTGACTTTGACATCAGCTACGTCGGTGACAAGGTCAACGAGGCCACCTCTGGTGCTTCGAAGGAGGCCAACAAGAACGTCGCCAAAGACTCTGATGCGTCCCTCGGCACGCGCGCCTCTGCTGCCAAGGATGCTGCCTCTGACAAGATTGACGAGTCCAAGAACTCTGTATGTTTGATCATTTCTTAACAGTTTCGTATCAGACAACTAACAAATTCTACAGGCGTCTGCTGAGACCAACAAGCAGAAGGCTACTCATTAAGCACCTCATCTCACCCGCTCCATCCACCTCACCTATGACACCTTTGTGCTGCGCCTAAGAACGTTTTGCAAGCACGGTGGAAGCGGTCAATCAGTATGGGCATGGCAGTGACCTTTGGCATACTTGCGGTTTCATGAGAACCTTATGAATGTATTTTTTACGAGAAGCTCGACAGAGCGAATGGTGCCGAAATCGGTAGCCGATCAATGATATCCTGATAACTCATCTTGAAGATTTTGTGTATTCCTATTGTGATGTAGTCTATGACAACTTTACATCTTGTCGTGCTCTTGCACATCACATCTCAATGTCGTCCAACTGCCATTCTCTCCAGTAAGTTACAGCACGTCGGTCTGTGTGTTTTACAGGTTGCAGTTCTTGTGATTGAGATGCTGTACGAATTGGTATATTTATGGTAATTACGATCCTTGAGTCCACTGCCAGGCGGAATGATTCTCGAGCTTGAAGGTGCGACGCTGGTTGAAAACTTCTCCGGTGGGTTCTACTTCTTCAGATAATGACTGTTCCTACGACTGAATCAGGATCTCTCTGTAGGAGCAGCCGATGTAAGAAACAGTGACTGACATTTACACCACCTTCATTGACTATGGATGCCACAACACAGACAAAGGCGGTGATTGGTTCTGCCACAACCATGGTCTGCTTGTTTTGTACTTCACTGCTCTCACCTCAGCGTCACCACCAGCGGAGACTTACAGCGTTTATATTTGATATGTGACGACACCCGGAGCGTTTTTGTTATCATTCACACACCCGGTCAACAATGGTCTCTGATCCCAAGCCGAAGATGTCCGACCTCTCCTCACCACTGAGACTCCTTCGGTTAACAGACGCGTACCCAGATGAGGTACAGCGGAAGACCATTATGCCCGATCGAGACCGAGATACAGTCGACTCCCGATTGCCCGATCTGCCAGGCTCAGGCTCTGTATGCTCGACGATCCTCGAAGCGTCGTCCTCGGCAGACTCACTCCCCTCGATGTCGGCATACGACGCAGATTGGCCCGAGGGATTTCTAAACGATGACAGTCAGATGTTCGGTGGTCAGCAACTGGTGGACGGTCTTATGGCAGAGCACGAGCCAGATGTCGTGTTGAATGGCGGTCGTCGGGGCAGTCCTACTACTCCTAGTACCGGTTATGGCGCCAGTGGGGACAACAGCGACAGCGACAGGGATAACGAGCGCGTTGGGACTAGTAACAACAGCACAGCAGTCGAAGATGATCGTGATGATGATGACGACAATAGCAATAACAGCCACCATTGCATGACGGACGATGAATGGGAACACGGCTGCGCGTGCAGATGGTCCGAAGACGGCCAGACAGAACAAGACTGCGAAAGTCAGAGTAAGACTGAGCGTGAAAGTGACGAGTCTTCTGAAGCGTGTGAGGATGACGAGGGAGAGGAAGATCCGCCACCATCGGAGCACGAATACAATCGCAGACACGGACACAGATACCAAGGGCCCGGGGCCAAACAACGAATAAATTCAAAATCAGGATGGTCAGCGTCCGAGTCACCGAGTCCCAGCCTTGATCCAGGACGGCATGGCTACTATTCCTCGACAATGGCCAAGGATACGAACAAGACTGATGAGAGAAATGAGAGGGACGACGTGTTTACGAGCCTTAATCTCCCAGCCCTCTTTGACATTGGCGTGCTGGACCTGCCACGGACAAGAACGATCAAGCGTGCAGCAATGCCGCAGACAGCAGCGTTCCATTGGGACTGGTGGATTGCACGACTTGCGACTGAAGCGAGAGATGTGAGTTTTTGACTGTCCATGCCCCCAAATGGAAAATGGAAGGAAAAAGGGCAGACGGACAAACGAACAGGAGGACTATCGGCGTTGAGAAACCCTGGCCAGCTCTGTTATTCATCACCTTCGCGTTACTACTTACCTGGCCCCTTTACTCTGCCTGCTGAGCCTGAGAAGGTTTAACCCGTCCGCCTCGATGGGGGAAATCGTTGCACCGTTCCCAACCGAGCAGAAATATGAGCGACTGACTTGTTCCTGATATTCATTGGCTGACTTGGTGCTCTGTTGTGTATGCTAGATCGATCTCAAAGCATTTCTGGCCAGGCTGATGCGTGTGAGGGAAAAGAACGAGATCCCGAGAGTGCCGACGTCTCGAGTGGCGCTAGTGCTGGAGTCGAAGGATCGATCAAATGTCAATGGTATCAGTGATGACGAGGACCAGCAGGATGATGGGTATGATGATGAAGAAGAAGAAGACGCCAATGAAGACGACGAGGACAGTTGGCTCGAGGTCGACGTGACCGACGTTGACGTTGATGACGATGAAACAACCGATTCCGAGACCGGCAGTGATGGTGATGATGGTGACTCCGATGATGAGGCCGAGGATGATGCCATCGAACAAACCGACAATACCAACGGCGATGGAGACAAGGACTCTATCTGCAGCAATGTTCGCCCACAACCACGTCAACAACCACCTCTTGCGGCATACAATAATCCACTCTCCATTGCTGACGCCCTACGCAATCCTGACCGCTCATTTGCCTCCGAGACAGGCTGGGACGTCTTCCTTGAGCACATCCGTCAGAAGAGCAGACATATGCGCGACACACGCCGCTGGAGGATGCGAGGACTCAAAAACGCCGCGGGCTGGTGCAAGTGGCAGCGTGGTGAGTGGATCAGGGAGGACGGCCAGTTTGTCAGTGAACGTGAAGACGAATTCGAGAGCAAGCGAACCATGTCAGAAAAGCAATACTTGGATAAGACCGATGCTGCTCCTGCTGCTGCTATTGACGATAACAGACAAAGTGGTGGCGAGATTGGAGGAGACACGGAACAGGCAGAAGATGAAGGCGCAAACCCAGAGGCAGACGGAGCTCAAAAGTGGACGATCTTCGTCGGATATCGCAGGGAAAATGCCTGACCGTCAGTCATAGCGGATTTGGAACAGACGATGAATTGGTTGCTCTTGGGCCAGGGGGTTGGAGAGACCTGAACAGCGACAGCCACAACCTGAAATTGTGAATGGGTTTTCTGAGAAATGTATGAACTCAGTCTTGGACTGAAATGGAAGAGTACTCAGATGCAATGTATGTAATATGCGAACCTGGAACACTGTACAATGAAAATTGCCCAGATTGATCAATCATTCAATCATGATGTCGCTGCATTATCCCGGTTCCATCGGACACAGTCCTCGAATTTTGCGCCGGTGCCGCCGAAGATGTCGAGCGCGCTTCCGATGGTCAGATCGACCTTGCCAGAACTGCATTTCTTGACTAGATCCAGGTCCTCGACAGTCCGGGCGCCGCCGGCATATGTGACTGGAATCGAACACCATTCGGCCAGTTTGGTGACGAGCTCGGTGTCGATGCCTTGCTGCAGGCCCTCGTTGTCGGCGGCATGAATCAAGAATTCCGAGCAATAAGGTTCGAGCTGAGCAATACTCTCTGTTGATTTGGGTTTGGGTGGTCAGGAGTCATTCTGGCTGAATATAATATAGCAAAGGTATCGTGATGGATAGGGTTGGATTTGAGGTAGTGGTGTGGTGTAGAGCCAACCAGCTATGGAAAGAGGTTTATCATCATACGCTGGACGTACCTTTATTGATTTCCATCTCGGTCATGGTCTGCCACTTGTTCATGGCGACGAACCACGTGTCATCCTTCCGGCGACAACTCAAGTCGATGACGAGCTTGGTCTTCTCGTTGTCCAAAGACGCCAACACGGCCTGTAGCCGCTCGGGAGAAAATCTGCCGTTGGGGAATAGATATGAAGTGATAATGACCTACTGATAGATCCACTCAGCGACGGACTGAAACCACTATAACGGGCGATATGTGGCATCCAGAAGCAGGGACATGTCATAAGGATGAATCCAGGAAATGGGAAAGCGCCGAGCCCGGCTGGACGATGTAGAAGTCTGGTGTTGCTGCCCGTGGCTCTCGCTCTCAATCCGATTCACTCACCCTTTCAGCACCGGCTTCGATCCATTCCTTCGCATTGTTATCAGTGATCCCTCCGCCGACTTGGAGATGGCCAGGCCAGGCGGCCAGCGCGGCTTTGGCGGCGGCCTCATTGCCGGGGCCGAGCATGATGACATGGGCGCCTTCTAGACCTGCATCGCGGTACAGCTTCGCAAAGTACTCGGCGGGATGGTGGGATATATAGTTTGTCTTAAGGTCGGATTCTCTCGTGCTCAGGGTTCCTCCGACAATCTGTTTGACTTGGCCTGCATGGAGGTCGATACAAGGTCGAAACCGTGTCATGGTGGTTCCAGATCAGATCCCGATCAAGATCTGATCAGCCTCAGATATCCTGGGTCTTCCTTCTTCGTATCATGAGACAGACACCAGAATCCGGATGTGGATCTGTATGTGTATCTGAGGCAGAGAGTGATGCGACGCGTCCTTACGGTTCTAGAGATCTGGTGTAAAACGTGTCTGGATCGATTGATGATGTGCAGTTCAAAAATTACCGTTTGTACTTTTTTTATTCGGAGTTGAGATTCAAAGTTGGCCTCCCCAAGCGGAGAAATTCTGCCGAAGCGAACCAACCTGCATCAATATTTTTATTTCCCTCTAATCTTCAACTCAAGTCGACCTAGAACTTCTTGGGTCTTGATCGCATCATTTCATCACAGAATGCTTCGATATTTCTCGCGGGATACGGTCAGTCAATAGGGAGGCTGAGGTATCCGGGGTTTTATGACTTCGTTATCTGTTGGGAAGAAAAGATGTCTACGACATTGGGAAAAAGAAAGCGCGAAGTTGTGGTCGCAACTCGACACAGACGGCGCAGTAGCAGCGACGACGGCGACGACCAGCACAATGCGATACCTCCCGAAACCGAGCGAGACATCTTCAAGAAGTACTTCGAGTCTACCTTTGAACCACTGCCGGAATCCCCAACGGTCTTACCTCCACCGTCGGACGAGGACGAGGGTGAGGATGACGACGGCAGTGACGACCCCTCGTCAAGGGAAGATGAGGATTGGGAGGGTCTCTCGGGATCAGAACATGAAGAAGGGCCTACAACAGTCGAAGTGGTTGAACATTGGAAAGCTACGAACGACTCGGAAGACGCCGAGTTCCGGCGCCTACAATACAAGACATTCATGGTAAGTCACTGCGGACGAAAATCAAAGAGGCGCATGCTGACACGGTGGATAGAGTTCGAAACCTCCCAAGGAAGTGGAGCAGACTACAAAGAAAAAGCCCAAACAACAACCCGAGGAGGAAGATCAGTCTGAGGCATTGAATCTGAAACACGACCTCGACCTTCAACGCCTTCTCAAGGAGTCACATTTGTTGGAGGAGGCAAAAGCATCGTCTACGCTCGGGGCGCATCGCCACAAGGCACTTGACATGCGATTACAATCACTTGGATCCAAGGGGTCGCTTTTTCAGCAGGAGAAAATGCCTCTGACACACCGAAAGGGGATCCTTGCCAAAGCCGCCTCCCGGGAGGCATTCCGAAGACAGGAGGCACGAGAGAACGGCATTATCCTGGAGAGACCGTCGGGCAAGGCCAAATCCAGTCAAAGTCGAAGGGAGCGTGGCGTAGATGTGCCAGCAGTGGGGAAATTCCGTGGCGGCACTCTGAAACTCACTAAGAAAGATGTCGTCAATATCCAGGGCGCCGGTCACTCTGGCGGTCGAGGGTCAAAGGGCCGGCGACGGTGAAACCTGCAATGGGCTTTGAGACACTTTCTGTCCTCTTTCATCACATCTGCTCTAGCATATCTGCACTTTGCGCGGAAGCTAACAAGAGCACTTCGCAGAGGTCGTCCCGAGGCACACCGCTTGGCCGGGCCATGAAGGCTCCGTGGGTTGAGAGAGTGTCAATGAGGTGAGAAAGAAGAAAAATCAGGAGTCCAAGATCGACTTGGTTTTCAAGACTTGCACTTCTTAGGGCAGTGCATTTCGATCTTTTCACAGTCCGGGAGAACCTTGTACAACTACCCGTTACCTACGGTAGGTGATCCCTTCACAAGTCTAAACGGTCTCTGACCCGGTCTTGGCCCTTGGGCGCCAATACCTGCAAAAATCACTCCGTTTCAAGCCTTGCAAGAAGCGAGGACCTGCTCAAGCATCTCGTGAATTGTCGAGAGTGTCACCAACAGGTCTCAGATTGCTGAGTGGTCCCGCCTACAAAAGACCTGAATTACAAGCACAAGTGCTCGGAAATCCTGCGACCTGCGACCGATAAGTATGGGGTTATGCTACAAAATGTCCTCGAGAAGATTCTTATGGTGGCCGAATGGTCATCGTTCCAGAGCCGACCAACGGGAACCAGCTTATCAGCCTCGTTCTGTCCCAGGATCTGTCGAAGGACGCCTTCCCATACCGAGCAGTCAACTCGCCTTGCAGCACTCGCCACGAGACAGGGCTGGATCTCCAAACAGCTGCAAGACCCGCAAGACGTCACCTTTCATGTCGTTGTTCCGCCGGGGCCGAAACAGTGGAATGTCTTGGCGACTGTCCTCGTGCGAAGACATCCGAAGACGAGAGGAAATGACTAGCCATACTGCCACTTGCGCCCCGATCTTGGTAGAGAACGAATGTGGTAACGGCCTCAGAGAGTCTAGTCCAGTCTGAAAGGCTGGGAAATCATGTGGGAGCAGGGCGAGCGAGCTGTGCCCTACCTAGTGCCGAATTGTGGGTATTGGTAAACACTCGTAGAAGGCAGGATAGCATTACCTCATGGGAATAGCGGATTGGAAGTGGATGAAGTTGGTGAAACACCTCTCACAAGTCGTGCTTCATGTTGTTGAAGTCGTTGTTCTGAGATCTTGGCGATTTCAGGTTCAAGCTGTTGATGACCAGCTGCCAGTGCCGCAGGAGTCTGCTGAACGGCCCTGTCACGTGCTGTACCCTGAAGCTTGATGTGTCTTGTCCCCTGTTCAGGCCGCCAGGCACAGAAGTCGATCACTCTCGTCAACCAATCTTCACCAACAAAGCCACATGCTACAGCTGGAAGCATCTGCATCTCCGAAGAGAGGTTTACAACCCCCAACCCAGAGCGCCAAGTTGGCCTCCATCTCGCTACGATCCCGTGAGAGGTAAAGGCCATCGCCGAATTCGAGTCAGCCTGCGCTGGTGTGGAAATTTCCTCTCGCGATCCCTCTAGCCGACGCTCGGCTCCCATTTCATAGCACGGCTGATTTTGCACCGTCAATAGCAATTTGAAGAACTACACCTGAAGTGGCAATGTGTTTTGAATAACAATCACGCTTATGGCTGTGGCGGGGCTTCTGGTGTCAACCTGGAAGACTTCGGAGATATGCTGGTCACATTGATGATGCAAAGAAAGGGGGCAAGCGAGTTGTCACCCTTGCCGCATCGGAGACACATTCTACATTCTGCAAGGGCAGATTGCCGTGTAGACGCTACGGCTCGCAGGCGAAAACTTCTCCAGGTTTGCTAGGACGAAGCCTGGGTGAATTGAAGTAAGGTCATAACATACTTTGACTAATTGCTGAGCACGGATGACAAGAGCCATCCCAATGGCCACATGGTGGTCAACTCGAAACCAGGCGCCCATTTGCGCCGTCTGTTTGAGATTTGTTTCTGATGAGCATCCAGAGGCTGCTGGCTGGCATAGGGCCTGGGAAGGCGTTCATTTTTGGCGCCAGAGCGGCCCGGAAGCACTGACAGACCCGTCCAGCCGCCAACTGCAGGCTATTCGTGCAACAGGCTCCGCTGCTCCTCAGCCACTCGTTTCAGCAACATCCTGCCCACCTGCCACACCTCAAGCAACTTCAGGCCCAAGCCTCGGTCAGAGTTCACAGTCCATAGATCCAGCAAAAACGCTGACCAGACTGTAGGGGGATCCATGCGTCGATGCCGCTTTCAAAATCAAAATAGCAATTCGAGGTGTGGATGACAGCCATGGTCGGCGGTTTGTCTAGACCCCTTTGTGGTATGCTAGTCACAGTATTCTAGCCTCTTCAGCCGCCGAAACGAAATGAGAGATGTATTGGCTTTGGTCAATGCTACACAGCACTCTGTCCAGCATGGATAGCAGCAGTCGACCAGTATTGGCTGGCCGCTTATGCTGTCAGGGTCCTACATGCGCCGTCCCTGGGTACCTCGTCTTCCGAGAGAATGAATCCGCCATGGTCAATGTAGAATTCCAGAGTTAGAGGCAGAATGTGTGTCAACAGTCGATCACAATGCCCCTCAACCAAGCACCGAGGAATCGGAGTTGGACATCCCGGGGAGACGAGTGCTGGCCTGGCGAAGCGAGGTCTGTAGAGCGAACAGACTCTTCCCGGCTCGTCCCTGATACAATGTACTAGTACTGTTAGGTATGCCATGCCTACGTTGATACTTGACCAGAGCTTGAAGTTACAGAAATCTGAGAAAAGTGGAGAGCACTACAGGATAGCATCAGGTGGGACAAACGGGAATGCCCAGCAGCTGGCGGCTAAGCCACAAAGGCAGATGGACGAGCGAGGGGAAGGGGCCATGTTTCTTTCATCATGATTGAGGAACTGGAGGAGACGAGAGGATACCCTTCACAGCGGTCAGATAGACCTGGCACGAGACGAGGTATAGCCGTGGCGGTCCTTTTTATGCGATCTTCTACAACATTGTAGGCACCACCAAGATATGATTTGACGCACCTTATTGCCCTGATCCTAATGGACTGGCAGGCGATTGCCGCGTAGTATTGTAGCTAATAAAGGAGCGTACCATTTCGCTACCTAGTATGTACGATGCATCATGGGATTGCAGCTGGGAATTGATCAATTCGACCACAACACACGGTGTACAACGTTGTAGGCTGTCGATGCAGCCCGGGTCAGGATAGCGGACACGGAGCGCACCACTCAAAACCCAGTCTTCCCCTAGCCGGCCCGCCTCTACTGGCTCCTCCTTTTTTATTCTCCATTCAGACTTGACAGCGACTGGCGCTGGGCTGCTGTTGGCTAGCAGCGGGCGGTGTAGCGCCTAGGGTCCGCCTAGCTGGGCTCCTCCACCGTCTGCAGCGCCACTTCTGTAGCTGACTCGCACGGGTGCTACTGGGCATCAGCACTGGCAGCCCCCATCAGACCCAGAGATTTCCCTTCCCCTAGGTTCGCCCGCAAACCCTCTAGTCACTTCTGGCTCTACGACCGCCTTAGAAAGGTAGCTAAGCTGTGCTACTGCAATGCTAGGAGAGGTACAGCTCCAGCTCCTAGGGGAGTGGGTGGTAGTAATGCCCTGCTGCTAGCACGGCTAGTATGGTAGTAATTTTTAGTTTACCCCTGCCCGTCCCTGCCCGTCCCTACGCCTAAGCGGTGCCTGTGGCACTCTGCCTCTGCTGCTGCTAACACACAACGGTGTCTGCTCCTACCTGACTGGCGCTCGACTGCACGATTCAGCAGTTCTACCAACTGCGCTGCGCTGCATTGCTACCTCTTCCGCCGTGTTTCTCGCTTCCTTCGCCCGGTCTGGTCTCACCCTCGCTCTCGCTCGCCCTCTTTACAACTCTGCCTCCCTTCTCAACTCAGCCCAGAATCTCTTCTTCCACTCTTCCACTCCTCCCATCTGTTTCACCTCTGTGTTGCTATAGCACACCAATTCTCTTCCCTGTCAAATCTTCACTTTCGTCCTCGGCCTTGTCCTGGAGGAACTTTTGAGAGAGACTAGCTCCTCTCCTTATCCACTTTCGTTTCACCTGCTTCTCGCTTCCTTCATTCGAGACAGGAACTTCACCAAGTCTGGACGTTCTGCGAAGCTGGTCTCTCGCATCGACTCCATTTACATCATCGGTACATTCGCTATACAACATTGTCATCATCGCCATCTCAACAATCTGGTTTCCTGACCGCGATCAATCGACCTCTATCTACCCGCGTTTTCCTCAGGGACACGGCCTGCCTGCCTGCAAAATTGGACCACCTTTGTTGATTACCATTGGGAAGAAGAAGATTGTGCCACACCGTGATTGTTCTGTATGCAATAGCACAACCGTTGCCAGGAAGCTGTGACTGTCTGCGACGATCGCTGCCTTTCCTCCTCGACTGTGTCGACCCTCAACCCTATTAGCATGTACCCTTCGAGTGGTGCGCCAATGGCTCAACCTCAGAAGCCGGAGACATTCATGCTCTCGAATGAGGCCCAGCAAAGCTTGCCTCAGGATGCGCAAGTCGCCCTGCAGCAAGTTGACAACCTCAAATATTTCCTCATCTCCGCCCCGGTAGACTGGAGCCCGGATTCTTTGATCAGGAGATTTCTCCTTCCAACTGGCGAATATGTATCGTGTGTCCTGTGGAACAACCTCTTCCACATATCGGGCACGGATATTGTGAGATGTCTGTCCTTCCGATTTCAGGCCTTCGGCCGTCCCGTGAAGAACCCCAAAAAGTTTGAGGAGGGCATTTTCTCAGATCTGCGGAACTTGAAGTCTGGCACAGACGCATCATTGGAGGAACCAAAGAGTCCCTTTCTGGACTTCTTGTACAAGAACAACTGCATTCGGACGCAGAAGAAACAGAAGGTCTTTTACTGGTATTCCGTGCCGCATGACCGCCTCTTCTTGGATGCTTTGGAGCGGGACTTGAAGCGCGAGAAGATGAACCAGGAGGCGACAACAAAGGCGGTGGCAGAGCCCGCCCTTTCCTTCGAGTTCGACTCCTCGCAGTCGTTGTTTGAGCAGCTGACCAAGGCTCAACAAGCCAGTTCCTCGTCCTTTGCGACCGCCAATGGGAACGTGCCATACTCGCAACCTGCATCGCCTGTTCTCCGTGCTGCCGACTCGATGCCTCCCCCGATGATGCCACCATCTATGCCGCGGTCGCAGGAGCAGCACCACTCTATGTACACAAGTATGGGCATGTCCAATACGGTCACAACCACGGCTATGTCGCGAGAGCAGGATTACTCTCAGTTTGCTTTTGACCGAAATGGGAATGCCTACGACCGTGCTCATATTCGCCATGCCTCCATGCCAGCTTACATGGAGTACTCCCCAGCCCCATCCTTTGTCTCGTCGCATTTCGAGGACTATAGCACTAGAGGTCTCTCGTACGAACCAATCACACCGCCTCAACATGCAATGCCCTCGGGAACTGAGCCGGCCTATATTGCGAATGAAGACACTGGGCTCTATTCAGCCATCCCAGAAATGCAGTCCATGCAAGCGTACAACCCAATGGCTTCGATGCCTCCCGCGACACTGGCTGGCCCCACTTACGCCAGTGCTCCTCGAGCATTCCCGCCGGGAAATGTATATTCGGTCATCGAAGGCTCTCCAACATATAAGGCACGGAGGAGACGTTCCTCCATTCCATCCTCAATCATGAATGCTGTGGCTGCCAACGCCGTTGCTCAAGTCACTCATGGTATGAAAACACATGCTCCGCAAAGACCTAGCGATCTTCGACGATCGATGTCGAGCTCTGTCATGCCCATTGCGGAAGGCGACGAATCATCTGGGCAGTCCCCGCCGGGCCTTGCTCACAGTTACCCCTCCTCCATTGTGAACAGAGACCACCTGACCGACGGCTCGCGGCATACAACTCCTCTACCTGGCCTGGAAGAAGTCAACTCACATGGATACGGAATGGGCTCCGGCACCGATCCTATGACGAGTCTTAGCAGCGGGGATGAGATGCATATTCATCCACTACAGATGAGCCCAGCTGTCCGCTTGGAAAGGCCAGGGCCCGTCCGGAGAGCGAGGAGTGCAACGATGATGGAACTCGGCGTCCCTTATAAATCGCATTCGTGCCCCATCCCAAGCTGCGGTCGACTCTTTAAGCGCTTAGAACATCTCAAACGGTAAGTCAAGATAACTTTCTGCATGTCGCTTTCGCTGATACATTCCACAGCCATGTCCGCACCCACACTCAAGAACGCCCTTATGTGTGCCCCTACTGTAACAAAGCATTTTCACGATCCGACAACCTGGCACAGTAAGTAGATTGAAGCTATATGGCGGGAAAATGCATAGCTGACCTTTCAATCGCAGACATCGTCGAACACATGAATCTCAACAAGACGGCCAGACCGCTCCCGTAACCAGTGAAGAGGAACTGGAAAACGACGAGGCTGATTTTGCTTCCATGGAGGAGCTGTCCTCCCCAGATGAAGCCAACCGCCCCACGAGCGTGTCCGGCATGCTTGCCATGTCAATGTCTATGCCTCCCCCGTCTACCCTCGTGATGCAATCCATGTCCCAGTCGATGATGGCCCCAAGCCAACTGGTTCAACCCTCGATGTTGCAGAATCTGTAACCATATCATACAACACGACGCTGATGATTGAAAATTTTCCAAAAAGGCTTTGTCTGTTTTGGCCTTTCTTCCGGACTCTTTACAGCTGCAGAGGCGAATGTGGAGGGAGAGCTAGCTGTGTTATTGCGATCAAGGGCGTAGCCTCCCTGATGGGTGTTGTACGCTTTAGCGAGTTGCAGCGTGGCGGGTGCGTTGGAGCACGAGACGCTACAAGGGGCCTCGCCGGCACAGGCAATGCCATATCCAATGTTTTGTCGGTTCATTGCATTGTGCGTCGTGCCCAGTAGCAGCATGCCATTTATGATTTTCATTTTTCCTTTGAAATCCGAATCCAGTGGAGAGGAGTCTTGTGTCAGCATCATCGTTTCGAGAGTCGAGCCATAGAAGCGCCGCGGTTCTTTTCGCTGGACAAACTGTACATATACTAAGCCACTGCATGCATTGATTGATAAACAGTGGGAAAGCGGTCGAAGTCTTGTTGTTGAACATAGGTTCGCCCTGCGTCGCCCTCCACGCTTAGGTGGTCGCCCATTATAGATCCCTAATACTGCTCTCCCAGCTTGAGGATTTGTAGGTGATTGCCAGACCGTAGTCGGATCGCCTGCAGAAGTGCGCTCCGAGTAGTAGGTTGGCAAGGGCGCTGTATGTAAGGACTTGGAAAGTTCTACGAGTAAAACTGACTGTGTTACCCATTTGCGATCACTCTGATTCACGAGCGTAGTGCAAGCTACACGATCATATGGCCATCAAAGCCTGCCACACACCCTTCCGGGATAAACTAGTGTATATCGATGTGGACTGGACTTCGAGATAGGAAGGATGATCAGTCTCACAGTGCAGAAACTCATAAGGACGGCACTCAAGTCAAACAGTAGGACTGCCATCCGAAGCACACCGAAGTAGGTCATTTTCATTTTCATTGCGGCCTGGGTGGCCTGCCGACGCCGGGCGTTGAACAGTCTGAATACTACTAGGAGTAGTCTCGAAGGGTCGTGCAGTGACAGCATGAACAATCCTCCTGCCATACCAAGACTTGAGCACCAGGACTGGAGCCATACATAGACAGTATTTGCCGATGTTGCGCCGGTCCAAGTCCCCGACCTCATTCCATTCATGGGCTGTCCGAAATAATCTAGTGCCTGTTCCCGTTCCTGTCCTGCTGCTCGTCTTCGTCTTCTTCGCTACTGTCGTCGCGGAATCCTTCCTCCAAGTCTCGACTCAGGCGGCGATCCGAGTCTGCAGAGGTGGGCGGAAGTGTATGTGAATATGCAGGTGGCTGTGACGACCGACTCACCGTTCTTGTGGCGGCGTCCATGTCGGCCAGTTGACGCTCCATGCCGTCCCGTCGTCGACTGCGGTCCTGCACATCCGAGTCGAAGCCGACCATGGCCTCGCCGGATTCGACGTCAAAGAGCTCGGCGTCGGCGTTGTTGACTACACGGCCGGTTGTTGCGCCACCTCTGCCAGTGCTGCCGCGGTTGCGGAATGCCCACGTCGACGGGAGGAAGAGGCGGTACAGGATATTCGAAATGCTGTCGCGGAGGGATGATGGGCGAAGTGATTCGGGGAACAGGGTAGTGCCGTTGGGCGATTGGAGTGGTAGATACTGTGAGTAGCGGGCGCGATGGCGTCGGTAGAGAGGGATGAGGGCGTGGAAGAGGATTAAGTAGAGGCCGGCTGAAATGAACAGGGGGAGAAGGATGGTCTGGATGTGATGAGTTGTTGGTCAGTTCATGTTCTCTCTTTGTACTTGGACTCATCCCGAATGAACTGTAGACGTTTGTTTGGTGGGAAACTGCGTCGTCGTCGGTGGGATTCTGGATTTCCTTTCCCTGATCTGGGGTAACGTACCTTTGTAAAGCTGGCGGCTCCTGATTTAGCCATCCTGCTTTTTCTTTGTTTATTACTGCCGGTATGCGGTGTAGGTGTCCCCAGCCAGTCCCGCGGTGCTGGCGCCGTGCGCTGAACCAAGTAGCAGGGTGGTTCTTCTGAACAGTCTGGAGATAGATCGGCTTCCGGTGCCCCAGGTCGGAACAGCCCGCCTAAGGGAGGGAGACGACTGATGAGCCCCTTGTGAACGTCCCTTTCATGCCGCCATCGCCATCGTTGTGCGCGATAAAGAGTTAGATAGACTAGGGTGCGGTTGACGTAGGCAGAGTTATTGAGATATTATCAGTCGATAGAAGAACAATTCGGGAATGCAAGGTCGTCGCAGAATCAGAGGATCCCGAACACTGACACCTGCGGTGTCCTGACTGCGCTATCGATAGCACGGACCGGGGACGATAAAGGTGGCTGGTTCAGAGGGCACAGTGCCTGCGCCGCACTCAGCAGGGGACGGGCACCTTTTGGAGTACTACTCTTGTCTAATAGTGGTGAGGCTGGCCCTCAAAAGCCTCCACCACAGGCTGATCGCACTTCACGTGGAGACAACGCTTGGTTGTTATTTCGGCGGGTCGATCTGCTTTCTCTCCCACTGTTGACATACTGTACAATTATGGATAGCATTCGATGTATATACCTGGGTATGATGTACATTGTAGGTATCAGAACGGGGCAGTACTACCTAGGTACCGGTACCTCGACCGATGACCGGATACCCAGGAAGGGATGACTAGACGATACTATAGTAGTAGGGGCGGATATTAAACGCTGTATATGGTATCGCGTTTGGGTGCGTCAACGACTACCGCTTTTAAGTGACTACTTAAACTTAAGGTCCCTAGAGCAAAGAAGCGATCGAAACCGAAATGAAGCAATCGGCAATGGCAACCATAGTATTATTGTAGTTCCAAAAGTTCGCAGTCGAAGACACTGTGAACCTCCAGCGCCCTCTCGACTGCGATTTAAGAAGACAGACAAACTCAGAGTGCCATCTCCATTCGGACTATGATGTGGCGTCGCAGTTCTCAAATTATTACTTAGTACAGTATATGAGAAACTGATGCCGGTTCCGGTTCGGGCGTGGGCACACTTGGAGTTGTGGTAGGGGGCAAGCCTAACAGTCCCTAGAGAAGTGGCCTGCAGTGCTTGCAGGTGTATTATTTTAGCTTCAGGACTCTCCTTTCGTACTACTCCGGCATTGCTTCTGGACGGGTTACAAGCGCCCCCAAGCCCGAAGCCCGACACCCAAGGACTTGCAACTTGAGCCACCACTACTGCACTCCGAGTTAGGGACAAACTCTCTCCACTGCAACTTGTTGACTTGTGACTTTTGGCTGTACAGTCCACAACTACTGGCTCTGGCAGGAGTTCGCGCCGCCGTTGAACTTGCGTGCAAACATCACTGCGACACTCCTACTAACGTCCAGATTTACATACCTACCTCCCTGTCACCAGCGTGCACTGGCCTTCTCTAACTGAACTCCAGTACATGTTGGATCATTTCTTTGTTGCACTGGGCCTTTAATTGCTTTGTATACACCCGTCTTTTGCTCGCCTCTGACGCCCGTGTACATTACCCTCTCCTTTGATCAGCTGGACGGTCCGGAACACTTTTCACCATTCTCGTTCGACGCACGCTGGTCCGCCCGTTTGTCTTTATTGTTCGCAGGAAACCCATCAATCCTAAACCACGTGCCCGTCACTCTCTCTCCTGCCGAACCTCGGGGTGTCTATCATCGCAGGCACTATGCAAGGATAAACAAGAATAAACGCTTGTCGGACAAACAGACGTCACGGCCGCGGCAGGGCTGGTCACGGGAAAGCGCAGGTCTCAAGAGACGGGCAACCCCTTCCGGGGATTTGGACGACACACATGATTCCTGTTGCCTCTGTTGAGCAGGAGCAGCAGCGGTAGCACGAAGACATGCCCCCAATGACCCAAACGGACAAGACAACTAGACAGTCTTCTGCCAGCAAAGGATTCTTTCGACGCCATCGAGATAACAAGGGGGACAGTCGTTACGAAGGGAGCGGCGGTTCCGACTCGAACAATACCAATGGCTCCTGGGGTTCGCGACACTCAAAGAGGGAATCGGTCGCTTCCAACGATGGCCAGGATGGGGATTCCTCGGGTCTTGCCATGACCGCGGGTGTCATCACCTCAATACCGTATTCAGCGACGGCGGATTCACAGGCACCAATATCAGTCGACTTTCTACCGCGCGAAGACCAGGTGCCGACCAAGAAAGAGCCTCAGCCCCATCAACTGGCCCGGGGCTCCGATTTCCATCAGTACCCTGCCTTCAACGGCGCTCCGAATGGCGCATCTCACCCGACCGGGCCACGTCCCCCTCCGCACGGCTCCGTTGCAGCCAATGGAGTCACGATGGCGACAAGCCAGGGAGGCGATCGTGGGACGAAATACCAACAATGGGGCAGACCGGGGAGTAGCAATGGTCCCCAACACAGCAATTATGATTCTGTCTCGACCAGCGACTCCTATGGAGGACATAGGGGTTCCTTTGATGCAGCCAGCATTAGGTCGACTGCGTCTTCCGCCACAAGGGGTTCCAGCCTCTTTTCCTCGGACAGCTCTTCCAGGACGGCGGTTCCATCACGCCAAGATTCCGAGTCCCCCATGACTGTAATATCTCCCACGCACTCAAGGCTCTTGAAACTCAGCAGTTCTCATGGCAGTTCTCATGGCGGTTGGCCGGCCCAGCAGACGTCCCCGTTTAGTTCAACCACTTCCTTTACTCCGGCTGGGTTCTACCTCCCCAAACCGCAGAGTGATGCCGAGATTGAGAAGCTGTTTCTGCAACTCATGCACAAACGGGGCTGGCAAAACCTACCGGAGCAAGCCAGGAGGCAGATGATGGCATATGCTCCGGCCAAGAAATGGACCTTGGTTCATCAAGACAAGTTGACCGAGTGGCAGGGCGAGCAGAAGAGAAGACAACAAGCCAGACAGACCGGCACCATCGATGGAGCGACTGTCCGGGATGTGGATGGCACCCCTGAATGGTACGTCAAGAGGATTGTCGACAACAGCATCACCTCGAAACAGCTGCAGAGTTTAAGCGTCAGCTTGCGAACCCAACCGATCAGCTGGGTCAAGGCTTTCATCGAGGCACAGGGACAGATTGCGTTGACCAATGTTTTGATGAAAATCAATCGACGTCAGGCCAGCGGACCTACCCCAATGACCAATGCCACTTCGGCGGAAAAGGACCTTGACCGGGAATATGATATTGTAAAATGTCTCAAGGCGTTGATGAACAACAAATACGGCGCCGACGATGCCTTGACACACGAGCAAATTCCGGTGGCCTTAGCAACTTGCCTGATATCCCCGCGTCTGACCACGAGGAAGCTGGTGAGCGAGGTGTTGACCTTTTTGTGTCATTGGGATGAAGGTCAGGGGCATCTCAAAGTGCTTCAAGCGATGGACCAGGTCAAGAATATGATCAATGAAACTGGCCGCTTTGACGCCTGGATGCGCATTGTTGAAGTCACAATCGACGGCCGGGGCAAAATGGGCAGCCTTGTGGGAGCCAGCGAAGAAGTCCGGAGTGGTGGCATAGGCATGGAGAACCTTTTGATGGAATATGCCGTGGCCACGCTGGTACTGATCAACATGCTGGTCGATGCCCCGGAAGGGGACTTACAGCTACGGTGCCATATCCGGGCTCAGTTCATCGCCTGTGGAATCAAACGGATCCTGGTGAAGATGGAGTCCTTTCAGTACGATGTCATTGACAAACAAATTGCGAAATTCCGCGAGAATGAAGCCATCGATTACGAGGATCTCCTACAACGGGAAGGAAGTAGCATGGTGGACAGCATCGAGGGCGAAGTCAAGGATATGACGGATCCTCTGCAAATCACCGACGCAATTATGTCGAAGATCCAGGGCACTCGAACTCAGGACTATTTCACATCAGCCATGCAGCATATGCTGATTTTACGAGATAACAACCCAGAGGAGCGGTTGAGGATGTTCCAGCTCATGGATGCGATGCTCAGCTATGTTGCAATGGACAGGAGGCTGCCAGACATGGATCTCAAGCAGAGCCTGAACTTCACGGTGCAGAGCCTCTTGGATAGGTTGCATACAGATGAAGAATCCCGGATCGCATTCGCTGAAGCCACGGAATCTAGGCAGATCGCTGAAGCGGCCCTTGCTGAGCGAGATGAAATGGCGGCTCAGATCGCTATGGGAGCCGATGGGTTGGTCAAGAAGCTGCAGAAGCAGATAGAGGAACAACAAGGCATCATTGAGATGCAGGCCAGACAAGCCGAGTCTCTGAAATCTGAAGTCGCCGAGCTTCAGCGACTACGCGCTCAGGAGTTGCAGAGGAACGAGTTGGAGACCAGGGAGCTGTATCTCATGCTCCGGGATGCCCAAGATGTTGCGGCTTCACGAGCTGCCAGGGAAGGAACCCCCGGTCAAGATCCGGCTCGGATGCAAGGCATCTTGGACAGAGAAAAGTTGATGGAGCGCCTTGAGCGAAATCTTGAGCGAACTAAGACGCAGTTCAAGCTCGAAGGGAAGGTCTGGGGACAAGGACAAACCGGTCCATCAGATCGTCTCAGAGAGCTTCGGGAAAAGATGGACGACGCACTCGATGCAGACTTCCAGGAAAAGACGCAACGACATCTTACCACTAGCGTCATGGGAAGCGTTCGTCGAAGCAACGCCCAGAAAGGACCCCGGAGAGCCGCTCTGGAAGCTTTGGCGATTAGTGAGGAAGCCGACCACGACACGGACGTCGAGGACGAGGTCGTTATCGAAAAGCCACGTTTGGTCGAGTATTCCCGACCCAAGATCAGTGCTGAACAGCAAGCAAATCTCATGGGCGAGCTTACCTCGAAGGTCAAGAAGTCGGGCGGCGATGGCGATGATGCCACTCCAGAGGGCGATGATGACGCTGGCGTTACCACGGGCCCTACCCATCCCAGCCTTGAACTGGACTCTCCCAAGACACCTTCAGATGGAGCACAACCCGAACCAAAGTTCGATGGACCTCCTCCTCCCCCTCCACCACCACCACCTCCTCTCCCCACCGATTCCTCGAAGACCCCGCTTATACCGGGATTCGAAGCTGGAGCTCCTCCTCCGCCACCTCCGCCACCGCCGCCCCCAGGAGGGATGTCCCTTTCCCCGGCTACGCCATTAGTCCCCGGCTTCAACGGAGGACCGCCGCCGCCGCCACCACCTCCTCCACCACCAGGATCGCTGCCCATGAGTCCCATATCACCCATACCTCCCCCTCCGCCTCCTCCAGGTGCGCCTCCGCTACCAGGTGCGCAGCATGGACACTTCCTGCCACAATCACCGGTGACGGCTGTACCCATTCTCAAAAACCCTGTGATGCGTCCCAAGAAGAAACTCAAGGCCTTCCATTGGGACAAGGTTGACACACCTCAAGTCACCGTTTGGGCGGAGACTGCCAAGGCCGAGTCGCGAGAAGAGAAGTATCGCGAGTTGCAGCGGAAGGGTGTCCTTGACGAGGTAGAGAAGCTCTTCATTGCAAAGGACACCCGGATAATCGGAGCTGGCACCGGCAAGGGCAAGGAGGACAAGAAGCAGATCATCAGCAACGACATGAGGAAGAACTTCCACGTGTCCATGGCCAAATTCAAGAATGACCCGGCTGATGTGGTGGTACGAAAGATCATCCATTGTGACAAGGCGGTGCTTGAGAACAACGTGGTCATGGACTTTTTACAGAGAGAAGATCTCTGTAATATACCGGAAAACATTGCCAAGTTGATGGCGCCGTACAGCATAGACTGGACCGGACCGGATGCCATGAATTCGAAGCGGGAACAAGACCCGTCCGAGCTTACAAGGGAAGACCAGATTTACCTGCAAACTGCTTTTGAATTGCATCATTACTGGAAAGCGAGAATGCGAGCCCTTGCTCTCACCAGGACGTATGAGCATGACTATGATGAGATTTCCGGGAAGCTCAAGGAGATCGTCAACGTGTCGGAGGCTATCCGCGACTCCACATCGTTGATGAGCGTACTGGCCCTCATTCTCGACATTGGCAATTACATGAACGACTCGAACAAGCAAGCATCGGGCTTCAAGCTGAGTTCACTGGCACGCCTTGGTATGGTCAAAGATGACAAGAATGAAACCACCTTTGCGGATCTGATTGAGCGAATTGTCCGCAACCAGTATTCTCAATGGGAAGTCTTTGTAGAGGACATCCAAGGGGTCGTGGCGGTGGCGAAACTGAATGTGGACCAACTGCTACAAGATGCGAAAAGGTATATTGACAACATCAAGAACGTCCAGGCTTCCTTAGACGCGGGCAACTTGAGTGATCCTAAGAAGTTCCACCCTCAAGATCGTGTGGCTCAAGTTGTCCAAAGATCGATGAAGGATGCACGGCGGAAAGCAGAACAACTACAACTCTTCCTGGAAGAGACATCAAGGACCTACGATGATATAATGACCTACTTTGGCGAAGATAACCAGGATGAGAGTGCGAGACGGGAGTTTTTCAGCAAACTAGCCGGGTTCGTGACGGAATGGAAGAAATCTCGGGAGAAGAACATGGCGCTGGAGGAGAAGAAACGGCGCCTCGAAGCAAGCATGGCCCGAAAGAGAGCCCAAGCAGGCGCCAATACCAGTGGCGGAACCAGCGGTGCCGAGACCCCGGGCAGTCCGCCAGCCAATGGTGCCATGGAGTCGCTGCTTGAGAAGTTACGTGCTGCTGCACCACAGGTGAAAGACCAGCGGGACCGGAGACGACGTGCTCGATTAAAAGAAAGGCATGACCAAAGAATTGCTAGTGGCCAGCAAATGCCCGATCTACCCCTCAAGGATGAAGCCGACGAGAACCGTGGTCTAGGTAGCTCACAAGAAAAGTCCAACGAGGACAATCTCGCTCCCGAAGATGGCCCAAGCGGCAAAGGGGACGTCAGCGAAAGCGAAGACGTTGCCGACCGAGCTTTGAAAGCTCTCCAGGAAATGAGAAGTGCTGCACCGTCCGGTGGTGATGAAATCGATGTGCGAAGGCGAAGGGAAGGTGCAGATGAAGAGCGGAAGAACAGGAGAATGAGAAGACGAACGGCTCAGCAGAGCACCAGTACTGCGAGAGATTCCGTGCATGCCCAGCCGCCAACCGAGAGCAGGGTCGAAGAAGCTACCAGTGAGAACCCCTCTGCAGATCCCACCGATGCTGGTGAGGATAAAGACGGAACACCGACAGAAGACAAACGTTCGTCCCAGGGAACTCTCAGCCCTACTACCACTCAACCTGTGCCAGCCATTATTATCAGCTCGACGCCGGATGATGTTCCTACAGAAGAGGGTGACCCGACACAGAGCGTTGACGAGGTTGTTACCCAGGCCGTTGACGAGCCAGGCTCCTCTGCTTTGCCTGAACTGTGATCTTGGATCCGCTGTTCACTAGGAATTTTATTCTTGCCTTGAACCTACAGGGCAGTGTTTGTCTATGGAACGCGGCGCTGTTTACGGGCGCATATCGGTTTTCTGTGTTCTTCTTCCCTTTTTACTGAAGAAGAATCTCCCGCCTTGGTCATTTCAGAGGAGGAATGCCTATGCGGCAGAGTGTGGCTTTGTCAGGGAGCTGGGGGCCGGCAAAAGGCACAGTTCCGGTAATAAATGGATAAAGGGGATGGATGTACCATACATATTTCAGGCTGTCGTCGGGTGGCTTGCAAGTGGCGTTCTTTGATCGACTGATAGGAGCCGGACGCGTGTGGAACATGCGCCGTTTTCGTAAGCCACGAAATACAAGCTCAAGACCGTACTTTTGGGGGGTGACGTGTGGAAGAGATGATTGAGTCTCATGAGGTTGATGCGAACACCCAAGCACTGCACACCTCTTTCGGCCTTGGGAAGAAGGTGGACTTTGGACTTTGGTATTTTGTTTACCTACTGTACCTGGACCCCGACACTTTTAACATTAAGCCTTACTCAAGGCACTCTTAGCTAGCTTGTTGAATTCATTCATTTGTTCTTATGCGGACAGACACATGCTGGTGACAATCGCCGTGTACCTGGTAGTTGAGCTGGATGAAGTATATTCAGGATGCATCATGATTGGGCGACCGGCAATGCAAGACTCGTGATTTTTATGCACTGCCACATTACGTTGTATGCTCCCCTGTTTCCGGCCAGTGGGATATTTTTCCCCCGGGTGGAGGCGCAGGCGCAGGCGTAGGCGCAGGCACTCTGTCAGTTGTTACTGGTTGATAGCTGGGCACCAGTCTATACGTGCCTAGGTTCGCAAGATTGACTGAAAGTGTGCTGCTCTTCCTCACCACTTCCGTCACTCACTCGTTCATTCCCAGACCCTTCTTCTTCTCAACCAGACCTAAGATACACACTAAACCACACTCCTTCAGCTTCTCTTTCTAGCTTCGACCTTCGACTTCTTCTTTTCTATCCTGCTTGTCCCCTCCTTCATACAAGCAGACGTTGAAAGACCATTGTTGTCCACTTGATCCAGTTTTCCCCTTCGTCAAAGAATTAATCTGTCCCACTTCCACTATCCGCCCTCCTTAATTTCCCACCAGCCCGCAAGTCCTCATCCGGGTTCGGAACTTTCGACCACAATATCAACCCTAGAGTGTGCTCCTTGCGACTGCGACAAACAACACGGAGAGAACAACAAAACAAGGGATCTGGGGGTGCCGCCTGTAACTCGGCATCACCAAACAGCAGTTGCAGGAGCACGGCCACCCGCCACACTTTGTCAACATGCGGCGCAGCCTGTTAATCTTTTTACTTTTTACGATCGTCCTGGTCACCCTCCTCTTACACTCGGTCTCGACACTGCTTTCCTTGCTCATTGAGGATGCCTCTGGTGATGCGATCCACCGGGCCGAACTCCCTGAGCCCAACTCGACCTTACTTGAATCGCGTCCTCAGTTAATCCCCAAGATCATTCACCAGACCTACATCAACGAGTCGATCCCTGCCCACTGGAAACCTGCCCAACAGTCATGCATCAAGTTGCACCCGGACTACGAATATATTCTGTGGACGGATGAAAAATCGGTGGACTTCATCGCAAAAGAGTACCCGTGGTTTTTGCCCACTTTCACCGGATATCGACATAACATTCAACGAGCCGACGCCATCAGGTATTTTGTGTTGGCCCACTATGGCGGCATCTATATTGACCTGGACGACGGGTGCCAACGAAAGCTCGACCCTCTTCTTTCTTACACGGCATGGCTTCGTCGCACCGTTCCTACCGGTATTAGCAACGATGTCATGGCCGCCATTCCCCAGCATCCATTTTTCCTCCGGGTCATAGAATCGCTTCAGGGCGCTGACAGGTCGTGGGTGCTGCCATACATTACTATCATGGCTTCGACCGGGCCCTTGTTCCTCTCGGTGATATGGAAAAAGTGGATGGGCGAGCACTCCCACCTGGATCAAGAAAACTGGGTCGGGCGAGTCCGAGTCCTCATGCCCGACGAATACAACAATCATCCCTGGAGTTTCTTCAAAACGTACAAGGGCAGTAGCTGGCACGGCAAAGACGCCAAGTTCATTTTCTGGATGGGTAAGAACTGGCTCTTTCTTACCGTCCTGGGATTTGTGTTGGCTGGCATGGTCGGTATGGCCATCTGGTGGTTGTATTCCCGCCTGATCGTCGTCGGTGCCAGAAGACGGGCGGTTGGAAGTCCACGCATCACTGCTTTCCGGATGGTTTCGAGAGTGCCGCTGTTTGGAAAATGGGGTGCTCCCAAACAAAGCTACGAACTTGTCACGCAGCGTGATGCTTGAGTGGGATAGGGCATCGGATGTGATTTTACGCCGACATTTTCCAAAAGCCTTTGCATGGATATGTCCTAAAGGGTCTTGTCTGAAGAAGCTATTGTCATGCAGGGATGCTCTAGCGGTATTCACGGTGGATCTTAGAAAGACAAACAGCATCACTACTATTACTCGTGTCCTGCGTGTTTGCTTTGTTATTTTCAGCGATGGCGTTTACAGGTGGGCATCAGCAACAGCAGTCCTCGGGGAATGTTTTAAGGCCCGGATTTCTGATAAATGGAGAGGCCATCAATTTTTTTTCCTTTTCTGTGCAAGGCTTCCTGTCCGGGCCATCTGGCTGCTCATCGAGGTGCTTGATTCTCTCGGGCACATGATGGCTACGGAGCATACCATACCAGGCACCCTTGCTTGCCAGGCCATGTTTATACACAGTGTCTACCTATCAGCTAGGTACTTGCCTCACTTATCTATTGTAATAAGAGCGGAATTGGGTGGGCCGGAAATGAACAAGGCAACAACTTTTTGTATTGAATCAAACTAGCTATCTACCTAGGTACTTATCTTCCTGCCTTTCTTACTTTCTCCGTGCATTGCACCCAGCAAAGGAAAGACGAGACCAGCGGGGCGGGATAAGAGAGCCGTGACGAGACCCAGTTAATCGATTGTCTTCTTGATACTAGCACAGAATAAGCAAACCTGTTAGATGCTTTTTCCTGCCGAACCACAAGGAAATGTGCAACGAAGCAGAAGTTGATATCGATCATCGTCCCATCGTGCTTACCTCCTTTTCTCTGTTTTCCGCCTTCATCAGGTGTCAAGTCAGGAGAGGACACAGCCCGATAGCAAGCAGAGCACAGCAGATGAAGCATACAATTATTGTTCTACCGCGTGGCCATGCCGAATAACCCATCCCTCTCTCCCTTACTACTTCGCCCAGCTGGACTTGAATAGAGGTGACACGCCGCGCATCTGATCATTGGTCATAGCTCTCCTCGCCTGATAGAGCTGGTGCTGTTCAATCCGAGCGTGATCTTGGTTCCATTGAGATGGAAGGATCGGCCTTGCATTGACCTGATGGACTCCTTAAGATCTTTCTGAATAGTCGTGAGTTGAGGCAAGCGAGCGGGGGCATGCTTCAAATCGGACGCCGTGGTATAGTCTGGTGAGGCGAGGTAAATTCATGTCGTGTCATTGCGGCAAGCTCAGTGGCCTAAGGGCAGTTTTCTCGAAGGACGCGCCAGGTCTTTCAGTCTTTTGGTGAAAATTGTTGTGTATGCTGAGTAGGAAGCATGGCTACCATCCAACCGACCGGCCGGACCATAGCATATGTACCATATAACAGCGTGGTATGGCACCAGTTTTTGCAAGATATGATATAATCGATAACAGATAATCGGTCTGGCCCTAAGTCCAATCGCTTCTGGGGGTTTCTTTCCACCGGCAGGCCTCAGTTTTGTTTATCGGGCGGACTGACTGACTGTCATTATGTCATCGACCAAGCTTGCTCTTGCTTCGGAGTAATGGGTGTTGTTTTTGTCTTTTCACTTGGTCGTTTCATCGGTTGCGCTGGTAGAAGCCGTCGCCGCCGCTGCTGCTGCCACCGCTTCTTGAGTCCTTGTTCTTTCTTTTTGTTCGGTCATCTCTCTGATCTCCATCTCCTCGCTCCACGCGCGTCGGGACCGTTCCAAAGCCCGGTTTCGCCGTCTCACCGAGTCGTTGTACTCGGTCACCCGCTTCTCTGCAAAGATACACCCGCCCAACAACATGGCACTGATCTGAATGTACACTTTGAACTGCACCGTCAGCCCGCGGTAGATCGGGTTCGTGCGGTTCAGCAGGAAATGCGTGATCAGCGAAATGGTCCCGAACCGCAACGCTCCAGAGGCGAATCCGTTCGCCGCCAGTGAAGTCAGGTGTTCGGGAGGGGCGATGTCTTTGATGTGAGATGGTGGAGGCATTGTCGCGGCGAAGCGCCTCAGGGTGGTACTGTAACGAAGACAGGTAGTTGTAGGTGGACTGGAAAAGATGCTGGCTCGCTCTGTTCTCTCAAACTATCTTCGATCTGGGTGGGTGTTTTCGAACAAATGAGAGATTCCTAGGCGTATGAAGGAAGCATGAGAAAACGCTATGTAATGTTTTCTTGCTTGGTTCGAGGTTGTTTCGGGGAAAAAGGTCGGAATCTCACAAGCTATAGTTGTCAATGGTGATGGTCGTGTGAGGTGAGTGAGTGTTGACGCAGTGTCGGGCAATGCTATCGGACCTCCACTCCCCGAAATGCTGCACTGCATTTATTATTACCAGTGCATTGGTCTGCAGCGGCGAATCCGCACCTGGTCTTTGGTCCCCGCCCGTTTACTAGGACCGTGCCTTGCCGCTTTACTGACTTCACTTCGACTCAGCCTTGTTTATACTCACATCCGGGGCCTTGCAGAAGACTCAGTTCGCGGATCTATGTATAGAATGGCAGTTCAACGACGTTACTGATGCCGTGCGGGACGCATGAATACTGTAGACATCATGATGGTTGGGGAGAGTGGTTCATTAGGAGGGTGGTTATTACATCGGTGCCCGACTTTCATCTTCTTCCTTCGATAAGACTAGGCCAGTCGATGCGACATACAGTGTTACTGCGCTGGGGCCGAGGACGGGTGTTTTGGGAATGATGTCAGGCGAAAACGCTCGTGTTGGCGGACTGACCGAGTGGCCTATGTAAGAGTGCCTTTGATCGTTTCTCCTGGATAACCCTTCTTCAGCCCTCCAAGCTTGAGGCGGCCGTAAAGAAGCCCTTCAAAGATCGTCGTCGACACCCAAAAGGACACACAGTATAGCCATTCCACCAAACACCATGCAGCTGATCAATTTCCTCGGCGTTGCGACCTTGTTGGCCCCCGTGGCCCTATCGACTTGCGGCGAATGGGACGTCCGCATCTACCAAGGCGACGTCTGCGGCAGCCAGGGGGAAACCGCGAACCATGTCTATATGGGCGACCAACCGCGAGGCTGTGAATCCCTTGACGGATACTCCGTCGAAAATGACAGTATCGGCATCGGCGGTGGTTTACGGCTGGACAGTCACAATGTATGACAATGGCGACTGCACTTGCAGCAATTCCCTCACATGTCTGAAGCAAGTCGATGTCGCCAGTGATGGAACCATCAAGTGCGACGACTTGAGTTACTGGCACAGCTTCTCGGTGGAAGGCGTCTCTTCAACCGGTTGTGGAGGAGCATAATGAGGCCAGGGGCTCAGGAAAGACGTGGCCACCAGAGGGAAGGGGAGCCAAGGGCACGTTGGCCCAGCAAAGGCATGGGCGACCATACTGGAGCACTGGACAACGCTTCTCAAGCCATTAGGCGGCCAGCCTGTTCCTGTCAATTTTGTTTGCCTGGAATTGGGGAAGCCGGTGTTGGTAGTCGCTCCTTTAGCTCGGTGTCGTTAAGGATCATTCAAGACGCTTACCCATACCGTCCTGCTTCACTTGAGCTGCTCGTATCCCGTAATGCACCATCATCACAAGTTGGTCACCTCAAGTTGCGTAGCGGCATAGACACAGAGGTCCATGCGATTGAAAAGTGTAAGCAAGCTGGCCGTGTACGGATGGGCTCACACGTGGGCGCTGGTTGGCAGTAGGCAGGCGCCTGCTCATGTGAGAGGGTCATCTTGAAACATTGCAAGAAGCATTTCCAACATCTTTAGACTGAATACTGATAGTGAATAAGTTGTATACCTGGCACGACCTGGTGGATGCAGTAATTCCATGCGATAATAGCCGAAAGCGGGCACGGATGTTGGGCCTTTCGAATATATGAAACAGCACACCTTGGTACCTAGGGGCCCATGTTGTAGGAACCTTCAAAGACTCCGGCCTAGCCAGGCCGAGCTCAGGATTGCAGAGCCACAGCTCAGAATGGCCTAGGACGACCCGGGTCAAAAAGCGAGATACCTAGTAGGTACCCAGGTTTGGAAACGGAAAATGGACTTCAGAGAGGTCAAAAAGGTAAGCCTCATGGCTGAGTACAATGTTGTATAACGGCACCGACGCGCGAAGCTTGAAAGTGGTGACGTCCCGCGGCGGCCGAAATCAAAACACGTGCGCAATACGACTCTAATACTAAGACTTCCAGGTTCCAGAAATTTTCCCTTTTTCGAGCCGGTTGATCTTCGGCATAACTTTTCTTGCGGCACTGCACTGCCAGTGCATCTCTACATTGTGCAGCCTGGGGTTCATACCTACTCAGGTACTGAGGCACGAGCGAATATGATGCCTGATAACAACGACAAGTCAATACCGCGACAGCAAAGGTAACTTCGAGGATCTGACTTCGTGTTGGCTACCTGACTGTTTTTACGGCCTGTCAAAAATATCTCTCCAAGTACTAGATCCAATACCACAGTCCATCCACCGTTCGCAATGGCGCCCAAACCGCCCTCCAATGCCAAAACGACCAACAAGAACCTCAAGGCCAGGAAATCCGCCACTTCAGGCTCGTCGGCCGCCTCGAAATCCAAAATCGGCAAACGGCCGCCTCCGAAACAGGTCAAGACGAAACCGGGCGTGCACTCGCAAACTGCTACCGGGACCTCTTCCTCCTCGGCCGCAAAGTCGTCGAAACGGAAACAAAAGACATACACGGACAAAGAACTCAACCTACCGGCGTTGAACATGATTACGCCCGTGGGCGTGCAGAAGCCGCGCGGCAAGAAAAAGGGCAAAGTCTTTGTCGACGACAAGGAGAGTATGATGACCATCTTGGCCATGGTGAATGCCGAGAAGGAAGGGCAAATAGAGAGCAAGATGATCAAGGCCAGGCAGCTAGAGGAGATCAGAGAGGCTAGGCGCAGGGAGATGGAAAAGAAAAAGGAGAAGAAACAGGCCGAGTTGGAAGAGGTGAAAAAAGAAATAAAAAAGGGGAAGACGAAGAACAATGATAAACAGCCATCAGATTCTACCACTGTTGATAGTGGCGGATCAAAGAATGCGACGAAGCAGAAGAAACGAGTGTCTTTTGCGTGAGAAGGACCATGGTGTTTCAATTCTGGTCTTTGGATTTTATCTATATCGGGAGTCTCCCGTTCAAACAGACCATGCTGGCCATGGCCTGTTTCATCTGACCTGTCGCATCTGGTCACTCTAATCTTGGTCTATTGCCCGGGCACATGCATCTTCCTCCGCATAGGGTCAAAGACTGGCTTCAAGGGCTCTCGCTCCGACCGAGATATTTGACCCTTCAGCTGTTCAGTGTCTTCCTCCGTTCGAGAGATCGCATCTAGGTCGATCTCCCGGGCCATCTTCTGGAAGAACGGGGTTGTCTAGCGGTTGTCATATGTCAGTCGAGATGATGCTACCGACACGACTATGTGCTTTTTGAGCTGCAAACTTACCACTCTGGTAAACCATCTTTTGCTACCGAGCTCGAACCAGCTGAGATGTCCACCGCCCGGTGTGGTACAGAGAACACCATAGGGGGTCTGTTGCACCTCCTGGCGTGGAAGAGCCTCACTTGCGGTCACCTTCTAGGGTCAGCGATGGAACTCAACCAAACTGTTCAGGCTACCTACTGGGTCGTCTTCTGCGTGAATGGCAAGAAAAGGGATTCTGATCGCGAGCGCCGAGTCGATCGAGGAGGCATCACGGTAGTATGCTCCTTCAGTGGGATAGCCCCAGGTCGGCCCTTGCACGTTTCTGCGTGGATTAACAATGCGAACTCATCGCGCCGTTGGCCACTTACCGATCGAAATCTCGAAGATACTTTCCCTTCCGGACGAGGTCCACGTCAATCTTGGGGTTCTTGGACACTTGCTCAATGTGTCTACAGAAGAACGTGTTACCGTACAACTCTCCAGTGTGGGCTGGGTTATCTCACGTCTCGAATAGTCTCTTCATGCTTTTGCCCATGGTTGCGGCATAGACATTTCTGTTGAACCACGGCCTCATCAAAGCCAGGTTACTGGCTTCGAGGTCCCAGGGGTTGGACAGAATAACGGCGGCTTTCAGGGGACAATTGCTCCCTTCCTCACCGAGGTACTACAGAAGTCAGCCATTTATCAAGAAAGGCCAGGACTGGAATGCTCACATTTGTCAGAATATTAGCGCCTAATGAAAATCCGATGCCAAACAGAGGACGGTTGGGAAAGGTTTTTTGCAACCATTTCACTGTTTGTCTAATATCCCATGTTGCGCGTGCATTGTAAAGAACGCTCGAGGTGATCTTGGTCTTGGAACATCCTCGCGAAATGACCACACATGCTTCCCATCCGCCTTCCCCTACCAGAGGCTCCAGGACGTGGCGGAGATACAACTCATGGGATCCCCCACTTAGGCCGTGAAGCATGACAAGCATAGGACGGTTGTCATCGGAAGCAATGTCCTGGAATTCTTCTTCGGTGAAATACGTTGTCCGTTCTGGTAGACTGGGGTCAGACCGATTGTAGGGTGCTGTAACGAAATCGACGGCAAATTGTCCAGTGTAGAGAGGATCCTCGTGGTCGAAAAGCCGCCGCTTATAATAGATTGGCACATTTTCTCGGGTCAAGACTGTCCACATCGTTTGCAGGTGACCATTGAATAGCAGTGGATGGAGTCGACATGGCGGGACGATGGATTTGCACATGTCGGCTAATGAAACCACCCGACCATCCTTCGTCTTCAACCGGAGAGACTTTGTAGAGTGCCAGAACCTTGCATGTCCCATTCCGAAGATCCTGGCGGGTGTCGTTGCCAGAGTAGCCAGCAGAGCTACGCCGACGACGGCCGTAAGAAATGGATGGCTTTGTGCGTGTGCAACCACCAAATCAAGAGTATTCTTTTCCATATTTCTGTCCGCTTCCCACGTCTTCAATACAAGCTCATGCCATTACTGATCAGGGTGCTCGTATTTCTGCCGCTTTGAGCGGAAAATGCAAGGAAGCTATAACGTTCAATTGGACCTCAATTGACTTGTATGGGAGGTCACTCGGCCGGGAGGGCTAGTAATGGGCCGGAGAATATCGTGTGGCGCGCCAATGGCAGGCAAAGGGCAAGGGTCGTTTGTGGATTCGCGTCGACGTCAAAGCGCTTTTGTTGCAACCACTTTCAAGTTGTTTGCTTGCATTCTTAGCATTCGACGACCATCTTGAACTTGTAATGATGTGCCGAACAGGGAGCGGACATGCAGATAGTCAGTGACTCACAGGAACATGTTGCCGACCTGGCCGTTTCGACGTGAGGCGCGTGGTGAAGGGAACTTTCTCCAGAAGCGCTGAGTTGAGGCGACAACATCGACACGTTGTCTGACTGAGGCGCGTGAGGGTGTACAGTATTTCTCTGGTTGATTGATCAGTCTGGTGCAGTTTGGTATACATTGGGAGGAAGAGGCATGCGAGCTTCTCGCTATACGAGGTGATCGGACGCGTCGTTGTTAAATCTTCTACTAAGCAAGAACCGCGCACTGCAAGTGAAGCGACGAAAGTGACTCCAGCACTTGGACATTTGGAGGTTGCCTGCGTTGAGTCTCTGTCGGCCACCGGCACCATGGGTCAAAACAACTACTCTTTCAATACCTTCTATCACAATTTCCCTTCGGCTCAGCAACCTTTCCTATCGCCAACTCCTTCTCAGCCGCGACCTCTGCCTCAGACTCAACCACAGCAGCATCAGCATCAACAGCAGCGTCAACCTCAACCTCAAGCACAGCCTTACCAGACGCAGTCCTATGCACCGCAATACCCACCCAACTACGCTCAATACTACTACAACCAGAATCAGCAGTATCATTCCCAGTTCCAGCAATATCCCCAATCCTTCTACCCGCCACAGCCGCAAAATATCCAATCTACTGGGCGATCTCCTCAACCTGGCATACAGGTTGTCATTCCCGCTCATCCTTATCATTCCTCACCGCGAGAAACCCATCAGCGGCAGACTCAGCCTCCATCTACTAATTACCAAGCCCAGCCTCCTTCGGACTACCACATTCAGCCATATCCTCAATTTCAGGCTCCATCCCAACCCTTCACACAGCCTCCTCCACACAGTCAGCCGCAGCCTTCCGTCCGACGGTCGTCTGGGAACCTCCGGCAGTCCAATGTCTCTGTTGAGATCCCAAGCCCTGGCTTGCCCGTAGCTAGCTCGCGGGTGAAAGTGGAAGAGCCAGCGACCGCGGCGGAAGTAGTTATGGAAGGTGTTGCTCAGCAGAGAACTCTGCAGCAGAGCCAACCCCGTGTGTTGCAGGCCAGAGAGATGGACAAGAAAGCCAAGCGATCGGCTGCGAGCGACAATGAAGCCGCCGCTGCCGCATTGCAGCCAGACTATCCCACTCTTCTGTGCGTCCTTGCTGACGACTACCTCGAGGCAGCTCGCAAACTCACGGCTCTAAGCGAAGAATACTACAGATTAGTTGCCACTGCTTTGGGTTGTCTCGAATCCAACCTCACTAATTTCAAACTTCCTCCATTACAGGAGGCTCAGATCTCATTACGTTATGCTCAAATCCTCTATGAAGAAACGGAGAACTATGACGAAGCCGAGACAAAATTGACGAAATCGATCGACCTCTGTGAACGACACAAATTCGTCGATTTAAAATACGAGATGCATCTTTTGTTATCCAAGGTGCTCTACGAATCCAGACCCAAAGCTGCAATCAGAGAAATAGAACGAATAATTGAGGACATCGAAGCATACCGTCATACTGTATGGCTATATGTCTTTCGATTCCAACATGCCTTGCTTTCGCTAGCATCGTCTAGCCCAGGTGAAGTGCATGGGGCGGTTGTGCAGCTGGAGAAGATTGCATCGCTCGCGCGTCAAAATGGAGATAGCTCTGTTCTCGCCTTTGCTGCACTGCTTGAGGCATTGTTGCACCTATCGAGTCCGGCCCACGATGCGGTCACGGCCACGCAGATGGCCTTGGCACAAGTCCGATCATTGCAAACGAACCCTAACGTCGAGAAAATACCACAAATGACAGTCTTGATGGAATTCATTGATCTGTCGTGCAGCGTTCGGGCTGCTGATGTCGCCCAGATGGAGAAGAAGCGGAAACAGCTGCACACCGTGCTTTATGAATCCATTGATAGCCCTAACTGGCGTGGTGACGGCTTCATACGTGTGCCAGTCTCCAAACGATCTCTAGCCGGCATCCAGCTCCAAGCTGATGGACACATCGTCGAGCGGGATGGAAAGTACTTTTTAACCTTTTCATGGTTGGGAAAGGAAGAAGTCGAGGCTCTGGGATTTCTCTTCAGCGCCGACAGTTGCGCCTTCAAAAATGGGGCTGACGGGGGAAAGGCCGAGAGGTTTGCTCAAAGCGGCCTGTCAGTGCTGCGATCATGGGGTGATACGGTTCCCGTAGCGGGCTATCAACAGTCGCAAGGGACCTACTTGTTCCGTAAACTGCTGGAAGCACAATTCTTGTTCATTCTCTGCTTTATGCAATCCGCGAAAGGTCTCTGGTCAGCGGCAGCCGACACGCTTGCTCAGGCCACCAAAATTTCGGAACAGCTGGGCGACGCGTTTCCTGTCAACATGACCTATTGCCTGCTCTACTTGAAAGCAGCCATCTTACAAGGCACCGGCAACCTGCCAGCTGCGCTCGAAATCTATCAGTCTCCTACATTCAGCTTGGGCTCTTCTCGCCAGTCGCTCGGCCCCGATGCTTCCAAGACCACCACCACCACCACTCAACGAAGACCGGGCTCTACCTACTTCGCAGAATCCGACGTCAGGCGCAACTTTTGTATCCTAGCTGCCATGAACGCGGCGTTCATCGTCCACCACCCTCGCCATCCCCAACATAATCAGCTCAATTACCTGATCAAAAGCCTGGACGCCGCCGTGCAGAACTCCGGGAACAAATACATTCAAGCGCACTACTCGCTGCTCGTCTCCGTACTGTCCACTACCACCTTGACCGTCAAGCAGTACTTACGGAGTGCGATGGAGGCAGCCAAGGCAATTGGTAGCGCGCAGACGACGGCACTCGCGCTGATTTACATGCAGGAGAAGCTGTTCAAAGGCACCGTGGACGAGCAGGGCATGAAGTGCGCGAGGGCAGCGAGCCACCAAGTTAAGCGCTGGGGGGAGCCCATGTGGGCTCATGTCGCTGCCGGCCTGGAGGCGGACTCTCTCGAGGTCAACGGCCATGCCAAAGAAGCTCAAGAGAGACGAGCTGAGGCAGAGTCCGGGTGGGATTCTTTGCCTGAAAAGGTCAGGGCATCCGCGACTGGTTGATTATGGCAAAACAAACCCAACAAATGGTGGTGATCACCGGCGTAGTGTGAGAGAATACAATGGTTTATGTACAATGAAGCGTCAGGGTAGACCATTACAAAGGTTTGCCAACAATTCGCCCAGAAATGGACGAATCAAAATTTACTATTGACTTCTGGTATGTCCCCTATGGAGGGATGAGGGCCGTAGCAGGAGGGTAGGATAGGTTATTCATAGTCATACTCATTCAATTCGGCTGTGTCAATGGTAAAGTGGCTAGACTAACAAACAGTTGCCTGTTCAAGAGGTTGCAGGCTTCATGTTGATGTAGCTCCGAATCCTGCTCTGGGCTTGACGTAACCTTTGAAACAGAAAGAGTATCGAGGGCATGCAAACGCCCTTCATCTGTAACCGGCCGAAATCTTCGGCGTCCGAGTCTTGACTGCTAACAGGCCGGGGAAGTGAACTTCAGAACACCTCAAACACCCATGCTCTCCGGTGTTGGGGGGACGTCACGCAGTGAAAGTTTATCCTTCTTGCGATCACTGTCACGGTCCTTCTTTCCACCACTTAGAAGCTCCTTCCAGACACTTTCGTCGATAGGTGATACACCGCGCGGGGCGTCTTTTTGCTTCTGCTTTTGCACAACATTTTCAGTGTTCAAGGAGCGGTCGATTTCTTGCTCCAACCGGTCTAGGATAGACTGGCCGCCGGAAAGCTTGACGCCTCCTTCAGGTGCTGAATAAGTCTCGTGGTTGGGAGAGAACGCCCCATTGGGTTCCTCAAACTGCGGCGAGCTTAACCACAGGCCAGAAGTGTCCGGTTGACCGACACTCGGGGTTGGACTGAGCGGTTCCTGTTGCGACGATTCAAGTTGTTGCTCCTGAATGCTGCGATGGGTTTTCTGGTCCACTGTTTCGTCAACGACCCCGGGAGCCTGTCGTTTGCCGGACTGCCATTCTCGAATCAGTCTTGACACGTCGACCTGCCACTTCAATTCCTCCAGCTTCTGCTGCAACGACTCGAGGATGGCTTGCTCTTTCAGCTGCCAGTCACGGAGAGCGGGGCCACCTTCTTTCGGAGCGTTGTTCTCAAACTCGGGAACTTGGAGTAGATTGTGTGGCTGAGCAAGCGCTTTCAAGTGGCTGTCGTCCACGAGGATGGTGTTGCTCTGGTCCCACTTGCGGCCGGGTTCGGCTTTGGATTGGATGTCTTTATCGGCCCAGATCTTGTGCAGTCTCTTGTACACTTGGACCTTGTTGTTGTATTGTGCCTTGCTCAAGTCCAGCTTGTCTCGTGCCCAGACTCCTGCCATCAGCTGCCGCTGCTTGGGATGGATGAGATTGTTTACCATGGGCAGCGCATTCTCTGGTCGAGTCGAAGAATAGATCATGACAACGTGATGCTCGAAAAGATAGTCAAGCAGTTGTGTCACGCCTGGTCTGATCTTGAACTTTTTCGGGTCACTTCGCCGGTTTGGCCGGACTAGCAACGTGCCGTTGAGGTCGAGAATCACCAAAAGCTTCTGTGGAGTGGCTCTGCGTGCGGGCGGGAGTCCGGCCTTTCGCATGTACTCGGCACTAGGCTTTGGCGGAGGTGGAGATTGGTCCTCCGGGGTGGCTGTACGTGTACGACTGCGCCGAGACGCGACATTCCGTACTGGTAGAGATGTAGTCGATAGAGAAGGTGCAGGCGCATCAGGAGCTTCCACTGAAGGAAGTGGTCTGTGTGCGAGTGCGGCTGCTGCTCCTGTGCTGTATGGTGCTATCTGTTCAATCCGTCGCTGACGCAAGGAGTATCGCTTGTTCTGCTGAGACGCGTTCCTATTTACTGCCAGCTGTGCCTGTTGTACAACCTGCCTCTCATAGCTTCCATCGGAGAACCTGTGTTGTTTGTCAACTCGATATGTGGGATACCGAGCGTAGTCATGTACTGACCTCAGTGCCTGATATGGTGCGTAGTACGAAGGTGGAGCCTGTAGAGTCTGCGAAGGCTGGTACGCAGGAATAGCAGGGTTCGTAGTCAGTTGGCTCTGGCGGTGAGTGGGCTGCGGCTGATATTCAGGCATGGCCTGGCGGTACGTCGTCTGGAATCCTTGCGGATCTGTGGCTGTCTGGAGATTGCCTGCGTCGGCTCTGTACGATCTCCACGAGTCCACTAGTTTGTAAATGTCAATTCTATCCTGAGCAAAAGAACCATAACCTTCACCTTGTCGGCTCTCCATGGCATAATCTGGTAGCGAGCGCTCCGTAGCGGTTCCCTGGCGATCAGGATATCGAGGTGCGTACTGGGGGTTCTGTTGATCACCCGGCTGGGCTGCCGAAGAATATGCTCTATCCGCCTTGCCTCGACCCATGGCTGACTGAAGGCTGGGGTAGAGAGTTGATTGAGGCAGACGAAGAGAAGTAAAAGATGCAGGAGATTTGTACTGCCACTGAGAAAAGTGTTAGTTGTGAAGTGAGAAAAGCGTGAAGGTTGCGGGCGGGCAAGTCAAACTTTTGATAGATCTCTGCGACAGAGGCGGAGAACTGCCTCACATGGCACGCCGTATCTCTCCAGCGTAGCAAAGGGATCTGGGCGCGAGAAAGAGGTGTATGTTCAGATTCTGCAGCGTTGATTACGCGACTGCGAAGCAAACACTGCGAAACCACCTAGAGATAGATGTGAACTGGGACTGGAAGCGCAGGGCAAAAAGTGAGTGAGCGGACGCCTGCGCAGTGTCCGTTTCTTTTAGGCATAGCGTGGATCTCAACCTTAAGTGCATTAGACTCGCCGATCTCCCGCCATCGCTCGCCGCTTTTGCAAAAAAGTTCAAGTTGGATGTCTCTACTACTACCAAATTACACCTAGGACTGATCCTCACTTTTTCAAGGGCTTATCCTACTTCTACCCAGTTTATCTGTCTCTCAACAGCGCAATGGCTTACAGCAGCGTCCTAGATCGACCGATCCAATTGAGACATGACGATGACGACGACGAAGAGGCAGAATTGGTTTCTTCCGACCAAGATATAAGCGACAGTGATCAATCACAAGAGAGCGAATCCGCTGAAAGCGACTCGCAATCCGAGCACGAGGTACTATTCCTGGACTCTCGTGTCTATCGTTCGCGCTGACACTTCATAGGATGCCGAAGATCCCAGCTCGTCAGAAGAAGATGTCGACTTAAACAACATCAGCTTCGGTGCGCTAGCGAAAGCGCAGGAGACCTTTAAGCCCAAGGAAAGAAAACGCAAATTGGGCGAAGCGCTTGAGCAGGCGGGAACGAACAAAGAGAAGGTCAATGAGGAGAACACATTCAGCACTCGTCGACGCGCCAAGGAGCCTCGCATCGATGCGCCGAAGCGAACATCGAAACATGCACCGGCTGTAGAGTCGGCTCGGAAACCTGTTTCCAGAAAAAGAACAATTTTCGAGCCACCGCCTACAGAAAAGTTCCGAGATCCCCGCTTCGATCCTGCCGTCATGTCGGCGAACCGGGACAGAAACGCCGTGGAGAAGGCCAACAAGAACTACTCTTTCCTCACGACCTATCAAGCCGCGGAAATCCTCGAACTGAAAAACCAGATCAAGAAGACTAAAGATCCTGAAGTGGTTGCCGACCTGAAGCGACAAGTCATGTCGATCGAGTCGAAGCTGAGGAACGCCGAAGCTAGACAACGCGAGAACGAAATACGAAGAAAACACAAGCAGCAAGAGAAGGAAGCCTTACGGACGGGACAAAAGGCCAAACCATATTACTTGAAGGAGGCGGATGTGAAGAAATTGGCCAAGCAGGAGAGACTGGAGAGTATGAGCAAGCGGGCGCGTGAAAAGGCCGAAAAGAGACGGCAGAAGAGAGAAAAGGGGAAAGATGCGAAAGATATGCCTCGCGTAAGACGAGAAGGATGAAGCCAGGAGAATGGCAAGGAAGAAGGGAACTAGCCATACAAATCTATCGGCAGCGGCCATCAAATCATCGATGGTCATGGCTGCATAGTCATATCGACAACAAGTTTCCCGCCTACTCCACGATGATAATCGTCGACCAAGTCGTTGAGTCTTTCCAAAGGATAGGTCCTGATCTTGGCTCTGACACCATTCTTCGCAGCAAAGTCCACCATGGCTTGCAACTGATGGTTGCGTCCTGTCAAGACACCCAGCAGTTTGATATGTCGAAAGACCAGATCACCGGGCTTAAACCGCCAGCCATCCTTGGGGAAACTGACACAGACGCATGTGCCGTGATTCCTGATGATGGCCATGCCAAAATCAAAGGCGGCCTGCGACTCTGGCAGGATAAGGGAAGCATCACACCCTTTCTCTCCTTCGCGGCCTGGACTTGCCTCTCCGAAGACACGTCTTTTGACGTTCTCGACCGTCTCCTTCAACGCATCTACGGGGGTGACATTTTGACCGTCTTCACCCAATCCCTCAATCACCTCTTTCAACATGCCCATCGCAGGCGTCGTGTCGACCGCGAGAACATGCCAACCCAATTTCGCGGCAAATTGCACCCCCAGGTGTCCCAGCCCGCCTCCAGCCCCGAGGATTGCAATGGATTTACGTTTCCCGTCGCCTCCACCATGCGCTCCATTTTGAAGATCCGAAGCAGTGACATCGACTCCCGCCGTCTCTAGTGCATTCCACACAGTGACACCAGCACACATCAGCGGCGCGACATCGACAGGCCGCATGGACGCTTCAGGCACGCGTGCAACCTGCCTGATGTCCACCAGACAACACTCCTGAAACCCACCGTCACGAGACAAGCCTAGGTTGCCCGCCCGGGGACACCAGACACCATACCCAGGCTCATCACCCCCGTTGTCCGTACACTCGGCGCACTCTCCACAGCAGCTGAATGCACGACCGGGAACACCCACCAGCTGATATAGTGTGATCCCTTTTGCTTTGCCGAACCTTTCGGCCTTGTCACCCATGGCTATCACGACGCCGGCGAACTCGTGGGATCCCACGCGGGGGAGGTCCTGTTGCATCGCGCCACAGGCGAATACCGCATCGGTATGGCAGTAGGATGCGGCTTCCACGCGGACCAGCATTTCGTAGCCTTCCGGTGCGCGTGGGAGTGGGAAGTCGGTCCGGAATGTGTAAGGTTGGTTGAACGCTTCGAGTACTTGAGCCCGCATTTTAACCTGTGATGATGATGATGATCCTTGAACTTCTTGTTGCTGCAAGATCGTTGATAGAGGCGAGAACTGCGCCGGTGGCACTTTCGTGGATGGTGGCGGTGATAGTGGTAGCGGTGCAAGAGATCCTGTTCCGCAGACCAAGCAACGTCGTCCTCCTAGACTCGTAGTCGTTTTTGGCGATGGTGGTAGTAGTAGCGCGTGTCCTACTAGTAGCCGTCGTAATGCCAGTTTTAGAAGGATATCGCGCTTCCTTTCCTCCTTGCCTTCTTTCTTGATGCGGTTGCTGCTGCCCTCGAGTCTTCTTGAACTGACAATCCCCCGGCTTCTGATTTCCCAGATAGCGATTCAACTCTGGCTGCTTTTAATATACCTACAGTGTCTGCTTTATGAGGATCGAGGCGAACTGCACCGAATTGATATGGATTGATTCGAATTGAGTCGAACGGGGTTCGTCTTTCCCAAGTCTGTGTCAGAGTTATGGTCTTTTACATGTGCCTAGTACTCAGCTCCTCATGCGTTTTCGATCACAAGTAATTAGATAGACGACCGCCTTGTGGGATAGTAGTGAATCAAGCAGGTGAGTTTTTGTTGCTGCTATATATTTCCCCAATCACCGGCCCCTCTGGCCCCAATACGAGAATGGCTGAGCCCGAGTCTTTCTCTTTTCCTCCGCTCCAGTGCTCCACAGAACCATGTGCAGTGTGAGTGGGTGGGTTGTTCAGCCTCGTTGTGGGGTTCCCGGCAAATGTTGGAGAAAAGTACAAAAAGTTGTTGGAGACGACAAGGCTGGACAAGGCTGGCGCTATACAATGTATATACTAGTATCTCACAATATGTATGTCTATTTTATCATCACCTAGGTAGGTACGACGTTTCTTATTAGTGGTACTACATTGTATAATCCTAATGACTACGCACCTAGGTAAATAGGTACATCGCCCTCTTCTCCTACTGGACCCACCGATACTAGTAATGGTTTGATCAAATCCAACAACTTCCGTAATCATCGACCCGTTTTGCAAGCGACATAGGACACCAACATCGCAATAGCAGTGCCTTAGGTAGGTATACTGCAGAGCTATCATCCTGGAGTTATAGCCTTTCATTCCTTACCAACTATGCTACCTTTTTCTCGTCCCGCGCAGCAGACCGGTACGTGCCACTCACTTCCTGGTGGCGATCAAAAGAAAAACAGAACAAAAAACATGGAGATCCAGCCCAGCCAGTCCTGTTGGTCATTACTCCCTGGTTACCGTGCTTGAAAGTCCCACGACCAAGAAAAGTCGGCAACAAATCATTCAATCAATCGACATCACTCCGCCCACCGTGCCCCCGAAAAGACATTCATTTCATCCAAAAACATTTCCCACCTCAGCTCGAGGTGAGAAGCAGTCGCCTTCATTAGACCCGTGCGCATCCAATCCGCGCGGTTAGAATCGTTGACACATCGAGATCCATATAGATCATACTCTGCCATTCGCACCAGCTGCAAAACCTAAGAGTGGAACAGATCCCAAGCCCGCGAACACAAACTCAAGAATTCCTCCTTTTTCGCTTTCTGCGTAGCCGGACTATCCCTGCCTTCGCCAAAAGGCCCATGTCCATTATAAGGAATCCGTTCCCGTCCGCTGCCCAAGGGCGGGCTGCTTCCTTCCTCGTACTCATTCCTTCTCCTCTTGCTGGTGGGATAATTGTTAGGCTGATATTGATGTGGGTTAAGATTATGTTCTTTATGAGCAGAGTGAGGCGAGGGTGGAGTTGGCGGTTGGTGGCCTCCATAGTGGACAAGCTTGGGCAATAACTCCTCTCGCCCACCAGTCATCTCATGCACAGCCTCTTCGGCCGATCTATATTCACGAGACCGATCAAAAGGTGGCGGTGCAGGTTGTGACATAGGATGAGCAGTCTGAGGTGGGAATCCAGGAGATGGCAGAGGTGGCCCGTGGGCGTGAGAAGGGGCCGAGTTCGTATGTTGGAAAGGCGGCCGAGCGGGGCCTGGGTTGAGTTCACTGGCACCAAAAACGTCGGTGATGGGAGGAAGGCGGTTGTTAGTCTGGATCGCCGGAACATGATGTATATGTGAACTCTGAGACAAGTTGGACTGTTGATTATTCACATGTCGTGATGGGGGTTGAGCTTCATGTCGACCAGTGAAGGTCTGGTTCAACGGTGCTGATTGGATGACCCGTTCATTGGCAAAGCGCTCCGCGGGAGGCGGGACAATCGATAAACCTGGAGGGGGTCGTTTCTTCGCATGGGCTGAAGTGGTGGACTTGGTTGCCGAAGTGGCCGGCTCGAGCGCTTTTCCAGAATCGGGTCCGTCGCCGCGGGCAGATTTCAGTAGTCTTGCCTGGATGATGGATCGTTGTTGATCCCGAACCGAAATACTGCGCTCCAGTTGCTCTCTCATAGCAGGATCTTCCGTTTGAAAGCCTGGCGACAAGCAGGCCAAGCCAACATCACGCATTACCAAACCGTCTCTTGCGGTCAATGGTGTCGCTGAGGGGCGAGAGTTAACACCCGCCGAAAAAGCCGCAGTGTTTGTGTTCAAATCTAACTTTTTAGGTCTATGCCGAGTGCTGGCTTGAAGCGAGGGTGACGAAGGAGGCTCCTTCTTGACAATGATCTTGGGATTGCCCGAACTCCTGACTCTGGCGTTATGACAAACAGGTTAGCTGTCATGATCTTGATACCTGGTGGCATGTTAGAAGGGCTGACTTACGATTTCGGAGACTTTTTCCCATCCGAAGGGGTTTTCTCGCTCGCATTATTTGGGCCAGCCGTCTCTGGAGGCGACGCAGCCACGTCGGAAGGCCTCTCCTTCGCAGGCGCACTGGCAGAGGCAGTAGGCGCCAAAGAAGGATAACTTCGCGGACTCGGATTTCGGTCAAGGGGCGGCAGCGGAGGGACCGCAGCAGATGCTACAGCGGTAGACATGACAGTGGATGTTGTCGTTCTCGATGACGAGTGCACTGTAAGGGACGACGCCGGTTGATGTCGCACACACGGAGGGTCCACAAGGTATTCAACCTGCTCTTATTCTTGACAACAGTGACACGGCTCACTTCCCACTTGATTGAAGCCGATTGCAGAGTGGTGCCGGTGGAAGAGAGCAAGTCGACCAAACGAATGGCGGCTGGCTAGCACGGCAGCGGCAGCGCTTGAGTAGAGTGATCTGGTTCGGAGCGAGCGAGGGAGAGAAGCGACGCAGAGGCTAGGCGCCTGTGAAGGGCGGGAAGCAAATGTAGTCGATAGCACGGGATGTGAGAGCAAAGAGCGGCTAGGTCGTCCTTTGAGGGCCGGCCTGGTATTGACTGGACTTTTGTCTCCTGTCCGAGGGAGAAGAGGACCAAGGAGAAAAGGCGGGCGGGAAGTGTGGCAGAGACGGAGAGACGAGACAGCCAGGAGTCGAGAATTGGCAGCTGGAACAAATGAATGAATCGAACCAGATCCGGGTCACGGGGGGTGTCAGCAGAGGAGGGAGGAGGAGGAGGGACTGGAAATGGCGCTCTAACAGTTGAACAGTCGTAGTGGACACTGCACAGACACACTGGCAGACACAGATGCAAGACACACCAGAGACTAAACTCCCGGAAGACTGGGGCGTCCGTTTGGGCCGTTTGAGGTGCGCAGTTAGTGAGCGGGTGGCTTTCGTCGTTGGCAAAACCAGACCTTCCTGACCCAGACCCAGGCCCTCGATGCCCGTTGGGCCCTGCAAACTGCCTCAGGTTCATGCCTAGAAGGCCCAAAGGGGTTTGTCCAGCAGCGCAGTGCTCCAGTCAGAGCTTGCCCCTCGGCTGCCACGGCCTTCCCTAAGCCTGTTTAGGGGTGCAGCCAGACTCTCAACAGGGGTCTCAGCGCCCATTTCGCAGCCACTACTAGTCCAGGAGTCTGTCAGGATGACCGACCTCACGAAGTTTAGCTGGGGCAGACTGTGTCCCTGTCTGGCTCTGACTGAGTTTCGAGCTGCCATTGACCCCAGGGGGTGTGCGCCACCCGCCATACACTCTTCAACGTCCACTCACGTTGGACCCGAAGCGAGGGTTCGCGATAGTCCCAATTGGCGCTTGTTACGACTATGTTCGAGTTGTAGGGAGGAGGGAATGTAGCACTTAGGTGGTGACGGGGTGGTGGAAGGCAAGAGTTACAAGCGAACTGCCTGAAGTGATCGTAGTACCACTGTACAATGTATTTTGCACCAGACCACACGTGGCTTTGCAGTGTTCCTTACGACTGTCGTTTCGAAGTTCGATAGTCTGGCTGTTAGTAGCATCGTTGCATCAAGGTGAAGTGCATCTTGAGACTACGCTGTCAACTAGGGCATTTGCTAGTTTCAATGCTGGACACATGCAGTGATGTAACTCATGCTCGACACCAGCCTGAGCCTCCGGCTGCGACAGTGGCGGTTGCAGTCGCTTAGATCCATGCCCGTGTCGACAAATGAAGAATCTGTCAAACGTTAGCCGTGGTATAAGCCCCGAGCCCTCCACCACCTTTGCTTCTCTCACGCAACTGGTGCGGCGGATCCTGTTTCAGGTCTCGCCCAGCGCAGCCAAGCCGGCGCTTGGGTTCAGCTGCTGTCACCCCATCACCACCCGCCTCTCTCTCCATGACACTCAGCTCCGACAACAAGAAGAGAATCGTACTAAGACACATTCGTGCAATCCTCAGTCATGCTCAAATACTATGGTCAGATCGTACCAGTTCTGTGTCGCCGTCGCTGTGCCATGCCAGTGGCTGTGTTGATTCTCCTTCAGAGCCTTTAAAGCCTCAGGTTGCTTCGATTGAAAGCAGCCCGCTTCACAATCTCCCGTGGGCATCCCTCCTCGTTTCGTGTCATTCGACGTGAACACTTCGACTCTTTGCCCGAAGCGACGCAGAATCCACCGTCAAGGTGACAATTGTCGGGCAGGTAGGATCAAAACACATCGGGGACCCCATTGCTCGGACTCAGCAGCAATAATAGCAATCAACTCAGCCTCCTACGACAGCTACTCGCAATGCATCATTGTGACATATCATTGCAGCCTGAAACGTCGTCTTGTTTCGCTTGATTGATGACTTGAGTGCGCATTTGATGAATCTTCAGCTTGGACAGTAATATGCCTGTCTGGGGTCTGTTTAGTGGCACTGATACTGTACAGTACTAGGCCTTGACCACTGGCATCCCGCAAGGTTGCAAAGCTTGTGCAACATCGACAAGCGAGGTTGCGCAGAGCTGCACGGCGATACATGGCCCAGCGAATAGTCCCGACATGGTATAACTTCCACGCATACTGCGCAAGAGGGCTCCAGACCTCGCAACAAGCCATGGCTGGTCGAACTGTAATTGAGACGCAGACGTCAGAGATACAGTTGAGTTTCGGCGTGAGGTGTTGCCAGACTATCGCGCCAACTTGAAGAGCTCCAATCTCCCATTTTTTCTCTGGGACCCCAAGCGAGTTCGAAGGATCCATGCCCAGCAAGAAAACTGCCAGAGATGCCGATGATGTGCATTTGCTCTGAACGCCTGATCGGCGGCTCCATCGGCTACTAGTATGGCGATGTGCGAAAATTGTACTTTCCCGATCCATGACCCTGTCTTAAATCCCATCATCTCGCTTGTGTAACCAAGCGAGCCTCCCACCATCGGGAGATCTAGCACGTAGCTCCAGCATCTCGCACCCGGCAATTCAATCGTCAAGGTCCAAACCAAAATCCAGACGGAGTGTTTAGTGCCACAACTGAATCAGTATGGAGTGCGCGAATACCCTGTCTAGGGACCGCCTACCTCCCGTATGCGCCAGCGCCTTGCAGCCCGTTGTCAAGAAGGAAGAAGCAATGCAGAATGTAGAGTCCCGTCATGCGAATTGTTGAGTGATTAGTTCCACAATAATGAGACAGGCAACGCGGTGACAGTCCAAAGGAAGATCGAGGAGGAAAAGGTAGGAATAATAAAACACGCTGCCGATGGGGACTTCTAAAGATTGCAGTCGTTGGCGCCACACTGCACCGGCGGTCGACGAGCGCCATTTTGACTTGTCTGACAGTCCAGGGTCTATGATGTTCTGCCTTAAAGGCCTGCATCGAAGATTTATTTCTGGGTCTGACATTTCACTATTATTTGTCTCTGAGCTAAGCCACTCCGGGAAAGGCTTGATATCTGCAAATCCGTCGCCGTGAAAAACGATTTGAAAGTATTGCCGCTGGCATTATAAGGCGCGCCTTGGTACAATTCTCTGGTATTCCGTTACAGCGGGAAAAATGTCTGCTAGTCCAGAGGATACTACGATGAACGAGGAGGAAAATTATGACCACGGAGAAGATCTGCTTCTTGGTGGAGCAAAGAAACTGGTAGTAGTAAGTCTATTGCGGCGCAAAATCTCTCAAACGATCCGACTCCACGGTTTTGGGAAATATCATGATGTCGATGCTGACGGCCTGACTCTGCAGCTGCCGGGCGCATCTTCGCATGCGGCATCATTCCAGATCGAGAAAGAAGACCACACGCTCGGGAACGCGCTACGGTATTTTGTCACCAAAAAGTAAGTTCTACCATGAAAGGCGAGCCGCGGGCGGGACTAACAGTCTACAGTCCGGACGTTGAATTCTGTGGATACACCATCCCTCATCCCTCGGAAACCAAGATGCACCTCCGGATCCAAACATGGGGTAAGTAAACCGTACAGACGAATTTCCTCGTTGAGCCAGACTGCTCCATTGTGCTGAACAAGACTAACAAAAAAGCAGAAGATACCAAGACAACGGCAGTGGATGCCCTCAGAAAGGGCCTTGAGGATATGATGGAAGCCTGTGACGTGGTCTCAGAAAAATTCACCGAGGCACGAGACGAATTCAATGCCCGTCCCTCGTGAAGTGCAGTGGTTTTTGCATCAATTCTCGTTTGTAGGCTGCATCGCGAAGGCGTTTGGGAGTCTTGCTTCTAGCTATGTACAGACAGTGTTGGATTCAGATTAGACGGATTGAAGCCAGTCAATTCCGGCCCTGCCAAAGTGTGTTAGTCATGGTTGTCTAGTAGTATTGCAACAACTCGTTGCATCCAAATAGGCAACGCACCTCGAGGAATCCACTGATAAAGTTTCTCGGTAACCTGGCGTTGTCATCTTCCTCTGCTCGGAAGTATTTCATAACATGCGACTGTTGCTTCCAGAAATTCATCATCTCCTATGAACGAGGACGCCCTCTGATTTAGCAATGTTCCGTCCCCTCCCAGGTCCCTGTAGCCACTCACTTGAAACTCGGCGTGACTATGCGTAATGAGCACATCCACCGCTTGTAGATGGTTGACATATCTGTGTTTCTCGAATTCCTGTCTCATTTTCGTGCGGATCTTGGAGACCGGCATGTTTAGGGAGTACATCGACTGGATTTCAGGGCCCTGTGTATTATTTCTCAGCTTCTGCCGGCCTGCCACGGTAACAAAACATTGATAGCGCATACAGCTCTCAGCCATTCTCGGTAGGACTTCAGGACTCGACGGCGCGCATCCGCCCAATTGATGGCTGTGGATTGGTCAGTAAACCTCGAAGCAACTTCTTGGCCAGAGCCGAGGGCCAAACAAAACGTACAGGACCGCGTCCGCTGGGCTAGGTATGTCGGATTGATGGTCATCGTGCCGGAATCGCAGCTCACATGAGAGCCTGAAGAGCGTAGAGGACTGGAGGGAAAGGAAACCGCAGTTGGTGGTCGTGAGTGATGTCGAACCTGGCTCGGAGGTCTAAAGTTGAAGAGTGGAGCTGAGAGCTCGGCCGATTTGCAGCCACTCACAGAATTCCTAGATCAGATTCCTCGTTGTCCACCGCCCGCCCTAATGCTGTTGCAGCGGAGCAAGCATCGATTCTGCCGCAAAATGTTTTGCCATTTTCGCTTGTGTCATCATCATCCATAGGACGGGATTTTGAAAGCAATATAGGATCACCCCCAATCTAGGAACCAGTGGTATCAGGACACTCCTGGCCGACTTTTCGCAAGGGCAAAGACCACCACGGAAATAATATGGGATCAATTGAGCGTACTTCGCCGGCCTCGCTGCCACGGCGTACCCATACCCTGTCGCGCATCACCAACGAGACGAAAATCCAGGTGTCTATTTCGCTCGACGGAGGCTCATTACTCGCATATGAAGAGTCGCAACATTTTCCTTCTTCGATTTCACCGTCCCAAAAACAAAAGTACCCGGACGTTCTCGTGCCGTTGCCCACTTCACATCATGCAACCCAGATCACGCCTACACAACAAATCGCCATATCTACTGGCATCGGCTTTCTCGACCACATGCTCCACGCCCTGGCAAAACACGCGGGATGGTCGCTGGCCATCCGGGCGACGGGTGACTTGATGATTGATGACCACCATACCGCTGAAGACACCTTCCTGGCGGTTGGGTCAGCGTTCAACGCCGCCCTGGGCAAGCGGACCTCTCTTGTTCGATTCGGGCGGGGCGATGCCCCTCTCGACGAAGCCCTGTCGTGGGCGGTCATTGACCTGTCTAATCGACCCTACAGTGTCATCGATTTCGGCTTCACCAGAGAAAAGATTGGCGATCTCAGCACGGAAATGCTGACCCATGGACTGGAGAGCTTTGCCCAGGCTGCAAGCGTTACTCTTCATGTCAAGTGTGTCTATGGCCACAATAACCACCACAGAGCAGAGAGCGCTTTTAAAGCACTTGCTGTGGCATGCAGACAGGCATCCGAGCGGAGGGTTGAAGGGGCTGTCGGCAGCGGGGATGTGACGAGTACGAAAGGTGTCCTTGGTTCTAGTGTCAACGGTTGAGGAGGCTTTGCAGAATTTTTGTACAGACGCAATTGGGCAAAGACTGAATGAGAGGTCCTTGAAATGTTACTTCAACATACTCTGCAACCACAGACAAGTCGGCCATCATCAATCGGTAGGTATTGCTGACGGTACCGGCAGTGTCTTCAGTATAAATATCAAAGTCTTGCATATTGAATAAAAGTGCCAAAAGCCCGCCCAGACGCCACAAATAGTACGCCTTTACATGCATGGCCTGTCGGCCAACACAATACCTCCCTGTGGTGTTTGATCATATCCGCGAATGCATTAGGTGGACAAGCTCGTTGCCCCAAAAACCCATGCCGAGTCCGTCACCCTAGGCCGCCCCAAGCTCCTCTCAGTCTCCGAGCTAACTGTATGTCCTTTTGCATGATCGTGACGCGTTTTGCGTGTATTGCGCATAAGTTTGTGTCTTCAAACAGGTGTACTAAGAATGCTTCACTGGCCTCCTGCAGTGCCTGTATCGCTTGACTCTGCCACCTCAGTTCCGCCGCCGCTTGCGCCGGTAATAAATACTGCGCAATCTCCCGAACCAGACGCGCAAAAGGGAGTTTGAGTAGAAGAAGGTCTGTGGACTGTTGGTATCTCCTGATCTCTCTCAAAGCAATCGTGCCTGGCTTGAAGCGGTGGGGTTTCCTCATCGGTACGGGGTCGCCAGCTGGACGGTAGTTAATAAATGACAGGCTGGGATCATAATAGCCAACACTTACGCTGCGCGCGAGTGCGTCTGCCGGAACTTCTGGGGGATTGTTGTGTTCGTATGCCTTGTCCTCGCTTGGGCGTCGCCGGCCCCGAACGGCGACGTACACTTTTGGTCTGGGCCATGGTAGTCGATATAATGTGCTCAGATGATCCAATCTTGATTGACCGAGGATGGAAGACGTGGAACAAAGGCCGCCAAGTCGATCTAGATAGCGGGTGATGTTCGAGGAGGGGTGTAAGTCTGGTGGCTGGGTCTGCGCCAACCAGGTACTAACGGTATGTTTGTCGGTGGGAGGCTTTGCGCATAGCACAATCGACCGTGGGATGGTATGGGCGGGTAGTCAGCCTTGAGAAGTTCAGGTCGTGATATCCTGCAGCGGATCGTCGTTAAGCATAGCAGGACATTTATCTCATCAAAAGTAGTAGTGTAGCGAGTCGCGTTGTTTTAACGGCGCGTCTTTGATGGGCCTGCAGTAATTACCTGGTGACTTGCTAAATACTAGTAGGGCATTCCCCGCCAAACGTCTGCTTAGAGCGGCGACATACCGACAGCGCCCCGAGGCCCGTGGGCACTGCCTGTTATCGGCTACGGGTGTAGTCTTGCGCCGTCCAGCCTGCGTTCGACCTCATTCCATCCCCAGCTCGTGCCATGTACCACGGTACAGGCCACCTACTCCAAGTGCAAGTGCCTTCCTCAATCCTGCATTCAAGCTGTACATGAACCTCTCGTTCCCTGTACTGTCACCCATACCGCCGCCTGACAAGTACGGCGATGACTACTCCGACCTGCGGTCTCCGATACTGACTCAATCCCTCCTCCGCCCCATTTATACCACCGTCCAGAACCCTGACTTCTTCTCTGATCTCACACGGACAATCTTACCCTTGTTGCGCCTCGTGCCTTGGACAATGGCAGCGGCACTGGGGGATGGCATGGATCCCTTAGGACAATTGGGCCAGTTTCCGCTTGAACAATGGTTCTTTGAGATGCCGCCATGTACACGATACTGGACGACTGCCACTGTTATTACGTCGGTTCTGCTGCAATGCAAAGTCATCACCCCATTCCAACTGTTCTATTCATTCCCAGCCGTCTATTACAAATCACAGGTGAGCCGTACTGGAGTCGAGGTCTGTGATCTCATGCTAACAATCACAGTATTGGCGATTGTTCACGACGTTCATCTACTTCGGGCCGCCCTCCCTTGACCTCGCCTTCCACATCTTCTTCCTTCAGCGGTATTCAAGATTGTTGGAACAAGGCTCCGGTCCGTCCCCAGCCGTCTTCTCCTGGCTGCTTCTGTATGCGTGTACATCGCTCCTCATCCTCAGCTCCCTCACCACCTCCATCCCATTCTTGGGTTCGGCCCTCTCCAGTACCTTGGTATACATTTGGTCACGACGGAACCCAGACACACGACTCAGTTTCATCGGCGTCCTGGTATTTACTGCACCGTATCTACCATGGGTGTTGATGGCGTTTCACATGTTCATGCATGGCAGCATCCCGAAGGACGAAATCCTGGGTGTCATCGTGGGGCACGTGTATTATTTCTTCGCAGATGTTTGGCCCGGCCTCCACGACGGCCAGCGTCCATTGGACCCTCCTGAGTTCTGGGTACGACTGTGGGAGGGCCGGCGAGGAGGAACGGGCGTGCGTAACATTGATGAAGATGTGGCTGCCGCTGCTGCACGGCCCGGCGAGGTACGATGAGACGAACAGTGTAAGGTCTAGCATCAACATTATCTAGACCTGCACGCTACAATAAAGTCATTTCATTCCAACAATGCTATGATGATAATCGATTCATGCGTTCCCCGAGTACAATCAGATTGCTAAGAGAGTCTGTCAATTGGGCTCGTAATTTCGGAACTTCGGCAGGACTTCAAACTCGTCTCAAGTCGACAGAACATGTTCACTCCAGCAACTAAAGAGCTCAATCATATCAAAACACTGCCAATGCTTGTACATGACACTTTGCAAGCAGAACTTCAAGCTACTACAGAACATTAATCAACCATCAGATTGATCCAGATCAGGGCAGGCCACGTCGATGGCTATACCACCGAGACAAACGTGTGACATGCCGCCTACGCAAACTGCGATGTCGAGTGCCCATTGATGCAGCAATGGCTGAGCCTCTCTCGCGGCTGCTCTTTTTCACCCAGGCCAGATCTGACAGGTCAGGGAGATCCGACCAATCGCCACCAGTGTACGGTGGCAAAAGAGCTGGTATCTGGGATCAGCGTCTATCGGTTGGTTTCTGGGATAAGACGACTCCCATTGGTGTACGGTGCGGAAGGGGCGGGTGTTTACAGTGACCCGAAGTCAGGGCAACGGATGCGTTGCCTGGTGAGAAAACTAGCATACTTTTGCCGTGTTCCAAGATCAGCGCTCCAAATGCCGGATAGCCAATGACGCCTAATGCTACTGAAATGGTAGTATCATCCGCATAGGACAGGTGTCCTCGGCATGCAAGCCTACGATGAGGCTGCACTGCAGAAAGAATATATCACGCATCGACATCGCACTTGGCCAGCAACAGCAGTCATGCGTATGAAGAGCACTTTTGGAAAAACTTTGGAATTCATGGGACCGCAAGATTGTGAGGCGCAGAGGTTCTGTAGCTTGTCGCCCTCATTTGTTGACTGAACACATCCCCGTGGAAGGCGATTGCATGGACCGGGCTGCGACTCGGCGGGTGGCCCACTCTTCCCCACAGTGCACCTACATAGTCAACGATTGGCTGAGTCAGCTGGGACAGCCTTGCTTCCAACGGAGCCTTGCCGATCGCCTGAGCGTCTTTCAACATCATCCAATGCCAACGCATTTCAACAACCACGCAATGAGGCAATTACATGGACTTGGAGGGGAGAGGTTGCTCTCTAATATATCTCTGGATGGTCTGCAAGGTGCACTTGTTCACAATCTCCTTGTTGTCACCAGGATGGGCTGCAGTGGCTTTCTCGATGACAGCCTCAATGGTTCAGTTCATACCTTATCCACAAACTGGACACTGTGTCGTGCAATTGCTGTCTCGGCAGTGGATAAGTTGGGCGGTTGCCGTTGGGTGCAACCATTCGTCATATATCTGGCTTCTTTTTTGCCTTTTTGGGATCCTATGGTTACCAAAGCCAAAACCACTCGCATGGCCACTATTCTGATGTTTTGCTATCTGACTTTCAATGATCGTCCATTTCCAAACTGTGTTGTCCAGCCTCTCTTCTGAGAAGTCAATTCTGCTGTCAAGATCACGGTCTGACGGTAGCTTTTTTGTTTATATATACACCCTCCTCTCTCCCATTTCTTTTCTTTCCTCCATCTCTTCTTCATATCACTCTCTCCTCTCTCACACACACTCTCTTCCTTTCCTTTCCCCCATCTATGCTTCATTTCATCTGATTCTCACTTCACCTGCTGCCTATCAGCGAGCCTAGCTCTGGTGGCAGACATTTCGTCTATAAAGACCTTCCCTCCCTGCCTCTCTTCTCTTCTTTCCTCCATCCTTCCTTCTCATCTCTCTTCTCTCCTACTACCGCTTCTTCCACTGCTACTTCTTGTCCCCCAAGCCCTGCCGTCTTCTTCTCCCTTGACCACTCTCACCACTAGGACCATTAGTATAGAAATCTACTTCCATTGCTTCCACCACTCTTCTTCCTCCTCCTTCTCTTCTTTTCACTTTCTTACTATTTCCTGCCTTCTCTCCTACCTTGTTGACCTCGTCAGGCTTTTTTGCTCATTCCAGCAAAACCCTGGGAAGTTTGCCTCTCCCGGTATCTGCTTCATGTGCTTGTACTGACCGTGTTACAGGATCTCTTGCTCAGTTAGCAAAACGCTGGGAAGTCACCCTCTTCCTGTCTCTGATTCATGTGCTTGTGCTGACCTTCTTGCAGGATTCCTTGCTCAGTTTGCAAAACCTGGGAAGTCCCGCTCTCCGTGTATTTATTCGTGTGATTTCACTGACATTCTCGCAGGCTCCAACTTGATCTCGCCGCTGATCTCCCTATGGATCTTGCCACAGATCTAGCCAGCCGCCTTCTGGCTCCCTATCCCTCCTTATCCCCTGCTTACCCCTGCCTTGCCCTGCCTTTCCCCATTGTGTCTCACTGACTGCTCCCCTCCCAAAAGCCCAGCTATTCATTCAGGTAAGTGGCCTCCCGTCCAGCACAGTCGGCGCCGGGAGCTGGCAGCCACTTGCAGGGGCGGCCCCGGGTCAAGGACTCCGGGGGTAGGAGTGACTTGGGGGACAAGCCTCCCGGGGCGGGCACGGTGCGGGGGCTGTGGGATTGTAGGAGCTGGTCCTGCGCCCGGAGGACCACGGCCAGGGGAGTGCCGTTGAGGGGGAGAGAGGTCAGCGGCACTGGCTCTGCGCCAGTTGAGCAGGAGGTCTGCAGTCCTGACTCGAGGCTCTCCGCTGGTCGGATGCCCTGGGCTGGGGTAGCTGTGGCCGTCTCCTGGCGCATCTAGTGAAGCTGGCCCCTCTGGTCCCTCTTCCTCACTCTCCTGTTAACGTGGACTCTGCGTGGCTCAGCACCGAGCTCCTCTCCCACTTCTCCCCAATCCGTGGCTCATCCCTGGGTCGCTCGTTTCCCATGCTCACTCTTCTCCTGGTCTCCTTTGCCCAGGGCTTCCCCTTCAGTGGTTGTTCGGTATAACGGCGCTGTTCTGCTGCTGGCGGCGGCCTCTTACTTGGATGGAAGGTCGGGCTTGGGGAGGACAGAAGTCACTGAGTACCTGTCCCGCGGCTTGTTGTATTCCCCCTTGTTTTGTTTTGCCGCTTGTTGCTTGTCCCCCACTGCACTGCAAGTTTTTATTGTTGTTATCCCTCAGAAATCACATATTCTTATCCCCTCATGTATCCTTGTTGCTGTTGTTGCCATCCCCCCTGTTTTATTATTCTTATTCTCATGTACCATTATTCTTATCCCCTCATGTATCCCTCTCACCCCTCCGCTGCCCTGTGTGCTTTGCTTCCCTTCTCTCATCACGTCGCTGCCGCCATCTCTCTACCCTACTACTCATCTCCGCCGCCCGAGGCTCCCCTTCTCTGCCCTGCACTCTTCCCCTCTCCCTTCCCCTGCCCTGCCCCCCGTTCTGCGATGGTTCCCACCTTCTCGTGGTGCAGAATGTCAGTACTTTGTCTCTTCCTCGTGGAGAGCAAAGGAAGCCAAGAGGAACCGCAGACTTGTCATGTCTACCTTGTTCAGGAACACATAATTGATGTTCCAATACGACTCCATCCTTCTCGTTGTCCATCCTTCCATTCGCCAGTTGTGATGTCCTAATCTCTGCACCCTCTCTCCCCCAATACCATCTTATGCCTATCATCCATCGATTTTCCATATTCATCTTATCAGAGGCCATTCCCTGCCTTTGTGTTCTTAGCTTGTGGCACGGGCCCGATGACTACCTAGGCATCGGAAAAGTCACTGAGGGGAGCAGAGAAAACAAGGCCACTTTCGTTGTTGCTGTTGCTAGTGTTTTTGCTGGTGTTTTTGTTGTTATGGTTGCCATGACTGTTCCCGTTCCCGCCCCCGTTACCACTACAACTGGGTTACTTTACTATATTTCCTCTCGCTGCCAGTGTTGTAGCTTATGCTACCACGATTGATTGACGAGCTTTCCATCATCGTGACATCGTCCCCGTCCTGATAAGGACCTTCAAGTTGACCGGGAATATGGTCCTGATGAGGTTGTTGCCATGCTGGAAGCTGCCATCAAATCGTCGTTGCAGTTGCCGTTGCCATAGATATCGTTTCTGCGATCATCGTCACAACCATTGCCACCCTGTGCCTTTGCCTGAGGCTACCTAGGTATTGATTCTTCTGTCCAGTGTCCATATTCTCGCCGCCGCCGCCGCCGCCGCCACCACTGCTACCATCACCAGACCACTAGCACTATCCCCGCTGCCATTATGTCAACACCGTGCCGTCGATGTCAAGGCAACCACGCCGAAGACTGTGTACTACTAGTACCTATGCTAGGTAGTACTGTCTAGTGGTTGCAGGCAGAGCACATGATACCCAAATAACCACTATCTTACTACTGGTGACTGGCCTCAAGTAATGGTCCGTCCGCGTTTATAGGCTACCATATTGTCGCTCCACTGTATATCACCAACCACTACACAATGCATATCGCCACCGCTATAATTTATTCATTTCTTATAATCCACCCATCTATTTCCTTCCCTGTATTTTGCAACTTGAACCCAACAACCCTACGTAAAACGCCGTCATAAGTCACAACCTGATTGTTTGAACGGCTTGGATTGAACAATGTGGAGGGCCGCCCAGGAGAGCCCATGCACATGGCACTGAGCTTTTCACCTTTGACGGCTTTCATTGCTATTGGTATATACCTTACATACTTCATACCGTGGTATGCTGTTGTGGAATGGGTATATGGGGGAGTACATGTAAACTTTGTAACAAAGAGCATAAAAACAGGAAATAGATCTCGATGAGTCTGTGCTGCATACCGCGGTACTACTGTATCTACATTACAGTAAGATAGGTACTTAGTACCTTAGGTAGCTTAGAAGAGAAATAGGTGGTATGCAGGTTCATTACATATAATATGGCCGTACTCGCGCTCCAACGTACCTAAGATAAACGGTTGTCGAATGTGCCAGCCTCCACTGTCTGGCATCAGATTACCAGACATCCATGGTAGTAGGATGAAGATTTCGCTTAGCGTTTGCCAATAAAAGATTTTGTTAGATTGGTGTATTGCATCTTACATTGGAGACGTCCCGGGTCGGCGGTTGCGATCGATCAGGAGATACATGCACCTCTGGGTAGGTAGGTACTAGTATTGATGTGTCGAACATATCAGTAAGGTTACGTGGATTACGGAGGCAATGAGGTCTTGCAATGCAATGCAAGAGGTCATATACTTTGCCATGTTCTATGGACTACAGTTGTAGTATGGAGGAACGCTCATGGAGAAAGGCAATGATTGCTCCTGCAGTGGACATCCATATCTGAGAATGGGATGTAGACCAATTGAGGCTATCTACCAAAGAAACAGATGTCCCCGTCTGCTTCCATTCCTACTAGTACTCATTGCATCGTGGTCGTCACATACTAACATTCATTCAATGAGGAGGTGTTCGTCCTCAATCTGCCTAAAGCTACGAAAGGAACGTCTTCAGGCCAGATAGCTGCCGTTTGCCACTGTCGAATTCCTCTACTTGAAGACCTTGCCGTCAGCCCACTCGTACTTCTTGCCGTTGACCTCGATAGGCTTGTCCCAGGCCCATTGGTCCTCAACGAAAGCACGGTCCTCTGGCTTGCTGGGGTCGAGCTTGGTGAACTCGTAGCTCTCATAGTCTGGAGCGACATCGAAAGCAGGGAGAGCCTCTTGGCCACGGACCAAGAAAGCACCTGTAATGACGGAGTCGTTGGCGGTACCATAGACCGACATGGCACCAAAGAGGTACTTGCGGGACGCCTCAAGACGGGCGAAGAAGCCACCTAGCAAGCATATTAGTCAAGAACATGAAAAATAGAACGATAATACATACCGATAAGGTTGGACGACATGAAGACCATGGTCAACTCATCGTTGTACTTGTAGTCAACCTTCCACAGGGAGTATTCCTCTGGCTTGTAGTGCTCCCAGAACCAGGGAAGGGCGACCTCTCGGGTCTCCTCGTTGGAGTACTTGCGCTTCCAGTCATCGAGGATCAACGATGGCTTCGGGAGAGCCTCGAGAGGGTGCTTGGCCTTGACCTCAGGCTTGGGCTCCTCCTCTTCCTCCTCGGCGGGTTTCTTCTCAGCCTTGGGAGCCGCTTCAGCAGGCTTAGCAGGCTTGGCCTCCTTCTTGGGAGGGGTGTACTTGACAGCCTCCTCAACCAAGATTGGCTGCTCAATGATGGCCTTCCAGATAGGCTGGGCAGTGACAGTCTCGAACCAGCGAGTGGTGTTAGGGTTCTCCGAGCGCCAGGCCTTGTCCAGGACATACTGGAAGCCGCGGGAGATCTGGGAAGTAACGTACAGATCGGCAAGAGTGATACGCTCGCCAACAAGGAAGGTATGAACCAACAAATGTTGCTCGAGGACCTTGAGGGCCTTGAGAGCCGCCGCCTTCGAGTCGTCCACCGACTTCTTGTTGTAGGGATCTCTGCCGATCAAAGGTCGGAACCAGCCACCGATGTTGGGGAGGACCTCGGAGTTGGAGAAGGACATCCATCGCACAATGGAGGCATAGTCTTGCTTGGTCTTTCCGAGGAGGGTGGTCTTCTCGTTCTGTGACGTGACTGTAGTCTTCGTCAGCGAGGTTGGTCCACTGGCACAAATTGCGAAGTAGAGTTGTAGATGCAGATAACTCAGAATCAATGGTGGTCAACACAGATATTCAGACAGGGATAACTGTATGTGATAATATGGCTCATCTTTGAACAAAGTGACGAAAATGCGGGGCACTGTGAAAAAAACGTACAGTAGATGGCAATGGCAATCGACTCAGTCAAGACGAAGCCGTTCGAGCCCACGAAGGTCGGAATCCGGCCAAGAGGGTTCAGCTTGAGGTATTCGGTGTCGACATTGGGAGGACGAGTTTCCACAAGCTCGATGTCGAGGTTGTTCTCCTTTGCGACCGCCAGAAGAGCGGTGGAGCGGGCGTTGTCCTGAAAGAAGTCAGTCTCCATCGTTCTGAGCGAGGATAAAGCGATGCATCCATACCTTGTAGCCGTAAAGCTTTCCGAACGACATTTTGAAGAAAGTCAACGGATTTGTGGACAAGGGATTGTGGTAATGAAGTGCGTTCAGAGGTTCAAGTTGGAGGTTTCTAGAGTCAGCGGCAGGGAACAAATATTTTGCAAGGTCCGAGGTGCCAGGTGGTCCGCAGCCTGAGGCTTGGCATTTCGCAGCCACTGCAGTTCCAGTCCACTCACGTCTGCCACTGCCAGTCAGCAACTACTAGTAGAAGTTGCACTTCGCGCGCCCAATGCCGAAGCTCTGATTTTGTCCATTTCACTCGCAATTGAAGCCTCCGTTCTCGCGAGGCCACATCGGACACCACCCAGGGCCAACGCATCTTGACTCCCTCTGGGTTAGATGCTGACCTTGTGATCGGCCTGGGATTGTTGTTAGTCTCCCTAAAAATGTCGGGCTCCGCCGTCCGGGCCTTCCCTTCTGCAATCTCCTGGACATGCCGCCAATGTCGTCTACACGGCGTTCAGGCTAAAGCTCGTCAACCGAAGCTTTTATCAGTCCCGCAACGGCACAACTTCTCTACGACGAGACCGACCTTCCAAGATACGCAAATCCAGGCAGCGCCGGAAATAGACCTTGATGACCCGAATGCGATACCCGCCCGCATCCTCCCGGCATCGCCTTCCTATTTTACTGCGTCTCCCGTCTTCAACGACCATGTTCTCCTGCTGCAATCCCTCGTCAAGAAACACGGGGCACTACCTACGGCTCCGCCGAACCAGACACCGCGAGCGGCGTGGTTGAAGCTCAATCAATATCGAAGTTCCACCGGCGAAAAAGTTCCTGCTTCAAAATACTCAAAGGTCTTGGAGCTTCTCACGCGACTGAACAAGATCCATCCGCGGGTTCGCCCGAAGGAGGTGAAGCAGGTCTTGGATCGATTTCGACGTCCTGGTTCGGAAGAAGTTCAGAAAGCGAAGCCTGGAAAGATTGACGAATATGGACGTGCTATTGGCATTGGACGGAGAAAGGAGTCGACGGCAAAAGTATTTCTGGTTGAGGGTACGGGTGAAGTTCTGGTCAATGGGCGCAGCATTGTGCAAGTGTTCCCTCGCGTGCACGACCGGGAGAGCGCACTCTGGGCGCTGAAAACCACCGAGAGAATGGACAAGTACAATGTCTTCGCGCTGGTGTCAGGAGGTGGAGTTACGGGTCAAGCAGAGTCAGTGACTCTGGCATTGGCCAAGGCATTACTGGTACACGAACCAGCGCTCAAGCCGGCCCTGAGACGAGGTAAGCGAAGTCTTTATTGCCTTTTGCATGGTTTGCCATTGACTAATTATCAATTCAGCCGGCTGTGTTACGACGGATATGAGACGTGTCGAACGGAAGAAACCAGGCCGGTTGAAGGCTCGCAAGAGGCCAACTTGGGTCAAACGTTAAGCGGTCGAGGTACAACATTTGGCGGTTTTGGTCTGTATATCAATATCAAATTTGCTTTGCTCATATACGAGGCAGACCTTGTACCACGTCTGCGTCATGTAAAGGACGCAGTGGTCCATGTTTTTGCTGGTTCGTGGAAGGGTTCACGGGCGGGTCATGTTCGCAGGCTTGAAGCACTGATGGTTGAGGGTGTGAGGTACTATTTGTACCCTTATTGCTACTATAAATCAATCCCATGCACCTGCACTATTGACCAAAGACTGGATTACCGCATTGAATTGCCGCATGACTGGAACTTTGAACCTCTTCTCTTTGGTGTTCATTGTCAGGGGTGGCCAGCCCTGCGGCAGCGTTGCACGACCAAAACAAAAACCGGTCGAGTATAGCAGGCATTGCACCACTCACGTGCTCAAGATGCCACCTGCTTGAGTTTGTGTTCTCTACTCATTACGCGGTCCAAGTCTGCCCCCATTCACGTACCGTACTTAGTGCGCATTCACTGCATGCAATCTTCCTTGCCCGACTGCTTCGGGTCACACACTTTAGCCCATCAGAGCGTTCACCTTTCGATCTCAACCATCCTCACCTGACGACAACCGGGGGGATTGATCGATACATCACACCTTGCCTCGGCCACACAGGCCAGCCGAACGGGCTCAATACTAGTCTGGGTGTAGCATCATGCGGACCACAGAACAACGCGTTTCCATGCTCACCTACCTATCTTGCCAGTGCCTGCATCACTCTCTGACTGACCATGCATACAGGTAAAATTATCAATGCCGTCGACCAGCCTCGCCATATTTAGTCCAAGTCCGCCCTTCTGCATAAATCCCCTGCCTCCAGGGTTGAGCGTGTGCATCCTCTTGTCCGCTTAGTGGGACGTGCATTGCAGCTCTTGCTCCGTTCACCTGCATAACGGCCAGAACCTTGTAAACGAGGCAAAAAGGGCATCTTCCCTAACAAAAAGAAAAACAATGGCCATCAGCTTGAATGTTGCTCACGGACCTGGGCCGATAGGAACACGGACGACGTGAAGCTAACGCTGGACAGTCAATGTCACTACCTCAGGTCAAGGCTCGCTCGACTTCCAGCCTTCCGCTGTCTCATGATCAATCGCAACCTCTGGAAAACGCAATAACGAATCTCCTTTTCTCGAGGCGAGCATTATACCTAGTCTCATTCGTGTCTGTTTCGGAGCGTCGAACCACCCAAACCTGAAACATGTACACAAGCCACAAGATCACAATAATAATGCCTCTAGGACCGACCAAAACGATGTACTGTACTGTAGGATCTAAGCACGCCATCAACTTCTCGAACGCGGACTTCGGTACTTGTACCTTACTGGACCGAGCAGCTAAGTATGGGTCACGGACTCTACGCCTCTCAACGTTGCAAATTGCTTGAAGTTCCGGTCACTTTACTGGCTTGCGGAGTCTTTTCGACCCCTAGCAGTCCTGACGACCAGGCATGAAACAAATCAGTCATGCAGGACTCCTGGTGCCCACTGCATCGTCCGTTGCACGGGATCGTTTGTTGCATGAGAGATTATGCCCGGTATATTGTTGGCATGATAGGCTGAGGGCGCGTTGCAGTGTGGACCACCGGACGCGCACTGCACTCGCAACCAAGAAGCAACTGGCTTGGGAAACTGAAAGCAGCCCTTCTTAGCAGACATCCTCATCAGTTCCAAGGAATAGCTATACAACCATGGTCCACCAGCACCCATCCCGAAGGCTATACCACGAAGGGTAAACCCACAAGGGCAGCAACCTCGAGCCTTCAATGATATGACATGTCAGACGTGAGATCCGTTCCACGTCGTGGATCAGCCCCGTCCGACAATAGAGCGCACGTTGGCCATCTTGACTGGCATCTCGCCAGATCTCTGGGACTCCGGGTCGATGTAAGTAGCTCCATCCGACTGGTTCGGTTGGTCAGAGGCTCAAAACGTCAAGCTGCTTGCCACTTATCGATCGGTGCTGCGGAACGTATGGAGACGGTGCAACGATTATTTATTGGGCACTGACGTCGAGGGCATTGATTAGACACGAGCGCAAAGGTTCGGGACGCGAGATTTGATACTCAGTCCTTGCGCACTCGCCTGCCGCTCTACCCACTACTGCTTTGAGGAAAGCCATCGACAGATAGGTCGTGCCCATGCCTTGTTGAAATTACTCTTTCGCAAAGGGAGCTGAACCTGCTGGACGTCAAAAACCCAGCTCGCTACGCCAATCCAGACCGGAGCACGGGGTGGAGACTAAAAGTCACACCCGCCCAAAGAACACGCGACAGGGAGGGGACGAATACGGGGCCAGACCTTCGTACTTATCATAAGCTTTGTTCAATACTTCTGGCACCGTTACTGGACAATGTATGGAATCCGACGGAGACGAGCTACAGACATTTCTACCAGTGTTGGCGCTTGATACCAGACAAAGTCCGTACAAGGAATGCCGCAAATCCTGCTCTATGGGCCAATAATAATGAGTCGAACACCGAACATTTCGTGAGTGGACCAGCCTTCGAATGTTGGTGCGTGGCTTGTTAGGCGCATTATTTGGAGTGTTCCGTCGCTTGCTTGATGTTTGAGACAGCCGATCCCGGGCGCATCACGCGCTAGATCAGCCCCAACGGGGAAGTCAGATTGGTCTGGGATTGGAATCGCTTTCACCCCCTTGCTCGGTGTTCTTGTGGGCGCCACACTCTAAATCTCGCCTGGCACGCCGGCAAATGCTGCCTGTGTCAGGCTAGCCATGCAAGCCATGTCGGACCAGTTGTCTAGTTAGCTGGCTGCCGATATGAGGGACCAACGGAGGGGTTTCCCTTCGAAGCCCTGACCGTCCTGGAATCATGAATTGACCAGGATGATGGGAGGCTGGATATGCCCATTCAAATGCGGCGTGCCTGCTTTTTCCATGGGAGTCTGGGTCGCGTCGGCATGTTGTGCTTACTACTTGACAGGATCTTGGCCTACGGATCCATGGTCCAAGACCGCCCGGCAAGGTTCGATTTGCCCGCGCAGAGCGCGAATGACGGCTTCACCACGACGCTCATCCTTGGGCCGATCGGTCATTGACTGTGCCCACTGATGCCCAAAACTTCTCCGGCAGGCTGACCACTCGACGAAGCCCACTACTGGATCTACCCCGGGCACTGTCCCTCTGTGGCGCTCACTGCCCACATGAGAAGACTTTTCCCTCCGCTTAACCATGCCTTTGCTTGCTGTACTGAAAGCATTACTCGCCCGCGTCTATTAGAGGGTTCGCTTTGTTGACGTACCTGGAAGCAGGTGACCACTTATCATGATTGATCACTGCGATGCTTCGTCTACGCCATTCCTCATTCAGTTTCCCTGGCCAAAGTGTCCCGTTGTCTGTCGTGTGTACATCCACCTGCCACCGCAGCTCCAACCTCAGGCCTCTCTTGTATACGTTGCGTCCGTTGACCACTCAAGGTATCTGACTTCTTCTCTTTTTGTTGATTCCCACCGGACGCTCCTTTATTTTGCCCTTCTTGCGATCCTTATATTGCTGTACTTGTCTTCGTATCTTGCTGGCTCGTCAACTGACTTCCGTCTGTCTATTGACAACCACCCCACCATCTCCTTCGACGACATATTTCATTATATCCTCAAACTCACCGGCGCCCTTCTAGCGGGCGAAGGCAAAGTCTCTCCTGCTGCGTTCCGTTCTCGATGTCAGAGATACAATCTGTGCTGGGCGGAACGTTTGCAAAGACTAACTGCGCATCTGACCCTCGACCGTGAGACGTGGCTGCCTCGTCTGAAGGTTCAACTCAAGGACATTTGGCCTGGGGTGGCCCCTGGTTGTACTTGACGGAGAGGCGGTAACTTCAACTCTTCCTTTCGGCCCGCGATCTCCTTCAGACCCCCGTATCCCTGGCGCTTGCCTCGACATTTCTTTCCATACCCCATACGGCCATCTTGTGGGCAAAGCGTGTCCCACGGCTACCAATATCTGCAGCCATTCCGCGCACGAGCTCTCCATCTTGTACTTTGCACAGCTCATATCATTGTATGCGCGGACAAAATCAGGCAAGAGAGATAGGACAGGCACCAAAGTATAAGGGGAAGAACTATTTTCAGAGGTCGATATCACAGTGCGGACTCTGTTGCGCGGTGGAGTGCTTGGTTCGTCAGTCTGGCGTCGACGGAGGAATCGGCTTTCCTTAAATGGACGGCGGCGACCGTCGGCGCTCGCAGTATGGACAGCCATACCAGACGCCAGCGCACTCACGTTCTCTTCCGGGGCAGTCAATTGGAGCATCTAGCAGTGATAGGTTCTCACAATCCGGCACGCCGGCTAGGAGCGACGTTGGCAGATCTCCAATCGCTCGACCATATCTCCCTGGCTATTCAGGGTATGGTTATACAGAGCAGCAATATGGAAGTTCGCAGATGCAGAGCAGTAGTCCCATGCAAGGACTTGAGATGCAGTATCCACCAGCCTACCTTCAGGATTCGTCGAGACACCAGCAAGTGCAAGCCTCGCCTTCACAACATCAGCCGCAGCCCCAGCAGCAACAGTATCCGACATATACTCCAGGGTCGATGCTCCCGCCGGTCGCCCCCCAGTCGCTCTACGATAACATCCCGTATCAGCAGCGGCAGACTGCAATAGAGGTGATGGCGAGTCAGTTTGCTGTCCCACAGTACATGCCTTCAAGCGGGCAGGCAGGGGCTGCAGTCGGCTCGGGTTCCTCACCATACTTGACTTCTCAAGCTGAACAGAGCCCTTACGCAGCCGTTGCTGTAACGCGTCCTACCCTACCGCCAGGTTACGCTTCAGCATCCGTTGATTTTCCTGGCATGGAACAGCAACCGGAAACCGGAGAGAGTGCTGGCGCAGCCCCGTCTGCGGCTCAGACAGCTCTTGACGAAGGCCTTAGGGAGTTCTATCAACAGCTCAGGCTAACATTCGAGGCCATCATTGCGGGACGGGTGACAGAAGCCAGCGAGAAGCTCCTGGCAATGTCACGCTGGTTAGTGGGCTCTATTACGGCCTTAGGTATGTCCAGGTGACGACGAAGGCCGGTACTAGTGCTGATTTACGTTAGGGCTGCATCATGACGATGAGGCGAGACATTCAGAGCGTCTTCATCTCTGGAGAGAGTTCAACTTGGCTTGGGAGGCCCTTGGACAGAAACAGAAAGACATCACTGAAGAAGCCCTGCGAACAGGGCGGCCCCCAACGGATGTGCTCTCCGCTAATGCCATCACCAGCTTGGTAGATGACTTGATAAGCCTGTGCGACCAGCTGGAGCAATATGGCCTTGTTGACTATGAGATGGGTATCTGGGAAGAACAAATCACCCATATCTTTATAGTCTGCCTCGATCTCATCTCTCAAGGTGAAGCCCCGGCACGGACAGGCCAGACCCCAGTTCCGGCCGAATGAGAAGAAGGAGATCCTGGTGGTCGTTTTCGGTTATGTCATGAACTTTGTGGTAACGTGTTATGAATTGCGACATTTTTCTCGTCACGGCATGGCACAGCACGGCGTGTTGCTCTTGACTGGGCTGTCTTTCTTTTTCTTTTTCTTTTTTGCATGATGCATGATATGTGTGACTATGTTTTCTGCTGCGGCATGATTGATGTCCTGTATTATTATGACACTGAGGCGCGGAACCGGACGGCTCAGGTGGAAAAGCAATACGACGGATTGTGTTTGAGTTTATGAGGGAGTGGGAGCATGGGAGGTTGGTCTGTTGCATGAGTTCGGTCATTTTTGCGGCTATAGAAGAGCGTGCTGTACAATAGCTGTGTCCCAGTCCTACTTTATGCCAAGCCGCAAAGAGGTTTTTCTCGGGGTTGTGTTACTTATCTTGGTCGTATGCTTCGAAGGTACTTATTGAGCGGAAAGTTGAAGGATAAGTTGAACTGGAAAGTACTTGTCTTACTACTCTAGGTACGGATGGACTTTCAAGCTCCAGCCTTTCAGGTGCGAGTCTGCACAATGCAGTGAATGGAATTTTTGAAGAATATAGCTCGCTTTCTCGGTTCAGAGCCAGAGGACACAGCTCTATCCGATTCCCATTCATCTCATGCTGGACCTGGGGCCAAACGATGCTCAATCATTACAAGCATAGATGATTGCTACTAACTAGGTCCTGATGGGCTCTAATGGACTAAATAGCGAATGGCGCTGGTCCGGGACTTGGTATCTACAAGGTGTGAGGCCGTCAAATCAGAAGATATGTAATACAGAACTCAGGACCGAATGGAGACCACTGGATGTGTTGGGGGACATGGAACGAAGGAAGGCCTTACTACTTGGGAAGGGTGGATTCGAACACAAACTTGAACAATATACTGTACCGTGGTGAAGGATGGCCTAATGATGGTGTGATACCTACGCATCACCTAAGTGCCCGTATTGGGGACAATCTTTGGATACTTAATCAAACGATTGGGGAAAGTCAAGAGGGGATAAAGACCTAATTAGAGGAGATCTAACATGGGAGTATTCACGAATACTCAGCACAGTTCACAGGCTGAGTTGAAACTTTTCCTCTCTATCTGGGTATAACTTTTTATAGGGCCGTGCTTTTGTGGCATCCGGTCGACCAAACCCTGCCTGCTGCCTCTTTCCCATCCGGAACGAACACATTCTTCAGCATAACAGCAATAAGACTTTTTTGTTTGGTTTGCTGGGTTTAAATCAAAATCACAACTTGACGTCCTCGCCGGCAAAGACGCCGCCTTCCTTGGCCGCCTTGATGCGCAGCTTCCGGACTCGCTGGATGTCGTTCTCGTTCTTCCTGGTCAAATACCAGGTCCAACAGGTTGCAAGCCAACTAAGACCGATGGCGGCCGCACAAATGGCAAACGAGACCTTGTAGCCGTTGTGTGCGTATTTTGACTGGAACAGTTGCGGCCCGACGACCCCGCCTACCTGACCAATGCAAGATTGAAAGGCCAACGTGAACGCGGCGCCGGTTGTGCCCTTGAGAGTGGCAGATCGCCCTAGAAAAAAGGCAAATGTTAGGACGAGTTCTTCTTCGCAATAGAGTCAGATCTTGAACACTTACAAGCCCAGAAGGGAATAAAGTAGACAGAGTAGAACATGGTGCCGAAGATACATGCAATATAGGTTGCCGTTCTGCCGACATGGACGCAGAGGACCAGGAAGAAGGCAAACGCCCCGGCGCAGATGAACATGCTGAATTCCGGTCGGGTCAAGTACGCTCGCTTGAGGAACCAGCCGGCAAAGATGATTGCCAGAACACTGGCGGCCGCAGGGGGGATGTTGAGAAGTTGGTTTCGGGGCAGCCCTGCGAAGCCCAGGTTGGTGGTGACGGTCGGCAGCTGCCATTGTAGACCGTAGCCGCCCAGGTTCATCAGGATTTGCGCCAGGCAAAACGAGTATGTTCGAGGATCTTTGAGGGAGGCAATCACCTCCGACAGGTTGAAGGCCGGGTCGTCCGTCCGGGGAGCATTGTCCGTCAGCCGAAGTTCAATGTACTCTTGTTCTCGTGGCGTGAGCCACTTCGCGGACCGTTTGGACTTGGGATAGTCGGGGAGCACGAGATACACGACGCCGGCAAAGAGGATAGTGTATAGACCTTCGAGGAGGTAGACCCTGTGGATTGGGGTCAGTTCTGGTGTGAACGGACAAGGAAGCGGAATAACTCACCACTGCCATGCGCTGAGACCTCCAAGGCCGTTCATGTACGAGATTCCGTAGGCGACAATAGAACCAATGATACCGGCGCAGTTTTGGAAGCCAAACATCCACATGATTGGCTTGCCCATCTCGTCACTTCGGTACCTGCAAGCTGTTAATTGACGGGCATGCGCGTGAAGACTGGCGGCGCCTACCAGGAACACAACTGGGCTGCCAACCCAGGAAATAGACCGGCTTCCATCATTCCAAGGAAGAAACGACAAGCATACAGACCCTCCTTGTTGCGTACCGCGGCGTGGCAAGCGAGAACCTATTGTAAAAAGAGATTTAGCAACATGCAGTGGGCGGAAGAATTGGTCAATGTCTTACCAGTCCCCACGACGCAATGATTCGAGACTGCCAGTTTCGAGGACTCATCTTCTTCAGCAGGAGATTCGAGGGTACTTCAAACACAATGTAGGCGATCTGGAACAACGGTTAGTGATTTTCCAGAGCATGACAAACGCCTTTGCCCCGGTAACGCCCAGACATGAACTTACAAAATAAATGGATTGAACCCAATTGTATTGATCCGCTGTCATGTTCAACTCGATCAAGACGTTGCGCGGTTGGTTGACTTGCAAAACCTTGACGGTAGCCGCGTTAATGTAGTCGACGTTCTTCAGCACGTACATCAAGCCGATGAGGAGGAGGAACCGCTTGTCGACCTTGCGCATAATCTTCTTGTCTTCCTCCGCACTGAAGGACGAAAGGAACGCCTCTCGGTCCGTCAGCGAGGACGACGACGACACGGCAGTGTGCTGCGTGGTGATCCCGCCCTCCTCGGCTTTGGAGTCGAGGGTGTGGTCGGCCGACATGGTTGAGAGCAGGTTTGTTGGACGTCCGGGATTAAGTTGAAGATGATGTTGTCGACGACGACCCCTACAGTTTGCAAGACTTCTCGCTTTCCAAGAAGTGAGGCAACAAAGCTCCTGTGCCAGGGAGCAGCTGAGACTTTATGGGGTTCTCAAAAATCCTCCACGTCCCTCGATGTATGTCCATAAAATTTTTGGGGCAACGGTCTCGCCCCCTGGACCTGGAGGTCATTATTGCTAGGGTCTCGGACCAGACAGGTCTCGGTCAAGACACCCTTGATGCGCTTCTTCCGAGATGGCGTGCGTGGTAGCCTCGTGGCTATTTTTCCCCCACCACGATAACCAGCCGGCTAGTGCAATCTTGTACCATAAGAAGAAGCCGGCTGGCTCGGTGCGAAGATTGAACACTGGTATTGGTGGACAAGATCCAGTTGTTAGAAGTCAAGACAGTGCTGATGCGGCGGTCGAGATGGCGTGCTCGATCAAGCGGCCAGTGTTGATGAGAGGAATGGAGCCCTTTTTTTAAATGACACCAACCCAACCCGTAATTACACAATCTGTATCGACATTACCTATGGCCTCGTCCGCACGCTGGCGTGTCTCTGAAGACACCACTGCACGCCCGGAGAACGACGTGTGGCAAACAAGCCACGACATCTGGAGGTAAAGGCAGTAAAGTGGGCTGGAACAGAGGTCTATCAGGGATCTGATATGGAACAGATCGGACCCTCCTGCTGCGAGGCCCCTTCTGCCTCTTGCAACCGGTACATTTACCGTCGTGGCAGCACTGATCTGGATGCTCGCGGGGGTGGCGATGTTGGGTTTGTCCGCTTCTTGTTACAGAAATGCGTGGTTGAGTTTCTGTTTACCTCCGTGTACAATGAGACGAGGAGCAAGGCACGCTTCCACGCCGGGGCTTTGACTCCAGGCACTCGCAGCTATTGTTCAGTGCCTTGCCCAGTGATCCAGGTGACCTGCTATGCCGAACCTCATTTGAGCGGCAGTAGCGGGAAGAGGAAGTTCGATGTTCAGCAACAGTGGAAATCTTGGTACTCCATACCACAAGTCCGTACACTGTGGTCGAGTATGAGAAGGGCCAGCCACCGCTGCAGCCATTGAGTATCAGGGAGCAGTGCACAACAGCTGAGGAAATGCCTGCCCTTTTGGGCAGTGACAGCTTCAGTGTTGGCATTGTTTGTTTAGCCAAAGGCAAAGGACGATGCCGACAGTGTCTGCCAGTTTTGTCGACACCCTCAAGTTGATGCTGCTGAGACGAGTCTGGCCGCTGCTGGAGGCGTCACGTGGACTGCACGTGATTGCAGTGGTTGTCGATAAGGTATCTGGGTATTGATGCAAGGCTGTTGTTCAAGATATGTGATTCCATGCCAGTGGGACAAGTCATGACCAGCCTAAGGCCCAATCTAGAATCTATCTTTTGCGGTTTACTATTCCTGAACACCGAACACCGCGAACGAAATGCGTCTAGTTCTAACGACATCTAAGGAATCTTGACAACCAGCCTTCCCCCACTCACCTCACCCCTTCTCATGCTGTCCAATGCCCGGTTGACCGAACTGAATCCTTCTTCGACACCCAAAATGTTAGGTGGCACCAGGAGCCCTGTCGCTAATAACCGTTCCAACCACAGCATCATGCTCTCGCCCACCTCGGGCACCTCGTGGAAAAGTTTGATAGGTACATTGTGGAAAGTGACGTTCGAAGGAGGGGAGCTCTTGGGTAGTCCCGTTAGGCCGATTAAATGTGCAGGTTGAGGTGTTGATTCTGTGGCGGAGGGTGGGTCGTCTTCATTGGCATAATGCTGCTGCAGACATTCCAATAAATGCGTTGCGGTTTCCCGTCCCACTGTATCGACAGCAAACCGAAGTCGCTTTCCAGTGGCGGATCTGACAATCTCAATTGCTCGATGAGGGTCATGGTTGTCCACCACGATATCCGGTCTCGTAATGTCGTTCGCCGACAGCTTGACGGCATGTTTCCGCACGTCGACAACGCTGATAGTCCTGAGGCCAGCCAGTCGTGCTATCTGGTTTATCATGTAGGCGCTTGTGGACGAGCCTCCCCAAATGGCAAGCCAATCGCCCTCTTTGGCCCGCGACTCTCGGTCGATACCATTTGAACATTCAGCCCTGATATCCTCTGGTAACCTCTCGGGGTCGATACCTCTCACCAGGGATAACAGATCCGGGCCATTTGCGATGCTGGAGAAGTCAAGCCCCGCGCAAATACCAAGGCAGAGGGCTGCAGCCACAAAGGCAACGCCTAAGGCAGACCCGGCTTCCGGGGAGACTCTTGGGGGAAGCCGAGCGGCATTGAAATCAGTGGCGACGACATACTCCTGATAAGCCGCTTTGCGAAGGTCCCGGTAGTCCGTTGAGATGACAATGACCTTGTCTCCAGGTCTGAACCGTGACTTTCGTTTTGGGGTGATTGCAACTTCTCCTACCAGCTCCCGGCCCGATATATAGGGCAACTCTGGGATACCGAAATTGAAATCTCTGGACGGCGAAGAGCGTATGTTAGATGCAAGCTTCCATGTGTGAAAGCGCGGTCGTGCTTACGGTGCCTTCCAATCGATTGGGTTCAGCCCAATAACTAAATTCCGAACCAAAAATTCCCGATTACCATCAAGTGAAGGTGTTGGGTGATCTGAAACTTCCTCATATGGTTGCCTCGGGCCCCGAAGCAGCAGTACACGTTGGTGAGGGGCAACCTTAGACGGCCGCGCCGGGACCTTTTCAGGATCCTGGCACAAAATAGGGACACCCAATTCTTTAGGAGGACTTGAGATGCCCAGCGAGCTGAATAGATGCAAGAAGCCCATGTTGTTGAGGACGTGTTTGATATCAGGCCAAAGAAGGATTAGAAAAAAAAGCTGAAGATTGATATCCAAGGCTCCTGGTCAAAGGAAGATACTTCCAATCATCAATAGACAGGGGTATCGGGGACCATTGCCGTGGGTCGGCTCTGTTTGTATCGAATATCCCCTTGATTGTAATGACAGCAACCGCGTATTCTGCATTTCCCCGTCTAGCCTGGACTCCATCGCCAATGCCAATACGCAGATCGACCGGTATTGGAGGGGTTATCTATGGTGTGCTCGCGGGTCCAAATGGCATCAGGGGCCTTACCAAAATGGTGGATCTCCATATTATGTGATTGCTGGAAAGGGTGCAAATAGATGTAGTCTACTGGCAATCTTTGCCCCGAGACTTGGGAATGTTCTGCACCCACATGAAGAGTACGCTGAAGACGTGCTCAAGCCCAAAACCAACTGTATTCTCCACCATAGTGGTTCCGCTGCGAACCTCGGGGAGAGACGAGACATGGCGACATCCAAGTTGGGCTCATTGCGTGCTCTCTGACATGATTGCGTGATAACGTACGCGACCAACGCTGGCCCAACTCAAGGCGTGTAATGTAGGCTCAACGAGCACGACCACAACAACAATGGTCGAAGCTGGACATACCCATCGAGGCGATTCAAGTACTCGCGGTGCCAAAATATAAGACAAACATTCATACTCAGGATTTGGTGTCGATACAATATCATCACTGTTTCAAGATGGGTTCATTGTCGTCGGAAACCGCCAAGACGAACGGCTTGGCGGGCGGTCGGCCAAAGAAGCAACTCATTCTCAATGCATTTGCCATGAACACTCCTGGCCATCTGTCTCCCGGACTATGGCGGCACCCTCGCAATCAAACGGACAAGTACAAGAAGCTCGAGTTTTGGACAGATCTTGCCCAGTTGCTGGATAAGGCGGGCTTTCATTCTCTGTTTCTTGCCGACGTCCTCGGTTGCTATGACGGTAGGTCTAACCACAGCCTTGTGTGTCAGTCATGACCAGAGGGTGCTAGCCCTCTCAACCTGCACACCAGACGCTCATCCCGTGTTCACGGTCATGCTGATGTTGGGCCAGTCTACAAAGGCCCGGCCAACACGGGCCCGGCGCTTCGCGCTGGTGCTCAATTCCCAGTCAACGACCCGCTATACCTGGTCCCGGCTATGGCAGCGGTAACCAAGAATCTCACATTTGGCATTACCGCGAGCACAACCTATGAACAACCATACTCTCTTGCCCGGCGGTTCTCTACAGTAGATCACCTCAGCAACGGCCGGGTGGCATGGAATATTGTGACTTCTTACCTTGACAGCGCCGCACGCAATTTCGGCCTCACTGAGCAGATCGATCATGATGTCCGTTACGAGATCGCAGAGGAGTACATGGAAGTATTGTATAAGCTCTGGGAGGGAAGCTGGCGCGATGACGCGGTGGTGGAGGACCGGGAGACTGGCGTCTATGCGGTGCCTGAGCGTGTACGACAGATTGACCACCAAGGTAAACACTTTAAGGTTCCCGGGCCTCACATTTGCGAGCCTTCTCCACAGCGCACGCCGTTCCTTTTCCAAGCAGGGACTTCCAAGACTGGTCGACAATTTGGTGCCAAGCACGCCGAAGTGATCTTTGCAGGGGCCCAGCTGCCCGAAAAGCTACGCCCTTCTGTCGATGCCATCCGTCAACTGGCCAAGGAGGCCGGTCGTGACCCGTACAATGTTAAAATCATTGCGAGCATGTGTGTTATCGTGGCAGAAACCGACGAGGCCGCCAGAGCAAAGCATGAGGAGTATCTGTCGTACGGCGACCGAGAAGGCGCACTCGCTCTTTTTGGCGGATGGACCGGTGTGGATCTGTCTACGTACTCGGATGATGAAGATTTCCGTTTTGTCAAGATGCCGATGATCCAATCCATCGTCAATGGCTGGGCGGACACAGTGCCGGGAAGGGAAAATCTCAAGTGGAACAAAGCCCGCATCGCGGATTATCTACTGCTGGGTGGCATGAATGCGAAGATCGTGGGATCGCCCACCACAGTTGCCGATGAGCTAGAGCGCTGGGTCGAAGTCGCTGATGTGGACGGATTCAATCTCTCTCATGTCACAAACCCAGGATCATTTGAGGATATCGCTGAATTCCTGCTGCCAGAACTCAGGAAGAGAGGGATTTTCCGTAAAGGGGTCGACAAAGAGGGCGCCACCACGCGAGAACAATTCTTTGGCACGCCCCGGCTGCTTCCTGACCATCCGGGCAGTAAGTATAAGTGGAGCACAGAGGAGGATATACCAGGATATCAGCAAAGCTGAAGACTTGCATGATCAATGTCATAGTAGAGCCTCTAGAACCTCGAATAACGATGGCATTCTTGTTGAAGTGACCAGCAAAGAGAAACCCGGCCTGTGCCGAGTATGCAGACTCTATACGTATCATTCTGGCAGAGTCTATAATCATTCTATGGGACACAAGTAAATAATTCTGAACTCGTTACTACCAACGGAAAAAGTGCAAAAAGAATAAATTGTGACCAAAGTCAAAAAAGTGAATGCACCCATCGGGACTTGAACCCGAGTCTGCTGCTTGGAAGGCAGCCGTGATAACCCCTTCACTATGGGAGCTATGATTTGCTGTGAAATGTGACAAGTATTTTTCCATAATTTATCTATGTACTTAAGATTTACGAGTGGTGGAGCCGCTTAGTTCAGGCCTGTCTGCCGTCCAACGGGCTGCAGTGGCCGGCCTAGGGAGCCCGGGCTTGTGGGTCTACAACATTTTTGTAAACGATCAACCAACCGGTACCTTCCTTGATGCCGCCACTGCGACAGTGGTGTTTCGGCCCCCTTGCATTGCAAGCCACTGAAAAATTATCATCATGCAGAGTAGCAGAGTGTCGCTGTGGGTTCCAGGGCCTAACAAACACCAGAGCCTGTAGCCACAAAGTGCCTATTTCTACAGCATTATCGGTTATCGGCTCCCCGGGTAACTGGTTTGAAATTCAGCCCTGAAGGACTTCCATTATATTGCTCACTCTGCGGGCTGCTGCTACTGCTTCCACGCGGCATGCTTGCGGTAGATATCGTGCCGGAAAGTCTGCTTCAAGGCCTCTATGCTCCCGGCATCAATCGGTAGCGATGCTTGAACAGCGCCAACGCCACACAGGCCATTTTTGCGATCGATGAACCAGGTCAGCGTGAGACCGCCGCCCCAAGTCAACGTGCGCTCACCATACCAGCCTTCGACATCCTGCAGCGTCAACAAGCCGCCCAAGCCGTGGCCAGCCTTCGTTGCAGGATCCACACCACACCGGAAGAACACACCCATAGGGCTTGCCAGCGCGGCCTGGTGCGCAGCCGTGGACTCGGGACTCAAGTGATGCGTGAACATGTCTTCAACCGTGGCTGGTGAAAGTAGCCTGCCATCATTTGCCAGGAGAGAGTGCAGCACTTTGGCGTAATCTGCGCCGGTCATGAACAGGCCATGGCCGCCGAACGCTCCGTCAGAGCGTTTGTTCATGTCGGCCGACCCGCCTAGTACCGCGATACCAAGACCTTCCGGGTCCTGCGGGTTCAGATCGACCATACGGGCGCGCAAGTCCTCTCTCGTAACGGGATGGAACTGGGCAGCATCGATGCCGAGCGGGTCGAATATGCGCTGCTGCATTCGCTCGCCTAGCGTGAGACCAGTCACCCTCTCCACAATGCGGCCGGCCCAGTCGAGCCCTGTGCCATACATCCAACCTTCGCCAGGTTGATAAGCGAGCGGCTCTCTGAACGCTTCCTCTACAGGCCTGCGTATACCTTCCTGCGGATGATCGAACTTCTCCCGCCATCGGGCGAGGAGCGGGTTCATGAAGAAGTAGCTGACGCCGGCACTGTGCGTAAGCAACATCTCGAGCGTAATGGGCCTTTTCGCCGGCTCAAGCAAAGGAGTCTCGCCATCGTCAGAAAAGCCTGTGATGACTTGTTTGGCGGCGAGCTCGGGAGCAACGGAGGACAAATCGCCAGTTAGAGTCAGCAAACCGTCCTCTACGCACTGAAGGGCAGCGATGGTGGTGATAAGCTTCGTGGCTGAGGCCAAGTACAGCACGTCGTCAAGCCGCTGCGGACGTTTCTCCCCGGACAGCAATGTCCGCTCTCCTAGTGCCTTGTTGTATACGAAGCGGCCCTCTGCATCGGTAGCACAAATGACAGCTCCGTTGATCTTCCCGTCGTCGATAGCCTTCTGATAGGCAGTTTCGATGTTGTCGGTCATGATGGAGGTAAACACTCAATGAGTATCCAGTTGAACGGAGATAAAAAGTATGGGAAAAGCGGAAGATAAGTGAATTGACGAACTTCCCTTCGCTCTTCGTTCCAACTCACCTGCATGCAGTCTTTATATAAGGTTGTCAAGCCTTTGAGCATTGTCCACAGCAAGATCACAGAGATGAGCGTAGGTTGACTTCGAGTGGCACACCCCGCCAATGTCTCCACTGTCCAGAGTCATACGCCAGGTACTGCTGCTATCCGGCCATTCGCGGGCTCGGAAACGGAGCGTTTTCATTGGCTAGTAAGAACATCGACTTTCGGCTCCAAGGCATTCAGGGTTTGCGATGCTTCGTTGTGAAACATTTGATTGCCGTTTATAGATGTCTAATGCTACAGACCATGCCTGGAGTGGTAGCAGAACACAGGGTGAGTCATATGCGGCATGAGCAAGATCAGGAAGCCGAGAACGCACAATCAATCTTATGCACAAAAAGCTTGTAAAATCGAAATGTCCGAAGTTGAGAGAACTTGAAGATGTTGGGAGTCAGCCCGGTTGGCTTAGTCATCACCAGGCGCCGCCTCAGGGTCCAGCCTGCTCACATGAGGTCCTGTGAAGCGGCAAGCTGATTTGCCTGGAGAGGAAATGAACCAGCCCAGGTACCGATCTACATTTCATTCACGCATTTTCTGCAACGCCTCGGTCCTCCAATTTGTACCGCTGGCGCACTTTGAATCATGGCTGGAACAGCAGGAGTCTAGACGTCTGGTCCAGACGAGTCAGATGATACCTCAATATTTACACGGAGCACTCGCGAAGGACCCTTCGCGGAGTGTGATGCGACGACCTTAGATCGGCCCACATATACAAGTTGGTGTCTGAGCCAGTGGTGATTTTCTAAACTCTGTGGGCCAGATCATGCTCCTAAACAACTGTTTTGAACGCTACGATGGAAGAACTGGTCAGAGAACTCAATGACCCAAGCAATCAGTCCGCCCCGGAACGCATCAATGAGATCCAGAGGCAAATTCAAAGACTCCAGCGAGAGAAGGCTGCTTGGCAGCTTGGGCTCGACCTTTTGCAGAGTGAAGAGGCCAATCTACGCTTTTACGGCGCCCTGACCTTAACGATCAAGATCAATGCTGATTGGTGAGGCATCCAAGACTGTTCTCACCAAACCTTGTGCTGACTATAGACAAGGGACCATGATGATCTGGGCAAGGATGAGGCGATGAGGAACTACCTCCTCGAAGCCCTGGTCAGCAACTACATCCGGCTTGTCATTCTGCCCGATTCGAACTTTGTGCTCCGAAAGCTATGTTCGACACTAGCCGCGCTCTTCGTCAGACAGGATTCGGGCTGGAGCTATCCACTAAGGCAGGTCCTGGCGTGTCTGCTGAGCGGACGTTATGTCTCCGAGCGGGATGTGCCTGAAATGCAAATATTGTTGGAGCACGCAAAGGTGTGTTCAGACCAGCAGCTCAAGGGCGTTCTCATGATCGCTGCCATTGTCGCAGAGGATCTGGGTAACCATCCTCAAACCTCCTTGGATGAAAGCAAGCTGTTGTTCCGACTATCCGCGAACTGTCCGGATGCCTGGCATCTATTTCGGCTCTGTGTGGCGCGGTTCTCGGAGCAGCAAAATACTCGGCAGGGCCAACCGGATGAGTTGTTTCAACTGATAGTGCAGGCAATACCGTACTGGGCCAGTCTACTAAAACACCAGGATCCTGCGGAGGGCGAATCAAAAACTCAGTCTGTTGCCAGAGGATGCATTGCATCCGCTAGCAATTGGCTGGAGGAAGATTCATGCACGGGACTGGTCCTCCAAATGCTGATTTCCCTACAACAATCTACACCAAAGCTGCTTCGTGACTCGATACCAAACTTCCCGGCGAGTATAACAACTTCAAGGAAGGTGGGGCAGTTGTTGGATCGAATGCTCCAGGGCGATTTTGACCCCGACGGGATTCTATACGTTGATCTGCTCGAGACAATAATGAGTCAAGTCGATATTACGAGACCGGACTTCCTCCGCACAGGTCTGTACGATGGCGTTTTTCTGACGTTGCAACGACTCTTGCGCTGTGATGGTGTCGCCGTCATTGAAGATCCCGTTTGTCAAATTGCGCTCGAGAAGATCAGCGAGCTCGTAGAGAGTGCCTCCGACTGGGAGAAGCATGACGAGCAGATAGAGACTTTTATCAGAAACTTGGCCGCAGATGCATGTCAAGCATGCCTACTCAAGGTCAGGCTCCCGGTGGAGCAGATGTCGAGCGACACACAAGACTGGGATACGGATGAGCGCCTGAAGTTCCAGGACTTCCGGTACGACGTGCTGGATTTTCTTCAATCGGCTTTCACCATCCTGGGTTTTGGACTGATTGAAGAAATTGTCAATCAAATCTTGTCCCAGGGCCCTTCGATAGATTGGAGTACCTTTGAAGCAGCCACGTTCAGTCTTACAGCGTTTTCAGATACCATGTCGTCCGATCCGGAGGTATATGATGGCATCATAACCACAGTGCTTTCGAGCTTGCCCTGGACGACACTGCTGCAATCGGGTCCTGTTGTCCCAGACAGAGCACGTCAAACTGGTATCCGCTTTATCACGGAAAATGAAGGCTACTTGCAACGCCACCCGAACAGCTTGGTTGTGGTCCTCAACTTTCTGTTCTCGTCGTTACATCTCCAGACATCTGCGTCTGCTGCGTCGCGAGCCATTTATAGCTTGTGTGATTCGCACCGAGCAATACTCCGAGAAGGTCTGCCGCAGTTTATGGAATCCCTTGCGACCATTGGTGGCCTTGGCGAGGCTGAACGCCATCGGATTTACGCTGCTGTTGCTGCAATCATTCACGCTCTTCCGAATGAAGAGCTCAAAATTGAGCCTTTGTCACGACTGATAGCTTCAGTTGGCCGGACCTTGGGAGCGCTTGAAGAAGAAGGCGAGTTGGAGCGTGACGAACTCGTCAGGAGATGTATTGACGTGATGCAAACATTGGCCTGGATCGGGAAAGGCCTTCGCTCGCCACATGATGTGCCGGTTGACCTGGAAGCTCCTTCTCAGGACCAGGGGCGAAAGGATTTTTGGACCCAAGGTCATGGCGCACAGGTGCAGCGCTCTGCTTTGAACTTGTACGAGGCTACTCTGAAGAAGATGCAGGTGTACGTGGATAATGTGTTCATCGAAGCATGCTGCGATTTTATCAAGTCAGGCTTCACCGAGGAACATCCTTCTCCGTTCAAGTGGCCGGACCTGACGGCACTCTCCTTGGTGTGCGATCTCGTTCATCTCGAGAACCCTGCTATTGACACCATCTTGACTTGCGCAACCAGCTTGCTTTCCTCGATATCCCCAGAAAGCCTGTCGACCGCTGTGGAGAAGCTTGTGTACCTCGTCTGCAGCGGGCTGCAGCATGTCCTCTCGGCATATCAGCAGTCACGTCAACTGCCGGATAACAATTTTGCGTCAAGTTCACTTGATTTCTTGGCTCGACTCGTGTCCAAATGGGGCACCGTCTGGTTCACCTTGCAAGACAGCGAAGGAACAGCCGCAGTAGCTTTTGAGATTGGACTCGTCCTGATGGCTGAGGCCGACACCCTGCCTCGCCGGTCAGCGGCGTTGTTCTTTGCAGCTTTTGCCGATTTCACCGTTCCGGACGCACTGGCTGCCTTTGATCCAGGCGTAACGCAACGAGTTGGAAACGTCCTCCACCAGTTCGGGGCCCGCGTGCTGACACTTGTCCTACGACTGCTGGCAGGGGAATGTGCTCGCTCCGAAATCGACAGCATCACAGAACCATTGAAGAAGTTTATCCAGAAGCAACTCATGCTGACCAAAGCGGTGCTGCGTGAAGCCGTCAAACCCGAGGCAGGCATACTAAGCGAAAAAGCAATCAAGGCAACGACACCCGAGCAGAGAAACAGATTCCTAGCCCAGATTGAGAGTCTTCGAGGCGGGCGCAAGACGAATGACATTGTAAAAGACTTCTGGATCGCGTCTAGGGGCAGTGTGTTTGGATATATTGCCTGAAAATGACGGCACACAGAAGCAGAAGCCGCAACAGAGTTCAAAAGCCCGTCACAACGTGTTCCGTATGTACATTGTGTGCTCGGGCAAAGAGTTCAATGAATGACATGCACGGCAGGCCGTAAGGCAAGACGGCACTGATGTCCGGCTGCGAACACTGCCCTAAAGCAAGTTGACTCGTTACCGCGCCATCAGGCTTGAAGGCATGCTCTCTATGCATCCCATCATTTCTTCGATTCAGCCTACATGCCGCGGTCAATGCATGGATTCACACCCTTCACGCCCCAGACATACTTACATTCTGCGCCGTATTCCCAGCCTGTGTACCCGAGGATCCCGGTTGAGTTGTCTGAGGCTTGAATTTTTCAGCCCTAGATAGCATTCACTGGTCAGCTTCGTGGGGACATGTCAAGCCTGGACACCGAGACAACATACTCCTTGCGCCGGATATACTCGTCCTCCAAAGCCTTCTCACGCTGGTTGAATTTTGGCAGATCCATCGCTATGAGTCTTCGAAGCGGACAGTACTTGATGTCTCCAAATATGTGCAAGGGATCGTGATATTGTCTCGTTCAGTAGCTGTCTCTCTGCGAGTCTTCTGTGCAATTGTACAACTACTAGGACTGTGTAGTAATAGGCGATGGAAGCCTGGCAGCGGCGCACCAAACCGGGCATGATAAAGGCAGCAGACGCGACCGCTGACGTAGTTCTGTGTCACGTGATCGTTGTCTAGATCTGAACCAAGATTGATCACTGCATGAACATCGGTATCCCTGAAGCCGTTGAGTAATATCCTGTCACCTAAGTGTCTATGGCCGATTTCATTTTTTGATATCGCTCGCTGGCAGCTACTAGGTAGATCCGTGTGTAGCATTTCTTTTCGGAGCCTGATGCCGTGAAGCCTCGTGCCCGACGTGTGCTTGTCACGTGCTCACTCGCTGTATTCCACACCGAAAGCGGATTGTAAAGTAGTACCTGGTAGTCCGCGCTCCGCCAATCAAAGCCAGACTGCGCGCATGTCCTCATTGAGTCTCACGCTTGCTTGACTTTCAGGCAGTTGACCCGTTCACATTCATTACATTTTCTGGTTTGTGAACTTCGGGTTGAAAGTTCGATGCGTTGGTCATTCCGGCATTTGCCTTCTGTGCTTCGTCGGTCTCCGACCAGTAACCGCTCTCCCTCGCCAATCCCATCCGTGCGATCATTCTCCTTCTCGCGATCACTCCGAAGCGTCGATATGGAGTCAGTGGACACGAGCAAGCGACTGGCGCAACTGCGCGACCTCATGCGGCAGCATAAACTAGACGTCTACATTGTGCCTTCAGAAGACAGTCACCAGTCAGAGTACATCGCGCCGTGCGATGCAAGAAGGGCATATATCTCTGGGTTTACGGGGTCGGCAGGGACAGCGGTGATCACGCTAGAAAAGGCAGCGTTGGCCACAGATGGACGGTATTTCAACCAAGCCTCAAAGCAGCTGGATAGCAACTGGCTCTTGTTGAAACAGGGCATGGAGGACGTGCCAACTTGGCAGGAATGGTATGTGTTGGTTTTCCGTTGGATGTTGTGTGCACGACTGAGCTGAGGGTTAGGACTACAGAGCAGGCTGAAGGCGGGAAGACGGTCGGGGTCGACCCCACCGTCATCACGGCATCCGATGCCCGCAAGCTGAAAGAGACGCTCAAAAAGAAGTCACGGGCCACGCTGGTGGGTGTCTCGGAGAACCTGGTCGACAAGATCTGGGCAGACCGGCCACCAAGGCCAGCCGAGAAGGTTATCGTGCTCTCTGAGAAGTATGCGGGCAAGTCCTTCAAAGACAAGCTGGAGGATCTTCGGAAAGATCTGAAGAAGAAAAAGGCAGCCGGCATGGTCGTGTCCATGCTTGATGAGGTCGCATGGCTGTTCAATCTCCGCGGCAGCGATATCCCCTACAATCCTGTTTTCTTCTCCTACGCATCAGTCACCCCTAAGTCTGCCACGCTCTATGTCGATTCTAGCAAGATTGGACAAGAAGTGAAAGACTACCTGCACGGCCTGGTCGACATCAAGCCTTACGACTCGCTGTTTTCGGATCTGACACAGATTGCCGAGACGGCGGCCAGTGAGTACGAGACAGACGGAACATCGAAATCGCACGCTCCTAAACTCCTTCTCTCGAATAAGTCATCGTGGGCTTTGAGTCTCGGCTTAGGAGGGGAGGACAAGGTGGAAGAATCGCGAAGTCCTATTGCGGATGCGAAAGCCATCAAGAACGCCACCGAGCTCGAAGGAATGCGACAATGTCACATCCGGGATGGCGCCGCTTTGATTGAGTACTTTGCATGGCTGGAGAACGAGCTGATCAACAACAATGCCTGGATAGACGAAGTTGAGGCAGCCGACAAGTTGGAGGAAATCCGGTCCAAAGGGGAGCATTTCGTTGGATTATCTTTCGACACCATTTCCGCCACGGGGCCGAACGCGGCAGTCATTCACTATTCACCTGAACGGGGCAACTGCGCCGTCATTGACTCAAAAGCCGTCTACTTGTGCGATTCAGGGGCTCAATATCTTGACGGTACCACTGATACGACGCGGACGCTACATTTTGGCGAGCCTACCGAAATGGAGAGGAAGGCCTACACTCTGGTCCTGAAAGGTGTCATTGGACTCGATCGCGCTGTGTTCCCCAAGGGCACAACGGGATTTGCCATTGACGCCTTCGCCCGACAACATCTGTGGCGAGAGGGACTCGATTACAGACATGGTACTGGCCACGGCGTTGGTTCGTTTCTCAACGTGCATGAGGGACCTATTGGTATTGGCACGCGTGCCGCATACTCCGAGGTGTCACTCAGCATTGGTAATGTCGTCTCCGACGAACCAGGATACTATGAGGATGGAAACTTTGGCATCCGCATTGAAAACGTGATCATGGCGCGAGAGGCGCAGACGAACCATAAATTCGGCGACAAGCCTTGGATCGGCTTCGAGCATGTGACCATGGTGCCCATGTGTCGAAAACTGATCGATCCGTCGTTACTGGATCCGGAAGAAAAGGATTGGCTGAACGACTATCATAAGGAGGTGTGGGATAAGACAAGTGGCTTTTTCACCAACGACGAGCGGACGATCAAGTGGTTAAAGAGGGAGACCGCTTCTATATGAGAGGCAGAAAACAAATGGGCTCATGCAGTGCTCTGGATGGAGAATTGGGATCAGGTAGACAGACTCTGGGAGCTGTTCCTGTTCTGATTCCTTGCTAAGGGTGCATACAATGTTTACACCTGTGGTCCCCTCAACCACTGCAGCTCGGGCGAGCTTCATGCAGAGCTGGGTTCTAGAGAAGGTCCCGGGAATGCAGAGAGCTGTGATGCATGCAAGAACACTGAGGTTTCAACGGAGCTGCCTTGCTGTCCTTTCGCGAAACACATTGATCATTGGGCGTGAACTATGGTCGCGACCACCTCCTGGCCCTGTTGTCACATCGCTGGACTATAGGTCGTCGAACCGCACACTACCGTAACGTTGCTTGCAAGCGCCCAGGGCCAACTGTACTAATAGTAGTAGCGCGCAGTCCTCTTCTCGTCGACCATAGGAGAAGTCCAACTGTGTCTGTGAGAAACACCCTGAATTTCTTACAATGACTCGCTTTCCCTTCTGCCACTCTCTGTCTAGCTTGGATCTGGTACTAGTAGAAGTTGTAGCATCCTCTGCTAGAGGTCGAGACAGTTTCATTCCAGCCACAAACAAAATTGTCTCGGTGACTAGGTATTCTTTGCGCGGTTATACTGATAACAAATGACTGATGCAGCGCTCGGAGTTTTACGTACTACTGGACCTTCATTTTCCCCCGATTATTTATTGCTGTAAAAACTTCAGAGTCAGCCACATCAACACACGACCACAAGCTGTCGGAGCTTGATGACCACTGCAGCCATTATTGAACTGTGGCCTGCTACCTACTGTATGCTCTAGCTTTTGACTCACAAGACTTGCCATCTACTTCATTGGGCAGCGAATGCCTGAGAAACAAGGCAGCGCTTAAATAATGGCCGGGCCAGGTTCCCATTGCTCCACTTCTCGGTACCTCAGGTACATAGGAGACGGAACTAAAATATCCTGAGACAAACGAGGCGCTCGCGAGGCTCATTGCATACTAGCAGAGACCGAAACTCTTCAGGCCAGTCTGTGCGTCTACAGCCCAATGGTTGCAAGGTTGGGGGCCGACCGGGGTTGCCCATACTGTGCTTGGCGGAGGAGGCACAGTCGAGTTTGGAAGAATCAATGGTGGTGTTCTCTGATACTTACAGCCTGCCGGCGCTTCCAATCTAGGCGACGCTATGCTATGGCCGAGAAAGAAGCAAACAACAGTCCTATGGATAGTAGCACAATATGTAAGGCGACACACTCCCACTCCCAACATGGTGTATTCCACCCCGGTGCCCATTCCCACCATACTTGGTGCCCTCGTGCGTATAACATGTCAGGGCCGACAAACAACGCAATTTTCTTATATAATGGACCTCCGAGCAGGAATTCAGAAAGCACCAAATCCCATGTCAGACCTTACTGGTCCAGCGTGTCCATCACAAACCTGTCCGAGGAGCGTCTGCTCTCACCCAGCTGTGGAAAGCCCGGGGCCAAGGAGCGAGTGCCACGGAAAGATGTGTATCTGGTGTTGATTGAGTTGGCCTGCCTAGCTGGCGGCTTGTTGACCGTCTTCTACTCCAGACTGGCCATCTTTTTGGGGCAAATCAACCAGCTCATCGTGATTGGGTTCCTGTTGGCCGTCATGTCTTTGTGTCTGGAAGGTCAGGTTTTGCGCACCGCCCTCATCCATACAGCAAGTCGAACCGGGTCGACGATCCAGGACCTCGATGCCCTGCTACGCAAAGACCCCTTTGCTTCCAAAGTCCACTTCGCTTATCGACTCCTCCCTCTGTGTCTGCTCGGCCTCCCACTGTTGTTGAGTGTTGGGTATAAAAGATTTACCGGTGGACAGAGCATGATCCAGCTGAAGAACGGCGGCGACGGGTTCTTTGGGTTCTCATCCACGCCTGGCAAGCAGCGGATAGGGGACGGACTGTCCATCTTGTCTGACGTTTACGTCCCGTTCTGGATCGACCCGGGCCTCAACCGAACGTATGGGTTCAACATGTATGTCGCGCCCGACAACAAAACCGCGGCCATTGTAGACTCACCATTTCCGGCTTATTTGAAGAGCCTCCAGTCCACTCTTCTTAACGGGGAGACCCTGACAATGTCAGCCATGGTCAATGCGACTGTCTCAGAAATGGTTAATCCAACAGAGGCCGAGAGGAACAGTGCCGACTATTGGACAGCTGTGGAGGAGGATTTCGACCATGACTTTGCCCTGAATGGAGGCGACGTCCGGGGTGCCAACAACGCCCTATGGGCTGGCATGAGCGGCAATTTCCTTACCAATTTTTCCGTCATGTACTTCTCTTCATGGAACAGCACGCGTAACGAGTCCTTCACGTCCGAGGCCATCCGGACTGAGCAGACCCGTCGAATGGCCCAGGCCACATGGTTGATCACCCCGTCCAATATCACGCTTACCGAAACAGCGATTATCGCCAACAGCGTTCAGGGGAATCAGTCCCTGTTGCAAAACAACGCAATTGGTCTGCAAGAACTGTTTAGCACTTTCTTGGGCGAGTACGACTGGCACAATCGAGCGTCGGCATTCGACTTCCCATACCCGGCTCCGGATGATGGACAGTTGAGATACTTCCAACCGGTAAACACTGTGCCGGCGCTGGCAGCGGCAATGGCCTGGGCTCGTATCACCATCTTAGATACCATAGACAGACCGCAAGGGATCCAAAGCCCCCAGTTGAGAGCTCAAACAGGATACAATAAGGCGGCACAAGACATTGTGATCTTCAAGTATGTTCCAACACTGCGAAGGCAGGCGTTGCTGATCGCAATCTTGCTGCTGAACCCACTCATATCATTGACTTGTCTCCTCGTCAAGGGCTTGTTTCTATACGAGAGCCCAATCGGGGACCAATTTAACACAATCTCGCTTTTGGCAGCCGCCGCAGGCAGTGACCTGAGTGCCATGAAGGGGGCCTCGTTGAGCGGGGAGCTATCCCGCGAAGTCAAAGTTGCCTTCAACGTGGAAGGGAGGAACACTCTGCTTGTGGGACAGGCCGCTGCCGAACGTGGCATTGTCCAGATAGTCCTGGCATTGGATCAGCCCGGTCAAAGACACGGAAAGATTAGGACTGGAGTTATATATTGCTGATGATATGATAATTTGACCTTGAACCTCTATTAAAGGAATCGAAAAATTCCAGGTGTGAGAGCCGTAGTGAAGTATCGTTCGCGGTGACATCTTGTCGAGACGGAGCGGTTGATGCTGCCAGCCGCGACAAGTTGAAGCCGAAAGCGCAGATGAATAATCTTTGTTGTTTAAGGACAACTGCACCCTCGACAATCGTGACCCTACAAGTTGTCTCTCTCTCTCCAACACCTCCAACGGAGACGAGATCTTAACATCCCCTATTACTTCAATCAGGCGCAACTGCTTCCGCGGGTCGGAAGTCCCGTCCCATGCTCGAAGAATTGAAGGAGATGTACAATGCAGTCGCGCCCTGTTCTCTTCGCCTTCACGCACGTCCAGTTCGTCCGTCAGCATGAGCGGTAACAACCCTTATGCCGTTAACGGCTATGGACGTCCTCGTCAGTCCAGCGAGTCGAACCCATACGCTCCGACCAATGCTCCCAACACTGTTTCTGGTGGTCGTTACGCCGATCCCTATCTGAACCAGCAACACAATGTCTCGTCTGCTTCCATCTCCAGCTTCGGCTCTCATGAACGCAGGCGGAGGTCGAATCCCTATGACCAGCGCGATCGAGACTCGCCTGGACCGCCCTCCTCGGGGCGCGCTGGTTCTGGAGGAGGAGGGTATGGCGGACTCCCCCGTCCAAGATATGCAGATACAAACCTAGCACCGCAGCCCGAGTACGAGACCGGGCGGATAAGGACCCCTCAAGACTACGAACAAAGGCCCCCGCGACCCCCAACGCGAGAACGGGAGCGGGCCTACTATGAGAGCAGAAACCGGGAGGGAAGCGGCGTAAGTGCTACTATGCCTCCGCCGCCGACAATGCCTTCGAAGCCTTCTGTGTCCGGTTTGAACCAGCAGAACATGGCCAACGGTCAAGGCAATCAAAATTACCCACCTCCAGTTCCTCAAAGTTCTGCCCGACATTATTCGCCGCGTCGGCCACCCAAGAGCATGGATGAAATCCTGCGTCACATCCAATCGGACTGGAAGGAAATGGAAGGCGACGAATGTATCCCGGTTAAGATGGCCTTAAGGCTTATGGATCCGAGTTCCTTGGGACTGGCCGAAAAAGAAGGGGATTTTACCAATACGCATGTGGACTTGCAAAAGAGCTTGAAGTCGGTCGTCAATGAACACTATGCAGACTTCAACAGCGCGGTGGGCACCTACCACAAGATCCAGAACGCCATCAAGGAGAGCCAGATCCGCGTCAGAATGCTTAAATGTGGTTTGATGAACGTCAGAGGTGGGATGCTGACGACTAGGCCTGAGTTAAGAGGTCTGGCCGAAGAAAGCAGGCAGCTGGATGAAATGCTTGTCACCCTAGGCAATATTGAGTCCATAAAGTCGGTTCCTGGAAAGCTCGAAGAGAAGATCAGCGAGAAGAAATTCCTCGGCGCTGTGGACCTACTCATGGACAGCCTGAAGAGCGTCACAAAGAGCGACCTGGATGGCATCGGGGCAATTACCGATATCAGAAGCTACTTTGTCAATCAGGAAAGTACACTTCTGGACATCCTCGTCGAAGAGTTGCACGATCATCTTTACCTCCGCAGCCCATACTGCAGGGACAGGTGGAAAGGCACAAAAGCCAATGGTGAAGAAAGAGACCCGAAAGACAATCTCATGGGTGTTGGTGTGAATGCCTGGGACCGACCTTTCAGCCACTACTTGAACAATGTCGATGTGACCACGCCGATGGTTGAAGATGCATCCAAGAACCCCGAAGCAGACACATTTTACTATATCCACATGATATTGGAGTCATTGAACAAACTCGGACAGCTTGGAGAAGCGATCTCGAGAATCGAACAACGGATGCCTGTGGAGTTGTACAAGGTGGTGGAAAGGACAAACGCTGAGATTGACGCCAAGTACCCCAACCATCTGAAGGGCAGGTTCAACAACAAAGAAAGCAAAAAGGTTGCGCTCCTTCACGTCGACGACGGCCGAAGCCAAGTGCTCTCGGATTTTCTCTACACTCTATACTCCAAATTTGAAGCCATCGCAGAGAGCCACCGCGTGCTGCACGAGATCGTTGCAGGCATCGCCGACAGGGAGAAGCTTGCCAAACCAGAAAAGTACACTGGTGGTTTTAAAGAATTATGGAAGCTTTACCAGATGGAAATGCGCTCCTTATTGCATGACTATCTGGCCACCGATGGCGATATGACAATCAGATCTAGGCTGACCACCACCACGACCAACGACATTTTCGCCCGGCCCCAGCGCGATAAGAACAAAAAGATGTTCAAGCTGTCCGAAGTGGATCAAAAATCAGACTCCATGAAGGCCGAAGAGGAAGAGCTGGACGAGATACTCAAGAGCTCGGTGCCAGGTTTAGTCAGCAAATCTCGCGCCGCCAACGGGTCAGATGTCGCGCTGGAACGCAGCGGCCAGGACAGCTCAGCGGCCGGCCACAAGCTCCTGATAGAGCCTGGAGTTTTCAACATGCCCATCCTCCTGCCCCCATCATTAACTTTCCTACAGCGTCTCAAGGACGTGGTGCCTCCAACATCGCACATCCCGATGAGCACCTTGACATCCTTCCTGGACGATTTCCTCTTGAACGTCTTCCATCCGCAGCTGGAAGAGGCAGTGACTGAGCTCTGCACGCAATGCATGATCGACTTGGACGCCTTTTCTGAGGATGCACTGTGGTCCAAACATTCGCCGCACCCCATTTTCAAAGGCACCGTGTCCTTCATGGCCTTGATCCGCGCCTTTTCCGGCATGTTGAGCTCCATTCCGCAAGACCAGATGTTTACACAGCTCATCCTCAACCAGCTTGTAACCTACTACGACAAATGCTACGGCTTCTACAAGGCTCTTGTCAGTCGGGTGGCGCCATCTGATACTAATCCACAGGTCAACACCCTGGCTCTGAAGGCCGCAGCTTCGTTCGCGGAGTCAGGGGAAGTTCATGATGCCGCTTTGGAATTGCTCAACTTTGACAAGTCGAGTAGCGGTGCCTCACGGTCGGACCTCATTTCAAAGGAAGTCCAGGCGTTGCTCGCAGCCACCAAAGCAAATCCTCTCTCATCCTACGATATCATCTCTGATCCTAAATCCGTTCATCAGCTCTCCTTGCTCTACAACAGCATGCAGTGGCTGTCGGCAGCGCTGACACAGATACGACAGGTCGAAATAGGCACACATTCCGGACCATTACATGTCCGAACCGGCTCACAAAACAAGAATGCTCGCCGATGGACACTGATCGCCGGTCTGCGCGCGCCCAATAAAGTGCCGGCTGCGCCGGGTGCGGCGAATGCAGTCTTCCTCCCTCTGACGTCCGAAACTGCTGTCCCGTTCGACCAGACAGTGTCGTCCTTTCGCAACCTGGGCCAGATCAGTTTATTGACCTTACACATTGATATCCGCTGTGGTGTCATCCATCAGTTGTCTCGCACACTCACTGGGCCGGGCACGGCCAATGCAATGTCGCCTACGGACAACCGAGACTCTTCTAGTCTTCCAAGCCTGGATTCCGGTCTCTATCCATATGTTCTCTCAGCTCCTCCCAGCTCAGCCTCGCCCCTCGTTCTCGAATTAAACAATGACCTGATCGCTTTCGACTCGAAGATCGCCGCGTATTTGGGTTCGAAAGAGCGTGATTTCATTCTAGCAGGCCTGTCCAGATTGGTCGATCGGTACCTTGTGGTGGCCGCCGATAAGATCGGGGTCATGAACGAAAACGGTGCCGAGCGGTTTAGGATAGATGCCATGGTTGTTCAGCAAAATCTGCGGGCTGTTTTGGCTAGCACCAGTGCACGAAAGACACATGATGCAGAAAGGGACAGTCCTCGGGCTAAAGCTGACGCCACAGGTCTTGGGATATCGACAGAGTACTTTGCAGAAGACGACAACGAGGAGGACTCGGGACTGCTGGTGTCCTCCTCAAAATATATCGACCTTTTCCTATCTGGACCTGATGCAATCCTACAGCATGTTCGAGCTTGCAAGTCTCACAAGGAAGACGTCGGATATACGTATGACGAGTTGAGAACGCTTGTGGAACTATGGTTCAGCGCTAAGTTGAGGGGTGAGGATCGAGAGGAGGCCATAAAGGCGAGAAAGAATCTGCAGGACGTGCTCCTGGCGCTCGGCGAGGCAATGTGGGATTCGTGATAGGATGCGAGTGTCATTGGGAGAGAGTCAAATACGCGAATGCAATCGAAGCGTGTTGCTGTAGAATATTAGCATGGTCGTCTCGCCTCTCGCAGCAAGATGTGATGGTAGTGTCCTGTGACAGCTTGGAAGGTCTTGAGCATCAGCCTTCCATGCTCTTCTTTCCAAGGGGCTCCACGTGATTTCTCGGGCATACAGTCTGTCCACAAAGCAGTGTTTTATCGCGATTGCTTTTCTCTCCGGGAAAACTGTACTGCTTTCCTGGCTGTTTGCTACACAGTAGATCCACGACTGGGGGAGCATATCTCAGTCGCCCCTTGATTTTGCGATGGAAATTTCTCGGACGCTCTGGGCAGGATCGTGGCTCAGAGCGGTGGCATATCTTGGTCAATAATGCCCAACAAGGACTACTATGTAGGGGTGTGTTACAGTAGATGTTGTATTCCGTCCCAATCGTCGAGAGCCTGTGGACTCTTGGAGGCCAATTCGGGCGGTTTCATGCTGCACTATGAGAGGACGAAGCAAAGATCCGGCATCTGGTGTGCGGCGTACTGGAAACTCTGGGAGCCGCAGAAATTGCCAGGACGTGTGGAACCAATTGGTCAACTCTCGAGACTCCCACCGTTGCTGTGCCTTTGAAGCACGATAACCATTTCTTTCGATAACCATTTCTTTGAAGGGTAGTTGTGTCTTGCAGATCTGTAATAATGACAAAACCTTTCATGTCAAGAAATAGTACAGATACACGGACTCTGAAGAATGTTTCAAGCATGCCCCTGACCGCGATACAGCCGGTTACCGTTCCAACTTACTGAGTGATGACGCTCAAGATCGGATTCTAGACCTGCAAGCCGAACCCACGTTACAGAGCGAGTAACAAAGTATCAAAGCCAACCTCGGCGGTATGTACTGGTAGGCCCGGCAGCAGGTCGCCTTGTATAGACGCAGCTACCACGCGTTCTGGAGTTGTAGCCAATGCATCACCTAGGTGTGCGAATCTGGCTGTGGTGTCATTTACTCGTTTTTGCACGGAGGTTGTATCGCGGAGGACCATTCTGCCATGCATGCTTGGACCTTCACCCCTCGAGGCGTGCACGTCGTCTGATGGCCGGAACCCCTGTCGTTCAGCCAAGTTACCGCTAGCCCCGCGGATTGGGCCAATGCCACCGAGAGGAAGTAATTTCCGCAGCACCTTTGAGCGGGACTCGACTTCCAACTCTCTTTGTTGCCTCCCATTTTAGGCACTCCATCCATGGAGTCACGCAGACTGAGATGGTTTTGGATGACAGCAATGGAAGAAGACTCGATGTAAGCCGTTTGCGAAGGTCGGGACTCGCAGCCGAGCGAAGTAAGAGAAGGCAAGTTCGTTTGAAAGGCACACAGTAGTGGCATCGGGTATGCGGACGGTTCAGTTGGACCCAGCCGGTTGTCTGATCCTAGCGCGTGCGTCCAGGAAGACCCACGGCACCCGACTTGTCCAATTCCTCATCGTTCCTGATCCTACCCATGGTGAATGGCATTTTGCAGGCAAATTGCATCTGTAAGACGCATTGAGATCGATCGCAATATACACCTTTACTGTTTTAAGTTTCATCATAGTGGCACCTTTCGAGTTACCTTGTGGGCGTGTGCCATGTGTGGCACTAGCACTCAAACGTGACTCGAGTCAATAGCGAGACCATTTGACCTTTGACGCTGGTGATAACTGCTCGACAAAACGTTGCGAGCTCCCGGGATTGCAAAGGGATGAACCATCACTGGCAAGGGTGGGGGGCCAGCATCGGAATCGACCAGGATCTTAACCGAACCCAGCACGTCCACCGGCATATATTACTGTTGAGCGACGAGGCGGTCAGCTATCAAGCCTGACCCAGGGTTTCTGGTGTCCTCACCAAGCCTGCCACCTCTTCTGCGGAGGTGAAGCGCACCAACAATAGCAGCGAACGAAGACGGCGCCTGCATGCTGTAGTTAGGACAGGATGTCGAATCGGAGAGACAGGGTGGATGGTATTGAACAATCGAAATCTCGAGTGCGGATCGGCCGGGCCTGTGACCGCTGCAAGCTGAAAAAGTCAAAGGTGTGTCCGTGAGTTGTAATGCAGTCGTCGAGACTCCAGCCATCGGGCCATTCTGACTTTCCACAGTGCGACGGCAACACCCCATGTTCGAGTTGTGTGGCTAGTGATAGCCCTTGTGAATACAGTGTCCGGCGACGACGAGAGGCCAGAGACTGGTAAGTCCAGAGACTTGTCGGGCAATGCCGACTTCCAAGCATAGTTTCGCGGCTTTGTGTGATGTTAGTTTGGTTCTTCTGACTTTTTCATCATCCAGGTATTGGGGTATGCAAGATATTATCGACGAAGCGTTGCAAAGATTATACTGGGCGTGTAGGCAAGGGCGAGGATTCCCCGGTGTGGTTCCCGACGAAACCAACGGCCGCGTCTCGACCGATGCTATCCTTCGCGGGCTAGGTCTCAGTCCGCCACCAGTAGACCGGCTAGGCCTGGGTACCACTCAGTCCGATTCTGCTCTGGACGGCGTCGAACGACAGGCGGAACGATCATATCGGCCCCCCGACATTCAGACAGACCGGTTATCCCGACCTTCGACAAGTTCTTCGAGACCAACACCGATACCGATAGTGAGCGATGATCGATCGATCTTGGGCGACGGTGTGCAAGGAATGGAAGGCCAAGGGTTAAGCGCGCAGAGGATGCCTGTTCACAATCAGCCGTCGCGAGATTCTACAAACCTCCCTCAACCATTTCCCCAGACTGTGGAGGGCACAATCGACCCTGGCATGCTCCAGGATGGCGATATGGACATGATCAACCTCGATCGTGCAATGTATTCCGACGTGGATGCGATGCAGTTCGAGCCAGCCGAACGACTGGCTGGGCACGGCGAACAAACACCGGCGCAGATTGGACACAATACACTCCGTCCCCAGCCCAGCCAAGACGGCGCCATACCTGGCCACGATTCAGGATGGCACGGCCAGAGAGGCTTTCAAGCCACGGGCCCGCTTCCGTGGCCCGGCACACTGGCAGCGGTGTACCGCAACGATCAAAGCAAGCCCGATGGGCATTCTTTCCAAGGCCAAGGAGGGCAGCAGTAGACCACCCCACAGATGACAAGACTATTTACCATCCACCGCACTCTTTCCTTGAGCATGTACCGCAAAGGACAGCATCGCCAAGGGAGGGGTTCGAAAGGAAATGCTGGAGAAGAAGACAGCCGGCGCAGGGATCCTTATTTTATGGTGCGTTCAGGTAGCAGCAAGAGCGTTGAACAGTGTTCGATGCACCCAACATCAGTCTGACGTCGAGGAACGTCTGTAAGAGCCGGAAGGAATGGCGGACCTGTTGCTGGTAAAGCAATAGTGTCAGGAGGATGCAGTGAGCGACTAACGAAAGCCGGCAAAAGAACTGCTGAACAACTTTGGAAAGGGGCGATGCTAGCGCAGAGGTGTGGCAACACTGGCAGCACCTCCGCTCAGTGAAGAAAGAGACCCGGAGCGGGAATCTCACATACACGGCGGGTTAGAGAGGCAGCGAGTCGATCGAGAAAGACAGAAGTTGCAAGTAGATGCAAAGGAGCTACGATCGGGATTAAATAGCGGCAAACGACGAGCAATACTGGATTACAACGTATATATGTTATTCGGCCAGCGGAAAACATCTCCGTCACGAGTGGCGAGGGCGAATGCAGTACCAGTAGCCACTGTTGTAAGTGGCCCGCATCGGAGCGCGCGAAGGGTCCAAGGGTCCAGGCTAGGAAATGTTCTTCCGGAAAGCACATTTATGCCTATACTCCAGGGCTTCCACCCCCAAAATGATCGCTAAATACGGGGTCTTAGCAACATTCTGGGCACTGCGGCTCGGGCGTTTTGGCACCCAGTCCCTTGGAGATCGTCGGGTTTAGGCCTCCCTGAGCGCTGAGCAAGGCTTGTGCTGTGCCACTCCCGGGATCCTTTTCCACGGACCTTTTTCTCAGCGTTTCATTTATCCACAATGCAGGCCACACTACTATTCAACACTCAAGTTGTTCAGCATTCAAACTACAATGGCCCCACTGACTGAAGTCGCCCGTGGTCCAAGACCATTCAGAGAGCTTTTCGAGCAATTATGGGAACAAGATCGTAATGAGCCGTTCAAAGCTGTCCCTGAGCCGGATAATTTCTCGTCGGCTCCGCGACTACTTTGTTGAAAGACATCAGGAGTCCAAAGCTCATCCCGGTGTATTCTCAGCGCTTCCTGGACGCTGTGTGTCAAGGTACTAGCAGCAGTAGTCACACAAAAGTCACACCAGGGTTCTGTTTTTGTTTTGTATCATTGCAGGGTGGCAGTCGCTGGTAAGGTCTTCCTTGTCGTCCCACTGCAGGGAGCACAATCATCACGTGACAAATATCGATAAGCTGCCTGGGTTGCGAAGACACACTTCAACTTCAAGCGCTTTGACACTCGGCGACTCGAGCAAACCATCACGTAACCCACATCGCAAACTCCCCTCGCTTGAAAAACCACGTCTCAATCTCAATATATAACGGCACAGTCTGAGATGTCGTCCAATGTCGGACTTTCTACACCCCGCGGTTCGGGCACATCGGGCTACGTCCAACGAAATCTCTCGCTACTGAAGCCGCGTGACGCCGGCGTTGGCGTGCCTTATAGCCTAGACTCTTCTGCTCGGCCGCCGAAGACGCGCAAACCGGACCAAGACATACTTAATCATGATCGACTAAGGGAGATTGAAGTTAAGATCTTGGAACTGAGAGAAAAACTTGAGGATGAAGAGATTGAGGAAGACAAAATCGACGAAGTATGCGACAAATTGCGAGCAGATCTGACGGCCAAACTGGCGAGCGGGAAAGGCATGGACAGAAACAAGGGGGGTGGGCAACGAGTATCTGACGGAAAGGGACTTAAGAGTTACCAAGTGCACGAGCTTGCCGAGGCCAAAGAGCGGGAGAGTGAAAGATTACGGAAAGCGCTCGGATTGCGGCCTGGCGAGATCCCAGAAGATGGGGAGCATCCGATGGCTAGGCAGGATAAGAGAAGAAGGGAACGAGAAATACTCGAAGGTGCAAAGGACGAAGAGCGGACTTGAGAGACGTCGCGGCTTTGCGGTACAAAAGAAAGTCTTTGCCCTTCAAATTAGGACGACATGGTGCGCGCATGAACACCTTGGACAAGTGTCACTAGAGAACCGATCTCAATCGGCTCGCCGACCTTCTGAAATGACCCCCAAGACCTTGGAGTCGAGGCGGTTTCGAACACCACCACAGTCCTCCAGTACACTGCGGAAATTCCGGCACATCCACCACGGGAAAACAAACAGCTCAGCCACGCTGCTATTGAGGATCCTGATTGATGGCGCTTGGGGGAGATGTGTCGTATTGACGGTTGAGGATGCATTGCTGCCTAGGTTGAAGGCCCGCGTGGCCCTACCCCAAACAGCACATTTGCCATCGACAAGTTCGCAAACTTTGGGCTTACCCTCATTCCCAAGCATTGGAGCAAAGACGGACAGTCATGGAGGATATGTCCCCACTTTAACTGGAAAACGATCTGTCCGTCGTGATACGAACATGGCTTGAGTACAGTGATGGCATCTTATTACGCTCCGACCGTTATATCCTGAACGAAGGATTGAACATCCTGGGCGAATTGAGCAGGGCCCAGAGGCCTCATGGGATAAACTCCCTTTCGTGGATGAATATCTGTCTTGTCACTCAGCGATGACATAGAAGGACAGCTATGGGGGGCCCTTGGGTGCAGGCCGACTTCCTCCTTAATCAGCAGCAGCCCTCTCACGGGCAGAACTTCAGCCATCAAGATGTCCTTCTGTAACGCAATACTACGGAGTGTCCCTCCAGCTCCTAGTAATTTACCGCCTGAATGAGTGATGCGATTGAGTCTCATGGTTTGGAGATGGTTTGATGATGTGGAGGGATGTCAGCTGTAGGGACACGATGGTCTCATCCCCCGAGAATAGTCTGATCGCCAGGCTTTAACTAGCACCTTGTCGAGACTACATGCGCGACTACCTAGGTACTTAATTCATACTCCCCTTCAAGCATACATGCAACGCCGTAATCCACAATCTCGCTAGCCCATCATTCTCGGGGTCCACACTGAGAACTGATTTCTGGCCTGTACTAGGAGCATCCGTAAGGGAGATAATGAGATGACACTGCTGCCGCAGCAAGATATCGTGTGCCCAGATATGACACGGCGTATGGGCCCACTGAGCTGTATTTCTTCACATTTATCCAGCTCGGATATTGACTGCCCCCCTCGTTGGAGCTATTTCGCTGCGAATGGTCTCCACCTCCCCTCTATGTTGTCCAGCTTTGTATATCATGGTGTTGCTTAGGCAGAGAACGAGCTGACGTAATACTTGTATGGTGAGCCACGCATTTCAGGAAGAAGAACAGATTCAAAGCTTACCGTAAGGCAGGATTCGTCCTCACTTCCACTCTCATCATTGGGCAAGTACACATACAACACCAAACCTCCCTCGTTGATGAAGCAGGCAATAACCCTAGCACTCACTCTCCCCACACTGAGCACCCTCGACCAGTCTTTAGCATCGATCCTGACTTTAGACCAGCCTGCTTCATTCTCGCCGTCGGTCCCACCAAGCTGCTTCATTCTTGTGCTCGGATGGTCTCTCACACCTTGCGAGCCATCCGGGAAGTGAGCCGGGTCGAGTTCGGGGTTGGCAAGGCCGGTCCAGCGACTTGTGATATTGAGCGCATCGGTCCGAACCGATATTTTCAGCGAGCCATGCATGTTCGCGCTCAGTTCTAAGCGAGGACTGGCACTGGATGATCCTTTAGTAGTTGCTATAGCCAACCGAGTGAAACGGTCCGATATCGTTTTGATCTGTGCCAGAGGAGGGAGATAGATGTTGACATCCGGCTCCTGGGTCCGAGGCTGATGGATCCTTTCCACAACCTCCATTGATAGCACCTTAACTGGTATATCTTGAGTGATGATGGTCTCTCGTTCCCGCGCTCCGCCTCCGTTTGCGCCAATGAAAGATGCGTCCTGCATGTCATCGTTGGAATCGAATTCACCGTGGACGCCGCCGGCGCCTGCTTGACCGGTGGCTGAGTTTGGCGCAACAATACTATTTCCACTACTGAAGGTGTTGGTGACAATGGTCAACGACAACATGGGCACATTGTCCTTCTTGGTCAGTCTGATCTGTGCGGATGTCGAGCCATACGCCGACTTCAGAGCTCTGGAGAGTGCCTGAATAGGCACCTCGAGGTTGATGGTGTTCTTGGGCGAGGCGGACTGAAGTATGTACGATTCAAAGACCGTCTCGGGTTTCAGAACAGACCACACCTGACTACCCTTGTCCGGAATGATGGTAAATTGGACATCATCGTCATTCAGTCGACACCAGGCGATCTGCCCGAGCGAGGCCAAAGAGGCGCAGAACTCTAGATGGCATTAGCATGCAGACGACAGGCAATCAGATCGGGGGTTGCGCGCACTTGCGAAGAGGTTCACATTCTTGATCTGGCTCTTGAAACGCATTGCATTATGACTTGCAACGGCTCGATTGGAGAAGACAGGCTACCAATGTATCATTGCAGGTGACTCTCCTACACAAGGGGTGGCAGCATTCTGCTGCGGTAACATCGTAGAACTTGAATCTACCCTGCTTACTCATTACTTCACATTTGAGTTTATTGCTGTTCCCGAGTCGCACGCGAAACCGCGTTCCTCCACACTTTCGTGGCGGCCACTAATGATGAAGATTGTTAGGCATCAACACCAACAACAGTCGCGTCATTCAGCCCCTAACGCGCCACACTCGGAACTCTTCCAGGGGTTGTTTGGCACCACTTTATCCAAGGCCAGTGGAGGTCGTTCCTCGCGTATCTACCACTACCATTTGCCATCCACCCCTGGCGGGTTACTGTGAGTTTTCTTGATTCTCGACAAGCAGGGACAGGGGAGTGAGTACTGTCATAGTGGGAGGCGTTTCTCCAAGACACTATTGACAGTGGCTTGAAGCCTGCGCATTTTGCACGACTTCTCCAGACGTTGTTCTGCCGCCTGATCCTTGTTGTCCCATAGTGACATCCTTCAGTTATCGACCCTTGCATCCTCTGATAGCGACCTCGGTTTCCTAGTTGTTTGTGTCATAATTTCCTTTCTCTCGAGACGCCCGTCCTATCCAATCCTCGCGAGTCGACCGGTGGACATTTGAGAACCTAATGGTCCCACGGCGCTGAGCCGTCCGACTGACCTGGTATATGCTCACTTGCCTCAGCATGCTTCATGTTTCGGTCTCAGCTGGCTGGGATCTTATGAAGAAGAGAGAGGACGTGCTGGCAAGGTAGATAGACCACCGCGAGAGCACAGCATGGCTGTCTCGACTCCCACCGTACCCCGGTTTCCTCGGTTCGATCCGCCCATCGATTCCCGCTCGCCTTCCAGATCCCCTCGCCGGAAAGCTCAATTCGCTATCAAGGAGCTTGACCCGTTGCTGGGGAACCTCTCCCCAGACTCTACCCTGAAGGCTCTCCAAGCGACCGAGATAATACCCGGTGGGCCGGCTCAGGATGCACTGGCCTCGAGCATTGGAGATGCCACTCCTGCGGAACGAGAAATAGGCATAAGAGCGGCATTTGCTGCACAGAAGATCCGCGAATGGCGAAATGAACTGTCACAATGGAGTTGGCCGGGAAAACGAGAGCGCACTCTGGGCTTGGGTTTTATTCCGCCCCGAGAGGCCAGGCAGGCGGACACTGAATATCGTGGGTATCTGCCTCAGTCGTTGGCCGAGCAATACGATGCAAGACTTGAGGAAATTAGAGACAATCTCGATAGTCTGGGCATGGAAGATATCAAAGACCATGTACTAGAGGCACACGTTCCGTCTGCATCATCACCAGCATCGCCCAGGTTCCCGTCCGTTCGTACGAGCTATGGCAGGATGCGCGACTTCACCGCCTTGATTACGGCTACGGTCATTCAGGCACTTCCCGACCTTGCGAAGTTGAACGCCTTGCTTGATACATGGGACATACGTTTGAGGGTGCTGCGAGCCCTTCCTACTTTCCTTCCAGCTATGCAGTCAACTGAACTTGCCATTGAGGCGGCATTCAAGGAGGTCAGGGATGTGGAATTGGCGCAGCAAGTCACGGCAGAGACTTTGGAGTCCAGGAAATTGGTACTAGGCGGACGAGTCTCTGATTTGGGACGATGGATCGACCGTCTCTTGGATATGCTTGAAGGACAGGAAGATTCGTTGCCCCAAAGCTGGATCGACAAGTTGGAGAAGATTGAGCTTGATTATGCGACGTGGGTGGTCGACGCGCAGCATCTGGTCTTGCAGAACGAACTGTTGGCCAAAAAAGTTGAAGCTTCCGGAGATGTGACCTTGCCCACGAGCCAAGATTTCGAAGGACCCGGCCCTGGAGAAGCCGACCATGAAAAGGAGGTCGTACCAGAGCCACAGATATCCCACTTGCCAGGTCCATTTGACGGTCACAGTAAGACACCGGACTCGCCCATTACAACCCATGTCGCTTCTCGTCCGAAACAAAAGCCATCCCTCAAGCTCGACTTGCCTGATCAGAAGGGCCACAAGCGAGAAATATCCAAGGTGTCGATCGCGGACTCTACGTATTCGACCTTCTCAGACATATCTAATGCCGAGATCATGGATGCCCGAACCACCAGCGTGCTCCCCAGTCCGAAAATTAGCCTGGTGGAAAATCCTTTTCGGACCAGTCGAGATGAGCTCACATGGTTTGGGAATCCATCTGCCGCCCAGCAACAGATGGCGACTAGGCCACCTGTCTTGCAGCGAGCTTCTACCGCCTCCATAGAAGTTGTTCCAAAAGATCAGCTCAGGGAGGTCATGTTGAGACGTACCGTCAGCTGGGACATGCTCTCTCAAATTCCGTCAAGCCCCGAAAGTACTCCGACAAAAGCGTTGAGACAGCTAACAGGATCTGCTTCTCCTGGGCCGAAGATACCAATGCCCGAGCTGGAGGCTGATTTTCCCTCTCAGTCCTCTCCAGTTCGATCAGCCGATACGAGTCCTTTGGCGACGCCTTCATTGCAAGTCGAGCCTCTCCATATTCAGAGCAAGGATCAACATCCAGATACTCAGCTTCTGCCGTCTCTCCCCCGAAGGTCGAGCAAGAGAGCCGCTGTCAGCGGCTATGCTCTATCTTCTCCTCGTGAGCTTCTGGCAACCCAATCGACCACACCCCAAGAGAGTGATCAAAAAGCTCACACCCAAAAGGTGTCGAAACAATCTCCTGAGGCATCATCACCTAAAACGCCTCGGACCGCTGAATCGCTGGACGATAAAATACAAGACATACTCACTACGCTGCCAACCAGGATCCGGCTGGCCAAGGACACGGCATCATTGAACTCTGTCCAGCCCTCTTCAAAATCTTCTACACGTTCTTCCACCCCGACCCCTTCTCTGACCTTGACACCAGCCAAACTAGAGCCTTCAAGCCGCCAAAGCAGCACCACAGACCCCGACGTCAGTGTGTATCATCTGCGGCGCACTGGCCAACACCGAGATGTTCCTCCTGTGAGGCTATTTGTCCGGACAGTTGGAGAAGGCGGTCGTGTGATGGTGCGCGTTGGTGGAGGCTGGGCTGATCTGGGCGAATATCTAAAAGAATACAGCTTGCATCATGGGGGTAGGGCTGCCGTTGACGGCCGCCTGGAGGTAGCCAGCTTCCCAAGCAGCGGCCAGAAGGATTCGGCACTTACTACCAGTGGGGCTGGCGCATCAGCAGGTCAAGTTCGACGCAAGACGAATTCTCCTTCGGCCATTCAAACAACTTTCGGCCACACTTCCTCACCTGATCCAGCCAACCCAGGCAGGCGAACATCATCAAGGCCCCGTTCTCCTGAACTTAGCCGAAAATCCCCAAGGACAGCTGAAAGTTGGACTCCACCGCCGGTACCACCCATCCCATCCACATTCAACACGCCTTCTTCTGCCGTAAAAGCTGCCACCGAAGCGGGTCGTGGCACTGCCACCAGCGGTGAGGTCCAGGAGAAAGGTTCGACCACTGTCAAGTCACCGCAGCCGTCAGATTCTGGTGGGTGGCCAGCTAGTGTACGGTCATCCGTCACCACCAGCAGCTCCGGCGTGACTACTACGACGGTCATGACGCCTCCAATCACAACCACGAATTATACGCCTCTGGGTGCTGCCGGACCGAAACCGACTGGACGCCGAGTAGCCAGTATTGGAGCAAGCAATGATGCTTGGGTTGAGGGCATGGTGGGCAAAGCCCGAGTCGTTAGCGGGGGGAGTTCCAATATGGTACATGGGCCAACCACCACAACCACCACAAGTACTACCACTACAATTACTTCGAGCACCCCTACGACACGCCGTGCGTCTTACTTTGGCTCGAGTCCTAGCTCCAATTCCAGCCCTGTGACCGTCTCCTCGAGCCCCAGCGTTTCATCTGCGGCTAGCGATGCCAAGAGCCGACGTGCGAGTCTGGCCATGAGGCCTAAAAGCCGCTTGAGCTTGGGTGACATGAGTGGCATTAGGCGAGTCTTCTTGCGGAAGAAGTCAGACCAAGCTGTGCGATAAAGTTTTGTACGCTTTCTAATCTCGGTTTCCGAGCAGCTTGGAGTCAAGTTTTCGCCCAATTGTGCTCGGTCCAGTGTACAGTATATTTACCTACTGGTCCGGGGACCTTGCTCAGCACATTGCACATATGGTGAAGTGCACCAGTGCAGTTTGGACATGATCACGGGCGATCGGTACTTCACAAAGCAGAGGGCTTGCCAGCCAGCCTCCTGTTCTTGGAAGTCATACTGTGTAGGTGTGTTTGGGGCTTTTGGTGGTCTTTTCTGCTGTTGCAGGCGGCGTAATACGGACCAAAAATAGAAAGTGTTGGTGATTGGGTGTGGCACGAAGGGTCATGAACAAAGACGACAGATATTATATATTATCATTAATGTATTGCTTAAAAATGTGTTGCTTTCCATGTCCATAGCCTCGGCCATAAGTTATTGTCTGCATAGTCAACACAGCTGCACAATACTTGGAAGTCCTATCACCTGAAGAGGAGAATCGGACAAGGCTACGAGACCCCTGAACGCAACGCTGCTCAAGATATTCAATGCTCCACCGTACACACAACCGCTTTTGTTAGGTGCAAAATGAAATGATGGAATTGGAGAAAAGTGTCCCTGGCCCACCTGCAGGGGAACGTTTTGTGTTCGCTCATCAACCCCAGCCGGGGATTGATGATTGATTTTTGAAAGTTCGCATGTATTGGACCAACATCCCGCAAACACTTCACACCAACACGCACCGCCTTTTTCCTTTTATTCAGCGGCGCTAACCGGAAACCTCAAGCATGTTGGAAGAGAATGGGACACCTCTAGCCGTCGCATACCTGGGTCCTGAAGCCTCGTTTTCCCATCAAGCGGCCATTGGAGTATTTGGACCTACCACATCTACATCTACACCATCGTCCTCTTCTGCCTCTGCCTTTGCCTCTACCGGTTCGAAAACGCCCGTCTCGCTCCACCCTCTACCTTCGTTCTCGGCCATCTTCTCCGCCATCCAGAACTCCTCCTCCTCCTCGTCCGGTTCCGCAGCGACCAGCGAAAAGAAAGAGCAAGAACAACCCGAATATGACTTTGACTTTGCAGTCATTCCGATTGAAAACAGCACCAATGGCTCGGTAGTACAAGTGCTGGACTTACTTGCCCAGTGTGGGCACGAGACCGAGCCCGAGCCCGAGTCGGAGTCAACTGCTCTCCCCTCACCTTCTTCTGCTCCTGCTGCTGCCACGACAGCCAGGCCGGCATTATATCCTGACGTCGAAGTCTGCGCAGAGTATTATCTCCCAGTCCACCACTGTTTGTTCGTGGCCCCGTCTTCTGTGGCGGAACACAATGGTTACAATACCAACAGCAACAGCAGCAAAACAGACATCAAAAATTCAATTCGAACACTCTACACCCACCCGCAAGTCTGGGGCCAATGCGGACGATATCTGGGCACGCATTTCCCGCCAGCCGGGGTCGAACGTATCGACGTGGGTAGCACATCGGCCGCGGCGCAACTTGTGGCGCGCGAGGGAGCAGCAACCAAGAAGTCTCAGTCTACGTCCTCTCCTACATCCCACTCCCATTCCAACTCGATTGATCCTGCTCCGGGAATCAGCGCCGCCATAGCGTCCAAACTGGCAGGCGAGAAACATAATCTCATCTGTCTTGCAGAGAACATTGAGGACGAACCGGGCTCGAACACGACGAGGTTCTTTGTGGTGCGGAATCGAAATCGACATCGAAATCGCACCTCACAGCGGCAGCAGCAACTCCCAGAACAGTCGCATACACATACACGGCAACACTACTATAAATCACTCATCACCTTCACCATTGACCACACCCGGCCAGGCAGTCTGGCGGACGCATTGGCCGTGTTCAAGCAATACTCGTTCAATCTGACCAGCATTGACACGCGGCCTAGTCGGAAACGGAACTGGCAGTATGTCTTCTTCGTCGAATGCGAGACGACGCACCCGGAGCCGGCGCCGGCCCCGGCCCCGGGGCACAAAGACCAGAACTTGACCAACATGCTGCGAGATCTGCGCAAATTCACAGAGAGCCTACGGTACCTCGGCAGATTTGAGGACCAGTTACGAAGCCAATAAGGATACCCACCATACTAGTACTATGGAATCGGTCATATAGTTTACGGTAACAAAGTTAAAAGAAATTAAATGTGTAAAGGATTGACTATGGTTGAATACCGACATATCGAGGTCTGTAGTATCAGGACAACGAATGCAGCCACTCTCGGGTTCCATTTGAGCAAGCTGATCGAAGTGTCGTCGTCCGGTGATGCCAAAAGCCCGTTGAGACACTCTTCTCCGACTGGAGGAGAGTGTAGAAAAGAAATTTCATCGTGTGTAAAAGAATGACCAGCTCACTTGTGAGCACTTCGAGGGACAAAAACAAAGATTTTCATTTTCAAGGACACTGATCGGAAGCCATGTTTCGGGCAACACAACCAGTCATCCCGGCGACAAGACCACCCTGCCAAGATATCACTTCAAGAGGTCATGTGTGCCCGCCTAGTCGACCTAGAGGACATTTTCGTGTATTGGACTTATATCAACCTCATGCCGACACTTGTCACTTGCTCAATCACCGTGCTCTGAGCACGTGGACAGACAAATGAATGGCCAAGGTTGAACGCCGTCCCCGACTCAGATCATGACCATATTGCGGAGATTGGTTCGTCCTAAAACCACCGGGGTCAGCAATGTTCCACAAAGAACAGCATGATCGCATAGCTTACCATGGACTAGACCGAGATCTTGTCTTGCCGGCGGCGCCATTGCTCGCTCGGCTTGTTGAGATGCGCCACTGGTGGGACCCACTCTTTCGAGGTGCTTGAAGCGTGGCTTGCTAAGGTCCGCATGCTTGTCTGCCGCTCGCCGCGGCTGAGACGTTACAGCGTCGCTGGGACGCTCAGAGCTGGGAGCAGTCTCTGCGCTGTCGAAGTTTGTCTTGCGATCGACTAGAGTCTGCTCCTCGCGCTCCATTGAAAGTTGGTTGAATTGTCAATCATCGTAGAACTCGTCATCGTCGGAAGCGTCAGCCAACTGTTCGAAGTTGACCTTGTAACGCAAAATGGCGCCAATACCACCAAATCCTTTCACGAACTGATTGCCTTCGCTGGAGCGGTCAGACACAAATTCCAGCGTAGCACCGAAATCTTTGTGTTTCTCGGCCAGCCATTCAAGGAATGGAGTCTGCTCGACAACTTCCATCTCCTGGCCGGTCTCCTTGTCCATGAATTGTTCACGGTCTTGCTCTTGAGCTTTGGTGGTGTGCAGAATCTTCTCGGTACCATCAGACGCCTTCAGAACCCAGCGAGTCACATCCAAGTCCTCGTAGACGATCAATGTCTCCACTGCACCAAGTTCAAGAGCCTTCAAAGTATCCTCGACACCATAGCAAACTCGACCACTATCTTGACTGATTTCTTCAAAGTATTTGCCGATCAGTTTCTTCTCTTGGATGAATTTTACGTTGCTCAAAGTCTCGGCAGACAAATCGATAGCCTGGTTGAACCCGTTTTCACCTCCGTAAGACACATCGACGACCTTGATGACCTTAGCCTGGAGACGAGAATCGAACATGTCGGACTGGGCCAGATCGTTCTTGAAATCGGCAGAACCCGCCAAAATGAGGCCAGCCACATTGACCTTGTCGTTGGTAATGAAGTTCTGCACTGCCAATTCGGCGACTTTGCGCACATAGTTGTGACGTTTCTCTTCTCGAAGACGTGCGAAACGCAGAGCAGACTGACCACCTCGACCGTGCTTCTTTGGGAGATCCACGGAAAATTTATGGATGACTTCTCTTGTATTGCCACTCAGAGTTCCAAACAGGGCACCGTTACCATCCATGATGATGAAACCAAATTTTTGATCGGACTCAAGGAGTTCACTGAGCGCCTCTGTATGGAACTTGTTGTCGCACAAGTATAACGAGGTGTTGATGGGCTTGAAGGGCTCAAAATCAATGTTGATCTTCCTCTCTTTTCCTTCAGAGGTGATGATTTCACCGCAATAGATGACGAGGCCGTTGGGCGGGACTTTGTTGTACAGCTTGAGACGTTGCTGGGTCGACGTGATGGCTGACAGGACGGACAAACGATTGACTCGAGACTTGATGTTGGAAGCCGTACCGAATTCTTCAGCCAACATTTTGGCAGCTCGAGAGACCTGGTCCTTGGGCGCTAGACAAACCCCTGTTAGTTCCGCACATGGTTGATGCGACAGGCAACTGTTACTTACGAATAATGAGGGAAATCATGGATGTACCATTGCCCCTGGCTGCCTCGAGGCGTTTGATGAGCTTTTTCACCTTCCAGATCTCGATGTTTTTTTCAGCTTCATTTTGTTGCTGTTGTGTACTCATGTTTGCTGAGGGTTGGCCGACCGACGACGGCCTGCTCGCAAGTAGAAGGAGTGAGCGAACGCGCAAACAGAAAGGAAAACGGCCGGGGAGGAAAGGACGTCTTCGAGAATCTGTGTCGAGGGTGAGAGTAAGGTGACGTTGGAAGGAGTGAGGTCGTGGAAGTCGGCGAGTGGATGAATCCGCTGGCGGTGCAGTGGGCTGGCGCTACAGTGTGGACTTCGAGTTTCACGCCTCAGGTTCAAATTGTGGCCGACTGATGACTGCCACTTTTACTGTGGCGCGGCGGGTAAAAGAATGCCTGACAGTGACAATTAGGAAATTTCATCGCGGTAATGGTCACGTGCTACGCGTTAGAAAATCAGCAAGTCTGACAGCGTGTTTGGCCTTGGATTTGCGGGTGATTACAGGTAAATGTGCCGTCTGACGTAGCACCCTATCGCTTATCAGGTCCCTACCAGATTTCCCCGCTGCTATCAACATCGCGTCCCCCTTGCGCCTATCGCATGCCTGGTAACATCATCTCCGCCATGGATTGCCCTGCCTACATCGGTTATGACCTCTGCAAGATCTGGATTGCCTCCATGGTCTGCCCTGTCTACCTAGGTACTAGTAGACATTTCCATTGCTACTGAAATTTTCCTCTCATACGGTTGTCTGCTGGGGATCAGCTCCCTCGTTGTGTGTTGCTAAATACCAATTGATACAGCTGCTTTGATTATGCTCTGAATCCCAGTACCAGACGTGTTTCGATCTCTTGTTGTCACAGTATCGATCCGGCGAGAACTATGAGCCAGCGGAACAGACATGCTCCCCCGACGAGCTGGGATGCCTACGAACATGGACGCGCTTCTTCCTTCGGCTCCCTTGGCTCGGTTCCCGAGAATGAACAGCAGGCTGCATTCTCCCCTTCTACTCCACCTGCTCACCACTGGCAAGGCCGGGATTCGGACGACAACACTCCCGGGTTGAGGCGGACATCTTCGATATCCAAGAGATTCGACAGTCTGCGGCATATGGGAGGGCCAAACAGCATAGACAATTTTGCCAAATCGCTTCAAAGAGCTGCTGGGTTCCGAGAGATAACACCGGTTCGGAGAAACTCAATCAGTGCTCCAGGTGATGAAGAAGCTGGCGAAGAACATCCCGAACCAAGTACGGCTCAGCAAAATAGATCACTTTTGAGGCAGCAATTGAACGCATATCACATACAGCAGGGGAACGAGGAAGCGCTGCAGGACGATCAAGGGGAAACGGAGGAACCGACGGAAGAGTCACGGTTGCTACCTGGTGACAACCATGAGATACACAAGTACACCGTTGAATCGCCATCGTCCGGGCCGTTGCTTGCTTCCCAGCTCGGGACCAGCTATGGGAGCATATCATCAAGGTTGACGCCCGCTGCACGGCGACGCGCATCGATCCTCATTGCCGAGCAAGAAGAAACCAACAGACGAGCAAGAGAACATCCGGAAGATTTCAAGGACGAACCACATAGAGAGCTTGAGCGGGAGGTTCTGCCTGATGGTGAGATCATCACACGTACAGTGGGCGAATCCACGGTTCCAATGACCGTCTTCAACTCCACGAACGTTCTAATTGGTGTGGGCATTCTGGCTCTCCCACTCGGTATCAAATATTCTGGTTGGGTCCTTGGCCTCCTTTTACTCACCCTTGCCGCCATATCCACCGCTTACACCGCAAAGCTCCTTGCGAAATGTTTGGACACTAACACTGGATCAACCACGTATGGAGATATTGCCTTTCTTGCATTTGATACCTGGGGCCGAAACTTTGTGGAAACATTGTTCATTCTCGAGCTCACAGCGGCCAATGTCGCCCTCATCATCCTGTTCGGTGACAGCATGAACTCGCTAGTCCCAGCTGTAGGCGTGAACGAGTGGAAGGCTCTTCTTGCCATTGGTCTAATCCCGTTGAACTTTGTCCCGTTCAGAACCCTGAGCATCACCAGTGTGATTGGGATATTTTGCTGCTTTGGCATCCTCATCATCGTCTTCGTCGATGGCTTGATCAAACCCCATAGTCCAGGGTCGTTACGAGAGGTGGCCAAAACCTACGCCTTCCCAGCAAACTGGAAGACCTTGCCTCTCAGCTTGGGGCTATTCATGGCTCCATGGGGCGGACACAGCGTTTTCCCTGCCATCTACCGAGACATGCGGCATCCACAAAAATACGGCCGCGCCGTCAAACATACTTACATCTTCACCTACGGGCTGGATGTGTCCATGGGCGTCCTGGGTTACTTGATGTTTGGCGACCATGTACGGGATGAAGTTACATCAAACATCCTCCGCGACACTTCTTATCCACATGCACTCTCCGTCCTGTTGGTGGTGCTGATTTGCATTATCCCTGTCACCAAGATCCCCCTGTCTAATCGCCCGATCATGGACACGTTGAACAAGAAGTTCCGTATTGATCTGCGTGAAATGGATCCCAAAGCACGGTTGCACAGTCAGAGAAACTGGAAACACCGTGCCGGGCGCACCGCTGTTGCCATCATGGTTAATCTCATCCCGCTGGGGGTTTCAATTGGGTTTCCGGATTTTGACAGCATCATGGCATTGATGGGTTCGGCGTTTTGTTTCACCATCTGCATCATCATGCCCGTGAGTTTCTACCTGAAGATCTTCAGCAGCGAAGATAAGGGCATTAGCCTACTGGAACGGGTTTTGGATTGGTGCCTCCTCATCATCTGCACTGTCTTGGCAGTCCTGGGCACGGTATTTGCTATTCTGCCAAAAGAGAAGATTGGCCTCGCCGAGTGAATTGATCCAGTTATCTTGACGGAAAGCCCATTGTTGTTGCACGGGCATCAATGCGAATGGGGCTTTTCAAGGTTGTCAAGTCGAGTGCCATGATGCTGTGGGATATTTCACAGCTACCTTGGCTTTGTGGTATGATCGGTGTAACTGCGAGCCTCATCTGCCTGCGTTAGTGTGTTTTGAGCAACAGAGATCTATGGGATGCGGTTTGTCGCGAGCCCGCAAAGGAAATGGGCCGGCGTTTTCCAGCGTAGCGTTTGCGTTCTTGTTTAATGATAATGTAGATATCTCCATGCAAATGGCATGGTGGCACCCTACCATTTCGGTGAATTTCCCTTTTCCACATTGATTGACCATGCCGCAAGCGCTGCTTCCGGGCAGTAGGAATAAACACAATGCCCGCTACGTCCATCGGAAGCAGTTCAAGGTACTGCTGCCACCACGCAAACTAGTACTGTACCCCGGACATACTAGTCTCCGCTTTCGTTTCCATTTCCATCAAAGATTTATATCGTGCAGCCAAACCTCCTGCGTCACGCGGTGCGAGAACCTACTGGCAGCAAGAATCTCAACCATCTGGGCCTCACTAACCAGCAGCTCTTGCTTAGGTATAAACCAACGCAGACCCTCGCTACAAGGCGGGGTGGTCAAACTGCCCTTGTAGGTCCAATACTCCTGGAGACCGCCGACCTCTTCAATGGCGAGACGGACGTTGACCTGCAGACCCTCGACCTGCGAGGTATCGTTGAAATGCACCATGGGCCCCAGCTGTTTGATAAAGGCCGATTCCGACTCTGCAGGGCCTACTCCCACCCGGATTCCAACCACTGCAGCCTCCTCGTCTTCCTCTGTGACGTGGACCATGTGGATTTCTGCCCGACTCCGCCGGCCATCCACAAGATGCTCCGACGGAGCGTGGATGTGCCAGCCCGTGAGGAAGACGTCGCGGCCGTCGAACTTCATGCTGGGCAGTTGCGTGACGTCTCCCTCGGCGTGGTGTGGCGTGAATGCCGGTGCGAACTGCCAATTGAAGAAGTTGCCGGCAATAACTTCGTTCTTGTATCCTTCAAACGTTGGTTGATGTTGCTGCTGCGCGAGTGCTTGGCCAGCGATGTTGATGGGCGATTGGTGAGTTCCGGACTGGCATAGGTGATACTCTATGCAACAGAAAAATGTCAGAAAGACCGGGTGACTTGGGTTATGGAAGTCCACCAACCAGGTTTGATCGTATGCCAGTCGGCAGAGTGGTCGTAGTCCCAGTCCTTGGGTGCTCGTCCGACGTCGATCCTGACTTGTCTTCGGCCGAGGTGCGGGTGATGTGATTGGTAATTATCGTGTTTGGGACAACACCAGGCTGTCGTGAAGATTGTAAAAGACACGAGAAACGCGGAGAACATTGCGAAAGAAAATATAGCTGTCGAAATATAGCAAGATCGAGAACCACAAAATGATTGGTGCAAACAAGGACGACGACGAAGCAAGCACCAGGCAACAGACACAGTACAGAGAGGGAACGAGAAGATGGTCTGATACTTCAGTGCTCCTCCAGGCCGGAGACACTATTGTCTTTATCATCCTACCGACGCAAAGCAGCATAGTGGCCAGGCCAGTCTCCGCTCCATGGGGACTCGATCAACAACGGGGGCGCCAAGTTCCTCGCTTGTTCCAGTAGTGTTCTGCCTCAGCCTTGAAACGCTCGAGAAAGCAGTCCATGGCGCTTGTATGCAGTGGTTCTTTCATACGTTGCGAGACCCAAAGAAATAAACGAAGATGGTCGAGGCGGCAGATCCCACTTAAGGCTCAAGCTTGTGAGAAGCGGCATCCAGTTCGTTCAATAGTCTCCAGCGAGATCCTTGTCACGATGGACAAAGTACAGCTGTACTTGTTGACAAGCCCAGCGAAGCCGCACACAAGCATGCGCTTGTCTACGGGCGCCAAGTGGTACCTGACAGCCAAGGCGAAAGACTCTCCACCGGTGTCGAACGAAGACATGGCAAGGCTGTCTCGTACTGGCCATCCCAGGGGGTGGACCGGTAGCAGACGATGGACCAGGGTGTTTCCGTAACCTATGGACCAGATGAAGCGTCTAAGAAAAGTCCAAGAGTCTCAAAGAGGTTGCCAAGTCACTTGGCAATGCCAGGCTCAAAGGCGTTGCAGGGAATCCCGCTCCTCTGAAGGCACCATCCCTTTATTGCTAGTTTCGCTCTCTCCTGTCCAGTCCTCGCCCAATTTTGGACCACTTAAAAAGGCTGCTCAGCAAACACTCACAGTGTAAACAGTACGAAGGTATAAGGGAATATACACTGAATGGAACGCGTCGTTCGAGTCATGTTGGCTTGATGGTAATTCGTTAGTTAGATGAGTAGCAGTCTGATCCGGAATTCTTCGAAATCAGTGCGCGAAGCGAGATCATATTGAGCAGGGTCTATCATGGGCAGAGATAAAAACAGATATTATAATGCTAGTGGCCGTATCAGGACCTTCCTGTATCAAAAGCCGGTTATCCACAAGCTCGGGCGCGTGATGCCAGGCCCCCGAGATTGTCAGCATCATAGCTTTGTTGCTCGTTTGGACTTTGTGAGTTCTTCAGATGTCCAACAACTTGAAGTCGAAGGTGCGAAGTCGACCTCGATGTTGAAGTCTCCCGCGCTAGTCTCCTCTGAGATTAGTGTCATATAGGACCATCGAAGGGGCAATACCTACACAACGTACAACATTGTACACTGTATAACCTCGTAGTTCCCATTGTACCCAGACTCGGCGCGAGACTTGAACCAACCGCATTCTTCAGATAAAGCGCTCCTACGGATGAGGGACCTTGAAGCCCAGTCGTCTGCAAGATTGGCAAAACTGTCTCTAGACTGATCTTGGGGCGGGACCAACTTCACATCTGGATAGTTCTTTCTTCCTGTGTTCTCGTTTGGGACTGTATCCTACAATGTTGGAGCTGAGTTGCTCCAGTTCAGTGTTACAGTGTGACGAAACCGGACTAACCACGCAACTGACTCGAGACTGTCCAGCACCATTGCATCACTGCTTGAAGGGCCAAACCAACCTCGTCACTACAAAAGGCGAAACGAGACGATATTCATCGGTATAAATGACCAGTAACCTGTCTTTTATCATTGAAACAAGGCGTTCTCTCTTGTGGCCACTGAGAAGCGAGGGATCTCTTATCCTTTTAAACTCCGCTGCCGTGGTCGCTAATAGAACCCAATGCCAAAAGAAACTTTTAGATACGCCCCGGCATATCTCCACCCCAAGCACTGCCAAAATTGGTACTGTTCCTGATCCTCAATCTCGGCATGTCATCGTCTGCTTCCTCCTGCGCCGGTGCTGGTGATGACTCTGCTGCTTGTTTCTGTTCACTGGCCTCAGAATCCTCTTTGGTATCATGCACCAACTCCACCAGCTTTTCATCCACGATATGGAGGAAAGTACTAGCCGCCTCAGTTTTAGCGCCAGGATCCAGCATTAGCGGACCCTTGAGAGCAGGGTCGTCCTCAGACTCGTAGATTGGATTCTGCTCCGGTTCTTGTGCTTCCGGGATAGTTTGCTGGGTGTCGGCCTCTGGTTCATTGGCAGCAGAGGTAAATGAGAAGTATGAATCAGATGCTTCAGTTGGGCGAAGCGGGGGTCGTGCAGTAGGAGCTGGCGCAAATGGCTGCTCCTGCTTGGGAGTCAAATTGTCTGTAGTCTCAACACCAGACGACAAAGTCCCATCAAAGGCCATTGGCGTGTGACCGGCATGCATCTTCAACTTTTCGTCCAGGGGAGACACCAGATTCTTCAGATCAACCTGCAGGAGCCCCTCTGTGCCTTCCTCAGGTTGCGCCGGTGGTGAATGAACAGGAGTTGCAAACTGCGGACTGGTGATTCCGGTGTCAAAGGAAGAGGTCAATGCGGCAGACTTGAGAGTGATACCATCCAAAGTATTGTCAACTTGCTCAATCGGTACGGGTACATTCTCCTGCCCACTGGTGGTCGGGGAGATTTCCTTCGACTGCGATTGAAGCGGTTCAGTTTCCGAGATACTGGGCAGATGAGCCACATCATCGTCACGAGAGAAAACACGCGTGACGGGGGGAGTGCTCTCAGGGCCTTTCCAAACCGGAGGTGGTGCGTGGGCCGGCTCAGAAGTAAGTCGGGATCGGTGAGTGCCATCGGTGCCAAAGTAGTGTAAATCTGAGCGAAAAGAATGCAGGCTGGCACTGGAAGAATCGTTGCTCGACCTCCTCTTGGGATCCCTAGTCCTATTCAATTTCCTTTCCAGCTCCGCGATGCGGGCTTTGAGCGCAGTTCTTTCTATGTCCCACGCTTTTCGCTCCGCTTCATGTGATTCTCTCAGCTGCGTGTTCCATACTCGACATTGTTCCATGTAAGCGGTGATGTCTATTTCAGACACCGAACTCGGGATCTGGAAACCATGCTTCGGTAACTGACTGGCCGACGACACCGAGGGGAGCAGAGGCACATTGGTTGTGGCTATAGAGTGTCGGCCCTGAGGCACTGTCGTGGGAACATCTGAGAATCGAACCCCCTTAGGGACGACCTGACTGCCACTGACAGGAGGAACAGGCATCGCTTCGGTCTGGTTGAGAGGAGAGAAGTTGCCGGGGTCGTGCTCTATGGCCGGGCTGGGGTCGAATGCCTGGGTTGGGGAGCGCGGAGCCATGTGTGCCGAGGCGGTACAGCCGCGCCGATCGAAAAGCTGGCTGGGGTGACTGGAGAGGAGAGACCGTCGCTAGGACGAAGGAGCGTCGAAAACGTAACAGAACCTCAAGCGAGAGAATATAATCCAGTTGAATACACTATGATGTGACGGGCCTGAAAGCCGAGGTCGTGGATGTATGAAATAGCACCAATGGCGTCGATATCATGCACTATAAGGAAGATGTGAGGCTGGCGATGCTGATGATGTCCTGTTCATGGTTTCGAGGTAGAAAGTCGAGTTCGTGCAGGGCTGAGAATTGAAAGTTGCAGAAGAAAAAAGGAAAGAGCCTGAACGAAGCAGTAGCGATGGACGTACAGCACTGGCAGTAGCAGTAGCAGTAGCGGTGATGGACGTGTGATGTTGCATGCACACACATACACACACACACACACACACGCAGACACGCAGGCAGGCAAGCACGGCAGGCACAGGGTCTGGGGTTCGGACACTGGCACAACAGCAGTTTAGTTCTGTGGGAATTGTGACGATGGCAAGTCAGATTGCTCCAAAAAATAACACAGCCAACCTGAAAGTGAAACCCACCGCCCACATCAGTTGTTGGATGCATGACGTTGCTTTTACCTGAAGAATCATGATGGCGCAGCTCTAGCAGACACCGGCGCCCCAAAACAGCCAAACAGGGTCTCTGCGGTGGGCTGTTGCTGCTCGATCGAGGGACGAGCTTCAAGCCTCAAGGCCCTAAAGATCCCTAACTATATACTTAGTACGGTGCGTAAGTTAGGGGAATCGCCGACACCTTACTTAACCCACCAACAAATCGCCGGTGCTGGCAAACTTGAGCCGCTCAGCCCAACCTTAGAGCCGGGGAGGCCCGATGTTAATTAAGGCTTCAGGGTCTCTAACATCTAACTTATTGTGCCTTAGGGGAACCACCTGATGCCAGTTGCGTTCCGATTTTCTTCGCCCAGGTCCCTCTAGTGCGCATCGATAAAGCGCGAGCCTCCACTACCGCAGGTCAGTGCCTGGCAGCGGCCAAAGACGACGTTGCCTGCAGTGTAGTGCCAAAGAAAAAAAGGGGTCCAATCCATGTCTCCAGAAAATTCTCCGAGCAGACAAAAAGCCGTGCCAGTGGCACACGACACTCAACTGGCCCGCCATTCAACACCGTCGATATATACCTCATCCACATATATGCGCAACTTTTTCTCAAACTCTGCCCAATATGTAACGTTGGCTTCAAATCAATTTCCCCTGCGTCTCACGTACACGTGGCGGTGTCCTCTACAGTGGTAGTTGCCGAAGAATGTCCTGCCGGCTCGGACGTCCTACGAGCCTCCTACGCGGATCTGAGACCTGAAACAGACTGCATCTCTCCCATCGCCATCAGAAGCCTCAGAAATGCGCAGATTTCTCCACTGCAGCGAGCACTGTTCAGATGCCTGGGTCTTCGCATTCGGGCTAACATGGTGGCATTGAAGTATGGCAGCATACAAGATATGGTAGGCTTGCTTACTGAGGTATATTTCACCTGTTCAGTCTTCTGTAAGAATTATGCACCACGTCTGGTGCAACGCAGCGGTCTCTCAGGTAGGTGGGAAAGCCTGTCGAACAGGACGCCGTCACTGCTTGATTGGAACGGACACTGCGCTCTGACAGTAAACGGAATGGTTGCGACGGGGAAAGTTCAACCTTGGGTTGATATTCTAGGAATATGTCCGGTCTTGGAGGCTCCAGACTTCGATGCGGTGGACAGATGTTGTTCCCACAAACCCAAAGTGTTAGAACAGAAGCCAGAATTTCCGAAGACCTAAATCTAAAAATGTCAGGACCATCTCCCAGTGTACCAGTTCCTCTATATTGCTGTCAAGGAGGCTTTGCATGTTGCCGGACACTTGTTACCATACAGTCGCTTCTGCCTTTTTACTCTCGACATTGCTCACGACCGTAGTATTTGTAACCTTTCGCTCCGGCGCACCGTGTTACCACTGAAGCATATTCCTTTGGAAAACGGGTTCGAACAGGTTCCCTGAATACTAACAGGCACATACATAGTACAGTACCTACTCCATGGCAGAGTAGACGTGCCCATCTCTCAGTCTGGCGCCGAGACACATATGATTTTTTATATAGGGAACCCGGTGCTCAAGCTCTCCCCAAACAAAAACACAATTCATACATGCATGCCAACGAGGTGCATGTATGATATCAGACAGCCGAGCAAGAAAAAGAAACCAATCCCTATGGAATAAAATTTGCGAAAAATCAAAAAGAGAAATGGAAATGCAGGGAATCGAACCCCGAACCTTTTCCAATCGAGATTGATCGATTGATGCTAAGGAAACGTCATACCATTAGACCACATTCCCGAAACGAGCCGTTTGACCTGAGCTGGTCTGGAGGCTTGTTCTTGGTGAAAATTTAGCTAGTTTGGCATATCATCACAGATTTGTGCGTAAGGTTTTATTGTGGAGCGCCTGGCTCCACCACGCCCGGGTACTACGAACTTACCGGCGATGATGCCCCTGAAAACGTAACACAGCCGCCGCTGGCTTTCTCCCTCTTGTAGTACAGAGGTATTCTGATCACGGCTCGCGACTAGACCTGCGTTTCAGAGGCGAAGCCATGATGAGCACCTGCAAGTCACAAGCCGTATTCTGGACATAGTCTACAACACCGAATATTGGTCTTTGGTATACGTTTGATCACTGTATTTGCGGACTTGTGGGCGTGGATTCAAATTAATATATTTATATTCATATCATGACTTCCATCCCATACTCGTATGCTGGTTGCTACAATCGAGCTCACAACACATTGTATATCCATTCTCTCCACTCAGTAATGCTTTGTCTATGTCTGTATCATTTCAACGCATGGCCCCATTCATGCTCGTCAGTCATGGCGGAAAAAGAAAAGAAATGGTAGATCAAATGTCAAAGAACTACCACTGCAGCACCAAAGCAATGCCTCTGAGAGTGCTAGGTCCTGTAAAGAGCCAGCATATACTGTATGCTTAGCTAGCTACTGACGTTCCGCCCATGCCACCCACCGTCTGACGACTTCATCTACAGCCTTCAGTCCGGCCCTCGTGGCCTCGATCTCAAACCATTCCCTATGCTCTCGTCCACACTGCTCGCACTCAGTCTTGACCACGCGCTTCTCAGCCAGCTCGAGATGAATGAGTCGCTCGACACGGTGGACGTGGGGGACTTTTCTCGCCGGAGAAACACCACTTCTGCCGTGGCCAGATGAGCCTGTGTACGGATAAAAGCGAATCAGCGTAATGTTCTGTCCGCACTGTTTGGTCCATTGGGACATGCGGCGGTGGACATTTGAGGCGCGACCGATTTTGAGGGTGATTGTGCGCTGCGCAACTGGTTGAGCTCGAGACCGAGAAGATGGAGATGAGGTATTGGTATGTCGAACAGAGGCATATCGTGTTAGTGTCTGGTTTGTCCGTGCAGCGGAAGCCGTGGTTCGTGAGATGTCGTCGTCATCATCGTCTAACAATGCTGATGCCGTCTCGTCGTCAGGCTTGGATACGTCGGTCTCAGGGGTTAACCAGAATATGTAGATGTACCCGGCTTCATCGGATGGTGAAATGGGTCGTGATAGCTCAGACAGTAAGAGGGAAGTGGCCTGCGGCGAGAGATGGGGCGGGATGATCGAGAGAAAGGTTTGTGTTTGAGAGTGAGTGGGACTGGAGGATGATGCTACTAACGCTGTTGGTCTCGGTGGTGTAGGTTTGACCGGCAGTGACTGCGGAATCGAAGTCATGTACAGTTTGTCGTGGGCCTGCTGCATTTCCAGCCTAGGGGCATGGAATTCTTTGGGTGGACGTCTGGCTCTAGCAGATCTCACCCTTGCAGGAGGAGGCAGGTCTTCATCGTCGTCATCGGCTCGTATGCAACAAGCCCAAGAGAACTTGACATTAGACCGTGGAGGTGGAGGTGGAGGTGGACGGGGACGTGGACGTGGGTTACGTCGTACAACCTCCTCAGGCACACTCATCAGAGGGCTTTGCATCTCATTCCAACCCGAAGGCAACGTCTCTCGACGACTGGGGCCGTGGCTGTTACCAGGACCGCCGCCATGGCGGTGATGTCGTCGATGCCGCTTCTGCTGGTCGAGAATATCCTCATCCAAGTTCAAGATTCCGACTCGCTCCACGAGTGTATCGATACTCGATTTCTCCTTCAGGGGATGGAGACTTGTGGTCTTTCGATCATTTTTCGCGGCCAGCTGCTCCGCCTGGTCTTTATGTTGCCAGCAATAGAACGCTGCCGCATGTTCTTGGTCAAGAACTGCAAGCACACCGACGCCGCGATTGGGCGAAGGGGCGGGCGAATCCCTTGGGGATGTGGAGGCGAGCGCTCGCCGACACGGCCGTCCTGTCGAGGTGATCCCTCTACACGTGGTTGCCGGATTTTTTGAGTCTGACCGTGGAAGAAGCGACTCAGGCGTCCGTCCACTGAAGGACATATCGGGCGAAAAGCTGTCAAGTCAGTCCGGAGAAGATTGCACGGTCAGTTGATACCAAATGGTGAGTATAGAATCCATGAGACGTGCTCATGTAGAGAGTACAAGCAGCCGAATGTCAAACCGGGCTACAAACGGACGCACTTCACCGTTCGCCTTCACCGGTGACATGGCTCCTGTCACGACGTGGAGAGGCGCCATTAACTGCCATTGAAGAGGTTGTTAAGCTGAAGTAAGGCTCAAAAGTCGAGGCCTGGATGGAATGATTGGATTCACCCTGATAATCGATGGTGGCTGGTTCGGTGGCTGGGGCGTCAAACGGGCTGTGTCGGAGTCCAGCCTCGCCTCTACAACTCCGCACCACACGGATATTAAGCACTGATTAGGTTACAGATGACGACAGGTTACTTACCAACAGTCTACAGCTGCGACATGTAAACTTCGCTTCCTCGACCATGTATTAGAGTGCTTGATACATACGAGGCTTTAAGGGACCACTAGTGGCCAAATCCAAAACGCTAAAGCGCAGGTGGACTATAAACCGCTTCAGAAAGACTCGTGGATATCATTGTCTGCTTCTGACAGACATCGAAGCCATAAGTACTGTAAGATCCTTGTCGCGGCCTGTAGTCCGCTGTAAATTTAGATAAAGTGGCCGTCGAAAAATATCCGCCCGGGAGTGCCATTCTTGTCCTGGTATACATGGCTTTTTGATAGCCACATGGCACATGGGTGGATGCACCTCGATGTTGAGACTCTGTAAGATCCCAGAGCTCTTCCGAGGGCGTCCAATCAGCCGAGCTTTGCCAACGCTTTGTCCGATTAGGTCATCTCTGAGTGAGATATGTTCGTCTGAAGTCAGCCGCATTGCTGTCGTTTAGACCTCTCTCAGATTTTCCCCGCCCAACCACAACCACACCCACAGAACCGGTTTCATCACACAGGTTTATGTTGCGTTGAGATCAACCTGAATACATTGTCCTTAGTGTGCTTAACGCCAGGAGGCGGCCATTCCGGTTGCCAGCATTGGAGATCACACTGGAAGAAGGGCACTCGTAACAATCAACACAAGTTTCGCTCGAACTCTTTGATAATAGGGCATTGCTTCAAATCAGACATCCTCGGTGTATTGTTTCTCATTTACCACTGATGGTACGCTGCGGGTGCTTGTTTTGGCAAGCAATTTCTTCCTGGTTAGCCCACCACATAAAGCGGCCTTTAGGCTCGGCAGGGGATCTCTCGCTTCGGGGAGAACCAGAAACAAGAACACGAGAGCGACACCGGCAGTGGCAGGCAAAAATCCGTAGAGGTAGTGTGCGGCAGGGGCAAAATCGTGCGGCATGCTGAAAATGGCGCAGGCGAGCGCAAAGGGGGCGTATAACAAGGCTATGATTGTGAGGTACCGCGAATAGTCGGCTTGACGGATAGATTCACTTTCAATGGAAACGAGGGATCCGGTGTCCTGACACTGTGAAACGGCGAGAATGTGCTGCATCTGGGAGTCACACTCCGCACGGTAGTGGTGCAAGTCGATCAGAAGACTGCGGTAATCCTCGGTCAGGTCCGTGTCCTTGCTAACGTAGGACTTGATGCGAGTGAGTATCGGTTTATATCGACTCAACATGGAGTCCAAAGATATGCACTTGTCGAGGATCCTCTTCATCTTAGACGAATCGGTTGACAGAGCGGTCGAGATGTGCTGGCTTTCTAGCGTGGAGCGGATGTAGTCGAAGAAGTTGCTGCATTCACTCGCAGCGATTTGAAATGCCGGTCTCATGATGGTGAGAACATTCTTCTCAGCCGGCCCGATGACACCATCGCGAGCCAATATCTGCCAGTGTCGACAGAGGTCGTCGAATGGGTTGGGGCACATCCGTCGTGGACCGCATTCCCGGTAGTCGTGCTCGTCTTTAGTAGGGGGTGGTTTGTGTTCGATGAAATCCAGATAACCGCCTTGATAGCCTGCTACATCAAGGCGCTGGGTAGGAGAGAATGTCCCAAACATGGATTCAAGGCCAAGGGTGAAATGTGTCATTGGAGGATCCACGAGAACAATACCTGATCAACGGTCAGCTTTGCTCTTGCGTGGAAAGTAGGCCGGTGAATTTTGTCGTCTAACATCAGCCTAGAGGATCACGTACATAACCATGAATCAAGGGATTTCTTCATATAGAAGGATATCTTCCGACGAGCCAGAGCTACCTTCTGTTTACCGTGCTTCAAGCATATCTCAACCCGTCGACGATAGTTCCACTTACAATAGAGCTTGTCGAGGTCAACGTCCTTTCCGCAATTGATCGGAACAAAGACACACGGATATTCAATGGTAAAGAATTGATTTTGATGACGCAGATTCTGCGACGCCAACGGAGAAGTAGTGTCAACCTCTCCGATGCCTCCAATGCCATGATCGGCAAGATGAGAAGCGAAAAATGCGGGCTCAATGTTGAGCAGGCCCCCAAGACTGTCGATCATTTCAGGGCTGATGTTGTTGACCATAACGATGCGACCATGGACACCAGATGGCGGTTGTGCCGGGGCATTCCCTGAGGGCTTCTTAGTCCACTCCTTCAAAAGTACCCTGAGTTTCGTGGCGTCCGAAAGATCAGATGTCCTGAAGCTTGTCGTTCCGAATTCCAGGAGGATTGCTGTTGAGCGCTGAGGCCGTTGAATACTGGGGTTTCGAATTGCGTCCACTCCCCACTGCAGATATTCGTCAAGGCAGGCGAGGTTGTGGAAGCCATGGCTCCGTAGGAAACACACATAGTCTGTGTATGTCCACCGATGAGGGTCTGATGGTGCCATTTTGCAGGTATTGCAACATTGAGCCTGAGGGTCAACGGGCATCACATCTATGGTACGATTGAACAAAAGAATTCAATAAAGAGGCCTGCTCGGTGGAATAGTCACAGAACATGCAGCCGGACTGAGTAAGAGCTGAATTCCTGGGACGCAAAGACAGAGGTGCTACCATTAAGCAAGAACAAAGATTCCCAGTTGACCAAGAGGTCAGCTCTGGTCTCATGACTGGCCGCTCGTGAAAGCAGTTCAGATATACCTGGGCTGGGGAAACCCGGGAAGCTAGGGTAGTCAAGCAGTGGAGAAGTCAGCTGGGATAGACTTTACATGGGTCGTACCTGGAATCTTTTGTGGTGGTTGCGAGAGTTCGTACCGATTTCGATCATCGTCGCCATTCCAAAGCGATTCGTTGCCGGAGGGCATATCAGTCTACTGCGTCGCATGCGACCTGCATCAATATACACTGTACCAAGATATCCTTTGCCTGCCCGTCCGTGCGCGGGCATGACAGACGCAGCAACCGCTTTACCGAACTTCAATTCGAAGGCAACCGGGGCATGGACTGACGTGCAGGTTGCGAAGGTGGATATCGCGGGCTGCTGCACACCATCATTGGTAAGAAAGCATTCACAGTCGAACCCGGCCACGCATTTAGGCTACATGATGATGCGTTTCGCTTAGCAGACCGACGGCGGCTTCGTTGAACAAATCATTGTCGGGGGCGGATTGAAGTGGGCTTGCGTGGTGTTGCTTTGGGCCCAGCCACCGAGCATCATTTTAGCACATTGCCGCGGCGGTCAACAATACTGCGACTTGCAATAATGAGTGAGACAAGTGCATGTGTCAAAAGCGAGAACTCGTATCTTCTGCATGTCTGACACCAAGTCCTGCTGGTGATTGTGAGACCATAGCCGAGTAGTAATACATTTCAGCTGCCCGTGTTGAAGTCGACGTGTTCGCAAAGATGGAGGGCACCTTGAAGTTTGCCGGACGCATGCACGTGGAAAGCGGCAAACACACCAAGCTCAAGAACATCCCGCTGCTAAGTAGTACTACTAGCACAAACTTGAATTAGCGGTGCTACTCTCCCACCGGCAGCGCCTCTCTGTTTGGCAGGTTTGTCGTGTTTGTTTATGAGATCGCTACATTCAGTTGTAGGTATCGTTGTTGGACTGCCATCCCCGTACCCATACAATACAGTCCACTCTAGAAACATTACCTATGGCGACGACTTCGACCGACCCTGTGGCTGCTGCTCTAGGGACTCTTGCACTTCTCGAAGACCGCCTGCATCGGCTGGAATTCCTGCTCTCTGGTAAAAGCAACGAGGAAGGCCTGCCGGAACCGATTCCTACGCCCTCTCACAACAATGAGACGATCCGCGCAAAGTTGGATTCGCTAGAAGATAGATTGAGCAAACTGAAGAAGCTCGATGGCACAGCTGGCGAAATTGTCCAAAACGTAGAGCGTCTCTGTAGGAAGAACCCTGAACTTGCAACAAAACTCAATATCCACTAATCATAACCCAGCATCTACATATCCAGATCTCTTCTCACCATCAACGACTACGTCCGAGACGCCCAAATCCGAAGACTTGAGTACCCTTGCATCGATTGTACTGTCCCATGCGACCTTGTTTCCCGAAACAGCCTCGAGGCTTGCATCTCTACAAACGCTTCAGGTGCCGTCCGCAGAACAGAGCTCAAAGCTGGCATCACTCATCCCAAGACTCGCTCAATGCCAGGAAAATGAAGAGGGCATAGAGAAAGACATTCGAGAACTCCGCGAGCGCAGTGCGCGATGCTTGGAATGGTGGGTCAAGGTTGGAGTCGTTGCAACGGGAGACTTGTATGAGGACTGGGAGAGAAGAGTGCACGAAGTCGAAAGACGTCTCATCCGATCCGAGCGACGAGCAACAGAGGAACAAGGATACACTTGAACTACCACTATGGACATATCATGCAATTGCGATCAATGTACCTTGAGACGCATGAGAGTATACAGCTGGGATCATAGTCCCACTTGGCTGGAGGGTATCTGAGGATTGGATTGTCGTCACCATGAGGGCGGAAATCCGCAATTTGAGATCTTGGATCACTTGTCTGTGACAAGATGACAAGCATGTCGACAAGCCCGAGCTGCGAGAGTCGCATGATCAGACTGCGCCCTGCTCGGAGGATTGTTCAGACGGCTCGGAGACTGGGATCCGGAGTGATCGACACAGGGTCCAGAAATAGCGGCGTCTTCAAGCTGCAAAGACAACGGTCACAGTGTGCTTTGCTGGACGTTGCTTGATGGTGGCAAGATGCACAGACGGTGCGCAGCCAGTTGACTGTGGCTTTAATGTTCCGAAACATATCTTACCAGCCACTTCGTGCCAGCCGCCGGGAATAAGGTGGTCTGTGGTATCGCGGGAGCACGGTTGTGGCGGTGTAAGGGGGCCAAATGTGGAGCAGACAGCATTGGTCGAGAACGATGGATCAACCATGTCAGGGGAGTGTCGTGTCTCACCCAATCGTCGTTGTCAACGCACACTTCGCGTTTCATGTTGCAAGGATTGAAGGCGGAAAAGAAGCTTCCCGAGTAGAAACCGCGTCGAAGAATATGTAGGAGTGGCCTCATGGGGCTGTCGACGGCGCAAGAAACGAGATGACGGTCTAATCTGTTAGCGCAGGTAATTTGAGCAAACGATACTCTTGCATAACCTGGCAATTTATCTGGCCAAACCAAGTTGCTCGTGCCACGAAGGCGCAGGTCCGTATTGCACACGAGCGCGTGGCCTGTGCGACGGGATCGGGGAGGAGTGTCATTATTGATCGAGACACAAATTAGGTTGGTGTGTCGGCGGTCACATCAATCACTTTTTCGTGATATGGCAAAGCAGAAGCAGAAGTAGTCGCCGTAGTAGCGATGAATCAAACAGAGATACCGATCGCGTACTAGGCACCCTGAATCGGAAAGAGAAATTGTAAATCTGGAGACACAACTGAGTTGAAACGTGTCGCAGGCCTTGATCAAGGCTTGTTGGTTGTTGGTGAGCAACAGGCGGTGCTAGTCGCCCGTTGTGGCCTGTAAGGGGTCCGGAAAAGAGCCTGGGGCTGCCCTAAGCGACCGCCCAAGAGTCCTCAGTCTACTAGTAGCAGGCCGCCCGCCCTGCTTGGCCACCCCCCATTATTATTATTCCTGCATTTCAAGTTGCTGGCCATCCCTTCGACCCCCGTCGCATTCGGGCTGCACTGGCAGGCAAACTCTCTTCCTCTCCCGCCCTCCGAGTCCCCTTCGTGTCTCCATCCCCGATACCACCAACTTGAACTACCAGTACCACCGCCAAACTGCGCCTTCATCCCCTTTCATGCGCGTTTCCTTTCAATCCTCGATCTCGTCCTCCAATTGATTCTTCTTCCTTAATTCGATTCCTCATTCTTCAACCCTAGTATCTCCAAAACCACCGAAAATCATCGCCGCCTACACTCGTTCAGGCTCCAGCTTTTTGCCTTCAGAACTCTTCGACCAACTCCATTGTTGAGTGTAGGACGCCCATTGTCGATCATTATTCTTTGACTCGTCCATCCGACTCTTCGTTTCTCAGTCTTGATCGGCAACTGTGTTGCTGGCATCTATTTCTTGTTAGCCGAGTGCAGACGACCACCCGGACCACACCACCACCACCGCCAACGTAAAGCACAGCCCATTTACGCTCGGTCCTCTTCCCAGCCAACCTGCGCCTGGACATAAACCTCCTCATACTTGACGACAACGCTTTCAGTCGTGCCGACTTCTTTGTCTGCGCCAGTTTGCTTGCATTGGCGATTTTTCTGGACAGTCGCCCCTTTGCCAAACCTTCATGCCCACATACGGAACTCCCTATTCTCCGTCTCTGAAGAAGCACAACATGTTGGAAGCTCGAAGAGGAAACAGGGTCGACTTCGGCCACATTGTCGGTGATCCATTCGCGTTGGCGACCATATCTATCAGTCTGGTAAGAGACTCCCGCGTCTTGCACAAGACCTATGGCTAACAGCGCGGTAGCTTGCGTGGTTAATTGCCTTTATTGCCTCCATCATTGCCGATATCCAGGATCCTTTCCCAAAATATGCGTGGTGGACGGTTGCCTATATGCTCTGCTGTATCTTGGGGGTTGCCTTTGTTTTCGCGACGAACTCTGCCAATACCTACGCGATTGCCGTAAGTGCATTGGTTCTGTACTGGAAGAGTCATGCTGACACGGTTAGGTTGTTGGTTACCTCGCTGCTGGCCTTGTCATGACAACATCTGCGGTCAATTCCCTTGTTTATCAGCCTCAAGGGGCCATGGAAGCAGCAGCCGCTGGCCACATCTTGTTGTCTATAGTTGCTGTACGTTTCCTGTCGCGTCTTGTTCGTTCCATGCTAACAAGCTGCAGATTGTTTGGATCTTCTATTTCGGCTCCACACCATCAGCCGCCCATCGCGAGTTCATCGACCAATTTGCCCTGCACAAAGACCGCAACTCCTTCCGAGGTCCTGCACCCAATATGACCAATGCCTACGACCGTCCCCAAACCACAGCTTCTGCCCAGCCTCCGCAGATGTACACTTCGGCTCAACTGAATGGCTTCGAAACATCGTCTCCAGTTTCTGGATATCCAGGGGGACCTGCAGGCGCGGGTGCTCGGCCATCTGTACCACCAGGCTCTAATCCGAGCACTTCTCCTGCGGCACAAGACGTGTCCCAACCCACAGAGTACCCCTACCGGGCGAAAGCCATTTACAGCTACGAGGCAAATCCGGATGACGCCAACGAGATCAGTTTCAGCAAGCATGAAATCCTGGAAGTATCAGACGTGAGTGGTCGTTGGTGGCAAGCAAAGAAAGAGAACGGCGAGACGGGTATTGCACCTAGCAACTACCTGATCTTATTATGAGGCTACACACCAGAGTTGAGCTCGTTTTGCAGCCACGATGGGTACGAGAGGCCCGAAGAGGCTCTTGTCAGCATCCTCTAACGACCCGTTTCACGACTTTCCTTTGCACTTCTCTTTTGCACCGACCTTTTATTCGTCGACGAGCCCATGTGCTGGTTAAACTACCGACTATGCTCTCTACCCACAAAACTTCTGGACAAATGTCAGACCAGGACTTCGGATACGTGGATTTTGACTTCGCTTCCAAGCTGCAACGATACATGGCAGACGTTTGAACTTTGGGTGGTTCTTTCTTCATTTGGTCTACGATGCAACGGTTTGGGATTCTCAGGCAAACAGTGTACAGGCGTAATGGCGCTACGAAGGGAGGTGAACCGTCCGAGGGCTTTACAAACTCAAAGGAGATTATTCTTTGGGCCTGATTGGGGCCGGACTATCCTTTCTTTATTCCCTACTTTTTCATTCATCGTTCTGAGACGATCCGAACGAAACTGTACCCATTGTCCGTGTGGAGAGATTTACAGTGTTTGAGTTTGACGGGGCCTGCTGCGAAAACACGGATTAGCTGGAGGACTCCAGCGCGGCTAGCGCAAGGACTGGCTCCCAGCGAGAGACAAGTTCGTCCTCCAGATAGCATAGAAAGAGCCTGGGGATTTTATTTCTGGGCTCTCTCTGATTTCAATGGGAAGGTCATATTGGTATGACTGTGCCGAGAGAAAGTGCCCGGAACACATTTATGTAAAATGAGCAACACCGAGTTACAGAGCCTTCAAGCTCCTATTCCAGCTCCGTTGTGCTAGTAGGCAGATATGGATGGAATAAGTCGCATTTCAAGTTCATTGCTTAGCGGTCAATTGATGCATGTTTCTCATGAGCAATATATCTCATCAGAGGTGGTCATATCTCGCATTGATCCAGTTCTAACAGAACGGTCCACAACCACAGTCTGCGCTGGTAGGCTCGCGGCTGTGATACAATAATGGAGCGTTTATGTGCTGTGGCCCATGCAACCAACATAATCCGCTACCTAGGTATTTATATCCAGACTCTACAAACAATTTCGTGACACATGAAGCCGGCCGACGCCGCCGTGTTATTGGCGTAATGTGCGATCTTTGCCCATCAAAGTGGGTTATATCCCGAAGATTCATGTAAAAGAGTACCGTTATCGGATAGGTTCCAAGGGGAGGGGGGTTCATAAAACAATATCTTAGGCCGATCAAAAGGTATTGCGGCGGAGTGCACACAAGTAACCCATGAGCATTGAAAGCTTCAACCAATTCAGTGACAGGTGTAAAGACTAGGAAACGCTCAGACGCTTTCCAAAGCAGCAGCAAAAGGAGACTAACACGATTAATCGGCGAAACTCCAGCTGATTTTGTGCAGGTTGGCCAGTCGTAGTGTCTGACTCAACAGCCCACGGTTAGCTGGACTTCAGCCCCGCGGTAGGCAACAGGAAAGAATTATGAAAGGAATCCAGTCGTCATCTGTACGGCATGTGCTGCTGGCCTTGGCTGCCGTATGCGCCAGTATAGCTCGTATCATAATCATGGTTGGGAAAGCCGTTATGGTTCAATGGGCTCTGCGGCTGCTCGGGTGGCATATGAACCAGATCGTCCTGATCGCCTTGGTGCAGAGGAGCATATGTATCGTCATGATCGAAGGAGGTCCTGGGATAGGCATAGTCCTGCCTACCGGCGCCATGATGGTATTGCTCGTTGGTTTCGAAATCTTCTTCGTCCGGTCGGATGTTGCTCGAGAATGGGTCGTCCTCTTGGGCCACAACCTCAGCAGCATCGTGTTTTCCATCAGCCCCAACCGCGCCAGCCCCAGCTACCTCCGCCGGCATCATGCCAGTTCGCTTGTAGGTCATGACGGCGCGGAAGGAGAATAGAGACGTGGCGAGGAACAAGACCATCTCGAACACGCCGAACACAATGATGGCCTCGCTCAGCTTGCACCTCCCGGGACTGCCGTATTTGAAATTGTCGCAGCCCGACGCATCCTTTTTGTCGCCTTTGCCTTTGCCCGACGCGACGTAAGAGGCCACTGCTGCCCAAGCACTCAGCCATAAAATCACCGACAGTCCATCGAGTGTGGCGTAGGCATATACGTTCGCAAACCGGCGGGCACGGGACCACATCGGTACCATGACAAGGTAGATCAGGATCGGAATTGTCAGCCAGCACTGCGCATCACAAAGGTTAGCACTGGAGTGATGGACTCTGCGAGTGTGGAAAAGACATACTAGGCCAAAGTACCATCCTACTCGGCCGTCCGAGTGGCCTTTCCGCGTGAAGACGGCTATCGTGAGAACCCAGGCAAGGAACAAAATGCCCGCTTGAACCCCGTGCAGGACCGTTTTTATCCGCCCATGCTTGTCCAGTGGCATACGCATTGTCGCGGGTCGAGTGGTGTGGTATCCGAGTCAGACTCGAAAGTGTTAGTATGGGACTCAAACTCGGTGGGTGCAAAGGTCAATTCGGTAGTAGTTGTATGTATGCGGCCGTTGCACAGGCTGATGCTGCAGGACAGGATGAACGAACGGCCAAAATTAGAGGAAAATGAAGGGAAAAGAAAAGCGGGAGGAGGGACTTAGGGGGACGACGAGGAAGTGTTCATGCTATAATAGAGGAAGCGAAAAAGAATTGAGAATCCGACTCTGCGAGATCGAGGACGAGGGTATTAGTTCAAGTTGTATAGCGGTGGTGATGTTTCCAATGAAGTGCAGCGCCAGCGGATGCGCAGCTCGCGAGGCTGAGTTTCAGCGTGGCGCAGCCGGGGTTCAGGCCTCGCCAGCACTTACCCGCTTGGTTACAGCACACGAGTATCAGGCTGAACCCGCTGCCCATGAGCCTGGAGTTGCGGACAACTCGAACTATTTACAAGAATGTGATGCACCGCTAGTGTGGGCTCCAGAGAAGACTGCCGTGTTGGCAGTAGTACATGAAATTTGGAATTACTGTAGAAGGTAGGTATCTATCCGCTACGAGTCGAGTCCCGTTTTTGGGACTACTAGTATGTCATGTATGCATTTGCAAAATAGCTGTAAGCACATGTTGCAGGGATTGAACAGCAGTATTGCGCGGCCTGATCATCTCACTATCTGGTAAGCGAGAGGCCTGAGGGAGGAATGACATTTTGCGCAAGCCCAGCGCTTGGGCGACAAGGCCGCAGTCAATGCTGATTGTTGGTTGTCACCAGTTTGGCCGTTTAACATCATTGAATGTGCAGTATGCCACTGAGCTTGACACATGATGAGGCTCGCCAGGCACCGTTCCGATGAGTTGTATGTGCACAGTGAGGCTGCCGCAGCATCACATTGGGAGATATCGCTTGGGTGACGCTGTGACTGAAGAGCCGGACTGACAATGAAATTCATCAGGCACAATTGATGCAAACTGCAACAATTATTTATTGGAAGTGACCGTTAGATGGACTGGGCCAGGCTCTAGTACAAGCTGGGGAAAGCGAGGCTTGGGGGTTTGCCGTGTTTGCTCTGCATCTTCACTGGCCGATCATGATGTTAGTGATCATGATGATTCTGAAGGTAGCGACGACCATCTACTGCGATCTGTGATCAGTGAAGCATGCGCAGCCTAACATTGTAAGATGTTATGCCTGCGCAAGTGACTTGCCCCTTCCCGGTAGTTAATGTCCCTTAGCTCGCTTTTTCTGGATAGTTGCCGTGTGTGTGACGCTGGCCATTCGTCTGCCCCTTCCCACTAATAAATATCCCCACCGCGACTTCCCACTAACTCGCTCCCCAGCTAAACCAATTTTATTATTTTCTCAGCCTGCGAACGCCCCTTTGGATCTTCCCTTCCTCTTCGTCTTCCATCAACAACTCATCCTTCTCTGATCACAACCCGAAGCTCATCTTCAAATAAACCTCTGAATCTAGGGCACTCAGCTACCCTTCAAACCCCTCAACCAACTGATTTCCCAAGGCAGCCTTTAGCTACCTGAGTCATTTTCATTCCACAAGTCCCCGTACTTTCGCGGTCAACAACACGCACTTGTGCCTCAGCCACAATGTCTTCTGCCGTCGACAACCTCGCCGAGAACCTCAAGAACGCCAGCGTCGAGGATAACTCTGCTGCGAACAATGAAGCTGTCCTGGCTTCCGCCGCTGAAGGTCGTCGATTGTATATCGGGAATCTCGCTTATGCGACAACTGAGGTGGAACTCAAGCAGTTCTTCGCAGGCTACGATGTGTATGTTGCTACTGTTGAACGCTCTTTATCTTCGTTGCGATGCTAATGCTTTGATTCAGAGAGTCAACTTCCATCCCCGTCAACCCGCGTACCAACCGTCCTGTCGGCTATGCATTCGTCGATCTCAAAACGGCCGAAGAAGCAGAGAAGGCCATTCAGAACCTGTCTGGCAAGGACATCTTGGAGCGCAAGGTTTCTGTCCAACTCGCACGCAAGCCTGAGCAGAATTCTGGAGCTGAGGGTGCTCACGAAGGTGGTGAAGGTGGCGAGCGCAAGCGATCTTCTGGCCGTGGCCGTGGCGGTCGTGGACGTGGACGTGGCGGCCGTGCTCGTGGAGGCGCAAGAGCTACTGTATGTTACACAGGCGGAAACGATTGCGTATTCGGAAAACTGACTCATGGTTAGGATGCTGCTGCTGCCGGCGAGCTCGCAGAGAACCCATTGCCTTTGACCGACGTCACTGCCGATGCCAACAAGGGCGCTTCCAACACCGATTCCAAGCCTCGTGGTCCTCGTCCTGTCAAGCAACGTGGGCCACCGGAGGACGGTATTCCATCCACCACCAAGGTTATGGTTGCCAACCTGCCCTACGATCTTAGTGAGGAAAAGGTAAGCAGTCTGCCCAGCTCCAACGCACAAACAGTTCAGTGCTGACACCTATCTACAGCTCAAGGAACTCTTCGCCGACTACCAACCGGTCTCCGCTAAGATTGCTCTTCGCCCTATTCCCCGCTTCATGATCAAGAAGCTTCAAGCTCGCAACGAGCCTCGCAAGGGCCGCGGTTTTGGCTTCGTCACCCTTGGTTCCGAGGAGTTGCAGAAGAAGGCCGTGGAGGAGATGAATGGCAAGCAAATCGAGGGTCGTGAGATCGCCGTCAAGGTCGCCATCGACAGCCCCGGTAAGGAGGACCATGATGAGCACCACGACACTGCCGAAAGTGGCCAAGAAAACGGCACCAACGGCACGCAGGAGGAGGCTGTTGCTGCTTAAATTGGAAGCAAGCACAAACCTCTCCCCTTCATACCGAAACGAAGGACTCACGATATTCTCTTAGCAAGGCATGCTCTTAGGGGAAGGGAAGGCTTGACTGCTTTTTCCACCTCTCAACAGGGTGGTGCCGGAGCTGAAGTATCGCAAGTCAGGAAGGTTCATGGATCAGCCTGGACATCCATATGATTCTTGCCTAGTTGGCTGTATCCAGCAATACCAAAATATCACTCTTCAATTCTGGTCTGTACAGACAGATCTTGTCATATTATTTCCACAAAAGCTGCTAGATTGTTTAGAGCAGGTCTGCAGGCGATAACATACCGCAGGTAATTAATAGTTTCACGGTTCAAAGTTACATTTCAGCGCCATGCAAGAGTAAGCGTAGCAAAAGATGATGGAGAAAGTAAGCTATTGTTTGAAGAGCACAGCACTCATTTTATTATGGCCGGACTCGGTGTTTTCTTACTGCCAGGCGTTACATAAGATCTTATGCTGCCAGCGAGTCTATCTATCGTACGCCAGGAGAGGATCGTGTATGGTGGACCGCTTATGCCTGCTTGGGTAGTTTGTCCCCAGCGAGTGCTCTATTGCCTTGTCCCGAGGGGAAAAGGGAGCAACATGTGAGAGAGTGCTGTGACCCTTACAGCCAAAGCGAGCGTGATAAGTGTCAAACAACGGACTCGCTCAACGTGTAACCAATTCACCATTGCTCGTCCCACCGATGGAATGAAGCCTTGAAGCAGTGTCCGCTGAACAATGTCCTCAATGCCTGGAATAGTCATTGGTGGATGTGCAGGATGTGTGCCTCCAACTTGAAGTCGCACAGTCGGATCAATGGCAGTAGTTCCTTTGTGCCCTCCATGACGTGGAAGAATCGAATCACCAGTGGCAGGCGGATTTGGTAAGATAAATCATACCTCGATCACGATGTTGGTATACCTTGGTTGGCCAGTTCCTTGCCTAGAGGTCTCCATGATGCCAAACATCTCGTGTACCTCTCGTGCCTCATGACTTACTAACAACGCCAATCAGCTGGCTCCATTTCCCAGCCTCGCGTGGCCGCGTCAGGCTGAGACCCGGACCGCCGATAAGCGATAGGCGTAGGACATGGCATGTGCCGACACCGTGACTGTCATGCCCCGCTTAAACACCAGCCTCGTTGATTTCAGCAATTGTCTCGTGGCGCGGCTGGGAAAATAGAAAGGCATCGACCGCATCAAGCGACTGTGCAACTTGTTCTGTGCCTCTTCGTAAGTCCTTTTTGCATCCTGAGATTTTACAACGTTGCTGTTGTCGCTTCGTGATCACCACCATCATCTTGCCAACTTTGTCGTGGCCAGCATCCGGATCAACGGCGGGACTCGGTCTACCCCAAATCATTGACTTTTGGCGCACCCCGACAAAATCGCATCACATCGAGGGAACGTACTGTACGTCCAAGTGGTGCATCAGAATATACCAGGAATAGAGCCTTTGGGAAACACGTTCAACATTCTACATCATCAGTCCCTCCGAGCGCTGGATGATCTTGCCTTAAAAGCCCAGGCGCTTCCGCAGATCGAAACTCGCTTGCGCGCAGTTGCCAACTTCCGCCTTGCACCACAAGTGCATGATCTGATCCAAACATCATGTCCCAGCACTCGTTTCAAGGTGCTCTGGCACATCCGCCGCCTCGCCTGCTACCGTTTGCCTCTTCTTCACCGAACGATGATGATGATGACTATTCTTTGACTTTGCCATCACCGGCACCGACCAGAGGCCCCCAACGATCTCGGACAGCTGCCGACCTTCCACTCTTATTCAACCGGACCCAGTCTTCCTCACCCACGGGATCCTCGACATTCCTGCCCTTTCTTCGTCCGCAAAGCACCACCTCCCAATCCATTTCGCCCGGAAGTGTCGCCGCATCCCATATCAACGTGAAAGTGGAGCCGGGAGAACCAACAACAACGGTAAAGAGGAAGTTGGCAACTACTAGTACTACCGTCGACAGACTAGCCAGTTGGTTTGAAGGCTCATCTGAGCCTGTGAATATAACACTGATACCATCTCCATCTCCGCGGAAAGAGAAGTTGAATCCTGTGGATGAGATGGGGCCAATGTCAACTCCAATGCATGATGATTTCGCAGACACCTTCACCACCAGGCGTAATAATAACCCCAAAAGACCAAGCATGTCAGATCCCAGCACCTCCACTTCCAGATTCAGCTTCTTTCGTCGATCAGCAGTTGTGTCGCAGCCATCGCAACAAGACATTGCCAGTGCCAACGACGAACTGGCCCAGCTGAACATCCAAGAAGCACTATTCCCACACGGCCACCCGGACGAGTTCTCGCCTGCTGTGTTCAAAAACCTGCAGCTCAACGCTGAGGGGACATTGCGACGCTTTCAGCAAGCCTATATCGAGCAGCTGAAGGCGCTCAAGTCGGCCATCTCCACCAAGAACGTTCAGGCGGACGAGCTGGAGGCTGCGCAGACGAGAAACGAGCATCTCAAACTTCAGTTGCAGGACATGGCTGAAAGGGCCGCAGAGCAAGAAAGACAAATTGCAGAACTCAACGCACAGTTGTTGCAACAACAACGTTCGTCTCTTGAGACGCACCAGTCACAACAACGGAGCATCAGAATAGTCGGCCAGGAATGTGCGCAGCCTGATGATGCTCACGCTCAGGTTTCCAAACGAAGGAATCGTTCATCTGACGTCTCGACGTTAGGTGGTGGCTCAGAAGCCGGTTCGGACGTAAGCTCCGTCGTCAGTGTCTTTTCAGAAGCTTTGTCTGTGGCCCCATCTAGTGCGGCAACGTCGGTCGTCTCTGCTGCAAATAATGGGGGTGCATATGCCAGAGACAACTGCCCGAGGTGTCATGGACTGAGTGAGTCGGAAGCTTGGGATGTCATCGGCATGATGAAGATGGAGTCAACTGTCTTGAAACAACGCATCGCCCAGCTCGAGTCCGCTCAGGATGATGCTCTAGATTTCCTGAGCGGACTCAAGTTGTCTTGAGGCGTCGGTGATAATTGTGTCGTGCCATGTATATGAAACATTTTAACTAAGATAAATAGTATACGGAGATACCCGAGATGGCGTTATGGTTGTATTATACAGGGGAAACACAGCAGTGTGTATACCGAGCAAATGAGTTTACCGAGGAAAATGAAAATTCAACGGTCAGCTAGTCACTTCTGACTTGAGTTTCAGGACTGCACTCGCATGAGGTTGACTCCGCGTTATTCATCTCCTCTTCGCTGGTCCAATCTCCGGCATGAAGGCAAAGCTGCGGAACAGCTTCCCTATAGAACTCGTCCTTGCACATCTCCCTTGGTATCCCCAAGGTACATAGATGGACGACAAACCAAAGTATAGTACTTTTCCTGTACACGCTTCTGCAAACGACAGAAAATCCATGAGTTGCTCTCATGTTCAACTTTCGCCACAAGGTATATTGGTAGTGTACATCAACAACGAGGAAGAGCAAGAGCCACATATTAGACCTGCACGCTGGTGGGGATCTTGACTTGACCCTTCTTTCTCTCCTGGCTAGGCACACCATATCTGAGGCCAGGAGCCTTTGTGCCGCGGCCATCCAGGCCGGTGCCGGTTCTGGTGGCCGAGACCTCTGTGACGATAAACTGCCACCGGTCGGTGTCGATGCGGGTCTTCCTCTTTTCCTCCGCGCGGGCCTGACGGTCCTTGATTTCCTTGCGCTTGGCATCTTCCTGCTTGAGCCGCTCGGCGTAGCGCACGCGGAGCTCGGTTCGCGACATTGTCGGGTCGAGCTTGTCCTTCTCATAGGCGATCAAGTGTGGGTGCGGGATACGGGCGTCAGCCGGCTTCAAGACGGGATGCTCGTGGCCAGGTTTGCCGATGATTTCGGGTTTGGTATCTTGCCATGGTTCTGGAATAGGTTGACCGTCTGGGCCGATGCCTTGCTCGTACTCGTCGGGAAGGCGAGGAGCGCCGCTGAAGACGCGCCCGGCATCCGTGCGGTTAAAGGCACGCGACTCTGACGTCGGCCAGAAGATCTGTGGATAGGTCATGGGATGTTGTTCGAGATCGTTGATCGATTCGTGCTCCTCCATTGGCTTCCCGGTCCGGGGGTTCAACTTGTTCACTGGTACCATGCCCTGGATGGCTTTGGCGTATGGAATCGCAAGTGATTGACCCTGTTTTTATGGCACAAAATCCCGTCAGCTTTACTTTCCATTCCTTTGCATTTGTGGTGTGAGAAATTGGAAGAGGGGTTGGGCGTGCGCTTGCGCTGTCAGAGAGTTGTAATTTGTTTTTTTAGATCACCATGGCTGGAAGTCTGGAAGACTAATCGATTTGGTTGTTCATCATAGTAGAAGGCACAAAAGTCACAAGAGGAAAAAAGGAGTTATAACGTACCTCTGCGACCATTCGTCGTTCAACCTCGACGAGACGAACGACAGCGGCAACTCTGCGCATGTCCACGCCCATCTCGACCGAGACCTGCCGCACTGACTTCCCATTGACTTGTACGCGTTTCCATATCTCCTCCCGGAGCTCGTCTGACAATATACTCTGTGAAACAAAGTTTTTATTCAGAGGAAAAGGTCGCAAATCATCCACGCTTTCCTTGGGAATGGATGGTTCTTCTTCTGCAGCGGCCTCCAAAGCCTCGGCATCTAACGTCTCGGCTCCTTCAGAAGTCGTCTCGACGGACGGTGCCTGTTTTTGGTTCCGCTGGCGTAGTAGATTCCCTCGCCTATCATAGGCGGAGAGATAGTTGGTCGACTCATTCAAGGGTTGCTTGAAATTCCGACCGGGCCCTTGCAGCCAGGCAAACATGTGCCGTCTGAGTTGGGTCTTCGAAGAAGGAGTAGAAGAGAACGCGCGCTGAAGACATGATTTGCAATGGGTATGCACGGAGGGGGCGGGTATGGTAATGGAAGCAGCTGACGGCGGTATCCGGGGAGGCATCGTGGCGGCTATACGGTATGAGAAAGAATGGATGGAGAATTATGGCATCCTCTAGCAGAACAAATAGGTTCGGGTTCTGCAACTTGTGGTGGGCAACAGGACCAGCTGGCGCCCTACGTGTTGACGGTCGGGTTGAAAGGACACAATTGGGTGCAAAGATACAAAATTGCAGAGCTTCAGAGATGGAAGAAACGCCCGGCAAACTTGCCTTGTTGGGTGCCTAGAGAGTATCCAATCGAGTCGCGTGAGCGCGCTCAAATGACACTAAGGATATTGTCTTTGCTCTAGTTAGGTTCCGCGATGACTTCAGTCAGACAGTAAAACTTCTGATTTGCTAGCTTCATCGATAAAGGCCCCAACAATGTGTTCCGCCCACCTCAACTGTAGAAACACGCCCAGGAAATGCCATCCTACCCAGATTCGTATTCGTCTATTCGTAGATTCCCATGGATATCAATCGCTGAAACACCGACCAGGATGCGCTGCACGCTGCATAGATGACAAAGGATATATCTATGCTCTGCGATTCAAAAGGACAAGGGCGATAACGGGGCCCCGTCAGTTGAAACATACGTTGGTTCCGTTGAAGGTAGCAATTCCAGACCACATACCTCTGACCAAGGGTGCGTTCGTCGTTTTTTCATCATGCGAGGGGTCGTTATCAGTCGTTATGTGTCCATGAAACACAACCATGTTGCCTCCCTTGATGATATCGAGGCCTCCAGGGCCGACAAGGTTGGCGTCGCTCGTAACCAGCAGAGGGCGACTCGACTTGGTGTAAGGTCCCTTAATGCTTGGGGCTGTTGCGTAAGATACGTCGTATTTTGGTGTGGTAAAGCAGTTGCTACTGAAAAAGAGGAAGTAGATCCCTTCTTCGGACCGATGTAGTGAAGGCGCCTCAATGAGGGGCCCGTCAATGTCGTCCCGGTCGAGGATCTGGATCGCATCGCCGATGATAGAAATGCCGTCCTGGCCAACTTCTTGCAGCATGATTGGAGTTGGTACAATAGGAGCCATATCGTTGTTGCAGCTACCTCCATGGCCGATAGAGTTGCCGTCCGTCTTGTAGACAACATATCGCTTGCCTGTTGAAGGGTCATGGTACCCATCAGGGTCAATGGCGCCGCCTCGCGTAAAAACGTCGGGACAAGCTATAGGCCGTTCGAGTGGCACGTAAGGGCCCATGACGTCCTTGGAAGTAGCTGCGCCCACGCAATGAAATGCTGGGCTGGATGCCAACTCCCCGGAATAGTAAAGAACGAACGAGCCGTCATCCTATTGCCAATGTTAGTGTCCTGTAAACTCATTGGTGGTTCAAGTTGTGCAAGGTAAGACTTACAAGTTGCACAACATCCGGCGCCCAGACCCGAGCGCCGGTCTCCCACGTGGCAACCTTTGGGAGAGCATCGTAATGGTCTAATAGCGTCCAGGTTTGGTTGTCTGTGGAAGTTGCTACCTGAACATGGACCATATCGGCACCCGCGCCTCGGTTGTTGGTCGCAAAGGAGTAGGAGACGCCATCCGCGTGGATTATGGCAGGATCAGGGAAGTTTGTATCCATTAGTGGTCCTTTTATTGATGCAAAAGGATCCTGAGGAGCTTTCGGCTGGCCCTCCCCGGACGAGGGCTCCGGCATAGGTTCTGTTTGTGGCGTGCGGATAACTGTGTCGTGAGTGTTCAAGGGTCCTAAAGCTGACAAGGCTGAAGTGGCCAGCAGATATGCGGGAAGAACGACCATGACAAGTATAACCTTTGCCCTAAATGAGAGTGAAAAGCTCCAAAAAGGACGAGGTGGTGACGGATTATATATCAAGGGCGGAGCGACTGGCTCATATTGACACAGGGGCCGAGAACCCACAAAAAAGCTTGGACGAGGGCGTTTAGAATATGGGAGCAAAGGCTCTCTTTCTGAAGAAACTGCCATTGTGCCTGGGACGGATGATATATATAGATATACTTCGTCAGGGCCGGGTTCGAGGCATTCCTAGCATACCAACATCCAAGGCGAAACCAGTCGCTAGAGCAGATCTTGGGCGAAAGTACGCGACTGATCAGCCTGGAAACCTAGACTAGAAGCGCGACTTGAGCGGATGACGGTGATCAAAGGCTCTAGCTCCGAACAGTGTTGTTCTGGCAGCCTTGATGGTTTGGATAACTAGCTCCTGTGGCGATGCTCGTCCTGGCTGTCCAGGCAGACTGTACTGTCTCAGACTGAACCCCCTTGCGGAACGCCGACCGAGACGTATAGAACGCGGGACGCGAAAAAAGAACGGCGGAAAGTCGGTTGTTCCTCGTCCTCCAGCGGATAGCGGATATTGATCTCAGACAACCAGAACCTTCGACATTCGGCAGGCCAGCTGTCGATAGCGGATATAGAGAGAGCCCTTTATTGTACAAACTACCAAAACAAGGCTTGTTTTGGCCCTCAGGCGAAGCGTACCAGGCACGAAGATTCGAGGGGGTGGCTGTCACGCTCGGTAAACGCGTCGCGGCTCCTTCGTTTCCTCCTGTTCAATTTCAGTTTTGCCAAGCTTCGGTCTGCCAGGACCGGGCCGCAACTCGAAGCCTTAGCCCCTTGGAAGCCGCAGCCTCGTCGCCCTCAACCCCGAATATATGTCTAAACCACCCCAGCATCATGGTGTTCCCTAACTCAGGAGACATCAAGGTCTGCCAATCCAGATATGACATCGGTAATTTGGTCATTCACAGTGCGCTTGTTGAGTGTTGTAATGAACAGGGATCTACTGTACTTAAAGTAATAACACATCTAGATGCACAGGTTGTGCTACAACAACTTCTCCATCCATGCGGAAGTCAAGTGCTGTTCCCCGCCCGCTTCACAGGAGCGTGTAGAATTTGCAAATCAAGACCTGACATTCAACACCCTACCGAGCATCATTAAATCCTTGCAAGATGGAACAGTTCTTTTGATCACCTTCCACAGCTGATAGCCGATACCGAAGTTCGAGTGACTAGGCCTTTCCACCTCCACCACATCAATGAGCCCGGAGGGCTACTTGTCTCCATCGTTGGCTTCGTCCATCTTCCCAGTGGTTCTGTCTGCTTTGCGGGTCGCTCCCAGCATATCTGGAGATGGGCGAGATGCTAGCGGGCTCCGCATGCCGGCGCAGACGACGTCAATGCTGATGATGGGGCAATGCCGAATGTTCTCCTTCTCAGATGCCCAGTCTGGGAACTCCCATGCAACACGCAAGGCTGGCGGATGCTAGTAACGGATGTGCTTTTGTTGAGCCGCGGTTAGATGACCCAGCTCCCTTCAAACACCAGATTTTGGATGTCAAGGGAAACGTAATCATGCTGCTCCAATCTCTTTCTGCACCCACTTTTCAAGACCACCTTTGGCAATGATTTCTTGGACATTTGGCGGAAGCTCTCCGACTTTCTCCGTCCATTTTTTCCCGCCTGGTCCTTCGACGACCTCGATCTGTGACTTCTTCACATCCCAAACAAATGTCCAACCAGTTCGACGGGAAAGCTGCTTTTCCTGAGGCTTCGTTGGCGCAGGCGGCGGCGAATCAAGGCTCTGCTGCTCCTCCTTGTTACCAACAGGCTCAGTTATCTGATCAGACGTCGTCGGCTTCGAAGGTTCCGAGAACGTTTCGCGCAGTCGCCTGACCAACTTAGGCACTTCCAAGCCCATCAGGGCGTTATTGATACTGTTTCGCGAAAAGATATTGCCAAAACTGCCCGCAACAACAAGGGGGATCTTCTTGGCCAAGATGGCAGTGGCTGCCTGTTCCCGAGAACTACCGCATCCGAAGTTGAATCCGGCAACCAGGATATCGCCAGGCTTTGCGATCGAAGAGAACTTGGGGTCATAGTTTTCCATGCACACTTCGGCCATCTTTTCAACAGAAACATTGTCTTGGTAGGTGTATTTTCCTGGATAGATGCCATCGGTGTTGATGTTGTCGGCATCACAGAACACAATCTCTCCTTCAACCCGTTCGGGGAAGCCGGGGTAGACTTCGGTGGTGCTTGATGTGGTTTCAGTTGTCTTCTCTGCTCCTCCAAATGTATCCTCAGCCGTTTCAATCATGCTATCCAGCTGGTCGATGATCTTCTGAAAAGCTTCATCCGCTGTGATCATTCGGTCTTCTTCTTTGATGCCGTCGCCTTCACCCCTAACCACTCCAGACCAGCCTTCTGGCCTTTCATACCAACCAGGGCCGCTAATCTTGCCCGTGAGAGCACTAGCTGCCACGACCTCTGGGCTCGCAAGGTAGGCCTTTGCATCAGGACTACCCATACGACCTTTGAAATTTCTGTTCGTCGCACTAATGCCGACCTCGCCAGGCTCAAGCAGTCCCGTGCCTAACCCAATGCAGGGGCCGCAGCCCGCTGGCAGCGTAACGGCTCCTGCCTCGATGAGAGTTTGCCAGTCACCAGCCTCCTCAGCAATTTGTTGTTCCGGCAGGGAGGCCGCTGCAATGTAGAACTGAACACCTTCAGCGATCTTTGGAACTTTGCCGCCGTTCTTCTCAGCGGCGTCCTTGAACACTTTTGCAGCTGCAGCGAGATCGGATGCACGCGAATTGGTGCAAGACACCAAGTAAGCCTTGTTAACCTTAATGTTCTGATCTTCTAGCTCGTTCAGAGGGGTCGCCACCTTCACCGAGTTTGGCCCAGAAACATACGGCGACAAAGTGCTCAGGTCGAGGTAAAGCTGTTTGGCATACTGCGCCCCTTTATCCGCGGTTAACTGGGACTCAAAGAGCTCATCGAGACGGGAATGAGTGAAACGAGGATTTCCCGACCGGCCTTCTGATGAGTCCAAGGCTGACATCGTCGCCTTGGCCCGCAGCCAGCCTCGAAGAACATCATCCATAGGGAACAATCCAGAGAGAGCCCCCCATTCAGTGGTCATATTTGCAATCGTCAACCGGGCATCGACCGGAAGACTTCGCAAGGTCTCTTCGGAGCCAGTGAATTCAATGGCGTGGTTAAGCACATCATCTTTGTCGAACAGTCCACACAGGGCCACGATCACATCTTTTCCGGTCACGCCCTTGGGGAGGATGCCAGTGAACGTAACCTTGGCCACCGGAGGGATCTGCCACCATGTGCGGCCAGTGGCCCAAATACTGGCTGCATCCGTCCTGACCACAGGGGTGCCCAGGCAGCCGATGCCGCCGTACATGTTGGTGTGGCTGTCACTTGCAACCACCAGGGTCCCAGGCCACGCATATCCTTCCTCAACCATGATCTGATGCCCAATACCCCGTCCAGCAGGGTAGAAGTCCACTCCATGTTTCTTCGCAAATTCCTCAATTTGTCTGTACTTCTTCAAGTTCCTTTCTGACTTGTTCTGCACATCGTGGTCCAGCGTGCAGACAACCTGCTTAGGGTCCTTCAACTTCGTCGCGCCTATCGACATGAACTTCAAAGCAACCGGCCATGAGTTATCGTGTGTCATGCAATGATGCGGAGCTATTGTGACATAGTCGCCCGACCTCACATATTTGTCTTTTGCCAATCCTACCGCATATTGCTGGACGATCTTCTCCGTAAGAGTCTGGGGGACTTTGGGAGAGGTCTTCATCGATGTCAAGATGGCGGCGGCATTGGGATCTTCGAGTTGAGCGTGGAAAACTTCTTGAAATCGTTTCACGCTATCGCCGAAACTGCGACACTGTCGCCATTGTAGCCGGGAGGAGAGCCCGGTTGCGCGAAAGGCAAATGGGGCAGAAGCCCTCTGACACCACTAAATACATGATCAGCACATTGTCCATCTACAAATTGTTTGAGACATACCATTCTGCGAACGTATGCGAAGGTCGATCAATGAATTTCAGACTGCAAAGAATACTCGAAATTGTGACTCCGCCAACATGTCGCTGCTAAAAGCAAACGGTGGTGGCAAGTCGAGTAGCCGCTGTGGAGAAGACAAGGGCCGCCCAGTTCAAACAACAGCAAACTCTCTATCTGCCAGAAGATACCATGGACGTGCAGTGTACATTATTAGGTATGGAGAATGCGCAGCCGCGGAAACAAATATCTTTATGATGCGAATTACTACTGCCGAGCTCCTATTGGAGGAATCTCATCTCAATGGCAAAGCGCCGCCTAAAATTTTCTGGGGGATCAGGACGAGGTCCTGGTTCGATACTGGTACCTCCGATCTCGCCATCACGTGCTGAGAACGTGACTAATTCCAAACTCGGCAAGGCTGCACTGTAGCCTTGCCTGAATACCGCGTGTCTCGACACTTCTGTTCCAGAAGATCTGGACCAAACATCTTTTTATGTTGCGTATCTTTACACTCTCCGAGGTGACCCGCAGCGGATATTTTCATCTCTCTGTAGAATTCTGGCAATTTGGCTCCCTGTCCATGTCCTAGGCAGAGCAACGCAGGACGCTGGCCCTCTTTGCTCTTCGCAAAGTTGACGGTCTTGTTTAGTATACTGACCAGGACTCTTGTAGAGCGGCATACAACGAGGGTAATTAGGACCGCCTACAAGATATATAAGTCTCGAATGAGAAGAAAGGGATGCTCGAGAGAGCAGAGGCGATGGTCAGACTGGGGTTCTCCAGGTGAGTGCAACACCAGTCAGCATCGTAACAACACCGTTGTCGTCCATTTCAATCCTTTGGTATTCCCTTCGGACGTCAACGATGTTCTTCTCTACGTCGACTTTCCCCGGACCAGATCGACCATAGACAAATTCATCAATATAGATCCTACCCCAATCTCTGACTCAACCCAGAGCGACCAAACAGTCAGGAAAGTATGCGAGAACGACGACCCCTTCGAACTTGCCGGACCAACAGCTGTACCAAACCCTGCCCCCACCCTGCCTTGAGTGATGAAAACCGCACAGGGCAACAGATACTCGAAAGACAAATAAAAACCGGTCGGACGGAATGCTTCAAAATCCCACAACGCCATGCTTCGCAAGGACCATGTCGTATCAGCCACAAGACCCATAGCCATGCCCGCGCGAGCAGCCAACAACCAAAGACAAACAATCACATATGGCCCAGCTCTTTTGTCGATTCCTCCTTAAACGCACTGCTTCCATTCGCCAACAAATCCTGGCAATGCTTCCCGAGTGATCGCAAACCAGGTGCCTCCAATAAATAGCAGCTTTGACTTTTTTGACGTTCGCCGACCCGACTCCCGGTGCATCAGTTCTGAGCACCCCATATCCCAGCAGGACGATGAACGCTACAGCTCCAATCCATCCCTCTCCACGAGAACGCTATGCAAGAGCATCGAATGACAACATGCATTTCCCACGTCAAGACCCCACCCTTTCCCATGTCCTGTACACCGAAGGTATGCCGAAAAGACAACACAACTCCGGGTATACGAAAACACATCAAGTCATCTTCATATCTTCATGGCTCAATTAACCCCAGACAGAAGTAGTCCCAATTTTGTTGGAACCCCAAACGCCACTTCCGGTGCCCCAGGCCCCCGAACCAGGGTTCGAAGAAGATTCCTTTGTCGCATTGGACGCAGGCGCCGCAGAATTTACTCGATCAGCATTCTGATCACTTGGGCCAAAGCCATACCCCAAGGCCGGAGGTAGGGGCGAAGTGGTTCGTTTGTTAAGCGTCTGGCTTGTCGCTTGCTGGGCGTTAGGACGGCTGCCAATAGGCCCCATACCACTGTTGACCGGCGCCGTGGTGGACTTGGACATATGGCGAGCATGAGACGAATCGTCCCCAGAAGGCGGAGTTGGAGCCTGGCCAGATGAATGAATGGAGGCATCCAAATTACCAAAACCAGACGACCCCTGTGTCGAAGGCGATGACGCCTTCTCTATGCGAGCACCATCTGGGCCTGACCCAGCCCCTTGCACATTGCTTTCGCCCTGTTGAGCCTGACCAGTGACACCAAAATGATCGCCTCCAAGTGGCGAGGGACCTCGAACAGCCCCTCCGGGAGCGGGATGAACAGTGGCTCCCGGATCTCTGTTGGCGGCATCCTCGCTCGTAAACGGAATTTGGTTTACAAAGGCTCCGGCCTCGCCGTACAAAGCACGATGCTGACGAGCAATCAACTCACGGCGCTCCTCCTCACTCATGTTGTTTGGGCTCATCGAACGATCGGATTTGTTGGAAGACATCTCTGCCAATAAACCTTCTGATAAATCAGTCATGGGGCAGTAGCTCCAGTGTATCAACCCAGGGGCTTACTTCGGTTATATTGTTGTTCTTGATGATAGTTGCGTAGCTCGCGTTCACGCTGAGCCGCCATCCGCCGTTTCGCTTGCATCATCTGATCAGCATCTGGCTGTCGTCCTTGATGCCTTTGCGATGCGTAAAAATTTTGAAGGTTGGCGCCGGGATGCGGTCGAGAGGGATCAAAGTCACCATGACGGCCGCCGTACATTCGAGGCCCTTTCACTGCTAGGTCAGCCTTGGTAAAGCAAGCACGTGGGTGGACGACACGTACCAAAGTCTACTCCAGGTCGTCCGGCCGGCATCGACATTGGCGACGGTCGGGGACCCGGAGTATAGAACTTGCCGCTCTTGACAAGGTTGTCCATGGCTCTATCTACCTCTACACACAATCAATAGCCGCGCTAGGAACCACTGCGCGAGGATCAAACCTTCGAATTGAGTGGCGAAGGCATTGCTGTCTTCGCGTTGTGATGTCGAACTTGCGCCTGACAAAAGGTCAGTCTCTTCAGGCTAATTCTTCCCTGCAGTGCGAACTAACCTGAGCGCGACGGCGGCGGGGGTTGTTCCCAAGACGCCTGCCTGGCAGGAGCTTGCCATCCTTGTGGTTCGTAAAACGACATCGTCCGCCAACAAATTTCGCGAGAGGATTCGACCGTGGAAGATGGCGGACGCGAGGGAGGAGGAAATTGCTACTTGCGAAAAAGCGCAGGCTGTATCGGCAACGCCTGGACTGGCCACACAACAAATTCTGTGAGTCTGCTGCGCTTTAACAACCACGAACGATGACTGGCGGACACGACTGGCTAGAAGATGGCGGAAGGGAAGCACCGAGTTTGGGTGGGAGAGGGGGTGGACATGTGGTGGTATGTATCGTCTGGGTTGGGTTGGCTTTGGAGTGAAGTTTTGAGTGGGGAGAAGGCCTTTTTTTTTAGGATCGGCCGGGCGTGAGCCAATGGTGGACTCTGAACAAATCGGCCGACTTGCCCGAGGCAACAAGGCACCACGGGGCAAAGAAGCGATGTTATGGAGGTCGACTTACGAAGATGGACCGGACACAGCAGCTGGTACTAGTAAACGGACAGAACACGGAAGCTGAGATGGAAGAACTGCCGCCGACGGGAGCGGAATGCACAGAACTCGAGGCGGCGGAAAATATCTGGGTGCAATGGGGAGAGGTATTCCCACCGGTTTACCAGGCGAGACTGTACTAATAAAGCCCTATAATTAATTATACTGTACTGTCCTTGCTGATCGCAGTTCGTGCAGTGGGAGTAGGAAATTTGAAGCTGAAGAGAGTGAAAGTGGCCGAGTGTCGAGTTAGCGATGGTCCCAACTCTCCCACAAGGCGCGATGGGGACCTTCCAGGCGGTCCAGGTCATTTTTGGCTCCAATCCATCCCCGGGGGAGCCTCCCTAGCCACAACCACAAACTGCAACCACAAATGCATCGTGCCACGACCAGACAGCGGGCGCAGGTACACGCTGCCGACACCACTACTAGCAACCTGATTCTCACCTACTACTAAGTGTCTGTCTCTCTCCTAATCGGTCCTCGGTCTTTGTAACTACTACTACACAGCTTGCATCCGCGGACGCTCCCTCTCTCCCCCTGAAAGGTTTCACTACATCGCCGTTGCAGAATGCTCATGCGGACTGCAGAAAGAGTCGTGGGGGAAAGGTACCACCATGCCGGCTTTTCTTCTCGAGCCTAGCGACGACCGTCGAGCTGCTAGTATGCAAAGCGCCGTTCCTTTTAGGCACAAGACTGCAGCGGGCCATCACACTACGCTCCACCACGCCCCTATCAAAGCTGAGTCCTGGTTATGCCAAGTTTGGAGAACCCTCATCTACCGTCCGGCAGGATCTGCTACGTGCTGCATCTTCGGCCCCTCGATAAGGGCAAACCCTAGGACGGTCATACCAGGCAGGACTAGATGCCAGTATAGTACGTCTGCTTGCCGTCCAACTCTGTAGGTGACTACAGAAGTGAAGATATACTAATTAGTATACCTTGCATCTACCCGTCCCGAGGGCGGCGCCAGCACTTGAGCATGGCACCAATAAGCGTAACAGAATCAGCGGGCAACAGCAATTTTAGTGGAGATGGTAGTGGACAAGCGGGTATCGTTCGCGTCCTTTGAGGTGGGGGATTCGAGATGAAGGATTCTTTTTACTATGTTCAGTACCAATCTCCCTCGTTCCGATGCCATGCGATCTTTGACCATCGTGGAGGCACAAGCACATCTCCTCTTCTACGCCGTCTGTTGGCTTTACGGAGCTGACCGACCGCTTGAGCTTGTGACGATCGATTTCCGCATAACCTGAGAATGAGTACCATGCCGCATTCGAATGCCACCCCGACACAATTTGGGTTGTATGTAGTGCGTGATCCAGATTGGCCGAAGCCCTAAAGTGTACTTCGTACAAGGGTCTTATTATTCCCCGACTTCAAGAAATCAAGAGGAACGCTTCGAGGACAGCCTTGTATTTTCGAGATGCTCTACGAACAGTTTAGCTGCGCGCCGGAGGATCTTCCCGGCTCCTCGGACTTCAGCATGCCCTTCTACTGGGATGCGGAGGACGAAAATCACGCCCAAACGCCATGGGGCACATACATAGCCTCAAGGGCCCTCGCATCACGCTACAGCGGGGAGTGCAGTGTGCCAACAATGGGGAACATGTTAACTGGTGCTCAGATTCTGCACTTATTAACCATCGCAGCTCGAATGGCAGCTGTAGGCCAATGACTGAGCACCTGCAGTCGAGCTGACCGAAGTCGGCTGTCGCACAGAAGCAATTTCCTTCCTCCCAGTTACACAAGAAACTGGGCTCCTCAAAACCAACGAAGTGCAAGCAAGCGCTTTATTAGATCCCCCTGAAGTCACTACTAATTTAGATATCACTGGGCGGCCTGGGCTGGGCTATCTGCATCTGATCACCAAATTTCGGTCGGCTCCACAAACTTAGGTATGTCCGAGTTCTGCAGAGCGCGTCCTGGTTGTTTCGTACAGGATGATTCATGTGTGATGAACAGCGGCTGAGCCGAAGGGAAGTTCTAGTAAGTTAGGGCGTCCTGCCCGTTGCCTACTACTAAACAGCCATACCACCCAGAGAACACTGCCGTTGGCTATTGGTCGCTCATTAGCCTGATATACGTTGCAGCGGGGAGCTATCTGACGGTGGGTGCGACGGAAAGCGGTGCAGGGTTCGCTAGTTCTTTTAGCTCCCTATCAATGTTCAAGAAGAGCCTTCGAGCGGTTGTTGATCTATATTCGAATATGTACACTATATTCGAATATGTACAATGTATACCGCCTTCACTTACCCAATCCTGGACTGTTCGGGTTTGGGATGGTTGGACATTGTTTTGGCAGACACAGTCCACATCACACCTTGTCCGGCTGGCCACCTGGCTTACCTTTCAGTGTCTGAAGGCGCAAAGTGGTTCCGGTACGCCAAAGTGAGATGCCGGATAATAATATATACCTATCAAGGGCTAACAGAGAGGTTTGACTGGTGTATCAGACTCGAGACTTGACAGCGAGGGGCCACCGCTGCGGGACAGTCAAGGCTGGATGTCATTTTCAAGGCTTGATCCATTTTTAAACCCCAGTCCATTTATTAGTAGTTGTGCGAAGGGGTCATACTAGTATAGTGCCCGTCTAAAATTGGCACCCACACGCTGCCTCCCTGGCCGAGGACGTCCCTGGACGTACACAGTATCTGCACCATAAGACGGAAAGTTGAGGAGCTCGAAGCCGAGCTTGCCTTGAGCACACTGGAGCTGATATTCCTTCTGGGCCGTGTGGCTGGCATGATTACGGGAGACGAAGCTGTTCGTGTCCATACTACCACCTTACCTGGTAGCCTTGTTGGTCTCAACTTGATGGGAATTACCTTAGGTAGGTACAAGTGCTAGTAGTACCTAGGTAGTCTTGAAGCACGAAGGTAATTAAGGCGATTTGGCAGCGACGTCGGCGGCGGCCACCAAAGTCTAAAAGGATGCGAAACACGTTCCTGAACGAAAATTGGCACGCCAAGGCAATTTGACAGGTACTACACGTGTACGCGGGCGCGTTGTGGCCCTGGCGGTGTAGTCTTCCACATCCAGGTAAGCTGTACCTACCTAGGTATATATCCTATTAACGAGCAGAGGACCCTAGGCCTGGAATCATCTTCACAACTACTTATAAAGCGCAGGCTGACAAAGAGGCGGCCGAGCACATGGAGCAGCTGTCTACACTGCACCCAGTAAGAATGTGAGGGTCCCTGGCAAGTGTAATGGAATTGGAGTGGCTTTGGCATCCTAATCCTGCAAACGTACCTGTAGCTGGGCTAGGAGAAAGGTGCAGTCTGTTGTAAGCAGTCCAGTCATAGGCCTAAAAACCTTCCTAGTAAGAAGATGGTCTCGTAAGCTGGAGGTGAGCCGACAACAGCCATTGCGGCGACCTATCAATTACCTAGGTAGGTATGATAAGGTATGCACCGTTCAACCTGAGGCGGTGACTAGAAGCATGCACTCAGTGTTGCAATTTGAGTGCTGCTTGTCGACCCTGCCAGTCTCGGTCCTCTGCTTCTGAAATAGTTGACACGTTCATGGATGACGCTTTTGGCAATGGAATTGGCAAAGAGTGCGTACTCGCTACTAGGTACCACAGCACCAGACAGTTGCACCTTTCATAGACGCATTTCACCACCTGCCCCTGGCTGGATTTTTGGGGATAGGGCGATGTCCGTACAACGTACGGGGTACCATGTAATCAAGGGCAGGACAACGAGGGTCTATTACTACTACTACCTCGTTCATCACCTACCAGGTACCTGACTAGTTATAGGTATTGACCATGTACTAGTAGTACTTGGGCAATACAGGTTCCGCCCAAGCAAATGAACCAGATGTCGGTAAGGTAAGGTAGGGAGTGAAAGAACTTAGAGCGGACGTGCTGGGCATCACCCCCACTATTCTGGCTGCAGTAATAATACCGGTAAGGTACAAAAACCGGTAAGGTACAAAATTGGGTACTGTACAACACAAAGGGTACTGGTACCAGGTGGTCCTGCTTAGGGACTTAGAGGGCTAAGGAGGTTAGGCTATCACTGGCCACTAACCGTTCAAGTTTATTGTGCCGTATACTATCCCACTAATCCTTAACCCACCACTGCATTGGCAGCGCACCCAGCAGTAACATGCTGCCGCTACTACCGTTACCGCGACCGCAGCCTCCGTCCTTGTCCTCATCGTGGCAGCCAGGAACAAGCGAGGATTGACTGTTGCAGACTGCACCTCGACACCATTCTCACCTCCCACGACAGCTCCTCTGTCCACCACCTCACCTTGTCTATTCAGCTCATCCCTCCTACCGACACGCGTCTAGCTGACTATTCTGCTTCTACTCGCATCCTCATTCCTGTATATCGCCAAATTCGATCCATATTCTCCCTTCCGTCGCCCGAGTCGCCCCCCTTCGAGGAGAGCAATTTCACCAGCCTCAATCCAATTGTGACTCTATCCGCAACTGGCTCTTGTATGCTATTGCCCGAGAAGAGTTCGAAGTAACCTGTCCCGACGTCCAGCTCACTTGTGTCGGGCAGCCTCCCCGGTCAACGGTCACTTCTCGCCGCCCTTCTGAGGGCTTACTCTGATCATTCGAGGAATCGGTCTATACCGCGCCTACGGCCATTGGCCCAATCGCCTCAGACGTTGTCGGCTACGTTTCGCGCGTCCTACCTCTCGAACGCTTCGTGGCCAGTGTCGCTCCAGACTGCTTATTACGACCGCTCCCTGTCTTCCAAGACCCTGCTTCGCATCTGGCGGCCGAGCCCGCTACTTTGGGCATTCTGCCTGTCGCGAGCCCCTACATTGGACTGGAGAGAATACAATAAATTTCCTCATATCGGGTCCAACCACTCAAGTGTATTGGTGGAACTTCGGTCCAGCCGCCGCTGGGCAGTCGAATGACTTGTCGAACGCCGAAAGATGGTGGTAAGAGTGTTCCAACACCGATGACCATGTCATATACTGCGGCTGCTGCGTCGGAGATGGAGGCAAAGTCGCCGACCACGGCGCAGTCCTCTGGAGTAAAGGGTACAGCGCAGCAGCCCTCGCTTTCAAAATCAATTCCCTCCCCTTCCTCTCCCGATTCGCAAAAGCCGCCGTCTGTGGAGAAAAGTGCGTCCCCCGTGACAGAAGCTGCGAAGACCGGTTCGCCTCTCTCAGATCCCACGGACAAGAGTCGGACATCCTCCGTCGGGCGGAAACAGTATGGAGGCTGTAAATATGAAACTGGAATGGCCAGAGCGAGACGACGCGTCCCGTACTCTCTTGGTCCTGATCCGCTGGAAAAGGTCAAATCAAATCTGAAAACGCGCCTGACCCACGAGGAGGATGAAAAGCTTACGGCAGATATGCAAAAGCTCTACGAGACACTACAACCAACCGCTGAAAGTGAACAACGTAGGTCACAATTCATCAACAAGCTAGACAAGATCCTTCGGGAAAGATGGCCCACTTCCGCGATTAATGTCAACGTTTTTGGCTCAACGGGGAACAACCTCGGCACCTCCGATTCAGATGTTGATGTCTGCATAACTACTGACTGCAAAGAAATGGAGCATGTTTGCTCTATTGCCGATCTATTGGCGAAACATGGAATGGAGAGGGTTGTATGTGTTTCCAGCGCCAAAGTCCCTATTGTGAAGATCTGGGATCCCGAACTGCAAGTCGCCTGTGACATCAACGTCAACAATCCTCTCGCTTTGGAAAACACCGAACTTGTCCGGACCTATGTCAGCATCGACAGTCGGGTCAGGCCTCTCGCCATGATCATCAAATACTGGGCTAAGCGCAGGATATTAAATGACGCTGGTATGACCCTCTGCCCTTCCCACAATGTCACTTGATACTGATAACTTTCGAAGCTCTTGGAGGCACCCTAAGCTCCTACACGTGGATATGTTTGGCGTTGAATTTTCTTCAGACCAGAGATCCCCCAATCTTACCAACTTTGCAACAGCAACCTCATCTAGAACCCAAGTTCCTGGCAGGTGTGAACGTATCCTTCGATCGTGACGTTGACGCATACAGGGGTTTTGGAGCCCGGAATAAGTCTTCGCTTGGCGAGCTTTTGTTTCATTTCTTCCGCTACTATGGACACGAGCTTGATTTTGAACAAAGTGTGGTATCAGTCCGTCTAGGCCGAGTTACGACGAAGGTTGAGAAATCCTGGCATTTGCTCCAGGACAATCGTCTGTGCGTCGAGGAGCCGTTCAATATATCTCGGAATCTTGCCAACACCGCGGACGACACTTCGATGCGCGGCATCCACATGGAATTGCGTAGAGCATATGACTTGATAGGAGAAGGGAAGCTTGAGGAATGTTGCGAGCAGTTCGTGTACCCGGCCGAAGAGCTCAAACCGTCTGAGCATTTTGTCCCTCCGTCTGCCAGGCCGGTCATCCCTCAGCCTCCTCCGCAGGCACCAGTACAGACGTCTCGAGCAGGGCGAACTGGAGCGCGTGGAGGAAAGCATGCGAATAACACAAATCGCAATAGCAGTGGTCGACGTTCGTCGAATCCTACTGGCAGGAACCCGGGCTACCTACGCAATCTGCCGTTTCAGATGACGACTCAGGAACTACAACTGCAAGCTCAGCATCAACAGCATCTGCTGCATGACCAGCTCTTCCAACAGTACCAATATTTGCAATTGCAGGAGCAGGAGCTGCGGATGCAATTACACCAACAGAATCTTCGGCAAAGAGGATTGTTGGCATCTGCCTACCAACAACAACAGGGTTATGCACACTTTGCCTCACAGGACGACAGCACCGAGCCTGGTACCAATGCACAGACCAATGGGATCAGCCGAGCTCCTCTGTCTGCACCCTTGCACCAACATCGCTTTCCTCCTTTCTCGCCTTACTTAGCGTCTTCTCGTACCAGTCAAGGTGTTTCGACAAACCCGTCATCCCCGCGGCTTAATTCTGTGATACCGGATACCCGCAGATATTCGCGACGGACCTCGGTGACGCAGTCATCCCCGGGAGCCTCGCTGCGGGCACAATCCCAACCTGCTCGGCCAATTCCGGTTTCCTCCCTCGGGCAGATGCAATCGAGGTTCGACGTTCCTGGCATACAAGACGCTTCCATGGGCCGCCGGTCTTCTGCATCGTCGAGTTCACAGGAACACACTTCCAGCTACCATGAAAATGGCCTTGGAATATCTGGTACTCCATATGACCCGATGCGAAGACCGGGAGAGTATATCGGATACTATGTCGGGCAGTCTCCGTCCTTATCGGCCTACAATCAAAGCACAACAATCTCTCCAATTCCTTCACATGTAGGGTTAGCCATCCAGAATGGGGGCTTGTCGCCCCAGCTGGCTCTGGCGGCGACGCGCTCTTCTGGGATAAATCAGACACCTCCACCGCGGGCAGTCTCGGCAGTCATCTCTGAGAATCAACCAGTCTCGGACCCGGATCGCAAGATTTCCGAGGGTGGTAATACTGAAACTTTGCCGCCCAAGCCGAGGTCGGGTCCTTTGATCGTGGATGGGTCAGTCAACTCACCGAGGCGTCGGCAGACGACACTGATGAACGGTGAGCCCGAGGGCCATGTCAACTACAGCGCTTCGACCTCAGAAGATCTGGCTTTCGATACCCCTTCTAGCTCTGACGAGCAATCACTGCCAGATACTCTGGAGTTCGACAGTCGGGAGAAGAGTCCGTCCAGCAGTCCAAGTACTGCCCGGAAGGAAGGTCCTCTGGCGCCAGGAATTCAAGAACATGCATATGGCCACATACCTCTCAGGCCCGTGGCACGCGGGCCCACTGAAGAGTTGCACATTAATGGCACAAAATCTGCACCCTCTGTGGGGCTGAACGGCTTGGGGGTTGTGGCCGGTGCTGGGAGCAGGGCTTGGTCGCTAGACCGTCAACTTTCTTCAGTCGAAGAAGTTCAGTCCCCATCTCCTCGGTTGGAGGAGTTCACGGCGGAATGTCAACCTCCTGAGAATGGAAGCAGGCATTCGAAATTGGAGACTACGCATGGTGGAGGAAAGGGGGAATCAATGCCCTTGCTTTCACGAGCGAACGGCTCTGTAGAGGCGTCTGCAGCAATGACAGATCCTTCGGTCGCTGCAACCTCGACAAACGGCTGGCAAACACAAAGGAAGAAGAGGAAGAACAAGAGGCCGGAAAAGTCAGAGAATGACCCGCAGGCCTTGAACATCTCTGGCGGGGAGTCACTGCCAGCCGATGAGTCCCTACGAAAAGGCGGCTAGGGGCTCCTTTGCGGATGTTCATAGCCACATACCCAACCTGCGGAAGACATGGCGTACGCCGCCTTTTCAAGGCTCGAATGCCTGCATGTTCCAAGTCGGGTTTCGTTCGACGCGCGCTCTTTGGCCTCTCGAGAGAGACTTCATGGTATCAACAGCAGCATCTATTCATTAATATTTTTGGGTTATGCATTGACCAAATGTTTTGGCGTTGTCAGTCTAGAAAAAGTCGAAGCCTTCCAGGCAACCATGAGCAAGAAATGAGCTTGCAGGCGTTGGTCTTGTTATTGCAACGGAGCTTGGCATTGCCAACGGTGCCTATTTCTACATATGCGCCGTCATTACGGAATGATGCATCAACCGTCAAGAGTCTGAGCAGACGGATATAGGCCCTCCAATGGTGTTGGGCATAGCAGCCTATACCCGAACGGGAGTCTTATGACGTCGTCGGGAACGCGCGCGCAAACGATTACGAGGTGGCATTGAAAAAGAGGTTGGCAGCTGGCATGGGTTTGATAAATTGAGGTTTTCATAGAAAAGAGATTCACAAAGGGGGGACGTTGTGTAAGATGGATGCAACGACCTTGTTGTAAAGCTACGAACGAGTACAAGCGAAGAAAATGGATGAAACAAAGGGGTGAGCTGTCTGTCCCAGGCGAGGACACATTGGAGCGTACATCAACAGATTGATCCGAGAGAATGTGACCATTATTAACGAGGAGTGTTTCTGCTGAGTCGTGGTTGTAGATATACAACATTGTACACATGGTTGCGGCCATGCTGCCCAAGGTCAACTGGTGTGAAGCTTGAAGTCTGTAGACAATGGTTGTAGAGCGCTAGTAGTAGAGTGCTGATGCTGGATACATTGCAGTCTATGGTAAGGGGAAAACTGCATTGCCTTTGTAACCCTGCCGACAAGGCTGCAAGTATGCAAAATACTAGTACCTTGGGACTTTCAGGGGCACGAGGCTGAAGCGAGGGCTAAGGCCGACGCGATGCCTAATGAGGCTGGCGCCGACGCGATGAGGAGCCTAACGGTTCTAGCGATGCACTAAATCTACAATGTACACTAAGGCCGCTTACTAGCGCCAAACTTTTTATTTCTGCTGGCTCGTACGATTCGGGAAACGAGGCCCTGTCAAAGACTGCTTATACGCATCATCTCATTGTCAGCCCGGAGCGATCTGTTGTTCGACGGCCAAACAAAACAGTTTGATTGGTGCATAAGCCTGTGAGAACGGGTGTTGCGCTCACCTAAGACGACAAGATAAGATATTCTCACTCAACACAATCACATCCGATCCATCCTCGAGTCTGACCTCCACCCTTGCGAAAGTCGAGTTCGCTCGCAGTCCTACTATTCCATCACACCACGTCTCAGGCCACGACAATCCTCAACCTCTCCTTTCGCCTTGACCGCGTATATCTTTTGTGTTAAACTCGACTTTTGGCCACCATCGCCCTACCACCTACCGCCTTATGCCTCGATAGGCCTTGCCACATCGTCAGCCATCGCCGAGTTTGTTTGACCCAAGGCCTCCCTTCCAACCATGCCTCTCATACTCGATTCGTCGTCCTTAGAGTCATCCAGCGATCGGGAACAGGATGTTCTAGAAGAGCGGCGGAGACTGCATCATGAAGGCGACGTCGTTATCGTCGGCGCAGGCGTCCTGGGTTGCGCATTGGCAGTGGCGATGGCAAACCAAGGGCGCAGCGTGATACTGCTAGAGAAGTCGTTGAAAGAACCGGACCGCATTGTAGGGGAGCTGTTGCAACCCGGAGGGTACGAAGCATTGACCAAATTGGGGTTGCGACATACATTGGAGGGAATCGACGCGATCCCCGTCAAGGGCTACACTGTCTTATATTTCAATGAGTCGGTAGCCATCCCGTATCCCGCCAGTGCCAGTGGCGGGGGGGAGACACGACGTCTAGACACAGAGAGGTCAGAGAAATCAGAAAAATCAGAAATGTTGCCTCCTGAGGCCCCGGAAGGACGGTCATTCCACCATGGGCGATTCATTTCCAAGCTACGAGCCGCCGCAATGGCGCATCGCAACATCTCGGTCTTTGAAACCGAGGCGACCTCATTGATCACGTCGACACATACGCATCTGATTCTGGGTGTGGAGTCCTTGACCAACAAAACGCAAAAAGATTACTACTTCGGTTCGTTGACCGTAGTGTGTGACGGGTATGCGTCGAAATTCCGCAAGTCGTACATCCCTCGCACGCCGCAGGTCAAGTCCAAGTTCTGGGGCATGGAACTGATCGACTGCCCCTTGCCGACGCCTCAACACGGCATCGTGGTGCTGGGCCAAAATTCACCAGTCCTACTCTATCAGATCGGGACGCACGAGACCCGTGTCCTGGTCGACGTACCTGAGGGTTTGCCATCGACCTCGCCTGCCAACGGCGGGATCAAGGGTCACCTGGAGAAAGTGGTTCTGCCGTCCTTGCCTGCCATGGTCCAGCCATCATTCCGAGCCGCGCTGGAAAAGGGTACCGGGCTTCGCAGCATGCCCAACTCGTTCCTGCCGCCTACCATGAATCGAACTCCTGGACTGGCCATCCTCGGGGACGCCATGAACATGCGCCACCCCTTGACCGGCGGCGGCATGTCGGTCGCCCTGAGCGATGTCGTTTTGTTATCGGAACTGCTGGCCCCGGAAAAGGTACCCGACCTGGTAGATACCAAGCAGGTTCTCGAGCAGTTTCGGGTGTTTCATTGGCGCAGGAAGGCCTTGACCTCCGTCATCAACATCCTCGCAATGGCCCTGTATTCTTTATTTGCCGCAGACGATTGGCAGTTGAAGTATCTCCAAAAAGGCTGTTTTCGATACTTCCAGCGCGGTGGCAAGTGTATCGAAGAACCGGTCGGCTTGTTGGGAGCCCTGATCCAGCGGCCCTTTGTGCTGTTTTATCACTTCTTCAGCGTGGCGTTGTGGAGTATTTGGATCTTGTTCAAAGAAAACGGCTTGTTTCTGCTGCCTTTGAGCATTGTCCAGGGTATCCTGGTGTTTTGGAAGGCTTGTGTCGTCATCTTCCCGTATATATTTGCCGAACTGAGGATTTGAGGTCCGCAGCGAGCTTTGTCTACAGAGATGTACGAACATTGGTATAAAAAATAAGAAGGATTGGTCGTTCCTACAAAGGGTGTACGGAGTCATCATTGGACCTGGTTGTAAGCGAGGATTCGGCAATGGGGTGCAATATGGGATTTGAATAAGTTAATATTCGTCAGAACAGCGCAGAAGAGAAATAGTACGGCTGGCGCACCCAGCAAATGTGTGTCTTGTAGAGCGTGATTTGCTGTGCAGGTCATTATCGATATCTAGACTGGTGGTGTCTATCTTGTTCTGCTGGAACTGATCTTCGTCATCTCTCGTAGGCAGGACTACTATTACCTTACAATTGTTGCAATACCTTTCCTTTTCATTTTTTGTCTTTCTCTTTCTCTTTCCCATCGGCATCACCATCGGCCAGGATCTGCGTCGCCCTCAACCTCTCCAAAACATACTCGCCAGCCCTAAGGGGCAAAAAGTTACTAGCCCCCACGGCGGATTCAGGCAAAGGCAAAACATCAGCGTCGTAATTGATGCTGAAGAAAAATGGCACCGAGTAGCGTTCGCCGGCGCCGGGTCTGCTGACGACTCGGTGCACCGTCGACTTGTATAACCCATTAGTCCAGCGCATCAGGAAATCCGCCACGTTGACGGTGAGGGTCCCAGGGCGAACTGGACAAGAGCGCCAGATGGGCTTGTTCTGTGTCAGCGAGGACGGCGGGAAAAGAATTTCGAGTCCTGGGTTGGTAGACGATAGTAGTAGTGTGAAGCATTCGTAGTCGGTGTGAGCGCCGAGACCTAGTTTTGTGTTGTTGTCGTTCGTTTCGCTCACGTCGCTCGGTTCGCTCGCCGCCGCTGGCAACCCCTTATAATACAACAACCGCGCAATCCCACCCGGGTGAGTCATCAATTCATCAAAATACGTCTCCTCCAGTCCCAGCGACAGGGCAAACAAACGAAACAAATGTCGCGCCAACTGCAGGACTTGGCCGTAATATTCGGCTACGGCGTCGCGAAACCCAGGCAGATCGGCCTCGTCGGGCCAAACATTCCCACTTTTAGACGCAGGGTCTGGTTTCGTCCCATCGAGTTCGACGTACTTTCCATCCCCGCCCGTCGGGTCCAACGACTCTTCGTAGCCCCAATTGAACCCTTCTTTGGTTTCATGTTGCGGGTCCTGTTGGGTTTCCAGCGCAGCCGCTCCCGTGGCGCCCGTTTGATCGTCCGGATTGACGTATGTAAAGTCGTGTGGTTCGTAGCCCCGAAACAGGCGCGAGTGTTTGATGTGTAGGGCCTGTCGTTTCGGTTCGGGCAGGTCATGGAAGAACCGCTCTGCTTGCTTCAACACGCCTGCCATGGCGGCAGGGGTCACGCCGTGATTCGCGATCTGGAAAAACCCCGTGCTCAAGCATGCTTCGCGGATCTGTTGCGCCACTCGCTGGCGTGATGCTAGTGTGCCGTCGAATGATGGCCCGATGTCAATCAGGGGCACGGATGGCAGCGACGATTCAGGTACCCCTGCCGGCGGGCGGGTCAGTGCTCCTGCAAGACGTAATCGGAGGTGTTGTTGTGCGGCTTCGACTTCTTCGAGAATGGTCGGCGTCGTGGAGTTGGAGTTCTGCCATGAGGGAGAAGTGGAGGATTTGCTGCCGCCATGGAGATCGGTGATAGAATCAGTGTTGTTGATTGTACTGTATGAGTCGGCTATCGGAAGTGCTGGGGCAGGAGGCATTGTTGAGGTTGCCATTGTTCCCCCTGTCGAAAAGGATTGTACAAAACAAACTGGTCGCAGAGGCAGAGACAGATCTCAAAACACACAGGGATATATTCGAGGGGAGGTAAAGCGTAGCAAAGTAATAAATTGTGGGATGGAGGTGGACGGCGTCTAGAGTGTGGAGTGCGAGACTGGGGTGGAAGGGGCATCAGGCTGGCTATATAGGGGCAACACATGTTGGATTCAATCCAGACCCGAGGTCCAGCAACCCCCACCCACCTTTTTGAACAGTGTCCATATACTGCTATATTAGGGCCCTATTCGCTTGCTTAGGAACAAGAAGAAGCCAAAAAAAGCCATCGTGATAACGTGGTGAAGATCGTCGTTATCTTCGTCGGTGATGATTGGATTGTCAATGCACACTTCGCATATTGGCGCTGCCGGACCGGAGTACGCCGCTCGCTCACACGACCAAGTCGAAACTGAAGCTAGAGCTGGGGGCTGAGTCGGATGTGATTGCTATTGCGAAACGTGTCGAAAGGCAAATGTAGCGCGTAACGGCATTTCCAATGCTGCATCTTGGGTGTGGAAGAGTTGACAACTGTCAGACACGACAAGATGGAGGTAAAGAGCTCACATTCGCAATATGCACTTGAGTGGTTCCTATGGCTCTCTAATACACATTATCAGCGTTCGGAACTGGGATAGATTATCTCCGGACTGTCGTGATCATTTCCGTCATAGCACATTTATCTCGTCGCGAAGAAACTGTCTGGCAGTGGTAATGCCGCTGCGAACAACCCCCTGTACTGCCTGGGGAACACCCTCTGGCGGCCCTGTATTACTTGTATCCCCCAGGTTCACATGATCCCAGAACTCTGGTTTCTCTTTATCAGGCGGCCACCAATCGAAGAGAAGAAAGGCTTCTTCCGAGGTCCATGGTCCTACCTCGCCCTTCGAACGCTCCTGTACATTCGGACTCGTCTCGTTGTCATTCTCTGGACCCAGCGCAGCAGTATCTGAGGTCCAGCGTTGTATGTTGGCAGACTTCCGTGCGTTGACGGGAGTTCGCCGGGCGTTGAGATTGTCCAACACTTTGAGTGGACTGCGTGCCTCAATGCCTCGCAGTATCTCGTTGCCAGAACGTTCAGGAGCCAGGCTCCAATCCTCGTCACCTATAGCATCACTCTCGGAAAAGACTCGTTGGAATGCATGTGTATCAGTGTTCCGCACGGAAATCAAATCATGAGGCGGCAGAGGAAAGGATCTGTCCTTAGGGTGTTTTGGAGAATTCGTATGATTCCGCAGCGCCATGCTCTCCTGAGCAACACAACTTTCCAGGTCTGCATTTGACTCTTCTGTATCAAAGCCCGGACAGGGCGCTTGACGATGTCCTTGACTGCCTTGAGATGACTGAATAGCGTCGAGAGGGGGCAAGAAAAAGTCTTCTTGAGTAGGCGCAAGGTTTGGAGGGGACGTCGGGCGCTCCGTGTCATCCTCTGGTATGAAGAGGGGACTGGAAGTGATATGGCTGTCCGGTCCGCGTCGGCCCCGGGCAGACTTATGAGAGCTTGGGGTCGCAATGAGGCTGTCGCTATCATGGTCCCGGTCATGCTCTCGGTTATCGTTCTGGTCAGGAGACATAGAGCGCCTACTTGGTGCAGGTCTAAGAGAGCTGAAGTCAGATTCACTGTCCACATTATTTGCATTGCATCCTGTACCGGCGTCCCTTGTAAACGGCATTAAACAAGTCAATGTAGACCGGGGCTTTGGCTGGCTCAGTAATAGTCGCGCAGTCCCCTTTGAGGAAGGCCTGGGCCTTGTAGCGGCTGGAGGAGTTCGCTCCCTCGATGCTGCTGTTGCTGTCGTTGGCTGCTGGCGCTGGGGAGCAGCCACCTTACTGTTGACGCCAGGCTGATTGAGACTACTTTCGCGAGGAGTCTTCGTTGCGGAAACCACTGCGTTCCGACTCGGTTTTTTGGACGTAGGGACGGGCTTAGTCTTCTCCTTTGGCCTCCTTGCAGCCTCAATTTGCCGGGATTGTGATTCCGCATCTCTACCGTGGGGTTGTCGTGGCTCATCGTCAGAGGAGATATCGAGCACCTCTTTGAACTGAACAGGGACTCGTCTGCCATCAGTCAAGGGTAATGGCGCCGCCGCCGGCGCCGCTCTTTGCCGATACTGCTCACTAAGGCGTGGCTGGCTAGCCGTAGCCTGCTCCCCTTGTCCTCTGGTGAGATTCTTTTCCACGCCGGCTAACTTGGGCTTCTTCGCAGCTGGTGGGACAGGGTCAGGTCGGGAAGCCGGTTGTCGTTGCTCATATGGCGACTGTAAGGACAATCTTGATCGGCCAAGTCGTCCCTGGGATGGACCCAGAACCTCGAGCAATGACTTGGGCCTCTGTGAATATCCCGTTGACTGAGGGCGGGTGGAGAGATGTGCCGTCTGCCTAGGTTGTGGCGCTGTTTTCTCTGGACGCTGTCTTTCGAGAATGGGTGCCAAATCGGTCTGCGTCTCACCCAGCCTGTCACCGACTTCGACTTTTACTCCCCGGTCCAGTTGAATCTCGACACCCTCGCCAAACTCGTCCTCTTGCGTATAATGAAGGTCTCCAATGTAATTCTTCGCGTCGTCGTAAACCATGACGCGTCGATTGAAAGTGTGGAACCGCAGGGAGCCGTCGTGCCATTTCTTTGCCTTCTTGTGCAGGTCCCGAGTGTACAGGCAGCGGAACTCATGGACGGGTGCGCTGTTCTGGGTCGGGGCCACCGTGAGGCTCGGGGTGCCCGGGTGTGTCGAGGGCATAGTAGCTGCCATGATCACAACTACCGGAAATGAAATGTACCAACGACATTATGCTTGTTGGTACATGCGACCAGGAGAGTGATCTTGACGCACAATAATGTACACAACACAGGACCTGGTACTGTTGTCAGCCTGTAGCGTCAATGAACCACGCGTCCCTCACGTCGCTGTGCTCCGTAGTAGTGCTTAATTGTCTTTTTACGGCACCGTGTAGAACACGACAGCGCAGAACTGTCGAATAGGAGTCCCGTCTTGCAGCACGTACAAGAACAAATTGTCGTCGTTGTGTCCTGCCCCCGTCGCTCGCAGGATGAAGCCTTTTGAGACGGTGGCAGTGCAGTCGACAAGCGAGAGCGCAATCCAACTGAAACGGTTGCGATTCAGGAGGATCGCAGCCTCCACCTTCACGTGATCGGGGGCTTGCTTGCTTGCGTGACGCGTCTTGTCTTGCGTTTGCAAAGCCATGTCATGTCCACCGTCCGCTTCTGGGGACTGCTACTACCACGGAAACGTCAAGGGAGAAGAACAACGACGCCGAACTTAACCCTGCGACTAGCACACCTTGATCCTCGCCTACTTGGCAGCTCGTCCACCCACCTTCCGTCAATCACCTCGTCGAGCAAGCTGCAGCCTTCGTCTTGCTTTTGTTTTGTTGACTTCACCCTGGCTCTTCGTAAGAGACACCTCCGAGGCCGCTGTGCCGGGTCTGCCTTTGCCAGCAGTCACCATGCAGAGCGTCCAGCGGCATTTCGGCAGATATATGAAGAGGAGCGCAGACGAACAACAGGTCTCGCTGCTTCTGAAGGATTTTGAGGAAGCCGATCGGCTGTTGACCAAGGTGCGTTCCCTATTTCTTGATCTCCGCATCAGCCCTTCTTCCGCTAATCTGAGAAGATCATCGAAGCGTCCAAAGCATGGCGAGAATCGTGGATATCCATCCTCACCCACCAGCACCGTATGTTCGAAGAGTTCGAGACTCTCTATGCTCCCATAAAGGGGGCCGGCGACGATTACCAAGGCCATGTGCCAGTTCAGACACCAGAGCGGATAATTCAACGTGCCAGCAGGATCAAATCGGAATATGCCGACTTGAAAAGAGATCTGACCAGTGATTTGGCCCAAGTCGACGACAGACTGATTAGGCCGGCTCAAGAGGCGAAGGACAGCCTGCATACGATGCGCAAGCCGATCAAAAAGCGGGATGACCGCAAGTTGGACTTTGAGAGATATCAGAACCGCGTGGACACCGCCCTCAAGAAGACGAAGCGGTCGGAACGAGACAACGCAGCCTTAGCCAAAGCCCAGGCTGACCTCGCCGCGGCCACCGAGGCCTACTCCGCTGCCGACGAACACTTGAAAAACTGTCTTCCCCGTTTATTGACCGCCGTCTTCTCGCTTCTCCCGCATTTTCTGGGTGCCCAGGTCCAGATCCAGAATAGCTTGTTAGGTCACTACTACACCATGCTGCACGCCTACTGTACGGAAGAAGGCTTCCCTTCACCGAGTCCTCCTATGGACGAAGTCATTCGACTATGGGACGACACTTTTAAACCCGTGCAACAAGAGGCCGAAGCCCTGATGCTCCTGGCCAACGGGAAGGCCGTTAGAGCTCCCATGAACCAAGAAAACGCTCAACCTCCCGCAAACGGATATCGACGACCAAGTTCCAACACTTCCTACAGTCGGACACAATCTGTTTCACCCGCTCGCGCTTTGCCTCCATCTCCCTCTCACGATACGAAACCCAAAATCTTCTCGTCGCCCGGTAACGCTTTGCTGAGCCCGGGGACCTCTCAAGACGTTTGTCCCAGTCCTTCTCCTCAATCAGCATACCAGACCCCCCTGGCTTACTCTCCCGCGGGCCCCAATGCCGACTATTTCTCTCGAGATCGGCAACCCTCAGCGACCTCCGCTGCATCATCTGCGACCGCAGCATCGATTGCCCAGAAGAAGAGGCCTCCGCCGCCACCCCCGCCGCGACAACCCTCGCAGCAATCATTGTTCGTCACAGCTCTGTACGACTTCGAGGGGCAAGGGGAAGGAGATCTTGTTTTTCGCGAGGGGGATCGAATCCGGGTTCTAAAGAAGACTGAGAGTACTGATGACTGGTGGCAAGGGGAGCTGAGAGGGGTAAAAGGGGCTTTTCCTGCCAACTATTGCCAATGAATTGTTGTCTTGAGGCCGATCTGACGCCACCTTGGCCGTGCTCTTGGCCTGCGTGTCTGGGTCGACAACGGGATACGTCCGAAGTTCCACATGGGTTCAGTGCATACGACGATGCAGGTGGCAGGACTAATGTCGGTGTTGCCATTTTCCCTGTTGGCCAAAGAAAGCAAGCATTGCAATACTCGGCGAAGCATAGACTGATTTGGTTTCATCGCGCCCAGCAAGGAAAAAAAAAGCATGGCGTTGGGACGGCGCATTTGTAGGAGTGATGGAAGCATGTTGAATGCGAAGGATATACCCCCTTGAAATATAGAAACGCTTTGCACTCACTTTGTACCTTGTTTGACATTCCGATGTGGCACCTTGGTTGTTGTCTTGGTTGTCTTTTTCTTCCTGCTATGGTTATCTCGCAATAAAGTCGATCGCAGGAGCTGCTTCCCTTTGAGAGATCTCCTTGCCGGAGCCGGAAGTCAGGTCATTCAGCTGGTACTGTACGTGGCTGGCTCGATTTTAGAAGCGAGCAATGTTTTCTTTGGCCAGTATGCGCTCCTTACAGCATGTACGTACGGTACCTGGTCGTAGCACAGTAGAAGGGAAAGTTGCGGTTCTCATAGTCCCCTAGTAAACCGGGGTGGAAACAGAGTGCAGCCCCTGGTATCGCGTGGATGGAGTCGAAGCATCGGTTCACGATCTGTTTAAGAGCACGGAGAAAAAAACTTGTCGAAGTACGAGTTGTGTAGATATCAGCTGCCTTAGTACCATAGTAGGAGGAGGCCCAGCCCGTCAATAAGACTGGGTCCGTGTGGTGATAGATGTATCTCCAAGTACAAGTATCCTCCCGCTGGCGTCACTCCGATTGCACGATGTCACGCCAGTCTCGAACCCAACCTACATCGAGTACAAACTGTACATATATCCCTACACACTGACAATTTATCATTTTACGACACCCACTGGCAGTGAACAAGAGCTCTGTCCGCTACTGACTTGAGATTAGAACAGCGGGTACGATCAGTCGCCCTGCTGGACAACGGTATATTTGTCTTCGTACCACGTGAGGTCCAGCTTGACTTGTTCCAATCCAGTCACATCCAGAAAAAAAGTCTCGATAGTCAAAAGAATGTGTACTAAAGCTTGAACGCAACTGCACCAACAACATATACTTGGTAGTGCTTGCACACTGCACCGGGGCAACAATCATCCACAACCTTTTTCTGCTTCCAGAAAGCTTTCTTCCAGTAACTACCCAAGGTAGGGGGTACTCTCTACCCGAGAAAATGGCGACAAATGCAGACTCCAAGTCAGAGGCATCCAGGGCTCTACGACCAGACATCAAAGTGCGCGGGCTCAACTACAAATTCCCCGACGGCTCATTGGGTCTACAAGACATCAACCTTGAGCTCCCGGCAGGAAGCCGGACATTACTCATCGGGGCGAACGGGGCCGGCAAGACGACTCTGTTGCGATTATTATCCGGCAAACGACTCGCACCGGCGGGCACGATCTCCATTGGCGGGGTGGACCCGTTCGCCTCGGGCCTCGAGGGCGTGACATACTTGGGACTGGAGTGGGTGTTGAATCCCATCGTGCGGACGGACATTGCAGTTCCCGTTCTGCTGGACTCGGTGGGCGGGACGTTCTACCCGGAGCGACGGGACGAACTTGTGCGGATTCTGGATATCGACCTGCGCTGGCGCATGCATGCCGTCAGCGACGGCGAGCGTCGGCGCGTCCAGTTGGCCATGGGCCTCATTCGGCCTTGGGACGTGTTGCTGCTCGATGAGATCACGGTCGATTTGGATTTACTGTCTCGAAGCAACTTTTTGACTTGGTTGCGTGCCGAGACGGAACGAAGAGGCGCTACTGTCGTTTATGCTACGCATATACTGGACAATTTGGTCGGGTGGCCGACGCATCTTGTCCATATGCATTTGGGAAGAGTGAAGCAGTGGGGGAGTATGGCTGAGTTTGAGGACCAGGTTGGTGATGTCGATGCCGAAGCCGCGGGGGTTGGGAATAGTAAGCTTGGTCAGTTGGTTCTGAAGTGGTTGAGCGATGATCTGGAGGAGAGAGGGCCCAGGAATCAAAGTGAGAAGGTGCGGCAGAGTGAGGGGAAAACGTATGAGAATCTCGAGGGCCTGGGTGGGTATGGTCAGGAGAAAAAAGATGAGAGTGATCGGTAAGACGGGAATGACGAAGAAGATCATGATGATTCGCACGGTGAGAATGAGGATTGGATTGGCATGGATTCGGTTGGAATGACGAAAAATGATACAATACACGAAAAAGCACAAAAGATGTATCGCGAAGAGAGAAATGCAAAAGGCTCGTTTCTTTGCGCGCGGTCTGCGCTTGTCGGCTGGTTCTGGACGATAAAAATGTTCTGCTATGAGGTGGAAGAGTAATGGGAAGATTCGGTCCGATGAACCGTTTTGTTCTTCAACAGAGATCGCGAGTGATTGGTATTGAGATTGGCGCCTGCTAGCGGAGTCAATATGGTGTCGGGTCACTGTCACTGTCGGGACTCTATCCTCGGCATTGTGGGAGGTATGGGATTCAAGTTGTTTGGCTACGCACTGCCAGGACGGAGGGTATGGTCTTAACATCATACTCGAACTTGGAGAAGCTGGTGTCGAATACAGTATAGTCCTCACCAGGCTGGAACTCGAATATTATGCTCTTGAATTCTTCTATCTATCTGTCTCCTCCAAGATAAACACTCTATCTGAAGTCGACCCTCAATATGCGCACCGTCCCGTCATCCGATGCCACCGCCAACTGAGGGCCTTGCGCACGTTCGCCCGTCTCTGACATCGGCCGCCACGCCAACCGATGCACCGTCTTGGACGGCGAGAAATGGCGGTCGACTTCGATGCTTTCCCGCACCTGAGGGCCATCCTCACTGTAATCTACCAAATGCAGCGATATGCTTCCGTCATCCTCACCGACAGCCAAAACACATCCTGTGGGTCCGTGGCAAAGAGCCGAGATGGCTGTGACCGGTGACTTTCGAGCGATTGAGGCTTTGCATGTAAATTGTAACCCATCCGCGGAATCACCTGACTGCTTCGACCACAGTTTGACGACCTTGTCCCTGCCTGCGGTTGCGAATGCCAACTCCTGGGTACTCCCATTCCCAAGCCACGCGCAATCAAGAATCATCCGACTATGTGCTTTCGGGTAGATGGCCACCCGTGTCCAGCTCCTTGAAGAAGAGGAGCCATCACCCTGCGGTTCAAGTTCTGCTTGTTTGAAGATTGCCCACTGCCGATCTCGACTCACACTCAGCAAGTATCCTGGTGGGTGGGACGAAAATGCCAACCGCGTTACGGTGAGGGAGTGCGCAGACAGAGGAGGCCTGATTTCATGCCAGTTGTTCGTATCGTAGAGTCGGATGACCGCGTGGTCAATGGAGCTTGCCTTGCATGCAGTGGCCAGGACACTGCCATCCACGGGTGTTGCGGCCTCCGAGATCTCATAGCCGTGTCCATATAGCTTTTCATGCTCGGGCCAGAGGGTATGTCGGGATAACAGGTCCTCGGTTGGGGGTTCTTTGATGTCACTCAAGGACAAACCCAACTCGTTGGTTGTTCCGTTTGTGGCAACATCTTCCTGCGCTGCGGCGGCGGCAACATCATCGTCATCCACGGCCTTGTTCGATAGACCAAGAACTGGGATGGCAGCTGTGTCCGGGAGCCGAGTCGCGTCCGACGGCAGCGGGATTTGGCAGAGATTGTGAAGCATTTGTGCGATATCCTTGGGCTCGTTGAACACCCGGAGCAGCTTCTCGTCTGCCCCGGACGAGAACTGGTACGGAGTCGTGCTGGCAATGCAGTTGAGATCGTAGCCGTGAATCTGCGGGCGGGAGAATTCGTGCCAGCTGCGTTTCGTTCCCCTCTTCCACTCGGCATGCAGTCTTGTTGTTTGATCGGAGCTCGTCGAGAGAAGATAGCTCCCATCCGGTGCCCAGCAAATGCCGTTGGCAGAGCTGACGTGCCCGCTACTGCCGTGTCGTTGGGTCCAGAATTGCGTCTGTTCCGAGTACTGCCAGAGACGCCAGCTGCCGGTACGCCCGAGGCAGGTCACCATCTGGCCGTCGGGGGCCCACAGTCCTGTCCAGAATCCTCCTGCTGACCCCGTGGCCGTCGTTGCGCCCTTGTGGCTGCTGATTTCACCCAGGCGTGATATACTGACCCAAATCCCGGAGCCAGAGTCCACTTCCCAGATAGAAAGCGACCCGTCCGCGGAAGCGGTCAGTAGTTGAAGACTGGAGGATTGTGGGCGCCATGCAGCCGAGTAAACCCAGTCTTCGTGACCCAGAAGAAGTGCATCGAAGGTGATCGAGTATTTCGATTCACCGGCAGACACGGTTTGGACTTTTGCAGTCAAGGTGTTCCCCGTCGTCGCGGCACCGGTTGGGTCGACCGGTCTCTTTGGCAGGACTGCATCGCCTTCGTGAAAGCGCCACAGACGAACGTATTTATCCTGACTTGCAGAAGCCAACAGAAAGCCACCTTCTGGATGTGGTGTCAAGGCCAAAGACCGGATCCATGCTTCGTGACCTTTCAGGGACGCGCATAGCCGGAACCTGGGTGTTGATGACAGCCCCTCGACCGAGTACACTTGCATGTCGTTCCGCGTGCCTCCCACGACAAGGAAGCCTGAGTCGCCTGAAGGGAAGAGACCAACAGCTAGGGCCAAGGGAATGAATCTGGGTTGAAGCGCAAGATCAGAGACAAGCTCAAGCTTCTCCTGGCGAAGTCTCCATAGTTTTAAGCTTGCATCAGCACCTCCCGTCACGAAGATGTTGGCTTGGTCGTAAGTTGCGAGGGCGTTGACTGTCCCGTCGTGCGCTTTGGCCGTGTCCAGCAGTGTCCATCGCTGATTCGACTTGTCGAACTTCCACAACAACACCTCACCACTTGCTGAGCCGGTTAGGAGGGTTTCCGCCGGTCCATCCTGCTGACCTGCGAAGAACCTGACCGCGGTAACCTTGGAGGTGTACCCTGATAGCAAGGCGCTGATTCCTCTGCCGGAGTCATTCAGCGGTTCCCAGATGGCCACATTTTGATCAGCACCAAAGGCTAGCAGACCCGAAGTGGTTGACCAGTCGGACGCTGCACTGTGTCTGTTCCCGCCAACACTGATATAGTCATGTGAGATATTGGCAGGCATCTCACAAGAGGGAAGGGCCTGTGACCCGAGGTTGGCAAGCAAGAGATAGAGCAACTGTTAATCGTGGTCGCAATATTTCCAGTCAAGCCGATTTTTAACATCCAAGTATGGTTGTGGTTGTCGTATTTTATTCGTGGTTGTACTGCGACAGCATCGGAGAATTTTTGTGGAGGCAGAAAATCGGCCACCGCAAAGGAACCTTGACAGCCCGATTAAATGTTGTAAATCCCATATCTCACTCTCCAACAGTTTTTCATCCCGTCGGACACCTGCTCTTACAGCGCCGTTCTTCCTTATCCTCTCCCACGTCCCGCCAGCTCCATCGTCAACAGCCAATAGCACAGTTGTACAGAGAGACCCTACTAGTACGGAATCTCTACGTGGAGGGTTGCCACAGACCTCTACTAGATACCTGCCGGCTTCTGATGAGGAGTGTTTCTCGATAATTTTCTGACCATGGCAGACACCATCACGGTCACTGTTGAATTCACGTAAGTGAATGCTTGAAACTGTCCCTTCATATCTAATGAGGTTCAAAGTGGCGGCCTGGAAATGCTGTTCGACAATGTCGCCAAACACGAACTGACTCTATCAAAAACCGCCGACGACGGGAAGCCTCCTACAGTGGGATATCTTGTCAAGTACATATGCGACAACCTCATGAAGGATTCTCGCAAGGAACTATTCGTTCTGGATGACGCAGTGTATGTAGCCACAAGCAACCTACGAACCAGAGACTAACAGGTTGTCATCCTAGCCGACCAGGTATTCTTGTGCTCATCAACGACTCTGACTGGGAGCTCGAAGGGGAGGATAAATATGAATTGCAGAATCGGGACAATGTCCTGTTTGTGTCGACTCTACATGGCGGCTGAGTGCCCGTTCCGTCAGCAGCAGACCAGCCAAGCGTCCAAAACAACCCAGCCAGATATCTGATCTAGCTCATCCCCTGCCAAAGCCGAACAAGTCTATAACCCCATCATACCACGTCATGCATCCGCACAGAGAGATTTTCAGAATCCTCTGGCGTCTTATAGCCCGATGCCGAAGGCTCCGGGGTCCCAGGTCCGCGGCCAGGACCAAGCGGGCTTGCGATCCCGCTACCTAGCCCAGGCACCGGAGTCGCAAATCCACTGGGTGGAGCAGGTGCTTTGATGCCCTCGGGCGAAGCTGGGATGATCTCCGGCGGCAGATCTGGGATCTTGATGCGCCTGGCCTCGTTGTTATAGCTTGCAGGAATAATCTGGCATGGTTGTTAGCATGTGCTATCCACCGCTATTAGCGGTAACTCTGGACTCACTTCGATAATCTCATCCCGAGGGAAAGACAAGAAAGGAATGTCGGCGGCGTTGCATGCCATGAGATAGCCGTATAGAACTCGGAGCACACTCTCGTGCGCTATTATGAGCAGATCGTTCTGTTCCCTTTCCAGCTCGAGAATGACCGGTTCCAGGCGGACGGCAACATCATGATAAGACTAGATAGGTCAGTTAGCGAGCTTGAGAACATAACAGCCATTCCAAACTTACCTCTGCTCTTGGAAACCTGTGATGATAAGGATCAAGGTCATGCTTCAAGACTTCTTCAGGATATTCCTGGCGGATCCTCCGCTCCGACTTCTTCTCGCACACGCCCGGGTTCAGCTGGCTCATTTGAGATCTCTGTCTCACCTTGAAGCCTTTGGCTTCTAGGAAAGCGGCAGTCTCGACCGTGCGTCGTCGCGTCGAAGTCCAGACAATGAGAGGCTTCAAAGGAGTCTCGTGACCACCCTTCTCCATGATCGCGCGCCTTTCTTCTTCTCGATGTTTCAGCAGCGTCGCCGTCATCTTTCGCGCATAGTCTCTCCCCTGAGGAGACAGAGAAGCATCTGCTTTGAATGACTCCTCTTCTAGAGTTGTGCCTGCCCGCGCAAAGTACGTGTGCCGAGACTTGATGTGTAGGTTTAACAAGTAAAACACGATGCGGTGAGACAGATAACCGAAGCTGGTATTATTGACCACGAGCCTCTGACCAGCATTGATCATCTTGATCCAGTCGAGGTCTTGTTCCTCCATTGTTTCATAATGCGGGATCTTGGCGGCTATTCGGTTCAGGTAGTGTTTAACCGCATCGGCTTCCGACCATCCTACGTAGTCCGGAGAGGAGATCTTGACGCTGCGGACATTCTCTTCGATCAACCGCTGGTCGTCACAGCTGGATTCGATGAAGAGGGTCTTGATATCGTGTTTGGCAAACTCTTTGGCCAGCGATCTCCGCCCCGCCGAGAGAGGATTGACTGCATCGTATATTGCGATCTGCCCGTTCTCATGGTTGAGGAAATGATAGATGTCTTCTCGGCATTTCTTCAGGATCTTCTGTCGCAACAACACTGAAGAAGCTGAGGCATTGACGAAAAAGTAGTCATCAGGGACATCCTTGCCCGGACCTACAATTGCTCGTCGATAGTCCCCGAGATGGAATATTCTCGTTTTGACCCCGAGCCAGCGAAGATATCGTGCAAGAGCCACAGAGATGTGTGTCTTACCCCGGGCCGGCAACCCCACGGTAGCAATCGCAATCCGCCCCGAATGAAACAGTCGCCCCGACTCGGTGCTGTATAGTTGCGCGGGGGCCAGTTCGCTTTTCTCCGGGAGGTCATGGATGGCGTCCACAAATGTACTCGACTTGCGTCTGTACCGCGGCGAGTTCACCGCCGACTCGGCGGTAAGAAGGGTATCCATGACGGCCAATGTGTGTCTCCTGCTCAGAATGGAGTGGAAAAGCAGGTGTGGATCTGTGTAAAGACAATGGCTGGCTCCGTCGACTATATACTGAATAGTAGGCTGTCGCCCGAACGGGCAGATGGAGACTCCACCAAACTATGTCCAACTGTCACGCAGTTTGCCAGCGGATGCCGTGTCCAAGACGCCGCATTGACAAGGATTGGCTTCCACGACGAGACGAGTAGACATACGAGGAGCCCAGATACTCTGTCGCTTGCTGGGGGACGAGAAGTTGCCTGGTGTACTAGCAGCGGATTGTCCGAGGCATTCAGTAATGGGTCAAAAAGGCAAGTCGACGCAATGCGATAAAAGGCCGGGAAAAGACGTGCCACGGTCTGACAGGTGCATTAGCCCCAATCTGGTGGGACATTCTCCAAATACCGTGGTCAGTCCAAATTGTTTATTGATTGGCTGGCGGGCAAAGGACGTTGCTTGGCAGCTTCCCTTCTCAGATTTCCCAGCGTAGCAAAAAGTCGAGCTCCTCGACGACTTGACGAAGGCCACTGCATTGTATCTCCAATAGTCACGAGAGCGTGAGCCAGCTTCCATTGAATCCTCCCCCTTCACCTCCTACCATTACACTCGGCACCATTGTCTGACGGGAGGTAGACAGAGTCAAAACAAGTCAAAACCCTCAGCCGCGATCTTTTGAGTCTTGAAATCATGGCGCTGGTAGAGGAGAAATCATCATCATCTCCGCTGGCCTTTCTGACCGACAATGCCATATCTGCGGCCATCTCAGACACTTATGCGAACCTACAAGAGCGAAGAACACTGCTGGGACTTGAGAACCCCGGGACGGTTGACAACATAGCGCGGGAAGTCCAGAAAGATGTCCTTCTATCTAATTTCATGTTCTCCGGCTTGCGATGCGACCTGCAAAAGATCTTCAGCGTGTCCCCTTTGTTCCGGCTACAGCATGGACTGGCAATGGGATCACAACAACTGCCGCCGTGGCAGTTGATGGCGCTGTATGGGACATCCAATGTACGTTGCTTCGCTCCTGATCCCGTTATCATTGGAAGAGTCTCGGGGCTGATGGAAACCAACTTATATAGGTCTTTATGCAAGCTGCCTACTCTAGCGACAAGTCACTGACGGCGTGGGGAAATCTGAGATGGACTCCTCGCTTCGTCACCAAGACCCAGACTTCAATCGACCCCCGACAGACGCAAGCCATGGTGCAGATTGAAAACGAGTACACTGGTCAAGATTTTTCGGCGTCGCTCAAGGCGATCAGCCCTTCGATCCTCGAGGGGGGTTTGACTGGCATTGTCATTGGAAGTTACTTGCAGTCGGTGACACCGAAGCTGTCGTTGGGTCTCGAGGGCGTCTGGCAAAGAGCCGCGCTCAATGCGAAACCTGAGACGGCGATGTCCTACTGCGCCAGATACAAGGGGACCGACTGGATTGGCAGCGCTCAATACCTCGCGCAAGGTTCCGTAGGAGCTTCGTACTGGCGCAAGCTGAGCGACAAAGTTGAGGCCGGCGTTGACTGCCAACTGCAATTCGCTCCTGGTATGGGTGGCGCCGGTATGTTTGGCGGCATTCGCCGTGAAGGAACCACGACCGTGGGTGTCAAGTACAACTTCGCCACCTCGGTTTACCGTGCGCAGGTGGACAGCGCAGGAAAGTTGGGAGTCGTTCTCGAAAAGCGGGTTGCACCACCGGTCACGCTGACCTTCGCGGCCGAGATCGATCAGGTGAAGGTAAGCAAGCCCCCGTAGTCCAAGGAAGTCGACATCCCGTTGAGCTATGGTTTACTGACACCGCATGACAGAACACCCACAAGCTCGGCCTGGCAGTCTCTCTCGAAGGAGCGCCTGAAGAACTGCAAGAGATCGCCGAACGAGCCGACTCTCAAAACCAGCTTCCACCCCCGATCTAAGTGGCGGCGCCTCGCAAGATTCTGCCTTAATTCCCTTGGTGATACTCCTGCTGCTAAGGCTGAGTGACTAGATGCGTTCTCTGGCAGCAGCTGGCCCGGGATGCCTTTTCCTCCGGACATGCTTTCAACATATTTGTTTTACTAGCCTCTTCACTCCTGAGCAAGGACCCCTTGTTTGAAAAGCGCTGGCTGGGAAATTCATGCACGCGGTCGTATCAATACAGTGGGCTCTTCTGCAGGCGTTTTTACTTGTTGCGAATGTCTTTTTGGCATACCTCGCCACAGCACGAGAGAACAAAAGGGATCCGATCGAGCTGGGTTATTCAATCAGCTATGGAGAAGTATTGGCTGCGCCTACTACTATGCTGCCCATACTATAATGGAAGCTCTGGCAGCGCCTGGTCAATTGAGCCGTGTCCGGATGAATTCGGCTGCCGAATCTGACAGAACAGCCCTGCACAATAGAAGGCTTGTACCACCAACACACGCAATGCTCTTGTTTGTGGAGCAGTTTCTTCTTAGCCAATTCTGTTGCTATCTTGTCATCAAGTATTAAATCACGTACCTACCTATATCCCCATTATGCAGTGCCTGTTCCAGGGAAGTAATATGCAGTGGTATCTTTACGGTGAACATCACTGACTGTGTCCATGTTGTCGCTAGAATCCGGGCCCTGGCGGTAGCGAGCCTCTCAGGCATGATATTAATGGACAGGTCACGGCGAGAAGAAAAGGCTGCTGACCGAAGTCCTTACCCCTTGCCACTCCACGAACGTAGACTGTACTTCAGGCAAAATGCGTTCGCCAGTGCGAAGTGGCCTCGAGGGCATGCGGTGACGCCTTGGAGGGCCGCTCAGCAGGGCGACAGACATAGATTTGGTACTGGAGGTAGTCCACCGTGCAGGGAGCGAGGTCGAGCACATGCATGGGCATTGCATGGTCGATTCACCCATTATTGCTAGCTCAACAGGCCGCATTCGTGCTTCTGCAGGGATAAGGCAAAGATTGTGTCTCCTGGCCGCAGCGACTTGCTTACCTGACGGACGCCTTGTTCCAGCTCAGCCTTTTCTGCAGCAGGTTAGAGCGGCCGAGGAGATCAAAAAAATGGGGAGGATGGCGCGTGTGGCTTGAAGGTCGCTGATGGCAGGTGACTTCAACGACTTGATTCAAGAATGCGGCTGACAGCTCGCCAAAACGGTTGGGAGTCGACAGCCTCGTCCACCGAAAGGAACGGTGGTTGATAGTCCAGATGAGCCACACGAAGACTCGGATTCGTCACTCACATCCGCAATGGTTCGACCAACCGATGCAAAAAGCGCTCATCATCCATCACTTGGGGCCAAAAGGTCTAACATGCAACGACAGGCACAGCGATGCACTTGATAGGTAGGATGGTTGAAGGTGAGGCGAGACCCCTGTGGCCTAAAATCGATCCTAGCTGAGTCGCACCGCATGCTTTTTCATGCTCTGTAGCCAGGGGCTGCAGTCTTGCAGATATAGTGCTCCACAGGGCGCATTGCCCGCAGCAGTGCACCGAGAGTGACAAGCAGCTGCAATATTAATGCGCTGGGATATGCACAATTGTCAGTATCATATGACAATATCTTGATTATGCCTCCTGCAGTGGTGCCTACATCCTCATCTGTTCCTTCGTCGATGCTTTTAGGGGTAGAAATCTCGGGTTGGTGTGTTTGTTGACTGAATTCAACTGTCAACAAGAATAGCCTAGATGGATCAAGCGATCGACAGGCTAGATCACCTGTGCAACATGCAATTAAACTAGAGTACCGCTGTCGAGGGGCGAATACTCGCGACTGTGCTTGATGAGCGGATGGATCCCTCGTCTGACCCTGGTTGGCTTGACCAACGGTCTCGTGTATACCCTTCGTAACGCCTAGATCGAACAAAGTTAGGATGTAAATTATCAGCAACTTCTTCTGACAAGCAGTCTGGTGTGCCGTGCCAGAGGCTGCACGGTCGTGGAAGCTAGATCTGAGAAGTGTTGATATTTTCAGCCTCTGATCTTGCCAGTACTGCCTGAAGTGGTTTATGAGGGCGGGTGGCCTGCCAGGCGCCTATCAAGGTACTGTAGCAACTTCGGTACAGGCCCTGATCTACCAGGCACAGGTGTTGGGAACTTCAACGTCTTCTTTAGAGTGATCCTGCAAACAACTCCAAGAGTTGGTTGGCGATAAGGTACGTAGCGACCCCGGGTATGGCTCACATTGTTCGATAGTAGGGGGCCAACTCTTGCACTGCCATCGTGGTAGAAAAGCCCTGTCCTGGCGTAGGCTTTGAGATTGATATTTTCATCCACTCTTGGAACTTGGAAGGCGGTTACTCGTGCCCGCCTACACCTGAGTTATTTTGAGTTTTGATCAGAGGAAACGGGGGCACGATGGAGAACTCCTTCAGACTAATTTCTCCTCGCTTGCTCGACCGTGGGTTAGTAGTAGGAGTATCGATCTCTCGAATCCCAGGTTCCGAAAGGCCCTTAGCGGATGCTGGATGACGTTGACGGCATCCCTCCACTAAAAGCCCGGAAGTGCCTTGCCTGAATGGCTGATCCATTCGGTGAAGTGGCCCGCCAGGTCCACGCACTTGTCGGCTACCTATTATTACTCTGGTCACTTTGTTCTTGCCTATCTCGCCCGTGCCAGATGTGGCTCTCAGATGATGTCCGCAACGGACTCTTGACCACCAGGGGATGTGTACAGGCTGTCAGGCTGGATCTCCCAGTATGGCAGCACAAGCGCTGTTTTGTGCATCAATGCTCGAATCAGCTGTGTCACTCTGGATATTCCGGCATTTGCCCACTAGAGCACGGTAACCGGAAACCGCAAAGTGAGACTGACCAGGAGACTGTAAGTCATGGTCAAGGCACGGACGTCTGGCGTCTCCGGAGGTGATTGGTGGTGGTCGACAGAGTCTGGAGGAGCACGTGGAAGGAGAGTTTTTGCGCGAAGCCTTATTCGTAGTTAGCAAGCGGCCAGGCTATCACTATGTCAGGGAGTCTTTAAGGGTCCGCGTTCTCTCTCGTAAATGGATGAGATCTGGCTGGTCAAGACGCCGGCAAGCCTTCATACAGTAGTAGTGGAGGAGAGGCTTGTAACGGGAGGTCGGGAGTTCTAGTGGTCCTGACCCTCGCAGCAGGCGAGCCTAAAAGCTGCAATTGCGGGTGCTATATGGAGTTCCGGGATCAGGGTGTGGTTTTTGTTAGTGATGATGGAGACATCATGCAGCATAGCGGGTTCTTATGGGCATCATCTGACCTGCCGTTGCTCGTCCAGTGATGCCCTCACCTCGCTTTTCCTGCAGGTCTGCTGGTGTACCCTCTGGCTACTAATCGCCTGCTCGCCACTTTTCCGCCTGTGGAATTGCTGGGTTTGTCATTCGAACGGCGGCTCCCATCTCCTGACTGGCCAACCCTCAAGCTGTCCGGAGATGTGAGGTCTGGGTTGGCAGACCAGTGGTGCATGAAAGTGGTCAGCGAGGTTCGTGTCTCGAAACACCGAAAGCATCATCGACAGAGAAAGGTAGGAAATTGTTATAAGGCTGGGATCTTCACACCCGCTCACCACGCGATAGTCGCTGTTCATGAACGAGGTTTAACCAATTTGAGAGGTATCTGGGTGATTTGTTGAGATCTTCCAGCACATAATACAGTGGTAGCAAGTAGTAGTAGTGCCTGGTTGGTGTGTAGAAGGGTGCCAGTCTAGTGATATTCGTGCCGACCTTGCATTGCTGCAGGAGCATCAGCAGTTGTGGATGGATTTCCTGCCTCAAGGCCCGCCCTAGGCCCTTGCGTTTGGCAGCTGGCCTGCGCCTGCGCCTGCGCTGCACAGTCCTGCGCCAACATACTGTAAGGGCTAGGGAGCCCAACCACAACAGATAGTTGTGCTGTAGTAGTACCTGGTAGTTGTGAACAGTACTTCAGGCTCATATATGGTATCGTTCGCTCTAGCATAGAGGGATTATAGGTGCAGTTGGCTGCCTCAGCTGGGTAGCTCACAGGATCTAGCTAGGTGAAGTTTGTGCCGCTCGGCCCCATTCATGTTATCGGCTGTTTATCGCAGAACTTGAAGAATGTCAACCTCCTACAGGAATTGTCAATGGTAGTAGCATACCTAGGTACCTAAGTAGTAACTTGCGGTTAGCAGCTTTATTACTCTGCTACACCGACCTACCTGCCAGTAGTAGGTAGCAGGGAATAGTACCCTACAGTGGTGCTAGAGAGTCAGGTACAGCACTTGTCAGGTGCCTGTAGCAAGGTACCTTGCCTACCTATTCCACGGCTGAGGGTCTTCACAGGCCCAGCGCTGTGCCCCAGAGTCCGGTATTATTATTGAGTTCCATATTACATACCCATCTACCAGCCCGCCAGGCGCGTTTAAGGGTAAGGTACCGTAGCTCCTAAGAACCATGGCTGCTGCCAGCAAGACTGGCCGTGCAGTACTAGTAGTAGTAACCGAGTAATGATTGTTTTGTCAGGTCCTTTAAAGGTCCGGTGTCTGCGCTGCGCTACGCTGCACTTTCCCTTTCCCTTCCCCTTCAACAAACTTGAACTCACTGGCATCACCGAAGCAGAAGCACCGCTACTATTAGTACTACGACGGACTGCACAGTAACAGTCGTGTTCATGGCCTTCTCCTTCAAGTGAGGAATATAGCCACTGCACTGCACTACTTCAGTCTCACTCCAACCTCGCTCAGCCGTCTTCGTCCCTGCTTCGTCCACCTGACTTCGCCTGGCCCTCGTAGATCTTTTTCTACCTACTTACCTTCTACCCACCAACACCCAACCTTCATCCTCATCCTTACTTCTTCCTCCCCATCTACCATTTCCTCATTCTCATTCAAACTGTGCCCGCCCTACCTACGCAGCCCTGGCCGCTTCCTCTCCGCCTGCTGTCAACAAGTCTCGTCTCCCCGGTTTCATCATCGCAGCGCCGGTTCCCACACCTCATTTCTGAAGGCTTCACCTACGCAAAGTGGGGAAATTAGCGCTCTGTCCGCCAACCCTCTCACACCAGTTCCCTCCACCCTCTTGTGTCTTGACCCTCGACCATCTCTTCCCTCGAGTCTCGACACCGTCAAACCCTCCTGCGGCCGTCGCAATCCTTGTCGTCTTCATTCTCGACACCCGGCCCAGTCGTCCATTTCGGCTCATCTGCCAACCGCTCCTTCAGCTTGCGTCGCTCCTTTTCTCCAGACTCGCTTACTGCCTTCATACCCAACCGCTCCGTCGCCAAAGTGGATCCCACACTCCCCTAGCACTCGACAATGTCGCAAAACAGACCTGGAGGAGTTTTCTCTGGCTTGCGCATGGGTGGTAGGTCGCTTCGCCTCCTGTTGCATGCTACAACGTGGTAGTTTTTGGCGGCACGTGCGCTGACACATACTCTTAGAAGTGGTGCGAGAAAAGGTGCAGGATGGCCTTACCGGCGAGACAAGAGAAATGCAATATACACAATGCAAGATCGTTGGAAACGGTTCTTTCGGTGTCGTGTTTCAGACCAAGCTGTCGCCTAGCGGCGAGGATGCTGCGATCAAGCGCGTGCTCCAGGACAAGCGGTTCAAGGTGAGTGTGCCGGCGTTTCGTCCTGATAGCCATCTCAAAAACGTGTCCACTGACGACTGGCAGAACCGAGAGTTGCAGATCATGCGCATTGTCCGGCATCCAAATATCGTTGAGCTAAAGGCGTTTTACTATTCGAATGGCGAACGGGTATGCATGCCTCCATCAGATACATAAAGTCTCCCGGCTAGCTGCTGACCACGCGTTGTGCACAGAAGGATGAAGTCTATCTCAATCTCGTCCTCGAATATGTCCCTGAGACAGTGTACCGCGCCTCCCGCTATTTCAACAAGATGAAGACCACCATGCCGATCCTCGAAGTCAAGCTCTACATCTACCAGCTCTTCAGATCCCTGGCCTACATTCACTCGCGGGGAATCTGTCACCGGGATATTAAGCCACAGAACCTCTTGCTTGACCCGGCCACCGGAGTTCTCAAGCTGTGTGATTTTGGAAGTGCAAAGATCCTGGTCGAAAACGAGCCAAATGTGTCCTACATTTGCTCTCGCTACTACCGTGCCCCCGAACTGATTTTCGGTGCCACTAACTACTCTACCAAAATTGGTATGTGACTTGACCCTCGCCTTTCTGCCTGGCCGCGACCTAACAAGAAGTGTAGACGTCTGGTCGACCGGCTGTGTCATGGCTGAATTGATGCTGGGCCAACCCTTATTTCCTGGAGAATCGGGTATTGATCAACTCGTCGAGATCTTCAAAGTGCTCGGCACGCCTACAAGAGACCAGATTCGCACCATGAATCCCAACTACATGGAGCACAAATTCCCTCAGATCAAGCCACATCCGTTTAATAAGGTTTTTCGGAAGGCATCACCCGAAGCGATCGAGTTGATCTCGGGCCTGCTGGAATATACCCCGACTCAACGACTCTCTGCCATTGAAGCCATGTGCCACCCCTTCTTTGACGAGTTGAGAGACCCAAACACTCGCCTACCTGACTCGCGTCATGCCGGCGGGCCACCGCGGGAGTTGCCACCTCTGTTTGACTTCTCTCGACATGGTAAGTGACAGCTCTTCCGTACTGCCCAATAGCTTGAGGCTAACCTGCTCACCAGAACTGTCAATTGCGCCGCATCTCAATTCGAAGCTTGTCCCGCCACACGCTCGACCGGCTTTGGCGGCCCAGGGTATCGACCTGGACAACTTCACTCCACTCTCCAAAGAGGAGATGATGGCTCGACTTGATTGAATCAAGGCTTGCCCAAATCTGTTACGACGTGACGCCGAGAGGGGTTTTGTCCGCTGATGTGATCATCATTGTATGCAGGTACATTGGCGTCCACGCAACATGCATCGAAGACTCCTACAGCTAGCATTCAGTCATCGTGTTTCTCGACAGAGTTCCTTTGGCTTTGAAAAAAAGGTATCTGTCACGACCGAACAGCACTGGCTTTATCAGCTGGTCGCAGGACTGGGCTGGGGATTTGTGAGCGACCTTTCAAAAGGGGTGGAGCTGGTTGTCTTGCTAAAATCGACCGTTGATGGTCTGGCTGGGAAGTGTGCTCTACTTACTGGGACCGGGTCGGCTTTGTCAGCCCTACGAATGGAAAGGAAGAAATTGAAGCGCGGCCGAGGGCATTGGGCAGACGGATTGTGTTCCGAATATGCAGCAGACGGCACACAGCTGTGCGTATATTGCTACTGCGTACACGTCGCTCGAGGAGGACGACCGCTTTTAGACGATTTCAACCACAGAAGCTCGGGGGGTTTCCTCTCTGGGCAGACCTTTATCCTAATAAACGGTTTCTAGAGCCATAGAATGAGATTAAGTGCTCGCACTTGACACGATGTGCGGCGCCAGCAAACACGTTGTAGCGTGCAGTGCCCGTATATATGTGGTATTAGAGCAAAGTTTGACCTTTGGAGATGGTGCCAAGCGAACGTCTGATTGAGGGTGAGATTCTGCGCGCGTCCAACTAATCAGTCACCGCAGTCGTCGAACTGCGCGTCCAAGTAAAATATTTGGTTATCACTACTAGTACAGTGGTTATTTACTGTACCTTGCCAACCACGCGCCGGCTTCAAGTTTCCCACGCCCTCCTGGTCCTGCCGCAGCATTGTCCCGCGGTGAGTAAATAGCGTCTGCTTGTTGTTCGCATAACCACTCGAACGTCATGGCCGACTACGACCGCCGCCGCCGAGGAGGAGGTGGAGGTGGTGGAGGCCACTTCAACAACCGCAAGAGAAGATACAGAGGTTTGCTATGATCGCAACAGTGCTGGCGATCCTCGTGCTGACGGACTCAGATGATGACTACGATGACCGTCGCCCACAGCGCCGTCGCTACGAAGAACCGCTGGCGGCAACGGTTCGCAAGCAAGTTTTGTCAATCGCAGAAAATGTATATTACTTCCAAGCTGTCTCGACACTGCGCGAGCTTCGCGGCTAACACGTCTATAGCCAATTCGAAGAGCGGAAGATGATGTTGCGACCATCGCGAAGACACTGGCGGAAAATTACTTTGACCATGACCTGACCTCTGGATTCGTGGAGCTTGTTGTACAAATGTAAAGGGTGCTAGATAACAGAAGATGAGCAAGAGGCTGACATACACAGGATCATCCAGCAACCTCTCAAGGTTCCCTTTATCGCGGCTATTGTGCTCCATTCGAACGCCCAGAAGCCCGATCTGACGACTGATGTACTGGCCAGAATTGGCGCAGCCTTGCAGCGTTGCCTAGATCTGGGAGAATGGCGTGAAGTCAAGTTATACCTGCGGTTTTTAGCCTGCCTACAAGCCATTTTCGAGGGTGATGGCGTCTTCACGATCCTTGAAGACCTTTTCTCTCGGGCGGCGGACCTCCAAATGAAGTCCTCTGAAGATGTATGCTGTTCTGGACCGCGTATTGCGAATTCTGGCTGACCATAACCACAGTCTCTGGGTCTTGAATTGGTCAAGGTGATCCTCATGACCATCCCCTACGCCATGTCCTCCTCCGCAAGCGGCTTCGAGGATGTCGCAAGCGCTCTATTGGAAAAGACCGACATCATTGCCTCGACTGCCCACCCTCTGGAGACTCTAGTCGACCCATTTCCTAACCCTGAGACTGGCACTGCTACCAGCGCCGAGAGTGCACTTGCTCTTCTCCAGAGACACATGCAAGAAGAGGCAAAGAACTCCTGGGAACTGTCCTGTTTGCCCCGGCCGTGGAAGGCCCACCGTTCTTTCGAGGAGGAGGAAGCCTTGTCATCGGCGCAGAAACACCAATTCCCGCAAGTGAAGGTCCCTGAAGTCGTCCAAACCGGACCACGCTCTATCTTTCCCGAGGTCTACTTCTCGGTCTACGGCGAGCAGGAGATTGAAACAGTACCCGGCCCGTCTGACACTGCCGCCTTACTGATCCGCGACGCCCTAGCTGACACAATCAATGTCCTCGACTTCAACAGAATGGTAGCCGCGAAATTCCTCATCGATGTCGACTGCTACTTTGCCCCCGACACCTTTGTGAAGAGGGCCACCCCGTTTGACAAATTACGCGAGGTGTCAGGGGACAAGCCCACCTGGAAGCCGGAAGATGTCATTGTCGATGCCGCTTTCGCCCAGCTGATGCAACTACCGGCACCGGAACATAAGTTAGTCTATTTCCATTCAGTGCTTACCGAGACTTGCAAACTGGCACCGGCGGCTGTGGCACCTAGTCTGGGTAGGGCTATTCGGTTCTTGTATCGCAATGTAGAGAAACTGGACTTTGAGCTTTCTCAGCGTTTTCTGGACTGGTTCGCTCACCATCTCAGCAATTTCGGATTTACCTGGAAATGGACCGAGTGGTAAGTACTTCGCTTGTTCTTTCATTGATAGAGACAGCTCTAATAAAGCTTCAAAGGGTCGACGATGTCAGCTTGCCAGATGTCCATCCCCGCAAGGCGTTCATCATTGACGCACTGGACAAGGAAATACGCCTGAGCTTTTCGAAGCGCATCAAGGGTACTCTACCTGAGCCATACCAGGCCCTGATTTCCGAAGCCAAAGACAAAGATGCGCCGGACTTCAAGTACAACGACGAGTCCACCCCCTTCTCTGCCGAAGGGAAAGAGATTGCTCAGATGATACGGCGGAAAGCAGGCAATGAAGAGTTCACCACGATATTTGAGAAAATCGAGCAGGACGCGGCCTCGTCCGGTCTGACGGAACCAGCACTTGCGTCGGCGGATGCATTTGTCACATCGATCTGCTGGGTGGGGTCCAAGTCTCTGTCTCATGTGCTGGCCTGCATTGAACGGTGCAAGGAGCGTCTAATGGCAATCAGCACTTCGAGTCCTACATGCCGGAAGCAGATCATCACGTCTGTGATGGACTACTGGAAAGATCAGACCGGGGTCGGCATCGCGATCTTGGACAAGCTGCTCAATTACCAGATATTGACCCCGGCCAGTGTGCTGGAGTGGGCGTTGATCGACCACGTCGCGCGGGGGACACTGCTTGCCAAAACATGGTGCTACGAGTTGGTCAACAACACCACGAGAAAAGTCGCCGGCCGCGTCAGGAGCATCGTCGGCGCAATCCGCCAGCCGGGCCTTGGCGAGGAACAGAAGGCCGAACTGCAACAAGCGCTCTCTCGAGAACTCGAAACCATGAAGACGCTCTTTGGCATCATCGAGGATGCGGTCGTCAGCATCCGCGATGGCAACCAAGACGAGATGATGGAGAGCAGCGACGCTCTGCGCGCCGAGGACGAAGCCCTGATCAGGGCCTGGGGCGGCAAATGGGCCAGAGTGTTCCAGCGCAAATATGCCGTCGAGGACAGCTGGGTACGTGAAGAGTTGGCTAAGCCGATTCCCGAACCCGAGCCTGAGTCCGCTGCCGCTGGTACCGCCACCAAAGCAGGCGATGTTGCGACGGATGACGATCTGAAGATTGCCGAAGCCAACAAGACCGCCGCAGCAGATGGGCCCGTGGACGGACAGGTCGCTGATGCCGAGAATGAAGCTCAGATCGAATAGAGCGTGTACGCTGTCTATACTGTCTAGCAAGTCTAGGGTTTCGAGATATGTGGATGCCTGCCATCTAGAATGAGGGATGGGCCGATTGATCCCACGATGATTGGAGACCGGTCAAGTCTGTATACTTAGGCAGAGGTCAGACAGACATAGAGGCAGACAGCCTTGTATCTTTCTTTTCCATTGCCGTTTCGCAACCTGTAAGATTATACCTACGTATATAGATAGGTACGTTAGGTGCCTTGGAAAAGCAACATAGCACACCAAGCTGTTCTCTACTGTTCTGACCAGCAACTTTTTACGCTCATTTATTTAGTTTTCTCTTGGCTCTTATGCTTGCCCTCACTCTTATAGTTACTAGATGCTGGGTACTTCGAAGAACGATGGGCGGTCATCGAGGAGAGCTCTCGAAAATTTAAAAACCCACGTCTGACCATTGACACTTCAGCCTGACTCGCCATGGCTGTGCTCGGGGTCTGTCTGTCCCACGATCGCCAGTTCCATGTTCTGTTCTTCCTGCAGCCCAATCCTGTGCAACATATCTGTCCAAGTCAAGTAGGTGTAAAAAGTGAGGATAAGACTAGGATTTATTGATAGGCTCCTGCTTCCGGCGCACGAATCTGGTCTTCCCTTCTTTTTTTTTTCCCCTTCTTCTTGGAAGCTTGTCGACTGTCGGAGTCTCAAGACTGGCACTCTGACTCAATGATCTCTTGCGTGATACTAGGAGCCAGCAAAGACACCGCTCGGTGACAACAAACGCAAGCAAGGCAGGATTTACTGTGCCGAGATAGACAGACATCTCTATAAACGCCAGGCTATGAGATGACTCCTGTGTCATGGAGAATTGCTCCGAGTTGCCATGGGTGGGTTCCAGGTCTCTTCAGTGCGACGAACAACGTCTTCTCCTGGCTCGGTGGGGTCGTTTCACCAGTGCATGGTTCGCAAGGGAAATGGAGGTCGAAGCTTGATAAAGTTGAGCAGCTGCAGTGATGGGAGGTATTCAAGCACATCCTTCTCGGCGTTTCAATCCCGTGCCATTTTGATCAGTGGTTGAATTTGCGCCCGCCCACTTTGATCGGACCCGTGGCCGGCGACATTAACGCCTGACGATGGACACACTGAGTTCTCCATGCTGGGTGCATGGTATATTGCTTGCCGGTCACGCCTGTCACAGCGCCTGGTCGTTTGAGAAGTGGACAGCCGAAAGGAATCCGGCTGTTGTGATATGTGACTACGGCATGGAGCCTCAAACCCTGGTCATTGTGGTAGGAGTGCTAGTTTGTTCGGCGTCCAGCTCGTGGCAAGCGCGGTGGTGTGCGACGTAGCATTATCACCTTGCCTGGATGCCTTGACTTTCTTTCTTTTCATGAGTGATGCGACATGGACAAGCCGAATCCTTTGAGGGTTGAGAAGGAAGCACACCGGAGTGTTGCCTTTGCTTGGTTCCATGATCCTGGCGGATGACACCTCAGTCCTCTAACCAGACATAGTTCATGCCACAAGCCCGATCTACCCCAGCGTGCCGAGGCATTGGTAATATCATAATATCAGTTTGCTCAAGTTTGTTCGAGCCTTTTTATTTTCTGATGCCGTATCCGGAAAAGCCCGCTGGTGGCATAACCGGCTGAGCAGGAGGCATTGTTCCAGCTTGCGGCCCTCCAAAACCTGGAGGAGGAGCAAAAGCGCCAGGCAAAGCATTGGGTTGTGGTGGGGGATACGGCGCAGGCATTTGATTGTTGAACCCCGGCGGCATGTACCCTTGCGGACCCCCATATCCAGCCTGGCTTGGCGGAGGACGGGCCGGAAGACCGCTGGGGGGAGCAGCAAGAGGCGCAACAGGCGGAGGCGGTGGTCTTGCATGCACAGGTGGAGGAACGGCTTGGTAGTTGCCGGCTGGGGGCCCATGTGCAGGTGCGCCGAAGCCAGCAGGCGTCGTCGGAGTCGGGGGCACTCCACCATACGCGGGAGGGCCACCGAGAGGAATGGTAGCAGGGGTGGGCTGGACGCCATGCGCCTTTGCTTGAGCAGCAAGCATTCGTTCGGCTTGGTCACCATGTCTCTCGCCTTTGCCATCCTTCTTGTAGGCGTATTGCACAGTGACCTCCTTGTTCATGAGGTACTGCCCGTTCATGTTGGCAATGGCGTCGTCTGACGACTCGAAGTCGGCAAAGGAAACGAAGCCATAGCCTTTGGAAAGATTGTTCTCATCTCGGGCAATCTGCGGCAAGGTTAGTCATGTCACGTCCATCCGCTGAAACATACAAGGCTAGGCGTACCTTAGGAGCAGCAACTAGAGTCCCAAATCGCCCAAATGTCTCGTAGAGCATTCTTTCGTCCACCATAGGGTCTAAATTGCCGACGAACAGCTCGGCTCCAACTTCAACTGACTTCTGTTTGTCCGCGCTGGCCTTGTTGACCCGGATTGGCTTGCCATATAACCGGACTTGGTTCATGATCCGGGCGGCATACTCGGCGTCTTCTTCTGAGGTGAATTCCACAAAACCATAGCCTTGATGAGTCTGAGTTACGCGGTCCTTTGGCAGATGAACATTCACGATACGCCCGGCCTGCAGGAAAAGTTCCCACACCAGAGCATCGGTGACTCGCTCATCAAGATTGCCGATATATATCGTAGAGTCTTTGTCTTGTTCCCAGTGTCTTGCACCGGACATTTTGGTGGGTTTGGACGGTAGATTTTCGGGTCAATTTCTGGGGACTTTGAAATATCCTTTACTAGTAAAGTAGTTCAGGACAAATAAAACACAACAGAGCGACCGGTGTGAAGGCGAATATCGAGCGGCGGCGTGGTTCTCTGTGATCTGGAATATTTTGGAAATTGACAGTGAACTTGAAGCCTGACGAGTATCATGCCGCCTTGCTTCTTCTGGAGTAGTTGGAATACTTATGCTGACACGTGACTACCTCCCCAGCCAATTAACGTGAGGTAACTGTTCTCGCAGTCCAGCTTTTGCATCACTTCCACCGGCTTCAAATATTTGTTTCCTGGACATTACTCCGGTCTACGAAACCCAGTGTCTCATCTCACCAGTCAGCAACCATCTGCTCGCTCTTGCACATAACCTCGCCATCCGGTCAAGACAATATGATTCAATTCTCCGAAGAGACAAAGGTAAGATTGTCCCTGCAGACCCGCGGTGAACTGTTCTTAATATTCGCTGGCAGGAGCGCATCTCCAAGATCATCGACATTACTCGTGAAGTGGTCCACTATGGCTATCTTCCCTTGATTCTCTACTTGGGTACGAGGCGACAGGAATTCTATGTAGCACTTGACATGAAACTTACAACTTGCAGGTTACACACGAAGTGAACCAAAGCCGGCTTTGATCAAGTATGCTCCCTTCCAATTTGCAGCACCAACGGGTACCAGAACTGACTGCTCCAGTTTAATCTCACCTTTCGCGAACTAGCCAGCCTTCGAGTGTGCCAAAGATACCTTGTACAATATTACCGACAGCCAGCGCGCAACATGCCGACCAAAGAAATGGAGGATGGAACACTTAAAAGCTCGGACGATACGTTGCATGGTCAGCAGGACCCCATCCTGCAAAAGGGCGAGTTGATGCTGTGCAGAGACGAGCCGGAAAGGACAAACATACTCCAATTCTATGAATGGTACTGCGGATGGTGCAGTAAAGCTCTGTATAACAACCCTGTGGCGGCAGCTTTAATACTCACCATTCCTTGATCCTTCATTATATTACCCGTCGAATGTGACAGGTCCGGTCAGGCGAAAGGATGGCCAACCCCCGAATTGGTGCCGGCTGCACAATTTACGATTCTGTCGACCTGCTGCGAAGGGGATGACCAATGAAGCGTCATTTGTACTTATATGTATCTGAATTGGGGTCAAATACCCACTCTCCTCATCCTCGCGCACGCTCTTACATAAGATCTCAAATCGTTATCGCGGCTCCAGTCAGGCGAGATGAGGTTTTGGCTTATGTACAAGTCTCCCAGCACGTGCAGGGTCTTGAGAAGACTACGAGTATGCTCAAGGATGTCCAAGCATGTACCGTGTAAGGAGAGTGTGTCCCGTGTTGGCTCAATCTTAACGCGTACAAGGATGTTTGGATGCTGGCATGGCTGGTGCCAGAGCTACCATTGTATGTCAATCCTAGTAGTGACTTGAAAGCCCATGTGTCGATTGCACATCAGGGGTTCCACAGCTAAAAGCCTGATGATTGCTATGTTCAAGCTGTAGTTGTAAAGTGCTCCAGGACTCAGGCATCGTGGGCTGCCAATAATAATAACGGTTCGTGCGCTGTACAGTACAACGTTGGAGTAGTAGTAGTAGTAGCTTCGGTTGTCCGTGGCCCCGCTAATCGACCCTCTCGATACTACAATGTAGAAGAAGGTTGACGCCCATACCAGGTGCCGCTTAACTACTGTAAAAGCCCAAGCCCTGGCCGAGGCGGCTCCTACCAAGCTACTAGCGGGTCTCTCGGGCGCTGCTTTCCCAGTGGCGGATCCTCTTTTTTTGCCTTCTCCGGGGGCCGGCAGCAGCGCCGCGCAGCCTGCCACTACCGAGTTATACATTGGCATCTGAGCTCGCACTCGAGCGTGAGGTTCGCGGCGTCTGCACTGCCCTGCTATGCGAGTAGCTGGCACTGCAGAGTGGCACCTGCGGCTGCGGCTGCGGCCACGGCTACGCGCCTGTAGTGCCAGTGTGCTCTGTGTTTTTGTGGCTTGATTAATGGGGCCTGAGCCCAGGGAGCCACAGGAGCCCACTGATCATGATGGCCCATGGCTGCAGTGCAGTGGCTTTCCCCGTCAAGCTCATCATGCAGTGATGCCAGTGTCCTTTTTGGTTCCGGCGCCAGGCAGAGGTTCCATTCTCGTGCGCACTTTCCGTCGTCCACCCTGCAGTGCCAGTGTTGCTCCTCCTCCACCACCACCATCCGACACCTTTCAAGTTCGCACCCACCAGCCGCCTCGTCTTTTAGCCTCTCTCTTTCTATTCTCCCTTTTACTTGCGGCCTTTTTTTCGCCTGTATCGCGTGTCTAAGATATTCGTGTCAAGCACAATTAACTCTCCGCTTCTGTACGAGGGACCACTTGCTGTTGGATACAAGGCCGTGGTCTCCGTTACCCGGCTTGTTATGAGCTTGTGCCCATTTTTCTCCCCTTACCACTAGCGGGCTCCAGCCTGGCCAGCCGGTCAAAACGGTACCTGCGCCGGTCGCAACAACTCCTCTCTTCGACCTCTGTCCATCAGCTCATCAATCCATCCCACGACCGTTTTCGCCCGTTCCCGGGCATAACTTTCCCCTTTTCCATCTTCCTCACTGAGTGCGCCCATCATGTTCAATGCAACTCAGCATCGCGGGAACCCCAACATGGGACCCGCTCCTCCTGGACAGCCAAACCATCGTCTGAACGAGATCATGGACTCTCTCCGGGCCGAATTTGAGAACCAAAGTCGCGCCTCGGAGCAAGTGGAGAACCAAGTCGCTCAACAAATTCAAGAGATGGAGTTGATTCGTAACAAGGTCTATCAACTCGAACAGAATCAACTGAAGATGAAGCAAGAATATGAGGCTGAGATTCGAATGCTGCGCCATGAACTGGAGTTGCGTGGCGGCCCCCAGGTTCAGTCCCATCTTACAGGTCCTCCCCAGCACGGGGGCCCTGCGCAAGCTCCTCCGTCTCTGGGCCATGGCCAAGGTGGTCTGTTTAGTGGAATCATGGCAAACCAAGGTCAAGGCGGTCCAGGACTCGCTCCTCCCCCAGAGCAGCCTCCTCAACAGCAACAACATCCTCTACAGCCACCGCCGGCAGCCGGACAACCCCAAGGCCCACCGCAGCCGCCGAACTCGTTCCCTGGTTATCAGCAGGGCCCGACCTTGAACGGCTACGCACCTCAGCCACAGCCTCCTACAAACTCACCTGGTTTGGGTAAGAACCGGACCATGGCAGCTAGAGGCGGTCCTGGGCCGGCGACCCCTCAACAACACCCTAACCAGCCACAACCCATGCCGTACCAGAATGATCCGCGGGCGTCACCCCAGATTCCCCGACCTGTCCCTCCCGGAGGTGATATGCAACATGGTCACCGCCATCAAATGCCTGGTCTTCCTAACGTCGGCAACGTTCTGGCCGATCTCAACCCGGATGATCTCCCAGAGCATCTCAAGCGGACTGGTCCCAACGGGGAATGGCATGCGGTCTTCAACCCCAATGTGCCTCGGACACTTGATATTCAGCTTCTCCACAATCTTGTCCACGAGTCGGTGGTCTGCTGTGTCCGCTTCTCCAACGATGGCAAATACGTGGCTACTGGTTGCAACCGTAGTGCTCAGATCTTTGATGCCCGGGACGGACGCAAGGTCTGTGAATTGTTGGATGAGAGCGTCCAGGACAAGGACGGAGATCTGTACATCCGTTCTGTGTGCTTCTCGCCTGATGGCAAACTGTTGGCCACCGGAGCCGAGGACAAGCGGATCCGCGTCTGGGACATTGAGAACAAGCGCATCCGCACCACATTCGACGGTCACGAGCAAGACATTTACTCGTTGGATTTCTCGCGGACTGGTCGATTGATCGCCTCGGGGTCTGGTGACAAGACTGTCCGATTGTGGGATATTGAGTCGAACCAACAGGTCATGGTCTTGTCGATTGAAGATGGCGTTACCACCGTGGCCATGTCGCCCGATGGGCGCTTTGTCGCTGCTGGTTCCTTGGACAAGAGCGTCCGCGTCTGGGATTGTTCGACCGGGTATCTCATCGAACGCCTCGAAGGGCCCCAAGGCCACAAGGACAGCGTATACTCGGTGGCATTCTCTCCCAGTGGACGAGAGCTTGTCAGTGGTAGTTTGGATAAAACGATCAAGATGTGGGAGTTGACACCTCAGCGTAACCTCATCCCGTCCACCGCAAAGGACGGCAAATGCATCCGTACTTTCGAGGGACACAAGGTAAGCTATCTCCTTTCGACATTGTGGCGCATGGTACACTAACTTGACTGCAGGACTACGTGCTCTCGGTCTGTCTTACACCTGGTGGTGAGTGGGTCATGTCTGGATCGAAGGATCGCGGTGTGCAGTTCTGGGATCCTACGACAGGAAACGCGCAAATGATGCTTCAAGGACATAAGAATTCCGTCATCTCGGTGGCTCCATGCCCGACTGGCCAGCTGTTTGCCACTGGGTCAGGAGACATGAAAGCCAGGATATGGCAGTACACCACCTGGCGTGGGGCGCATCAGGGGATCTAGAAGGCATCCGCCGACAAGCCCAACGTGATAATTTGGGGACCCAGGTGTGCTCCAAGGCGTGGTCGAAAACGTGGTCAAAGGAGGTCTCCGGAATGGTGATTGAGCATGCCCAACCCCGACTTGACCTGGGGATGATTCTATAGCTTCGGGAGAGTGTTCTGTGTCTTAAAATTGGATTTTGGTTGGGAGGACTTATTGCATGACTGGGCCCAAGGGCGTGGGAGGTTCGCATGGGCCGGGATCAGTCCTAGTAGTGTTCGATCTATTGAACGGGTTCCGGGGGCTGCTTGTCTGGAGTCTGCTTAGGTCCAGGAATGGCTTAAGATCATACTACCTACCTACATAGGTAGTAGTGCCCTGTTGGTACAGGTCTTTTTCAAATCTACCCTGGACCTCAGTGGCAGGCAATGACTATCATCCACCGAGAAATGGTCCATGTATCCGGCAATGCAACCTGAATTGCAAGTACTGACTCGATGTCTGATAGAACAAGGTACCTAGGTAGGCATGAGGTGATTGAATTACGTAGTACTGGCAGAATGCTTCCCAGCCCAGTTGTTCCTGCTTTTTCATCGTGAAGAGGGGGGGTCACTCAGCCGGGCATTTCAAAGTGGCTCGGAGCCTGCCGAGCGGGCGCACCCGTCCCCGACTGACAATAATGAAGGTACTACTGGTACCTAGGTATGAACCGTAGTAATACCTGTACCTACCGCATTTCAAGTGCTCGAATGAACCATTTCCTTTGCTCAAGCATTCGCGTAAAGACTCCTAATCATTTATTTTCACCCACATCGGGATTGGCGCAAGGTCCTTGGGGAGGGGGCGTGGGATGGACATGGTCGAACCTGACGCGGAGCCATCATCAGCCTCGACGCCTCTTCCCTCCTTCATGTCCCAGCTTTCAATCCCACGGCATGACTAGTCCGCTGCCCTGCCGTCGTTCGACCCTCCAGCCGCTCAGACCATGGAGACCTTCCTTGCCACGGCTGCCAATTGTCTCCCTCGACAGTATTCCACGGGCATTTGTCTGCATGTGTGCAGAAGAGCAGGAGGGTAAAAAGGCTGGACTCGTGGCCAAAGGCTGCAGGTCAACAACAACCCGATGCTACCACAAGGGAACGGACAGACAGCGGGATTTGCAGACCTTGTACCTAGGTGGGCTTTTCAATTCTCTTTGCCGCATCTGTTCAAGCCTGGCCGTGTTGGACCAACCGCGGGAAAAGCCTTTGCTAGCAGCGCGTTAGGCTTCTCGGCTCCTATCTTATCCATGCTCCCGTGGAGGGCGGGATGTGATGACATGATGCCAGAATCAGGACGATCCAGAGGGACTCGCTTACTAGTACCTAGGCTATGGCGAAACCACGAGTTCGTTCATGCAACACCTCTCCTGCTACAGCATAGGAGACCTGCGAGATCCCAATCAAACAGCCTCGATGCCGACCATTGTCGTGGCTACTGCAACTCTGGCGGCCGCCGAGGCGCTATGTTAACGCGCCGGCTGTGACAATAACTCTCAGGCGATGAGCCTTTTTCAGCTTATGCTTGATCCTGTATCCCAACAGCCGGCCTGCTGCTGGAATTCCTGGACTTGCTACCGAAAACTCAAGCGATCGTTGTCTTATCCACCAACCAGGTCTACTTCTTGCGTCGGCTTTGTCGACGGGCTGTTACTCGAACTCCGCTCCGAGGACGTTTCCTCTCACCCTTGCACCCTCCTTCATGCATCGGCCATGCCCACCTCACGGCTGCCTTTCAAGGTTGCCGACATGATCTGACTTGGCCTCAAGCCTTACCAGCTCATATACAGCCAGTGAGATGAGCTCCAGCTCAAAAAATTTGATCTTGTCACACGGTCGTTCCCCAACTAGGTAAGCACAGGCGTAATGAGGGCTTGTGGCGTCCACGCTCCAGAACATCTCCAGGCAAGGCTGCATCATTCGGGAGTGCTTTAGTCTTGACAGCACCATTGATCGCTGTTCGGCGGGATGTGCAATTTCTTCAATCTGCAGCTCAATCGATCCCTGTCACAGGAGGGTCTTTTGCGTTGTTCTATTCGATTGGCAAGCCCACTCTCACTATCTCTGATGTTGACGATCAAGAAAACCATGGATATGATAGATATAAACAAGGATTCTGATCTCACCGTTCGATATGAGTCCGGCTACCCAACAGCAAGTATCTGCGGTATTCTGCGTCCTGGTTATCATTCTTTTCTGGCGGCCCTCTTGAGCTGATATTTCAGCAAACATACGTCTATCTCAACAACATCCTGTCCGGCCTGGGCTGATTCTGGATCATCCTGTGTCTCTGCCCTGTTACCACCTTCACGAGCCTCCCACTTTATCCAGAATCTTTACTGTTTTTGAATGTATCTTGCCGACTTCTCGAATTGTTCTTGAGTCCCTTCTGCTTTGCCCAAGGACATCCCTCCGCTGTCAGGAATACATACCCTTCCGCTCGAGCGTAGTCGGTGAGAGCAAGAAAGGGAGTAACTGCCTAAAGACAGGTATACTTGATGAGGAATCAGCAATGCCCTTCAATCAAACGGCGGAACAGCTTGAGTGGCACATACTGCAATTGCGACAATGGATGGCGCAGACGTCGGTGCCGCCATCATCCAAACTCTTGTCGACCACAAGCACTCCCCAATTCACACCCGATTTGTCCCTTCAGAATGTGGCCTCTCATGATCAGTACGAATACACGTCCCTTAGCATCCTCCAACAAACATCACCCGTGACTATCCAGCGGGCGCATACTTTCCTCGACATCTGCGAGCATAACTTCAGCTCTCTGAACTACCTAGGCGATCAGGATCCTGTAACGCCGGGCACATGGGCTGACGAAGAGGAGTGCACGCTTGACGATTGCATTTCCACGACATACTCCCAAGTACCATCGAGTCATTATTCCCCTTCTGATCTCCCCTGGGATCAGCCTGATTTGGAGTGCATACCCTCCGCCGGGTGGATGACTACACCAGCCGTCCATCTTCCGCAACCTTTGTCCCAAGGAGAAACCACCACCTCGGAAGTCGATATGCTCATGAAGACATTGCAACCTCAGCCTCCGCTGCAGCCCCAGCCCCAGCCCCAGCCCCAGCAAATCCAAGGCACTGGCAAAGCGAAAGCCAACGCCACACCAGGGAAGCAGCACCGCTGTCCTTTTCCCGACTGCGCCAAATCCTTTGCGGGACCGACCCAAATCAGAATCCATCTGCGCTCCCACACGGGTGAAAAGCCATATACATGTTCAGTGCCGTCATGCCGCCAGTCCTTTTCGCAGTTGGGAAATCTCCGGACCCACGAGCGACGCCATATCGGCCAGCGACCAAACCGGAAGCCGAAGCAAACATCGTCGTCATCCTCCGACGGCGACCCCGGAGCCAGAGCAGAAGGCCATGGCCGAAAGTACGAGTGCATCTTGGATGGGTGCAAAGGTGTTGGTGGTGAAGAGGGCCATGCAGGCAGGGTCTTTACACAGCTAGGAAACCTCAAGGCGCATATGAACAAGTTCCACAAGGAAACGCTGGCCAGGCTGTCTCGACAATTTGCGGAAAGTGAAAGAGTGGACATGAATCCGCAGGAAGAAGCTGAATTAAAGAAATATTTCCAGGATCTCTACAAACATAGCAATAAAGGGATCAAGGGGAGGGGAAAAGGACGAAAAGTCGAGCTCATTGTGCCTCGTGCTGGTGGCGAGGAAGCTTGAGAGGGAATGGTTGATCAAACACTACCTTTACGAATATCATCATGTATTTACTAGTAGCACTAGTAGTAGTAGTGCTGTATGGATGTGCTTTGCTATGCTTTCATCTCTCCTTGTTGTGCCAGGACTAGTATTTCGCACATATTTAATGTAGTGTATGTACATACACTACGGGAAGCACAAGGCTATGGTTCATTGTTCTGTCTTCCCACTCGGCGTGTAGCAGACATTCTGTATCATGGTGCTGACACAAGATACTCGTACTAGTTAGTAGCTGTATACGAACTTGATCTGATGCAAGCTCTCCCACGGCGCCAGAGGTGTGGGTAATCTTTTGTCTATCTCATCATCTTGAATTGTTGCAGCATCGGCGAAGTTTGTCCCGCGCCGCCCTCATGGAGCCATTGGTGACAAAATCGGAAAGCGGTCCTCATCCTTTGTGAGCGGTTATATTGGCAAAGAACTTCCTTCCTGTTGGGAAGGGAAATGAAAGGGGGGTTCATTCCAAGTCGACGAAGCGGCCGGCATCCCAGTGCTTGATTTTGATTCATGGTCGACCATACTCAGCCCAGGCACGTTCGGTATTATCCCGAGGTACCTACAAGAGAAGTGGGCTGGTGACTGGTGTCTGGTGCATTGTATCTGGAGAGAAAGAAAACAAGATATGTACCTGTCTCAGATGCCGGCGCCGCTAGGGTTGAGATGAGATCCATTAGATTCTGTAGTACTAGTAAGCTCGGGAGATGCGCTCGGTCGTTTGTCTCTGCTTTTCCAAAGAAGCGAAGAGCAGCGCCGCGCCATAAAATTGTAGTCTTGCGTTTTAAACCCCCCTTTGTTGATTGAAAAAAAAAGTCATTTTTTCGTCGTTTGTCATTTGTCATTCATTGTCGTCTTAGACGCTCACTCACTGCACTAGTATGATGAAGCAAAGCCAGATTCTCCTCCGTTGCCCAATCCCAATCCCAAATCCCAATCCCAAATGCCGAACTCAGACACTGTGACACATTTCGTAAAGGCCAGCCCCATGAATGCTCTCGTTGTGTTCGTTGCGCCGAAAAGAAACGCCCGTGCGTTAGATCGTCATGATTCGTGCTGCTGCTGTCTTGCAGGCGTGATGTAGCGGCCATTTATCTCATCCACTGCATTTGACTCGGTTTCAACTCAGTTTAAATCACCGGCAGAGCCTGTCGGCGCCGGCTCCGGCTCCGGTTCCTCGAAAAGGTCTTCAAGCTCATATCCGTCGAGCCAGCTTGAGCTCCACAAGCCGCCCAAGTTGTCCTCATACCAAGGAGGTCTCTGTTTCTCCTTTCGGCCATTCTTCCTCGCGAGTCTTTGGTCATGGTCGGTTCGACACCCAGTACACCAGCGCTCCTTGGTCAAGGGGGGCTCATAGGCCAGTCCGAGGAAGTACGACTGGCGGGGACAGTTGGGGACCCAGCAGGATGTACAGCGAGCCTCGCGACGATTTTTGGTAGTCAGAGGAGCAAACTCCTCGACGGCTCGCCAATGCCGATTTGATTGATGATGCCGACGGGGACATGCTGTTGCTGCTGCTGGTGCCGTGCATGTACTACTTGTCTCTGTTGTTGTTGGTGGTGGTGGTGGTGGTGCTGCGATCCCTTTGTCACTGCCACTGCCACTGCCTCGACATCCATGTTTGTGGCAGCTCTTGTTCTCTCTCCATTCGTCCAGGGCGGCTTTTCGGTCCGCAAGACTGCCTGACACCGTCAAGTTGGGCAAGGAAAGCCATTTTCTGCGACGACCACGACCACGCCGTCGTCCAACCCCTTCACTCATTCTCCTCGCACTGGCAGCCAGTCGATGTCTCCGTACTGCTTCCATACCCGCTCGCACTGACTCAAGGGCACCCACGACCTTGCGGCCGACGGCACCAAAGTCTTGCAGATCCAGAGTGCGGCGTCTCTCCTCCTCGGCCTCGAAACACGCCACGCAGCCCCACCACAGCTCAAAGCTCCCGCTGCCGCATTTGGCACAGATTCCGATTTCTTGTTCCGGATTGACCAGGCTCTGGCCCTGGAGCGCCCAGCGACGGATCCGGCGATATTTGCCGACTTTTCTCACCATCTCGCTCTTCTGGACCCAATTCTCCTTGTACCACCGGCCTTCGATGTCGCGGTGTCGCCGCATACAGTCCTTGCACATTCTGTCGCGGGCAAACTTGGCTCCCAGTCCGGTGCCACGGTTGCTCATCTTTTCCACAAACGCAAACAACGGTTTGGTCTCGAGACAGCCGTAGCACATGAGCTCTTTGGCAGGGCGTCCGATGAGACGAGGGTCAAATACCGCGTACAACAACTCCCAGAGATGATGACTGATGCGCTGCTGCCGATAGATACTTCTGTACGCGCGGATTTGCTCGACTTCGGATGCCAGTGATCTTTCAATGATTCCAGATCTTACCTGCCGCACGAGGTCCGGGGACAAGAGATGGTACATTGCTCGACAGGTGCGTCGGAGTGAAAGGAGCGCATTGAAGTCGAGATAGTCGGTGGCCAAAACGTGGTGTAAGTCGACAGGCAGAAGTGAGAGGAACGGAGTTGCATGGTGCTGGGTACTCTTGTGGAGTGGGATTGACTGTGGTGTCATCATTGTCACGGTCACGGGTGTTGTATCAATGGGCAAGTGACCAGCTTCAAGGTGTCTAAGCCTGTGTAATCTCGGCGACCGTGGGGTATTTGCGGCATGTTCGATGACATCCGTCCGAACAGATTCCTTGTTGTCCATTCCGGTTGCGCCAGGATTGAATGATCCCCGATCAGTGATGTCGTGCGAGGACCCTTCACTTACATGCAGATAAGAAGAGGACTTCTGCCGGCCAGATGGTGAATGACTGCTCGTGCCGCCATTGCTGGGCTTTTCTTCGGCAGTCCTCATCATAGGACAAGGCCCAACTGTGTGAAGCAGTGCCACACTGGCTGGTTCGAGCAACTGAAACCGGACTCACGGTGGGGCTCTTCGCAATTCCAGTCTGATAAAGTGGAAATGGCAAGTCTAAAAGATGGGAGGACGCGTTAATCAAGCAGTGATAAGTGGTAGGCAGTGTCGAAGTCGACCCAACCGGTGTCGCTGCGTTAGGCTGAAAGGCAAACAATGTAGTCGAAGGGGGGCACTGCCCTGGAACAAGCCGTGGCGGCAGTGTCTGGATCTGGTCAACGGGAATGTAGTGGGATAATTGACAGAGACCCGCTAGGCGGTTTTCTGAGACCGCTGAGGGAGGTCCGGATTCTAGGGAGGCACTTCAAATGATGAATCAATGAGACAGATTCCTCGGGTTTGCTGACTCAAGCGGGTTGCCTTGGGGCTTGTTGAGGGCAGGGAGTATCACGCCCGAGCGATGACCACAAAAACCACGTTTGTGGGCTCGTTCAAACTTGATCCTGTCAAAATCGTCGCCAGTGGTTCTGGGTTCTGCAAGAGGTCAGGGATGATGTTCGAACTGCAGACAAATGTGAGCTGCCAGTGGAAGTCCTGTTGTGTTGTTGGCACAAACGTGAATGCAGGGAGTATCAAGATATCACTATTCCGACTAGTTCCAGGCCGCAGTGACGGATAAACGTGGTGAGGCTAGCTGATTGGTGACGCTGTGACTGCTAATCCTGGTCCAGGGGGGAGCTAATTGCAGTAGCAGGTAATGATAGTAGCGCTAGTGACCGTTACTGTCTGGACCCTACCACCTCAGTGCCTACTAGTATAACATTGTATATCAGTGAAGTGCCTGCCTGCCTCGATCAGCAGCACAGAATCTCCACTGCCTGACACCGGATTACCACACATCCATAGTAGGATGCAGATTTTACTTAGCGTGTTTCAACAAAAGATTTTGTCAGGCAGGTGTATTTCATCGTTTCCGCCCTTCGCTCAACCTGGTAGCCTGCATGCCCAATGTAGTATTCAAAGGCAGAGTAGACCAGAACGAGGTAGATCCGGGATCACCATCACGCTGCGAGTTACCGTCGACGCGCAACATGTACACCGACTATGAAACAATTCAAGCAGATATAGATAACTGTCCACGAGGGGAGATCAAAACAAGGCGTAGGTTCGTGTTCATACATGGCTTCATTGTGTGCCACCAGGAGTCTACCCTCCATCCCGACTCCCATACTCTTCAAGCCCCAAACGTATTCGCTGTACAGACACAATCTTCATCTCCATGTACAAATACACCGGCAGTAGACATGTGACAACATACATGCCTTGACTTGCCCCCGGATGACACTATCCAGTGTCGACTTGCGTCCAATGCGCGTATCAGAAGGCGTAACCGTCATCGCCTACTACCAGATTCATCATGTGACTGAACAATTCCGACAAGCAACAGAGCAAGTCCTGCTCACTCTACCCTGAGCTCTCACATCATGGACATCAACGAGTTTTGCGCATAAGCCTGGCCGGGTAAGTTAGCTTTGGTTTTACACAACAATCTCAGAGGATCAGTCACTCACCATCGGTTTGACGTCAGGATGCGGCACTGCCTCAAACTGGTGGTATTCAAGTTTCAGCTCTGGGCCAATGTTGATATAGGCTCCTTTGTTTTCTGTCGTGTCACAGTATTTCGGTGCTGAGAAGACTATAAAAAAGCAAAAGACATCAGTAATCATCCAATTCCAGGTCCAACCACACCGCCACTTACCAGTAATGCATTTCCCATCATGCTCCACCTCATAACCATCCATTCTGACTTCGTGACTTCGAATAACGGCTTCCAGGCCGTTGTTTTCACAGAACTTCTTGGTGACGTCGGGACCAAACTGGAGGCCGACACCTCGTTTGCTAGGCCCACGGCCAGGCTGGGGCTGAGGATCTGTCCACAACATTTCCATCATCAATCCAGACTGACCAGGTTGTCGCTGGGTGTGTCGGTCGAGTTTGCGTATGTCGTCCAGCGTATATTTGTCGTCGGAGAACAACCCGCCGTGTAGGACCAGATACTTCTTTCCTATCAGGGTGGCCAACGGAAGAGCCGAAAACGACTCAGAGAACAGCTTGAAGGTCTTTTCGTTGTATTTGGCTTTGCACTCCCCTTCAAAGCCATACACTCGGTTCATATCGTCGGTCTCGTGATTCCCGCGGTTCAGGAAGAAATATGACGGCCGTAACCATTTGTAGGCGTACAACAACAACGCGATTTCCGTAGACCAAGAACCTCGGTCGACAAAGTCGCCGTTAAAAAGATATGCGTGCTTGTCCGAAGGGTAGCCGTTGAGACGGAAGATCTCTAGCAAGTCGAAGAACTGGCCGTGGGTGTCTCCGCACACGGTCAACGTCGTTTCAGGAGCCACTTCCACCTCGACCATGGTGGGCTCGTTGTAGACAATGTCTCTCACGGCCTTGATGATCTGGAACACATATTTCTTGTGGATTCTTTTGCCTTTCTTGAACCGCTCGATCATGTCGTCGATGAACTCTTGCGTCATTTCGTCGCCTAAACGCACCCCATCGTATGACTGATCCACCTCTATCGAGTCCAAGTCCAATCCTTCAAATGCCGACGGGGCATCTTCTACCTCGATCGCCCGCAGGAACTTGATCTTCTTGACCAGCTTTTCACACTCTGCAAGCTTGAGCTTGGCTTCCCTGTTGTTCGGTTCCTTTCTGACCACCGTCTTGAAATCTCGAAGTGCATCTTGCGAGTTTAAAATGGCTGTGTTTGCGATGGCTCGTCTCCAATATGCCTGGAAGTAACCGTCCACGGTTAGAGAATACTCGGAGAAACAGAGCCGCGATTAACATAGGCAACGTACCTTGATATAGTCTTTGTCCAGTTCAATGGCCTTGGTGGCATCGGCGACGGCGTACCCGTAAGCCTCGAGCTTGATGTTCGCCTGCGCCCGGTTGCAGTAGAAAGAAGGATCGTATGGGTACTTTTCGATCGCTTTGGTGTAGTAGTCAATGGCGGTCGGCCAGTCATGTTCTTGGAAAGCCTTGTTGCCCTTGACCTTGAGGGCCGTTGCTTCAGCTTTGTCGGTGGCGGATGGAGAAGCCATGGTCAGGGAACAGGGCAGGTGGTCGTCTGATCCGAAGGGAATAATTCGGGGAGGGCAGTGACAGGGTTCTATGGAAATTCAATTGCCAAACGAGTGTTGTGGTATCATTCCGAGACTGCACGCGCTCAAGGGTGGTCAGCAAGTGTCTGGTCCAGTCGATGTAGTTGTAGGAGGCCTGTAACTGAACTACGTGAATCCTCTCGCTTTTTTGTGCCGGGCGAAAGTTCTCGATTGCCAGTGACCGGGGCGCCACTTTTCTTTTCCGCCTTCAATTTCGTCCAGTCAGTCGCCTTTTTCGCCTGCGCTCTTTGGCCTCGAGAGCCGAAGATCTGGACTAGGCGTCGATCTTCCGAAATCTTAATCGGCGCACTGCAGATTGCAAGCAGCAACTACTAGCACTGCAACGCAACTGGGCGGGCAGTTTCTGAACACAACGTCCCGTCTCATCTTGTCTTCCGTGCTCCCCCACGCTCATCTCGCTCCGCCGAGTACTCCGTCTACAGGCTCCGCTGGAATTTGTGCCCACGACCAGCTTCGGCTTGTGCAGTGCGACAGACTCTATACCTACCTGCAACCTGCTCAATCTTTTTCCCTTACCGACGTCGACGTTCCTCTTCACTTCCCACTCTCATCTATTTCATCGCCATCATGGCTGGTCGCGGTAGTCGTCAGCGCGCCTGTATGGTTTGCTCCATCGTTTTGAACGCGAGTGTAAGCTCCCTCATGGGCCCGGTCACGTTGCAGTTTCCTGACTAGATTTGGTTCCAGGAATTCTACAAGAACGGATGTCCTAACTGCGAAAGCATCCTCGGCCTCAGAAACTCTCAAGACGCGATCCAAGAATGCACGTCACAGGTGTTTGAAGGCTTGATCATGCTGGGTGATCCGAAGGCTTCGTGGGTTGCTAAGTGGCAGCGCTTGACGAACTACGTGCCGGGAATCTACGCAGTCAAGGTTGTCGGTCAGTTACCGCAGGAAATAATAGATACCATGGAGGACAACGGCATGAGATATATCCCCAGGGATGGCACTTCGCTTGAAGAAGATGTTGCTGCTTAGAAGGCGCTACCACAAGAGAAACCACCCGGAGAGGAACTATCTGAAGAGGAACAATCGAAGAGAGACAACCGGCGCAGTGAAGAAATGGTGCTTTGCTGGGAGGTAAAATGAGTTTCGGCGTTGGGGATTCAGGCCTGGAACAAGGCGTGATACGACATGAAGGGTTAGATTGGGGATTCTGAGGGAGAAGTATTCTGTGCTTTATGCTCTATTATGCCGCGGACTTCACAGGGGCGAGGCTCGTACTACTGGTGCCAGAAAGAGCTGAACATTATGGCTACAAACTGATACTCAGATTTGCATGACGGCAGCATTATATTTTCGTCCTGGACTACGCCAAATGCTGCAAAAGCTAAAAAAAAAAGGCGCACACCAGATTCATGCAATCAAGTTCCAACGCAAAGACCTCCTTTTTATTTACTCAGCTATACCTCGCTTTACAAAGACTTTGCCAATTTCTCGAATGCATCAAGGAGGATGTCGGCGTGATGCTTCTGGAAAATCAACATAGGCCGCAGTCGGACCGCAGAGGCACCGCTGCCACCAATGTTGATTCCGAGGGTCTTGGCCTTGGCCAGGAACTCATCACGCTTGGGGTTGTCAAAAGCGATGAAGGTACCTTGACCCTTGCCTCGCAGGTTCTGGAATTGCTCGGGGTATTTCTTGGCCAATTTCTCAATCTCGCCAAAGAGGTAGTCACCAGTCTTGGCCGTGTGCTCGACCAAGTTCAGTCTTTCGATCTCATTGATGATGGCTCGGAAAAGAATGGCTCGGGCTGGGTCGCCCATCCAGGTGTTGAATTGACGGTATGGCTTGTTGGGGCGGAGGGCCGGGTTGCCGAAGTAGTAACCGGCAGTTTGGGCCTTCTTGGAGAAGGTGACAATGTCAGGAGGGTCTTGCAAGTTCCAGTGGTCATGGGCCCAGAATTTGCCAGTGGCACCGACACCAGTCTGAACTTCGTCGACGATCAGCAGGACGTTGTGGCGGCGAGTGATCTCTCGGAGCCCCCGGAAGAAGGCCGGGCTGGCATGGTTGTCACCACCCTCGGACTGGATAGGCTCGACCACGACGGCTGCGACAGGGTTGTGGTAGGTCTTGATGATGTTCTCGGCTTCTTCCAAGCATCTCTTCTCCTCGGCCGCGTTCTCTTCGGCGTGCTGTTCAAGAGGGTATTTGAGGTTGGGGAACGGAGCTTGCGGCCAGTCGAAGGCCGGGATGTCCAGTTTGTGGATGGGCTTGCTGCGGGTGGTGGAGAGCGAGCCGAATAAACGGCCGTGGAAGCCGGTCTTGAAGGACATGATGGACATGTCTGGCGAACCGGGCTTCTGGTTCTTCATGGCGCTGGTCAACTCTTGCTCGGTGAACTCGACGTCAGGGCCGCCTCGTTCTTGCTGTTTCTTCCACATGAACGCGGCCTTGTACGCCGTCTCGTTGGCGTCGGAGCCTGCCATGGCGGTGAAGACCTGGTTCAAGCCCTTGGGCGCCACGCGCAGGATCCCAGTCTCGAGAATGGACGCCCAGTCGTGCGAAGGGAAGTTACCCAGAGCGGGCCGGTTGATGAGGGAGGAGATCATCTGGTCCGACTTGGCAGCCTCGAGAAGCGTCGGGTTGTTGTAGCCAACAGGGATGGAAGCAATCTGGGCATAGACGTCCAGCAGCACATTGCCATCTGGGTCTGAGATGTAGTTGCCATAGCTCTTCTGGTAGTTGGCCAACATGTTCAAACTCCGCGTGTCAAACACTTTGGTGAGCTCGGCAATGTGTTGCTGGCTCTTGGGGCCCGGGATGGGCGTCACCACCTTGGGCGCAACAGGCTCATCGGGCAGGAATGAGGACTGCGCGGAGCAGGCACTCGACGCTGTGAATGACCGAACGGCCGTGTATCTAATAGAAGAGCTCGCCAGACGGCCTGTTGAGCGCAGGCCACGCGATGCTCGAAGAACCGAAGCCATGTTTGTAGACTGTCCACACCACGATGCGGGGAGGGTGAGTATTCCTAGAGGTTCGTCGGACAACAAACAGAGAGCGGAGAGGTCTGTTTTCTTGTTCCCAACCAAGCCCAGCAGCAGCAGCAGCAACTCCTAGAACACAGACAGACGACAGGCTCGAGGAGACACCAGCTCGCGTTCCGCGGGGCGGAGCAGAGGGCTGGCTTTTTATTTCAATCCATTCCGTGGGCACGATGGGCTCACCCATTTCTGTACCTTAACTTAGCGGGCTGTCCGCAGGGCGTCTGTCTCTCTAGCGGGGGGCACGCGGAGAACAACGCAACGTAGACAGGGTCCGGTTACTGGGACGGTGGTGCCGGATATTCACGCTTAAAGGCCTCCAGGACTATTTCTCGCCAACCAGACCACTTCGCGCCCTCCACTCCCTCCACCGCTGGACAGCCAGAAGCCTTGGGAACTGTGCCTGTTGGGTAATCGCATTCCGGCACAGGTGGAACTTTTCTGATAATGACAGGAGAGTGCCGCCGGCGCAGGAGAGTCTGTCGGAGTCGAGCTCCCCCAGCACGCCCTGGGACCAGCCTGCTATGCTCGATTTGGCCGGGCAATGGTCACTCTTTTAGCGTTGGTCGAGGGCAGGCCATCCCGAAGTCGGAACCACTATCCATTTCCAGATAACGGGGACACTACTGGCCATGCAATACCAGTGTTCCATGCCAGTGAGGGATGGCTTTTAACAGTGGCTTTGTGCCTCGAGATTAAAGTCCATTGGCGAACATGCTACAGCATCTGCCTCTCCTAGTGAGGCCATTCCGAATACCATATAAAGAGAGGTAAGGGTAAGCAGAACGCAGTGGATGATGTGCGGCTTGACAGGTTCCTCTCCTCAGAAATCCTACAATGTTTCCACTGCATTTAAGGGCTGTTTGTTATCTGACCAGGCAAATGATACCTACTGTACAATAATGATGATTATCGGGCACATTTTTCATTTTTGATTTGATTTCTTTTCCTGCTCATTTACACCTCCTTTCGCTCAATGTTATCCATGACCTGCTCATCGCTCAAATGTTCCTGGCCCGGAGGATGTTCAGCACGAGGCCCCTCTCCCGCACCCTTGTCAAAGTCCGAAGCTGTCTTGGAATGCTCTGCGAGTCTCGTCTGACCCTGCGACTGAGGGTCGCGGACCGTACCTCCCGGGGTTGCATGTGTTCTCTTCCCTGCAACTTGTGCCCCGATCGTGTCTCCCGTTCCGGTCAAGATATTATGCGTGTCGGTATCCCGTGTGGACTATGAAAAGAGCAAGGTCAACATCTGTTCTGCTTACTTGTGCTTGTGACAATGCTGCAGTGGCAGGGGGAACTCGAACTCGAACTCGAACTTACCCTTGGGATGTCAGTCTCGTTAGTGGCCGCATCGGCCAGAGTTGGAGCCCCCAGGTCGTTCGGGTCCTTGGCTGAGGCTATTTGGTCTGGCCGTGGTTTGGATGGGATGTATCTAGGCTGGGCCGAGTCTGCAGGCACGGTGGTCCCGTCCTTGGCCATGTCGAAGAGGTCACCTCCGCTGTTGCGTCCTGATTCGGGCATTTTGGAAGGATACAGACTGTGGATAGGTTGGTTTGGTTCAGTGGAAGGTGTATTTCACGAATTGTATGGTAAGTCGTTGAGGTCAAAGGATGTCGTTGAGTTCGATGCAACTGTTAGTAGATGAGGAACATTCCAATTTCCTCATCAAATACCCTGCAAGTTATGTACATATACGAGTATCTACCTTACCTCATCATCGCAGGCGACCGTCAACGATCGAATGTGCCCCCTTGTGCCTCTGTTCGTCATACAGCGGAGAAGATGATGTCACGCCAGACTCGATCTCCTGGTCCTCATTCTTCGGTTTCTTTCTGGGCTTGGTCATTCTTGTAGTAGGTGCTAGCAGTCACGATCCATAGCCATACTAGTAGAGATGCGCTCAGAGCCCTGCGCGGGCACAGGCGATATTGATTGAAACGCCAATGTTGGTGTGTGACCGCCGTGGTGGTGGAAGAAGCCCGCTAAATTCCGTGGCTTAACGGTGTACTAGTACTGATGTCCGTCCCGCTGAAGCAGTTGCGGCAATTGGTCTCGAGACTTCCAGCTGGTAAAGACATAACCTCCTAAGTATTGAGCAGTGTGCAGTTATGTTCGACTCGGCTGATTAAAACCATGTCCCTGCAGCAGGATGGAATAAAAGTACACACGTGCTGGACCTATATCACACATCATGATCTGATTCTTCCGCCAGGTGTGAGCGAGGCGTAGAATGCTTACCTAACGTAAGGGTGAGTCTATGTGATCCAGACGAGCCCCGCACCGCCAGGATACCGAGGCATTCGAGTCCAAGCAGTTGCTGACCACTGCACTGGCATGGCACTGTCAAACAAGTTTAACCATACCAACATCAAAGTCATATCTAGGTATATAAATCCAAAATAATATATATGCGTAGAACTATACCTTGACGGCAAGATCAATCAAGCACGCAAATCAGCTCAATACTCTACCAGGCCTGTCTAGTACCACTTCATTTCAACACCACGCTTTAACGCCGTCAAGATGGGCGTACCCGACAACGACATTGTCGTATATCATTACTCGTTTTCTCCCTACGCGAGGAGAATCTTATGGTATCTAGCCCTTCGGGGCATACCATATGCCGAATGTGTGAGTTTTAGATGCCAGCAATGGACAAGCCTGGCCACTTGCTGAGTCCCCGTGCAGAAACAACCACCCGTCATGCCTCGACCAGATCTCAAGGCGTTAGGGGTCAACTACAGGCGGATCCCTGTGGTGGCCATTGGTCGGGACGTCTACTGTGACAGCCGCATCTGCCTCCGCAAGCTAGAGGAGCTCTTCCCCGAGGGAGCATTGGGTGCTACCACGGCGGACGGGAAGGCCATACAGAAATTCCTGGAAATTTGGGCCATTGAGGCTGGGCTCTTTGCGCGGGCGGCACAGCTGATACCAACGAGCATGCCACTCCTGAATGACGCCAAATTCACGCGTGACCGGGAACAATACACGGGCCGGTCCTGGAGGAAGGAGGATATCGCCGCCAATAGACCCGAAGCCGTGGCTGCGATCAAGAATGCTTTCAAGTTCTTGGAAACCACCTTGCTTGCAGATGGCCGAAGCTGGGTACTCAAGACGGACAAGCCGACCCTGGCTGATATTGAAGGTGAGCAGGAAGTACATTACAGATTCCCCTACAACTCCAGATTGGCTAATGCAAGACCGAAGCCGTTTGGATCTTTGATTGGTTGAACGGCTTGAAGGGAGCCCTCCCGCGGGAGCTGATATCTGAGAAGTCTTTCCCCAAGGTGTTTGCCTGGGTAGCAAGATTCAATGAGGCGCTCAAGGCCGCCAAGGCCAAAGCGCCCAAGCCGGTGACTTTGGACGGCGCTGCTGCAACACAGCGTGTCCTCGGCGCTTCCTTTGCGGAAAAGGATCTCAGCGTCGATGCAGCAGATCCTCTGGGCTTACAGCGAGGGACCGAAGTCGAGATCTTCCCCACGGATTCAGGCTTCAGCCATCATGATAAAGGACGGCTTGTTGGCCTGTCGGATGATGAAGTGGTCCTGAGCACACGGGCCGGCGAAACCGAGGTGCATTTACATTTCCCTAGGACTGGGTTTAAAATCAAGGCTGTTGGCGGAGGGGCCACGTCGAAATTGTGACCACTTCAAGGAGGCGCGTGTGAATCAGCGTTAATCCATGTCTTCATGCCTGTGTTCCATCGGAGCAGTAGCTCACGTGTCCATGATACCGCATCTCATGCCTGTGCTACTGCGGGCTAGGGTGTGTTTGCACACAGCGCTCATGGGGCAGACATCAGCAGATTGAATTCCTAGAAATCGTGCCCGATTAATCAATTTTCCTGCTGTTGTTCGGCGGGGAAGTTGACTCCATCTCTCTTTGTGACACTCTATGGCAACAGCACCGACTATACCTATGAAACTCACCTGGGAACGCGTCAGCTGGATTCGTAGGGGAGGACGGGTGTGCGGCCACCTGGCATGCGGCAGAGAAGTGGGAGATCCGCGGTAAGGTAATCTGCTCTGCGGGCTGGAATAGGGTTCTTATTTCACTCCCCGACGTTGCATGCTGGTAGTTAGCAAAGGAGTTGCATAGGCTCATGTTGTACCGATTGGCCTTTGAGATAAAATTTGCCAGTGGTCAGAATGCCGGCTTCCAAGTTCCGGGGTAGCCGTCGCTGGCAATTTGCGATAAGTCCAACTCGGGACAGGACCATGCCCAACGAGCCAGCTGCATAGGTATTTCAGGATATGCAACCTCACGCCCATCCAGTGGCGGATCGACACAGTGGACAGCTGGAACAACTCGACAACCTGGACCTGCATCGATTGGTAATGGAGGGCGCCACTTGTTGTTGCTGCCCAAAGCACGTCGATTGGCCAGCTGTCTGACCGGTGGCTGCCTTCAAGTTTTTGATCTCATGCGGCTGATGGTCGGTGGTAGTGGGTGAGTTAGCTCAGGGAGACTTGCTTTAAGTGACCGAAGTAGTCATGATGAGAGGGCATCATTGATCTTTCAACATCCTGGAGCCTGCAACGCTTCGCCCATTCCCGTATCCAGGGCCGGCGGTAGTGCCTGGGCCAGACCATCCGAACACCCGGTCATCTGCGCACAGCCAGCGCACCAAATGCAGTGAATCTTGTGGGATACTTGGTGGAACGTCGCCTCCCTTTGTTTGGTGCCAACAAACGGTTGCAGGAGCTACTGTGGTCTCCTCACCGCGGAAGTGCCGTCTGAGAGCTTGGTAGGACGGTACTGGGTGCGACTCGAGTTGGAGGGGAGGACACCAAGCGCAGCTCTGGAGATAGGGAATATGGAGGTACTGAGTACACGTTGTAACCAAAGTCTATTAGTGTTCTGGTAAGCATGATGCTGGTAAGCATGATGCGTGTTTTTGAGCATTTCTCTTCCCGGAATTAATACTGAAGGACGACGGTGTATTGCAGAGTCCTGGCAGAAAGGGACTAACCACGATGTTTCAAGATCTTCTTGGGCCATCAGAACATCAGCTGCCTCGCTGACGGTCCTGGATAACTTGACATATTGCGACTGCAACACGATTACTGTACAATATACTAGTAGTGCAGTAGTAAGAAAAACATCTTGTCTACTTCAGTAGTATCTGAATCATCGACGAGGGGAAACAGTTACAGAGGCACAAGAATCTATTCGGGGTTTATTCCAGGCCCAGCAGCTTGGTTGCTCCGCGCATTTTCATCTTCAACTTGAAGTGACTGGTAGTGGTCATTATCCATCTTCCTTCAAGTTCTTGCATCGTCTTGCTGGCAAACGTCGGGAGCTGATGACTTCTGATTGACTACTGTGTACTACTGCTACCCTTCTTCCGCAGGCGCCACGACGATCTTGCAGCATAGCATCCCCAGTGGATTTTCCAGACCAGGACTGTGGGACCTCTTCGACGGTCCGTGCTGCGGTCCGAGTCCGCTGTCATCCTTCATTACTCTGCTATCGACAAACACTTGTCGCGGTCGAGATATTGTGCGGCTGGAATACCATCGCCGCGTCGTGGACAAGCTTGAAGCGGGCTGCAAAGAAGATATCTCCTTCGATTGATAAACAGAGATGGCCTCAATTGTTGCAGTGGTGGAGTTTTGAAGGACTTCCTGCGGCGTGTGCCAGTTGTATGATTGGTGGCTCCCTCGCCTGAATCCGCTGTGCTGTGCTTTGCTGCCCAACTAAAGCCTGAGCCCCCCAAGAGCGAAGGCGAAGCGTTCGCTGCCTGCGCCCAACTGTCACAACCCTTCATCCCTCCCCCGTCTCCTTCAAGTTGTGGGAGCCCTCACCAGCCTTCACCTCGATACTCTGGCTTCAATCTCGCGCACCCGGTCTGATCAGCTCGACCCAACGTGGATCTATTGGATCTTGATCGCCCCGACTCTGTGTACATCTTGCCCAGTGGATCTGGTTCTCCTTGGGAGTTCAAGTTGTGCTCGCTTACAGGGACGCCCGCTTGCCTGCGACGTTTCTCCTGGCGCCATCCCTCTCATTTGTTCTCTCAAACGCTTTGCTGCCCAACGGACCCAGGAGCGGTTGCTGGAGAGGCCCCTAGATCAAGTTATATATCCCCGCCAGGATGTCTTCGCGGTATCCCGATGATTCAGACTATCGTCGCCGTGACGCCGCCCGCCACTCCTCCAGAAGAGAACCTCGCGAGCGTGACCGTCAGGAACGTGTTGAACCTGCAAGAGAAAGGAGAGTCCTGGACGACCGTCCAAGCCGCGATACCCGTATGACTGATGCCATGGACACCCGTATGGATACCAGAATGGACACCCGAATGGACCCTCGGATTGATTCCCGCATGGACCCCAGGATGGATGCTCGTATGGATATGCGATCTGAACAGCGCCCCGGCACGACGTCTCGTATAGAGCCACGATCTGACCGTGTCCTGGATAGCCGTGGAGCTGACCCGGATGTCATCGTGATGCACCCTACCGGAGAACTATATCGTCAAGTAAGGGATCCGCCTACGAGGTCTCCTTATCCTCGGGATGAGCGTGACTATGATGCAGCCACCAGAAGTCGAACAGCAATGGATGTGCCCTCGAGCAGAGATCGTGATTCTGTCAGGCCCGAATATACCGAGTACTTTTGCCCAGGCGAAGGGATTGAACGAGAAGTTATCCAGCATGAGATCTGCAAATATCTTGGTCAGGACGCCACTTGCCGGCCAACTCGAAGTGACGAAGTATGCTGCACTAATGTGCCCCATGGTAAGTGTGGTCCGCTAACGTGGTCGCATAGGCACGTCAGGGATATTGGGTCAAGGCCTATCGCCCATTCACCACAGTATGACTGGATTCCTTGGTAATACATATTGGCGTTGATGCTGATCACGGGTGGCAGGCAATGGTACAGTCTCTGCGTGAGGAGACGATTAGATGGCAGCGTGAACGGGAACGGCGGGCCAGACAGGGCCGCACGCAAGGTATGGCACATGCTGAGTGGCAAGCAAGCCGTTCTAAGGATCCTGTAGGCTCCTACGCCGAGATGCAAGCCCGTCAGGAAATGCAACCCCGCCAGGAGCCCCAAAGGAGATACCCAGGAGATATGGAACTGGACGATGATGACTATGCCCGTCCGCAACAAGTACGGCATCGTGAACAGCTTGAACCTCGTACTCTCCCTGGTAGCCGTGTTGCTATTCCTGCAACTCAATACCCACCGGATCCTGGCTACCCTGCCGGGTATACCATTTCTTCCGGCCACGCAATGTATGCTTCAGGCCAGTCTCCTTACCCTGGATCGGAGCGAGAGAGAGAGCCCAGGACATTTGCCGGTGGAAACACTACACCGCCATCATACAGCCGATCTGGGGCCCCAGGAGGAGGATATGGACCGTCATCCTACCCAAGTCGTACAGCACCACCGGTCACATCATCAATACCTGGTTCTTATGATCTCCGGAGAGACGTGATGGGTGCACCATATGCTTCCGGATATCCTGATTCTCGTAGGCATAGATGATGACCATCTTCCCTCCCGGACTTCATGGATATTGCCTGTTTCGGACCTTTACCCATCAATGGACCTGGATTTTGCCACGATGCTGGATTGAATGTCGCCCGAAGGCTGCACACCTAGGTGTGCCTACACCGCTGAGGATACGTCGCTTGATGTCGACGACCGGGGTGAAGCATTGTTCCGCTGCATCGGCAGCATGAATGTCACGTCAACGAAATACACTGGATTACAACATGAGCATCGTATGGTTTTGTTATTCTGGAGAGTACACAGGCTCACCTTGTCCATGGGAGTATGCAAATATCTTAAGCGATCGACTACTGGAGGTTCTTCCAACCTAGCGCCTGGTTTGTTCTTCCAGTTCTGGCGGGTCTATTGGAGAGACGAACTCAACATCGGGTTTCCTTGAAATTGATACACCGTATATGCCAAAGCAGTATGGACTGGATATGTACCTAGCATTGGGAGGCGTTTTTTGGCTCTGTTGTTTGAGGACTCCGAGGCCTCGCATTCTGGACGGATGAGAAAATTAATGGAACGACCTGCTAACGGACACTTTACCCCCTTCTAAGGCTTTTGTGGGCTTCGCCTTTGCTTTTGATTGTACACATTTGATGGCTGGCCTAAGGGCTATCTCCGACAATGCTCCGTTCCAGGGCGTTTGCTGACTTGTCTTCCACTGATGGAGCATCCGGCAGTTTCTTCCTTGTCTGTCGGCCACACAACTGCAACCGAATGCCAGGTTCCCCAACGTTGACATAACCAGACGCTGATGGAGCTTTGGAAGATACCATCCGGATCCCCATGGACCAGCGCAGGAATGTGATTCTTTATCTCGCCTCGGCAGCCACCTCGTACACCGCCGTTGATCTCGATCTTGAAGCTACTGTGCCCACTGAGATCAATTCCTCGACAAACCTGTGTCCTGATACTCCATGCTATATTGCCTTACCATCTCTTCGCTTCCGTCCAGTGTTCCGTTGCTCATCGTCACAGCTCTGTCCATCCATTATCCAGCAGACCCGACTCTGTACTTCGATATCAGCCAGTGAAGGAGGTTATAAAACACTCCTGGTAAGCTCCTGTATCATAGCGAGAGAACGCTAATAGGAACGTCCATGGCAGGTGCCCGGGGAATCCGATGATCGAAGCTCCAATACCATCCAAATCATATAGGAAGCTAAATTGAGCCCTACTGGCTTGACCGTATGTTGGTATCCCGGATCACCCCAGCCTCACTCTCACTTCACCTCCGGCGCCCGCCCTGCTATTGAAGTCAATGTCACATGCCGACGACGACCAGCTAGGCACTCTGGACTTCACTGCGCAGTCGCAGTCGCACCAAGATAAAAACAAAGCAACAAACCTCTCAGTGCGAGCTCATTCCTTGCCCTTCCTTTCTTTTCTCCTCTTCTCTTCTCAAACATCCTCTTCATTTAAGACTTGGTGCGTTGGTTGACATTGATTCTTTCTTCGAGGCACGATCAAGTGAGACAATGTCAGCCGTCAGTATGGCGTCTGCTCCGAAGTCAAAGTTCCCAGAATACCTTGATGGCGACGTCCTCCTCATCCTGTCGTCTACGCAACAGTTTAAGTTGCACTCTCAGGTCCTGTCAACTCACTCGACCTTCTTCGCCCAGGAGATTGCAGCGAAGCCCGCTGCACGTCTTACTGCGCAAGCACGTCGCGACCATGCTGCCGCCTACCGCTTTGAATATGTGCCTACCTCCCAACCAGACGGTATCGGCAAATGGGTGCGCAAGGTATGCAACTGAACGATGTCACAACCCTGCAAACAGTCACTAACCACTTTTTGATCAGGATCTCAACAGCGAAGGCCGCATTCCTCGAAACAGCATGCCTCTGATGCCCGATTTTGCCAACGGAACAGCGTCGAACGACAATCCTACGCACAAGGCGTGGGAGTGGCTCTTTGGCATCTTTTACAATCGTGAGCCCGCCTTTGTCAACAATGGATTGGTGGCCATCGTCTCGGAAATCATTGTGCTCATGGAAGTGGCCGACTCTGTGGGATCGACCGACCATGTGCGCGACGTTGTTGACCTGACTCTCCTTCGTCAAGACCGACTTCTGTGGAACTCCATCATGAACAATTCAGTGGCATGGCTCGAACTCGGTCGTCGTGTGCGTTCGCCGACCGTTTTCAGCGAGGCTGCCATCCACCTCATTGGTCAGTGGTGCACGTTGCCTGAAAACGTCAAGGAGCAGGTCTCTTCTGATCTTCGTCCTCTCATTGAGCGCAAGGCGGACCTGCTCGACCTCGAGAAGGAGGCCATCGAGATGCGCATCCTCGGTCACTACCCACAATTCTTGTTGCGTACCGCTGCAGAGAAGCCCGGTCGTCCATCCTACGCCAACGACATCTACATGTGGATGTCAGTGAGCTTCTTCCGTCAATGGTTTGCCCAGAACGTATCGGACGACCGCACCCGTCGCGCCCCGGACGGCGGGCTGAATTTCTACACGGCATTGTCTGAAGGTGGCCAGGCGTACTTGTCCCACACCGATTTTCAGGAGTTCCACCGCTTTTTCCCTATGAGCATCAAGGCTTGCCACGTCGTCGAGGCCAACATGGGCGTATTCAAGGAAGACATCAAGCCGTTGGTCGAAGGTCTCATGGTCGAAAACACCCACCTCAAGCGCGCCGACTGTCGCACCATCACCTGGTTGACCTGTGCCACGGTCGAGAGAGATGAGTTGCCATGGCAGACCATTTCGGCCGACGCGGGCAATGAGGGCAGAACAGGCGACCAATCTCTGCAGAACTTGTATGCCGAATTGGACAAAGAGAACGACAACGCCGCCATGCTCGCCCAGCATGACAGAAACAAGAAGCTGCGCAAGCGATCAAAGCCTGCTGCCGCCGTCGCCCCAGCCCCAGCAATTTCCAAGCCCACCAGTTCGACCTCTACCTCTGGGCCCGCTAGACGTCGGAAGCGCCTTAGGGTCATCGAGGACGACGAGACCGAGGATGAGTTTGGCGACGGTTCTGGCTTGTTCGTCCCCGAACCTACTAAGCACCACAACGGCGATAGGATGGATGAGGCCGAATAGTGAACAGTGGCAGGCAGACCCTCGGCTCTTCACAACCGCCCACTGGCATGATGCGAAACTTTGGAAGTCATGTGGTGGGTCTGGGGAGGAATACAGAACAAAAACCATTGGGCGCGCTCTCTCTGCGCTACATGTTTTGTGCTGGCAAGAGGTACGTGCAATGCAACTGCCTATTGATGGCCACTATCCCTATGTTGTTCAACATACTAATCATGTGCATGAAGAACGGCCTGACAGCATCTCTTCCCCCTGGTGTTGAATGAGCGGGGTACGCCGCCCTGCTATTTCTCGTTTGTCTGCGCTGGGGAGCTTACTAAGGACATCACATGGCCATTGCAGTTTTGCGTTCGTTTGCATGCTTGGGGGTCACGGTTCACGAGGAACACAACAAGGCATGCTGTAACTGGAGATTAATCTGGAAACAGAATTGAGAGCGAGAAAACACAGCCTAGGTGGTGACGCTCTCTGGATTTCGTCAAACTGGCTACTAGTACCGCACAGGGTTTCCTTGGGGGACAAAACAAAAGCATCCAGTGACTTTGAGAGCATGTGGTCCTGTGTGTCCTGGCCATCAGGACTACTTAAGTAGCATTCACCAGACGATAGGCTAGTATGTACGAGATAATCAAAAACTGCACTATTGTGCAAGAGGTTTATGGCTCGATGTCTGCTTTGTTTCATGATAGTACTGTTCTGACAAGGTCTCCGCTGCTGCGCTGCGGTTTCTCATACACGTTGGTCCATGAGCCTCCACATGAACGATTTTTGCTATGCCGGCCATATTTGTCGCATTTATTCGGGATCGTCGAAGCCTTCCGGGATTTTCCTGGGGCCCTTGGGGACTAGATGAACAACAACAGTATACGTTAGCAGGATGAACCCTTTTGGAAAAGCGTACGGCGGAGTGTGCTTTGAAGCGTAAGGTATCTCTGGCAGAACAGACATAACCTCTCCAAGTTGCACGGGGACTGCTGTAAATCCGCGCTTTTGTCTGCACGAGTGCAACTGCTTCTTTCACCGGAAGACCACCAACAAAGGGTTCCCAGAGTCCCTCCTGTTCCTCTCATGCCGGAAGAGAATGAAATGAATTGAGGGGCGTGGGATGTGATGCTAAACGTCGAAAACTCACCTGGATAAGTCAACGGGATCCTCGGCGGGTCCACGTCACCAGCAAGTCTTCTCAGCGGCGGGATGAACACAAACGACGCAGGCCCCATCAGTCCGATCACAACACTCCAGAATATCGCGGGCTTCTCGTGCGCTGCCCATCGCAGGTACCGGATTGGGGAACCCCAGAATCTTTGGGGGACGCCGGCGCCGGACATTGTGGCTGTTTATTTATGATATTGTTTTTCCCAGGAGAATAGAAATGCGATCGCACAAGGTAGGAGGATGGTACGTCGCTCGGTCAAGCCGTTAGAGGTGCGGGTTATTCGCAGCGGAGAGCTGGTTGTCTGTCTTGACCTGAAGCTCACGCGAGTTCGGTGGAGGTGGGGTTTCTCCCCTTGTGTCGACGGTAGAAGGGGTTTCCTTTTGTTCGCTTCGCCAACGAGGCGCTCAGGTTCGGTGTCGTCTCACGATGCTGTTGGCACAGGTGATATCCGGAAGCTCGACGTCGGGCACTGGCTCTACAACTATAACATTGACCAAAGACGTACCGACGAATGGAGATCAAGTGCTTGGCACTACTGTTGAGCGGAGCAATGTATGCGCAAGGCTGTGATGGCGTAGCATAGCGGAGGTATACGGCGGAACATCTAACTCGTCAACTGCAGCTGACCACGTCTCCTCTGCGGAGTGCTTGTTGTAAGGCGACCGAACCGGTGGTCGAAGTGCACTGCAGAATCCCAGATGAGCGTGCAACTGTAAGCACTGACTGCAGCTTGGTTATCTCTGGTATCCAAGATGCGGCTCTTTTCTTCGTTATGTCTTGTGGTCGTGGCACTCCTGAGCGTGGTGTCGGCCAGAAGCGCCGTCGGGAACAGAGTGCTTGTTGTTTTGGAGGATGAATCGCAGAAACCGCTATACTCGAAATTCTGGGCGGACCTGGAAGGTATGTCGCGATGGTGTCCGGGGAGACTGATAGGCTTTGAATTTGGGCTGACAACCTGACTATTCAATCCAGCCCGAGACTTCAAACTATCCTTTGAGTCGCCGAGGAGCGAGCAGTTGTCGCTATTCCGGCATGGCCAGTTGGCGTACGAACATTTACTCCTAACACCGCCCAAGTCGAAAGGTGAGGAACTGTCCGTTGTTGCGGGACGCATAAACTGAGAACAAACCAGGCTATGGACCATCGTTGACGCCTAAGATCCTCCTTGACTACGTCAACGCGGGCGGAAACGTCCTGCTGGGTCTCTCCTCCGATTCGGGCACGCCGTCTGCCGTTTCCTCCCTTCTCCTCGAGTTTGATATTTCCCTGTCACCGGACAAGCATTCAGTCGTCGTGGACCATTTCAACTATGACGCCGTGTCCGCGGCCGAGAAACACGATGTCCTACTGGTCGATCGGCCGGGCCCATTGCGACCAGACGTGGTCAACTTCTTTGGAGGTGATGGCGTTCTCGCGGTCCCAAGAGCCGTGGGACAGACACTCGGAACATCCAGTGCCTTGATTGCACCCATTCTCCGGGCGCCCAAGACAGCATACACATACAACCCCAAGGACGAGACCGAAAGTGTCGAGGAGCCATTTGCGACTGGATCGCAGTTGGACATCATATCGGCAATGCAGGCTCGCAACTCGGCCCGCGTCACTGTTCTCGGGTCGTTGGAAATGCTTCAGGACAAGTGGTTCGACGCATCGGTCAAGTTGCCCGGCGGGAAATCCAGCAAAACGGTCAACCAGGAATTTGCAAGGCAGCTGACGGAATGGACCTTCCAAGAAGTCGGCGTCCTCAAAGTCTTCTCTGTCCAGCACTATCAGATCACCACATCGACCAAACCTACCGAGAATACCACCCAAATAGGCGAGTATAATCCTGAAATGTATCGGATCAAGAACGACGTGGTACGTATATTTCTCTCTTCTAGTTCCTGTCTTGTAAACCACACAACCCAATTTTTTGGACATGCTTGAGCTAATCTTTCTTTCTTTCTGCAAAGAAATTCTCCATTGAAATCGGCCAATACGACCGCACGCATTACGTTCCATTTGTCGTCCCTGAGACAGATGCCCTCCAACTCGAATTCACCATGCTCTCTCCTTTCCACCGCCTCCCACTTAGCCCGACCCTGACCACCGACAACAGCACCATTTTCAGCACCACGTTTACCACCCCGGATCAGCACGGCATCTTTGCCTTCAAAGTCAACTACAAGCGACCGTTCTTGACCCCGATCGAGGAGAGACATCAAGTCACGGTCCGGCACTTTGCACATGACGAGTGGCCCCGCTCCTGGGAGATCACCGGAGCGTGGCCCTGGGTTGCCGGACTATGGAGTGTTATTGCCGGATTCGTCCTTTTCGTCCTTCTATGGCTCTATTGTGAACCGCCAAAGGAGGAGCTCGAGAGGCGGCGGAAGCTGAGTGTGAGTGTGAGCTCGACAAAATGAGGCTGGGTGGTTTCGTGGCTATCTACAGCATGTGAATAGCGCACCACCAGAGCAATGTCTATATAAAAAGGAGGTGCAGTGGGGAAACGTGTACGGGCTTCCATTTCATTCTCGACGGATAGAATCAGCAGAGGGATAGAGACAAAACAAAAAGTTGCTTTTCCACCCAATTTCATCGATGTTCGTAGCGTCAAATGGGGTTATCTGGTATGCTTGATGACTGTTGTAAAAGTGGTGTTCATAGGAGCAGAGATATATAATACATTGTTCTTGCTCAACTGTCGAACCTCCTGCAAGACCACACACTCCGCGTCTTTTTTATGTCTACTTTAGGCCTCAGAATTGTGCATACGCCCGTAGCCGATTTCGATGTGCCTGATGCTCCGCGGCCCGAACTCCCAGCCCTTGTGTCACCGTATTCCTTCCGCTGGGACTCCGTCGATGACCGGTGGGAACTGGCAACTGGGTGAGTCTTATCGACGGAGGACTCGCAGAGTTGAGTTTGTGTCCGAAGGCCGCTTGATATGTATTTGGGGCGAACACATGGCAGTTGGCTGTTTTTGGAGACGGCAACGGCCTCGTTTGGAAAGTTGAAGTCGTCCAACCGTGCAAGGCAAGGCATGATTCCGTGATTGGACAGATCTCCTCCCTCCCAGGCTGGTAAAGCAGGTGGATGCTGCCTCTCAGCAGGCGGCTAGTAGATAACACGGAAGCAAAGAAGCGCCCTTTTCTTCATATCCGAAAAAGGTCACCACCACTACCACCTGCTGCTCTGGTTTCCCCCAAAGTGGTGGCGGATTCGTATAGAGCTGATCATACCGGCGTGACTTTGGAAACTTTTCTTTTATCGCTCAGGTGCGTCAAAGGAACATTGAACCACGCGATGACCCATTATAACCCTCTCGTCTTACTCTCATCAAAGCCCAACCCCTCAACCTCGCCCTTTTGTTCCTTTTTCATACTTTCTCGAACGTCAAACGCCGGTTTCCCCCCATACAACTGGTACCCAGCGGCTCTCTTGCCGGAACCCTCGAGCTCGACACTCGTCGAGATGGGCGCGTTGCCCCGGAACCGCATGCGCATGTCGACCATGCCGCGCTTGCAGTCTCGATACCCGCGTTTCAGCTGCTTGCATTGCTCGGGGAGAGTGTCCGACAGGGGCGGGGACAGACATTCCAGGGGCGTGTGGCGGTCGACCATGATGCAGTCCGAGTTTTGGAGGCATGCTGCCAATGCGGCGCCTGGAAACAACAAAACATGAGTCTAAATGGTCTCGACCCGAAATACAGGGCAAGAATGTATATGTATTGTGACTTACGGATATCTTTGCAAGAGGAGGGCATTGTTGGGTCGGAACTGTTCAGAGACACACACACACTCTCTCTCTCTTTCTTTCGGAACAGCAGAAGAAAATAGGGCGTCTTGTTCCTCTCTTTAATCGAGTTGGTACCGGGTATTGCCTCCACAAGTGAACTTGCCGGGCAAGGTTGTAGAGTTGTATGGTTCGTCTGATGGAGGGCTCCAGTGGCTGGTCGCAGGATCGATGGATTGAACTGTTGCAGAGTCAAAGAGAGCAGCGGGACCGTGGGTCGATTTCGTAATCCGTCGTATATACTGTACAATGTTGGAGTGAAATACCTAGAAGGTTGCCCTCGACTTATCAATGGCACCAGTATCGGGTTTCGTGTTCGCCGCTCGGGTTCTCAATAATTCAAGTCCAAATTGGCCGCCCGCGTGGAGTGACTGTCGGACAACTTTCCCTTCATGGCGGCATGAGGCGTCCACTTTTGCAGCCTTGCAGAGCCTTGCAGATCCTGGCAGTACAGCCCTTGTATGCACAGCCTTGCGCATGCAACCTTGCAGATGCATACACTACCAGTGCCAGCGTACCTAGCTAGCTGCGGGCATCATTCACGTTATGTACCATGTTGCCCATAGTACTTACTACTAACTTGCGATTCGTGCAGTTTACCAGGAAAAGAATTTCGTACTTGCAGGAGCTCGTCACATACTTGTACACCTTTTGGCTCTCGCGATACAGGACGGGTCAATACAAGCTTGCTCCAGATACTTCAAGTTGTTATATGTACTATGGTTAGAGTGAAAAGCCTCACTCCCAGACAAACGCCCCTAGTCAACCTTAATCCATAAACGCCAAACCTGCAAAACTCCAACTAAGCCGATACCTCAGAACAAAACCACCTTCGCCAATGCGCAAAACTTAGACCAGTCCAGTCCATCCATTCGTACAAGCAAGCCACTTCAGTTCTCTGAGACTTCGTGTGGATGTGGTGACATCACCCTTGAGTGAGGAGCCTCATGACCCTTTTGCATCGTCTCCATGTCCTGCATGTCTCTTCCCACTCGGTATTACTTCGCTGAAACGCTGACCAGGCTAAAACAGATATGACACTTTGTAACTCATGCGAAATTCTGCGTGAAGAAGGGCATGACCTTTTCGAGAGCGCGTTTCACTTCGGCGGCTTCTCGCTCCATTTTCGCTCGCTGAGCCCGCATGCTCTCCAGATCGCCCTGCAACTCCCTATGTTTGGCTTGCACACTCTCGTGCCGTCCGGAAAGGGCATCGTTCTCTTTACGCAGGCTCAACTTCTCTTTTTCATATTGTTCCAGGTCAGCCATCAGTGCCGCCAGCTCGCCTTCTTTCCGCCGAAGCTGCTCTTCGTGTTTCGTAGACGCGAGGGATAATGAGGTGACCTGCTTTCGAAGCTCCTCATTCTGTCCTTGTACTTCGCGCAGTAATTTCTTGGTGGTTGTGAGTTCGGTGGTGGCACTGGCCAATTTGCTCTCAGCGTCCTTGTCCACTTTGGCCAGTGTGCTTTCAAGGTCCTGCACCTTTCGCTCTTTTCCTCCCAATTCACTCTTGAGCAGTCGGATTTGGGATTCATATTCTTCATTTTGTCGATGGTGTTCCTCAACTCGAAGAGATTCGGCTTTGTGCAGTTTGGACTCGAGATCTTCCGCCAGCCGATCCTTTTGGGACAACTGACTTCTCAATGAGCGGAGTTCCTGTTCAAGATCTGAAGTTTTGCTGTTCTTTTCTCTTTCCGCTTTCTGTAGAGCAGACTCGAGTTCGGCTATCTTCCGATCTTTGACGTCTAGTTGGCTCTTGAGCGCACGCAATTCCTGACTGATAGTTTCGAGTCTGTCATCATTCTGTGAGTGTGTTCTTTCCACATTCTCCAACTCTTCTTCAGCCTTGTCGAGTTGTCGTTGCAATTCTTTCTTCTCTGCTTCCAGTCTGGTTATGATCTGGCCTGCCTGAAGTACCTGCTCTCGTCTAGTGGCCAATTCCTCTTCGGTCTTCTTTTTCGAGTTCATAGCTTCGTCCAATTGATCTTCGAGGGTTTCTTGCTCCGCCAATGCCTCGGACAACTTTTCGGTGAGCTCACTTTCACGGTATTGTAGTCGTTTGAAAATCTCATCCTTATCCAGGGCCAACGCTCGTTCGGCCTCCAACGTCTGTTGGATGCGTTGGACTTCGATTTCGGCACGTCTCCGGTCATCTTCAAGTCTGTGTTTTTCTGCTGCTTCTTGTCTCATCTTGGTTTGCAACTGTTCAATCTTTTCATCTCGCTTTTTCACCTCGCTGGCGGTTCTGGTCGCTCCCAGCAAAGGCTTCATGCGCACAAACAAACGCCACCATGGGTTGGCTTGAAGATCAAGGTAGACATTCAGATTGCGCTGGATGACCCTTGTGGCCTCTGCACGGTACAGCTGTTTGAAGGCAACTCGGCGTTGCATAAATCCTCGGGCAATTGATTGGAATCTGGCCATGATGTCCCGGATGAGACTGTCACGCTGCTCCTCCAGGTCCGCGAGCACACCAGCTCTGAAGAATACCTTGGTCAAACCAACCCGATAGTTCGCTCGGTCCATCTTCAGGCGATCTAGCATGATTGTTGCAGCTTCTTGACCTCCGAGATATCCTCTCGGCATGTTCTCGCACAGGACTTCATATCTCGATCTGAATTCGGCGAATGTCAAACGATTGGGAAATCCTGTCCGTGCTATCCTGATGCCTTCCAGTACACCGTTACACCGCAATTGATCAAGCACCAAGGGGGCGTTGAACTGCTTGGGCTTTTTCTTGTGATTGGGAAGTATGCAACGAACAAAATGTGGCTGTGTCGAGTGCAGCTGCCGCATAAGGCTGCTCAATTGTTCCTTGTGTCTCTGAGCGACGGTTCGGAATAGACCTTTCTTGACGCGACTTCGGGGGCTGTATGGCTCATCCACCTCGTCGACACAATCGCTGAAAAGGTTGGCAATGTGCCCATCTTTGGAGCCTGCCAGCAGCCGTGTCAAATTGTCATTCAACGGGTCTTTGTTTTTCTCCAGCCATCCTTCAGTAGAGTACTCGACCTCTGCGGCATAGTGCGTCAGGATGAATCCCTGCCTGGTACGTGCTGGTGCATACTTTGGTGTTTTCTTCTCCCATAATGAATGCAGCTTGTCTGTGAATGACTTGTCGGTGGCTTTGGGCATCACCGAATCTTCATCAAGACAAGAAAAGATTCCAATCGGGTTAGGAAGCTCTATGAGGTCAATGGTTGGCTGCAGGTCCTTCCCAAAATCGATGAACTGCCATTCGATCTGTTCTCGGGCATATTCTTCTTGCTCCAAGACGAACATGTAGTGATTGAAAAACTGCTGCAACTTCTCGTTGGTATAGTTGATGCACAGCTGTTCAAAGCTGTTGTTTTCGAAGATTTCAAAGCCAGCAATATCGAGCACTCCTATAAAGTGACTGTCGTCACCGCTGACGCCACTTCTGTCGAGTTGAGTGTTAATCTTCGACACCAGATCACCGAAGGCGCGCTCATAGATGCCCTTAGCCAAGGCATCTAGAGCGAGACGGGCCTGTTCAGGAGTCTGTACCTTCTCGACCCATTCTCGGCCGGCCTTGACCTTTGGATGAAGCAGGCCTTTGATGAATGGTTCTGTCTGGACATCCATCAACCGGCAGGCCTTGTCAACTGATGCCCGAGCTTCCGGAGTCAACGTTGCTTGGTCAGCTGCTCTGCTTTCTTGCCGAACGGATACATTTCCGAGGTGCAAAATTGCTGCGATTGTCCTGAAAATGGCTGTCTGCTCATTCTCTGAGAAGTTCATGACGTGAAATGCTTCGATCAGCGCGTTCCATTCATCGCGGTCAGACACACCACCGATGGTGTCATTTCCAGCTCGGATATAGGCAAAATCCTCAATATCCATGCCAGAGATGAGTAGGGCATCTCTCATGCGCTGGTCAGCACCGGCGAGCAACTGATAGAAAATGTGATAAGTACGCTCTTGTGAGCTGACCTTGACGACTCTGGATTTCTCCAGGAGGTACCAGTCGATGAATGCACCTGCAATCTGGCCAGAGCGCGTGAACTGGATCCGAATAAATTTGCCGAATCTTGACGAATTGTTATTCCGCACTGTCTGAGCATTGCCGAATGATTCCAGGATCGGATTTGCTCGAAGTATCTGCTGAGAAAGGTTGGAGAGCTGTTTGCCAGGAGTCCTGCCTGTCAATGGCGTATCGCAGTCTGACGTTGCGACAGCTGCAAGATATTGAATCACTTTCTTTGTGTTCTCTGTCTTTCCAGCACCGGACTCTCCTGTTACCAAAATGCTCTGGTTCTCACCTTCCTCAACCAAGCGCCGGAATGCTGCATCTGACACGGCAAATATGTGAGGGCGGGTGTCTTCCCGCGCCTGGCCTTTGTACATTCTAACATAGTCGTTTCCGTAAATGGGTAGAGGACAGTACGGGTTGATGGTGACCAAGAACAGTCCAGAGTACGTGTAGATAAGATCTGCTTGGTAACGGGTGTAGAGGTTGTGGATGACCGAGGCCTCATTGAGATGGGTGAGCTCTGCCATGTCATCCGCCTTGTCGAATTTGGCGGGGTTGACCTTATCCACCTCCTCGATGTCGACCTCGACTTGGGCGCCAGACTCAAATTGCACCAGCACCTTATCGTCGGGCAGGTCTTGGATGATCCAGCCTCGCACAAAGGCCTTCTCGGGGTCTTTGACCCAGACGTATCGCTTGCCCGAGAAATCATTTTCGCCCTCAATTGCAGAGATCTTATCCTCGCTTCTTCGGAGTTCTTCTGATTTGATGAACTTGGGCGCAAACGTGCTGGAGGTGCTCGCCTGCCGCTGTAGGGAGTGGGTGCGGACGTGCGATGGGATTGAGGTCAAGGACGTAGAAGGTGAGTAGGATTGTTGGCGTTCGTGTCTGGACGATGGAGTAGGCGTAGGTGATGCAAACAACAACGATTTTGAAAAGCCCGCCGAGGATATCGGCGACGCCGCGACAGACATGTTGGAGTTGTATGAGGTGTTGAAGTTGTGGTGTCGCTGAGCAGAACCGGTAAACGGTGAGGTGTCGGGACTGCGCTCATGGAGCAGCATATTGCCGCAACTGTGGTGATGCTTCTTTCATACGATTGATATTGTCAAAACATCGCACGGGCAGTCTTGGGCCATAGAGTTCTTGCAGGTGTCAGTTCAAACAGTGCACGATGCAGGTGGCTGTAGCTCTGACTTGCAGTGCCCGCGGAATAGCCGTTATGGCACTGCAGGCTGACCGTGACCGTGACCGACAAAGGCAAAAGCGGTATTTGTTGATAGTCGTAATCGTGCTGCCCGGCAACCGCGTTTAGGCTGTCGTACTAGTAATCACGTGTATATTGCACTCTGGTACACCTGACTCACCGTATATAAAAGTGCCGTGGGGACAATCTGCTCCACCGTTGGGCGTCTCCAGCATCACGACTGCGTTTTTTGAAAGACTGATGTACAATGAATTGCCTCACGAGATTGAATTCCACAAAGTTTCCACCTACACATTGCCATTATTCGTCCTCTCCCCGGGAGTGTCTGCTTTCACCAGCTGTGCAAGGTCTTTGGCGCAGACCTGAATGGCTCTTCTCTGAAGGTAGCTCGCGACAACTCCTTCTACCTTACTTGCGACCAAAGGTAGACGCAACCTAGCAGTAAGATTCTTCTCCCACAAGCGTTGTGCAGACTGCGACAGCGAGTCCTCTCTATGATGTCTATTCACGGCTCGCTCGCATCAGTACACCTTAGCCGCCTTGTGAAAGCCTTCCAGTGATATCTATCGCATCTCTGTCGCGGTTTGGTGCTGTATCCATCACGACTTTGAAATGGCGCATGCATATTCTTCTAACCCACTGTATGGGGGCACGCCATCATATACACCACAACAACCATATTACCCTCCTTTTCCACCTAATGGGCTGCAGCAGCAGGTACAGACTCCTCCAAGTTTACCGCAGCAACCTCCACAACCGCCTTCCTATCAACCGAGTCCTACGGGCAATGCGCCCAGGTTCGACACGAACTCCCAGATCCGTCCTCCAGCGCCTCCGTTCCCCCATTTTCCACAGCCCCCTGCTGCCTTCAATCCGGATTTGTTCAAGCAATTTGCGACTGCAGGACTGCCTCCGCCGCCGCCCCCTCCTTCATTTCCTCCGGTGCCCTTGCCAACGACAGGATACCCCCAATTTGCATCTTCAGTCAGCAGCGCGGCTCCCTCGCCGTATGGGCACCATGGCAATTCTGGAGCTCAGGGCGTAGGGACAGGATATGGCCAATTAGATCTCACACAGCAGCATCTGGGAGATTATTTTGGTGGCTCGCAACATGGCCCAGGTGAAAGTAGGGAGTCGCGAAAGTCGCGTCATGGACCGCAGTCTTACAGCGCGTCTATTGGTGGATTGGATGGATCGTCTCATTCGGGACATGGTAGAAAGACCGTTGACGACGACATTGGTATGTCTCGCCCGAATCAAGGCGCTTCCCATCTAACTGTGTCAAAGATAGGGAGCTTCCATCTTTCGGCTCTAGGTCCGATCTTGACTTGCTGTTCGCTACAGTTCAGAGTCACACTGATCGAACAGAAGTTGGGTCAGCCGGGCACAGTGCCAGTGCAATGACTCAAGTTCCGGTGGACGAGGGAAACGTGTCTCGTAAGTGTTGAGTTTGGAGAAACTTAGCGTCCTCGACTAATTCCCAGTCTAGCTTACGACCCATCACGTCCTGCTACCATCCCAGATCGTGGGTTTGGCGGCTTTGGTACATCTGGTTCTGTCACGAAAACAGTAGCTCCAAAGCCGGTTGTGAGGACGTATGACAACAAGTCACCAGCAGAGCTGAGACAGCTTGCAAAAGGTGCTCTGTTATCTCTCGTTCCCCATAACATCCTTTATAAGGATCTTGTGCAAGAGGGCGTGGACCCACAAGTGCTACGAGATCTGTACGGTGAACTTGGCATCAAGGTTGACACTGAACGACCGAAGTCGCCACGCCAAATCGATACAAGTACATCCGACCCCAGTACTACTGAAGCGGTGAGCATATCACAGAAGGGTGGCGTTAATGCAGCGTCGGAAATAGCTCCCGTCAATGACCTTTCCAAGTCTGCTGTGGCTGCGACTCAGGCCACCTTGCCAGTGAGCGGAGTGAATAGCGTCCAACAGAATCAAGCAGTACAATCTCCGGCAGCTTCAAGTGCGAAGAGTACTCAGCCAGCGCCAAGTCCGAATCTAGAACGCAAGGACCGCATTGCCCAACTACTGGCTGCCAAAACAGGCCGGGCTTCGTCTGCCAGTTCAACCGCCATTGAAGAGTCTCCCAAGACTACAGCAGGGTCAAATGCAGTTGTTTCGGCTGAGGCGGCTTCGCCTTCGGAACCGCTGACCGGTCACCAGCAGGTTCAGAGCTTGTCGAAGGCTAAGGCACAGACGGAAGTGGTAAAGCAACGGATGGAGCAGTTGAGACGTGAGGCCCAGGCAAAGGCCGACGCCGCCGTCAAGGACACATCGGATTCAGTCGATGCGGATTCACACACAGGTGCTGGACCAACCTTCACAATCCCGGGATTGTTCATGACCTCGAGTGGAAGCATTGGCTTCGATGAAGCTTCAGATGAACCAGCAGTCGTGGATGTGATTGAGACGACCACAACATTGGTTGCCAAGGATACGGCGGGCGAGAATGCGGCCACAGAATCAAACGACCCTCAGTCTTCAAACACGACGCTCAAGCGTCCATTGGCGATGGATTTTGATGAACCGAGTACTCAGCCGCAGGCTAAAAGAGTGAATCTTGATGGCAATTTGCCCCCATCAGCGACCCAAGACAACGTCGACGATGAGAGTCATTCCGAGGGGGAGATCGTCGAAGGCGCAGAAAATGACCAGGTCGAAGACGAGCCAGGATCGGTGCCTCAAAACCAACACGACGGAAATCGACCTTCTGGTGAACTTCCTGTGTCAGAAAAACCCCCTCTAGCAAAACCGGACATGTCACTGCCCGCGCTTACAGCACTGCAAGAAGCCACAGCCAACTCGACCGGTGAGATAAGCGGTGGGGAGTCATACCATGCCAAACAGTCCCAAATCGAAGCAATGCGTCGAAAGATTGCCGAACTAGAACAGCGTAACAAGTTGAAGCGGAGCAAAAGTCAGCTTGACACGCCTGTGTCATCAAACCCGCCCACTCCGGCGATGAACGCCGAAGCGCCGCAGCCAAGCGGCCTTGTAACTTCCCAACCCTCTGCACTGGCTGGATCTAGTGCAACTTCTCAGACCATGAACAGGCAGCCTCTAACGCGGCCGACAATTTCCAAATTGACACCTGCGCAGCTCGCAGAACGGGCCGCCGCTCTGAAGGCGGACTTGCTTAGACAGCGTGCACAACGGCAGCAGGTGTTGCAAGAAGGCTTGCCTGACCTGAATGTGGAGGTGCAGAACACCGAAGCGCGCCTGGAGAAAGCACGTAACGATCTTGCTCGCGCACGGACAGAGGTTGAAGCCCATCAAGCCGCATTGGAGCGATCAATAAAACGAGTGAAGGAACTATCAGAAGAAATTGCCGAGCTCGAAAAACAGCTCAAAGAAGGTCGATCTGGGCAGAAGCAGTATTCCGATGAGCTTCAACAAATCAAACTTGAAAAGCTTGCAGAAGCCCAGGAAGCGCAAGACGCCCCTGCACCGCCGCCGACGAGTACTAGCCCTCCCATCACGGGGCAAGGTGCTTCTGATATTCAGAACCACCACGAAAAAGACCATCATCTAAGTGCACCCACACAGTCCTCAGCTCCTGGTGTTACATTCGATGACTCGCGCATAGTTCAGTCGAGGACCAGCGCAACGAGTGACGATTTGAGCCAGAAGACTAAGGAAACGCTCCCACAATCTCCTGTCACGTCCGACAGAGCCGGTGCCGAGGAAGTATTGGAAGAGACCACACGCGTGGACACTCTACAAACTGATGCGATGGACATATCACCTGAGCCAGAATATCTACCAGAGACGGAGACTCCCGCAACAGTTTCTGACTCGAGACAAACGTCTGACGATATGTCTATGGATGTGGATGACAATTCTGAGGGCAGTGTGAGCATGTCAGATAGTGGTTCAGAAGGAGAGGAAGAGGAAGAGGATTACGAGCCTGCAGATGTTGACACCACCCAACCAATGCAAAGTCTTGACGAAGATTCCGACGAATATGATCCAGAAGAAGCACCAGTCGAAGATCTGACGCCAGCCACTGGGATTGAGCAGGAGGATGTTGATGTGTATGAACCCTCCGAGCACGTGGAGGAGACGAAGGCCGACGAATCCGCAGATCAACGCGACAAGTCAGCTGATCAGGCCCAGGTCGTGTCCGTGGTTTCACCTGAGACGAAAGTCGATGACGCCGAATCCGGACCACAGCTTACAGAGGCAGATACTCTGACCAAGCCGCAAGATGCACCTGACAGTGAACCCGCTCAACCGGCGCCTGTACCTGATGACGGGCAGGTGCCTTCGGCGACCCGTTTTGTACCCTATCAGACTCCCCTAAGCACTTTTAAGAAATTCCGCTTCCACCGCAGCTACACCGACACCGTTAAGACCGGCTATCGATCATTGACTTACAGCAATCAAATCGATCCATCCCGCCCTTTCTGTCCGACCGAGCTGTCCGGCGAGCCCTGCACGGACCCGAAATGCGAAGAACAACACTTTGGGCAACTCGGACTTCCTGGTACGTTGACTCCATGAACACCAGCCGCAGTGTTGATGTTGAATCTGTCGATTCAAGCCATTAAGCGAGGTGTACTGACTTGTTCCCGTGTTTTTTGGCCCTACAGATGAGAAGATATTGGTCCAAATGAGTTCAGCTATGGACATTGAGGACGCAACGGAACGTAATGAATTCATCGTCGGCCTTAAGCATGTCATCGCTGATTTGAAGTCCCGGGGCGTCAAAGAATTTGAGGAAGTGGCCGATGCTCTCTCCGCATATCGTCGTCAGTTTTTCGCTGCCAAGGACCGCGAAGACAGCCCCTAGGTGGAAGTACAGGGAGAGAATTGACGGTTGAGTGTGTGTCTATTTACGCCGTCAATTTTGCCGGGACTTGGGATGCATGGCTCATACGTGGGCAGGAGATGGCTCGCATAGTGCCGGTGCACCATGCTGAGTGGTGCGAATTCGCCTTGTCTTTTCGGAGCTTGAAGCGTGACAGACTTGGAATCTTGTACGCTCGGTACGGGGAGGGTACCACACATACATGGGCGGCATGTATGAGACCAGCCGCTCAAGAAGCATATCATAGCAGATCATACTGTACAATTAACATCGATCTCGATGGTTGCCCACTTGGTGTCTGAGTTGCTAGGCAAATGCCATCTCAGTTAAGTTTACTCAAGCTATTTGCACTGGTACATTCAGTTTTTCAGCCGCATAGGTCTCTCCTCTCGGCCCTTCGCATTTCTTTCTCAGTGTTCTGCTCAAGTGACCTCTTGCTGGCAACTCGAATGCCTCCCTCACAGCCTCGCGAGGAGGCCTTGTCCGTTAGCGGTCGATTACTAATATCTCAGTAATGTGTCTGCTCTGCCGCCGCGTGGTCTTCCGAAAACGAAGTCATTTCACTCGCGGAAGGACCTCGCTCCGCCTCCGCTCGGCCCAAGTAATGACGAAAGCGGTGTATCATCAACAACTTGAACTACGGGGTACCTGTAGGTAGTTATCAGCTGATATGAATTCGACTTCATTTTATGATACAGTACGTCTTCTGAAGAGCGTGTCTGTGAGAAAAGTGTCTGTTCACCTGAGACCTCCAAGTGGCTGTGTTGATATACCACCACTCCGTTGACCTCAGTTGAAATTGTGTCTTGCCTACCCGGCTCACGCCGCAATAATAATATCTCCATATCCGTATCAATATCAATATCCTTCCGAACCTTGAACGTCAAATGTCTCCATCATCAAATCCCGTCGTCTTCGCTACCGTCCTTTTCGGTCTGGCAAACTCTTTCATTCCATGTGTTTCGGCAGCAAAAAAGACAGAGCAGACGCTGATCGGAGACACCGGACATGGACACAAAGGACTCGATATCCCGTCTATTGGACTTGGATTGTGGAACTCGAAAGATGAAGAGGTGAGGACTAGTAATTTATTGTTGCTATGAATACGGAGCATCGCCATGGAGGGAAAAGGAGACTTCAACCACTTTCTGGGATCTTAGGATCTTAGGATATTGGTGATTGTGCGGTACCTAGTACTAACCATGTGTTTGTGTCGTAGGCGACACACGCTGTTGAATATGCTTTTGCCGCCGGGTACAGACATCTAGATTCGGCGGCAGCGTATGGTACGACCAGTTGTACAGTTTTCTCATGAACGAGCAGAGCAGTGGCAGCACAGTCGAGTTGGCTTGTACAGACACACTCGTCGGCGTCAGCGGCATCGGCATCGACGTCGTTGACTCGTCCTGGCCCTACCCCTCCTCCCCTTCTTCTTTTCATCTCATATCTTGATCCCATTGCCTGCTGTCTGTCTCCTCTTCGAACAATCTAACCTCTTCCGCACAGGTAACGAAGCCTACGTCGGCCGCGCCCTATCAAAACACAAGGGCAAATCCTCATCCTTGTCCTCCTCATCACCACCACCACCACCCAGGGCTCAATACTGGGTAACTTCGAAACTCTGGAACACCGACCACCGCCCCCAACGAGTCGAACCCGCCCTCGACAGGACTCTTTCCGACCTCTCGATCCCGTATCTTGACTTATATCTAATGCACTGGCCCGTCGCATTCCTTCCAGACGCACCGCCAGGCCGCACAATCGTCGACCAGGACATCGACATCCTGACCACCTGGCGGGCCATGGAAGATCTAGTCCGCACCAACAAGACACGCTACATCGGCGTATCCAACTTCAGCCCACGCCAACTCGACACGATTCTGAAAAACTGTAATATCAAACCGTACGCCCACGAATTCGAAACTCACCCGTACCTCCAGCAACAGGAGTTCGTCGACTGGCATGCCAAACACGACATCAAAGTCATTGCTTACAGTCCGCTGGCAAACATGAATCCGACGTATAAAAATAAACATTCGGATCTGCCCAAAATCTTGGATGACCCGTTTTGGAAGGACGTGGCAAGCCGCAAAAACGTCACGGTCGCCCAGGCCGTTCTCGGCTGGGGCATCCAGCGAGGCACGATTGTGATCCCCAAGAGTGTCCATGAGAAATATATTTTTGAAAATATCGCCGCCGTCAATGTCACGTTTACAAAGGATGAAATGACCGACATCGCCGCCCAGGACAAGAGGTCCCGGTTTAATAATCCCAGCAAGAATTGGGGTGTTGATCTGTTTGAGGATCTGGACGATGGTGCCACTCCTCGGCTTTGGATGGAAGAGTTGTAAAAGAGACGAAGCATGGTAGCATTACTAGAAATCATTCGAGTGTAAACGAATTAGACAATGCAGGAAAAGGATGTTGTGCTATAAGACTGTTGCTCCGGGTATCTGATGCGCCGGTTAATGCGATAACTCCCTCCACACCAGGTAAAGACGCTGAACTGTACCTTTGGCCTGCCTTTGCCTGTTTCGCTCGGCTCCGCTACGTATTATTATGACTCGCTATGCAGCCAAAAAGGTCCGCACCAAGCAATATCAAACCATGTGCCAACAACGCCAATGCCCTCAACCGTTCCAAGGTGGTCGTGAGCATCGTGTCCTGTTGACGGAACCATTTCAACGGCCAGACATTGCTGACTCTTCACCTCAATCATCAATCTCCTGATGGCGTGCCAGCACCTTCCTTTGGTATTCCTCCGGGTTGTTTTGGTGGAGCTGCGCAGCTTCGTTGTTCAAAGGGCTCGCACTGTAGATAATAATCAGTAGGTATTTTTGTTATCATTGGATATTCCTCACTTGTTGGGTTCACCCAGTAGACTCTGCAAGCTCAGCAAGACCGTCTGCACGTTGTAGACGGCACTCCACTTGTCCTTCAAAATGTCCAGGCATATGCGACCGCTGAAATCAATGTTGGGATGGTAGATGGGGGTCTTGAACAAGACAGTTGGGGCGCTGTAGGGGTAGTTGCCCGGGAACTCAAAGCTGAGTTTGAGGTTGAGGTCTGCGTAGGGAGTGTCTTTCGGTCCCACGATAGTAGCAGTCCAGTGTAGGAGGTTGCCGTCTGCATCTGGAAAGGCCGAGATGCCCGGTGTAGGAGACATCATGAGGGTCATTAGTTCGGATTGTAGTCTGTAGCAGTGGCGCATGGATTAGCATGCAGTTCGCCCTGCAGTGGGTTGGGAGTCACACCTTTTGGTCACGCTCTGGGTGTCGGCCTTCCGTGGTGCGGCGGCCAGTTTCTGTTGTTCGGCCATGCTGGATAGTCCCGGTGCAGCGTTCTGGGTGTCCTCGAGGGAAAAATCCATGCTCGTGTGCAAGAGTTGAAATAGATTGGGGGCGACTGACTCGCAGGACCTCGGGCCAGACCGTTTGCAAACGGTCGAGAATGTCTGCACTGGAATGCTGAAAACGGAAGAATGGGTCTAGACGACGAAACAACGGAACGGCTTTGGTGGCGACGATAATGCTGGAGAAATGGGAAAGTTACAAGCAAGGATCCAGGGACGAGGAGGCAAAAGGACCGAGACGCTGAACGAGAGAGGAGGAAACGTGGAGCAAGTCAGTGAAGTAAGAGTCGTGTGAAGCAAGTTCGACCGAGTGAGAGGGTGATGCTGGGGTTTTGCAGTGTTGGATCAAGAGTCGTGGAAGAATGAGTTGTGGTGCCGGTGGAGGGAGAAGAATGGCATTGTTGACGAGTTGCCCTTCGCGCGCAGTCACTGCAGTAACAAAGACACGGACACGACACGACACGACACTGCGAATTACTCTTCCACTCGCCTCGTCAGTGGCTGCAAACACCACCAAACCACTACAACTACAATACTCTATCACCACTCATCACTCCTCATTCATCCCGCTTCTGACACACGACACGCTGAACTCTCGATACACTGCTACAACGCGTCCGTGACTCGTCCATTGCCATCAACATCTCCTCCAGCGACTGTTGATGCAGCAGTTTGCTTCTGACTGCCCTCCTACGATGTACCGACGAGTGTGACCGCGTCGTCGCCGTCACCCTTTGCTCTGATCCATCATGACTGTCCCGCACTCTCAATTGGCGCCGCTGCCTAGCAGATTGCCGTTTCGAATTGTCTCTCCCACAATAGGCTCTGGAGCATATGCATGGTAACATATCTGTCCGCAGAAGATCATGGTTTCCCCAACACACCCGTGCTGACCATTCGACAGCATCAAAAAGGCCGCGCCTCAAACCGAAGAAACGCCCGTCTTCGCCGTCAAGTTCATCAACAAACTCTACGCGCAGAAATATGGCCGCATCAAGCAGAAACAACTGGAGATGGAGATCTCGCTACACAAACATATTGGCCTGCACAAGAACATAATCGAGTTCTACGACCACGGCGACGACCCGTCATGGGTTTGGATCGCTATGGAATTGGCCGAAGGAGGTGACCTGTTCGACAAGATCGAAGCCGACGCCGGCGTTGCAGAAGACATTGCCCATGTCTACTTCACCCAACTCGTCAGTGCTGTCGGTTACATGCATTCTAAGGGAGTGGCTCATCGTGATATAAAACCGGAAAATGTGCTGTTGTCGGCGGACGGAGACCTCAAGATCGCCGACTTTGGAATGGCCACCTTGTTTGAATATCACGGCCGGAGAAAATTGGCAACTACCTTGTGTGGAAGTCCACCATACGTAGCACCCGAAGTGCTGTCGTGCAGTTCGAATTCATCCACAAAAGGCCCTGGGTATCAGGCTGATATGGCAGACATCTGGTCCTGCGGGGTTGTCCTGTTTGTACTTTTGGCCGGAAATACTCCTTGGAGCAGACCGGTGCCACGGGACGAGTATGGCCAACCAACCGAGTTTGACGACTACATCCAGAGCAACGGCAGACCAAACGATGAGTTATGGGATGCGCTCCCACCTGAAGTGCTTTCACTGCTCCGTGGAATGATGAAGGTGGATGTCAAGTCACGGTTCTCGTTGGAGGATGTTCGAAGGCACCCATGGTTCACCCGACCCAACCGGTTCTTGGACCAGAAAGGTCGGGTGAGTGACCCGATCACGATGGCCACAAATATGTTCGAAGCCCTCCACGTTAGCTTTGACGCAGATCCTCTGGCCGGGACGCAACGCACCAAAACCACAGATGATATGGATGTAGACATGGCTCGACCCTACGAGAGCAAGTTTTCATCAACCCAGCCCGTTCTGGCCACCGAAGACATGTTATTTGATTGGGAGCAGCCGCGACATTTGGCCATGTCCAGCACACAAGTGGGAGCAGGGCTTGCCGGGCTGTCTTCCACACAATCTATTTCCACCACCAACTTTTTGGCCGATGAACCTTCCATGTCGCAGTTTGCCCCTACTCCGAGTGTGCCCATCAGTCGGACGCAAATGGCTCGAAGGTTTCAGGATATCATTCCTCCACAGAGTCTCACCAAGTTTTATTCCGGGTGGTCTTTGAAGCTGCTTGTGCCACATATCCTCGAGGCGTTGAGTCGCCTGGGAGTGCCGACTCCACTGGTCCCCAAGCCGGATTCCTGGGATTACGAGTCTAGAATCAGAGTCAAGACGCAAGACAGTCGAGGGTGTCCTATGACTGGGAATATTGCGCTGGAAGTTGTAGGTGAGGGATTGGTGGAGGTTTGTTTTGTCAAAGCCTCCGGAGATCCTTTGGAGTGGCGACGGTTCTTCAAACGCGTGGCCATTCTGTGCAAGGATGCCGTTGTCAAACCTGAAGAGTGATTCCTGTTGCACGAAAAGTGGTTTAGGGACTTTGAAGGGTTTTGATTTGCATTGGAAGAAGTCCGGCGTTGGCTACGAGTGACTACCAGTATAGATTGATACCCTGATGTTAAAATGTCATGATTGTTAAACGTGTGGAGCTACTGTTGTGCGTTAGACAGGATGCGAGATGTGATATTCGTCTTCTTCTCTACAAGAGGATCATGATCTACCGTGGCTTGGATATTATCTGATCTTGAAAACGCATGCGACGCAAAGGTAGGCATTCACGTGGATGGGGAATTCCAGACCGCGACCAGAGTCATCCTTTTATCGTATCTCGTATGTAAATAAGTCCGGTCAGCAGGTACATATGGCGAATACAATAATAACCAGGACATGTAAACAGTTCCGAGTCCTAAATTTGAGCATTGTACATTGTGATTGAAGTGGTCAGCGCCGCAGCCTTGCAGTTGATCAGTTGTAATGATGTATCAATGTACTACTCCGAGTCCGGAATCTTGTTTGCAGCCTCGCCAACCTCGGCCCTTTGCTGCTTTCACATGTTTTGTGTACCTATAGGCGGCCGGAATGACTTCATTCTCTTGCGGTTTGGTTACATTAATCAAGGCCGTGCAGTGCCATGTGATCACATGCCCTTGTTGATTTGACTATTACAACTACTTGTGCACAGTAGTATATTACCTTGAGCTACTCTCGTCGACCTGCTCTCAACCTCCTAAGGCAGAACTACTTGCTCAAAGTCGAGATTCAACACGCAGATACCAAGTTCGGAACAAGTAATAAATCAAGCAACAATGTCTCTCAAGAACGGTAAGCACATCCTTGGGTATCCATCTCCAACCAACAGTCCGCAGCGCAGCTCAGCGCAAGAACCGGGACAATGAAATGAACGAATTGGAATGATCAGTGTTTGACTCTGTTCTGTTTGTCTAGATGCATTCCCCTCCTCCGCGGCCTTTGAAGCCATCAACGACGCCCTCAACTCGAGCGACGCCGAACGACAAGCCGCAATCAAACAGGGCGGCGCGGTGTTTGCGTTTAAACTCACAAACGACAAAGGGCAAGAGGAGACGTGGCATTTGGATCTCAAGGAGTCTGGGAAAGTGGGCAAGGGAGAGGCGCCGCAGGGGAAAAAGGCTGATGGTTAGTAATGGCAAAATATTCCGAAGAGCACAACTGTCGAGATTTCCCAGACGGCATTGGCATATGGGATGGTTGCGGATATCCAAGGGCGGGGGCCCTGGGTCTGGATCTAGGTCATGGCTGCATTGCGCGGTGTATAATGGCCAAGAAAGGACCGACCGAGTTGAGGCGCGTCGAGCGGATTCGAACTGGGTTGGGTGTCTTTGTTTGATTCGTATGGGTAATGCTAACCATACTCTTTGTGTTCTTACAGTCACACTCGTCCTGTCCGACGATAATTTCGGCAAATTGGTTTCCGGCAAGACGAAAGCGCAGACGCTGTTCATGACGGGGAAACTGAAGATCAAGGGCAATGTGATGAAAGGTGAGTGCTGGCAAATCTTGTGTCATTTCTACCTGAAGCGGTTGGAGTGAGCATTGTTATCAAGTTGTGTTGTGTTGGTGCGGCTGGAAGCCACTGCCGCTGCCAGTGCGCCCACCCATCCAAGAAATGGTCAATATACAGTAACCATGGGCTCTTCAGAGACCTGCAGTGGTTGAGGTATAAAGACCAGCTGGATGGGTGGATGCATGAGCATGAGCATGGCTGGCCTGGATGGCTGAATGGCTTGCCCTGTGTTGACCCTTGTGACTTTTGTGTTTCTTTGTGATCTTGCATTTCAGCAATGACAAACAAACACCTGCTGACACTATGCCCTACCTTGTCTCTTCCTACAGCTACGAAACTTGAGCCCGTTCTGGCAAAGGCCAAAGCGCAGTCAAAGTTGTAGTTATAGTCTACCTACAAAGTTTGAAGTTATACGGCAAGTCTAAAGCATAGCCCACAGTAATGTACAGTATAGTACCACTGCAGTGAAGCGACTGGGCTTGTTTGGCGAGAGTCAATATACCTTAACTTGAGGACAATCTTGCATGTGTTGCAGGTCTGCAGTGGTCTGTCTGTTCTAGTCTCTGGTGTGATCTGCTGTAGGCTGATCCGGTCTGATCTGGATTCTGGGCTGATTTGGACAAATCGGGACAAATCTGCCCAATCCGCCCGTGTCTAGCCTGCACAATGAGAGTCGCGGACAGAATAAAAATAGATACCTATGGTATGGATATGGATGGATAACTTGAAAGACAAGACACAGCTAACTAGATTGGCCGTGAGCGTGGTCGTGGCCTGGTATGGGCAACTGCTAGCACCATCACGCATGTCTTCTTTCTTTTGCGTAGCAGTGTCCATTCATTTGAGCTGCCAGCGTTCCTCCTGATGGTCTATAAAATACAGTACAGTAATAGTAACTGCACCATAGAGCGAAGAATCGACATACATGATGACAGAACAGCATCCATTCCCAAAAAGAACCAACCACACATTTATAAACCACCTGTTTATGTACTTCTTCTACCTAAGAATATCTACTCCGAGTCCTGCGCAAACCAATCAATTTAAATCAAGAAACATCACGGTTTCGGACCCGTCGACACGGCAGCCGCAACAGCCATATCCAAAACTCTACCCAGGACACCATTCTCCGGCAACGCGACACCATCATGATCCAAACCTTTGACTTCTTCAATTTCAAAGTCCGCGACCTGTCTGGCAAGAGGACTCGACCACACATCACGAAGATATTTTTGACCGCCAGACCCGAGATACGAGTCCTTGGATCCGAAATATGCCACAATGTGCAACTTTTCCTTCTTCTCTTCGTCCTTCGTCTCATTCTCCTTCGTTTGTGTCTGTCCCTTTGCTTTCTCAGCCAGCCTCGCCACGAACCTCTCATAGTCATCACAAACACCCCAGTAATGCCCCTGTCCTGGCTTTCCTCCACCATGCTTCAACCCGAGAGAAGCTTCTTCACTGGCTCCCGTGGTATCTTCCGCGAAAAACATTTTGATAAAGTAATTCCGAAACTCCTCCGTTTCGCTCGCCACGAATCCGGTAGACTCGAGCCATTTCTTGTCTTCAGCAGAGAGAGTCTTATTGGTTGGTTGTTTGCGCTGTTGCTGTTGCTGTTGGTGGTCTTTTTGCTTTTGATGCTCTTTCGTTTTATTTTTGCCCTCTTTATCACCAGGTGACGGAATCAAATTCTTGACGAGGAACGAAGTGACTTTATTCAATCCCTGCATCACCCCCGCAGGCATGGCGCTGGCGATGGTGAGCATTTTCACACCCGATTTGCTCGGGTGGACCCATGGAGATAGCAAGACCAATGGCATTCCTGGGGACAAGAGTTCCGGAGTATGGTAGACAGTGTTGAATGCGTAGATGATGCCGCAGCTGTGGGCGATCAGGCCGACTTGGGAGACTTCCAATGCTGAGAGGACTTTTGGCACGGTTTCGAGCCAGACGGGGACGCGTTTGGAGACGTGCACGGGTGTAGAGCCGCCTAGGCCTGGTCTATGGATAACATATCAAGTTGGATTCAGAGAAGGAGGGAAAACAGATCATGCAAGGGGAGAGTAGATTGGATTGAGATACAAGGCAGAGAGAGGGAGAGGTGAAGAGACGAATGAACTGCATTGGACTTGGATGCCGTTTGAAAGTGGGATAATGTTGAGTTGTACCCAGTCAACGACTCCCACCGGTCGAATCGGTCGGTTGAATGAATGAACGAACAGAGAAGTGTGGTAGTGTGGTGGCACATACCTATCAATGAAGATCACCCGCACCCCCTTCTGGCGACAGAGATAATCGACCCAAGGCGCATTCCACCGTCCGCCATACATGCCCCCGGCGAACAAGAGCGTCGGAGCATTTCGCTCTATAACTCCAGCAACACCGTACGTGACGTTGATGGTGCACTGCACACTGTCGCTGTAGAAGGTGATGCGGCGATGAAACCGGATCAATGATGCGAACGCCGTGACTGATTCGATGTCGACATCAAGACTCCCCTCATCTGATGAAACGTGGGCATTGTCAGTGGTGCTGGGAACGGCGGACTCGGAAACGCTTGTAAGGTCGGAAGGTTTGATTCCGCTGGCCGGTGCGAGGACGGTAGTGGCAGGTGTTTGTGTGGCCACGACTTCGGTAGCCATGATGATAGACGATAGACTCAAGTTGGATCGATTCGGCTCGATTCAACTCCCGGAGATGGAGATACAGATCAGGGTCGGCTTCTCTTCTCCAATGCACCGCAGTTTGGATGAACACTGGACGGACCACTGTTTGTTGAACTCTGATCAGCAGGTAGATAGGTAGAGACGTCTTCCTTCTCAAACTGCCATCGTCAAACAACAACAGGTCCAGTAGACTTGAACGGGGTGAACAACTGGAAACTTGAAACTTGAAACTTGGACGTAGAGCTTCCTACCTAGCAAGAAGGATGAATCAATCCATCTTGGGGCATGCGGCATGATTGACACCTCACAAGTGCCATGCCATGCCATGCAAATCAATGCACGGCTACCTAGGTACTCCTCCTGCCACCTGGAACCAACACCAGCACATCCCGGATGACAGGACTAGCACGGGAACCTATCCAGGACTCTGAGTACCGTTGATCCACTGGCCAATCCATTTCGCAACATCAGATCACTGCAGTTCGTGAATGGCCGTAACACAAAATGAGAGTTGAAAAAAGGTAGGTAGAGAATGGCACAACCAACAAACATACCATGGTGTGTGGTGGAGTGAGTGGCACCATCCCCATCGCGCCACATACCACGCCCCACTCACTCACTGCGACGACACCCAACTTGGACATGGACCGCAACGGGAGTGTTGGATGCACATTGGCACTGCACTGCACTGCTGCAATGAGGCTCGAAGCACCACCGTAGGGATGCCGATGCAAGGAAAACCATCCGGCCAGTGCAGGATTGGCCTTGAAGCGGCTGATGAACGGACTGGACTACTACCTACCTACTAGTACTCAACCCTGCAAATCGGACTCGCGCGAATACCTTAGTTGCAAAGACAAAGAGTCAAATGGTATACTGCCTACAAAGAAATGCATGAGTGATTGAGCATCGACCGGGCCCTTGTGCGAGGGCTGCTCAGTTGGACAAACTTGACCTTGAACCACCAAACCTGGACTACTAGCATCCATTCAAGAAAACCAACCAGGCCGAGCTCGCGTTGAGTAAGCCCTTCCAACGTTCAAGTTTGGGGACGGATCAGCAACCCAACCAGCAACTTGTGACTTCTACTCCTGTACGTTCTCAAGTTGCGTTGGCGCCAAAATGGCGGTCGTGGTCGACGGTGTAGCCTCGAAGGAGGCATCGCCATCGCCATCGCCATCGCCTTCCATTGAAGAAACCAAGAAGAAGGCGCAACAACGACTGGCCTATCTCTTGGTGGTGGAACTTCTTGCGTAAGTTCAAGTCAGACTTCAAGTCCAACTCCCCGTCCTTGGCCTTGTCATTGCTCGCTCTACTTTCTCTCTACCACTGCTTTTAAAACAAGATCTTGACGGAAAACCTGCCACAGTTATCAATTCGCTTCACCGGTCCAATGGATCGAAACCCAAAAAGTACTTCTGGAGGAACTGCAATGCAAGAATTTCATCGAAATCGGGCCCTCGGATGTTCTGCTGGGCATGATGAAAAAGACCTTACAGGCCAACAAACAAAAGGAAGCTGTGCGCGGCCTGAATCGGAGAGTGCTCAGCGTCAATGCCAGCCAGAAGGATCTTTACCGTGGATTGACGACGGACGATGACATCGAGGACGACTCGGTCGTAAACGAAAAAGACCGAAAACAGGATCAACCTCCTGCAACGTCGGCACCAACTGCTCCTGCTCCTGCCCCCGTTCCGTCACCATCACCAGCCGATATCACAGCAGCCGCCACCACCGCGGCAGTCAAGGAAGTTGTGAATAGTTCTCTGATAGAAGACAGACCAGTAACGGCCAAAGATGTGGTGCTGGCTATCCTGGGATCCAAGCTGGGGAAACAAGCGTCATCCATAGCGATGGACAAGTCAGTCAAAGAGCTTGCAGGAGGTTGGCTTACCCACTTGAGTCTCTCGGCTGATGAGACACTTGTTGTTAGTATGTAACTGACTAACTGTTTCATTTCCAGGACGATCCATTCTCGAGAATGAAATCATCGGTGAACTCGAGACCGAGTTCGGTTCGACCCCTGAACAGGGCGAAACGATGAGCATTCAATCACTCTGTGATCGTCTGCAAGGAGCCAACTTCTCCGGCCAATTGGGTAAAGTGACCAAAAATACCGTTTCGAAAATGCTGTCCTCCAAAATGCCCGGCGGATATGACATGAGTCGAATCCGAGGCCATCTGGAAACCCGCTGGGGAGCGGGAACTGGCTTGCAGGACATGATTCTATTGCGAGCCAGTGCGCAGCAGCCGAAGAACAGACTGGCAGATGTTTCCGCAGCTGAGGCATTCTGGGACACTCATGCACAAACAACGCTCGGCGACCTGGGCCTGTCGAGAGACATGTCAGCAGTTGTCGAGGTCGAGACGGCACACGCGGCAGCTCGCGTGTCCCTGCCAGACCCTCAACAGGCAATCGCACAATCACAGGCATATCAGACCTCTCGGACTGCCGAACTCGAGGTCCAAGCACGAGCCTTGGGAATTGACATCCTCAGCGCAAACAAGATCGGCGAGCAAGCACAACAGACCCTCAAAGCTTTGCAGGCAGAAATCGACCATCTTACCGCCGAGCTTGGGGACCATTTCATCAACGGCATCAAGGGCCACTGGTCTCCTAATAAGGCCCGGACTTTTGACTCTTCCTGGAACTGGGTCTTGCAAGACATGCTGACCATCTACTACGGCATCTTGCGCAAAGAGTATACCGCCTCCAGTCGGCCTGTTGCGCTGAGCTTGCGATCACTGAGAGGTCGTGCATCCCCTAGGTTGGTCGACGTGGCTCGGTACCTCAAACAGACACAGACCAAGGCGTCGTCTTCTGCATCCGACCAAGCCGTGTCCTTTCTCGAGCAAGCGATTGCCGAAATCGAGGCCTCGAATTCTACCCCTTCAATCGCATCTTTCGCGGCATATGCTATTGAAAGCAACAGAGCGCCCCGAACGGATATTGATGAGCAAGGCAATGTCACGTACAGCGAGGTGCCTCGTACAGACGCGAGCGTCTTCAGCAATGTCGAGCTGAAATTACACGACGGGGCGCGCCTCCGTGAAGACCAGCAGCTGAGAAATCTCTACCAGCGGTTGCTCGGAGATGCCATGCAGTCCGCAGAGTTCCAGCAAACCCTGGCCGGAAAAAACATACTGATGACGGGAGCGGGAAAAGGCTCCATTGGACTGGAGCTGCTGAAAGGCTTGTTGACCGGAGGCGCCTCTGTCATTGTCACCACCAGCAGCTTCTCTCCGGAAAACATGCAGCATTTCCGAGAGATTTATCAATCGCATGGATCCAAAGGGTCTCGCCTGATAGTTGTGCCTTTCAACCAGGCCAGCAGCCAGGATTGTGAATCGCTCATACAGTGGATTTACGATCCTGCACACGGACTCGGAATGGATCTGGACCATATCATACCTTTCGCTGCCATCTCAGAAGTCGGCCGAGAGGTCGACAAGATTGACTCCAAATCTGAATTGGCGCATCGTCTGATGCTTACCAACCTCTACCGTTTGCTCGGGCATGTCAAGCAGCAGAAGACGACCTGTGACCATCGCGGTCGTGTGACACAGGTCTTGCTCCCGATGTCACCCAACCACGGCATATTTGGCGGTGACGGTCTTTACGCGGAAAGCAAGCTAGGTCTTGAAGCCCTGTATACCAAGTGGTATTCGGAGAGTTGGAGCGATAGCATGTCGATTTGCGGCGCATCTATTGGCTGGACCAGAGGCACTGGGCTCATGAAATCCAACGACCTTGTTTCACAAGGAATTGAAGAAGCTGGTGTAAGAACGTTTTCGACACCCGAGATGGCTCTGTATCTGCTGCTCTTGCTGTGCAGGCCCATTGCCGAGACCAACGAGATGGCGCCAATTCAGGCAGATCTGACCGGTGGAATGGGTGACTGCCGGAACCTCAAGGAGATCGTGTCCAAAGTGAGGTCGGACATCGACCTAACGGTGCAGATACGGAAGGCTGTGGCAATGCAAGATGAGGCGGACCGGCTGATCATGGGCCAACCTTCGCCGAAGCCTTGCCCACATCCCACTCCGCGCTGTGCAAACATGCGGCTGGATTTTCCTCGTCTTTTGGATTATGCCGCGGCCAAGGCAGCGGCCGGTGATGCCCAGCTCGAAGGAATGCTGGCCTTGGATCGAGTTGTCGTCGTCACTGGCTTCGGGGAGGTCGGCCCCTGGGGCAGCGCAAGGACGAGGTGGGAAATGGAGTCGGACGGGAAACTGTCTCTAGAAGGCTGCATCGAGATGGCTTGGATCATGGGAATGATCAAATACCACGATGGCGACATTGCCGGGAAGCACTATATTGGCTGGGTTGACACACAAACGTCGCAGCCTGTCCCAGACTTGGAGGTTAAGGCGAGATATGAGACACAAATCCTGGCTCATTCAGGTATTCGGCTAGTGGAGCCTGAGCTTGATCTCGGTTACGGCGCGGATGCGACGCGTCGGAGCATGCTGCAGGAAATCGTCCTGAATGAAGACATGTTGATGACGGTGTCAGAAGAGACGGCAGCCAATCTCAAGCTCGAACACGGGAATCTCGTCGACGTATACCAGCTTTCCGGCACGGAAAGTGGTGAAGTTCGGGTTCGCATGAAGAAAGGAGCCCGGATCATGGTTCCCAAGGCGTTGAATGTTCCTCATGCCATTGCTGGTCAGATTCCAACCGGCTGGGACCCAAGAGTCTATGGTATCCCCGACGACATTATATCCCAAGTCGACCGGGTGACACTCTTCGCGCTGGTTTCAGTGGCGGAGGCTTTGCTCACGGCGGGAATCACGGATGCGTACGAGTTGTACCAATACATCCACGTGTCCGAGGTGGGCAATTGCATCGGTTCGGGGCTGGGAGGAGTGCACGCGTTGAAGGACGTCTTTCGGTCCCGCCATCATGATCTTCCAGTACAGTCGGATGTACTACAAGAGACGTTTATCAACACCACCGCCGCCTGGGTAAACATGCTGCTCATTTCCAGTGCTGGCGCCATCCGCACGCCTGTCGGGGCATGTGCCACCGCTCTCGAATCTCTCGAGTCCGGCTATGAGCTGATCACCAACGGCCAAAGCAAAATATGTCTGGTCGGGGGCGTGGACGACTTGGACCAGGACATCTCGATTGAATTTGCCAACATGGGCGCCACCGTCGACCCAGCCGAGGAGGAAAAGGCTGGTCGGGCGCCGAATGAGGCTTCTCGGCCGACCACGTCGACTCGCAAGGGGTTTGTTGAAGCGCAAGGCGGTGGAGTGCAGATCCTGACTTCGGCACGTTTGGCTCTTGACATGGGCCTGCCTATCTACGGCATCATTGCCATGGCCAATACCGCCAGCGACAAAGTGGGCCGCTCGGTTCCCGCACCAGGTCAAGGGCTTTTGGGGAATGCCAGGGAAAAAGCCGGCAAGTATCGATCGCCCATGCTCGATTTGAATTATCGCCGACGACGGTTAGAAGCAAGACTGCGCCAGATTGAGGAGGCTGAGCAATTGGAATTGGAAGTATTGAAGCTGGAGGAAACATCTCAACCATCAGGCTCTGACGTCAGGTCTCATCCCCAAGAGCGTCGCCAGTGGATCGAGGCAGAAGCCGACAGACAACGCAACGAGGTGTTGGCCACGTACGGACACCGGTTCTGGGCTGCTGACCCTGAAATCGCGCCCATCCGCGGAGCACTGTCGGTCTGGGGTTTGACGATTGACGACCTAGATTTTGCGTCGTTCCACGGCACTTCAACGACAAAGAATGATCTCAACGAAACAGGAGTCATCCAGCGTCAACTGTCTCATCTCGGCCGTGCAGAGGGTAATGTTCTTTTCAGCATCTTCCAGAAATACCTGACTGGACATTCCAAGGGAGGAGCAGGCGCTTGGATGTTTAATGGTTGCCTTCAGGTATTGGGTTCGGGCTTGGTACCGGGCCACCGGAACGCAGACAACATTGACGCCGCGCTCCAGGACCGCTCGTTCCTGTTCTATCCAAGCCACAGCATCCAGACCAGGGGAGTGAAAGCCTTTTCGATCACTTCCTTTGGGTTTGGACAGAAAGGAGCACAGGCCATCGGTGTCCATCCGAGATACTTGTTTGCCGCCATCGGAGAGGACGAATATGAGCGCTACCGAGGGCGAGTCAAGACCCGCACACAAAAGGCATCACAAGCTTTTACTCGCGCGCTTGCGCTCAACGATTTGTGTCCCATCAAGTCGACGACTCCGTGGGCCAAGGGACAGGAGGAAGCGACTTTGCTTGATCCGACGACGAGGCTGTTTGGTTCATAGTGGCGAGAGCTAGGTATAGTAGCAACAGCCTGTTATTTGGGTGATTATGTTCAGCATTGAGAAAGAAGAATAATCGAGGTTCAAGCGTGGGATGCAGTGTTAAGCTGAGATGCAGTTCAGATAATGGAATTTAAGGTTAGTACAAATCAGATCTAGTATCGGCGACTACACGACTAGCGGCCGTTAAAACTCATACTCATCAATACAGAGCTTTTATCATTTTACCTGAAGACATATCTATCAACTTCCGCAGCAATAATGTATCTATCAGAGCCTACCTCTTCCTTTTCTCGTGTCTCTCTATAGATCTACAAACCCATCAGGCAAGGGCCTATTCTCCACCCAAGCCCTCACCGTATCCGCAAAGAGGCTCGGATCCTGTCTGTTCCAAGGATGTCTCATTTTCGGATGCGTGACCGCCTTCGTTTCCGGACATAGTTGCATCCCAATATCAGCAAGCCGTTTCGCATCATGAGGGTGATCACTAGTCGGGAGCAAAACACCAGCTTTGCCCGCGGCAATGACCAAAGTCGGACTTGGCCAAGGTTCAGGCCATTTCTCGTTGTCGGACATAGGTTCACAGATCTGACGACATAAAGCCAACGTACAGAACGAGGTGTCGATGTTTCGAATGTCGGCGCCGTCCATGAGCCAGCGGACAACAAATCGAGGGACACAATTTTCCAGTCTTTGGGATGTCCATACTGCGTAGGGTAAGAGTCCAGAAAGGCGAGAGGATGGTCCGGTGGGTGTGGGAAATACTTCGAATCCGGATACGAGTAGTCGTGACACAACTTCTGGGTATTGAGAGGCTAGACGGATGGCGACGTGAGCCCCTAAACTGTGTCCGACGACGTGGGCGATGCCGTTGTGTGCGTGGTTGACGATTAGTTGACGGAGGAGGTGGGCGGAATAAGAGACGGAGAAGGGGGTTATTGTTCGTGATCTACCGTGGCCTGGTAGGTCGGGGACTAGGATGTGATAGGAGTTGGATGATGGGGAGGTTGATGTGGAAGATGTTGATGTTAGATAAGGTGTGACTAGGTCCCAGTCCCGGCCGGTTGTGAAGGCGCCATGGATGAGGAGGATTGTTGGGCCTGTGGCGTCTGGGCTTAGAGATTCAAACGCGAGGCTCGGTCCATCTTTTTGAGGTTCAGGTTGTTGCCGATCCGCTTCGGACGAGGCGGAGGCGGCTTCTTGCATGGGACTGGGCTGTGGACCGCGCAATGGCGTTGCCAGTGGTTTCTGATGACTCGGACTGATTTTCAGGATTGTGGACTGCTTCGAGTTCGGGTTATTGTGGTCGCAAGAATAACAAATGGATCTGACGGGGACGAGGCTGTGACGGATGTTCAAGTTTCGGCGGACGACAAGGCTGTTGTTGCTGTTGGTGGTGGTGGATGCTGATGTTGATAACGGCCAGCCAATGAGTTTACACTTCCCGGATATTTCCAATAGAGTAGGTTTGCAGCTCAACGCACGTGATAACGACAGAATGCCTGTTCTCATCTGCCGCAAAGCCGCGGGTTTAGGAAGATTACACTTGGTGTAGACAATGTACTCTCCACTGTGTTCTTCCAGATACTGCAGGCAGAGAAGCGCTGATGGCAAATAGTAGATGCTGGAGTATGGTTGTCAACACTGAACGAAAGTGCGCCCACCAGCAGTGAGGCCACTTGATGACCCGCACAAAAAGGGGGAACCAATCAGCAGCTGCAAGGTTGGGCCACGCGTTTCGTGAACCTCATTTCATTCTACGAACATTTGTCCAACAGCCTATCTACCGCTGTACATCTGACGTGCCCTGTGGTCGCATTGATGAGTCTATAACGTTGTAGCCCACATGGCCGACCAAATCCCCCACTTTCAGTTTCCCTTTCCCGTTGACGTCGGTCATCTCTATTGTTTTTTTGACGAGGACGCCAGTCGACTGTCCCGTCATGCTCTCTTAATTTCCTGTCGCGTCTTTTCCGTGATGGTGTGGTAATAGTCCTTTCATTCGCGTCGTAGCCGATTTCGGCGTCCATTCTTCCTCCTGGAGGCACACTACTCGGCGTTCCGCAACACGCGCGCCGGGTGCACGACGTTGAAGATGAACAGTGCGCAAATCATAGGCAAGCAGTCGAACAGATACAGATAGATCTCATGGTTGCCGATTTCGCGGCTAAGCTTGCTATTGTTGTCGCCTGCGAACTCGACAATCCGAAAGATGATTCGTAGCTGGAAAACACAGGTCATGTCAGTCGACCATTGTACAAAAAGCAGGCGACCTGGACCACACGTGGGCTTACCGAAATCAGTGCAAGGGACACCCAAATCGTATTGAGGACCAATTCGCTGCCATTGGCTTTTTCCGGATCACACTCCTTTTTCAACCGGCGTCGGAAAGCGATGGAGAGAGCCAGGAAGCAGAAAATAAAACACTGCTGCAACACCACACCCGCCGTGTACACATGTAGTCCGATGTTGATTGTTTTGTTGTCGGTCGAGGTTGTAATTGCTGCTCCGCCGAGCTGCAACAGGAATGCCCTGGGATTTCGGTCAGTTCTGTACATCATATCCGACCTCCACCGGGGCGTCATCCGCCGGTACTCCTGCGTGGGCCGCTGCTCACCCAATGTCGCCGCAGATGAACAGAATCGCAATTCTTTTTGCTGGTATCCTCATGAGCTTCCGGTCAGGCAGACAATAGTCCACGAGGCGACCGAGGAGAACAAAGTCAAAGGCGTTAATCCATAATGGAGCGATCAGAATGAGGATAAACTGTGCCTCGTACACCTCCGACAGATCCAGGGTCTTGATGACAATCAGCCGAAGGATAAATGCCGTCGTCTCAAGTAGGCCGCCAAAGGTGATGATATAAGCATTCTTCTGACGATAGATGATCGCCTGTGCCAGGTGGACAAAGGTCGTCAGGCCGTAAAGCACGACGAAAAGGATTGCTGCCGCCTCGGACGGACAATAAGACCAGTAGATCTTGGGATTGTCGGCGAACGCCGTCACATCTATACTTGTCAGCTCTCACAGACGGTGAGTGCGCAATCTTTGTCCGCCTACCGCATTTGGTCATGCCTGCGGCATAGATCAAAAATCAAACCGGCTGTTGTAAATGCGTGAGGTGGTTAACTACCATGTGAGCCTGAGGGCGTCTCTCTAAATGTCCATGTTGGAAGTCCAAACACACTGGAAGATGCGTTAACATCGCTGGCGAGAGCGTGTCAGTCTTGGGTCAAAGGCTGGGGTTGCAGGGGGGAGAACATCAGGTGGGCCCACATTTCGAATCCGAAAAAGTGAGGCCACTTTCCTCCCACTCTTGTCAGTTAGGGACGACGAAACAGTGGAAAGGAGGCAGTATGATTGAATTGCTATCATCAATTGACCAGCCTCCTCCAATGACAGAGAAGTCGTATGCCTCTGGCTGGGCGCCCAGAGATCGTAGGGACAACGTTCCGGTGCTAGGCGACGAATAAACCAGTCGAGAACGACAGACGTGGAAGGCTAGCCACCGTTGGCCAACGTTCATCGAGCAAATAACGTCCTGCAAAGATGCTTCAAGTCCTTGGCCCAGGATCTGCGGGATAGCACCATTTATCTATCTGGCCAGAAGTCTCTCCCACCGTGGCACCACTTGGATGTAGAGTAGGTGTCTAGGTATGTGCTCTTGTGTTCGTGTTGCCTACCTCTGTGCAGGGAAGCCCCCTGCTTAGGTAATGAGGACCTGTCTCTCGCGATTTCCTACTGTCAACCAAAATACTTACAGTCAGGAGCCTGAATTCGTCGGGTGAACCTGAGGTGACCGTCGCCATGGCGGCTACTACGAATTTCAACGCCTCCAGCGGTTGGAGTCACGATGCGGACGATTCCTTCCGGGCGTTGTTGCCCGCAACATCTGGACTGGTGGATTTCACGTTGCTCTTCGAGGAGGCGATTCTGATTTTGGGACCTCTTGCACTGGGAGTACTTCTGCTGTCCATACAGGTGGCGTGGAAGGCATGGAAGCGGCCGCGCAGAAAGCTGCGCGGCCTGGACAATCCACGATCCGTGGTGAAGGCTGTCAGTACCCTATGCCCATCCATCATGACTTACGCAGAGACCGAAGCTGACCAAGCGGGTGTAGGTCCTATACGTGACACTGCTCGTTCTGCAACTCACGACCGTGATGATCACGATGCTGTTGCAAACCGCCGGCTCCATCGTCACCACCAAGGTCTCCGATGCCGCCGGGGCTGTGTCCTTGGCTTGCGCTTTTTTGCTGGCGGCAGATCAGATGCTGCACGAGATATACTCTCTCCGTTCGTCAGCATTGTCGCAGGGTATCCTCGGATGGTGGGCGTTGACGGACATTGTGACGATCCGCTCACAATGGCTCCGGCCGCAACATCGTGCTCCAGCGGCGTTGTCGACGGTCCAGCTCGTGGTCAAACTCGCCATCATCGTGACCGAGGAGCTGAGTAAGAGACCCCATCTGCTGCCGCAGTTCGCAAACTCTCCTCCTGAGGCACTCAGCAGCATTCACAACAGATTTCTGCTCCTCTGGGTGAACCCACTCATGAAGCGAGGGCTGTCTGGGATTCCCATAACTCTCGCCCAGCTCTGGGAGGTCGAGAAGCAGTTCTCCAGCACGGTCCTCACTGTGGAAATGGACCGATTGTGGGAACGGCACCTGACCAGAGAAAAGAGATCTCCTCTGTGGTTGTTGCTCGTAGGGGAGTTCAGGTGGCTCTCATTCCTACCTCTTCCAATGCGCGTGGCCCAGGCTGCTTTTCAATTTGCTCAACCATTTCTCATCCAAAGGACCTTGACCTGGTTCCATTCTCCGGTCGATCCGGAGTCTAACAATGTCGGGTACGGCCTGCTCGGCGCTTTTGCCTTTGTTTATATTGGAATCGCGGTATGTGCCGACCCGAAGTGTCTGCTGCATCGATTGACTGACTTTGACAGGTAACGACCGCGTATGGACAGTACCAGATTGTCCGGCTCATCACGGCCCTGCGCGGCAGTCTTGTGCTGCTGATATATCGCAAAACGCTTGATGTCAAGAAAGCCGGAGCGCAGGACTTGAGCTCCATCACGCTGATGAGCACGGATGTTGAACGAATCGTCCAAGGTTTGCAGTATGCGCACGAAGCGTTCATCAGCTTCTTCACCTTGGGTCTCTCGCTTTGGCTACTTGAAAGACAGCTCGGGGTAGCGGCGGTCGCTCCAATCGGGGTCACAGTTGGTACGTTTGGTTTCTAACCCCCAACTATGTCGTGCTGAGCTGAACTTCTGAACCTAGTCAGCGCCCTAATCATCGGAGCCTTTGGGTCAAATATCTCGAATGCTCAGAAACGATGGCTTGAAGCCGTCGAAAGGCGAGTGGCGGTAACCACCCGCGTCCTTACCAACATGAAGAACGTCAAGATGTTGGGCCTAGCCAACCACATGGCTGGCATGATGGAAGCGCTGCGTACAGCTGAACTGAACATCTCGTTGGCTCTCCGACGATGGCTCACCATGGCGGTGGGACTCTGTAAGCCTCGAATACTGATACCTGTATGTACCAAGCCAGAAGACTGAACATATTTCACAGCGTTCGCGGCTCCAAATCTTTCCCCAGTTCTGGGGTTTGGCATTTATATCGCCGTCGCGAAAAAGCACGGAGACACTCTGTTGAATGAGAAGGCCTTCACAGCTCTTTCCTACTTCAACCTTGTCCACCAACCTCTCAACGTCATCATCCAGACCTTGCCAGCCGTGATAGCTGCGTTGGCGGCCTTCGATCGCATCGATACGTTTTTGAAGCAGGAGTTGCAGGAAGAGTCCAACATTGGACTTACGGACGAGAGCAAGCCAGATACCATGACTGCCTGGATTCCGGACCAGCTAGACGAAAAGAAAGACGACAAGAAAGTCACGCTCGTCAGTCTGTCCAGTTCGGACGTGTCCAGCCCATCTACCCCGGAGCCCATGACAGACCAATGCATCTCTATCGTGCACTGTACGGTTCATCGCGCAGGTAACACCAAGCCTGCTCTCAACGACATTAACGTCCAAATCGCAAAGGGCTCCATCACCATGGTTGTTGGGCCGTCCGGCAGTGGGAAGACAACACTGATGGAATGTATTCTGGGCGAGATCTCGCCTTCAAGCGGATCCATTGTCTTTGCCAAACCCCAAGGCTCCATAGCCTACTGTTCTCAGATCCCTTGGCTGCGCACTGGCTCGGTCCGGGAAAACGTGCTGAGCGGCCTGCCGTACGAGGCACCTTGGTTCCAAACGGTAATGCGCGCCTGTACGTTGGACCAAGATTTTGGAAGTGAGGCCGACTCTTCGGTTGGTCACGGAGGCAATGGCCTGAGCGGAGGCCAACGACAGAAAGTGGTATGTTTGACAGACCACCGACGTGACTCGCTCTGTATAGGCGTGTGGATGGCTAACTGATTGATACCAGGCACTGGCGAGGGCCATATACTCGAGAAGACGCATCCTTGTCATTGATGAGCCCTTCACCGGCATTGACAGTAGGTCCAGAGAGGCGATAGTAGATAGCCTACTCGGTCCCAACGGCCTGTTTCGTCAGCTGTCGCTCACTGTGCTCATCACTTCACATTCCGGTAAGATCAGTACCAGACCGGGGACATACTTGAACTGACATAATGGAGCAAAATATCTCTCTCACGCCGACCTTATCGTCGTGCTCGACTCGAAGGGCAACGTCATTGAGCAAGGACCGTTCCAGGCGGTCCAGGACTTGACCATAATGCAGGAACCGCAGTCCGATACTGCCGCCACAGCAGAGAAACAACCGATTTCATGGTCAACCAACCCATGCGCATTCGCTCTGGATACAAGGGAAGATGTAGCCGCAACAAGCACCCAAAAATCGCGCAGAGGAGAACTGGAGGCTTACAAGTACTACTTCGCCTCCCTGGGCTGGTGGAAGCTCTCTTTGGCGGTTCTTCTGGTGATCTCCTTTGTCTTCTTCACTCTCTTCCCCCGTAAGCTCAAAAATCGACGCATGTTTGATTACGAGACTGATTGGAAATAGAAATATGGTTGGCGTGGTGGACTTCATTCAACGTCAAGCACCCGAATCAGCAGCTCGGACGTTGGCTTGGGCCATACGCGGCGTATGGTTTCCTCGCATTCTTGTCGTTGGCGGCTGGGACATGGTGAGTCAGGTTTGTTGTGGTTGCGGTTTGTGATATACTGACTTGGTACAGGCTGATGCTCTGCGACATGGTCGTCAACTCCGCAGGGTCACTTCATTCCACTCTGGTGAAGGCGGTGCAACGGTTGGTTCTCTGTAACCTGGTACAGTACCTTCTAGCTAACCACCAGTGAAAGTGCTCCGCTATCAGTATTCTGGACCATCGACCCCGGTGTCACGGTGAATCGGTACGTATCTTCCCTTTTGGTTCGCAGTAATCTGGGCTGATATCAGAACTAGGTTCAGTCAAGACATGTCGCTTGTTGACATGGAACTGCCGATGGCTTTTGCAAACACAGTCATTAGTGAGTACAACCCCAAATCTACCGCATTGTTTAAGCGACTGAGCGGTATGCATAGCGTTCGTCAGCTGTATCGCACAGATGGTGGTCATTGCAGTGGGATCCAAGTACCTCGCAGCTGTCATCCCTGCAATCATGGCTCTTGGGGCGGTCGTTCAGCAGCTGTATATCCGCACTTCACGGCAGCTTCGATTTCTGGACATCGAGGCTAAGGCGCCACTCTATACCTTATTCATTGAAACGTACAATGGGCTCGCATCTATCCGAGCATTCGGCCTCCAAAGTCAGTTGAACGACGAGATGGCGGCCAGTCTCGATGTTTCGCAGAAGCCCTTCTACCTCTTGTTCTGCATCCAGAGGTATCTGGGCCTCGTCTTGAACTTGATGGTCGCAGGACTGGCGCTTCTCCTCATCGGAGTATCGATCGCCACCAGAGGACATGTCGGTACGGGATTCCTCGGCGTGTCTCTCATCAACCTTATGACCTTCGGCACAAGCTTGACCGATTTTGTCAACGTCTGGTGCACCCTGGAAATCAGCTTGGCGGCGGTAGAACGTGTCAAAAGCTTTTCCGAGCAAACGCCCCAAGAGAAAACGCTGGCGCCCGATCCCTTACCGCCAAATTGGCCAGAGAACGGGAGTGTACGAATTGAGGGTTTGTCGGTGTCTTATGGGTGTGTGACAGTTTGTGTGTGAAAAACAGAACTCTGCTAACGAGATGTGTGGTAGCGGACCGAAACCTGCCCTCCAAGACATTTCATTGTCTATTGGACCAGGCCAAAAGGTGGCCATCTGCGGCAGGAGCGGAAGGTAAGTCGGAACCGTTTGATTGACAGTTATCATGCTGACTTTCATCCAGCGGCAAGACGAGTCTGTGCCTATCGTTATTCAAGCTGCTAGAGTCGTCCGCTGGCTCAATAACAATAGGAGGCCACGACATTGCCCATGTTGAGCATGAGCGATTACGCGAAGCTATCGCCGCCGTCACGCAGGATCCTTTCCTCCTGCGCGCAACATTGAGATCAAATCTAGATCCCAGGGGTTTGAGGGCAGACCAGGAAATCATCGAGACCTTGCAGGATGTTGAGCTGTGGAGCAAGTTTGACCATGGAGACAAGCCGCTGGACACGAAGATCGACCCTGACCATTTATCATTCGGCGAGAAACAAAAGCTCTGTCTTTGTCGAGCCCTCCTCAAGAAGAGCAAGCTTCTTGTCTTGGATGAAGCAACAAGCGGGTAAGTGCTGTCGCCGTCCGTCAATGGGCGGAGTTTGCTATGGTCATCCATCTGATGGCCAAGTTTCATTTGGAGCAATTGCTAACCGCATTCTGTCTGCAGAGTTGACCAGGAAGCGGATGAACTGATCCATCGTCTTGTATGCCACCGGTTACCAGAGACCACCGTCATCTCGGTCATCCATAGACTCGACCAGATCAACCTTTACGACCGTGTAGTGCTTCTTGCGGAGGGCAGGATCGTGGAGGATGGGAAGCCAGAGGAGCTCCTGAAAGAAGAAGGCTCTCTTCTCTATGATTTGCACCTGCATGGGACAGAGGATTAGTTCATCAAGAAATAGCAGTCATTCAGTTGAATTTCACTCCTGGGCCGATTTGTTAGTTTCGGGTTTCGTAGCCTGGTTTCCATCTCATCCACTTTCTTGGTTTTGGAGCCTGTACGATCAAAGGAGCCTGCTGAAACCGTATGGATCATGTCAGCGGGTATCACTGTCACCGTCGCAAGAGGAGCATGGAATCTTGGTAATGTTCGCTCGGCTGCAAGCATTTTCAAAAGTAGAAGCTGCGGTTTGAACAGGAAAGGCTCCCAAATGCTGTCCACCAAAAACGTTACATAAGCGACACGAGACTACACCGGCCCACTAAACTGTAAAGAGCAGTGCCTCCATGATGATTGGATACTAAGTAGACGATTGAGAAAGCGGAATATGATTGGCTACCCTGCGAAGCTACAGCCGAATGCCGTGTATCTGATCAATGCAATCGGCATTGCACTTGGACAAAAACCAGACGTGTGCTATATTACCCAGGTACGCCTCGAAACCTTGCATGTCCCGGTGCAATCGCTTCCACAATGCCTTTGATCATCCTCGGAGGAGGTCTTCCTCTTTCAGCAGCTTTTCGAGGACAGGCGATTTGGTCAAACTTAGAACCCTTGCAATATACTCCGCGTCCAAGCTGAAGGGTCGTGCGGTGAGGTTGGGGACATAGCGGCCCACCATGCGTTCTGGCACCATATCCTCCGACCGAAGCTTGCTGTACAGGTACTCTCGGAAGGCGTCGACTCCAGGTTTCAGGAAGCTTGAGTGGAACGGCACGTCTATGCCTGAAAGTGGGATAGTCGCGGCTCCTCTGGTCTGAATCTCGGAGCAGGAGTCGGTCCCCATTGTCCGTACGACACCTCTGACCATTATCGCGATAGCACGGTCATCGCTGACGCCTGTTGTACCTCGGCCTTTCTGGGCATGGAGGGTGTCAAGAGTTGTGCGCAGACAACTAAGCGCCAGGTTCTGCAAGGCAATGAAATCAATATCGGATAATCAAGCTCTCGGAGGGATACTGCAAAGCAAACTTACCTCTCCTGCACACACGTATTGCGAGCCCTTGACATTGTAGTTCACAATCTCGAGGAGCTTGCCTGTTTCTGCACTGATGACGCGTACCACGTTCTTGAGATCTGCTTCTGTAAGTGCTATTGCTTGGTGGTCAGCCTGTGTCCCTTCTCATACGCATGAATGGAACAAATTGCGACAAACACTCACGCATAGATAGCCGGCTCGGGTTCACCGCACACATGCCGTAAGGGGAGCGGCCAAGCTGGTCCCTTTCCACAGCCAATTGCATGACGAGTCCACGGTAGAAGACCACTGACATAAGGTTCTCCAGTGTCAGAAGCTTGCCGATAGAAGAGATGGCGGCATACTCCCCGAGCGAGTGGCCGCAGAATGTCGTGTGAAGTGGCAGGATGCCTTTGGCTTCCAAATCCTCATATGCCGAAAGCTCCATCAAAGTCAACGCGGGTTGCGTGAATTGTGTTGCGTGGAGCAATCCGCCTTCGGCATGAAAGACGTGTGAAGGCGTCGTCTCGTTGATGGATCCAAATATGGGCGCTTCGCCCGTACCGGGGTTGTTATATTTGAGTGATCGGTAATTGTCCCTAACGCGGCGGCCTTTGGCACCACCAAAATGGACCTCTAGTCTCGTAGGGTTGTGCTTCACGATGTCCGAAATGCGGAACCCTGGGCAGCGATTAGTACTAGCCTCACATAGTTACAGAAGGGGACGGTCAGACGGGAGAACTCACCATAGGTCTCGAGGAAATGAACATCGGCCCGATCCCATAATCGGCGCGCAACATCACTCTTGTCTCGCAGTTCCAGACCCATACCGACTTGCTGACTTCCTTGCCCAGTGAAGAGAATGGCAGTACGAGGGTTCTCTATCTCGGCCTCTCCCTCGACGGCAATAAGAGAAGTGCGCAAGTTTCTGGCCTGAAACTCAAAGATCCTCCGACCTCGTACCATGCCCACATGTCGAATGGTGACATGGAGCTCGTCGCCTGGCAAAACCATGTTGACAAATTTCACGCGGAAGGAACGGAACTGGTCCTTGTCATTCCTGCAGATCCGATTCTCAATCGCAGCTCTAACTCGAGCACTTGTATTCATGCCGTGGGTGATGGTTCCGGGAAGAAGAGCATACGAGGCGATGGCGGGGGACAAGTGGATGGGATTCAGATCTCCAGATGCTCGAGCGTAATCCGCATTGTCTGCGGGAGCAAAGCAGGTAATGCCCTCAGATGAGATGATTAGAGGGGCTTCAAAGTATTTCCGCTCCGTGGTTGGCTGACCGTAGCGTGCCAGGTATGACTGCACAATGCATTCCGGGGATGGTGAGGTCCACATAACGTCCGCACAGTGTTTCCAGACTCCGTGCTGCCCCTTGCGGCTTACACTGCCCTTGGTAGTCGTCAGGCACGTTTTCCCATCGTCGGAGAAGGTTCGAAGAGAACTGGAACGGACCATGAGATCCGCCCCCAGAAGATTAGCGGAAGGCTCAGTCAGATGAAACCAAGGTCTTGATGATAGGACTGCCAGATCCTTAGACCCGGGCAGACTAACCCGCATCGCTAGATTCTCAGTTTCGTCGAAGGAATGCTGGGGTGCCACCTTGTATCCACGGTATAAGAACTGGCTGATGATTCGAATGATTGGGACATCCTCACGTCGTATTTCTGCATGAACCTCTACCAAGGCCCCTGCGTCTTGCTGCACAAACCGAGTGACGCGAGAGTTGGTGACGAGAACATCGCCTTCCCGGAGGCCTTTCGCGCCATCCTCTAGACGGAACTCATTGCCGAGGTGCACCAAGTTCAGCAAATCGGCGTCCACCGAGAATAGCGGCTTCATCAGGGCTTTCCAGGCCACGACGACGGCAAAGTCAAGAGGTACCCTGCCGACACCAGAAGTGATATTCTGATCTGCAGTGGCCTTGACAAAGGCTCTGACATGCTCCTCAGTCACGTAGTATTTCTCCTCAAAGCGGGTGTCTCTGAGACTGGTGGTGGCCGTTTTATGAGCCTCGCCCGAGCCGAACCAGATTCGCCGATAAAATTCTTGTACCTGCTCTACCGGGTGTGATGTAATGTCTTGAAGAGGCGTGAGGAGATCTTTGGAAGTTCGGAATTGCTGGACCAGAGAAGCGTCATTGCCGTCCGCTGTAATGGGAGCTTCTAGACGCATCGCGATCAACTGCCTGTCAACCAGCTGAAGCTCCGCTAGCTTCTCTTGGAGATTAACCGAGGACCCCCGGTATAGCGATATGCGTTCGATACTGCCCGAATGAATCTCAGCGGTCACACCTGGAGTTGGCCGGAAGACGCTTCGAATCGGATTATGGCATAGTTGTCTCTCCCGGACAACATTGAGAGTCTGGAGAGCGACCCGGGCCCACGAGGCATGTCCGGCAAGCCTGGTGTACCATAGATCATCGCCGCCTTCGCTTAGAAAGCCGTCGTCATCGCAAGAAAGGAGCTCTATCTGGTCCTCCAACAAGCTTGGGTTGGGAAATGTAATTGCAGGATCTGTGACTTCGTCCAGAGAGTGGGAGATGGACTGAACCGCTCCAGCAAGCAGAGAACTCCACTCCTCATGTATTTCATCGAGAAGCTCCTTAATGCCCTGATCGGTTCGAGATGGATATCGTGCAGCCACAGGCCCTTGCAAGATACAGGTCCTTCCAACGTCGCGGTCGACGACAGCCTCCACATCTTCCGACTGCCAAAGGGAGTCCTTCTTGAAGTAGTACTCAAAGTGCTCGTCGAGAGCAATGATGAATGGTACTGGTTTGATGTAGGACCTCCTACAAAAGGAGGTGAAGGTCGCCTGGTCCGGGAAGCTGAGGAGCTGCTCATCTGCCTGAGGATATACTGTAGAAACAGTGCGCTTGAGATCGATTAAAGTCTCATGCTGTTCGCATTCTCGGGAGAGAGGCGAGCTAACTGGAGATGATGCAAAGCAGCGGTCAAGGTGGGTCAGCCAATCTTGCATCAATGTCTTGTATGACGGATCAATCCATCGTTGTGAGCTGGCAAGATATGTCAGTTCCAAGAGTCTGGACACTACCTGAGTGTAGGTCATATCCGCCAGCTCGGCGGCGTCGTTTCCATCCGTTCGTGCAAACCACACCTTCTGAAAGTCGGCGTTCAGCCTTGAGATCACATAGTGGCGTTTTCGAAGTAGAGTTTGAAGTCGTTTCTTCTTGTCAGGGATGCTGAAAATGGTCTTGTCGAGTTCCGCCCAAAGCTGGACGCCTCTTGTTGCGATCTTGTGAATGGGCTCTCCCATCTCCGAGGTAACCGTCATCACACCACCTGCACATCCGGCGTACGTGCCTTCCCAGTCGCGGTCACTTACGCCGGGGATATCCGTGATCAAGGCCTTCGCCTCGGCGCTGGTCCTGGCCTCCTTTGCAACCATGACTCGACTGCCTAGGAGGATACCATCAAATGGCATAGGAGCAGCCCCATACTTAAGCGACCATTGGCCAGACAGGTAGGGATACGATGACTGGGCATCTCCGAAGCCACTACCGGCGACCAAGATGACGTTTGGACATCGCCGAATCTTTGCATAACACTCAAGCATCGGATGGTGAAAATCCTCAAAAGAATGGTGGCCGCCGGCTCGACCGCCGGTCCACTGTAGGATAACAGGAAAGTTCGGCTGTGATCTCGCAATCTCGAGGACCTGATTGATTGCCGAGACGGATCCGGGTTTGAAAGATATATGGGAGAGCCCGAGTTCGTTGATGTATGTATTTGCCACTTCCAAAGAAGGCACGCCGGCACCTATTGTTAGTCCGTGGATAGGCAGACGTTTACCCCGGAGCTCTCTGATCAAGTTGATTTGCCATTTGAGTGAACGAGGGGCAGCATAAATGACGTTGCATGTGATGCCCTTGCCAACCGGTAGCCTCGCGACAATATTACGGATTGTGTTTTCCATCATCTCGGGCTTGTGGAAGCCGCCGCAAGCAAGCTCGATGTGGTATCCGGCACTGATCGTGGCAAGGACCAGATCCGGGGCGCACGTGGTTGGAGTCATGCCAGCTACCATGATGGGCGGCGCCTTAAGAAGCGTGCTGAGCTTTGTCTGGACTAGCTTGCGTCCGCTTTCATCCCGGATCAGTCTTGGACTGTACTCTTCTTTCCAGTTTCTCCCTTTAGGCAGCTCACAGCAAGTGAACAGTTCGACCCTTCCGCCAAGGTCGGACACATCCTGTGCATTGAGAGACTCAAAGATAATAGTTCTGACGCCCCGGCCAACTGTGATCCTCTCCGAGAGGGCTCCAGCGCCCTCTGTGGATTTGCCGGGACCGAAGTCGATAACGTGCGTTGCATCGAGGAATGGCGTTGAAGCGGGCCAATCAAGTCGCTCGGCCATAACCAGCTCGACCAGACGCGGAATCAGGTTTGTAGCGCTGGAATGTCGTAAATCTTCCCCGGTCGATGTATCGTACACGGGTATTGTGAGGCTGCCGGGCTTCCACTCCAAGTCATCCAGGTCGAGGCTTGTGCATCGCATCGCTGCTGATTGAAGGTACGTCGTATGGAATGGTGCTGATACAGGCAAGTACCCCAATTTGACCCTCCTATGTCGCTGGCTGAACGGGATTCGAGATTCATCGCTGTCAGCCGGGGTTGTGGAACGAATGAATCTGACCAAGCCCTGCAGTGATGACGGCGGTCCTCCGATTACGAAATGCCTGGGGCCATTCACCAGGGCGATCTCCACTCTCTCGCCAACAGGTAATGAAGCGTTGGCCTCAGCCACCATTGATTCTATGGCGGCTAGATTTGTTCCCCTGGCACCGAGCAGAAAACTCGGGGTGCCTTCACCGTGCTCCTCTGCATACTTCCGCACTTCTGGAGGTAGATAGGCTTGTGGGCGGGATCCCTGGCTTTTGCACCCGATGCTCACGAGAATTCTCATCGCGTCCAAGGCCAATTCTTCGAAGGATTCCCAACTGCTGGCTTGAGAGACCACCGCCGCCGTGATCACGCCCTGGGAGTGGCCGGCCAGGCCTCTGAATATCGTTTTCATCTCTGTGAAGCCTAAAATATAGGCAGCGATGCGGTAATTTGCCAGTTGAAGCAATCCAATAAGCGGACAGCTCACCGGAGGGGAGCGAGTGTATTCCAAATCTGGATGGCTGTCTGCATCCCGGATCCAACGAATTATGTCAAGGCCGTTGGGGTAGTTGTTGCAGAAGTGATGGCCGGAAGTCAATACCGACAGGTAGTTTGATACCCTAGAGAGGAAATTACCGAGCAACGGGCGATAGACGGAATACAGTTGTTGTAGTTCCAGTAAGGGCCCGCTCGTGCCCTGTCCACCGAAAACAGCATAAACATGGGCGACATTTGTCCGGGAGGCGCGCAAAAGTGAAGGTGTGGGCGAGCTCGTTGGCCTGCCGAGGAGTTCAGAGGCTCTGTAGAAGGAGAGTATCGTGGCATTGAAGCAGCCCTCTGGGAGCTCCGAGTGGTGGAGAACAAAGGAATGGATATCATCTTCGCCAATGGCACATAGAAAAGCGTCAAATACGGAGCTCAGGATGCTGAAAGTAGCGCCGGCCTTGTTTTGAGACGCTCTCCCTTCGACGAGGCGGCCAACATAATCCAGAAACCTGGTCAGAAGCTCATCGGTGCTGGCGTTGGTGCTGAGAACCGGCCAGCCATCAGGCAGTTGCTCTTGGTGCGTGCGCATAGATTCTTCCCAAAGGGCACAGGCATATTGCGCCAGGTGTTCCTCGACACGGAGCTGCAAACATGTCGGACCGTACTTCAGCAATTGAACCGAAGGTTTGGAATAACTGGTCGATGGTGAGCTCGAATGAGACCGCGACTCTGCCGAAAGTTGCCCGACGTTGGGTGTATCTGAGCCACTATCGATGATGCTTTCGTCAATCTCGGTCTCGACAATGAGAGCGGTGTGTTTGATCACATCGTCGAGTCGACCACGCTTGCCAAAGTCCTGTTGGAACAGAGGCAAGTGTTCATCGACCAAAGCCATGGCGCTATCAGGTCATCTGTTCTATGCTGGGCTGGGAAACGGAGGACGAGGCTGAAGACAGCACAACAACCCTCGACAATGGAGACGGAGGTGCCCGCCGCGACAAAGCCATAGTGCGAGTACTTACAATTCCTCCCGAGACGGGTTCAACTCACTCTCATTGAGGTTGGAGCGTGTTGGGGGTGAGGCGGCTCCAGACTCGGTACAAGATGTGACAAATGTGGGCCCAGTCAGCGAGCCACGTTGGTGGTGCCACCACCGTCCACCAGCGTTGATACTTGAAGACATGCCAACCAATACGCACTCCGCGAATACAAGACTGCAGGTGTTTACGAGACGGCGGCAGAGCGGGCTCCCGCCTTCCTCACTGTCGTCTGGGTCAGTTCAAAGTCTCACCCAAGCTGGCCTCACAACAGCCCATGACGGGGCTTGTTTCTCACAATACAGCGGTCACCTCGGCCAAAATTGGCATACGCCAGCTGGACTCTAGATTGCGTTCTGGCCGCGATGGCTGACAAGGAGGAGCATCCAACCTGGGGGAAGTGTGGACAGGCTCAGTTCGATTTTCGAAGTAGTGATCCCCGAAAGCATTGTCGTTGAAGACATGGCACTTACTGACCCTGACAGCGGACTCGCACACGACTCCTACGGTAGAAATGTTGCAGGCCTTAAGTCAGGCGACAATGGACGACGATGTCTTCCGGGAGGACAGCACTACCAAACAGTTCGAGGCCGACATGGCAGCGATGGCTGGTCACGAAGACGGGTGCATCGCGGTGTCCGGCACCATGGCCAACCAGATTGCGATGCTGGTGCTCTTTCAACAGCCCCCATACTCGTTGTTGACTGACAGCCGTGCGCACATTGTGCATTTTGAAGGTGGCGGCACCTCATTCCTGACAGGAGCGTCGGTGCAGGTTGTGAAGCCCTCAAACAACCGCTACCTCACGTTGGAGGATATCCAATGCAAAGCCATCTTGTCGGACGACATACAAAAGGCGCCGACCAAGGTCATTTCGCTGGAGTGCACGGCGCACGGCGCCATCACGCCGGTCAGCGAGTTCCGGCGCATTGCTGAATGGGCACGCAGGCGCGGTATCCGCCTACACCTGGACGGTGCTAGGCTTTTCGAGGCTGTTGCCGCGAACGCTGGCAGTCTGCGTGACTATTGTTCCCTATTCGACACAGTCTACCTGGACTTTGCTAAAAATCTTGGTGCGCCCATAGGCACGATGCTGCTGGGGTCGTCCACCTTGATCCGCCGCGCCCGTCACGTCCGCAAGGTCCTCGGAGGCGGCGTGCGTATGACAGGGATGATCTCTTCCGTCTCACGTGCGGCCGTGGAAGCCAACTTTGGCTGGGATGGCCGCGGCAGCAAGGCACATCAGTTACGGCTCTCGCATCGGTGGGCGCGCATGCTGGGTGAAGCGTGGCAGCGATATGGAGGCCGATTGACACGGCCGGTTGAGACGAATATTGTATGGTTGGATATCAAGCGAGCAGGCTACAACGCCGCCACATGGGAGCGACTTGGGCGTAAGAAGGGAGTGAAGCTCGATGGGCCGCGTGTCGTTGTGCACCATCAGAACAGCGACGAGGCTCTGCAACGGATGTTGGAGCTCTTCCGAGAGTGCTTGTCACCGTCCGCGGCAGTCAGCACCGGCCCAGCCACTCCCGCAGCCCAACCGATGTTGTAGAGCTTGAAGCCAAGGTAGCAGACAGAGGGCGGAGTGCGGGTGGTGCCATAGATTGCCGCCGGCCGCGCCCGCTGGTTGACTACAATTGGAGAGATATACTACTTCAGGTAACGAATAAAGAAATGAATAGGCCCATTCGCGCATCGAGCGGTGGAGCCACGGCAGTGTCGAACAACTCAAAGATAACGACGTGGATTTGATGGCGGAGAGCGGAAGTTGAAGTTGAAGTTGGTTTGTGGTGCGAATTTGACCCAGCCGTGGGCTTACATAATCGTCTCAAAGAGGAAGGCTGGGCGGTTATAGCAAAGGCATGCGCTGCCCCTGGACACCCTTCTCGAACCCCCTCGACCCAACCTTTTTTCAGCTATTAGCAATCCCGCACATCCCATCTACTGTATCTTGAGATACGATGTCCACAATCCCTAATGAGCTCCAACAGAAGAAGGCAACTCTTCTGATCATCGGCGGCGGTAGGTCTCCTGTCTATGTTTCAATCTCTACAACCCCGCTGATTCCACCTTCGTCTAGGCCGACTGGGTACCGCTGTTCTCCAGGGTCTGTTGTCCAACCCAGACACTGCAGGCCTGCTTTCGCGCATAGTGGTCGCGGTAAGATCTGAAGGCACGCAAAATCGATTGCAACGACTGCTTCGCTCCTCTCTAAGCAGCAGGTGCGTGGATGACAGCCAGGTGCGGACGAGCGTCATCCTGTCAGACTCAACACCAGCAGCGATTGAGCATGCCGACATAATCTTCCTGGCATGCGGCCATAATGACTGCGAACAGTCACTAGCCAGGCAGTCCATTAAGGACGCATTCCGGCGAAGGCTTGGAAAGCAGACAATCGTCAGCTTTATGGGCGGCGTGACGATTGACACACTCAGGCATATCCTATTCACCGAAAAAGGACAACCGCCTCTGCAGACAGAAACGGCTTGCTGCATATTACGTGCTCTGCCGAATGTAGCAGCTAAGTTCAACCAATCCATCACAGCTGTCGCACGCGTCTCGGAGAGTTCCGCAGCCGAGAGAAGCAAAGATATCCACGAATCGAGAACAGAGACCATCTTGCGCCTTTTCGGGACCGTGATATGGACAGCAGAGCAGGATATCAACGCTGCTGGCGCACTCTGCGCCTCGTCTCTTGCTTACTACGCAACTATAATTGAGGCCGTGGCCGAAGGCGGCAGAGGCCAGAACAGCGCGATCAGCCGCGAGACCGCACTCCAGCTGAGCGCGCAGGCGGCCAAAGGGGCGGCTCGGTTGATCGAGGCCGGAGAGACGCCTGAACAGATCCGAGCAGCCATTGTCAGCCCTGGAGGCTCCACTGCCCGGGGAATCCAAGCCATGAAAGACAGGCAAATTGCACCACTCCTCCGTGAGGCCATTTTCGAAACATCTGGGGCAGCCGACGATCTTTCGACGAACGCAGTTAGATCAAGCTCAGAAACAAGCCATTAAGTCATGTTAATTCCCAGTGTTGCATGCCTCTCCTTGAGCATGTTTCGAGGGGTTGCGTCTGCTCCGATGTCGTCCCGTTACGTGATCCACCGGAGGGGGTCTCGAGTGGTCCCACCCACATTGGGAAGGCTGAAGTGGCCCGACCTTTCGGTCTCCTCGAACCATACCCGGCCAGGCAAGGCTACACACCAATAAATATATCCGACTTCAGATTCCAAGGCACAATAGCGCCAGACGAGCGGTTTCTTGCAGGCTATTTCGTTGTTATCTTATCTCAAGATGGAGTTCATATCCGGGCTGAACGCATGCGCCTCCAACCCAGTCTTTCCCCAGCTGTCATCCTCCATCATGCCTCACTTTCCAGAAGCCGCCTCTTTGGCGATGAAGATGCCGTCGCCGGCATTCCATACAAAAACACCGACGCCGTCGCTGCCCCCTCCGACCCGGCCCAACGGGTCGCTCGTCGACTTCAGTAAATACACTTCGCCAGACCCCTTGGAACGTGCAGAATGCCGAAGGCAGCTTTTGAGATGTCTCACAGACGATGGCTTCGCTCGTGTGATCAACTGCGGCATTTCCAACGATATGGTTGACGAGATCTTCCGGAGAGTAAGTGCAAAACAGAATACACACTTCCCGCGGCAGTAAGCCTCGCGCAGCAAAAGCAATGACTAACCAGCGACGAATCGTCTTCAGAGTGAGGAATTCTTCCGGCTAGACCCGAAATCAAAACTGGCCATCGCCAACCCTCGAGGCCCGACGCCGCAACGAGGGTACAGTCACGTTGGCGCCGAGAATTCATCATCGTTGTACGGCAAACTGGTGGGCGACACCTCGAATGCCCACCGGTCCGATGCTAGGGTAAGCAAGAGTGAGCGTGAGAGGGCCACTACCCTTGATTGTCCCATGGCGCACAGATACCAGACCACTGACAATGTTATGTATAGGAGCATTTTGACCAAGGTTCAGAGGCGGACGCCGATTTCCCCAACCGGTGGCCCGCCGAGGCGGAGCTGCCTGGATTCCGCCAGTTCATGCAAGACTATTACAAAGCCAGCGAGCAAGTGTGCATGCAGCTTTTCAAAGCATTGGAAGAAGCCCTGAATCTCCAACCGGGCACCTTCTGCTCGCAGGTGGGCGATGCCAGTGAATTGCGTCTTCTGCACTACCCCAAGATCAGTCTTCAAGAGATCCGCTCGGGCAAGGTCAGCCGGATCTGGCCACACTTCGACCTGGGTCTCCTGACGATGCTGTGGGCTCGTGGTGCGACTGGGCTGGAGTTTGAGCGGCGGCGCAGGAATGCTTCTGATGATGCTTTTGTTCCCGTCTCGCCGCAGGCGCCGTGTGAATTGATCCTGAGCACCTGTGAGACGTTCCAACGCTGGACCAATGACACCATCCCCGCGGCGTTACATCAAGTCACCATTCCGCGTCATCTCAGGGATGCCGAGGAGGGCTTTCTTGACGAGCGGTATTCGGTCGCTTTCTTCTGCAAAGCCGACCGAAACGCCCTGGTCGGCTCCTTGGAGCCTTTTGTTGACCCCGTCGAAGGGCCACGTTATCCGCCTGTAACCGCCCTGGAGTATCACCAAAATCGTCTCAAGGATGCTTACTAGACTGTCTACTAGCGCATATATCATTTATTAATGGCATTGGAGGAGTCTTATTGTCGCTGGCACATGTGTTGTTGTCCTGATCCTCCTGACCATGATGCCCTCGTGGACACACGTAAGGCTAAGGACGACCCGGTACAGATGCCTCCAGTCCACTTCAATACTCACTGGCACGGGAATCCATCTCGGCGACTGTCCAGGTCGAGCAAAGGAGTCCGTGCCCGCCGTCAATGGTCTCGAGGACTGTTCGTGTTGCAACGCTGACGTATTGGCTAAATGGGCATGCGACGCAATTCAGGATTGTTAGATTATGCGTGCCATTCATGCAATTCTCAACAAAATGCTTCCTGGTCCCCGAACTCCCATCGCATTTCTCGAACCTTTCTACTCATGGGGCTTAGGGCTTCCGAAGCAAAGGAAGATAGAGTATACCAAGCAATATCGAACGGGGATGATCTGAAACCAATCGCTTTCCCCACACGCATGAAGCTATGAATCTCCTTTCCTCCAATAGCAGTGAACGTTTCACTCAATTAACTTCCCAGTGTGGAAATGGGGCCGCAGCCCCGCTAACGGCGAAGACAATCTATATACTAGCACCATCCTATGGGTCCACCTCCCAGTGGTGCCACTTCAGCAGTCGAAGACCCTGGGACCATGGTAAAAGAAAAAGCCATTATTATGTAACGACGATATAGCGAGGGAGAGCGCGGGGTGACCATGCCCCAGCCCTGCCCGACGGGATTTTGTTAATTCGTGTGTTATAACAGGGTTCGCCGATCCCCCACAAACCTGAACCAGGCGCTTTATTATTGTAAAGTCGGGAACACCGTCCGTCTCCAACCAAACCGAGAACCCGACCACAAAGGAATATCTCGAGATTCCTGGTCGTGGTGAATATCTTGAATGGAGACATGCACATGGCAGGACAACCCTAAGGACAAGGACATGGACCAATGGCACCCAACAGCAGCAGGACATTACGAACGGAAGGCCAGCCTAACTGAGCGCTGGATGGCGCACAACTGCTCCTTAGGCCAGCAGGCCTCTAGAAATGGCAGCAGCCGAGGAGGTCGCCACCACTGGACTCTCTCGCTGGTTCTGAAGCTGGGGATGACGATACAAGAAACCCAAAACCAAAACCAAACGCAATGCCCCAGCCCGGGGTTGTTCGAGGAGCAACTCGTTCCCCAGCTACGGCGGGCATGGCAGGACCTGCGCCGTCAACACCCTTCAATGGCGAGCACGCTCAACACCACACGGTACGTATGGGAGTACCACCCGACAACGGACAAGGGAGAAGAAGAAAAATGGCTCCGGATGACGTTCGTGGTGGTCCCCTTCCAGATCGAGGCGGCAACTTTGGCCACGCAGTTGGTGGCGCCACCGCGGCCGACATTACATGTTCTGCCTAGGAGTCAGGAGCTGCTTTTGCAGAGTCCGCATAGTTCCGTTGATGGTGCGGGACTGATCATAATGGCTCATTTGTTGTTGTCGACGGTAACATCCCCGAGGGACCCGGGGGCACCTTTTGGCTCCTATCCATCTGTCGACAACAGCTTGAACCTAAAAGAGAGTGAGAGCGAGTGTTGTAACCTGGCCCCGCCGTTCCGAACAATGGTCCAAGCCGGCCCATTCACAGACATGCAAAGCCAAGCTGCCAACGCGGAGCTGAAGCGCTATCTCGATGCGTTTCCCGGCATGACGCTGCCCACGAAAATCCCAAAACCAAAAACGCGCGACGGTACGGTCAGGCCGGGCAAAACGAAACGAAAGTGTCATGTTTTTGACGAGTGTGAGACGTCAGCTATTGCCGATGCGTGTCGGAGAAAAGGGCTGACTGTGACACATGCGGTTCATGCATCCATTGCTTGTGCCATGGCGAGACTTAAGTCGAATCCGGCGGCTCCGAATGTTTATACTGGTGCCTTGTCGTTTGATGGGAGGAGGATCTATGGAACTGCTACGGCAGAAGAAGACGATAGAGATTGGCAACTCCCAGCGTCCCTGTGCACCACCGCCTGGCTCCCCTCGATTCATGTCTCCGACTTTGATTGTACTGCGGACCAATTCAAACGCGCCTACGCATGGCATACCAATAACAACACCAACACCAACGGCAACAGCACCGACAATTTCCACACCCACACCCGCCCAGAAAAACGCGACCAATACAACATCGTCGAACTTATGATCAAAAACATCCTCCCCCAAGTATCCTCGACGACCGGCGCAACTTCCGTATCCATGGCCTCGGCCAACTTATCCTCCTTGGGCGTCGTCGAACGGACCTTGCAGCGAAAGTATGGTCATCTCGAGGTTCTCGAATACGCTCAACTGTGCGAGGTTCTCACGGCCTCGGTTTGCATGTACCTCCATACATGGCGGGATCAAATGGTCCTGTCGACTATGTATAATGAGGCTTATTATGATGCTGAGTTTGTTGATTTGTTGGTGGAGACTGTTTTGGACATTTTGAGGCAGGGGTTGGGGTTGGGGGTGAATGCGGATGCGTAGCGTGCAATCTGTTAGGTGACTAAGGTAGGTACTTGGGTGGTATAGGATTGGTATGTTCCGAGTTCTGCTTGTTGCGCCATGTGCCAGGGCATCCACTACAATGAAGCGGACTTGAGTTTGGACCAGAGCCTTCTGAAAGTGCAAAGGCATCTATCACATTCGTAGGACAGGACACTTGGCTGCCAGTCTAGTTTGCTCGCCAGTGAAGTTGGCTTAGTCATCTCAGGGGTTCTCAGCCTCGTCACGTGGCGAGGACTGATTCTATGGTGCCCTCTGTCTCCCAGTATTGCGTACTAGTTTTTAACATGACCACCACAGCTATACAAAAGTCATGTTGAATGGCTGATTGGCGCACCGAGACTAGTTGGTGACTTTGTGATTCAAACCTGCTTCAACTGTTTCATTCTAGATACTATTATTCCCAAGTTGCTATTTCCCCAGCACAACAAGTGTGCGAGTCTCGATCCCGTACATGACCAATCAACATAATTCCATCTTGTCCGGTGCGTATTGAAAAGACGCTGGTTCAAGCCGCGACGGGCTCTCTGAAACGGAATTCGAGCATAGGCCCGTTTCGGCAGCCAATCAGGTGGTCCTGCATCTGGTATTCAAACAGCCGGTGGCGGCCGTACTCGGCATCTGGGTTGCCTTCACCCAGTCTGGCCTCTTGACAATGAGCGGTTCGGAAATCGACCATGGTAAACAAACTGGCGAAAAACAACATGAGCTCGTTCATGGCCAGCGCCTTGCCGATGCAGCCGCGCATGCCGATCGAAAACGGATTGTACGCCGCACGTGCAGGCGAAGTGCTGTCCGGAGAGTCCTTTGCGGCCAGCCACCGCTCCGGCTTGAACTCAAAAGGCTCCTCGTAATAGTTCGGGTTGTGGTGAATGCTGTATATTCCCGTGCCGACCTCTACACCCGATGGCAGGAACTCGCCGTCGATGTTGTGGCCAGCTCCGATCACTTCTCGCCAAAGGGCGCTGCCAACGGGAGGGGACATTCGGAGGGCTTCGGTAATGCACGCTTTCATGTATTCACATGAGTTGAGCTTGGGCCCAAGCTTGACCTCGCTTGCATCCTTGAAAACCGATCGGACTTCTTCGGCCACGCGAGCGTAGCAATCGGGGTATCGACTGAGATAGAACATGGTAACGGAGATGGATGTGGCTGTGGTATCGGAGCCTGAAACCAAGAACAAAAATAGTCAGCAATGTATCAGGGCGAATGAGGCTGGGGCACCACCAACCTGCAACGATCAAGTTCACACTCTCGGCGCTGAGTTGCGACATGTCCAGCTTCGAGCCCGTAATGGGATCCTTGGCCTTGAGTAGAATCGAAAACGCGTCTCCCGTGATGTTCTCCGCCGCCATCCGGTCTTTCATCAACTTGTACACAAACCGGAGGAACAACTTGCGGCAGATCATGGCTTCTTTGAAGAAGGGCCGGTCGAGTTTGCCCCACGCCAACTGGGGATCCTGCGAAAGCACGCCTGTGCGAACGTTGAGGCCTGCAATGGTTGGCACAATGTATCTGTGCTCCTCGCTCGTCTGCAGATTATACGACATGCCGTAGATAAGCGATGTCATAACATCGAATGCAAAGTTACCAGCTGGGTTTCAATCAGTCAGTGGGCTTCTTCTGGCCTTGTCGGGGTGTTCACTTCGTACCTAGGTCTGACATATTTTGTGGAGTCGTCCATTCCTTGCCCGGCGTCTTGTTTTCGAGTAGGACGTCTTCGAACTGAGAAATACATTCCAGAATTCTAGGCTCGTAACTCCGTAGAGCAGCATCTGAGAAACCATGAGCCACGATCCGTCGCTTACGCTCGTGCACTGCTCTGTTGATTTCGGTAAAGGTGTTGGGTACCCGATGGACCATGCTGTTGTAGCCGGCGGACTTTTGGATCTGTTTAGTGCTACCGTAGATATCTGGAGGTGACTATCAATTTTTCTGGTCTCTCTGAGTTGGCTTCAGCGACTCATGATCACCATACCTTTCAGCCCGTCCGCAGTGTTGACAAGCAGCCTATTCGGACCGTAACGGACGTAGTCGCCTGGATAAGAGAATCAGTCTGGCTGAACACGGGAGGAAGATGAATCCAAGATTCTGGACCTACCATATTTCTCGTGGCAGTGCCACATGTCAATATGCAGATCTCCTCTCCAAGCATGCCAAGCACCGTATAAAGTGCTGACCTTGGCCCAAAAAGGGCCGGGGTATTTCGCCAAAGGATGGAAAAATATTCTGTACACCGCCAAAGAGAGTAGCTGGAGATTGAGTGAGTTGCTGACGGCCATATGAATGGATTATGGCTTACATAGGCGATGCCAGTCGAAAGAATGATAGAAGCGAGCAAAGTCGCTCGGCCGGCCAGGTAGGACCAGTCGACGCTCGCCAGGGCCTTTCCCACAGCGCCAGCAGTATCAATGACCACGATAGGAACCCATGATAGTCCCTTTTCGGTTGAGAAAAGCGTGGCGTTCCCGGAGCCTCCCAACCATGTCGGCGCCGAAGTCAGCAGTGACCCTGGCAGAGATGAAGTGAGATTGGCCATGGTCGTGTAGGTGCAAACCGGTCGCGATGGTGGGCGTAACGTCTGGAATGCGTGCGGATCTCGAATACTATTTCGATGCGCCGTGAATCTACACCCATGGCCTTGGTTGGGTGTGAGTTGTATCTTGTTGAGTGTTGGTTGAGTGGACTTGGACTGGGGTGGTGCCACCTGTGGGTTGAGCACTGGGCCCACCCAGAGACCGCACGGTATGGAGGCAAGACAAAACAGTCTTCAATCTTTGGAATCACTGTCTCGTGAGAGGCTGATTGATGGGGAAAGGAGAAAAGAGCCCAAGAAACCCCTATCTGAAAGATTATTGTGGCCGGGGTTGATATTGCAACTGCAGTATCACCACAGCCATAACCGCCCCCAATATTACCTCAAGCCGAAAAAGCCAACCTCTGACAAGATAAACGTGACAGCAAAGATGGATGTCGCGTTTGGGAAGCTTTCAGAGGCGACACAGGCGGTGGTCGGGTGGATTTCACAGCATATTCTGACATCCATCGGGGTTGCGCTCCTTCTTACCAGTGTGAAAAACATCCCTTTGATGTGGCACGTACGTTCTGGCCATCAGTCCGCTTCGGCTTTCTCATGGGGACCTTATCGATTTGCTGACATGACTAGTAGACTCGCCTAATCTCCGCCGTCTTATACCACACCAAAGCAAAAAGCGCGGATGTGGTCACGACGGAAAAAAATGGGCCACTAGCGGTATTTCAGCCCATCGTGACTAGCTCACGCAGCGGTCTTTATGAATGCGACATCAATGGTCACAAGTCGGACAGCACCTACTTCTCGGACCTGGACATCAATCGCATCCACCTCATTTCCAAGCTGTTCAAAGGAGCCCTGAATCCGGCTCTCCTTCCTGCTGACAAGAGGCGAAGAGCCAGGAAGATGAGGGTCCTTCTAGGGGGCGCGGCCTGCATGTGGCGTAAGGAGATCAAGCCATTCGTACCTTACGAGATTCACACCCGTGTTTTGGCCTGGGAGGGGAAGTGGATTTATCTTATCAGCCACTTTGTTCCCGTCCAAAGCTCCCGGAAACGGTCCAACAGGGCCTCCCGTGATAAGGCCAACGGTGGGGATGTTGACGCTCAGGTGTTCGCGTCATCTGTGTCCAAATACGTGTTCAAAGATGGTCGCAAGACAGTCGAGGCCGCAGTGGCGCTTGAGTCGATAGGACTTTTGCCTGCGGAAGAAGGTCAAGACAATGGGGACAGGGCAAGGATTGAGGAGGAGCGGCAAAAGGGGATGGAGACGGCTCGCCACTTCATTGCTCTTGATGAGATGCATAACCAGTTTCACGATACACTGTCAAAGCCATCATTTGGCGAGTTTGGCATGTTTGGGAGATTCGTCTTCCATTGACCGCCCACTGGGGAAGGTCGACGGCCCTTAAAGATGTAGGAGAGACTGAGATACCGCTGATACCAACTCTCCAGTTGGTATGTGTCCAGAATAAAACGTTTCTCCTGGCTAGGTGTTTCTCCTGCGCGTTCAAGTTGTACATACCTGGGTAGAAATTGCATCCTCGTCATCCCAGGAAGAGTCTGCGCGTAACCAAGGGCGCTGCACCCAACGGCAGCAATACGCGACGGTTTAGGAAACTGTGAAGCTGTGTAACTGTGTCCATGTAAGGTTCTCATCCAGCAGCACTGTCAGTGAAAGAAAGAATGTGAACATCGGGCGTGGTGGCCGAGTTGTCGAGTTTTAAGTTGTCATTTTGATGCTTTTTTTGTTCCTACGGTTATAATGCCTTTGCTCCGCCCTATGCCCCGCGTTTCCTTCCACCGCGACGCGACGCGACGCGTCTTAACCTCAGTTTGGGATTTTATTTCTGCTTGTACTAATGCATCATGATTGGCATCATGATGAACAGTAACACTTAAGCTCCATTCACCTGGCAGCCAGCGGTCCTCATTCTGCCTATGCGCTTGCCGCAGTCGGAAACTCGACGAGTTGGGTGCACCAGGACTTTGTGTCCTCAGCCTTGCCACGCATGATATTGTCGATAGCCTCGCGCAAGGCGTGACAACATGGGCCGGCGTTCTTGTTGCCTTGGCCATATACGAATTTCTCCCCCGTCGATTTGCGGGTGATCGACCCGATGGGCAGCAGCAGCGTGGCAGTGCCAACAGCCATGACCTCGGAAAAGAAAGGAAGCTCATCCCATTTAATCTGCGACAGCATCCGGCGTTAGCAGACAGCAAAGGGAAAAAGGCGGCAGTCGCCAGACTTACGCTGCGCTTCTCAACAGTCCAGCCCAAAGATTTGGCCATTTCTACGCACGTGTCGGAGGTGACACTGGGCAGGACGTTGGGGCTATTCGGCACAACCAGGGTAAAATGACCCTGAGTTTCCCGAACGCCGATGAAGGAAGAGGTGGAAAACTCGTCAATTTCAGTACGAGTGGCGCTGTCAAGATGGAGGGTGAGGGCGTATCCTTCTTTACGCGCTGCGTCGCTGAACCTCATGACCGGGGCATAGTTGCCGCCAACCTTCGCATTGCCCACTCCCCGGGGGGCTGCTCGATCGAACTCCTCAAGCACCACGGCGTCTTGTGCACCAACCCCGTGGTAGGCGGAACCTGGCTGGATGTAGACGCAGAAGGTGAACTCTTTTGGCGATGTCAGCGCCAGCTGTGCACTCGAGCCGAAGAGAATCGGACGAATGTACAGCAATGCATTACTGTCATGCGGCGGCACGAACTCCGAGTTGGCTCCCACCACACGCTGCAGGCATTCCACGAAAAATGCTTCTGGCAGCGGTGGGATGGACACCACCTTTGCCGAATTCACCATTCGAGCCGCATGTTTCTCCGGGCGGAAGATCAGAATACGATTATCGGCCGTCCGACACGCTACACCATGATCAGCGTCTTGTTGTGGCCCGGGTCATACGTCATTCTATCTCACCTTTCACGCCTTCATAGCATTGTTGGCCTTTTGACACACTGTCAGCTTCCTGTGGTCAACCTTGAGTGCAGCAAGAAAGGACGAACCGTAGTTCAGTCCAGGCGAGAGACCGTGGACTCGCAACCACGGGTCTTGGACGATTCTGGGCTCGCCCCAGCCCCCAGTTTCGGCATTGTACGAGACCTCGATGTGAGATGCCTCTGTGGTGTCTTAGCAATGCTTTTCCAGCATCCGCGTTGAAGTCAGAACAAATTCGCACTTACGATCGAATCCTTGTAGGCCGAGTCGGTTCCAATCTGCAAGTAGACCCCGATGGTCAGTTCCCGTGCTACAAATCAACCTGAAAGACTTTGTTCAGACTCACCCACGGAGTCGCTGGGGGCTTTTGGAAACATGATCACGATGGGAACAAGTGGATCTCAATTATAAACGGAATTTCTCCAAAGTCTGAACGCAAACGAGGTAGGAGTCAAGAACGAGCAGGCGATATTGAACTGATGCACTGGACGCTGGAAGAAGTAGTCTTGTTGCCCTGCTGTCCCTGCGATTCAAGTCATGCTTACCGCTCGTGAGCAGTTCGAAGCAGCCGGAAGATGGTTGTGCTCATTCTGCCCATCGAACAGCAACACACTTGCTGATGGCTGATGATGCGCCCACGCATGTTGCAGCTTGTACGGCCTAGGGAAAACGAACCACTGCTGTGGATACAAAACGGGGCGTCAAATCATGGCTCCACTCTTTAATTGCCCTATCCACTGGCTAGATCTACCCAAGACGGCAGGTGGGCGCACCCGGTCTCGGCTGGAGATCCATTCGAGATCCTTACTAGTCCGGCGGTCTTTTGCGATGATCCCTGGCCGGCGCACGTGGACACGCAACGCGTGAATGGCAACCATGCTACTGTTATCGAAAGACAAATTATGGATGGCGGTTCATGTTTGAGAAAGCACAAGCTATGCAACGCTATACAACGAAGAACTTGAATACAGGTAGGACGAAATCAGACATGGCCTCCTAGCTGACTGCCACAGGCTCTGAGACCGCCTTGGCCGTCTTCTCATGCATGTAATTGTAGTACTCCTGCGCGGTCATACCATTGCTGGCCTCGACTTGGTTTCTGGTGCTGCTCAGCAGCGATGGCAACGGCGTCAAAGGAGCGTCCATGTTGGCCTTGCCAAAGAATCCAACCGAATACCTGGCAGGCACGACCTCATCTTCGTGGGCGCCTTCGCGTCTCTGGGGGGCCAGGACACGATGATTCGTCGACTTGAGCACACCTGATGTCCAGCGCTGCAGGGTGTCAGCTATGTTAACGATCATCTCGCTGGGCCGTGAGCTTTCGACGGCCACGAACTGCCCTGGACGGGCGGGGTCCTCGATCTCCAGCCCACCCACGGAATCTTGGAACAACAGGGTCAAAATGCCGACGTCGGTATGTTCGGCGATGCGAAATGTACGGCCGGTCTGGAGTTGCGACATCGCAATCGGCGGGTAATGGGTGATTCGCACCTCGCCGTTGCCCGCCGAGCAACGTTGACTTATTTCTCCGTCCTCGAGGTGTAGCGCCTGCTCGAAGATGGAGACAAGCAGGTCGTGCAGCTGTACGCAATCGGCAAAGAAAGACTGCATGAAGGAGCGGAACTCTTCGCCTCGAGCACCTGCGACGACTGGCCACGGCGTCGGGTAGATTGTGTCATGGACAGGGCCAAGATCGAAGCATTCCTGTTGGGAAGCGTCAGCACCAAATCTCCACTAACAGTGTGATTCCTGATCGGTTCAACGGATTTCGCACCCAGCATAGGCGTGGGCATAGACATCTACATCTCATTCCGGACCGCAGCATACCTTTACATCTGTAACCGGAGCACCATCCTTCACGCCTTTGATATACCCCGTAATGGCACCAATTTGCTCGCGGCCAACGCCAGCGTAGCCGCGATAGGGGCCTTTGTTGGACCGGTTGGCGCTCTGCTTGACCTCATCCGGCCAGCCGAAAAACTCGCGGGACTGTCGATCATTCAAGTCAGCGAGATAGAGACCCTGAGATTGATATTCCCACTGAAGGGAAACAAGAAGCCATTGCAAACTCGGCACATACAACATCGCAAGACCGTAAAACTTACCCAGGCAAAAAGCTCGTGAATTCTCTCATCGGACAGGCCGTGGCCGACGAACTTCACGAAGCCGTAGGTTGCGCACGAATTCAACAGTTCATCCCGCAGCTCCTGATCTAGCTGCCCATCGCGATACAATTGTGACAAGTCGATTGAAGCGAGTGCTGCCATGGCTTGTTTGTACGGTTTCTCGTCAAACCCTCGTAGCCATGGAGGACAATGCGAATTAAGCCGCTGAGGATGTCTGTCATGCGTTCCGGCTCGGAGTTGATGTTCGCCGCTTAGCATTGGCGGGCCTGGAGTCAGGCATCTCCCCTCAAACTCGGTTCTTCCCGAGTATGCTATTTCTGAACGAAGCTCGATGCTGGCGTGCCCGCGGCGGTGGTAAGTGGTGGTTGGTGGAGGTGGCACCACTTTCCCCATCGTACGACAAGAGAGCAGCACAACACCAACACGCGTCCGTGGCCTCGTGCAACCCCTTGGAGGGACAATTGTTTGTTTGTCCTTCCCCCGAGGACGAATCCGGACTGGAATGGCCGGTATCGCACATCTGGAGAGAAGCCATGTAAGGAGATTGAAAGGAGATGAAATGTGAGAAACCCACAATCGGCTTCCCGCGACTGCGTTCCTTCAGACTCTCCCGCCGTTGTTTTCCTTCTGTTTTGGCGCTGAAATGTCAACGCTCAAGACGCTCAGCCTTGAGGACTTCCGCAGCGACGATGCAGCGACTCGAGCCAAGTTTTGCGAGGACCTGCTGTGGTGTTTCAGCGAACAAGGCTTCGTGCACATCCGGGACCATGGCTTGAGTGCTGAATTTGTGGCGGAAGGGTTTCGCTATGTGAGTACTCCAGTGCCGCTGCCAGTGCCAATGACCCATGAGGATGCCGGCTCCTTTGCTTGATCTTGCCCCTGTCCATCCTCCCTGCTTCTTGCCGACCCTACCACATCGACCTCGTTCTAATCCGATGTGTCGTGTGGTTCCAGAACCGCGAGCTCTTTCGGCTTTCCAAGGAGAAGAAAATGACCTTCGCCCATCCACTCAAGCCCAACCCGCACCGAGGGTACAGTTTCGTCGGGCAGGAGAACATCTCGGCCATTAGTGGGTTTGAGAGGGGCGAAGAGGCGCCGGCCCGGGTGTTGGACCTCAAGGTATGTGGAACTAGTTATGGTTCTTCCAGTGTTCGTTTATCCGGGCCCTCACTCAGTGCTGACAATCCCCAGGAATCCTTCGACTGTGGTGCACCTGAAAACACGCACGACCCCAATGTCTGGCCCCAGGAGGGCGATCTGCCCGGGTTCAAGGACTACCTACTCGACTACTACGAGCGATGCCACTCGCTACAACTGGAGCTTTTGTCCGCACTCGCTCAGGGCCTAGGACTGCCCAACGACACATTTCTCAAAATGCACGACCAACGTGCTCACGAACTGCGTCTCCTCCACTACCTCGAGGTGCCTGCAGCGGCCGTGGCCGAGGCCGACAAGACACGCATCGCCGAGCACACCGACTTTGGCACGCTGACGCTGCTGATGCAGGACGGCTCCGGCGGGCTGGAAGTGCTCCACCCACGCACGCGACAGTGGTATCCGGCCGAGTGCGAGTTCCCCAATCTTACCGTTAATGTGGGCGACTCGCTGATGAGGCTACTGAACCGCCGTATTCATTCGGCCTGCCACCGCGTGCCGCTGTGTCGTTCGCGCATCCAGGGCGAAGTTATCCCTGCCCGTTATTCGATTGCTTACTTTGGCAAACCGAACCCGGACGCTTCGCTCAAGCCTCTCGATGCTCTCGTCACCGACGATTGGCCCTGTGCCTTTGACGACGTCACCGGTCGGCAATACGAGCTTCTAAAGCTGGGCAAGATTTATTCTTCTGGAGACTTGGAGCCCCCGCAGCTGCAGTTCAGCATTAACAGTGTGGCGAAACCTATCCTAGCATGATGAAGCTGAACTCCGTACCTAGAAGAGAGGCGACCTACGATTTCTTTTTTGCTTGTTGGTGTCTGATGACGCGATCAGGGGAAGTAGGACACATCCGCAAAACATTAAAGAGCCATGATTTACCTTGTCCATAAGGTATTTATTTGTCGCCGTCGTTAATTGGTTTTGCTGTCATTATAGTCCCTTGGTGTGATATGATCGAATGTTATCATGCTGACATGTATCGCTGTTGCTCCGCATTTGCTCTCTCATCTTTCTAAGGACCTCTCTCTCCCCCTTTTTGCTGTCTTGTTATGTCCTGTCCTATCCATCCTGCATTGCCTTGTAACTCTTATCCTGCGTCAATTCTGGCCACGACCAAGCAGGTTATAAGGCTGCTCCCGACTCACCAAGTACCTACACTACCTTTTTGACGGAGAACGAGGGGCAGACACTTCTCCAGCTAAGCCTGGCACCTAAGTACCCCCAAGACTCCTTGCCGGTTTGAACTGGACGTGTGACATACTGTACATGTACATAGTCATGCAACACTACAAGTGTTGCCCGTACACTGTGTGCCGGCTGACTCCCTACCAAGCAACCCTCCCAACCCCAGTATTAAGTAACTATTTTCAATCATGGAATTCTATTCAAGATGCACCTCCTCCTCCAGCCCCATTTTCATCCAACACCCAGCTGGGCCCGAGACCAAGCCCTGACGCCTCTGGATTTTGATCTTGAGACGTCCCATTCAGAAAGGAGACGTACATATTCGACACCAAGATGCAAAATCCCAGCTCACGGTAAGAGCTAAGAGTGTGGAATGTTCATGCTCCGTGTTGTCTACCGAAGGGTTTGGGGGTGTGGGGAGCCCTCGCTGAATATTTATTTATATGAGTGTGGCTCAGTTAATGCAAAGCAGTGGCTGGGCTGGTAGTCCATGAGTTTGGATTGCTCAAGTTCAACATATATATAAATTTAATATCCAATTTTGCTAGACCAACACATAAACACTAGGAAATAATTATCTAGTAACAAATCTACCGCATAAAACCAGACCAAATTTGTTCGCACCCCCATGCCGTTGCCCAAAATCAAACAACCTCCCAAAACCCACCCGCAACGCCGGAATTCATTCGCAACTCACACACGAAAGCTTTTTTCCAAACATCAAATCGCCCTTTTTTTCCATCTTCATTTTCTCAAATACTGTGCATGTTCACTCTTGATGGCACCTCTGGTACCACGTGCATCATGCACTTCAAAGCCTTGCTCGAGGATACCACCTTTAGAAAAGGCGATCTCGACATCAATAGTCGACTTGGTGACGGGGTCATAACCCAGTCCTGAACCAATGGGAGCAAAGTGAATGACCTGGGCCCCCTCAGCCAACAATTTGTCATCGAGGCGGAAATCCTTGATCAGAGTCTCGTCGTTGCCGGTGGTGAAGCGACGCAGATTGCTTTCAAAGTGGGCAAAGAATGTGCGGCAGAGATCTCGATCGACGATTCTGTCGTCGATGAGAGCGAAAGCATCGACTCCATAGTCGGTGATGGCACAGTCCAAGAAGAACGGATTGGGACTCTGTGCCATAGGGATTCGAAGTGGTCGGATCAAACCGATGCCGCTGCCCACGCCGGCTTTGTGGTGATTGTACGGGTTGACGGTGAGACCGAAACTTTGATCGATCGCGGCTTGAAGCTCGGGCGAGAGCGTGCGCAGCCTCTGCAGATCGCACTGTTCGTGAGCGATCATGCTGCGACATTGGGACTCTAGGTTGAGCAGGAACCAGCGGGCGCTCTTTAGCGGGTCAACCTTGATCCGCAGCGGCACCGTGGTCAGAATGGGGCCCATGATCCGCTCGATGTCGACCACTGGCGCATTGCGGCCGCTGAGTGTCAATTGAATGGTCACATCCGATGCGCCTGTCAGTTGGCAAAGGGCGAGACCCCACGAGGCGTAGATTGCCGTAGGCATCGAGATGTTTGTGCGTATCTTTGACCGCGGCAAGTGAACCTCCAAGTCGCAGATGGCGTTCGCCTCCACTGTTCGTCCATTGGGGTTTCCGAGCAATGGGGGAGGCTTGTAGCCGGCAAACTGCTCAAGCCAGAAAGCGTCTGAAGCAGCCCGATCCATATTTTGCATGTATCGGATGAATCGGTTGTACGGCACTTGGTCAAATGTCGGGCGGCCTTCGGCGTAGGCCTTCTCAAGACTGGCCCAGAGCAAGGCGTAAGCCCAGGCGTCATAAGTCGAGTGACAAGCCGTCGTACAGAAGTACTTGTTGCCAGTCTCGTTGTCCGAGATAATACCGACACGAGTCAGTGGTGTGCATTCTCCAAGCGGCTCGGCATCCTCCATGGCATAGTACTCGCGGAGGCTCTTGGCCTCTCTCCAGGGCGACGTCTCCTCTTTCTCGACGATTTGGAACCAGCGGCCATCAGTGAATTGGACGACACGAGTCCGAAGAATGGCATGGGATTCCACCACATAGTCCCAAGAAGCCTTGAGCTTCTCGATGTCAACGTGATCGGGAATCTGGAATGCAGTGAGCAGCGAGGTCACACCGGGTCTCTGCGCAGAAACTTTGAGGAAACCAATCTGCGCTGGCGTGGCGGGATACAAGTCTTCGATCGTGTCCACATCCAGACCGCACTTCTGTGCCAGTGCGAGCTTGATAGCCTCGACGTCTTCGCCTTCCATGAGCGCATATGGGGGAATTTCGGCACGCTCGGACGCGTTGAGATCAGACATGTGCGTAGACATCTCATCCAACTGCTGGTGCTGAAGGATGTCGGCAACTGTCAAGCTGAGGCCTTTGGATCGAGCCAAAGACACCAGACGAACAGCTGCCATGGAGTCTCCTCCAAAGCCGGAGAAGGTGTCGCCTGCAGAAATATGGCTGGCGTTGACACCAAGAATTTCGGCCCAAAGGTCTCGCAACCGCAACGCCGACTCCGTGGTAGGCTCATGCACCTCACCACGGCCCGGGTTGACGGCGAGTCGGGACAGTTCCTCCATGGTAAGCCGTACACAGAGGCTTTGAAGGTCCTTATGATCGATCTTCAGGTTGCTGGAAGCCGGGATTTTGTTGACTGGTAGATAGAATTGTGGGACCATGAACTCGGGCAAGACCGCGCTGAGCTCCTTTTGGATGCCGGCGACGAGTTCTTCAAGACGTTCACGAGCCTCCAATGAGTGCATCAAGCGAGTGCTCACGGTGGCCGCGTTGGCATCGGGAATGGCGACAAACACGACCAATAGCGGACGCTCGCGACCTTGTGGTCTGACAAGCTCTGTGGCCACCTTGGTTCCCATAGGCAGCACTCTCACCAGTTGATAATCAATCTCACCCAGATCCACGCGCTGACCGTTGAGCTTGACTTGCATATCGCGGCGGCCCAGCACACGGATACTACCATCCGGCTCATACACACCAAGATCTCCGGTGGCATAGATTTTTCCACTGCCTGAGCCTTGAGCCCATTGTGGTCGGTCAAGGAACACCTTGGCTGTTGTCGTCGGGTCGTTCAAATAGCCGCGAGCCACAACAGGTCCATCCACCAGGATTTCTCCCACAGTGCCAAGAGGCATCAGGCGGTTGTAGTTGATGGGATCCGCAATCCACATGGAGCAGTTGAGGCCCCATCCGATATTGGCTGGTGAATCATCAGGCTTGAGGCCATTGCGCCCAGCACACCACACAGTGCATTCTGTGGGGCCGTAGACATTGATCAGATCCGTGTGTTCAGCCCACATGTTCACCAATTCTCGGGTCAGGGCCTCTCCACCTAAAGACAGAGTCTTCAGAGGCGTATCAGACGGGTGCAAGAGCTTGGCGACGGTAGGAGTCAGGGACGCTTGATTGATGCCCATGGCTTTGATGGCACCTGCGAGATTGTTGAGTCGGTCATGTTCACTAGGCATACAAATGCAGGCACCATGAAGCAGGTTGGCAAACATTTCGCCGACACAGAAATCCCAGGTGAAGGAAGCAAACTGCAAGTATCGAGAAGTCGAGTTCTTTCCTTGCACGGCGGCTTGAGCGGGCAGACCGGAGGCTGCGTTTCGGTGCTCAACAACAACTCCCTTGGGCTCTCCGGTTGAGCCAGAAGTAAACATAATGTAAGCTGCACCGGTTGACTCCACGTGGACCTGTTTCAATTGCGGAGAGGCGGCAGGCAGACTACGTACCATCTCAGGAGAAACAACCACAGTCTCAGCCGCGGAGTCCGCGAACAAAGCTTTGAGGTGAGGAGCCACGAGAACAAGAGGTGCCGAAAGACGTTGGATAAGAGAATGAAGACGACTCTTGGGATGCGCAGAGTTGAGTGGTGCCCATACGCCGCCTGCTTTCCAGATTGCGAGGATGGAGACCACCGCCCAGATGGATTTGTCGAAGCAGAAAGCCACGAAAACTTCGGGCCCGACGCCACGTTCCATAAGAACTTGACCCAGGCGATCGGAAAGCTCGTCAAGCTCTCCGTATGTCAACTTGCCGTCCCATGATTCGACAGCCGGCGCGTCAGGAGTGGCAGCGGCCTGTTTGCGGAACATCTGATGGATTGTGGTTTCATTTGGAGAGACCTTATCCTGAGCATGCCAAGTTTGAATCTGAGACATGTCTGCAGGACCAACGAGCTGTAGGTCTTGAAGCTTAGTGTTGGGCGAGGTGGCCAACTGTCCGATGATGTACTCGAACTGTTTCATCAGTCTGATAATAAGGTCGTGGCTCAGCAGTTCAGAGTCGTAGGATACATTGACCGAGATCTCGTCATCCTCCAAAGTACACGACGCGGTGATGGGGAAGGTGTATAGGCCAGCGACCTTGACAGGTTGAGGGGTGATACCCATGCGCTCAATAGTCATATCAAGCGACGAGGCGCCACCAGCCTGGAAGACCAACAGAGTCCGGAGAGCAGAGGCCGCTTTGGCGTCAGGACTTGCCTTGCGGATGTTCTGGAATCCGAACTGCATGTATGGAATGATGTCGGTCGAGTTTGTTTTGATACTGTTCAGGTACTCGGACACAGTTGCGGCTGGATCATGCTGGACGCGGAATGGGAAGTTGGCAATGGCGGAGCCGATCATGTTCTCGATACCGGCAACGGGTGTAGTGCGTCCACTGACCACGACGCCGAACGTCACGTCTTGCGAGCCCTCGTGGAGACTCATCAGCAGACCCCAGGCAGCCTGGAGTAGTGTAGCGGTGGTTGTGTCCGAGTTGGCTGTTTTGACAAACTTGATGTTGGTCGTGAGCTCCGAGTCCGCCACCGACCGATAACCAACCTGAGGCAATGGCGGGAAGGCCGGTGGTTTGGAGCCATCGAGGTAATTTCGCCAGAACTCTAGGTTCGCCTCTTCGGTCTGCTCTCCAAGATATCTGATCAGATGGTTGACACCAAGAATCGGCGACTGGGGCATGTCAAAGTAGGCCTCTTGCACGGCGCGCCAGATGTTGGTGACGCTCCAACCGTCGTATCCAGCATGATGCATGGTGAGGACCAGATATCGAACAGCGTCCTCACCCTCTTGCTCCTCTCCAAGGATCGCCATTGCATAGAGAGCTTTTCCGAGACCCATGACTTCCACGCTTCTTTTGTAGGCTTCCACATCCGTCCCAGGGATGCGCTTGATTTCGAGGGGAGCCTTGGCGACCACTTGCAAGAATCCGGCAGAATCGGTGTGAACAATCCTGGTTCTCATCGTCTGGCACCTGGATATAGCGTCTAGCCAAGCGAGCCGGAACTTGGCCATGTCAACTGACCCGGCCAGGCCGTAGACGAAGTGGGCGTTGTAAGTGCCGACGTCCTGCAATGATGCCACCATCATACCCTCTTGCAGTGGGGTTGTTGGATAGACGTCTTCTATCTCGTGAATGGCGAGGTTGGCTTGTTGTGCGACTTCCTGCAGCAGCACGCTGATGTCTTCGCTCTTAACTAGTGAGAAAGCAGGAGGTGAGCGGACCACGGCTCCGAACGCGGTCTTGGTGGCAGCTGAAGCCATCTCCTCCAGCGTCGGGTTGTCAAAGATCTTGGCGACGGTCAACCCGATGTTCTCTGCTCGTGCAGCCGAAACAAGTTTCACCGCAGTAAGCGAATCACCACCAAGTCGGAAGAAGGAGCTGTTTTTGCCAATAAGGTCGGCTTCCACCGATAGGGTGGAAGCCCACAAGGCTTGAAGTCTGAACTCAGCTTCAGTGGTAGGTGGCACCAGCTTGTGGCCGACCGACGAGTCTTTGATGGAGAGATGGAAGTCATGGTCGATCGCAAGTTTCTTCAGAATCTTGCGGTCAATCTTGCCAGAGCTCAACATGGGCATCGTGGCCAAGAAGAAGCAAATGGTTGGAATCATGTATGAAGGAAGTGTCTTCTGGAGATCGTCGTACAGGGTCGCGATGTGGTTCTGCAACTGAGTCGACACTTCGCTCACCAATAGCCCATCATTCGTGTTTGGATCTTCCTTGTTGGTAGGCGGGTACCGGAGAAATAGCGCAATTGTTGGTTGATCAAGGCGGCCCCCAGGGGTCACCACTTCAGCCGCAATATCCGGCTGGGGACCAAGTGCGACGCGCACCTGGTATTCAATCTCGCCCAGTTCGATTCGCAGACCCCGAAGCTTGATTTGAGTGTCTTTGCGGCCAATGAAGTCGATAAGTCCGGTAGACTTGTATTTGACCAAGTCTCCAGTCAAGTAGATACGGCTGGGTTTCTGTCGGTGGAACGAGTCCAAGAAAGTAGGATTCTCGATGAATGCCGCGGCCGTCTTGGCTGGGTCTTTCAGGTATCCGGACGCCAGAATCGGCCCTTCAATTGCCAGTTCTCCAGTAATGCCAACCGGAACGAGACGGTTATGGTTGTTGGGGTTCACGATCCAACTCACACTGCCCAAAGCCTTTCCGATGGTGTGTGGTGAGAAGTCTGGGGAGTCGACTTCAGTGACCATGTTGCAAACGGCGGCCTCCGTGACGCCGTAGGCGTTCAAAAGATGGACTTTGCCAGCCCATTCCTCGATTAGATCTTTCCTAATGGGTTCGGCACCAAGAACCAGCATTTTGAGATGTGGAACATCGGTTGGTTTGACCGCCTTGGCAAAGGAGGGCGTCAAGATTGCAATGGTTACGGCCATCTCATTCATGGCCTCCACCAGTGTGTCCAGACGTTGGCTTTCTGATGGTGTGCAGATACAACCGCCGTTTGCCAACGTCGAAAAGATCTCGACAATGCTGATGTCGAAGGTATAAGCAGAGAATTGCAAAGCACGGGAGGATTTCTGAAAGCCAAAGGCGCCGTGTTGGCTGATGCTGGTGGAGATGGCGCGGTGCGAAGTCAAGACGCCTTTTGGTTTTCCGGAACTTCCTGACGTGAAAAAGCAGTATGCCGTGTGGTCCGGTGTGACCATGACTGAATCCAGGCCATTTTCCCGTGTGGGGAGGCTGTGGACAAAGCTCGAAGAAACGCTGACCGTCTTGCAGGCAAAGTCAGCAAAAAGGCCGACAGTTGCGGGCGACCCAAGAACCATGATTGCTTCAGTATCTCCGATGCATTCGCGGAGACGTTCAGCAGGATGCTTGCTGTCCAGAGGACAGTAAGCGGCTCCTGCCTTCAGAATGGCAATCATCGAGACCACAGCCCAGATTGACTTCTCCATGCATATAGGAACGATACTGCCAGTCGTCACACCCTCCGCAATGAGCTCACTTGCAAGCTTGGACGACAATTCATCGAGTTGGTCATAAGTAAGGTCACCATCCCATGCTGTGATTGCAGGTGCATTCGGCTGGGTCACTGCCACTGATTGGAAGAGCTCATGGAGGCACTTATCGACTGGCTCGACCATATCACCATTGAACCGGGCAATGTCAGACAAGTCGCCAGGAACCGTTAGATCGAGGTCTCGTACGAGACGGTCCTCATCTGGAACGTCCAGCTGTTCAACCAAGTGTACAAAGTGCTCAAGGAGTCTCCGGGCTTGCGCAGGGGGAAGCGCTGCGCTGTCATGGTTGAGATCCAGGAGATATCCTTGGGGGTTGAAAGTGCACTGAAGCACAAAGGGGTAGGTGTGGAATGGCTTGAAGAAGTCCTTGTTGGCGGTCGGACAACCAAGGAAAGTGGCGTGAGACTTGTTGAAGTCGTCCTCGGGATTCTGAATGACCAGCAACGCCTTGAAGCTGCAAGCGATCTTGGCATCCTCAGAGACCTTTTGGATATTCTGCAATCCCGTATGCTCGTAAGGGATGATATCGAATGACTGTTGTTGGACCTGCTGTAGGAGCTGCGCAATCTTCATATCCTGGGCAAAGGAAACGCGGACTGGAGTTGTTGCCAGCGTGGGTCCTGCGATCTCCGCAATCTCTGGGAGAGGAGCGGCACGTCCAGACTGGGTACAGCCGTAAACGACGTCGTCAAGGTCGGAGTACTGGCCCAGAACGAGAGCTAGAGCAGTGCGCACGAGGGTCGCCCCGGTCACTCCAGTCCCCTCACGCTTGTTAAAGTTGACTTGGATGCTCAAGACCGCCTCTTGGAACTCGGCTCCTGGAGTCTGGGGAGGGAATACCGCGGGAGGCGACCCTTGAAGCTGCTTCCGCCAAAACTCCTCCACTGCATTGCGGTCGATCGACTGAAGGTATTTGATGAATCGGTTGAAATATACCGGCTGCTTTGTTGCCAGACCATGATAAATCTCTTCCACTCTCCGATAGATTGGTTGCACTGACCAGCCATCGTACACAGCGTGATGTGCAGAAAACACCAGAATTCGTCCCTCGACGATGGCAAATCGTGATAATGGCTGGCCCGTGGTCATTCCCAACGCCCGATCATCTGCGAGGTATTTAGCCTTGTCCCGGTCCTCTCTCCACAGGAGCTTGGTTTTCACAACCGCCTGCATCATGCCCTGACTTTGACTCGGGAAGAGACGAGTACGCAAAATTGGCACTTGTTGATATGTCATCTCCCAAGCGGCACGAAGACGGTTCATGTCAATATGGTCAGGGATCTGGAAGGCAAACTGGGCCATGTAGGAGCTTTGCTCCTTCTGGGAGAGGGCGAGTAAGCCTTCTTGGAGAGCAGTAGCGGGATAAAGATCCTCGATTTGATCATCATCAACCTTGCACGCCTTTGCTGCTTCTTTACGCAGAGATGAAACGTCGTCCACGAGCTCGAACCTAAGTACTTCATCGCTGTCTTGCTGAAGCGGCTTGGCGGCCAGAGCCATGTCTGCAAGCACAGAATTCTTGAAAACAGTATCGACTGACAGTTCGAGCTTGTTTTGTCGAAGCATCGCGACCAGGCGCATTGCCGTGATGGAATCCCCTCCTAGACGGAAGAAGTCATTTTCTCGTCCAAAAGTAGCGGAGTCGATGTTGAGCAATTGAGCCCAGACTGTCTGAAGAGTCCTCTCCATATCCGTGGTCGGGGCGGATACTAGTTGGCTGGAAGCCGACGAGTACTTGGACAACTCTTCAACCGACATGCTGCGCGCAAGTTTCTGCAACTTGCCTCGGTCGGTCTTTGCCGAAGCTGTGAATGGCATCAGGCGAAGCGGGAGATATGCTGATGGAATCATATGCCTAGGGAGGACATTCTCTAGCTTCTCATAGATGCCCTCCATGGCATTGTTGTAGAGCTGTCGGTCATGATCTGACGTGACAATTTCGGGGAGGGTGTCACTTGTAGCTTTACCACATTGTTCAGTGGGGAGAACTCCAAGGAATGCAACTAGCATCGGAGGTGCAGTGCCCTCGGAAGGTCGCACCATTTCCACGGCGACTTCGGTGACATTAGGCATAGATAATCGAAGCTGGTGCTCGATCTCTCCCATCTCAATTCGCTGGCCTAGTGCACAAGGTTTGTCAGTACAGGTACAATCTCGGCGCCAACCCGTAGCTTACCTCTGAGCTTCACTTGTGTGTCTCGTCGACCGGCGTAGTGCACTTTGCCATCGGGCAGATAACGGACAAGATCGCCCATTTTGTAGAGCTTCCCAGTCGGCCGGTCCTTGGGCAACCACGAAGGAGCGGAAATGAACGCCGCTTGCGTTTTCTCGGGATTGTTCAAATACTATGATTAGTGGTCAGCCTGTGTCACTCAACAGATGTCGAATTCAGTACATACACCATCAGCGACGTTAGGACCTTCGACAATCAGCTCTCCGATCGTTCCTATCGGGGCCAGCTTGTTGTGGTCGTCCGGATCAACTATCCATGTGTTGCAACCGATGCCGAAGCCGATGTTGTGTCCTGATGCATGGGCATCGATGCCAGGCTCGCAATGTGTCCAGATAGAACATTCTGCTGGACCGAAACTGTTGATCAGGTAGACCTGAGGAGCCCATGTTGACACGTTGTGTGGAGTGGCTGTTTCACCACCGAAGAGCAGGGTCTTGAGCGTCGGAACTTCTGCCGGATTCAACAAAGAAGCCACACTTGGAGTGAGGAAGGCCCAGTTGACACCCATACGTTCCATGGCGGCAGAAAGTCCGTTCATCCTTTCAGAATCCGATGGGACACAGACGCAAGCTCCGACGGCCAAGGAAGTAAATATCTCACCGATACTAACGTCGGATGTGTATGCTGTGAATTGGAGATTATTGGAACCTGGGCCACCGTAGCGGAGGACCTCTGCATGACCGCGGATACTGCTAGAGAACGATGAATGAGTAATGTTGATTGCCTTCGGCTTTCCAGTGCTGCCAGATGTGAACAAGATGAAGGCCGTGTCAAGAGCAGTGGGGTTGGCTCCTGACGGCCTGGAGGTATCGGCCGCTTGCTCAACGCGCAGAGTGGCGATCAGATGATCATCGACAACAAGAAGGTTATGGGATAGAGACGATGCCTTATCGGCCCACTTGCCACTGGAAATCACTAGGTCTCCCTGCACATCAGCAACCAACCCACGAAGCCTTTCCAGCGGGTGAGCAGGGTCGAGAGCCACACAAGCGCCCCCAGCTTTGAGAACACCAATCATGGTAACGATGGTGTAGATTGACTTTTCGAAAACCAAAGGCACGAGAAGACCTGGCCGGACACCCCTTTGTCGCAATTGGACTGCCAGGGCGGCAGCTAGGTTGTCCACTTCACGGTAACTCAGTTCACCTTCCCAAGAGCGAACAGCAGGGTTGCTCGGATGCTGTTTGACGCTTTCCTCGAAGAGTGCATGGACACATGTGGTTTGCAGCGGTGGTGGTTGAGGATTCCACACTTTAAGCTGTGCGGCATCCAAGGGACTGATGAAGTTCAAGTTGGCAATCTTACTTTGTAGCACCTGTGGCTCGTGTAGGTGAAGCAACAGTTGCTCTAACTGGGCCGACAATCGCTGCACTTCAATGGGCTGGAAGATTTTGGGATCATATTCGACCGTCAGACCGATAGTTTCCCTGCCAACAACAGCTTCTACACTGATTGCAAAGGTGTGGAAGGGCCCAACATCTTCGTCCACCAACTGCAAGCCGAGTGCTCCAGCTGTAGCTGCGGTGGTCGACTCGGATTCTGGCTGGATCATCAAAAGTGTCTGGAAGTCGCATGCCTGCTTGATTTGGGGAGACAGACGACTGACGTTGTAGACGCCGTATTGCTCGAAATCCATCATCTCAGTCGCCTGTCTCTGGATAGCGGCGAGTAGATCGTCCACTGTCTGATTATCCTTGTCCATCTTGACGCGGACGGGAACAACCGCGGTGGTAGGCCCGATAATGGACGTGATTCCAGGGATATCTGCCGACCTACCGTTTAGGCTTGCTCCAAAGACGACGTCGTTGGTGTCGTCGGAGTATCTGGCAAGGAGAAGAGCCCATGCGGCCCGGATGATGGTTGCGTCGGTGTAGTCAGAGACGTTCCGGCCTGTTCTGATCGTGGATCGATGGTGGGCACTGGCAGCGGGCTGGTAGGATAGTGAGGGTAGGCGGGGATATGACATGATTGGTGCATCCGTCATTTGCTCTTTCCAGAAGGATACACATGACCCTTCGTCCATGCGAAGGAAGAGGCTGGAAAAGGAGTTGAAGCCCACCACCGTATCAGTGCCAAGCTCTTCGCCCAAATACACCTTTTCAACGTCCTCGAATAGTCGGAGTAGGGACCATGCATCATACGCAGACCGATGCAGAGTCAGCACAAAATACGTGGGTTGATTACCAATTTCATCGTCAATGAGGGCATACCGGCAAAGGGGGCTGCCCACGGTTACCGGGTTCGTCTTGTCTCTTTGTAAGTAGTCGTGTAGGTTGGAGCTGGTCTGCCACTTGGGGGAGTACTTGAGTACCGCCTGCATCAAGCGTCCCGAGTTGGTGTAGAAGAAGCGTGTCCGCAAGATTGGGGACCGTTTACACACCACATCCCACGCCGTACACCATCGATCACGTTCAATGCCAGTAGCTAGTGTCATGGTCATCTGTCCAAGATATGTGCCTGGGTTCTTTGCTGATAGCGCCATGAGAGCATTCTGTAGGGGCGTTGCCGGATAGATATCTTCGATGTCAGCTCGATCGACCTCACAGGTTGATGCGGCTTGTTCGATTGCTGCCTCCACAGACAGATTAACCGCTGGGACGAGCTCAAATGGCAACAAATTCGAGTCTTGTGTATCAAATCCGGCTTCCACGACCTTGGCCATGTCAGCGAGCACCGGGTTCTGAAAGATGTCCTGGACCTTGAGTCTGAAGCCTGCTTCACCGGCTGCGGCGACGAGTTTCATAGCCACGATACTATCACCACCAATGCGGAAGAAACTATCATCAGCTGAAATCTCCTGAGCAGGAATATTCAGGACCGCGGCCCAGAGATCGTGCAGCTGCTGTTCTGCCCGGGTGCTTGGTGCTCTTCTGTTGGCCTCCTTGCGGTGGAACGCAAGCAGTTCTTCGATCGACAGCTCCGCAGCCATCTGTCGCAACTTCTTCCGGTCAGTTTTGGAAGTACCGGTATATGGCAGTTGCGTGACAGGAAGAAAGACGCTGGGAATCATGTACGAGGGCAAGGACATGGACAGCTGGTTCTCGAGGCCTTCGATCTGCGACATCAGCCACGCCTTGTCCTCGTCCGTGTTTGCTATCGCTGGAACAGGAGCGGGCACATTTTCGGTGAGAGGCCGGGCAATAAATGCCACGAGAAGGATGTCGTTGTCGGTGGCACTGCCCTTGATGCCTTCAACAGCAAGCTCAAGTTGTGGCAGATGCTTTCGTAGTTGAGTTTCAACTTCTCCTGTCTCAACTCTCTGTCCACGGATCTTCAGTTGGGTATCGGCTCTGCCCATGATTTCGAAAGATCCATCCGGGTTGTACCGTGCAAGATCGCCTGTTCGATAGAAACGTCGATCAAGGCCATCAAAGAGATCCGAAAGGGGCCCGGAAACTGACCATATGGGGTTGTGGATAAACACCTCTGCAGTGAGGGTGGGCTTGTTAAGGTAGCCAGTGGCGAGGGTAGGGCCTTCTGCGAGAACTTCCCCAATGACTCCCACGGGAGCCAAGGAGTCAGGGTCTTCCTTGTCCGTGATCCACAGTCGGGATCCAACTGCTCGACCAACGTTGCCTAAGCTTTGGGTGCTGGTGAACTTAGGGTTGGCTGAACACATGATAGTCGTCTCACTTGGCCCGTAGACATTAACAAGGTTGATTCGTGATGCCCAAACACGAACACAATCATGGGTCATTCTCTCACCGCCCATAGCCATCAGTTTGATTGAGGGCAGATCATCGGGATTGAGCTGCGCGCCCACCGTAGGTGTAAGGAAGGCACAATTGACTTGCTCGTCTTGAATAAACTGGGAGAGGCGGTTACTGCGGTCGTCGTCGGTGATGACACAGAGTCGAGCGCCACTCAGGAGTGCGGCAAAGAGCTCTCCGTAGAAGGCGTCGAAGGCGAAGGAAGCAAACTGGATCAGTCGCGAGTTTTCATTCATGTCCAGTACTTCGCACATCGCCAGAATGCTCGAGCAAGCAGCACGATGGGAAATGACGACACCTTTGGGTTCACCGGTGCTGCCGGATGTGAAGGTGAGGAAGGCGGTTTTGTTCGGCGAGGTAACAGGCAGATCCAGATAGGAGGCGTCGTCCAGTGTTGCGATGAGCCCAATATCAATGACTTCCAGGTTAAAAGCCTCGTCGGCGTCAAAACGATCACATTGCTGAGGAGAGCTCAGGACGAGTCGTGGTGACGCTTGTTGCAAGATACTGGCAGCGCGATGCTCAGGAATGGTGGGGTCCAGCAGGAGAGTGGCCCCGCCTGCTTTCATGACCGCAAGCAGCGAGACAATTGTCCATACTGACTTCTCAAAACAGAGAACGACTAAGTCGCCTGGGGCAAAATCATCGCGGAGGTTGAGGATGGATGCAGCAAGTCTCGTCGAAAACTGGTCCAATTGCTCGTAGTTGACCTGGCCGTCCCAAGCAGTGACTGCGGTGAGTTGCGGGTATTTCAGGGCCGTTTCATGGAAGAGTTGGTGCAGACACCTTTCTTCCCTGCGGGGTGGTGACGAGTTCCATCGAGCGATGGTAGCAATGTCCTCCGGAGAAAGAGAACGGATCTGCTTGATGGGTATCGCGATATCCTCGGTGAAGACTCGCGTCATGACATAATGCAGTTGATGCAGAAGTCGTTGGACGAACTCTGCACTCAGCAAATCCTCGTCCCAGTTTGCGGAGAGAGTGAAGGCGGAGCCAGCAATACCGCATCGGATACCGAAAGCGAAAGTGTGAAAGGCAGTGCCATTGTGTGCTTGAAGCTCTTGGAAATGAAGATCACCACGCTCGCCGTTTTCACGCTCAAGTTCCACCATGAACAGGTTTTGAACCGCACAAGCCGCACGTGCACCTTCACCAAGTCGTTGGATGTTTTGCATACCATATTGTTCGATGCGGATCAACTTGGCAGTCTGCACCTGAATGTCGTCGAAGAGTGCCCTCAAGTCTTTCTCCTTTGGGATTTTGACTCGCGCAGGCACAGTGGCAAGCGTTGGAGCGATCAATTTGTCAATTCCGGAAACAGGAGCTCCTCGGCCATTGCTGACGGAGGCAAACACAACATCCTCAGAGCCAGCATAGCTGGAGAGCACCAATGCCCACGCGGCGCGTGCTTTAATGGCGTCCGGGTAGCTTAAGCTGCTGAGGCTGCACTGGGCTCGTGGAAGCTCAAAGGTTAGAGTTAGAAATCCCTTGGGATTGGCCATATGCCCGATCGGCACGCTTGGGAAGTCGGTGATGGGGGACGAGTCAAGCTCTCTCGACCACTCACTCTTGATGAAGTCATGATCAAGGGAGATGTGATGTAGGAAGCCGGAGAAACTGACTCCTGGCCGGGGTCGAGAGCCAGCATAGACGCGGGCAACTTCATCAAGCAGGAGATCGAGGGACCAGGCGTCATGGATCGCATGGTGGATTGTCAGCACAAAGACGGGCCCCTTTTCTGGGTCCTGGACAATGGCGAACCGCGCAAGGCGATCGTTTAGACCCATCGATACCTCAAAATCTTGTTGTAGGTATTCGTTGAGGCCAATATTGACGTGGCGCCATTCCAGGTCCTCTTCCACGATAACCTGCAGCATTTGAAGTTGAGCGCTTTCAAATATGCGGGTCCGCAGGCAACTGGCGGTGTGGAGAGCCACTTCATTCCATGCCTTGGTGAAGCGGTCGATATCGATCGTGCCTAGAAGCGGGTAAGCCTTTTGTAAAACGTACGTACCTTGATGGCGAATTGAAAGAGCGAACAGCCCTTCCTGAAGCGGCGTGCATGGAAGAATATCTTCAATATTGGCAGCATCAATGCCGCATTTGGCTGCGGCAATGTCTCGCGCGCTCTCGGCCTCGGAGCCGAGGAGGGCAAAAGGCACGAATTCGTCGTTCTCGACGCCTTCCATGGCGCGGCAGGCACGAGCCATATCAAAGAGAGTCGGATGGCTTAGAATATCGGAGACGTTCAGGGAGATGTTGGCCTGACGGCCGAGGACCGCCAGCCGCATGGCGGAAATGGAGTCACCTCCCATACGGAAAAAGTGGGAACTTGCGTCGATTGTCTCGATATCATCCAGCTTGAGCACAGTTGCCCATAAATCCCGGAGTTTTTGTTCGGCAGGGGTGGTGATTGGCCTTGCAGTGACATGGCGCCTGGTAGCATTGAGATCCCTAGTGGTAAGGCGGGACGCGAAGCCTCGAAGGCGTTTGCGGTCGAGCTTGCCAGACGCTGTCAGAGGGAGCTCGGTGCGGAGCGGGATGAGAATATTTGGAATCATGTAGGGCGGGAGGTTTTCGGCCAACCTATCCTCCAAACCAGCTACGAGGGCCTCAAACCGCTCCACATCTGCCGCCGAGGTGGCCAAGACGTCTCCATGCGAGGACACAGTGGATGAGGTGGCCAGTGAAATGAAGGCGGCAATGTTTGGTGTGTTTCCCCCATCTGCAAGGTTGACAACCTCCGCACAAAAGGCGGTATCGGGTGGCAGGCAGGATCTGAGCTGATCTTCGATATCCCCGAGCTCGATTCGTTGGCCGCGAACCTTGACCTGAGTGTCAATGCGACCAATGAACTTGTATGTTCCATCCAGGTTGTATTGTGCATAGTCGCCCGTCAAGTAGTATTTCTGGGCGGCAGGATCCGAAGCTGCTGGGAAAAGCGAGCGCCATGCAGGTGTTGCCACAAACGTCTCAGCAGTCTTTTTCGGGTCATTGAGGTACCCAGACGCCACCATGGGACCTTCAGCGAGAAGCTCGCCGACTGTCCCCACGGGCGCGAGCTGGTTGTAATTGTTCGGATCCACCACCCACATAAGTCCACCTTGGGCGGTGTGGAGTGTGTTAGGGGCATCGCCCGGGGCAAACTGGCCATAGCCACACATTCCGGCTGCTCGAGGATCAGCACTGGCCATATCAGCACAGGTCAGGGGGATATACCTTCAGTGGGACCGTAACCAGCAATGACACGCTTCAGAGGAAGCCATTCATCCAAGAGAGACTGAGGGATCGCCTCGCCTCCGAGGTACAGAGTCTCGAGGTCAGGTAGATCGCCAGGTTTGAGCAGTTGTGCCACTGTCGGGGTGGCATAGATGAAGTTGATCTTCATCTCTTGCATAACTCCAGTAATATTGTTCATTCGCTGCTCCTCAGAAGGAATGCAAACGATGCCCGCACCGATTAGTGTGGTAAGAATCTCGTACATGGAGTGGTCAAACGTATAGGATGAAAATTGCAAGACCCTCGAGCGCTCTGGGATCTGCATACTTGCTGAATGGGCGATAATGGCAGATGCAAAGTCGCGGTGGCGCATGATAATGCCTTTCGGGGTTCCCGTCGATCCTGAAGTGAAGATGATCACTGCCGTGTCTTCAGGACTGACGGAGGGTAGTCGCGTGGGGGTGACCTCGGGAAGAGATTTCAAGAGCGAATGAGATATTTCTAGGACGTTTTCGACACATGGTGTGAATTTTGAAGTCCACTCTGGGGACGCAATGACCGTGGACACCTCCGCGGCATGAAATATCTTCTGTAAACGAGTGACTGGGTGGGAAGGATCAATGCCGATGTAGGCAGCGCCGGCCTTAAGCACGGCGAGTTGAACAATTGGAACGAGAAGAGAACGGCTGAATGCTAGGGGGATACGTGAACCGGCACCGATCCCACGAGTTCCCAAGTAATGAGCGAGTTTGTCAGAAGCTGACTGTAGCTGGTTGAAAGACATGACGCCGTCCCAGGCCTCAATGGCGAGTTGGTCACCAAGGCGATCAGAAGTTTTCCGTACCATATCATGGAGAAGTGCATTGTGAACCGAAGGCACAACAGGATTCCAAGCCGCTATCTGGGCCATGTCCTCGGCAGAGCAAAGCTCAAGTTGGGAAAGTTGAAGATCCTGATTTGACTTGGAGCTGAGCGTGCGCATGACATGTCCAAGCTGGGCCACGATTCGGTCGACTTGTGGGAGGGAAAGACTCTCCTCGTCGAATCTCGCCGAGACTCGACAAGAATTCTCTGCAACATCGGTAACAGTGAAGACGAGGGCCCGGGATTTCCAGACATTATGGTCGTTGGGGAGAGTGTCTGCGAAAGGAGAGAATAGAATTGAAGTCTGATATCCGCATGCTGCGAGAGCATCCTCGCTGAGACGTGCGATCGCCTGCTCGCCGATGTTTCCATTCTGTAGCACTGATACCTGAAGCTGTTCCACGTTCTGCAGGTAATCGGACACCGAGATATTGGAAGGCACAGAGATGCGAAGTGGGAGTGTGGGCCGGATTTGGTGTTGTAGAGGCAAACGAGCGTTGCTGCCAAAGCCCCAAATCACCTCCGAGGCCAGCGCGGTGTAGCGAGCCAGCAGTAGGGCCCAGGCAGCACAGGCGATGGTCTCAATGTCTTGCAGCCTGGGGCCCTCGCCCGATGCTTGCAGTTGAACCTGCCGAGCAACGCCCAGCTCCCTGTTTGCGGCGGACACGTGGGTGGAACCAGAAGGGAAGCCGGCCGGTGGGGGTTCACGGAGGAATTCGCGCCAAAACCGCTCCGCGCCGATTTCCGCTGAAACGCCATCCACGTCTTTCTCGCAGGGTGTGTCATCCGAGAACGATATGGCATCCTCGGGAGTCTCGGTGTCGCCAACCTCGTCTGACATTAGTTGGCTGGAGATGCTGCTTGCAGATGCGACCTCAATCTCAACACCGAGTTTGCTGGCATCCCGCGCCGCCGTTACCGCAGCCAATTGCTCAATCACCTCCGCTTCCACCGCATTTCCAGCCGGTAGCCGCGAGAGGTTCGTGGCCGACTCGAGGATGTCGCTTTCGAGCACCCATTCGGCCGGGCTCAAGAACATCGCCGGCGCCATTTGTTGTTGTTGTCGGGAATTTTGGATTGGGCCTCCGCGGGGGAGGTCGTATATTCCTAGAGAGTCGATAGACGATAAAGATTCACCCGCCGTCGCCCTCACATGAGTCCTTGCATCCCCTTGACATAGCAACGTTGCCGCAAGGGCTGATTATGGCCATTGTTGGCGATCCCATCCCGTCCCAAGAGTAATGGTCTCAGAACAAGGTGCGCCCACTTTGGTGACCAGTTCATTGTATTCTGCTCTTCCGCGCGAAGCGTGTAATTTGCGTGGACTGGGGCCAACATCCCGAAAAACCGGTGTTGTGTCGGTTTGTCTTGCTGTGGGCGACAGCTTGTCTGGACTCTACAAATACAAAAGTGGTCCCACGGCCTGCGTGGTCCTCAGTCGATCAGGGTCACCAAGAGGGTCCAACGGGGTACCTGGTGGCTCCACATACTGTAAGACGGGGGTGGTTGGCCTCAGACATTAAAACACATTAGTATTGAAGCTAGGGATTTCCGATAGCCACCGCCCTTGACCGAGCAAGACGCGCGGACAACGGGAAGCGCTTGAAGCACTCTGGTTGTGCTCGTTCTCTCTCTGCGGACCACGTTCTGATCGAGCATGATTACAAGGTGATGGAGAAGTGGGGTTTGACGTGCCAATTGTTGAGTGCTGCACAGCAAATCTGTATTCCTGTGGACCATCAATGATGACCCTACGGACGCGGTAGGCTACCACAACGTACACTACTGATAGTAGTGGTCTCCTATACCCTTGGAAGCTGCAGTTGTGATTGTGTGGAGGCGGGAACTCCAGCCTAACTTGAACTGCACGTCCTCCTGACACCCTCACCAAGCTCTTGTATTGTCGTCTGTGCTCGAACTGTGGGAGATATGTCGGTCCGCTCGGCCGTTGGCCAGAGTGGTATTCGCTTGGGGGCTAATGTCGAAGGTAGTTCGGCGCAGGAACTATATACCGGGTAGGTCTCTAGTGAGGCAGGCTTACGGACGTTGGCAACATGATGCAGCAGTGAGCAGCTTCAGGTTTGGGCGTGGTGGTCTATTGCAGTTCATGGTGCGCTTCAGATTCCGCAGCCAGAACCTGTGCCAGTGTGCAGTGCCAGTGGTGCTACTACCTGGTAACCCACTTGGTGCTTGGCTATCCTTAGCTGATGCTTGGACGGTGCTTGGCTATTGCTTGACTTCGGCCACGGGCCAGCGAACTGCAGCCGAGTGGCCAGTTTGGAGGACGACAATTAAGACACTACTAGGTATCTAGGTACTAGTAGTACTAGTAGTACTAGTAGTACTAGTAGTAGCCTTGAGGGCTGCCGCACGCCGCACTGCATCCACTAACCTGGAAGTCATCTCTGCACGGGAATCGGGCGGCAGGGAGCGATTGGCTCTGGGTTGCACGTTGCGGAGAAATGATTTGGGACCTGCTGCCAGCAAGGGTGATAGCGCTGATCAAAGGTCCCCGTAGACACCTGCCCGAGCAAAGTCTATTCAGTAGCCGATGGCGGTGGCAGCGCCAATCACTGCCAGCATGCAACACATGGCGGCTCAACTTGAACTTTGCAGGTGTGCAACAAGATTGTTCTGCCGACCGTGGCTCGAAAGCCTCGTCGGTGGAGCTCAACCTCCCGCGAAGATTGCTGCGAACGTCGGCAATCGGAAGGACGTGTCAGTGGTACAGTACGCTGGGCCTGGCTGGTGCCCGTGCGGCACGCCGCCGCAGGAACCGTTTGCCCCAGACCTCCATCTGACCAGCAGAGTTCGAGTTGGTAGCGCTGATCCTGGTGAGGACCAAGCCTGAGGCGCGAGGCTAGAGTGTCTTGTTTACAGTACCTTACCATGCAGTAGTAAGCTACCTTGCAGTAGCTAGGTACCTGGTACTACGCTCCCACGTTCACCTGCCTCCCCAGAAGAACCCGACAACTCGAGGTATTTTTCCCGACGGTGGTTTTGGCTAATGTACCTACTGTATAGGTAGTACTGGACGTGCTCAACTTCCACCATAGGGGCCGATACCAAGCTCACTGGTCGTCCCTCTTCCCCATCATTTGAGCGGGCCAGGCTTGTTGAGGACAGTCTGTGGATTTCCGTCTTCATTTGGCCCATAGAGAGGTTGCACTGGCCAGTGCTCTCCTTATCGCGCTGCCCAAAGTGACATCCACCACGCTCGTTCATCCCTGGTAAGCGGATCTGATACTGGAGTCTCTAGGGTAAACAAGCCATCCAACTGTCGAGTATTCCGACGTCGGTGGGGGCCAGGTTAACCCTCTCGAATCACAGATAAGCATTCATCAACATGTCTAGGGCTGTCTTGTTTGGCCTGGGGCTTGATGAATTCAGGCCCCCTGGCCCTGTTGCAAGGTCCAACCTGCTCCATCCTACTCTACTGTACCAAACGACACTTGCCCAAGACGATAGCACAACCGTATTGGTCAGTCTGGGCCATGTGGTGTCTAGGAGACAATGTCAGAGTGACAGATAGCCTGCTACCATTTACCATTCCAAGTAAGTAAGGTACCATTGACAATATGAAAAGGCTTCGTTGGCGGTTTCGAAAGCTGCCTACCGCGACCACGGCCCGCATTTTCCTTTCTGACTAGCAGTATCTTGCCCTCAGGGTCCTCGTTGGTCTGGCTGCGATGCGCGGCGTGCTCCAGTCTGTGGCCCAGAGTCGGGACCCTCGCAACCCATGCTGGTGGCTATAGATGGCAACATGCTATAATACCCATTCCCGTGCCCTGGATGCATCTCGATCTCGATCAATAAAGCAAGCGTTTGACTTCCAAGATACAAGGTATATCGACGTTGAATGAACAACCCGGCGCCATGAACGACCGGGACTCAACCAAGAGGGCGTCAGCCCGCACGACGTCAAATGCGTCACCCACCGTCAAAGGCTCTCGTGGCCGTCCCCGGACGCAAGGCAAAGAACAAATCCTCGCCTCTCTGAAAACACTTCTCGACTCGGACAAAGATGTTGATGAATTTACATCAGCGCCGCCTCCCGCCTCGCCGCCCCCCAAGGGCAACACTTCTGGTCGTGAGGCAACAGAAATGCCAATGCCCGCTGGAAGCCCAGCTTTGCACACAGGTCTTCAAACTCCGGTATCCCTCGACTGGCCAGACCTGAGCGTGACTTGCCCTTTTGGTACTTTTTCTCCGATCGACTTCTCGGGGACAGGGTTTAGTGAGCACGTCCCCGATCTTACCACGGACCCAACCTTTGCCGATCTGCTGGACAGTAGTAAAGCCACGAGTACACATCTGCATTGGCCGCATGTGCAGGAACCATCTCACATGATGGGCTCGCAGCACAATACGAGCCGACAATCAATTTCTATGGCTACTCCTGGTCCATCTGTGGATACCGTGGGAGGCGTGGAGTTCACTATGATGGATGCTCCTCACGTGGGATCGTTCCAACCACATGGCACCGAGGTAGGGCGATCGACAATACAGCAGCAACCACAACATAGCCAACGGCATGAACCTTCTCCATACTTTGACCCCGAGCATGCAGCAGAACCATCATCAGGACCGTCCTGCAGCTTGGCGCAAACCCACAGCTCGACGCCCTCTCGCGATAACACGGAGCAATATAATAGTCCTCCCAAATACGAACGGCCCCGCTTTCCCCGTCGGCGCACCCAGCCCGATGCAGCTTCTGCTCCGGGCTCCGGGTCGGGGAATGGCGGCGTCGGGGCATCGCGACCCAAGGTCGATCGAGCCCATTCTTTGATCGAGCGCCGATACCGAGCAAGACTACAGGACAAATTCCAGACTCTCCGCGATTGCGTCGCCCGCTGGAAACAGGCCGAACTGGATTCCGACTCGGGCGAACAAGAAGAAGATGCATCCGGATTCAAGATGAACAAGGCAAGCGTGCTTACAGAGGCCGTCATGTGCATTTCTCATCTCGAGGAGGAGAATGAATACCTCTACACCGAACTCGAGGCCATCATTGACTACGTCCAAGTAGTGAAGAAACGGGGTGGCCGTGGTAATGGTGGTGGTGTAGAAGGAGCAGAAAACAGTCGTCTCCACTACAACAACAAATGCAGCAATTCAAACACCAACACCAACACCAACGCCACGACAGAGCATACTACCTCGTCAACAACTGACGCCTCCGCCTCGTCGTGGTGAGTTGGGACATGAAGAAACGGCCATTTTTTTTTGCTGATATGAAATTGCAAATTCGAACCGGAGTCGAAATGGGCGTTTGTCGGCGTACAGGACGTACTTACTCTACCTCTGCCACCCTTGTTGTGGGGAATCGAATCATGATTGTTCTTTTTGTCTGTTTCGTGTTACGGGAAATCTTGGGCCAAAGAAAGTTCATACGGTATATATTACATCCACTGGGAAAAGATTCACCTTGATACAATATACCTTGTGAGCACTTGAAAGAACAAAAAAGGAAAGAATATCTCTCCTGTCAATGGACTCGACGCCTCATTTATATATTTGCCACCAATGCCACTGTGCTGTGCTGTGGCCCATCGGACGAAATCCACTCGGAGAGAGCCACGACGGACGAATTCTTGCACCATCGCCGTTCCCAATGACGAGCCACCATTAACCAAGAGAGAATGAAGTCCGTTGTGTCAGCTCAGGGAAACACGAAGCACCGACCACCGAGTCACCGACAGCATATGGTCACTGGTCACTGGTCACTGATCACCACTCGTATGTTCCGGCCGATGGTCTTTCGTCCCTCTGAGTCGTCACATACCCACCTACAGTTGTCTGCCCACTCCTGTCTTCCAGAAGGATTGGGTACTGTACAGTACCTCGGTATCTTCCTTCATTCTAGAATATCGGTACCAAAGGATACAATCTGTCTCGACTCTACAGTCAGCCACATGGAAAGTACATGCAGGACCTACTTTGTACTACTACCGTACTACTTAACTATCGAATCGACTTTCTCTGTACTATGAGGCAGGCTTTCGACCCGATCCTCTATACAGTAGTGGCCAGGTGAGGCAAACAAAACAAATTGTTTGCTGCTCAGAGTCGTGGTAGTGTATGCACAACCGCAAACACAAAACGCACATGTTTCTATTCCCATGCATGTCAGTGAGCCTTCCAAATCTCCTTGTCTTCCAGTGGAGCGTGGTACTGGTAAAGGACACTACCAGTCGTGCGTTGTAGTCTGTAAACTCAATACTCACGGTGCGTGATATCCAATCAATCGATCAATCAAGTGCCACTACCAGCGACAAGAGGCACAGTAGACTCATCCGAGATGAAGTGAGATGCAAAATGTGGTTGCCGGTGCACCCCAGTGACACTGGTGCACATGGTGGATCGTGGTGATATTGTGGAGGTGGCGATGTGGTGGTGGTGGTGGTGGTACCACTTCGCTCAACTTACAGCCTCGTGCCACTGCCACTTTCGCCACTATCAATATGCCTTCAGTTTCTGATGCCACCATTTATCAAAGCACGGTGCGTGCAGTATGTGTATTGCTAACTGAACTTGATCATGGCTAGATAATAGATCGGGATATATAGGCCCAAAAGAAAAATGCAAAAGGGGCATGCTGTAGCGAGCAGCGAGCGCACCAATCCATGGTGAATGCCGAATTGATCGACTGATAATCCATGGACCGGACATACAGTAGATATTCATCATCCATGTTCAAACTACAACACGACCCTGGTGTATAGTATGTACATATGTAGTAATACTTATACCTAGATAGATAGTACCAGTAGTAGCCAGTAACTTTCAAGTCTGAGGCTTTGTTACCAAACCAAACACAAAAACAGGGTTATCATGTCGCGAGTCGCGAGCGCCAATGCAATGCAATGCCATGCAATATAGATTCCAGAATGGATGCGGAATTGACCATGCGGAATTTGTCGTAGTCCGTATACAGTACTACAAATTGACCGACCTATATTACCGATGTCCTTGTCCACGGCCATATCCATATCCATATCCATGTCCATGTCCAATCGAGTCCTCCGCAGGTCGGCTGAGGTAGATCGTACATGCATCATCTTATAGAGACCTCGCTAGAAAATGTACAATGGTAGCCTCGTTTGTTCATGAACCGACACCCAACCGAATCAACCGCATTTCAGTCTGTTGTTACCTACAGGTACCATATGGAAACAGTAACTTGAATGCCGTGCACGCCGCACTGCAGTCGAGCCGAACCTTGAGCCTGAGATGCAGTGGCTTGTAGTTCAGTGCCGCCGCCAGTAGTACTAGTATACACCCATTAACTAGTGTTCCCTTTGTCTCCTCTCGCTTGCTTTCTCTGAACGATACTGGGACTGAGAACCAGATTGGCCGGCTGGGTGGCTGGCTTGTAGTGCAGTTCAAGCTGATCGATCATGAGTTGGGAGAGTCGAGACCTGAGTCTGCAGGTTACTAGTACTAATACCAGTAGCACTTGGGTACCTATGGATAGGCCGTTTTCTAAGCGATGTTCTGTTCAGAACAAAGACCGTGAGAATTTCAAAGCGAGACTTCTGTCGTTGACGCTGAATTTCCGAGTCGTACGTGTGTTGATGAGGTATACGCACGTACTTCCTGTGACCCTCCTGCAAGAAGAAGAAGAAAAAATACGGCCTGGCGTGATGTGGTGTTGACTGTGCGGCGGGTAGTATTTATTATCCTGCAGTGTGCAACTGTGGAATAAAATATACATGCTGGTACTAGTACCTGATATGTAGCCCACTCCATCCATCTCAACCACGCCTACCAGTGCACAGTCTATGGCATATACTGACCTTACACCACTTCAAGTTGAGCTGGACCAGCACGTCTCTCATGGTACTTTACGTACCTTGCCTTGTCTTCAAGAATCAAGACTCGATTACTCAAGCACAAACAAAAACAGTGGATACCCTCATGTCCAACTACATTATTATCAGGCCTCTGGCCATGTTCATAGTGCATCATGATTTAAGGTAATTAAAGTACAGCTCCGTCGCTAACCAAAGGGCCAACGTAGAAGTATTAGGTATCTATCAAAAAGCAAGCAGTCATTCTCCATGAAGGCCGGTCCGCGGACCGCTGTTGCATGTCATAACATAGTAAGATGCATGCCTGCTGCTAAACTCCAGTCAAAAACAATCCTGCACCGCAAAGCTCTTCGTCATCATGGCACCTCAAGTTTTCTTTTTGCGAACCGAACAAACTCCATGCTCCTTGCACATGTGCGGATGGATGGGGGAAAAGCTGACAAGTTAATTAAGCCTTAGCTAGCCCGTATGTCCAGCCAATTCCACAACACCGACCGCTTAAACTTGAACCGGCTTTCGCTCGATGCTGGTGCGGGGATAGTGGCCGTTCGTGGTTGCAGCAGAAACTGGCTCGCCTCGAGAGTGTGTCGTTCCATTTGTGTATCCACTGCTGACACCGTTGGTGGAAGCCAAGCCGGCATTATGTTCGATGTCACCATTTCTGGGACCAGCAGCGGTGTTGAAGCCTGCGGCAGCACCTCTCAGACCATGAGCTGCGTCAAACGGTGCACCTCCAAAGGCTTCTTCGTAACCCCATCCTACGCGTCGGGTGAAGACTGCTGATTCAAAGCCGCCGGCACCAGCAGCACCTGCGCCATAAGAGAAAGGAGTGTGTCGAGTCAAGGGAATGTGGTTAAAACGGAAGTCCCAGACAGATGCGTAGACCATGCGGTAGGCCGAGATGGCAAAGACCGTGCCGATGACTGCGCCAGCCAAACAGTCGTACCAGTTGTGGAATTCATCGATCGTCAACGCGCCGGTGATCAGGGTAGCGCCAAGCAGGGGAGCATAGAGCGCGATGAGCTTCCAGAAAGCGGGGTGGTAGTTGCTGAAAACCTTCATCTTGGCATTGAGATAAAGGTACAGGTAGAAGAATCCCGCCCAAGCAGCGGTGCTGTGGCCTGATGGCATGGACTCCAAAGAATCATTGATCTGGTTAGGGTCTCCACGGCAGATATTGCGTTGGAACATGACATTTCGATATCCCGAGCCGCCAGCGGTGACCATAGCTGGATCCGGGTCACAGACAGCGAGAAAGTGAGGACGAAGACCGCCAATGAGCCATTTGACAAAAACCTGGAAGACCGCTGCACCAATGAGAGAGTAGAGGAGGCCAAGCACGGCGTTGTTGACATCCCAGAACGATCGAATCCGGATTTGCATGCAGAGGATGATGAAGATGGGGATCAATGAAGCCAGAAGCGCCGCCAGCCAGATCGGGACAATCTCATGACGCAGGGGATAGGCAAATTGAGGATAGACGATCTCTCCGTCAATGAAGGTGACAGGAAACGACCGACTTGGCGCTGGGTCTGCCTCATACACTCCGAGACCGACGGCACCCATAGCAGCCATGGTCAAGATGTCAAGCCAGGTGAATTTGAGCCTAGGGAGGATTGTCAGATATGTCTCTCTCTTTCACGAAGTCTGGTTTCTCAAACTTACCATTGCCCAAATGTTGGTCGGCGGTTAAAGTAGCCCGAGTTGATATCGAAACCCTCGTGTTTGGTTGTAGTTCCATTTCGTCCATGGGCTTTCGGCTCATGAGTCCCATTGCTATGGCCATTGGTGGCTGCGCCGCCGGTGCGTTTTGAAAACAAGCCCATTTTGGACGTAATGTTTCAGGCAGGAGGAACAGGCGAGTAGTCTGTAGTCTTGAGGTGTCGATGAAGGTGAGAGAAAACGCTGACGCAGTGGAAGCGTGGAAGGGGTAGTCCCCGTTGGACAGCCGCGCCCTGAGAGGAAGTGCCCGGTGAAGGTGAAGTGATAAGGCCCGTCTGAGTGAAGAGAAGCCGTGGTGCCAACAGTAGAGGGAGACTGGCTATTTCAGTCTTTCAGCTTTGCAAGAAGACAGGAGGTAGCACGACCATTCAAGGATGACGCAGTCCGAGTTGGGGGCAGAGGCTGTTAGTGCTTCAAGTTGGAAAAGTCCACGCTCGTGCCTTGTTTTACGGGTTTGCGAAACGTCGCCTTGCACGAATCGGGCAGAAGAGGATCAAGATGATGCAGCCCGATGCGGGATGGATCCATGATCGACAACAACACTAGTCCCGCCAAGGAAAAGGCTTGCACTTTAAAGCGCCAGTGACGTAGCATGAGGCTTGACCCCCAGTCGGATTAGTCACAAATTAGTAACACTAGTCTCAGTGCAAGTAGTACCCTCACGACGTAGTACAATGTATCTCTTGTCTTCGGCGCTGGCCCGAGGCCAATGATCGAATCGTGTGGAAGGACGCCAAATTGGCAGAAGAGGATGACATGGTCTATCTACTTGACCTTGCATGTCAAAAATTGCGTGGCTGGACATGAGTGCGTAGAGTACATGTACACGTTGTACCACTGACCTCTCGACAAGCATTATGTCAAGCTTCGAAAGCTCGCTTGGCAAGGAACAAAGTGTGGCGCCGACTGGCAGGCCACAGCCACAGATGCAGGTTTCAGGTGTCCAGCCCAGGGCTACCTGTAATCTTGCAGTGCCAGGGGTTTGGCCTGATATCTTGTACTTTTTGGCGGTGTAGGGGTGCGCATTATATACGCGAGGATCATGTGATAACATCTTTGATTAAACGGATTAATCTGGTGAGTAGAAAGTATCATCTTTCCTGCAATATCCAACAATGCAGTGTTGGAACGAGCTCAAACGTTGTGCGGAAATACACATATCCCTCTTGCAGAACATCCCGTGAGCACCCATCGCCAGAACACCAACACGAAGGGACATCGTCCTCAGCGGTGACTTCGACCACTTAGACACGAATTGACCAGTTCCGTGCCTGGAACGCCTCCACTGCCCATATCGAGCTAAACCACCATATTGTACTGAGTCGAGATTTGGGGACAACAAATCCCCATGCCGTCCAGACACTCCAAAAGCCCAGTCTCTGGGAACCATTTCGTGAATTCATGTGTTCGTAAGTATTCGCATTCAATCAAAGTTGTCGATCCAATTCATTCCTTCGAATACTTCCATCATTTTGTAGCAGAGCCCCACGTCGTCGCCCGGTTCGCCGCCAAACAACTTGATTCGTTCAGACTCATTCTTCACAGCGTCTCTTCTCTGCAACACGTCTCGATTCTGCCAGGAAAGATAGCGGTTGTGCCAGTGCTTCGACACGAGACTTGTAGCTGAATTTCGAGCCGGGGTAAGACTTGAAATGCGACCGGCTTGAGATGTGGTAGATGGAAGAGCAGGAGTCGGGCCCATAGGAAGTGTAAAAGAGTCCAACATGTCGAAGGTCAAGCAGACGGTACGGGAGTTGCGTCCGCGTGGACGTACACGCCGGCGGTTATGTTTGTGTGCCATTTTAACTGGAGGGTTGTTCCGAAAGCCAGATAGACGACGCCGCCGTCGCAATAGCGGGGACGAGAACTTCGATGTGTGGGCTACGGGAACAATATCAAGCAGAAATGAGGAAAGGATACATGAATGCGACACGGGAAAGGAGGGAAGACATGCCTGCGGTTTGTATCTATATTAGTGGTGATGGAAGAATTGAGTCACGTCAGACAATCGGTCGACCGTCGAGGAGATGGCCGAATGACTGCAAACAGGCATCAGATAGTATGCCTGTGTTTTCGTGCCTGAAAGCAGGCACAACGAGGCTGCGTGGTGTGAGAGTCATGGAACTGGTGCCAGTGGCGTGCATTTGGCCGGAGCGCAGGCCGAGTTTTGCTCGTGAGTCAGAACACCGACCTCGGGTTTGCCGCCTGACAGCGCAGGCGGAAGGCTGCCACACCACGACCTGTCGGGTGACTTGGCCTCCATCTTGCATCGCGCCTTGGGCCTTGGGCCTTGGTGTTGGAGCAGTTCAACTGGCCATGCCAAGTCGACGGCGCTCGCCTTTCTTTGCGAGTGTTGTACAATTTCTTCGATGGCCTTGTAGGACGTTCGCCCTGCACAAGTACAGTGCCAGGCGCCGACTTCGGGTTGCACAGGAGCCTGTACCAGCAAATTCGCCTCTATACGGTAAAGTGCATTGTCAGGCAACGTAGTTGCGCTTTCACTTACTTGACCCGCCGGACTTCTGTGCCTTGTGCCACTGTTCTGGTGGTGTCCTGTTACGACAACCGTGAAGAATGGATCACTTGGATGACCAGATTTGATATTATGCCAACACTCAAAAAGCAAAGGCATCAATGGTTCCTCCAGGATCAAGACGGAAAGCAGCTTGCTCACCTCGGAGGGTACACCATTATTGTAGCCATCTGTGGTTATTGTCGGCCAATGATAGACCAATCAGTGATCAAACCAAACAACCGAGGTACTATCACCGTGGATGATCTTACCGAAACCCCATCTTGACTTCCCCAGATTTGCGAGGACTATATCTCCGGCCTACTTGTTCACATAAGAAGCAATCGTTCAAAGCTCAGCGACTCACTCTGCCAGTCATTACAGCCCACACTAATCATGACCTCGTCAGCCGACCTCCGCATCACAACCTTGTTCGACGTTAGCAACCATGTTGTGCTCGTCACAGGAGGGGCCACCGGCTTAGGTGAAATGGCAGCACAAGGATTCATCCAGAATGGAGCAAAAGTATTCATTGCCAGCCGCAAAGAGTCAGAGTTGAAAAAGACTGCAGACCGGCTGAACGCGCTTGGACCCGGAAAATGCGAGTACATCGTCGCTGATCTGAAGGACAAAGCTGGATGCGACGGGCTGGTCAACGAGGTCAAGAAGCGGACTGATCGATTGACTGTGTTGGTGAACAACACGGGAGCCAGTTGGGGTGCACCATATCACGACTTTCCTGAGAGTGGCTGGGACAAGTTGATGTCGTTGAATGTCAAATCCATCTTCTACATGACCGTGGGACTAGAGCCTCTCTTGCGCAATGGGGCCAACGCGGACAACCCATCGCGTGTGATCAACATTGCTTCGATGGCGGGCATCAGCACTGTCGATGTCACCGCTGGTGACGACGGAGGGCTCTCAGCTCCTGGACATGGCACTTATAGCTGTATGCTCCCCTACGAATGTGGAAGGCCAGAGAAGTGGAAGCTAACTTTTTGTTCAACGCAGATGGTCCATCCAAGGCGGCTTGTATCCATCTTTCCAAGATTCAAGCATCGAAGCTGGCCCCCTTGAACATCATGGTCAACTGTGTCTGCCCGTAAGTCGTTACGATCTCATGGATTTGGATGTCCGACCCTAACAGTTCTTGCTAGTGGTGTATTCCCGTCTCGAATGACGAGATTTGGAATCGACAAATATATCGATTCCTTGTTGGAGCGACAGCCGACTGGCCGGGTGGGAAAACCGTCCGACTTTGCCGGATTGATTCTATTCCTCAGCAGTGCCGGATCAGCGCACATGACGGGCAACGTCCTAGAAATTGACGGTGGAAGTACGCTCACCGGGTGGAGGTCCAAGAAGAAGGCCAGCAAGATCTGAAAAGGAGCATGTGTTCGTTGTGAAACAGATAACAGCACTGGAAACGTCCGAGCGTTAACACGGGCGTAGCGGGCTGGCGTGCGAACCGTGACCGTGCGAAAGATGACTGGGGTTTATTCGAATGGGCTTTGATGGTGCAGAGTTGTCAAATATATACCCAAGGCCTCATCGTCTATTTTCTGCTGGAGGCCTAGTAATCACAACGAGACCGGTTGTACCACTGTTGTTGAAGTTATCCGTGACTGCGTCCGCTTTCTCGCATAGTACCTACTACCTGTGTCCCGAGGTAGTATAGCAAAGTACTTGGGAGAAAGTACAACTCCATTCTAGTAGTATAGTCCATGCTTGAAGTCCGAGTCCGCTATGGCTGGTCTGTGGAGTGGCTCGTTGCCATGGCGGTGCAGCCGATCACTAGCACCTCCGATCTATCACATTCGGTGTCAGATAGGTGCCAGATAGGTGTCTCTCAGGCGTCCACTAGTGGTTTCCGGGCAGCCACTATCCCTATAACCCCCAAGATTACGGGGCACTGGCTGCCTGTGGCATCTGACTTCATCCCTCAACTCGAACCGTTGTGCTGCTTCTAGGCGTGTGTCATCCAAGGCCCGGAACAACGTGCTTCCATTTCGCCCACGCTCCGTCGTCTTCGACCTTTGAAACTTGAACCCACCGACTTTCTACTAGTATTCCTGCCACTGACTATCCGTCAACCTGCAAATCCATCCATCGTCTTCCGCCATGGTTTCATAACGACAGCGCTGTGACATCAAAATGGTGGTGGTTTTGTGTCTAACGTCTGTTACAAGTCGTTGCACTTGAATCCTTCCTCCGAATCAAATCCCCTCGCTCCTCAACATCGATCCATTCCTTTCTGATCTAGCTCCCTTGACAGGCCTAGACCCCGCTACAGCCTGTGGGTATCTTCTTCCCATCAGGCCTTGCGACCGCCACAACCGACGACCTCTCTTCAACTCCTCCTTCATCTTTCCATCGGAAACGCCCATCTTGGGAGCAATGCAGCCCGGCGCTGAGCAGATCCAACATGAGCGACTTGCGATGACATTCGACACCTCGATACGACCTACCCCTACATCCCTAACTTCCGACTCTACTTCCGTACCACACTTCAACGACCCTTCGACCTGGCGGCAAGGTCGATTTCGGTCAGCGACAGATGGCCCTACAGGTTCGATTGTCATAAACATCAGTGATGGCGGATCGACTGGTCGCGGTATCCTCATCGGCGTTTTATCCGCCTTCGGCTCCGCCGGCATCGCAGTTCTCGTACTTGCTATTGTCTTCTTTTTCAAATATACATCTAAGGGTCGCATCCTGCTGGACCGGATAGGCCGGCCTGGCGAATTCGATGATGAACAAGCCTTTGCGCAGGAAGAGGCGGATGCCCTGGAGACGATGGATGAGTTGCAAAGGGCGGAGTATCTGAGGGCAAAAGGTGGGCAGCCCTGCTGCACGAGCCTGGCTATGTCCAGACACTGACACGTTGTGCAGCTTTTATCCAAGCAAACCCACCCGAGTCCGTCCAAACCGATATATCGCTGTCGCAGTTCCTGGCCATCCAGGAAAAGGGCGTTTCCGCTTGGGAATTCGAGCCCGAGCTGGAAATCGCCAACTGCTTTGTCGAAGCCCGAACGGAAATCGAATTCTTTGACTCTGAATGTAGTGTTCAAAGCAATTTGCCCGTTCCGAAACAAAATGAAGTATACTACTGGGAGGCCAAGATCTACGACAAGCCGGAATCCAGTTTGATCAGTATTGGAATGACCACCAAACCATACCCTCTTTTCCGACTCCCAGGTATGTGCAGGGCCGACATTGTATCGTGACGTGCCCAAAACTAACGGATCAAAGGTTACCACAAGACATCCATCGCGTATATCTCTACCGGTCACCGACGATATAACCAACCGTTCTCTGCCACGCCCTACGGTCCGCCATATGTGCAAGGCGATGTGATTGGGGTCGGATATCGACCTCGGACAGGCAGTATATTCTTTACCCGCAACGGAAAGAAACTTGACGAAGTGGCGCATAATCTGAAGACTCAGAATTTCTTTCCGACAGTTGGCGCCAACGGGCCATGCACGGTTCATGTCAACTTTGGGCAAATGGGGTTTGTTTTCATCGAAGCCAACGTAAAGAAATGGGGTTTGGCGCCGATGACTGGAAGTCTCGCTCCGCCACCCCCGTACGGGAGCGAGCAAGGTAGCATCCTTCTCGAGACTGGCAGAGAAGGAATTCGAGAACCAGAGTACACACCTGGTCACTCACGGACACGCAGCGGGCTTGCAAGAATCGGCCTGAGTCCAGGGCCCATTCGGTCTCCCACGGACATTTCACTCGCTCAACTCACCCATATCTCGACATCCGATCTTCCCGGTCATGGCAACACATTACTTGATGTTGCCGACATTCAAAACCAACCTGTCGAGAACACGCCGAACGGACAGGTCATCATCCCACCTCCTGAATATTCTAGTCCCCCTAGAAGTCGAAGCAACAGTGGCAGAGCTGGGGGAGGCGAAGATGGCCGCAGCAGAGAACCCCCGGATGGCGGGCCCCATCAACCACCCATTCCCACGTATGATGCTGCAGTAGGCGAAGCGGCCGGCCCGAGTCACTCATGATACCCCCCTAGCATAAAAGAAATGAATTTGAATTTTTATCATGTACATGAATGAATACGTCTTTTGCTTTTCACTTTTGCTTTCGACACGAGTGCTCGTATGTAAGGTAGCCGGACGGATGTGGTATGTATGGTATAGCATAGTGTGACACCGGTACACACAAGTCTTTCCCTTCGAGGTGTGTGGTTACAGTCAACTGCCATTATCCTGCCTGATCTGCAGTCTAGTCTGTATCCGAACCCATGCTCTTGCAGGTAACATGCCTGGCAAGCGAGATAGCATCCGCAGCTTACTAAGCATGGTGTCACGACAGCGATGCTCAGCCTCGTCCAGTATGAGTAGCCAGTTACATGACGTGATAACCGCAAGGCTGGGGCACGTCAACGTCTACAACTCTGTCAGGAACAGTAGCAGGGACGGCAGATCAAAAATGCAGCCCTTGTTTCGCCCTGAAAGAGGTGATTACTGCTAAATAGAGCACTACGACAAGCACTTCCTACAGTATTCGGCTCACGTCGCCATCGTTGATGATGATCTTGCGGCAGGTCATTTTGTGGCGCGTCGGTCTGCCGTGGATTCTTACGGTGTCTCCTGCAGAAGCTGCACTTCATACCTCGGTAGCAACCATGCACACTGTGAGGTACGGGGACAGTAACTGGTCGGTGGTTGCTGGTGGGAACAAGCAAAATTGACCCAAGGTTCAAGTTCAAGTTGCCGAGAAGCCTGAGTTGGCCACCAAGTGTCACTGTCACCGATTAGTATTCTGCATCAAGCTACCTGGGTACCACTGCAGACAGACTTCGGGTTCGAGGCTAGTGATTGATACCATGAAGTAGAAGTGGAAGTGACCCTTCCTCCTACTGGTAGTTGTTGAGGTGACTTAGCCTCCTCTGGTACAGTCAGTGTTGCAGGGGTGTCCCCATCGAGTTACAATAGTTCAGACGCCTTCCAATGGCATGATGCTTTTCCGACTTCAGAGACTGCGTCTGGTTCGCTGGCCTACCTGACCATGCAGTGAGCGTAGATTCGCCCGGCAGAATCCGCACACAACGGTCTTATAGCTCTCGTCTGTTCGGTAACCACCGAGGTAGGCCAATGCAATGTACACCCCGTCTTCTTGGGAGGTCAGATCCTCGTAGAACACATTGTGCAAGGACCTCAAGGATAGGATGCTTACAATTCACTAGCACAATAGTATGGCGTGTAGATGCCACACGAGTGACTTAAACCATCACTGGGAAGAGGCCAGATATGTTACGCCGTTCAAGTTGTCAACTCGTCAAAGCACTGGCAGGTGATGCAGGAATACCTGGTAAGCTTTCAAGCGTGTCTATGGCCCGGGAAACCGTTGGAACGGATTATGCAGATCAGCATCTTGGTCCAATGGTGGACCCGTTCGAATGTATGGAATCCATGGCAATTGGCAGTCTTAGCCTCATTGTCCATTGAATGTTCGGCAGCCTTGCATGGCAGTCTTCTAGTTTCTGTTCGATCCAATGCTTGTCCTGAATTGTTTTCGTGGTGGTCAGCCAGTATCAGAGCGATACTCCAGGTCCACTTCACATTGACCCTCACTCGGCTTGGTGTTGTCACCTCAATGCCACCCCAGCAGTTTGGCTTCCGGGCACCCTCCCTCCTTGAGTTCACCAGGTGACAGTCACAGTCGCGTCGTGTCTCTTTATATCTTGGCGACTCGTGAGGTACAAGTACCTCTTCCCTCTCCCAGTCTTGACCTTTCTATTTCTCTCCTTCACACTCTCTTTCTTCCTTCAGACTCATACTACCAAGTAGTATGAGCAACTCTGCAACCATCCGACTTGAACAGTTGAAAGCAAGCAGCAGCAACAGCTACTAATCTCCATTGTTAGTTGGCTCTGGCTGTTCCTGCTGCTTGCTTTCAACTGTTGAAGGCGGATGATTGAACTATTGCTCATACTACTTGGTAGTATGAGTCCCCAGATCTCTTTTCCTTTCTTTTTCCCTTCCCCAAAACTGAGGCGCCTTGAACAGTGAAAAGCAAACAGCTACAGCTACTAATCTCCATTGTTAGTTGGCTCTGGCTGTCTTGCTGCTTGCTTTTCACTGATGAAGGCGGGTGGTGGAGTGCTGTTCATATTACTCTGTAGTATGGGCAGCCGGGTCCTCAGATCCCTTTTTGCTTCTTTTTGCCTGCCCCCTAAGAACTGAGGCGCCTTCAGCAGTAAAAAGCAAGCCGCTCCAGCTACTTATCTCCATTGCTAGTTGGCTCTGGCTGTACTTGCTGCTTGCTTTTTACTGTTGAAGGCGGGTGGTTGGAGTGCCGCTTGTACTACCAAGTAGTACGGGCGGTCGGGTCCTCAGATGTCTTTCTCGCCGTTGTTTTCAACGTCTCTGCTAACTGTGTACAGACTTCTTTGACATCTTTTCATCATCTTCGAGCTTTATGCTCGTGGTTGGAGAAGAGTGGACGTCGTACGATAGGAGAATTGATCGTAGGCACGCAACGGGCCGTTGGTAGCTGCGGTTTGGTGTATGCTGCGGAGGCAAGGTGTCCTGATCGACGAAGCCATTGGAACAATCGCTGCGACTACTACTGCCCGGAAGCTGCAGCATCGAGCTGGCCTCTGAAACGTACCTAGGTACGCTTCGTATAGTCTGTCGGTGTCTCCGAACTTTGCCTTGCTGTAGGGGATTCTCTGCTGTTCAAAGTTGAGCTTCCTTGAGCACTTTCTGAATCTTGCCCAGCGCGGCGATAGAGGAGCAGGCTGCGGCCTTCCAACGAAGCAAGGACTGCCCTCCTACCATGTTTCATACCACAGATCGCCTCCCACAAAAAGCACTCCCGAGTTCAATGTTCCCGCCTCCTTATGGAAGGCCTTCCCAATGACCGTGAAGCCTCCAGTGACTTTCTGGCGTCCAGGCTCGCTCCTGACCTCTCGAGGTTGAACGCCGACCAACAACGAGCCTAGCTTTCCTTACCTCTTACGCTCGGGGTGCCGAAGCAAGCGAATACAAGACCAAATCACGCGTACGGGATTGCGGGAGATCGAGGACAAGAGCAATACAACAATCATAAAGAGTAGTAATGGGAGAGCACTGGTCAATAACACATGCTACGGCTCAAGACAGGCATAGCAACACGACCGGGGACACGGCTGGATTCCTCTCAAATCCAGATCAAAGCACAGGTAATGAACGAGGTGATGGCAACACTAAAGGACATAGGGACTTCTCACATACTTGTTCCACCTGTTAAACACCAAAGTCCTCCGGCTAACCATACTAGGGTCCTCAATGCATGCAACCAAACAGCTTTCCTACCTGTTCCTCCACTGAGGGCTTTCTTCGTCGCCTGTGCAATGACAAAAGAGTCGACAATTGGTGTGACTGCCCCTATCATGATCACTATACCCAAGCCGTTTCGGGCAGTGGACCGGACCAGTGGATTGCTTTGGCTTTGCCAATAAGCTATAAGAGCAAGGATAGTAATGCCGATGACCAAATTGCGAACACCCAGGGAATGGATATATGCCACATACTGCAAATGGCCTCTTGCCGTGGCAAACTTGTCGTCGGATTTTGCGAAGGAAGGACCTGTCAGCAACGGTGCGTCGGACTTCTTCGAAGACACATTCCTTGGAGCTCCTGCCGGAATTCGAACGCCATATGTTGGGGCGGCGGCGATCGGCGCGATGAAGCTGTATATACCAACGATGACACCTCCACAACCTATCGAGGCAGTGAGTCCAGGGAGCACGAGATGACTGTATGCCATCCTCCCGCGATGAGACGGAGTGATAACTAGGAGCCGGTGGGGGAAAATGCTGACAAGCTGACTGAAGGGCTCTCAACCACGGCGGTTGTCTCCTGAGCCTGTGGTACCTGGCGAAGCAGGATGCGAGACAGGCGACAGGGAGACAAAAAGAACAAAAAGCCCGTGAACAACTTGAACGCGAAACTGAAAGTCCTCGTGTGGAGTTCGTATGATAAGCAATTTTCGGTCTTCGGATGAGGTGATCAAGCTACGATGGCGCGATGCAGTCCGCTTCGACTCTCCCAATCATATAAAAGCCAACGTTTCGGGGATCACTTTGACAACGCCGGACAACCCCATTTCCCCGTAACAACCCCCTCGCTCCATCGACCGAGGACATTTTATTTCTTCGAGACACAGATCTTAAGTTCTGGACTCCTACCATTCACTGTCTTGACTTCTTGGGCAGTTGTACAACCACAAGACACATCTGCCATTCCACCACGGAAGATTGTCAATACTCGCTCGCGCACCGGCCAAATCTCGTCTTGCACAATTCGAAGACCGAGGCACCAGGCACTCAACCCCACTGTACTGAACATTATTGTACTTTATTTTATTATTAAAACCAGGTCCCATTAGCAACCAGGCATTGGAGTCCACCAACAATGTCTGACTCCCACTCTCACTCCCATGATCATTCATCGCATACTCATGACCATGACCATGACCATGGCCACTCCCATTCGCACGATGTTCCCCCACATCTGTTTCAAGCAACATCCTCCGACGACCACCCACCCGATAACTGGCGCGAGAGTGGCGTGAGAGTCATCCCCGCCAACAGCCTGGACACCAACACGGCACAAACACCAGGGATGAATCGGGCCGCGGCCATCACGACCGCCCGGGTGGGCGCTCAGAAGCTGTGGGCTGGAACGGTCAAGATCCACCCCAACGCCAAAACCGGCGCTCACCACCACGGCCACCTGGAGAGTGTCATCTACGTCGTGAAGGGCAAAGCTCGCATGCGATGGGGCGAGAGGCTCGAGTTCACTGCGGAGGCGGGACCCGGAGATTTCATCTATGTCCCGCCCTACGTGCCGCATCAGGAGATCAATGCTAAGGAAGACGAGGAGCTGGAGTGTGTTTTGATGAGGAGCGACGGCGAAGCCATTGCTGTCAATCTCCCGGATGTCGAGCCTGTAGAGACTCCAGAGGGCGTGAAATGGATTGATCCGACGCATCCTACAGGTGGTGTTTAAAAGAGCAGCAGATGCCTAGATGGGTTTATGATGGTATATCAAAAAATTGGAGGACTGTCACCAATGACAAGAGGTGGATTTTTCGCTACATCACATAGTGCGCCATGACACTCGTAACATCCGGGACATCCAGGACACATTAACTATACATTTCATGGGCAGACAAACCATCCAGCACATATACAACACCTCACATCTCACACGTCATCACTCATTCCATCATATCGCACAGGGGTTTGATCCTTGGTACAGAACACAGAGAGTCTCAGATACACCCATTGTTGTAAAAGGTGTCAGCTTCCAGGCAACTTCTCCTTATCCAAGGTATTTTGCTCGGCCTGGTCTTCCTTTTTCAGATTTTTCAAACAAGGGGCGTAGAACAACCGACCAGACCAAGCACCCTTTGCAGTCCCTGCAGCAACCACACACCACAACAATACAACCGCAACACTCAACATTGTCCCCAGAACCTTGAAGAAAGAGCTTGGCATTTCCTCCCCGAAAGTCATGGTACTTATAGCATAAACGCCCAATGGAAACGTAAACCCCCACCAACCCATGTTGAACGGGAACGGACGGGTAAGGTAGATAGTGGCCAGGGCAAAGACCAGCCAGCACAGACCGAACCCCCACATGATGAGGGCGACAAAGACGCCCATGACATAGACGACGTCGCCGGCCATGTTGGCCGATGAAAGACCGGGTAGAAACCCGGTGCGTGGAAACACGTCGCGCGCCACGCGGCCCATGTTCATGATCGCGTAGCCGCCCATCCCCAATGGGCCGAGAGGTAGAAAGGATGAGACGACGACTTCCCGTGGTGGAAGCTTGTGGAGGGCCAGCCGTTGGTAGTAGATCACCAAGATGGTCATGGCGAGGGGAGTCGACATGCCCCATAGGACGTAGGATGTTAGGAGCGTGCCGAGGGCGTGCGATGGGTCGTGGAGAATGGCGGCGACTTTGCTTCCTGGAGTTGATGAGGAGAGGTTAGTGGTTGTGGGGGGTCATGAGGTTTGGGGAATAAGAGGGAATGCAATGCAATGCAGTAGGAGAAAGAGGAGAGGAAAGGAAGTGCCCTTTCCGGCCTGTAGTGTACAAACAACGCGGGTGGTGAACTGTATCGTTTCGGATAGGAATAAAGCAGTATCACAGGCATGCATGCTTGCTTGCTTGTTTGGAGGGTAACTTACCAGCTCCAGCAGCAACTATAGTCGCCGCAATGGGCAACAACTGCGCCGCCGTGATCCTGTCCAACGAATGCTGATGCGACTGCGACATGAGCAAGAATGGCAACGAAACAGTGACGGCCCCGGCGACAACGGCATCGATCATCCAGCAGACCCACGCGGTCGTCACGGACCAGTATCCCCAGTGTGGCACGCACAGCACGACCCAAGCCTCCAACAGCGTCGCGAATCCCATGGGCACCGTGCCCAGAAACAGCGAGTTCGTCGAGTCGTCAATCATCACGGCCCAGATCTCCGGATACAGCGTGTACCGTAGGATGGAAGTCACCATCGCCAGCGTGAATAATATGCTGTTCAAGACCAAGAATACCACCGCCAGCCAGTATATCCAGTCGGCCTGGTATGGGAGCGTGCCTAGCAGAAGTGATACCACGCCCGTGCCCATGGTCACGGAGAACCAGGACGGGGAGAAATTGCGTACCACGCGCCGCCAGCCCACGTCGTATTTGGATACTTGGCCATACTGATCGTGGTTGGGGTCTGCTTGTTGCGGCGAGGCTGTGATTGAGGATGAAGTTTGGCCATCTGAGGACGATGATTGCGGTGGCGGTTGTGGCTCTTCGACGAGCGTTTCAGTGTCGCCAGCGGGGTCGGACGCGGTTACTGTCTTCGGGGTGTTGTGCTTGCTCTTGCTCTTGCTGCCCCGTGAGCGCACCTGTTCTAGTTCCGGCCTTGAAATGACTCCGCTTGTTGGGACGGTCATGGCTGGGTTGTTGGATGCGAGACGTTGTAGTTCTCGCTCATCTTCGTCCGTGTCCGACATTTCTGCACCCATAGGGCTGCGTCCAGGTCGTGCGGGCACAGGGAACCGAGGTCTTCACGAATGGCTTACCGATTGAAAGTTCTGGCTTATGTGCATGTTAGCAGTGCCTATTTGTCTTTCCTCGTGTGAGAAAGCCGATGTTTTTGGCCCCGTCACAGTCATCAATGCGGTTGGGGTCTGGAAGTCGTCGAGCAGATCGTGTGAGTCCGACACCATGACGTTGATACAAGGTGGAAAAAGCAGCGGCAAACTCGCTGGAAATCCGGCCGGCCATCTGCCCGTAAGCCTTGGACCCTGGCCGCCGGCACTATGCCCTTATGGACTTTCGGGTTAGCGCCATGTCAGCTCCACAAGGGCAGCGACAGGCGCAGAATAGTTCATCCGCTCCAGCGAGCTTGGCCGAGGCTACCATTGAAAACAGTACCGTCTTGTACGTTTTCCACATGAATGATGGTTTTCGGGAACAGATTTGCAATGTGCTTCGACGGTCATGTAGTGGAAAGGAACACTGAACTGCGGGACTGTTGTCTTCGAAGCCATCTTGACTCAAGGCCACCGCAGCAGAATCAGCTAGTAATCGTACATCGTTACAGACAATGTTTGAGCGACCAGGGTACTTCCGCGTTTTCCCATAAGCTCAGACGACCAGCGACCCGCGATGGACACTTGCATGTTCTCTCGGAGATGCATCATGCTCCGAGGAATCGTAGCTGTTGGTCCTTTGCAACCCTCTAATCTGAGCATGCTGTCTCCCTCAACATTGTGGTTGTCCAATCGACAATATTGGCTCATTGGGCGCAGTTTGACTAAACTCGAAGTGGGATGTGGATGAAGATGTTCGACTTCTCCGCAGTGACATTTATAGCAGACGCTGCTCCAATGCCAACACTCGTAGTTGATCAACATCACCACTACTAAATGGCAGCTTGAGTGCCTCTCGTCAATCTACAATCCCTCTGCCTGCTGTATAGCGAGGTAGGGACGTCTGCTAAGCGTGGTCCCTGACCTCTGGCTACAATGAAGTCAATCGCGAGATGCGCCCGCCTGGCGGCGTCGGTGGTCAGCAGCCTCGAGCGACTGTCGCATCCGCAGTCTCCGAGCCCGTCGCTGTTACTCCGACAGATCTCTGGTCTGAGAACCTTCCACAGTTCGCCGACAAGACTGCAGGAGAAGAACAAGCTACCAGAAAAAGACAGCTTATCCTTCAGAGGTCAACTGTATGAGAGTACCGCCGACCGGCTCAAACGGGAACGAGAGTCTGAAGCGCGATACATCCAAGCCACGAGAACTCGCAGAGCTGGTGAAGGACGGTCCCTTGCACTCAGTATTGGTAAGTAGCCTGCCTTGTGTCTCTATTGTTGCATCTAATGAGCGAAAGTCATATTGTCTGTTGCTGGTGCGGGCTACTGGCTAGGGTCCCGAGGCGAAAAAGCCCTCGATACATCCTCGACCACTCCGCTCTCTCGCGCCCATCCTCCCCAGCTCGATACACGAACTTCCGTCTTACAAGCCGCATGGGTGGACTTTGCCCAGATCGTGGGCAAGGACAATGTCTCGACGGTGCCAGACGACCTCGAAGCGCACTCCGGTTCAGAATGGTCATCCTACACGACCAAGCCTAACGAGCGACCCTTTGCCATTGTGTATCCCGCTTCAACCGAGGAAGTCTCCCAAATCATGCAGGTGTGCCACAAGCGGAAGATTCCAGTGACGGCGATTTCCGGAGGTACCAGTCTCGAAGGACATTTCGCGCCCACACGGGGCGGGATATGCATTGATATGGGAAGAATGGACAAGATCTTGCAATTCCACCCTGAAGATTTGGACATTATCGTACAACCTGCTCTGGGCTGGGAAGACCTGAATGAATACCTCAAGGGACACGGCATGTTCTTCCCACCAGATCCAGGTCCAGGGGCCAAAATTGGAGGTATGGTCGGGACAGGATGTTCCGGCACCAATGCCTACAGATACGGGACTATGCGCGAATGGGTGATCTCTCTGACGGTCGTCCTGGCGGATGGGACTGTGATCAAGACTAGACGACGACCTCGCAAGTCTAGCGCAGGCTACAACTTGACCCAGATGTTTATCGGCAGCGAAGGCACTCTCGGTATCGTGACGGAAGCGACACTAAAAGTGACGGTACTCCCCAAATGCCAGTCGGTTGCTGTTGCGACTTTCCCCTCCATTCATGCCGCAGCTGAATGCGTGGCTAAGGTGGTTGGCGACGGGATCCAGCTTGCCGGAATAGAAATATTGGATGACGTGCAGATGAAGTGTATCAACAAAAGCGGCATGACTAGCAGACAATGGCAGGAAGCGCCAACGTTATTTTTCAAGTTTGCTGGCACGCCGGACGGGATCAAAGAGCAGATTCGGACTGTGCAAAAAATGGCCAAGGGCACCAAAAACAAAAGCTTCGAATTTGCTAGGAACGACGATGAAGCTCTGGAGCTCTGGAGCGCCAGAAAGGAAGCGCTCTGGAGTGTAATGGCTATGCGAAGGGACGAGACCGACCATGTTTGGACAACCGATGTGGTAGGTTTCTTTGCTTCTGTCCCTGTCGACGGAATTATACTAACACAGTGTGCAGGCCGTCCCTATCAGCAGACTCGCCGACATCATTCAAGAAACCCGCGACGACATAGCGAACAGCGGGTTACTGGCTGGAATTTGCGGGCATGTTGGCGACGGCAACTTCCACAGTGAGTACCATTTATGCATGTCGTACCTCTACGGGCAGGGCTAACAGGCAATCAGCCATCTTGCTGTATAACGACGCCGAGAAGCAAGTCGCCGAGGACGTGGTCCATCGCATGATTCGGCGCGCGATTGCCATGGATGGAACGGTCACCGGAGAACATGGCGTCGGCCTGAAGAAGCGGGAGTATATTCGGGAAGAGTTGGGTGATGATACTGTCGACGCTATGCGCAGGGTGAGTTGTTTTCCTTTTGTCCCCTTTGTCGCATTCTTCGAGGCTGACTTGGAGGAATGTAGCTCAAGCAAGCATTTGACCCTTTGGGCTTGCTCAACTGTGATAAGATTGTGCAGCTGGAAGCAGGTCATTGACGAGTTTCTGATTTGAAATATATTTGATGCAACCATGAGCCATGGATCCTCCCTGAGTGCTGGATGCTGTACTACGGTGATGTTATTGTTGTAGAGCCATGTTTAGCTTCGCGTAGATGCCCCCACGAATCAATAGCCGAATAGACGAGCTCGATCTCTGCCCCGCGCTTCGAAATCGAGAGCTTCGAGAAAGAAATTTAGGCTAAAATGCGGCGTGGGCATGTTCAGGAATTCCTCCGGTGGTCAAATCCCTCTCTCTCTCCACTGCCGCCGCCGCTCCATCAATCGTCACCACACGCATCTCTCGGAGACACACACTTCGACCCCATACTCTAGTCCTGGCCTTGAAGCCACCATGGCTGGTCTCATCTTACCCACTGAGGAAAGCGGTCCGCACGATAAAGAACTACATCCTGCTCGTAGTCGACCTCGTCGTCCAGATACTTGAGGGCTCAACACCACAATATACAATATATACATTCTCTTACACACTGTCTGAAAGACCTGTTCTGCTGCATACTGCATATAACCCGTATATTGAATACCATAACACGTTGTGAGCCCAGCCTCCCATCATGACGACCACCGAGACGAAGACGAGGGTATGCCACCATGCTTGTTGTTCGAATTTCTGTGCTGGTGTTTCTGTTCAACTGCCTGCTCCCAAGTAGACACTCCGACTAACTGTTCCATTTCTTCTGTCTCCAGGAAAACAACTCCTTCGTCCTCCGGGGCATCAAGGACGTACAATTCGAAGACCGCCCGGTCCCCAAACTCACCAGTCCCTACGATGTCCTCCTCCAAGTCAACTACACCGGCATCTGCGGCTCCGACGTGCACTACTGGCAACATGGCCGCATCGGGCATTTCGTCGTTGAATCGCCCATGGTCCTCGGCCACGAATCCGCAGGCACAGTGGTGGAGGTGGGATCGCACGTCAAGACATTGAAGAAAGGCGACCGAGTGGCCATGGAGCCCGGGATCCCATGTCGAAGATGCGTGCGGTGCAAAGAAGGGAAATACAATCTCTGCTTCGACATGGCGTTTGCCGCGACACCGCCGTACGATGGCACGCTGGCGAAATATTATGTTTTGCCTGAAGACTTCTGCTACAAGCTGCCGGAGAACATGACACTGGAAGAAGGCGCGCTCATGGAACCGCTGGCTGTGGCGGTCCATATCACGAAACAGTCGGGATTGAAGCAGGGTGATAATGCCGTCGTGTACGGTGCAGGGCCCGTGGGACTGCTTTGCTGTGGCGTTGCCAAAGCGCTCGGGGCGAAAAAGGTCATTGCGGTCGACATCAACAAAGAGCGATTGGAGTTTGCCAAGTCATTTGCGGCCACGGCGACATTTGAGCCGTCCAGGGTTTCGGCGCAGGAGAACGCGCAGCGGTTGAAGGATGAGAACGATTTGGGTCCTGGTGCGGACGTTGCGATTGATGCCAGTGGCGCGGAACCGAGTGTCCAATCTGCGATTCATGTTCTGAGAATGGGTGGCAGTTATGTCCAGGGTGGAATGGGCAGAGACGAAATCACGTTCCCCATCATGGCCGCGTGTACCAAGGAGTTGACTATCAAGGGCAGCTTCAGGTATGGAGCAGGTGATTACCAAATGGCCGTGGACCTCGCAAGCAGTGGCAAGGTCGATGTTAAGAAATTGATCACGAGAAAGGTCGTCTTTGAAGATGCCGAGCGGGCGTTTGAGGATGTGAAGAATGGAAAGGCCATCAAGGTTTTGATCGAGGGGCCGAAGTGAAGTGAGAAAGGAGCCGGCACTGGAGATGTTTTACGATGTCAGTGATGGAACGGATGGATGAGTGGGTGAGTCTGCTCATTTGCTTGCCAGGCAGGTGAGTGCGTGGCTCATCTCGTTTCATCTACCATTGACACCAGTGACCATAGTATGAAATCACCGAAAAGCAAGCCGTCTGTGAAGGTCTTAGGACGTCGGAGAGTTTTTCCTTATCTACTGTATCATACGATTCCCATCCATGCAAGTCACATATGTTTCGAACGGGCACATTGACGAACCACCACCGTGAAGCTGGTACCTCACAGCATGTTTCAATCCTGCACAAGTGCCGGCACAGGCAGTCATGTCACCTCGTCCTGGAATATTGCTGGCCCACAGATGGAAGTCCCGCCCGAAGCACGTTTCAAATTGGTACATGGTAAGTAAGTCGAGCGCGGGCGTCGTCAATGCACATTGTCAATTCGAAACACCGTTCCGCATATGACCTGTGTGGTCTGGTACCTGCGAGGCCACATCATTCAATCGGTCTATCACTCTTCCTCTTGAATTCCATGCTGGTGGGATTCGGTGACTCATCCACCTGATGGCCCAAAGGTATAAGTATCTGCCTTTTCCTCCCTTCCTCTCTCCTCCCCTCCTTCTTTTCTCCAGGTTGTCTTCCACAGCATCTGTCCACCTTTGCTTGTGCTTGAACATCAAATTGGTGCTGTGGTCTCAAGGTATCTTGCAAGACAACTTCCCGGACTCGTTCTTCAGAGTCTGGGTCGACTTATATATACCACTCACAAGCTTGTCCGTGATGCTCATTGTTGATGGATGATTCCTCCCCAACGCCCAAAACCCCAAGGCAAGAAGTACAAGATTTCGGATGAAGATTCGTAGCAATCTTGCCCGGTGTGAGGTTACCGCCAATCTGGATCATGATGTCCGAGCAATCATTGATGGCTGAACCGGGTGACGCCTCCGCCATCCAGCGCCAGTCTCGCCGCCTATCTCGAAGGGGCGCATACCTGTGGCCGATTAGCATTATTCAACGAGCTACATGAAGGTAATCCGACTGGAATGCGGCAAACCTACCAGGAGATCCTGAGACAATATCGCGGTGCCCCAAACTGGGCGGACCAGGCCGGCGCGCGTGAGTGGACGGCCCAAGGGATCAATATTGTACGGCATGACCTCGAGTCCATACTGATTGCTCCCTTTCACAAAAGCTGGCTAATCGACCAGATGGTGATGGGTTTCTTGCTGATGATGACACACACTCAGTACATCATCGAATCCAGTCAACAAATCCATGTTCCAGGGACAGGCCTCGGCGTTCTAATGACCCGGGTGTGCGAGCGACCCATCTGCCAGAAAAAGTATCGAAGGACATAGTTGCTGACCTAGTTTCCAGGTGGATGACAGGCTACGCGAAGCAAATGCCGGTGGAACCGTGGTAGACCCCTGCCGATTGGGCAAGGCGATACCAGGATTAAGCCTTCTCTCCGGGCAACAGTGTGCCAGTACAGTTGTATTGTCGTGTTTCCCGCCGGCCGATCGAGTTTTATGGCCAGCGAGATGTTTCGAACGTCCATGTCCGTACACCAACATTGGCTACATGGTCGGAGTCGTGAATGATCCGCACTGCGAAACATGCATTCGATCCGTCCTGAACCTGTAGGCAGAAACGCGAATGCCCATCAGGTGAACCATTCGCCGTTCGGAGTGTGTTGCCCCTGTGTCTCCGCGAATCACTCATCCAGAATACTCCCACACTGGGCATTGTTATTTTCGTCATGCCGAACGCACTACTGATCAACTCCGTCGAAGATTCGATTCCTTGGAAATTTCATGACTCTGATTCAATGAGTCGCCAACTGCCAACGCTGATACCAATCAGCTATCGGCCTGACGAAGATGGACTGTTCCAACGGCGCAACATCAGCAAGCCCTAGCAGTCATCTTTCCGAGCCTGCCAAGGCGTCTTGTTATTCCAGTCCACTGGGCAGACACCTGCTAGTGGCCGTGGCTACATACGACCCAATCCGTCATAAACTCCTTTCGAGAACCAATGTCCAGACATCAGAGCCAGCATAGGTTCCTTGCCAACCTGGAAAGTATTATGGGTTGATGAAGCGCACGAGATCAAGTGTGCCGAATCCCCCAACCTGTTGCAGTAGAGGTGGGTCGAGAGCAAGGGTTCACCGGCCTAGCAACATGAGACCAGGAACAACTGGCTAGAGGACGGCCGAAGGCTACGTCAAGTTTGTGCAGTTGTGTCAATCAATCCCGGACGACATGCTCGAGTGTTTGAGGCACGAGTCGTACGTTCAGCCATTGAGGTCGTGCAAACTGTACCCCTCGACGAAAGATCACATAAGCACACAGCTGCTGTTGCTGCCCAATCCGACTGGACATTGAGCTTATTGCGAAAGAATCTTCTGTCGAAGACTTTAAACCCACGATGCTGATTACCCTGTTCTATCGAAAAGCGCACAAGCAAGCAAGAGGGATCACCATCACGACGACAAGGTCCAATCTGCACCACTTCCCATCTCAAAGTTTTGGCCAAACATACCAAGTTTCTGCAACTTCTTAGCACGGAAGCCGACATTGTACAACCAAATGCTAGATTGGTACGCGAGAAAGTTGAAACCATCAGAACGCTAGACCAAACCATCATGGCAAGAACTCGATGAGGAGAGCCAGAAATTTTGGACTCAATTCATTTCGCTGTTCTTATCCACGAAGGATACAAACCGTTTGCCAGCCTGTTACATTTGCTGGGCGCCCTTGGTCTCGGACCATCGAGTGACGGAAATCTCTTTCAAGCTGTCCATCGGGACACGTGTGTTACAACGCATGGGAGAAATACCAAGTACGCGCGGTGACCTGATGCCTATTCCACCACCATAAAGCTCCAATACCGAACTTTGGACAACCATACCAGTTTTTGGCGACCTTCGGCTCAAGCGAATAATAGTGGAGACTTCATGTTGCGTCCCTTGACGATATTGGACGATTCCTTGCCATGAAGGGGCTTTTTACATCCCGATGGACGCGATCAGTTCGACAGAAAGTGTCCGAGGTGCAAACACTTTCATTTTCTCCTTCGGCCTCTTCGCAATCCGTATAGGGTTTAAGAAAGATGCAGCAGCGCCTCTGGCAACCCGGAGTTTTCCGAAGTTGCCCTCCTCCGGTGGTTGGTATCTACCATTGAACTTGGGTGTACATCGCGGAACCTGGCGCAAAGCAAGATAGCATCACAGAGACAAGGGAATGAAATTCACTCTCAGAGGCAACAAAGTCCTCAAGAGTCAAGACTAATGCGGGGAATTTTCACGACGCATCAGCGACCCTCTATAGAGCAGTAAAAGGTCTGTATCTGTGAGCTCCAGCGCGGCGGGTGGAGTCTTTCCAGGCGTTCAAGAAGCTGCCAAATTTTCAACGCGATCTCGACTTTCTGGATACGGTGTTGCCAGTTCCACCAGCTGGTGCCGAGTCTTCAGCGGCCGAGGACTATAGAATATGGGGCATTCGTCAACGGACAGTGTGATTTTCGAACTGTGTTACAACACCACTCCCATATGGCATAAACGCATTCCGGCCGGCCGGTGATCAGCTGGAAGACATACCTAAGAAATCACCACTTTGATGGCGAAATTTTCCTCAGACTCGATATGGTCACGTTCAAGGAGTCCGAGGATTTGGGAGCCTGCCATTCAGACAGCAACTGTTAATTTGGAAGCCAGTCAAGGCGTATTGCGATAGATGACCTACCCTATCGCCGCCGTAAAGGGACCGGACCGTCGCCTTACAAGTTACGCGCAGAGACTGGGACGGCCACACAGCCGGTCACGGTTGACTGAGAACAGAACGGGACCGAAGGGCCGACTCTCATGCTAGAGCCTAAGCACAAAGCATGATGGAGACGCAAGCACAGACAAATGACCGGTCGGGAAGCCTCTTCGAGATTCGCAGGACGACCGATTTCAAGTGAGCGAAGGGTCTCGCTATTTTTGTGTTCGGATTTGATCCCTCTAAGGGGCCCTGCAATCGCTCGAGCGGGTCGAGGGCGCCAATACATACCCGCCATTCTGGCTGGTGTATGCTCTGAAGATCAAAGGGCATATTCAGAGGCTTCTTCGTCCACTTCTTGATAACACTATGGAGCCGCGCAACATATGCGTTCTTCTTACAGCAGCGGGAGAGCAAATCTCATCGGTCTACAGCCAGATGATCTCCGGGTTTGCTATTTCAAACCACTTTATGTACCGTTGTCACCAAGACCGGAAGCCGGAGAGCATCCTGATATTTGAACACATTGCAAGGCACAAAAGTTATATATATACACATACATGTCGTTGACTCAACGATGGTTTGTTGTGAGCCGGCAACAAGCACTACAATATGGTAGTGGCGATGCCTCTTTTTCAGTGACCGACACGGTCGCCGGCCTTACTCGTCACTGAGACGAGAGTGTCTTGTTGTCCTCTGCCTCCCCGCCTGCGCCACCACCTTTTCTTCGTCCATCTCACACCGGCTTTAAGGCCTGATCTTGAGTGTTGTCGTCGGTTCCAGCCCGACTGATAACCATGACATGTGACATGTTTCGATTGCTTGTACGGGCTGATTATCATCATGACAATCATATCCCTTCTCATCATTATCACACATGGATCAATCAGAAAGCATATCACTTCGCTACGTCATTTGTCACTACATCACTGTGTGGCTCCAACAAAGTCAATGGCTTCGCTATATCAGAAGCTAGGCGAAAACAGCGGTACAGCTTCTAGTCGAGTGTCCTATTCAGACTTCTCAGTTGATTCGGTACGCTTTTCGGGTGCTGCATTGTTTGATGCCGATCTTAGGACCGAGGAGGTCAATATGCTTTTGCGCCAAGACTTCTCCAAAAATGGCTTTGAAAACGCCGACGAGCAATGGTCCGGTATTGATGAAGACATCAACGTCGTGTACGATTGTCGACTACAGGTCAAATACAAGGACATATATACATGCACCTGCGTATCTCGTGGCGCCGTTTCTACCGCTGTCTCGTCATCGGAGGCATGACGATACCAGTCAACAGTACTGGATACGCAGCAAATGGAGCTGCATGTCTTGTCAAGGCATCGGGCCTTCGAGACGGTACCCTCTCTGGCTGAAGTCTTTACCCAAAAGATGGCATTGAGGTATATGCCGTACTCAAGTTCGGACGCTCCCTTTTGTGAACACTCTAACTGCCACACAAATGGGATTGAAATATATGCCGTGCTCAAGATCGGAACAACTCGAAAGTGCCCTGCTCGATGACAAGATATCGCGCTCCCAGACATTCAGTTGGGCGGACAGGTATCCATACGAGGGTGCATTTGGAGCATTGCACCTCCTTGCTACAATTATGCGCCGCGGCACGAGCACGATTGCAGTTTCGACATGCCAACCACACGGTTTGCCTGGAAGTGTTATGAGACAGAAAACGTTGAACTAAGCCATGGTTGAGATTGGGAAAACTCCTGTGGCACAGGAATGGACCCGTGACCAATTCCTGACTGCACTTCGGGATGCCCAAGGTGACCATGCTGGTGTGCGACCTGAGGAGGTCAGTGATGCAAGACGGCAAATCCAGAACGCTGCCCGGCTGCTGCCAGCTCTTGACGATTACACTACCAACTTGGAGACCGGGGTTGAAAGATTGAACACTTCTGTTGAAACGCTCATTCAGGTGGGCGAAAATGAGTGGTCCAAACTTGCTCCAGAATCTGGCAATTTCGAAAGTTGGATGACCTCGCAACTTCGTGCTGTACATGGTACTGGCAAGTTCGTGCGAACCGCTAAGGGTGAAGTACGTGCCCTGAACTCTTTGGGGCAGCAGGTGACACTGTTGGCGATTGTTGAACAGGAAGTCAAGGACGGGAAAAAAGACTCAAAAATCCAGCGTCTTGAACCAAGCCATGGTGGAGATAGGCAAGATGGTATGCGATACATGACATGCAAACAGCTCAAGTCGGTTTGCTGTTCCTTCAAGTCGACAGGGATCATGAGCATCCTGCATGGTGCTTGGTTCATCGGATATCCTTCACACCTTGCTTCATTCCTATCACCACTTCCACCTGTGGATCGACCGTGTCAACCTCTTTGGTCCCCAGCAATGTCTCGGTCCACCATGCCATCGCGCTCTATACCACCTCAAACTCCATCGCCTGTTACCAGATCAGGCAGAGCCTCTATTTCTGAGGTGCTTGGTCCATCATCCCGACTCCCGTAAGCTATTCTGCCGGTGCTGCTGCTGCCCTCCGCCTAAGCTCAATACCCAATTCCACTCTCCTGCGAAATCTGCCTCCTTTACCAGGCGGCATGTGCCCTTTGTACGATGACGCTTCTTGCCCGCCAAACTTGGATCCAATCGGCTGTCTGTCAAGAACCTGGTTGCCGACATGAGCAATGGAATCCGCCGTCTGAATGGCAAGGATCGACTACTCCTCAGCTTTTCGAAGGACGACCTCATCCACTGTGCAACGTACACGGCTCAGAAAACTTCGGAGTGGGCCGCCGAAGGCAAATACCCCAGAGCGTGGACCAGAGACGAACTCATTGACGCATATGCACAAGCCGCTCGCGTGCAGTATTCGAACCTTCAGGAAGTTCCGCCATTAGTATGGGATTTGAACCGTCCCCAGCTGCCTGTCTTAGATCGCGGACAGCATTGGCGGGCCGCACTTATGCAACTCTTTGCGGAAGACCTTGATGCCACCATTGTGTATAGTGTGAAGGTCAGGTGTCACCCTTCACCGAGTGCCGCTAGACTCCAGGGCACTTCGGTGGAGCGTGTGGGAACTGCAGATGGTGATACAGCGCTTGCCAGTGTTCCTTTGCCCAGAAAAAACAAGGACAAGTTGTAGTATTGTCGGAAGATGAGGATGAGGATGGAGCCACGACGAGCTGGCCATTATACAGCAGGGGATGCAGGCCATAACCCGATCATTTTCGAGAAGAAATCCCGACTTCCGAAGCGATAACTCGAGCATCGGAGTATCGGAGCATCGTTGATAAATTCCCAATGGGGAAGAAACCTACACAGCTCTTTATCCGGTTGCTTGCTACCAATATGGCAGTCGTCCACCATGAGAAGAATATCTTTCACAACCACGGTCTTGGTGGAATATATGGTGAGCGCAGCATATACTGTCGGCGGATTGGCCGGGGCCAAAGCCATACAACAAGAGCATTCGGGCTGTTGAATGTCTTCAATCTTTACTCCAACAAGTTCAGGTCGGAGCGGGCTGTGCACACTACAGTGACTACACAAAAGAAAGTGATGTCGAGAACGATTCGATGCTCGATGCTTACCTATGCATATATGTATATATATATATCCTAACAGCCTCCTTTTTTGGCAATCGACTCCACCTCCGAATGTTCGCCTCCAATGTGCCATTGTGTCCCACCAGCCCTGATCATTACGCCTCCCAACCTCGTCAGTGTGTGGCTCGAGGAATGGCGGGCCTTGTGGAGGGCCAGTGATAGCAGCCCTGCTTTACCATTACAAATCTTCTACGGAAATGCCCGCGACGCCGACCTTAGCGATGAGCAACCACTAATACAACCAGATCCGAAGAAGATCTGGGTGCCTGGACAGAGGATGGTTACCTTACATTGATTGCTACAATAAAGCTAAAGAACCGGTGATTTTTTCATAACGAGAGATTACGCACTATCAGCGAACAACCAACGCTATCATCCCGGCAGCACCATTCACTCGCCTTGTCAGAGAGATAGTGGGGGAAATCTCGGCAAATGTTGGTCGAATTGAAATTAGTGCATTTTAGCAGCGGTGGGAGTGAGGGAACAGACGACGCGGCGGCGGCGCTACCCGGGTATGATTACGATTGACAGGGGGCATCTTGATGCTTCAGAAGACTCAGAACGATATGGATTTGAAAATTTGGAATGGTTTCCCCGTTTTTCAAGGTCTCCCCGGAGCCCAATAGTCACTGTCGCCGGCTTTCGAAAGAGGTTGACACTGCATTGTGACATTGTCATATGAAGACAAGACAAAGAACGCAGGGCAGGGACCTCAAGAGGAATGGGAGTTGGATGTCATACTGTGGACATTCGCATATAGCGTGATGAACGCCAGTACCTAGGTACTTGATGAAATGGGCCGGCAACTACAACGAGCATTGAACAAGATATTGCACAATGAGGCCCAAGAGCAAACCAACCATGAGAATCGGACGAGTACGAGCTTGAGTGGCGTGGGTGGAGGCATGTACTGCCGGGCTGTGACGACCTGACCTGGTCCTGGAGTTCCATGCTACGAATCCAGGAAAGCCGGGGCCACCAGGGGCAGACGAATAGGGTCCCATGGCGCGATGCCGGTGGACGGATGCAAATTGACGGTATGGCCTCGGGGCTCACTCTCAGAAGGCTTGGTAGATTTCAATCTACGCCTTGGGCCCTGGTTACATTTACCATCTTCCCCATATCGCGGACACCCGGCAACACCAAAAAAATGGACGCTGTTGCTGCGCCTTCCCTGAACACGTCTAAGGCGACGCAGCAACGGTTTGTGAATGCTGTGCGGACTCTGGCAGATGTACCAACCGCTTCTGTTCTCTCCGTGAGGGTAGCTGGAGATTCACCTGGTAACGCATGAAGTGGTTGCTTGGGCTCTTCTGATGCCACCACTGGCCTAATCCACCAACCGATCTTTTATATATACAGGCTCACCCGACCATGAGCAAGGCCGTACTGCCGCCGAGAAAGGAGAGCAGCTACAGATGTCTGGACGCAGTGAGCACCAAATGGCTGCCCCTCTACAACACTTGTTGAGAAACAGGACAACGCGAGATTTGCTATCAACACAGCCGTTAGACAAGAACACAAGGTCGACTGCAAAGTGAGAATGTTGGTGCTATTGACAACCGTTCCAGCCCTTATTGAAGCATAGAATTTGCCAGACAACCTTATCCATTCGCTCTTGTTGGGCGGGCAATGGATGAACACAACCAGACTGATAGGCTGAAGCGCGAAGTTGTGTGAACCTGGGCCACCCCTGTGAGCTGCAGCCTGAGCGCATAAGTTCCATCTCCTCTTCTTCCTCCCTTTCCCCAGGCCGGCCGTTTGGCTCCGAAAATGGCAGCCGGGACTACTGACCCCCTTCTTGTGGAGGACTATGAGAGGCGTCTTACACTCTCGAACAGTGCAAGACGCGCATCAGTGTTTGAAGTTTGAACATGAGCAAAACCGGAATATTCGGCTGATACTTCCTGTTGTGTGATACTCAGGAGTTCCTGCGAATAGTTCAAACCCTCCGAACGAACACTTATTCTCCTGTTTCGCAACGAGATCTCTGCCAGCATGATCCAGCTCTAGCACATCCAGCACCCCTGTTCCCACAAAATGCTGGACGTGCTAAGAGGACAAGAAATACTTTCAAGTCTCAATCAAGAGAAGTCGGATCCCAGGCATTGTTTCTCCGAAGGCCGAATGGTTTGAGGACCCGTGGGCAATACCATCAGTATACCACCCGCTAAGCCCCGTTAACTACCTTATATACTAACGCTGCTAGGTGCTATTCGCTATTCGCGGTCACTGATCCCGAAGGCACGACAGTGAGCACTTACAACTCCCGCAACCCTGACTTCGGTACAAATCCAGCACCACCCACCACCACCACCGCCGCGAATGATGGCTGACGAAAACCGCTTTGGGCCATAGCCAGATTTCGAACTCATTGGTGCTGAGTTCAAGAAAGCACGAAATCTCCTACAATCACCAACGGTCAACAAATTCTAGACGGGCTCCAAGCTATTCGTCAAGACATCGCAACTATGCGTCAAGACCTTATCACTATGATGACTGCATCGTATGTATGACCCTACGACGATTATATTGCGTTGTTCCAACTATTTGCGGATTGCCATGTGCAAAGACTCGAGAGATCGTTGCGGGAGCGGATTTTCAAGGCTCAACATTGAGCGACGTGGTGCGGCATATTGTCTATCCTCGATTTTTCCTCAGAGCTGTCGGACTGGAACAATTGTTGCCGTGGATGGAACAGAAGACGGGGAAACTTTGGCTTGTGGTCGGTTGAACTGATACCAAGCAGGCAAAGCGTCCAGTTTGTCTATCAGCGTCCTGCCTATCCACCCCTCTGGTGAATATGCTGCGATAAATGCCACGCCACATTCAACCTGCATATGGGCCATCTATCATCACATACTGAACTCAGCAAGCTGGACCTTAAATGGCGAGGCGTCGTTGTTCGAATGATAACAGTGAGGCCGCACTTTGAAGTGCCTCTCGTCAAAAATGAAGCTGACCTCGAAAACGTCTAGGCCATTCCAGTCTACGGCAATGAGCCGGATGGCACAGAGGCCATAGAACATCTCGCCTATGGTTGTTCGGTCGACGTAAATGTCGACCCTTCCCTCATCTTTTTCGCAGACTGACCCGAAAAAATAGGACGCTCTTATGGAAGAGCTGCTGGTGGTAATGGGCGTTTACCCAAACGACCCTACTACCCACAAGGTTCGTTTCTTTCGACTGGTTTTTCGAGTATCTCTAACCCTGGCTCTAGCAAATCCATAAGGCCGGCACATGTGGCATTCATCGTCCTAACTTCATCGAGGTTCGTTTTTCTCGACCTTCTCCTCGAAGAAAGCTAACATACGATCTAGTTTTTCCGGATGATGACGGCCAGCCGAACAGCACGGAACTAGAAGGTATGATCGATTCTCCCAGCCCTCGGCTCGAAAATTACTAACTGTGTCTTTAGTTCAATGTGGAGCAGGTCATCGAAATCATGGAGGTGAAGAGGTATGACTTTTCCCCCTGAGTCGAGATATTCGATGTCATGATGGTTTCTTTTTGGTAAGCATCGCCATCGGTGATCTTTGGGTTTCAGTCTGTCTCCGGTGCGGAAGACTTGCTTCGCCTAAAGGAAACGGACTTGAAGTGCTTCTCGACGACGGCGTCTTATATTCTTCGACAGCCAGTGTAGCTGGATCAGGTGCACCACAAACTCTTCCTAGTGGCGTTCGTACGAGACCCCACAAATGTGTCCAACACGAATACAATGTTGTGATACATGTTGGTGATATGAACGATCATCGTTGTGCAGCGCGCATTCGCTCTTCATGCAACTGCAACAAAAAGGTGGAGGAGTCGATGGGTTCAATTGACATTGCATAATGCATTGTTCCAGGCATGGCTCACTCCTGGTCCGGCGTCGAGTCTTGATGTCCGGCTTAGGGCTGCCAGAAACAGTTGGCTCTGTACACCCAAACCGACGAAGACACAGATCCATAGCTCAATGGCGGACATGGGGTGACGACGGGGAAAATGGTATTGCATTCGTCACTCTTCGGCCAGCACCTTCAATACTTTGGAGGTCTGCTTTGCGACTTTGATTGTTCCAACCTCACCGAGACATCGATGACGTGGATATTGTTGTTGCCCGCCAGAAGACCATGGACAATATCAAGATCGCCCTGCACGGCCGACGAAGCAATATCATCTTCTACCCAGGTACCAATGTGTCCTCTCGCACATAGACAGTGACAATGATCGCTACTTCTGCATATTGGGACTTGTGCAGTGGGTTCCCCATTTTCGCTTCTTGATGGTCCGTATGGACACTCTACATCAGATATGGACTTTCTACAAAGGAACCATTCGGAAGATCATGATTACAGCATTCCCCACTCCCGGTGGAAAAGCACTACGGAGTCCTTCCAAAGCAGGGTTAGGCGCCCGATTTCCGGTTGTTGATGATCTTGCCAAACGACCTGCACCGAATCTGGACTGGGAGAATCCGCAAATGTATCAGCAAACCCGGGACTGGCGACTGATTATTGCTCTCGGCACCTGTACATCAAATGTTTGTACCATATTAAATCTCGATCGATCCGGATGATGACTACAAGGTCTCTGCTTTTGGCCCAATATACCTCAGCACTGTGCGCAATGCAGCTGCTTCCAATGAAAGGAGAACTCGACTTTGAATTTGGTGCCGACTTTATGTATCGAAACCAGTTTCTTGAGGAAAATCTCAACGCGGATAAGAGCGTTCACCAATCGCACTTGGGAACCCTAATCAAGGACGTTCCCAAACTAAAGGCGATAAAGGATATCCTGGACGAACAGCTTGTACGACAGGACGGTCGCTCTATGGTGAAACAATGATGATGATGATCCTTGACAGTAATGCCAAAATCGAAATCAATGCATACAATCCACCATGTACTGGTGAGTTCGTACAGAAGGTTCGATTCGCCCTGGATATGCCGCGAAGAGCTACTGTCAAATTGAACAGAGCCTTGCCTCTTCTACAAGGTGTTGGCAAGAGATATTCCACAAAAGGTCTGTGCCCACTGCAAGGCCCCATTGTTCAGTTCAGTTCAACTCTGGGACTTCATCTCCGAATCAACATATTTGCAAATTCCTCGAGGCATGATTGCCTCCTGTCTCACGTTCCTGTCCGTTATGCACGTCCAACAGATGAACCCGAGCTTACTGCCGAGTCCGACAAGCTACTTTGCCAGCGGTACCGGCGTGTCATGAGGGATCTGTGGATTGTTACTACAGCCATCTTATCCTCCCCTGTACTGAGTGCGCGAGAAAACGCCGCACTGCTGCGCCGTGTGTTTCTGTGAGTCCTAGTTGGCGAGGCTCATGCAGGCACTTTTTGACATTCATGTCCTACAGCGGAAGCGGGGGGTCCTGGTTATTCTGCTTCCTCGGCCGGATGGATGATTCGGAGAGATCTATATATACAAACTTAGCACTTCTGGACTGCTGTGCTCGTTAGCATCTTCGAATCATGCCGAAGTCCAACTCCAGTACCGGTATACCACTGCGTAAAGGACTGCTGCCTTTCTGGGCCTCAACAATCAGTCCCAAGTTGTTGCTGTCAGTCGCGCAAAGTACTCGAGTCGAATCCTGGTGGATCAACATATCGAATGGATCAGCAAACAACGCTGGGGACTAGGAGATAACGAGGATGTTGCGGGAATCTCGACCCTAATGTGGAAACAGATGAGGACGCCGATTATGTCGGTAGCTCAGTCGATGTGCTCGACCTAAGGACGCATCATGAAGACGTCATCTTGAGGAAGTGTGTCTTTGGAGAAGGACTAAACTACCATATGATGGACTCTGCACACGCTCTTGCCCAACGGAAGCTTTGAGAAGACACCTCGAACTTGCCTTGGAAGAGCTAGCAGATGCTGCCAATTGTCCAAGTTGAGAAGGACGCTTCCGGTTCCAGAACGAAGATGTCAGACATTATTCCCCGTCTCGCCGCCACTACCCGAGACCGATCATGGACCCATGGCTGATAGGGGGAATGGACCTCAACAGGAATGGGACATTGAAGACATCATAGGTCATCGCATTTTCTGGCGGAATGGCCGAGGAAATAAGACTATGATACAGTCCAAGGATCCCAACCCTGATTATGGAGTATGGCCAATTCCTGCTCTGGCGGTCTCCTCTTTCAGAGCACCTGAGGACCGTTTTCCATACGCTTCGCATACTTCACCACTGCAGCCGAGAACCTACGACGACATGTATCCGGGTTCTTGTTGGCGACTATGGCCGTGCCGCTGAGGCTGTCGCTGAGGCGCTCTCACATATTGGTGACAACCCCTCGACGCTCCGCAAGAAGGATTCTGCTGCTGTACCCTCCCGGCACGACTCATGTGCAGGCACAGCAAATTCTCCTTGAGGCATTTCGTACCCTCGCTGAGGATGATCATGTGGATGAAGATAACAGCTACTAACCAGTTTGCCTTGACAGATTTCTTCAAGGATGGGGTGCTCGTGTCTACTGCATGAACACTGACTGCGTTGTGTTCGCACATTGACCGTCTCTACCATGGGGTGGGTGGTCGAATTGCAAAAATCACCCTTTTCAGATCTCCCACCAAAACTAAAATGACTGATCGGTATGGCGAATATTTCGAACCATGATTCGGAATCCCAAACTATATATATATCAGGGTTCTGGAAGAGTCTCATTTGCCGCACCCGGAACCAAGTAAGTCTTGTTTATTCCAGGCAACATTCCAATTTTTTGAACCTATGCTGACCTTGACGGCACAGCCCGGCCTGGTGGGCACTGTGGGGGGAACGGCAACACAACCATCCAGTTCGTGTTACTCGAACGACCATTCGAACTCCTGGAATACTAACGGTATCAGACATGGCACGGAACCAGTGGGAGAGGTCAGAATTGTTTTGGAGGTAGGTGACAGCAGTTCGTGCCGTTCGAAGCCATGTTCTAACGTTTCGAACTTGGAGAAATAAATTCATTCGCACTGCTAGCCGATCCCCGTTGCCTTGACTGCAAATCAACGATCAATTGGCTCAAATGAACACCCGATTCGTTCTTACACCCGACAGACTGTTCGTATGTTTCGAACCTTTTTATTCTACATGTTCGAGACTAACGGAGACTTAATCTTTCGAACCTATGCTGACCTTGATTGTACAGCCCAGCTTGGCTGGAGAGATTGTGGCGAGGTCTGATGCCCAGGGCTCGGACGCTTAGCCACGTGGTCCCAGACCATCTTCGCCTTTACGCTGGCTTTTCTAGGGGACATACCTGAACAAGAAAGAAAAAAGTCCTCATTCCTTAACCAGGGCGCATTAAGGGAGTTGCAGGTTCTGCCACGTCGACCAGGGTACGAGAGGCAGCCTTGACTACGACATCATCAGTTTTGGCCGATACTATTTCCATGATCGAGCAGTACGACAACATCATCCAACCTTTCGAGCTATTAGTCGACGTGTTTGGATCGCAATATGCGCAGCTGCCGAGCGTGTTCAGACGCGGACAGCGGTCTTGAAGCAGAAAGTCGACGCGAGGCCTACGATCATCGTGGGTCCGCCGGCCGTGATTCGAGTCTGTGACTGTGAATTCTGCACCATCTGGGTTTGTTGCCGTGAACTCGGTGCCTTCCAAGTTTATGGCCGTGAAGTCAGCACCTGTTGGTAACCCAGTTGAGAAGGGTGTGCGGAAAAGGAAAGCAAAGGGAAGCACTGCTGAGACCACGGCTTTGGAGGCCAACTTACATGACCCCAGTCGAAGGCTTGGCCTGTTTTTGGAGGACAACGTTATCTCGGTCGAATTGGCCGGGGTCGAATATCCGGGCCTCGATGCCCCCATCGCCCAGAAACGCCAATTTTCCGCGGCGGTAAGCATAGCCATCTAGAAGACCCGTGAACGGCACCTATATAACACTTAGTGGAAGTCCGTGGCCGAAGAACTGGAAAAGGTGCTGGGACTTCGACGGCGCACAGCGGCCGATCCGCTACGATCCATCCCCGGGATCTTGAACGGCACGAGACTCGACCCGGAGATTGTGCAAACGTCAACTGTGAATGTGGAGAGTTCAGAGGAGTCAAGGGATGGGTCCACCTCGGAACTTGAGGCCCCTGTGCGGAAAAGGGCACGGTTGGACGACGACAGACTACACACCAGGCGTACCACTCCATCCTGCACAAGGTATCATCTCATTCAGCTTCTTCCCGGGTCTTGGGAAGGAAAGCCAAACCGGTTGTATATTCCGACTGTTGAGTTTGCACTGCCACCGTGCGCTATCAACCGTCTCACGTTTAGCACTAGATGGACCACGAGGCGTTCGTGTCTCGTCTGCTCATAGCATGCGTGTTGCAGGAGCCGAGGACTCCACTGCCCTTCTGATGATCCCGGAAGCTGTTCGCGAGCGAGTGGAAGCTTTTCAAGTTTTTTCGACAGCGGCATTGCTGCTTTCGAGCAAGATGAAGCAGAATCACGGGGCAAGTCAAGCTACGAGCAGAGAACCCACGACCTGTTCTTTTGTGAGATATCCGGGGCTGAAGATGGAAGAAATCTGTCTTCTCACGGGTCGTGGACGTCCTATCGAGGACAAGTTCGAATACAACCTGGCTTTGTGGTCAAGGTTCTCCTATGAGAGAACGACGTGTCCACAAGAAGACTTGAAAAGGGACCCAGTTCACACGCGCGGTTGCTGTGCCTGTCCGGCTGTTTTTCACATCTACATATATACATGCGAATTATGTGATTCTGGCGTTTCAACGTCCCACAAGGTCAAGTGGTTCGCATTTGCTGGGGGTAATCTTCCCTGAGATGCTGCGAATGAAGGGTATACCACATGTTACCGCGCCATTCACTCACTCATCCAGTGTGGGGTGAGCTGAGTCGACAGTTGGGTTGATCCTGTGCAGCTGCAATGCCTCCAAAGAAGGCGGCGAAGAGGAAAGCTCCCACTAAGAAATCGGGGCGACCTCCCAAAATACGAGCCACTGGGCGTCACCCATTGGATCACGATCCTCTTGAGATCATTCAACCGTCATACACAATCAACAACAGCATCCGCACTATATGCCTTATGTTTCCCTTGACACTTGCAGTACTGACTGTTACCAAGTACCATGGAAGCCACCCGAATGGCTGATTGTTCCCGCGACTAAAGGGGTGCCAAAGTCAGTACAAGGCCATGAATATTGTCGATGTCGTGCCACCAAATCAAATGGTGGGGGCGTCTCTCATCAAGAACGAATGGAAGCCAGAACGCAATTTGCTGCGTCTCGTGCCCTTCATCCTGGAAGCCAAGAGTGAATCGTTTGGGAGAAACGAACGAGGAACTATGTCATGGGACCAAGACGTGTGACAACGATGGACGGTAAGCGCCGTTCAGGAAGACGGCACAGAAGCAATTCCAACAGTTGAAGGATGAAGTTGCTTCTCTACTCCCTTCCTATATCTCCTCCCTGCCGCCTGTTTTGATAGAGGCGGTGATCTGCAACGATATTCCTTCTCGTTTGAAGGATCCGGAGTTCAAGATGCAGGTTGAGGACTGGGTGCGCTGCGAGGGAAAGCTCGGCCGTGGAGTGTACCAGGTCTCGGTTGCTCATAAGGATACCGGCCTGGGTCCAACCGTAACCGGCAGAGCGTGGAGCAAGCATGACCCGCTGCAACGATATCAAGGTCTGTGGAGCGCAGTCTTGGATGAATGGACTGAGTTCATTGCTGCCCGAACTCAGGACCAACAGTTCGACCGGATGCGGAGCGACCAAGAACCGTCACATGAACTCAAGAGGCAGCACAAACAGCTTAGGCAAACGAGGACTGGGGGGAGGCATTGGGGTTTCAGTATCAGGAATGGTTACCTCTTGTTTTCAAATATGCTTGTGAGATGGCAGTCTATGCTCAACTTCAAAAGCGCCATGATACGGAAGCGCTACGTGCCGCAGAGCGAATGCAGAACATACGATGGTTTGAAGGGAAGCCGAGCCTACAGTCCGACTTCGGGCCTGATGAGGTCTAGAGAAGACATGGACAGACAATTGGGGATGACTGAATTCTGCTGACACCGATGCATGCTGACACTGATGCATGCTTGACCGCCGTTTCTCAGCAGCGACCGTGAAAAACAGTGTTCAGCAGCAGCCGAACCAAAGTGTACATGGATTGGGAAAAGGTCCTATCAGGCAAACGGCATGCAGATACTTTTGCAGCAGCTCGGATGTGTGCCTTCCCCTCCGTCCGCTGGCACTTGAGTCGCCTCAGGAGGATGAGAGAGTGTTGGCAGTAAATTGTGCTCTGGAGTGCTTTGATGTAAATTTCATCGGTTGACACACTCATATGGTTTGGACCAAACACCATGGGAAACTATGTCAGGCATCATTACTGTTGAGCTTGCGCATATCGGCGCGTCTTCTGACCAGTCGGACATGGAGTTGCTCGATGGATTCGCACAGGACACCCTACATCCGGTCATACAACCATTGCAGGTACAGAACCTGTGGTCCTGTGCTGGACAACCCACAAATACCGAAAGCAAGTTGTGGCTGGGCAGGATCCGAACGCGTGGAAAGAGCCGACAGCGGCAATGCAGAGTGAGTTCTGGAGCCTATATACGCCATGGGGCCTGCATAAGCTCTCCAAAGAATGGACCGCGGACAAGGAAAGGTCAAGCAAGAAATCCTCTCGTCGCTGATGATATAGCGGACCAGGGGAAGCCGGTGGTTTGATAATGAAATCCTACTACCATTGCCACGGATGCACTACCGCCTGGTCAAGTGCCCACTGCAACCGAGGACGATTACAAATGTGCAGAGAACCGCCCGCAACATGCATACGGGTAAGAAAGTCGGGGATTAAAAGAAATTCGGGTGAGGGCCAAAGATTCGCAACAACATTGTGGAAACGTGCGTCCTTTCCAGGTTTGGCCACCCTTATGACGATGTACGAACCCAAGAAATTCGACATCGGCGTCCCTATGATGGAAAAGCACAAGGTTTTCAGTGGCTGCCAGCCCTACGCGATGTTGGCCTCCAAGCCGAGGAATCAATCCGAACCACACTTGTGGGTTGCAAGGCTGTACAGAATAGCTTTGCGGACGACTTCACGCAGTTGGCTTTGGACGTTTCCAGCCTGTGCTCAGCGATTGATGCGTTGCAAGAGACAACCTGGGTCCTGTTACAATACGCTGGGCACGCCTGTGAATGTGCTGGACCTAAACCGGTCCCGTCTTCCAGATAGATCGAGCGCAGCACCGCCTCGCCGCGATCATGCAACTTCCCTAATCACCTGGACAAGTCTATAACATCCAACTGGTGGCCGCAGCAAACCGACACCAATTCGAACAACAGCACGAGATTTAAGGCCGGGCCATAACAGAGCTTGCAGTACAAGAGATCACATTATTGTCGAGGGTGCCGCTCGAGCATCCGATACATGTCAGCAGAGTTTCGCGACATGATCTTTGCTTGTTTAGCCGCCGCAAATTCTTCAACTCGAGCTCCATTTCTGGACGCTTCTTGACCCTGACGAACGGCTCCACCGGAATTCTGGACGCCCTCAGAGCGGCGCGTGGGAGAGGGTTGACGCCTTTACAGGTGGCGCGAAGAGCCAACCGTGAGCGAACTCGGCGGCTCGCCCGACTTGGCCAGTATGCAAAATACGGCCTGAGAACGCTGGAAATCACGGCAGGCGACATCATTAACGGCTGTGCTCAAAACGCAAGTAACCTGCAAGGGGATAATGTTGCGGCCATACAAAGCACACTACAACCTGAGCAGCTACGCGAAGGCCCAGGCAGTCTACATTTCCATGCAGGCGTGTGCCCACCGGGCTGGGCGGCTGTCATTGCAATGTTGCTACCTGGCTTCTATGCCATGTGTTCAAGTCACACATTCGTGGAGACAAGTTCCAGCTCCATCCTATGGTGATGTCTACTTCGGAACAAAATAACATGGCTGGGCAACTCCAGATGTCTCTCATTTCCCGCTGGCAAGCCAGCGGTGTCCCTAGCACACTGTTTCGGACGGAGTATCGCATGGTACCCCAGATCGCCAAACTTATTGACGATGTCGTCTACCATAGCGCTCTGGAGGATGGCAAGGGAACAGCCGTCGACACCCGCCCCCTTGCACAGGAAGTTGCGAAGTTCAACTGCGCTAAACACAAGACCACTCCAAACAACGTCGTCATGCTCGATATTCTTCCTTTGACTAGTTGACGAGACATAGTCATCTGAAATTCGACCCTTTGACGTGTATACGGCGTGCCGACGCTTTTCGTCTTTAACGCTAGGCTCGCCAGGATCCGTACAGCTCGAGGACACCGTATGCGCGTTCAGACCAAGTGGATACTCCCGTCGATATGGACAACGCTCGAACGGTGGGTATGAACGCGCCAGATCCGTCCCACACTTCTACTACACATGCATTCCATCAAGGTTGGATTGGCCGTCTAGCACTTCCTGAAGAGCCCTCATCACCATCGCTTCCTGGATCTCGGGCCTGCGTCTCGACGTCGTTCCACCCAGCTCTTCAAACCGCTATGCAAATGGCAGCCACGAGGCGTGATTTCGATCTGGGTCGAGGACCCTCGTTCGTACTATGTATGCACATATTCGGATCCACGCCAATAGGCTCTACACCTATCCGGTGTTAATATATATATTATATCCTCACACTCCTTATCTACCTCTGAAGTATGTACTATTATCTCGTCTTCGACGATCCCATTCGCGATTTAGCGAGCGGTCTCTCGAACGTCCTGAGTCCTACCTTCAACAATGTCGGTGTTCCCTCATAAGGCACCCATATACTATGTACTGTGATGTACTTGGCCCGGATTTCAGGGTTTGGGAATACCATTGCGAGACACTATATACACATATGCCCGCCTAATAAGGATTAATCTAGCATCGATATAGGATCGATACTATATCGACCCTACTCCGATCCTCATCCGATCCGGGTCGAGAATCACTATAGGATCGCTATAGAGATCGTATCGAGGATCACTTCTTAACTTAATTAAAAATAAAAA